GAGGGTTCGGGCGATGGTGAAACCGAATCTATGATGTCTATGTCGGTGACCAGTGCTGGAGGCACCTCGCCGGTCGTCAACCTTCGCGAGGATCTGCGCCACGACATTGAGATTGTCTATTTCCCCAAGGGCTCGGTCCTCGTGGAGCAGGGTGAACGCCATCCCGGTCTCTACTATGTCATTGACGGGTTTTTGGATGTCGGCATGCTGGTCAACGAGCGTGGCGACGACCTTGTCGGCAGCTCACGTACTCGTGATGGGCCACTCTCACCAGCCCAGGAGGAGCTATTCCCAAACCTGAACCGTACCACCACGGGCTCCTCGCGGGCGTCCGCTTCCAGTGGATCCGGTGACTCACGGCGCAAGACTCAGTCGCGCAAATCGCTTTACCTGATCAAGCCAGGTGGCATCCAGGGCTACGTCGGTGCGCTCGCCTCCTACCGGTCTTACACTGATGTCGTTGCGAAGACCGATGTCTACGTTGGATTCCTTCCACGAGCATCCCTTGAGCGAATTGCCGATAGGTATCCGATTGCCTTGCTCACGCTGGCGAAGCGGTTGACTAGTCTTCTGCCGCGTCTGCTCCTTCACATTGATTTTGCCCTTGAATGGGTGCAAGTCAGTGCGGGACAGGTGATATACCACCAAGGCGATGAGAGTGATGCGATCTATCTTGTTTTGAACGGCAGACTGCGATCTGTCTTGGAAGGCTCCAAGGGCAAAATAACAGTGATCGGCGAGTACGGCCAAGGAGAGAGTGTGGGTGAACTTGAAGTCATGACCGAGTCCACTCGCCCTTCCACTCTTCATGCGATTCGAGACACCGAATTGGCCAAGTTTCCCCGCTCGCTGTTCAACAGCTTGGCGCAAGAACATCCTGGAATTACCATTCAGGTTTCCAAATTGATCGCTCAACGCATGCGCGATCTTGTTGAGCACCCTCTCTCCGAGAAGGGTATCGAACAGGGCCATGTTAGTGGTGTGCAGACAGCAAAATCAACTGTCAATCTCCGCACAGTAGCCATTCTCCCGGTTACTGCGGGCGTCCCCGTGGTTGAATTTGGACACCGGCTACTCAATGCACTTCACCAGATTGGTGTCACCAGAGGAGTGACCTCGCTCAACCAGGCTGCCATTCTGAATCACTTAGGACGGCACGCGTTCAGCAAGATGGGTAAGCTGAAGCTTTCCCAGTACCTTGCTGACCTCGAGGAGAAATACGGACTCGTGTTGTACATTGCGGATACCAATGTCAACTCTCCCTGGACACAGACTTGTATTTCGCAGGCAGATTCAATTCTGCTGGTCGGTCTCGCCGAGGCGTCACCCCGAATCGGTGAATATGAGCGATTCCTTTTGGGTATGAAGACTACCGCCCGGAAAGAGCTCGTGTTGCTGCATTCCGAGCGATACTGCTCGCCTGGGCTAACCCGGCGCTGGCTCAAGAATCGAGTGTGGATTAACGGAGGTCACCATCATATTCAGATGGCGTTCCGCCTCACGGCAGAGCCTTCGCATCCACAGACGAAGAAGTTTGGCACTGTCCTCAAGCAACGTGTGCAAATTCTACAGGCGGAGATCCAGAAGTACACTTCACGACGGATCCAGCAGACCCCGCTCTATTCGCCGCAGACCCCATTTAAGGGTGATTTCCATCGTTTGGCTCGACGGCTGTGTGGCAAGTCTGTCGGTCTTGTCTTGGGTGGTGGTGGTGCTCGAGGAATTGCTCAAGTCGGTGTGATCAAGGCTCTTGAAGAGGCTGGCATTCCCATCGATATTATTGGTGGCACTTCAATTGGCTCCTTCATCGGCGCACTATACGCACGGGACGCAGATGTGGTCCCTATGTATGGCCGCGCAAAGAAGTTCTCCGGTCGGATGGGGAGTATGTGGCGATTCGCCCTGGATTTGACCTATCCGACTGTCTCGTACACTACCGGCCACGAGTTCAATCGCGGTATCTTCAAAACCTTTGGCGACAGCCAGATTGAAGATTTCTGGCTCGAATTTTACTGCAACACGACGAACATCAGCCGCTCCCGCGCCGAGTACCACTCATCCGGATACGTATGGCGGTACGTCCGCGCCTCGATGTCCCTCGCGGGTCTGATCCCTCCAATTTGCGACGAAGGTAGCATGCTCCTTGATGGTGGATACATCGACAATCTTACCGTCGCCCACATGAAAAGCCTCGGCGCAGATGTAATTTTCGCAGTCGACGTAGGGTCCATCGACGACAACACACCCCAAGGCTACGGCGACTCTCTATCCGGTTTCTGGTCCGTGCTCAACAGATGGAACCCCTTCTCCTCCATCCCGAATCCGCCCACACTCTCCGAAATCCAAGCTCGTCTCGCCTACGTCTCGTCAATCGATAATCTGGAACGCGCGAAGAGCACCGCTGGCTGCTTGTACATGCGTCCGCCCATCGATCCCTATGGAACGCTCGATTTTGGTAAATTCGACGAAATCTACCAAGTCGGGTATGCGTATGGCAAGCAATTCCTGGATCGTTTGAAGAATGAGGGGTCGCTTCCAATCCCGGAGGAGACGGAGGAGAAGCGGAAGTTGCAGCGGACTATGGCTCCTCGTCGTTCCAGTATTTGAAGAATACCTTCCCGAGTCGCCAGCAACAACCTTGTCCATGTTCGTGTCTATTTTTATGTTACTTATCTACAGTGAAGCGATTCTTTGCATTTTTCATATTCCGGTGCTGGATATGGATTTGTGGCGTTCCAGTTGAACATAGCATACGCCCGTTCGAGCTCATTGCTTTGGGATTGAGGATGGCACAGCATCATTAGCTATACTCTTCGTTTCTTGATCCTGTTGCTTGTCCACTCTTGCATATGATACACCCTTTTGTTAGCGGTTGTTTATCGTTTGAGCTTGTGTTTTTGTGAAGGTGCTGGGTTCCCCTGTGTAGATAGGTCATTCAAATTAGTATTTTTCCTCTGCCACGTGGGGCTTTTTTTTCTGAGATGCCGCCGCTTTTACGAGGGCGCTCAGAGTCAGACGCACTGAGTAAATGTCAGACTGGGCTCAGAGTCAGGAACCTGATCGGAGAATTCACATGGGTATTCAGAGGGCGCTCAGTGAGTGCGACCAGTCAGCTCACTGAGTACTCAAGAGACCTATCGGAGGCATCTAGTCAATTATTGAGCACCTAGTTCGTCCGCGCCCAGTCTAAATCCAACGAGGCACGGAGTCCCACAGTATCATTCATTTAGTGAATCACTTTTAGGTAGCCCTTAATTTCCGTGATAACCCTGTGTCTTAAGTCGCTAAATCCTTTTAAGGAAAACGAAGCTTAGAGTAATCATGCCGCAAAATTAGAAGGCATATGAAGGGCAAGCCAACAAGGTTATGTGAAAGATGATGTATTGATACAGTCCTGATATAAGGTCAGGACTAATATGTGCGATAGAAATGGCTCAAGCACGCCTATATTGTATAGTAAAATGGAAAGATATAATAAGGTAATGATATATCGATGTAATTGATTGTTGTAACGATAATACATAACCACATGAAGACAGTTTAGTAGGAATTTGCAGGATATTTCAAGATAATATTTCATCACATGCTATGATGTATATTCATCATGATAGTATGATATATAGACTATCCAGTGCCGCCCGTTATTGCCTTCCATATCCGGTAACACAGAGACGCTCCTTCAAACCCTGATCACATGATACGCTAAATCATATATAGCGAGGCCCGTATTGCAAGACGGGTTCCAGATTGACACAGTGATGAGGATGAAAGTATAAAGCTGTATAATCGTGTACCGCTACATGTCCAATAATAACCACTGCTCCATACCCGAAAACAACCCCTCAACCTAGCATCTGCAGTCAACCAATCCTCACCCAACCGATTGTAATAGGCAAGAAACACGATGTATGGATGCGTATAATAATTGTTCTCGCACAGTAATAACACAGCATCGGCACTTGTATGACGACGCCTGCCGCAGGCCCGTGCATCCCTGATACTCTGTTGTCCCTCTCAGTCTACAGGAGTCCTGCTTGTAAATCTTCCTGGCTTGCTTGTAATCGATATACTAGGAATATTCCGGGCATCGATAAAAAGTACAGTCCTAGATACGTTATTTTGATCATTATTATCGGAACACAACTGCTTAAAAAACCAAGGAACTTGGTAAAATTTTTGATTTTATTAGATAGATAGCTTCTGAAACTAGGCACTCGAGCACTTGGAGTATGGGTACCTTGGGAGGTAGGTCTGACAAATTGATCATACTCCTGCCTAGGCTATGGTCATACTAAGTCCGCACGAATGAGACGTCAAGGCCGATTTTAGATTCCTTTAGCCGGCTTTTATCCGCGTCATCTTTTGCTTCGTCATGGAGCAGCCAACCAAAGAGCATTCCTCTCTCGCTCTACATATTCTCAGCGGACGTCAGCGCTTGGAACCGGAGTCCAACGGTCATCTAGTCAAGCAGAAGGGCCCTGGTATTTGGAACGCTGGGCCTATAGGCGTCAGTCTGCTGCGGCTCAACTAGTCTTTGATGAGTCTTAGCTCCGAGCATCTGTGGAAGTACATAAGCTCCCACAACTTCTGCCCCCTCTTCTCTTAGAAGCCTTTCACAATCTTGATCTCAAAATAATCATCACTGAAGTTTTACACCTGGCCCTCCATGTCACTATCCGATTCTGAAGGGTCTGATACTGTTATGATCAGCCCAGATGATCTTCTTGATTTCAACAATGAAAACATTCTTCCTCTTCCGGCAGAGGACCTCAAAAACATCAGAGCTTGGCTGCATCCAACACCCTACGGTCTAGAGAGATCCGAATTTTCAAGACACCTCGAATCTTACCTGGCCGGTACCGGCCAATGGCTCCTATCCACAGATGCATACCAACAGTGGCATGGAGGCGACACAAATGGCCTTCTTTGGATAAAAGGCATACCAGGATCAGGGAAATCGGTCTTGGCCGCCTCGATCATATACCAGCTACGCAAAGAAAATGTCCCGGTTCTCTTTTTCTTCTTCCGACAGATTATTGATGCATGATGCAAACCATCAACCAGTGGGGGCGTTGCGGGACTGGCTCTGTCAAATTCTCTCCTTTAGCCCACCCTTGCAGGTTAAGTTGAAAAAGGAATACCTTGAAAACAGGCGCTCCATTGATAGTCTGACTGAGAATGATCTCTGGAAAAACATAAGATTTGCTCTTTCCACCTTCCCCAAGGCCTACTGCGTCACAGATGCCTTGGACGAGATGGACCAAGGCAACGATGACTTTCTTCACACTCTGGTCGAGCTGGGCCACTGGCACCCTGCGAATGTTAAAGTCCTCATTCTCTCGCGTCCGGTTGTTGCAGTGGAGTCTCCCCTACGGCCATTTCTTGTGCCGTCTGTTCGTCTAGAAGAATCCCTTGTTGATATCGACATTGCTACGTACGTGAAGTACCGACTTCAAAATTCCTCCGTACCTGAGAGATACTGGAATCTTATAACCGAAGCTGTTCCCGGTCGTGCGAATGGTCTGTTTTTACATGCCAGGCTTTCAATGGATGCCTTCTTGAAGCCCGGCGCCGATGTCCAAGACGTACTCATGAAGTTGCCTGCAGACCTGAACGTGATGTATAACGACTTGTTACGCGAGCATACAAAACGCTCGAACGTTCCCGACGACCTTCAGCTGCTCATTCTTCAGTCTATCACCCATGCAACTCGCCCCCTTCGTCTTTTGGAGGTGGCTGAGCTAATCAAAGCTACCCATGCTCCAGTTGGAAACTGCAGCTTGAAAGAGATCAAAGATCTAGTCCGAGCTGCCTGCGGCCCACTGCTCCAGATTTTGCATGATGAGACTGTCTCGGTCGTTTATCACTCATTCACTGAGTTCCTCAAGGGGTTCACTCGCTCCACTGTCCATTATAGTTCTACTTACCCTGTTCTGGAGGCCGGCCCGACTAACCAGCATCTTGCCATAGCATGCTTAGACTATCTCACGTCTGGCTGCCTAGACAAACTTGAGATCAAGAAACGCACAAATCAGAGTGAGTTTTTCTTCCCGAAAAAAGACGAGCAGAGTGGGATTCGCTTTCGATTTCCATTCCTCGAATACGCAGCGCACAATTAGTACATCCATACTCGCCGTGCAGCGCTGGCTGGCATGGATTTATCGTCGTTTTACTTGGTACTTGACAGCCTTTTTGTGAATAAGCAGAGGTTCATTGCTTGGCTAGAAATTGACTGGCCAAAGAATGTGATCCAAGGTCTCACTCCCCTCCATGCTGTCGCAAAGACCGGGCTGGATCAGTACGCCGCGCACTTGCTCAAAAAAGGCGACACGGACCCGAATGCTCTGAGTAGTTGCGATGATTCGCCTCTATATTGGGCTGCTTCCTGTGGCCACGTGGATGTTGCAAAAATTCTCATTGACAACGGGGCGGATCCTGATGGAGAGGCGCGCGAAGGGTGCAAACCTCTCCACGTAGCCGCTAGCGAGAACCGACCTGAAGTCGTCAAAGTGCTTCTTGCCGCCGGTGCTGATCCATTAACACCGAAGACAAAAGAAGGACCTGGCATTTCCTGTGGTAATGGACCAGTATCAATTGGTGACACGCCACTCATGTATGCCTGCTATAATAGACATACTAAAGCAGTAGCCGAGTTTCCACCATATCTCTCTAATCCCGATAGTATCACGAAGGCCCTTTTTTGGTCTGCGGGCTTAGGGCATGCAGCCTATATAAATCTAATTCTTTAACATACCACTGTGGACGTGAATGCAAAATACATAGGAGAAACCCTGCTGTTCAAAGCCTGCCTCAAATATGACTTGAATACAATCAAGGTTATTCTCGCTAGAGGAGCGGATCCCAATATCCCCCACCCTTATTATTTTGAGGGGCCTAGGAGTGTAGGATTCAACAAGCTTCAGTTACAACTGTCCCCCAAACATTCAGATCAGCCCAGAGGCTACACTGCCCTGCATGCTCTGTGTGGACTCGAATACACAGCTAGTCCTCGACCGTCGGCACCGGACTGTGTTTCGCTACTCCTCCAAGCTGGTGCAGATATTCATTTTAAAGCTCCCAAGGGCGAAACAGCTTTACATTTTGCTTGTTTGAGCAATGTAGATATTATGAAAGTTCTTTTGGAAGCGGGAGCGGATCCTTATGCGGAAACAGACGCTGGAGACACAATACTCCACGCCGATGGAGAATCGGACAAGGAGTTACTTCCTATACTGTCTGGATCAGGCCTGGTTGATATCAGCAAGATCATTGCCGAAAGCAATGGAGGGCCTTTGTTCTATCGGCTTAGGGGCAGTCATTTCGAGTCTGTTCTGGAGCTTTTGAAGTATAAACCAGACTTGAATGTGACTGCTCCAGATGTTAATGGTTTGCTACACGTGCTGTTCAGTCACTGGCACTCCAGATCCAAGGATTCAGTCCTTCACGCATTACTATCGGCTGGCGCTAATCCAAACCTCCAAAATAAAAAGGGAGAGGCGCCTTTGCATTTATTGGCGGAAAGTAACACTGGGTTCGAAACAGTGTCCAGGCTGATCAAGGCGGGTGCAGATATTGAGATCCGAGATGCACAAGGTCAAACATCCCTCTTCGCAGCTTCAAATTGTATTAGTGTTGGAAATGGTGTCTTCGAAACACTCATCGAGCTCAGCGCCCGACTTGATACTCGAGATAACAAGGGCCGAACTCTCCTGCACCAAGTCGTTGAGAATGCTAGTCGTTTAGACAAGTTGGCAGGCCTCATGGGGTTTGACCATTCTGTCGTCGACTGTAATGGAAATACGCTCTTCCTTGAGCTCGTTTCTAAAGAACACAGATGCAGCATCTCAACTTACGAACATCTCAAGAAGCTGGGGGTTAATATTGACCAACCTAACAACCGTGGAAGAACGGTCTTGCACAAGATGTGCTCAAAAATACCTAGCCACAGTTGGAGTCCTCCTTCTATCAAGACAGATTTTGATCATGTCATTCAAGAGTGCACAAACATGTCTCCTCAAGACGTTGACGGGATTCAACCCCTGCATATTGCCTCCGCCGTGTCTGAGAATTATGTTTTCAAACTTCTCGAGTCCGGAGCAGATATCTTCGGCGCGACGAAAGAAGGCATGATTGCGCTTCATGTTGCAGCTCGAGCTCGACAACCTGGGATAATCGGTCTGATTCTTTCCAAAATCGCCGACCTCGATGATGAAAATTGAAAGTCCTTCATCAATCAGAGAAATACGGAGGGAAGTGCGTCGCTTCACTACCCCTGTTGCTCTTGCCGTCCCGAAACGGTCGACCTTTTGTTGGATGCCGACGCAGATCCTAATTTGCCGGGCAAGAATGGATTTACGCCGTTTAGAACATGTGCCGAGTTTGAGATCGAACAAGCTCGATGGGGAAGAATCTGTAAACAAGAGACTCCCAAAGCTTTCAAGACAGCCAGCATCTTGCTCGGCAATCGAAGGGTGCCATCACCGAAAGAAGATCTCAAAAGATTCCAATGGCGCTCACATGATGTCGTGAATGCGTCAGATTCAACACGTCTAGATGAAATTCTGAGCTCCTTGGTGCTTCATGGGGCAAACATTACTGGGGAGGATGGGTCCCTTCGTGATGCATTCCATGCCGCTGTATTGAATCAACACGACTATACCGCCGAATGTCTGGCACGATTCCAGTCTCGCTTTCTCCCCAACATGAACCTTATAGAGGGGTCAGATGGCAATGGTTTCATGCTCTGCAAGACTCGTTTGGAGGCCGCGAGATCATTGTTGAGGACGCAAGAGGAGAAGCAAAAGACGTGGCAACCATCACCTAATAGAGCGCAAGCTGTGCATACATCCATTCTGATAGCTCGTCGCCAATACAGTATGTTGGAGGAAATGATACCAAGAATAGATGTCCTCGTGCTGAATTCGATCAATGTGTCTCTCTTACACAAGCTTGTGGAAGTTGGTCTGTCGGTTATCCTTGATCGTGTCTGTACTCGCGAAGCCGCTTTGAAATTTTATGATCACGAATGGTGCAGACAAGCTGAGGATGCCAATCACTGCTCCAGGAATATGACGAAGCCGCTCCTCATCACCGCATGCGAACGTCGATTGCCAAATATGGAAGTTGTCTGCTTCCTGGTTGAGAAAATGGGCGTTGATATCAACATAAATGCCAGGAAGAAAGGCTATACTAGTGGCAAAGATGGCCTATTGTCAGGTAATGGCGTCCTACATGATCTCGCAGGGGGCGTAACTTGGTGGAATGTGCATCAGGTTTCGCCATATCTCATCGGAAAAGGAGCCAATCTGGAGCTGCGCAACCATGATGGTGACACATCTTTGCACATTGCTCTTGAATTTAGAAAGTACAAGGGTGTTTTCTACAAGGATGCTGTGAAAATTCTTCTGGACAATGGCGCCGATGTCAACGCTCTGAATTCCAAGGGGGAGACCTGCTTGTCGAAAACCGGCAGTGATATAGAACTGATCACATTGCTTCTATCTTATGGTACCGAGATCTCTCCTGCTGCTATCTTCTCCGCAATCGAGCTTGGAAATGTTGAACTATTGGAGTTCTTTCTCTCTCAGGGCGATTTGGCCAACTTAAGGCGACCCGCCCCAGAAACTCCAGAAAGAATCGAGTTTCGGCAAATTCCAAGGGCCGAGGTATATCCTTTGCTTCATGCAGCGACTTTTGAATCTTCAGGAAAACCAGGTCTCAACCCCTTTCGAATGCGCATGATGACAGCGCTTCTTCAGCATGGTGCAGATCCCCACGCCAATTTTACCAAGTTTTATCAAGTGAATGACGATCCTTTTTGCAATGAGAAGAAACTAGACAGTGTGATCCAGAATTCACGAGGGAAGTGGGAGGCCAAAACATGTATTGTCATACATGAAATCTTGGAGACAGGGAAAATAGTTGAGCCATTGCTTCAGCTTCCATCACTCCAGCTTGAATTGCGAGATTCCCAAGGCAGAACTTTGATCCTTTCTACTACTGAGGGTAAAACAATTCAGGAACTTGCCGACCGCGGAGCAGACATCACCGCCCAAGAGAAATCTGGCGCAACCGTTGTTCACAATCTCATACAACGTGAGCCCCATGAGCTGGTAATAAACACCATCAAGGCTCTCCTTACTAGAGATCCCAACCTTGTGCACATAAGCGATAACGCAGGTGACACCCCACTACACTATGTGCTAAGAAAAAAGTCACATCCACAAAGAATACGTTGACCTCCTGCTTGCATACGGCGCCGATCCACTCCAACTAGATTCAAAAGGCAACACAGCTCTTCACTTCCTCGCCACCAACCCACATGTGCACAAAGCACGCATCCAGCAACTCTTGGAGCTTGGGTTGGACCTCAATGCACGCAACAAGAAGGGATATACTCCTCTCTCACGTTACTACGCACACAGTTCATTGAGATATGGAAACTCTTTCTGGGGTAATGACGTGACAGCTCGCAGTGACAATGATTTCATGGTCTTCTTCAAGGACCGTGGTGCTGATTTCTTCGCACTCAATAATATGGGGACGTCGCTGGTTCATGTGGTCGCTGGTAGAGAGATTTCCGATGGCGTTTTATATCTTGAGGAGCGGTTGAAAGAGCCAATGAAGAATCATGTCCGATGGTTCAAATTTCTCATGGATATGGGCTTGGATCCTATGCTTGAGGATGCTCAGCAGCGGACTTCTTTGGATGTTGCTGCCGCTTGTGGTAATGAGCATATTCTGAAGTTGTTCAATCAGAGGCCTACAGAGTCAATCTAAGCTGACTTGGCTTGGTGTAAGTGAAATTCTGTCTTCTTTGTGTGTTGTCAGTCATATTGTTACTCCCGAGCTCTGAATCATAAGGTCATTTTTTCCTATGTGCTGCAGATTATCAAATGAACTCAATTCCATGTCATATTTAGTATATTGTTTTTACATGCGTTTGAAAACCCCGACGAATTTCCAAAGTCATCTTTGCAGTCAATGACCCACAGACCACAGAGATGGTAGCTATGCCATTGATGAAGATAATTAGAAAGATATCTAGTAGTAATCTTCGAATGAAAGTCATTGAAGCACGTCTGATTGGTCAGTTTGTCTGATTTCTGGACTTAGGCTTTTGAACTGCCGCTGTACTCGTAGAGTGAGCTATTACCTCACCGAAAAATCGAATGTCTTGTTCATCGGTCCAATCCTTGATAATCAATGCCAAGTAACTGGGCTGTATACCTGTATGATTGCTTATATTAATACCTTATCAAGCAAACTTGGGCTTTCATTCTGAGGAAACTTTGTCTCAGTTCAAATTGACATCAAAATTATCACCTCGAAAGCTGAATCCCCGTTGTTTGTATTTCAGCATGCCTTCCAAGCATTCAATTTGCGTCGATGCCGAGTAGCTTGTACTAAAAGCATTCACAATTAGCTCAATGTCATTGGCCCCACCGGATCGTGCTTCCTGTGAAGGAGCATATATCGCACAGGGTTTCGATATGTTCAACCTTGTATATGCAACTCCAGTCTGGGTCCTTGTACCAGAAAGGCCTGAAAAAGAAGGCAATTACTGGTATATGTCCAGCATCTGGTTCATCGAAGCCATTCTCAACCATGACCATTCGAAAGACAAGAGTCAGGAACATAGAGAGAAATACTTAGTCCCAAAGAGATAGTCATTGCTAAACAAGATTCTGGTACGGGCGCTCAAAGGTCAGAAAAGTACACTTTGTCCTCACACTTTGAACAACTTTACACTAGCCGCTTCCAGCTTTCTACCTCCCGGTAAACCACTCCAATCTCGATGACCTACCTACCTAAGTACCGAATACTCGTTGCCTGGTCTCGAATACTTGGAATGATATGCTTGTGATTACAGGAATATATATCTCAATCCTGGATTCCAACATGACAATTTGGGGTTGAAAGGCAGCTGAGGAGGTTCTCCGCGAGTTTGATCAAGGTCAGGGACTAACTTCATGGGCTTTGATGTATCCTTGCGGTTAAAGCTTGATCATCGAAATTCTGATTTATGTTTACATTTGAGTTAAGCAAAAGAAAAGTGCGATTCTAAGCGGAAAATATTTGTGTAGGATCGCCTGTCCTTCAAGCGCTGAACGATGTAGAGTTTAGTCACACCCGAACGACTAGGAGGGATACATGCGGCCTGATCTAAAAGTGGATTGGAGTGCAAATTAAGAGATCATTAGATTAAGGTGAAGAAAATATTAATAGTCGAAACGGCCAACAACCACAGCCCACATCAACGAGAGAAAAGCACCGCCCCTCCCCAAACTATATGCAACACCACCTCATCACCACGCACCAAACATTACACCCACCATGAAAAGAATTGACAAGGGGAATCTCAAAAATGAACCATAAAAAAAATCAAACATCCAATGCAAGGACGTAGAAGCCGTTAGAACCAACCCGTAAACAAAACAAGTATCATTGCCAGCCCACCCGATAAGAGTAGATAGACCCGATACCAGTCCGAATACCTAGTCGGCACGAACCACTTAAACAGTTCCCGCCGGAGCGCTCTGCTCAACAGGCGCATCCAAAGGTGCCCGTGCACCAGGCTCGTGTTTCTCGTGGACGGGGGCGGCGGCCGCGTTTTCCTTGCGATATGCCCACAGTCCGGCGACTTCAAGGAACATGCCGAAGAAAGTGAAGATGCTGAGATGGTCATAGGTTAGCGCTTGGTATGGGACGGGGGGTAGAGAGAAGGAGGGGGGTGATGATGCGGGGTAATATGCATATTTGTGTGACGAGTACAGAGAAAGAAAGAAGCAAACATACAAAGCCAGGAAGATGAAGGCCTCGTTGGCCTTCTTGCGGCTGCAGCTTATACCGGGTGGGGCATTGAAGTAGCACGAGTGCTCGTTGTAGTCTTGCGCAGCGAAGATGAAAGCAGTCAACCAGCTAAATGGGGTATTTGTCAGTATGATCGACAATTAGACTGGTAATGGGTCAGGGATCCCGGGATGAAATGCATACAGGTAGGAGAAAATGACGTCGATGAGCAGCACGAACTTGCTGAGTGCAGACGGCAAAAAAGGAGAGATGAAAGCAGGAATGAAGAAGACGACAGAGAGGACCGCCTAGATTATTGTTGTTAGAGTTCCGTTGTATTTTGAATTGGACGAGGATTTGCAGGGATTTGCGCGTACGATGACTTCCTGGTAGATGAGGTGCTGGCCTTTAGGTCCTTGCTTGATAAAGTATGAGGTCAAGCCCATGACAATCACGGCGCTGGACCATTGTAGAAAGCGGGTGACCAACTGTAGTGGTCTGGCGATAGTAGTTGAGAAGATCATTGCGATGGATGTATGATAGGATTAAGACTCTGTAGATGTCCAATAAATTGGAGCGGCACAGATACTCCGGACAAGGCTAACAACCTGTGGTTTCAAATATATCCAAAAAGGGTGGGATGACGACAAAAAGGTGAAAACCAAATTCAAGGAATGAACCTGGGAGAGTACCTTTATATGACTTCGTGCAAACCAAAGGGCATTACCGGCTCGGGCGGACGTCAGAACCATGAGACACAAACATGACTAGCGCCGAGTCAAAAAGAGGACACCACACGCTAGGGCCAGGCCCGGCAAAGATGGAGTGCAGTTGGAATGCCCGGGTTTTCCCCAGATGCGTCATGATGGCCTCTGCATGAAGTCAGTGCTGCAAGCTGAAGATTACACAAAAAGCTACCAACTGTGCAGCTGCATCACTAGAAGACTGTCTACATGTAGAAAGCAGTAGTTTATACAGTCCATCTCTCGTTTTTGGTTATTTTAAAAACGAAGTTGGATACTTTAGTTGTCGTTGGTATACAAATCCCTGCGCCGATCCACTCGAATCAGTAACAAAGTCAAAAGCTACCTGGCTCGCGGGAGTGAAGGAGGGGCAAAGATCATCGGTATGTCATGACCTCGTGCGCAAGGGAGGAATCCACCGGAAAGACAAAAGTAAAAGCAAAAAGTCAAAAACATAATAATTCAAAACCCATAATGATGGTAGCATACTCCTAGCATCACACGAACTTACTTCTACTCAAAGAAGTAGCCCTAGGATCCCCAGTCGGCACGCCGCGGAAGAACGGACCCAAAAGGCGACTCGGCGAAACAACTCGACCAGCCCACGTCAAGTCATGATATCCCGCTCAAATCAAAACCGATCACCCAATCTCCATCTGCAAAACACATCACACCACCCCACCACGACCGGGAATCAACCAAGGAAAGCATCGGCTCTCCACATATGGTCTGAGGTGCTATACTTTTGTGTACACTATGGGTTGGTGAATCGGGCTGCAGCAGTCACCCAATAGCGGGGTTCTCCCTGCATCAATACAGGTCGACGGTGGCGTTTTCAGCCTTGTCAGCTTCTTTGGGCTGAATAGCTGATCGACGGTTTAATGATTGAGTTTAGGGGACCTGCGCTGTCACGATCGAAGGGGGGGGGGGGTAAGTATTATCCCTTGGAACTGGCAAAATTGACAAAGTTAATAGCCGAGTAAAAAGAACGATGGAGATTCTTCGGAAAAGAACTTACTGTAGTATTGGATACTGCTAGGAGTCAGAAACACATCTATTGGGTTATCCTGTAGATCTGCAAAGTGTCGTATGACTCGTTATGGGTAGGGTATAACAAGAGTATGAAGAAAATCATTCCCCACTCCCCGCTTTTGGCAAAGATCGCCAATAGTTAGCGGACGATCTCAACTTTCACGTCGTGTAACTGAACAACGCGGATATGCGGCTTGTATGTTCCTGCTATGTAGCTAGCTCAGCTAGGAAGCTGACAGGCTGGCTAGGTAGCTAACCACAAGCCCTTCCTTCATGATCTCGGACTAGAAGCTGAAGAACGGCAAATCGGCATAACACACCAAAGACCTAGTATATATAGGACAGTTGCCTACGACAAAAGCCGGTCTCCGACTGGGAGGAAATTGTCTATCTACAATGTTGTCTATTCTCAAATCATGGACAATGCAGAACAATCTCGCCACTCGTACGGCATTGTCGGCCATTGGCTCGAAACAGGAATTCTGGATGATTGGGCTATGGTTTGAGTCGAGAGGGGGTGGTCATGTGGCCCATGCAATTTGAGGGCATTTTCGTTCCAAGCGGGAAGAGTTGTTTTGGGCTGTCCCAGAGTATACTGTCAAACGTGAAGAATAAGGTTGACGAAGATCCCTGAAACTTAGCAGTCGCATATGTCTAAGACAAAATGACTCCCCAACTTGCTACATGAAATGAAGTCAGGTAGAACCGTTGATGAATGTAAGGGGCAGAGCAATACCCCGGAAATAAGGGTGATCTCCTTGCGGGCGACTATGTTGATTAAACTACAAGGGTCCAACACGGTAAGCACGGGGTGCTATCAGAGTGCAATCAACATGAATACCTTCTTTGAACAATATTGGATAATGGTAATAATTAGAAAAAAAAAACAATCCTGTTGAACATGAACATGCCCAATTGGCAAACCAGTAATTCCGTACGACTCGACTCCATTACGCCTGAGGCTTTTGAACTCCTCTTACTAGACCACGTTCACCATGTGACATTGCCCAGGTCGTGCTCCTGTAGAATATGTCAATATCAGTCCGAAGATCGCATGAAGACGTGTAAAGTATAGATGTAAATCAAACATGGGACGAGAGAATCTTACCTTGATATACTCGCTGCCTTTCTCCAAGTACTCCTGTCGAGTCACGGATGATCGGCCCAGATCAGCACCAGAAGCCCATTGAGCCGCGCCCTTCCACGCATCCAGGACCGGGTTAGCAGCTCGACGCACACCCAGCTCCGCATCAACAGGTATGTACGCGCGCAGCTCCCGGCGGAAGCGTTCTTCGAAACCAGTGAACAACGTATTGCCGCCAGTCAAGAAGACATCCTTCAACAAGCGGTTGCGGTCCTGAGGGTTGGAGAACCGCTGATTGACGATGTCAGCCGCGATCTCAATCAAACCAGCCTGATCCACGCCGGCGATAGAAGGCTTGAAGACAACCTCCGGCACACGTATACGCTCCACGTTCAGATGAATCTGGTGGGCTTCACGCTGACTCTCGGGGTCGAAAGGCCAGGGTCCACGAAGGAATGCATGAACCAGACTCTTGGTCCAATCTGATTGGGCTGCAAGGGTGTGATTCTCCGTAAACTCGGGGTCATACTCGAGCAACTCCTGCTCAACGTTGTTCAGCATGCCGTCAAGGTCCTCTTCTTCCTCGTCGTCACTCTGCTCATCCTTTGCGACAGTGCGGTAGACACCCCAGTCCTCGTCGTTGGCACCAAAGTCATCATCATCACCACCGCGACGGCGCTTCTTCGGTCCGTCTGCGGCCAGGTTGGCCAGGGTCTTCATGCGCATCTGACTGGCGAGGGATTTGCGGTTGCCCAGGTCGGCCTTGAAACGCTCACGATCTTTGATTTTTTGCAGTAGATTCTAAGCATTGTTAGACGAAAGTACCGTACTGGAAGTAAAGGATAGCTTACCTGTCGGTTGGTACGCCGAGCGGCAATCCAATTCTCAAAGTCATTCTCACGCTTCTCCCGATCAAGTCGTTCTTCCTCCTCGATGCGGGCCTTCTCACGTTCCTTTTCAGCCTTGGCACGTGCCCTCGCCTCAACGTTGGACTTCATCAGCTGCTGGTGTCGCTTTTCTTTCAGACCAGCTTCATCCAGTTCTTCATTGGGAGTATCGATCAGATGGAAGCTCATTTCCTCTTGCTGCTCTTCCTCCTCAATGCCCAGATCACGGTTGCGGGAGCGCTTGATAGACTTCTCGAGGTCGCGAATCATCCGTTCCAAGTGAGCCTCGTCCTTGAGGTCTTCGGCCTCCAACACACGGCGAATCTCCTTCTTGGTCTCAGAGGCCAGGCGGACCTGCAAGTCTTTCCAGTACTCCAATTCCTGCTCCTTCTTCACCAATTTCTCGAGACGCATCTTGGCCGCTTGCTCTTGCAATCGACGACCACTCTCCTTCTTGCGCTCTGCAATCCGGGCCAGTTCCTCTTGCGTCTTTTCCACCACAACATGCTCGGTGAAGGGATACTGGATGACGTGGTTGCGTTCCTCCAGTCCAGTCCAATCGAGGTATCCACTCAACTCGCGATCGTAGTCATGAGAGATGTAACAATGCTTGTGTACCATCTCCTCGACCTGATTCTCCGCCAAGCGTGCCGGGAACGTAGGGTATTTGAGCCGTAGCAACTTGTTGAGGTACTCGGCGGTTTGTACACCACCCCAATTAAGACGAGAGGAGTTGGAGAGGAGCGGTTTCGAATTGAGGACGGGGATGACATGTGTAGAGGTATGCGATGATGAGACGATAAGACCATCGGTTCCCTTGTTGTAACGGTAGGCGAAGAGGGAGTCGATTCCGTAGGCTACGGAGGGCGCATTGTAGCACTCGAACAAGATCTCGTTCATCACTAGGAAATGTCAGCTTAGAACGTGCGATACGGTAAACAAAACCATAGCATACTTCTCCTCGGGTATCCAAGGTTGGCAATCGGCTCCGTCATGAGAATAGGCCGGTCAACACCTCCGTTGGCGCCATCAACACCCAGCTTGAGGAAGATGTAATCCAGCACACCCTCCATGACATCCCAATTGCCAACGACACTGGAGTTACCATCAAACGCATTCTTCAGCTGACCACGCGTAGTCGCATCAACGTAGGCATCGTATCCAATGAAGTGAGCTTGACGGCCCAGCTTGCGATCGCGGTAACGGCTCATGACGGGAGGCAGGACGAATCGCGGGTTTTGGTCAAAGGACCAGCCGGCCTTGACAAGATGAGAGCCTACACGAGAGATGCACACGTCAGTATTGATCCAAGAATAGTGGCAACCATGTAGAGAAACGAACCATTGTCGATAACAATGGCGCTGGTGTCGGGGTGAGCCTTGCTCCGCTCATATCCATCGGGCTGTGGTGGTTGGTAGCCCTTGAATGGGTAATCTTGAACGGTGTATGTCTGAGGTGGAGGCTTCTCCGTGCGCTTCTCCGTAACATTGACGGAGTAGCGACCCGGCAGGAGGGTCTGTATAGAGGTGATGGTCATTGTGGGCTTCGCCGGCGCGGAAACCAGGAGCTTTGGAGATCGAGGATCGGGTCGAATTTATGGGTGGCGCTTCAGTACATGGTAGAACTGTCGCAGAGGGAGGATTGAGAAGAGAAGAGAACGTGTTCAATTGCGGCGAGGTCGAGAAAAGTAGCAGAGCGGCAAACGGAGGGAGGCCCGCTCTTTTGCGGCAGGTCGGCGAGGTTGGAGGCGCCAAGAACCAATACGTTATCCTGCGCCTGCGATCTGATCTCCGCAACGAGGACCAGCTACTCGAAGTATGATGTTATTCAAGACAAACTTATACAACGATAGAATAGAAAAGATGATTTCAAAGGTGTCACAATATCCATAAGTGCATTAATCGTAAATTCTACCACATCCCTGCCGCTCTCGCCTAGGACGGCTCCTTGAGGTTCTCCGTAGCTGGAATGATGCTTAGAGGAGGGAGTATAGATTCTGGAATAAAGAGATCATACCTTCAAGGTGGAAGAGGATATTCGACTGGTAGTTTTTGAACATTTGTGCGACTAGCTCAACGTTCATATTTTGAATGTTGACCTCCTACACGCGTTTGTCAACACCTAGTCAAGATAGACATAGCAGCAAAGTGTCCGTACCTGAAGACTCTTGTTCATGACCATAATGGCCTCATTCAGCTTCTCCTGCTCGAAGATTAGACACACATTGCTGGTTTTCAAGTATACTTGCGGCGACTAACAACGTTCGTAATGATGCGCGACAGCAGCACTGTCTGCTGGTGCTCGTGTGGGCTCTCCTATGTCATGTTAGCTATGGCTCTTGATTTCCTCTATGACTGTACAATCAAATATAACTTACCATGATGAATCAGGGCAGGAGACTGGTATATCTCGACCTCGTTGACAAATCAACATCACTGGCGGCGGTTTGTTTGGGCCTTCTCCACGGTCACGTGCAGATATACGGAACGCCAAACGGGGAGTTCTCCAAGGACCTCCGTCTATCCAACATCCCTTCCCAAACACCCGTCGCAAATCCATTCTATACGTCTCAATAATGGCCCCCGCCACTCCCGCAAAGGACGATGAAGCTCACCAGCAACTTCTGAGCCAACTTGATATCGCAGCCGTCCCCAAACCCTTCCGCAATCCGCATTGGAAACCGTCCCAGCGCCGCAACAAGAACGTCAAGGCGATCATCTCTGAGACGACTCGAAAGGAAGCTTCCCAGCTAGCCACGCAGGCCAATTCCGGTGCCACGACTCCTTTTCCCGCTACATCGGGCTCGGTGACCACCGACGGTACCGGAACACCCGCTGAAGGTGCTAGCAAGGCTCCCAACCTTGCACAAGCTGCCCGGGACCTCTCAACACTTGTGCTGGAGAAGAATGCCCGCGCCATGTTCCCAAGCGGGCCCACTGTTACCTACACGAACATTGAGTCGGCGCCGTCGCTGGATCCCTCCAACAAGCGCCATTACTGCGATATAACCGGTCTGTCGGGTCCGTACACTGACCCCAAGACGCGACTCCGCTATCATGACAAGGAGATCTTCGGCGTCATCCGCAATCTGTCCCAGGGGGTGCCGGAGAGCTACCTTGAAGCAAGAGGAGCTCACACCATCCTCAAATAAGGAGCGAAGCATGGCATCCACCGTTACAAATCATCCCAAACTCTACAACTTATCGTGAGCAGGTACGGATACACCATCCGACTCTCCCTCAATGGCTTGGCTAATCGATCAAAATGAAATTAGATTGGAAGCTACAAGTAATGTCCGATCAACACAGTCAAGCCCTTTCCACCCCACCTACCCCTTTCGAGGCAGGCTCAAGAAAGCGCTCCGGCTTATTCGCAACCGTGAAAATGTTGTTCTCCGCCTTGTGCTAAGATGCACTCGACTATTACCGATGCCCCAGGGAATGGAGCGTCAGTTACAGTATCCGAGGATACTGTCGCCGCGGCGTGATATAGAATTGTTCTGAAACAATACTCAAGCGTGGGGAGGTAATAATGAACACGAAAGACGAGGCGATCGTGCCTCTAGATTTTGGGGGGTGAGGGGGCTGTGGGCGAAGCTGGAGCTGGTGCGCAACACAACATCGAGTATCTATAGCCGCAGATTGTATGTTTAGAAACAGCTTGACATCATGCTGTCCTTGAAACAATCACAGAAACAGATCCACATCGAATCCATTGACCCCAGACCCGTTGTTGGTGTACTTGCATTCACACACAAGAATAAGGGCGGAAGCAAAACCGAACACCCGCCCGACGCGGCTTAAAACTAGCACCACACCGCCTTCGGGAGTGGGCAGAAACAGGCGATTTTCTGTTTCTGTTTATGGACGCATCCGACACTCAAAGCATCACCTTGTGAAATTGTTACCTTCTATCTTTGCGCCGCCTCACCTGTGTCACCTGTGAGACTATTGTTCTAATCGCGCACTTACACAATGCCTAGCATGTGGCTGTCAGAGAATCAGAGTACGTCTAACTTTAACCACACCAGCTCAATATCCGTGGGGGACCCTCTAACCCTCTAGCTCGGGCGCAACTGTTATCGCGACATGCAAATGCTGACTACTGGATATAGAGATCGGTGTTGTCTTCTGCTCGGCCGGTAAGCTCTAAATCATCCTCTCGTATATCATTCCATCGCTTGTGCGTGCAATACTGATCATCCATCGCGGATGTATAGGTGGCTTGTTCCTATTCGGAGGAGTCCTCATGTTCTTCGACCGATCATTGTACGTCCTCCTCCCCACGAATCCAATCGCATTCTCACCTATACACGCTCTCACACTAACCACTGTCTCTCTCTGCAGACTTGCCATGGGCAACGTACGCCCCTCTCCGTCCCCACTCCCTGACCACCCAACTAACATCCACTGCACCAGATCCTCTTCCTAATCGGTCTCACCCTCATCATCGGCGTCCAAAAGACGATAGTCTTCTTCACCCGGCCCCAAAAACTCAAGGGCACCGCCGCTTTCTCCGCCGGTATCATCCTCATTCTCCTCCGCTGGCCGTTAACGGGCTTCTTGATCGAGTTATACGGATTATTCATTCTGTTTGGTGACTTCCTCGTCACCATTGGCCAGTTTGCGGGTAACATTCCCGTGATTGGGCCTTATATCAAGCGTGGGTTGGAGGTTTTGGCGGGCGGGCGGAGCAATGCCGAGTTGCCCGTATGAGGGATGGGGTTGTGTTGAGTGCATGGTTACGATATGAGACCCAGATACGACTGCTGGGTTATCCGAGAATTGGAGGATAATTGTTTGGCAATGGGATCGTGGTTCATCATGATGTGGTTGTATGTTGGATGGTGTCTGATGGTGTATGGCGTGCCGCGGACGATGATAATGCCCCTTAGCTCTGGGAAACCCCCCTGATGTAATTACTAATGACCTTTTGATTATCCATCTAACGGGATGATTTCTTCTGTGAGATCACCGCTGGACTGTCAAGATTCAATATCCATAATAGAAAATAGAAGCACAAATATCCATGACACGTCCCCGACAAGAACGTATAATTCCCAGGAAAAAAAGCATCTACTTCGTTAAAACATATCGCCCAGTCGGATACCATACCACGATCGGCATGTCTCCAGAATACATGGGCACAAACTCATAGAAGCGTAGTCAAGTAGCGCAGAGCGCAAAAGCCCCGGAATCGATCCACCTCGAAGTGACAACATGCAATAAAACGGAACGATCGACAAACGCAAAATGTAAATAGAAAAGTAGTTAGAAAAAGAAAAATTCAATGCTCCTTTATTTAATATTCTTCACAGCCCCTCTTATGTGATAACAGGTTTGATCCACAATTCGCGATCCCCATGTGCATGCCCGCTTATTTGGGGTTGTTGATGTAGTCAATCAGATTCTCGACCACGGTGGCGGCGTTGGTAGTCTGGGTACCCTCACCGTGGTGAGCGATCATGGTGCAAGCGCTAGCGCGGACGATGATGACGCCCTCCTTGCCCTATTGTAGTAGATTGGAGTCAGCAATGCTCTCCGGATCGATAGGAAGCTCCGGTATGAGCACGCGAGCGGTATGGCCGTACCTTCTTGCCGTACAGACTGCGCTCGTCGGCCTTGATGCAGACGAACTTCTCACCGCCGACGGAGAAACCATTGGCGAAAGCGTTGTCACTGGAGGTGAAGGCGGAGGCCAAGGAGTTGATGTCCTCCTGGGAGAGCTATAGGATGGGAACCGTGTTAGTTTGATGACCGTAAGCTGGCATGTAATCTTTCTGATTGACCAAAAATAGAGCGGGAGAATCGTACGGTGAAACCGGGAGAAGCGGCCTCCAGACCGGAGAAGTCAGCGGCGAGAACACCGGCCTTGTCGAACTGACCCGAGCCCATCAGGCTATAGAGGCGGTGATGTTAGTATTGGCAAAGCATCGTGACGGGACCGACGATCGAGGGAATATGCGATCAAGCTGAATAAGGTATGAGGGGGGAAATCGAAGTACCTGGAGTCAACGTAGGCTAAGGAAGCGCGGCAAAAAAAGACGTTAGTGAGGGGAAATCCCAAATACCGGTTCTGGTCGGGGTGATTTGCCATACCTTGCCAAGTTGCGGAGTGAGCACCCATAATGACGATGTGGGGGAGGTTGTGAAGGAGAGGGAGGGGAGCACGGAGAGGTGAGAGAGGCAAGTGAGAGCAAGGCTCTGAGTGTTTCCAGAAGATGGGGATAATCAAAGGGAAGAAGAGAAGGAGAAGGGGAAGCTTGTGGGAGGTGACGAGGGAGGTCGAAGTGGGGGGATTTCTGTGTTTGGCGGTAAATAAGAAGACCCCGCCAAACCAGCGCTTCCCGTCGATCCTTTTGCCGGGAACGGTGAACACAACCTTGAAGTATGATCGCAGATGGTATATTGATAGCAGTTGGCTTTGAATTTGGTGCCCAGCTGAAATCTCTCCGTATACTTACTCAGGATCACTCCATGACACAGCACTCCGCCCCGTCATATCTCCTCGAGTATGCTAGGGGCTCCAGGACACAGCGATCTGCATGCCTTTGCGCATGTCATCAGTTGCCGCACGTGTCTGGTACATTCCTGGGTGGAAGATTATATCTGTAGATATGTAGAGCCGGGGGGTTACTGTGACCGATCGTATAAACTATGGGGCTTCAAGGGTTCACGAGAGAGGTATCGTTATGTCATGGCACATCATGCCAACAGGGATAAGCAGATGACATAGTACTTCTCTTTGATCTATACCTACAGTACAGCTTACAGCAGTAGTTTCAGAATTGTGCCACATTGTTCTCGAAAGATCCTTGTACCGTATAGCATTGGATGGTATGTGTGTGGTGTGATGTCATCAGACTACGAGTTTCGTCGTAGACTGTTAATTCCGGGATTCCTGTGCTGTTCCTTAGATCTAACGCACACCCACGGCCCCCAAACCCCTACACAATCCAAAAATCCTCGCAACTACATCGTTCAATAAATCATGTCATATACGGATCTAAGCGAGGGCGTCGTGTCCGATGAAGAAGGTGTAGAGACATTTCTCGCACACCTTCCCTCTAATACACCCATTTACTGTTACAACCGGCAGTGTGTTTTGGAAAGCCTCTTCCCTCCGTGGTCGGTCGAGGATCGTTTCGTCGTCTTGAAACACTTCCCGGCAGACATACTAGCCAAAAATGAGGAACAATTGCCCGGACGCTGCGATTATTCGCCTTCACTACAGATTCTCATCATCACAATGCCTAGTCAGCCACACGAAGAAGCGGCGTCTAGTTTTGAGGTGATGTTTATGATGCTTGCACGAGAGATGAAAGTCTACAGACGGATTGCCGCATGGAGTTCGACTCGTGTGGATACCCCCGATCGAAATAAGCAGGCAGACCGATCCTGGGGACCAACCCACCTCGGAAGAAGATTTCCAACGGTAGCATTGGAGGTTGGCTTTTCAGAGACGACTGCAAAGCTGGAAAAGGACATTGCTTGGTGGATTAACGGATCAAATGGCCAAGTGAGACTAGGGATCACTATTGACATCCGGCGGAAGTCTCACGACATTGAAATTAAATCTTGGATTCCATCATTCGACCGATCACGACAGCATGTCTACGTTACAGCAGGTGGCCGCAAGGTTGTTGACAGACATATCAACGATCCCCCACCGCCTCGAATGAACCAGAAAATTTACCTGAGGAGAGGGAAAGATGGCTCGAGCCCTTCGATTGAAGGAATTGCCTTAACTATACCATTCCGTGCACTGCTGTTGGATGACCCTGGAGAAGGCGAGGGTGATTTCGTGTTTACAGCGGACATGCTGTTGCATGACTTAGCAGAACGAATCTGGTCTGCGATTGACAACGTCGAAAGCATCAAGGCCAAGAAGAGTCATACGTCGTGAACGGGATGTCCCAAGGCACGCGTTCTGCCCACCGCCCACCGCCCACCGCCCACCGCCCCGGTCCGATGATGGTACCTGGATGCTGTCAACGAGATAGTAAGGTCGTTCTTTTCAGACATGCAATTGCCTCTAGACTGCTTGATTCTCCCCAAAAAGCCACCTTCTCAACGCCCGAGCTAGATTTCCAGGTTGCCCCGCAGACCAATCAGACTGGTATATTGGCGGTCTACTATGACTCGGACATTGCCCGCCGGACTCGGTATGGACAAGTTTGTTATACAAAGCAGCTTGCCAGAAGACAGTCGCTACGAACGAAAGCTCGGCTCTCCTTGCCTCTTTATTACGTATTAGTCTGAATGCAGCTAAAATGAGCTAAACAAGCCGGGTGCTCGGCCGTTCCAATAGATAGTGGAGCCAAGGGGCGTCAAAAAAGTATCAACCACCATATTGACCAAGGATAATTTGCACGCTTCATTTCATCGTTGCTATGCTATACTCTTCACAGTCCCCATTTCAAAATCCATCGCTAGAAGACTACACCGAAGGTACAATCTCAGCAAACTTCCCAGCAACATTCCCAATAAACCTCCCCTTCTGCATTCCCTCTACCCATCGCGCCGGAATCGAGCCGTACCCGTAAAACACCCCAGCCAGACCGCCATAAACGGCCCCCGCCGTATCCGAATCCCCGCCGAGATTTACCACCGCCAAGGCGCCAGCTTCCCAGGTGTTATATTTGAAGAACCCCCACAGCGCGACTTCTAGGGTATCGACTACCCAGCCACTGCTTGCAATGTCGGCGGGAGATTTAGCTTTCCAGTCTGCGATGGAGGTGTAACGAGCGAAACGGGAGATCAGGGCGGGATGAGTAAATCTAAATTGCGCAATGGTTTTGCAGAGGTCTTCCTTGGTGTGTCCTATCGTTGGGTCAGCGAATGTCTGAATGAGGTGCCATCGAGGGGGCCATACCACTCATCGCCATGCAAATCACCTCGGTATAAGCCTCGCAAGCATCCGGGCAAGCCAAAGCGGGATGCGTCACGAGACTCTGCTCCCGAGCAAGTCTCTTCGCACGATCTTTGTCTTTCCAGAGAGCAACACCAACGGGCGAAATACGCATCAAACTCCCATTGCCCGAGGATGCTTCCTTGTTGAGTTGTTCACTGACTTTCTGCTGAGTGAGCGGCAGATCATCCAGGCCCCGGGCCTTCCATATCCTCAGCGCCACGCGAGTCGATCTTCCAAGATCCCATGCCTTCGTCGTAGTACTAAACCGGCCATAGTTGAACCAGTCGAGGTAGTTTTGAATTGACAGGGCGTGATCGTATTGCCCGTTAGAGTCCACAAAGGACTGTGCGAGAGCCAGCGTCATCGACCCATCGTCCGAGTACGATCTGTCACTATTAGCCTCGTCCTGCGATTTAGATAATTCTTAAACAATACCCTGATGGCTGATTGAAGGGTTTCACAAATTCAAGCTCTTTGATGGGTTCGAAGGTGCCGGGGTCACTAAATTGCACGGGCCCGCCGAGGGCGTCCCCCACGCAAGTACCCCAGATGGCACCTAAAGCTCGCGAGTGTGTTGATAGAGCCATGGTGTCCGGTGTGATGATGATGCGAGGTTGAAACGTTCGACAAAGGCGACCTATTTAAGAGGAGCGCAGTCAGAGGCCTGTCTCAAATACGAGAATCTGCCTTTTGGCTGCTCAGCCACAAGGCGGGCTGATGGAGGGGAGTTGTGAGAGAGACGATTTTTTTTCTCTTACGGTATCGAGAAGGTGGTTTGTGGACGTGAGAATAGATCGAGTTTGATTGGAAGAAGTTTTTAGGCTGAATTCTTCTAGCTCCGGAGAATTGAGTCACTTGATGTTAAGGCCGTGAATGACTCCGCATGAGGCTCATGTTTGCCGCCTGGCTGCGGTAGATCGGCATCCTCAACGATGCTTCATTGAGTGCAGAAGTCGGAATTTCCAGCTAAAGTTCCACATAATACCACCGAGATGCAGATCAAGAAAGTGCTGAGTTTCTCAAAAGTTCTACTGCTGGGCAGTCTCCCGCTATGTGCAAATATATTGTGCAAATATATCGAGATCGCTCCTTCGTCTCGGTTGCTCACGGGAAGGAGAGCCCTAAAAGTGTCTAGACAATAGAGATAGCTAACAGTAGGCTTCAAATAACCCAGCTAGTTATATATCCATTACTCTAGGTAGGTCCTCCGGGCAACTTAATACGTGTGCGAGGAGTCGATGACACTTCTCATTTCCTCCTAGAATATAGGGATCTATCTGTCTTGAATTCGCATCCATCGCTACGTTGAACCCAGGTCCCGTGAAAAGCCCGAAGAGATGGGGCTAAGTTCAGAAAAGAGTTCCACTCACCAACAGCACAGAAAGCACCGAGATCTATATGAGAGAACCATCCGGCTCGTCCATCCGCACACCGTGCACTATGCCATTCGTATCAAAATCACCTATCGGTTTCAAAGCCCAAAACGACGAGTTATGGTTCACTGCAGAATTGTCCACTACCCTCGCGGATGACCCTTTCCATGCATTATCACCCCGTCATTGTCATTAGCCCGTTCTCCTTTCTGTGTATCATACCGCTGTTAGAGGATGTCTGGGATGAAGATACTTCCTGAATGGTAGCATACTTGGGAGAAACAGCATTGGGTCAATAGAGGCATTACACTGTATATGGCAAGGATGGCAATTGACATATTGTGGCTTTGTCGATTGCCGAGAAGCTCAGCCCGCTTTTCATCGTCGCCTCTCCCATATCACCGCGCCGTCCTCTGATCATACTCCGAATAAGCGCTCGATTGGCATACGGTCCTCTCTTGGCATCACAGGACGGCAAAGGTAAAACCGTCGAGTGCAACAAATGACTGCCCTCCGACAGCCGACGCGCCAAAGCTGAGACGGGTCCGTGCGCCAGCGACCGTCGTCCGGCCGCCGCCCGTCACCCACAAGGTCAAACAACACGCATCACCTGGCTGTTTCTGGACTCTTGAAACAGATCTCATCGACGGCCGGGCACTTTTATCAGTCTCAGGGCAGAGCACAGTCTCTATTCAATTTCATCACGGTCAAAGTATGCTCAAAATTGATTCGACCCCTGTCTCAAACAGACAAAGTCTTGTCTCGGTTTCAGAAGGGCTGAAACACGCCCCGAGCGGGCATTTGGCCCTCCTCCCACTTAGTGGCTCTCGGTGGATCTCAGGGACTCCTTCATGGCCCGCACCGACGGTGGTAGCGAAGCTGGTCCATCTAATCAAAATCCCCAATCAATCCGCAACGAGCCATCTCATTCGCTCCCTGCAAAATAAGCATCTCACACTCTGCCACTCATCCCAAAAAGAAAGCCCCCATCATCTGGCCCCTTTCGTCGATGGCTTGCCCCTTTCCTCCGTCGGCCCCTGAGGCCGCTGAAAATCCAGCCGTTGTGGCGCTAACAATGCGAATCGTGGGTCGCGTGAGAGACTAGCAGCGCCGTGTTTCTGTGCGACGAGGGGCCCATTAATCTCGAGCCGGGCTGATATCAGGCCCCTTTCTTTATTTTTCGCCCACTGGTCGTTGCAGCGCTGCTGTTGGTTCATTTCAGCTGGTTCGGCTCCGGCCCAGACTAGACCAGACCAGACCAGACGTGCCTGACACAAGAAGCTGGCATTGCCATTACCATTGGTAGAAGGTCACGATGACTGGATCTAAACGGGCGCGCATTGGGGGGAGATGCTCGAGCGCAAGAGCACTCTGATACGACCATCAATGAATTAGCGGCATTTCAGACTGACTTAATTATAAGCCCAATCAATGGCAATATCGACATTGACACGTTGTCTCATGTACACAGCTTGGCGTAATCGCATCCCCACTCAACCGACGATATCGCCCGGCGCCACTCCTGCTGGTCCTGCAAAGCCATTTTCATTTAAATTGCCAGCGTTCCCTCTGCTCGCGCGAACCTTCGCGGGTTGTTTCTGATTTGACTCCGCATCGAGGCCTTCTGGAAGGCCGTCCATTCCTTTGAAAGATCCGAGATCTGTATTTGCATGACGAATTTGGTTTATCAGACTTTCCAACCATTACATTATTTCTACGTGATCGACCTACGAAAGTACTTACTATTAAGCGCTCGGAATCCCAGAGAGATGGCGAGGGCTACGACGGCTGTCAAGTCCCGCACGACACCAGATACGGATGCGATATCATTCCCCGTCTTGACCTACGCCGATGCATTGCCACGAGACGATCTTCGCGATATCAATAGTAAAGGTTCCGTGCAAGTATCAAAGCACGGGAAAGTGGCACAATCCGAGTGGCCTCGTCCTAGGAATACCGATGGACATGGAGACAGAAAACCGACCCCGGGCGCAGCCATGGCGTCCTCGTTCGACTTTCGAGTAACGGCACCACCAGACGAGGTCTTCCCTTCGAATGCAGGTGCCAATGGCAGTCCCGGCGGTATACCAAGAATAGGCGTTGCTCTTGGAAGTCCCAGCATGCTCGACTCTCGCGACAATCTACCGCCTCCACGATTCAATACCGAAATCTTTTCACATGACCGGGTCGATCAGCCACCGCTGCCGCGTAAGTCGAGCAAATGGAAGAAGATTGGCGGACTTTTCAAAGCCAAGAGTGCGCTGGCAATGCCTATGGACGAGCCCAAGATTCCTCCGAAACAGCATGCGCTCAAGCAGAAGGGTGAACAAAGCAGCAAGCCAACGCAACGACGGGGTTCAAACGAAGAATGGCCAAAGATCGAAGTCGATTCCACTGCCGCCCCAGCTGGACCCAACACAAGTCCACAGCGAAGTCGCAAGCTTTCGCTGTCCGGGAAGAAGTCTGACAAGCCTCAACCCCCAGAGAAGGGCGGAAAAAGTCATCTGCTCGATATTGATATTCCCGATGTACAAATGGAGCGCTACAGTGTGATGTTCAGTCAAGTAATGAGCAAAAACCAGAGACCCTCTCTGCTGGCCAGGAGGAGCAAGACTCTGGACAACTTGCGCATGCCAAATAATCAGGTACGCTAGCCATCTCGTGTATTTATGTTTTGTTGAATGCTACGTAGGAAATGAAATGGACATGATCATAACGATTGATACAGGACTTTCTTGCTGCAAAGTTACCTCCGGTTCCTCAACGTCGTGCAACCTCGCCAGCACGGTCTAGTTTTACTTTGTTCCCGGCTTCCCAACCTTCCAAAGCGTCACAGCTTCTCGCAACACAGAACTTCTCCCGTGGTCCAAGTCCGCTGTTGAGGTCGAATACTCTGCCTGTTGAGAGTCCATCCAAGGAATCCATGGACCAGACCCGGGCGACGTCAAATATGAATGTGACTTCACCATTCGACTCGCCGGTGGTTCCAAATGTATTCGCTTCGCATTGCAGTACACCACGATCGTCCCTTGATAAACCATTACCTGCCATTAAACCCGAGCCACAGGCGCATCAGTCGCGTGCACGGACGGCATCAAAACTTGCGGTTGCTCAAGTACCGAAAGAAGCCACGGAAGCTAAAGGAAAAGAAGCGGCCGAACCTGCGCCTCCGTCAGCCAAGCCACCGGTACTCACTCCGAACATGCAGGTTTCCGAGTCACCGCGAAGCTCTCCCAACTCTCGAATGGAAGCGAAGCCATTTGTGCCCACAGGGAATAATCGACGACGATCATCCAGCCTGGCAATTCCTCACTCACGTGCGGAGCGGCAACTGGACCAGAAACCGACAGAAGCAAGCACCGTACTGCAAAATCGACCGTCACCGCTACCAGTATTGCAAGCTCCAAAGCCGGTTTATAAAGAGCGAAAGTCTTCTCTGCAGGCGCCTAGGTCGCATACCCGTCCACCTATTCAAGCACCTATTAAGCTGAGGGCAGGCCCGCAGGCTGCTCAGCAGAGGGAACGAACACAACCTCAGGAGAGACCGCAACAAGCGCCAGATGTCCGCCCTCCTCGTCCAAATCTGAGAATTCAAACCAAGCAACAAACCCGTCCGCGGCCCCCAGCCAAATCCGGATCATCATCATCCTCCACACTCCTTTCAAGCACACCACCAACCAGCACACTCCCTACACCAAACCTATCAAAGGACAGCCTCCACCGAACACCCTCACCCATCATCCGATCCCTCAGCCCGCAATCGGGTATCTCCCCAGGCGGATCATCCCCCCGAATGCCATTCGTCTCCGAGCCCGAAGAAATCGAAGTTGAGCTCGACATGCCCCTCGACGCAAAAGCACCCGCCGAACCCGCGAGCAAAATCCCCACCATCGAAATCTCAATAGCACGCTCGATATCTGTCTCTCGGGGGAAGCGCCAAATGCTCGTTCCGATAGCCGCAAGAGTCGATCATCTTCATTCAAATGAGCGGTTTATCGAGCGGAGGCCGATGACGCCGCGGATTACGGACGTGACCTATGGGCATAAACATGCCGTGTCGCAGGAGTTGCAGATTGAATCTCTTTGAGACTGGACTGGTTCACCACGTCTCTCTTTATTTACGTTCTTTTTTTCCCATTCCCCATTCGTTTTCGGTAGTCCTACTCGAGCGCCATTTTTCTCATTCCTTTGCATTTGGGTTGGGGTTTATGTGATTGTGTCGCTTCATTCTATGTATTTAATCCATGCTCTTAACGAAGAACTATCTTCTCAATATCTCTGCTTCAATGGCGCGTTCGGCTGTCCTAAGTCTCCCAATTAGATTTTCCGTGCGCAAATCTGAGGTCATCTAAATAATTTGTTCCAACGGCTACCCTAAGGGGGCAGCATCGGAAAGAAGTGGGGATATCTCGGTAGCTACCGAGACCCTCATGACCTTTCCATCAGCACCAGCAAAGTAAAATGCGGAGGAACTCATCTTGCTTGCTGAAACCAGGGATCGGTGGAGACCGAGGAAATGGAAGGATCCGGGGTAACCTTGATGAAGCCAAAAATTGGAAAAGAACTATTTAAGACGGAAAGTCCCTCCTCACCTGAAGCTTCCAAGTTCACTCTCCCGGTACCTTCACCCCACATTCACACTAAACCACCACCATGAAGGCAGGAATCTCTGTCGCCGAATACCTCTTCCGCCGTCTGCGCGAGGCAGGATTAAACGCTGTGCATGGCGTGCCTGGCGATTACAACCTAAGGCTCCTGGACTACGTGATTCCCTCCGGACTCGAATGGGTCGGCAACTGCAACGAACTAAATGCCGGATACGCCACGGATGGCTACGCACGTATCAAGGGCATCGGAGCAGTGGTGACAACCTTCGGCGTCGGCGAGTTATCAGCTATTAATGCGATTGCTGGCGCGTATGCGGAGATGGCACCCGTTGTGCATATCGTTGGAACTCCGAATCGAGGCGACCAGCAAAATGGTGTGAAGCTTCATCATACGTTCTGTCGTGGGCAGCCGGGGGATTACAGGATCTTTGCGGAGATGTATGAGAAGGTTACTGTTGCGCAGGAGAATATCACGGATGTGGTCACTGCTGCTGCCCAGATTGACCGTGTTATTCGCGAGTGTTTACTTCAGTCGCGGCCTGTATATGTCCAGGTTCCTATGGATATGGTGGATGCTATCATCCCGGGAAATCCTCCTGCGCAGGCTTTGGATCTTTCCCCGGCTTCTGGCAATGCAAGAATCGAAGAAGAGGTTTGCGATATCGTCCTTGATCGCATAAGGACTTCCTCAAAACAATTCATATTGGTGGATGCCGGGACTTCGCGCTATGGGCTTTCCGGTCAGACGGATGAACTCATCAAAGCCACTGTGTTCCCGACTGCTACGACACCGTTTGGCAAGGGAATCGTTGACGAGACTTTGCCTAATTTCCATGGAATCCATGGGACCGTCGGACCCCACACGTTCACTTCTTATGTCGACTCCTGTGACCTTATCATCAATATCGGACCGGCTCACAGTAATGTCAACACATATTATTTCGCCACTGTCCCCAAGCCGGAGGTGACCATCTCGATCGAGAGAGATGCTATTCACATGGGTGACCGCACGTGGAAGGTGTCTCCACAAAGAGTCCTCCAAAGAGTTCTTCAAAACCTTAAGGAGAACCCGCTTGCCAAACCCGCCTCATATCCCGACCTACCTAATCTGCATCAGGCCCTCCAGTCCCTTCCTCCCGTCATTCCAACCGCTAAATTAACGCAAGACACATTCTGGTATCGCATGTCCTCCTTCTTCCGCGAAGGCGACATCATCCTCACCGAAACCGGAACCGCTAGCAACGGAAGCCGTGATTTCGTTCTACCCAAGAACACAACCCTCATCAACTCCGGTATCTGGCTATCCATTGGATACATGCTTGCCGCGACACAAGGAGCCGCTCTTGCCCAGCGACACCTTACTCATTCTGCCAGCCCACTGTCCAAGGGTCGAACGATTCTCTTCGAGGGCGATGGCAGTTTCCAAATGACAGCTCAAGAGCTGAGCACTATTATCCGCCAGAGATTGGATGTCATCATCTTCATCATCAATAACAATGGGTACACGATCGAGCGACTTATCCACGGTCCGCAAGAATCGTATAATGATGTCGCATCATGGCGATTCTTGGAAGCCCCGTCGTTCTTTGGTGCGGAGAAGGCGGATCCTTGTTATCCGATTTACACAGCGAGAGCGACGACGTGGGGAGAGCTGGATAGTGTTTCGGCCAGAGATGAGATGCGCGATGGAACGGGGTTGAGGATGGTGGAGTTGATGATGGATGTGATGGATTCTAATGACACGCTGAGGCTGATGCTTGAGTTGTGGAAGAGCAAAAAAGCCGAATAGTTGAACTTTGTCTACGAAAACCGCGGTATGCTCTATCCATCCCGTGGCATGGTACAAGAAATACATCTCCGGCATTTGCTCACAGAACAGCTCCTTGATCCTGACAATTAAAATCAAGGGAATTGACTGAAAATTATTTGAATTCGTATTCCCCCCTCAAGATTTGGCAAAAGTAGATCAACGTACAGACCAAGCAGTCGAGTTCCTCATGGACTGGTGTACACGGCCTCGGAGAAGAATCGGCCCGGGCTACCGAGAGACTTTCGGAGTCTCGGCTCCCTCCGAACTGTCAAGACACATTCATCTCCATCTCCACTTCTCGACATATCCATTCCATTGCACCGGATTGGCAATGTCACAAAGTATATCCACGCCACAGCTCCCAAGAGCCTCGAGGCGCAGGCATTCAAGGTTCCCATCAGCGTAAGTTCACTTCTTGACTCGCTGTGGCCCGTACCCATACTTACTGACGGGTTTAAGATGCACAACTTGCAAATCGAAGAAAGTAAAGTGTTCGGAAGGTTATCCATGTGAATACTGTTCCCGCAGAGGTCTGCAATGCAGGTATCCGGAGTCCAATGCTGGGCGGCTCTACTCGACAGGGTAAAATTTGGTTGAAAGAAAAGTTTGAACATTGCATGACGTTTTGTTTAGGAAGATTCGTGAACTAGAGGCTCGTTTGGCCTTGTATGAGTCTTCAGGCTTACAATGTGGTCAGTATTGAAGCAAAGTAGTCCGAATTATGGTCTGACTGTCATACTGACCTTTGAAATCAGAGACGGGAAGATCCGACATAGAGTCACCGTCTACGAGAACTGTGTCCTCCCCACAGATCACCGGGATTGTTGCACCGCCCGACTCGGAGCATCCGGTACAGCGTATGTAACCATGCGATATACTCATGGCACTTACTCTCTGATCTGACGGCTACTAGGTATCACTACCGAGCGCGACATTGGTTCAAGCCAAGATTTTGGAAACCGAGTCCAAACCTTGTTCGAGCAACGATCAGTAGAATCGCCAGCATTTATTCGGCAACCATGTAAATCGACCAGAGAAAGTCTTTTCCCCTCAGAAAGACCAGCTCTGAAGTTGAAACAAACCCTGAATGCTTCCTACCCTGTCCCCAATCTTCCCTCCGAGGAAGAAGCCTATCAACTTCTCCACCACGTTTTATTCTATTTCGGCGAGACGCAGCATCTCTTCGATGCCCGTGATGCTTCTGATCAATTAGCTATCATCTACGAGAACCCGCAAGAAAGCCTTCGAAATCCCAGTATTGGATTTCTCCACGCTCTACTGATATTCGCTCTGGGCAAGCTACTTCGAGGTGATTCGGACGGGTCGAGCTCTCCCCCGGGCTTTGCATTGTTCACCTACGCACTGGATCTCCTGCCCTGTCCTTCAGAGCTACGGGCTCACGGAGTAGCGGGCATCGAGGTTCTCGCCATCATCACAGTCTATCTGCAAAATATCGACCGAAGTGATGACGCTGCTTCTTATGTGAGGTTTTGTCGGAAAGATCAGCTACTCCAGTAACTAATGCCTCATCGTTAGATCGGACTGGCTATTCGCTTAGCTATGTTACACCGGTTACACCGGAAACAGACGTTCCAAAAATTACGTCGATCGGAGGCGACGCACGCAAGCCGACTTTGGTGGACTGTACACATGCAGGACAAGCGGTCAATGATTCTAAATGGCTGTCCTCTCGCACTTGATGATAAGTTTGTGGATACGTTTCTGCCCACAGAGGCACCCGGCTTTCCGAACCCATTTGCCCTACAGATCAACCTCGAGGTAGCCCAAATCCAAACAAGGATATACTCAGGTAAGTAGTGGTAACTAGTTTGATCTTATATATACTGATTCTGTCTCAAGTCATCTACAGCCAAGAATCCTGTCCAAAAGATGAATTCGTCGCAGGAGTTCAGGATATCATCTCAGCTTTGAATCAGCTTGCGAATCAGATTTCTCAGGGCTCTGGCTTTTCGGGCGCTTTACTGAACCAGCAGGCATCAAAGAAAGACCTACGACTCAGTATATCCCTGTATACTATCCTCTACCAGGTATGGAATCAACCGGTTAAAGTTGAATCGAGGAACGGCTTTTCACTAAAGTTAGTAGTCAATCATTCTTACTCTGCGACCGATCGTTCTGCACCTGACGAAAGCAATCCTTAGTGGCGAGACCACGTTCACAAATAGCGGAAATGCTTTCCAACAGTTGACCTGTACCTGTATAGAGGCTGCCCGTCGGTCCCTGGAGCTCATAGTACTTGCACAAAAAGAGGACATGATAGGTTAGTATTTTTGAGCACAGTTACATATGGTTGAAAGTACTGACAATAAAAGCAAAATTTGGCTTCTTTGACCTCGATGCTATCTTTTCCGCAGGATTTATCATGCTCCTTGCTGCAATAGTTGCATCAACAAACAATACTCGGGGACACCACCTGTCATTTTTGAAACCTACCCCTGGCATCTTGGAGTCATTACAGCTTCTCGACTTCCTGGCTGGATATCACAACGAGGCCGCCAAAGCTCGCCATGACCAAATTCAACGACTGTACGATCATATCCCAGCATTGGTCGAATCCCTACAGATAGAAACTGGAAGTGGTGGTAATGGACAGTCACCGTTTGGTTCTTCGAGCAGTCAAGCCGTACAGACACCCCTTTCGACGGGGGTCGGTACTTCGAATCGACATCCCCCCTTGCACGTGCAAACGTGGGATCCTGAGAGCGGCAGAGATATGATGGATGGTTACACAGCATCATTACCAATGCCGTTCCCTTCCGATGCTCAGACGATGTACTCGCTATACCAAGGGGATGACTTTGTTTTGACAGGTGCGGATGTGGCAGATTTCGAGGAGCTACAACGGCATTTGCTAGGATCTGATATTGCTTTTTGAGGATTGAAGTTGAAGAGAAATAGGCTGGCGAGCCTGAGAATTGCGATACATGTAGTTTTCGAGGGACACCTATCAAAGAACACACGATGTAGCCTCGGCAACGTGATCGTTGAGATGACAGGACTGAAGGAGTACTCTCCTTGATTCGTTTGTATGACAGCTTGCGTCGATAAACTTACAAGACCGGGGCAATCTCCAGAGGGCCATCGCCTTGATGAACATTAGCTATCCAATTGTCTTCAAGTATTCTCAAGGTATACTCAACCTTAGGCCACGGCGGAGGGCGCCCGTTCTGCTGACATCGCGTAATCGCGCGCCCGAATTGCGATGACTCACCAAGTCAAACCACCTTTTAGGGCAAACGATAACGGCCATGAAATACTTATACAATTCCTATTTCACCAAAAAAGGCTACTGGCGAAATTGATCCATTTACGAGTATTACGATGGCATCTGCATTCTCGCCAGCGCAGCTCAGCAAGTATCTCAAGCATTTGGCACTGCCCCCTGAATATGACCAACACATCGACAATCCGCACTCTTTCCCCAAGACGGAAGACGCTCTCACGACTCTATTCCGGGGTCAAATCACACGCTTCCCATACGACAATCTGTCCGTGCATTACTCCAACACCGACGTGATTGACATTCGCCCGGAAAGCATCTACCCAAAATTCATGGGCCCCGCAGACTCCCAACCATCGAGACGGGGAGGCTACTGCCTAGAATGTAGTATCTTCTTCTACCACGTTCTCCTCGGCTTGGGATTCTTGACCTATACCACGGGTGTCCGCAATCGGGCACGAATTGACGGCGTCCCTCAAGGCGAATACAGAGGCTGGTATGAATATCTGCAAGAGTCTGCTGCGGGAAAACATACTAACATCAGGTCCAGGACGCATATTGTGAATATTGTGCAGCTTCCATCGGGGGAGCAGTACCATGTTGACGCTGCATTTGGTGGCGATGGACCTACGCGACCGCTGAGACTGGTTTCGGGGCAACCTGTGCATAACCTCGGGACGCAAGAGGTGCAACTGGTATATGGAAATATTCCCAAACAGACACGCCCAGAGCAGAAGCTTTGGATCTATCAGTATCGCAATGGGCCAACCAAGGAATGGAACTCTTTTTATTCGTTCGCGGAATTCGAGTTTTACCAAGATGACTTTGAAGTGATCAATCGGTATACGAGCTGGGAAGCTAGGGATAGAGGCAATTTTTGGATCGTCAAGTTTCTCCGTGGTGGAGAGGTGGATGGTCTTCCACTAATTGATGGTGAGGGTACTTTTGACGATACGGAGGCAGTTCCAATTGTGGGGAAACTCATGTATGTCAATGGAGTGGTGAAGCTGAACATGGGAGGAAAGACGCGGGTGATTGATTCATATCAGAGCGAAGAGGAAAAGTTTGCGGGTCTCAAGAAATGGTTCGGGATGACCTTTGAATAGACATGGTGGCGATTTTTTTTTTGCAAGAGGGTTGAGCTTGTGGTATAGTCCAGTGTCAGACAGAAGTTTAGAACAAAACGAAAGTGGCATACAGAATACAAAGAATCGCAATCCTTCACCGTAAGTTTCAAGTTCAAGCTAAATATACCATAGACGTGGCCAGAAAAGTAAGAAAAGAAGACGGGATCTTGTTCGAACTAGAGCTATTTTGAGGGTGATATTAACGACACGACAGAAATATTCGTGGCACGACAAGGCTAGTCCCAATAAGTAACGCCTACCCCCGCGGCCTTTCAAATACAAATGCTACATCTTACCTGCCGAGTCCTTATGTATACATGATCCAATATAACTAATAACGCTTCTCGTTAGTAATGTCAGCGACTATTTACGCTAGCATCACGTAGACTTTGTTTATCATTCCATTTAAAGATCTAGTGGGTATTTGGGTAAAGTAGATAGCTATTAAAAACTTAAAAAAGACCTTAAAAAAGAGCTTGGAAGAGACCTTGGAAAGGGTGATGGTAGAAAAGGACGTAGAATGAGGGGACGATCCTTATTAGAACTAGCCTTGTCGTGCTACGAATATCTCTGTCGTGTCGTTAATATCATCCTATTTTGATGACTCCCCTGTATTAGAGGAACCTGCATACGCAGCCTTGAATTGCACTCTCCTCCTATTTGCGAAAGAATCTCGAATATCTCTGGCGAAATTGATCCCTCGCCCGATAGATAATCTGGGCTCTGCAGAGCCTTTGAATATGAATGGTCATCGGCACGGCGCATCTTCCCATTTGACCCTGGGTTCGAGTAAGCAACGTAGTGACTATCAAGTTTTCCATTGGGGATCATAACGCTTGCCGGTTCGTGGCTTCTAGTGCCTGCACTCTTTCGGGAAGAAGATCCGTGGGAGTCTATCGGCACGCTCCGAGCTGCTCCTTCGTGCTTGTCCATCCAGGAAGTGACCTTGGCTATGTTCTCAGCTCGGCTTCGGCTGATGTGACGATGTTCATGGTTGGGAGGCAGGCCTTCTAGAGACCACTGGCGTACGTCATGTTAGTATATGAAGAATCGAAAGGTACATGTATTCTTAGCTCAAGCTGCGAACTCACATAGGAATCAATGGTAGGAAGGGATGTAGGACTGGGTTGTCTTTGGCGTGTGTTGGTAGGATACGACCAGACAGTACGAGCCTGAGGTCTCGGTTGCGGAGCAAAACCTCTTGGTTTGTAGGATGTGCCATACAGACTTTGAGTTCTGTGAGATTGTGGTTGATAGACAGCAGCTGAGCGTCTGGGCTGGCTGTTTTTGAGTGGACTTTCTTGACGGGGTTGGGGGTACATAAAGCCTTGATGACTATTTGGAGCTGGGCGTGGTGATGAAGAGGATCGCGAATGCTGGGGCTGCTGATTCTTGGCTCGGCCACCCCGTGTGACCTCCAACTTGACGGATAGTCGGAGGAACTTCTTGGTGATGAGAGATGAGAATGGTCCAAGGAAGCCGATATGTTCAACTAGACAAATGCTCTTCAACTAGGTAAATGGATATCACCGGATTTCAGGTCAGTTTCACGCTTAATTGAGAGGTCGATCAAGCTGGATGTTCAACGCGGAAGAAGCAGATAAAAGCAGCATGACTGGGGGCAAATAAGAAGAATGGAGGGCTCTGAATAGAAAGAGCGAGAAGGAGAGTTGCCGGGGGAAGGCAGACGCCCGGCCATGGGAGAAGCAGAGAAAAAGGTGGACTCAAGAACGTTTGATATCATCCATCCTGTTAACGAAGATTCCTTCTCTCTCCGGCTCATCTCCCACTCTCTTTCCAGATTCACCTGGCACCATCCAAATCTTTCTTCCCTCCAGCTCATCCCTTTCCTTTTTGTTTTCTTCACCATCAACAATCCCGCTACAACAATTTGCAACCTTAGCTGAGCGACAAAAGGATGCACAACTCTGACTCGGACGAGATCGAGACCCGCCCAGATGGCGGCCTTGAGCTGGGAAACACCTCCATGAACACCCTGGAAGTGGTCGAAGGGTGTTTATTCTCAATCCTGGTGGGTATGCTTGGCGGCGATTCCTACGTGCTGCCAACTTCTGCTGCTCAACAGATCAACGCGCTTTTCCTCCAGTGCTGGGACAACAATACCGATTCGGCTTACGAAATCCGCGAGAATTTCTTGAAACTGCTCTGGCATATGGTTATTACCTTGATCGAGCAAACTCCTCACACTTATGCAGCTCAGCGTACCATGGTACACCTGATTCTGGAGCTGCAAAAGATACCCGAAGACGAAGCTCGGATCGCGAGTGTGAGTGATCCGCCACGCAGACAGTGTTCTATCATTGAATTGCTGACCCCAGAACAATAGGGAAACTTGATCCTACCATGGAAACAGCTATGCGGTCTGAATTCGAGCATGGAAGACTACCTTCGATGTAAGTGCCACTCTCCAGAGGAATGTACTCACAACTGACACAAGCTTGATTGATACCCAACACAGACAATGGAATCTTTGGTCGCTTCGTCGATGCTCAAGCAGTCGAGAGCTGGACCAATCTCCATGCCTTCACAGCCACTCTGTTCGGTCGAGGACTGATGCACTGGAGATACATAGGCATCATGGTGTTCCACGACACTCTAGAGCAAAACAGCACGGGTAAAAACCAGGAAGCCAATATCCAGGCCATGGCTCAGTGGATCCGCCACGCCGGGGAAGCCATGTTCCTCACATTGCGGCAGCGAGAGCCCATCAGCGATCTACACGGCGTTGGCACGACTGGTGAACTCTACTGGGGAGAAGCTGGATTCTGCCCGGAGAGATGGTCGTTCTGGATCAAGCAGGTGTTTAAGCTGGCACAAGTCGCCCCGGAGCACCTCAGACCGCTGGTACTCAGTTCCGCACACCGGATGGTCGATATTTCGGTTCTGGGCGCCGCAAGTCTCATGTAGAAGAAGGCCGTGGGCTAGTTCGACGCAGTTCTACGAGGCTAAGAGAAAGACCTCAGCGAAATGAGGTGATCACCTCCACAGAAGGGATCTGCAAGGCTTCAGGTCTCGAATTCAAGGATGACAAAAAGCGTGCCATAGTCTAAGTTCGGATTCGTTTGCTGCCTACAATGAGAGGCTGGGATTAAGCCACAGGGCTGTAGTACTAGCTGGAAATCAATACAAATTTTCGAAAAGGCTCCATAGATTCTCTAGCTCTATCTCGGTCTTGATAAAGCATGTCTTAGTCTTCGTATATAGCCCGCACATCACATCAGGTGACCTCGTGTTGTCAATCCAGACGAAGCTCAACACATTCCCCCTCTGCAACAGTCCCGAGCGACCGTCATTTCCCTCCTATACATTCTGGATAAAGCAAGTACTCGAATTCATCAATACTGCGAGTTACACTCCGCGTTATGCAATGATACGCCGCAAAGTCACCGTCGATGGCATGTCAGGCAGCGGGAAAACACGCCTGATCACAGCCCTCGCCGAATGCGCAACGGCCCACTACCACGGCGAAATCAAACCTCGCGAAGACTCCGGTGGCTACCCAAACCCTTTCACGCACATTGAACTCCAAAGTCCCGAGACGCGATCGATCCACTTTTGGGAAGTTTCGTATTCAACGTATGAAAGGCTCACCGTACTCGCGTATCCGAAGACACACCTTGTTCTATTTTGCTTCGCCCTGGATTCCTTCGATGATTCCAGTGTTGTATGGGATGTTGAGGAAAAAGTGGATTATCTGACTTCTCAGGAGTCACACAAGCCAAAAGACGCTCCGCTCGTTCTAGTTGGGTGTCGAAATGACCTGCGAAAGCAACGGGAGGCTGCGAAGGATACGAAAACCTTTACGCAGGCCTCTCAAGAGCTCAGGCGCTTTGCAAGGAAGAAGCATCTGGAGTACTTTGAATGTTCTGCGGAATGTCAAGAGAATCTTGCGGAGCTTCTTCAGGAAGTCATCAGGATTCTTTTCCTCGAACAGAAAGGCTTCACTCGAAGGGACCGAAAGACTGGATTTTCTAAATGTGTCGTGCTCTAAATTGGTCGGAGTTTCTTTGCCTAAGGTGGACCACGAATTAACTTTCATGATTTGACTATGATTGTCATATTTTACGGGTAGTATATGGGAGTCAAATCCGGGTATAATTCCTGAATTTAATCTATGATATGATTGCACTGTACACGATTATTCTTTGAGGCTGACGCTAGACGACGGCTCCACAGACTGTGTCGATGTGCTCGACGTCACTTCAACCTCTACATTAGGCAAAGTCCACTGCATGCCGGGATAAGAGTCACTCATGAGCTTGACGTTCACCCGAGTAACACCACCGCTGGCCAGCGCCATGGATTCAGCAACGGCAGCGCTCGGGAACTTGACGAGCGAGCGCACACTGAGTGGGCCAATGGCCCCCCGGCCCTGACCATGGGAACCACCACCTCGACTAGAACCAGCACCGGCACTCCAGCGAGATTTGTTGTCGCCATTTTGCCTGGAGAAAGTGGGCCATGAAACACGTTTCAGGCCAAGCAACTCGCCATCTGACCCATCGGGACGGGCGCTGCAAACAATGAGGAAGTATCCCTCGGTTTGCGGCTTTGGGAACTTTGGGGCGTAGATGCGATGCTCCGCGTTCGTCGATGGATTGCGACGCGTGATGGACACACTCAACCCCTTAGCAGAAATACCGGCAACGGCGATAGAAACATTCGGCAGTTGGGAAGCCGCTTTGGCGAATCCCGGATGGAGATTGAACTTCTTGGCCAAATCAAACAAGGCAGACTTAGGCTGCGAGGACAGTTTGGCAAGTGAAGATGGAAGGCCTCGCGGCGGGTTTTCAACAGGGATACCAGGCAGACTGGACAGGGGATGATCTTCGGGCCAGCGGGCAGACTTGATGCACTGCAGAAGAGTCACAAACATCTCGCACGCGGGGATATATCCAAGCTCAGCCATGACATCGATAGAGGCTTGGATGATACGAATTCCCTGATCCAGAACTGACGTCTGATCACCGACATAATCGGAGATGGGCAGATCGATGCGAGACATATACGCTTGGAGCAAGAGGAAGGCCTTGACATGAGGATCCCACATGGGGATATCGCCCATAGACTCAGTGGAGAGGGGCAAGTTCTGAGCCAACTCGGCATTGATGAGATCTTCATTGTGACGCACTGGCAGCTCGTCAAATTCGGTGGCAGAGCACATCCAGCTCAGGACATCTTGGAAAGAAGGCTCGCGCTTTGCGTGAGACATCAAGTAGCGAATGGTCTTGTGCGACAAGTAGTAGTAACTCATGATTTTGCCGAAGGGGGTGGAATCAACTTCTCCCGTGGCAGAATCCACGAGCACGCAGGACGACTCCGCCAAGTCATTTAGCGACTTATCAACCAGGTCAATCATAAACTCTTGGGCGGTAGCCTGAGCGGCCATGGTGTTCTGTTCTTCGGCAAGGATCTCAAGGCCATAGTAAGACGGGTTCTTGTGAAGGCGGCGGAAGAAGAATGTCCAAGTCAAGTAGTCAAGCGCATCTTGCTTCGTGCCAATCGTTCCAGCAGAAACCTCAGCGCCCAAGTGGTTGTCCAAGACCTTATGGAGTGTAGACTCGACGGGGAAACCGGTATGCAGGAAATGCTTGTAGAAAGCCTTCTTCGAGTCTTGCGTGAAAATGCGGGCAATACCAGAGTTGTCAAATTGAGGGCGACCGGCACGACCAAGCATTTGAAGAACATCGGTCAAGTCCATATCGCGATAGCCCTCGATTTTGGCATCGAAGAACTGGGTGCCCTTGACTACAACAAGGTGAGCGGGAAGATTGACACCCCAGGCGAGCGTGCTGGTTGCGACCAGAACCTGGATCTTGTTGTTGGCGAACAGCTCCTCTGCCAGCTGTCGATCAGACTCCACCAAACCAGCATGGTGCAACCCAATACCAAAGTTTAGAGCCTCTCGCAGGGCGTCATCCTTGACTCGCGCAAGGTTTAACTCCAAGTCATCCTCCGACATCCGGACAAAGCGACGAGGATTGTCCTCCATACCGCAGTAATTGATCAAGTCCTTGGCAGTAAGACGAGTCTGGCGACGAGATGCAACAAACACGATCACAGGTTTCTCGGGGGAGTGGTTCTTGATAGCCAAGAATGTCGGACGATTCATAGATTGCATCAGAGGACAGAAGCCACGCTGCTCGGGGAAACCGTCGATGTAAATCTCAAGCGGGACTGGGCGGACGGAGTGGCGGAAATTGTAGAGCCCCTCTTTGACACCAAGCCAGTTGGCAAGATCAGTGGCATTTGCACAGGCAGTGGACATGCCCATCAATCTTACAGAGCCTTTGGACTGGGAAGCAATGTAGTTCATACGAGACACGATGATTTCCAAGATAGGACCTCGATCACCTCCCAGTAGATGAATCTCGTCGATGATCACAAGGCTGACCTTGCGTACGTAATCTCTGGTCTGCCAGCTACGAGAGATACCGTCCCACTTCTCAGGGGTCGTGATGATGATGTCGGCATCACGAATAGTGCGCGTGTCTGGGGTGTTGTCACCAGTCAACTCCACAAGTTTCAGTCCCATTGGCCCAGTAAGGCGTTTACGCCAATCTTGGACACGCTCGCGAACCAGGGCCTTCATTGGGGCAATATACACAACCTTGGATCCAGGCTTCTCACGGAACGCCCACCACATGGCCAGCTCAGCAGCCACTGTCTTTCCACTGCCGGTAGGTGAACCAAGGAGGACGTTGGATGGAGTGTGATAAAGGAGATGGAAGATTTGAGTCTGCATAGGGTTGAAAAATTGGAACCGCTGGCCATACACCTCTTCCAAGATTGGGTTCTGAAGGGCAGATATGGGAAGAGGCTGCAAGTTCAACAGGTCGGTGTATACACTTTCCGTGTCGGGGCGAATCAAATGCTGGAAAGACACTGGACTGACAGTCTCTGCGCCAAGCCAACGATCAGAAATAATACGAATGTAGATCTGGCTAGGCAAAGGATCGGACAAGGGAATGGTAAAGTTGAGTTCATGGTCGTCGTAAAGCTTCTTGCGACTGAGAATAAAATATTCATGATGGTAGATCTCTGAAGTCTCAGAGTTCTCAACCCAAACCCAGAATGACTCAGAAGCTCCATGATGGCGGTCGTTCCAGCTGAACTCAGGGTAGATCGATAGACGAATGCGAAGGACATCACGGTTCAGAGGCGCAATTTCTGTCTCAACACTGAGAGTAGGGAAATTATCCAACAGCTTGGTCAGCACCTTGCCCATTTTGTGATTGTGAACGAGCTGTCCGATCTCAGTGGGTTCCATCTCCCGCATCGACTCGATTGAGGATGTGGGTAGTCGCTCGTCTAGGTTTCTAAGCACGGGCTGTGGCAAATCGAATTGATGGAAGGGATGATCGAAGGGCCAGATCTGCTTCTCAATTGATTTACATAGAGACAGCAAGACCTGGCATTGGTAGCCCCAGCGGCGGTTCAGGGCAATCATGAAGAGCGCCCGACAGATACGAGCAGCATTCTGCGCCACGTATCCAGTGTCGGAGACTAGAGCGAAGTCTTCAATCCTGGCCCGGGAAATGTATGATTGCAGTAGGATATTAGTCTTTGCATGCGGCGAGTCGTTTCCTCCCTCAACCTCAGTCTGGATGACTTCATCGCGTAGCCGTTGCAGTTCCTTGGATTCACTTTCGCGGGCTTGGATATTGTCAAATTCACCACTCAAACTGATCATTCTGAGAACATCCGCTTCTCCCGATCGAGGGCGCATCTGATCATTGAAAATCTCAATACTCGTTTGCAACACGTAGTACTGACTCGCAATGCGACCGACATCCTTGGCTTTGAGATCCTCGGTTTTCTCATTGAAGATGATCATCTGGCTTTTTGAAAGCGTCTGCGCAGCTTGAATAATCAACTGTCGCCGTCTTTGTACCAGCATCGGGTCATCACGAAGCTCCGCATATTCAATACCATAGTTTCGGGGCTCGCGTTTCATGCGAACAAACAGATATGAATAGCCCAGCCACTGTACAGCCTCGGAAACGGAAGTCACGGTTCCCAGGGCAATCTCAGCATTCAAGTTATCAACAAGACGGGCCGAAAATCTCGACTCAATCGGTTGCTGTGCAGTCACAGCAGACAGATAATGTTGCAGCTTGTCATGGGTGGTGCAAATGAAACCAATACCAGTATCCTGGAATTGTGGGCGACCAGCACGACCAAAGATCTGCAACACGTCAAGGATACTGAGGTCGACAAATTTACCCTCCTGGGGGTTGTAGAGCTGAGTTCCCTTGATGACTACGGCTGCAGCCGGCAAATTGACACCCCATGCGAGAGTAGCCGTACAGCAGAGAACCTTGATCAACCCCTCCGAGAACATGCGTTCCATAAGGTTGCGGTCACTGCGACTCATACCGGCGTGATGCGTTCCGAATCCGCTGGCAAAGAGATCACGGAGCTCGCGAGCACGGGCATGCTTCATATCCCGAAGCGCGTTGGAGTAATCTTCATGCTCATGACAGCTAAAGAGGTCCTCACAGCCGTCCTCTGCGGCCATTTGCTTCAGCATCCGAGCAGTCATAACCGTATCCTTGCGCGAATGCACAAACACCATGACTTGATGTCCCCTCCCCACCATTTCACGGACCTTTTCAAAGGCAACAGTGTCAATATTTTCCCGGGATTGCTTGGACCCAGGCTTGCCCTTGACTCCGATGAAGTGTTGCTCTAGGGGGACTGGTCGGAAAGACTGATCGAAGAAGAACAAACCGGCCATTTTGTTGACTTTCAGGAAATCTGCCACGTCGACGTAGTTCGGAAGAGTGGCAGACAGGCCGACGATGCGGATCAATGACTGGGTACTCTCCACCTGACGTTGAGTTCGAGCGACCAATGATTCAATAACGGCACCGCGCTCATCGTGGAGCATGTGGACTTCGTCGATGATGAGTAACCGCACCTTCTGCACAAGCTCGGTATCTCCAGTGCTCTTGCGAGTTACTACATCCCATTTCTCAGGTGTGGTGACGATGATCTGAGTCTCCACGATCTCCCGCTTGGTCAATTGCATATCACCGGTAAGTTCCCGAACTTTGATCCCGAGCCAAGCAAGACGCTTTCCCAGCTTCTCGGTGACTTCAGCCGCCAGGGCCTTCATGGGAGCAACATAAACAATCTTAAAATCATCCACTTGAACAATGAATTCCGTCGCATCTGGTTGCTCCAGCGGATTGGGCACAGTATTCTTCCCGACTGCATTGAGGATAGTGAGCATAGCGGCGTCCGTTTTACCAGCACCGGTAGGCGCACAGATGAGCATGTTCTCATTGGTCTTGTAGGCAACTTCATACAGCAAGCTCTGCATGCGGTTCAGAGCCTTGTAACCTTTGAAAGTTCCTCGACAGAGACCGTCCAACCCAGCAATTTCCACCAGCTTTTGGTCGGGCCGCACTGCGCCGACGCTGGAGGCAGGAATTTCAAACTCAGTGTATTTAGGCTCCTCGATCTCTCTACTTCCAACCGGCAGACCATACTTTCTCCCGTTGGCGGAGAGGAGATTGCCAGAGGTATGAAGCTTGAACACATGCGGGTATTGAGGTTCAGAACGAGTCTGAGCCGCCATCAAGGGTGCGTGCTTATGCTGGAAGTCACGCTCTCGCAGCGCCTGCTCTCTTTCCGCTCGGGTCTGCAGTCTTCCCGCGGCAAGCCCATCTGTCTGCGCCTCCACCCGTTGTGGCTTGTCTGATAATATCTCCTCCCGATGAGCGATGAGCTCAATGACAAGATCCAAGTCATCGAATCCGACAATTTCGGCGAGAGACATTTGCAGCTCCGCATCATCACTATCGGTGGCCAGCGTGGCAACAATCTGTTGAGAAAGCTCCGCTGCGTCCGTGGCGGGGTTGCGTGTCGCGACCTCGAAACATTTGGTGTCCAACCAGATCCGATCGTAGGGCGTGAATTGAGGCAGGGAAACATTGTTGAATTCGTTAAAGTCGTCTAGACCGCTATCTGTCTCGTCGTCGGAGCTGATAATATCCCAAACATCATCCACATTTCCGGGTGAAGAGTATTCGTCGTCGATATCCAAATCTATGTCGCTTCCATAGCTAATCGAATCGTGGGGGAGGTCTTTCGGGAGCTTCAAGTCGGCAATAGCCTGGCGCATCGCGGCCAGCTGAGAAAGCCATTGCGACTCAGTTGCTGCTATATTGTCCATGATTACGAGTAATATGGCGCTTGTTCAGATATGAAGGAAAATTGAAAAGAGAGAAGAGGTTCGAAGGATGGCGGGGGCCTAAGTCATCAGTCAACGGGGTCCCAAGAAGGAAATAGGGCTCCGCTGCAGGGCTCGACCGGTCGGCTGGGCGGTGTGGACTCTGCTGCCTCAGGCTGCCATTGCGGAGACCCTGTGCCATCATCGCGGCTATCAGGAGTTGGCCTCCCCAGCTCATCCCGATTCCCGACCTCCTTGAGTACGACCACGAGCAGCTGACGCTTTGAGTAATAATCCTTCAGCCTAGTACTCTGACACAAGCGGGGTTATTACACAGGACATCTATCTTGCCCACGTCTCTCGCGCTCATCATTCACCGTTCTTTGTGCGAGCCTCTCGACCTTCCCCGCCACCATGAAGGTTCTCTATATGGGCGTATGTGTCTTCGTCGAAATGATTTCCGGGTTGATTCTCTCGAACACATGAGCTTACATTTTGCTTCTCAAATAGGTTCTCCGGAACGACACTCAGCCTGCGCTCCAGCTATGCGGAGAAAAGGACCTGACCAGGTAAGTGTTTATGTCGGTCGCGAACTTCCAGTGAACAACATACGAACTAACTGCTCCATAGCTTCTCTCGATTCACCCGCCAAAAGTATGCCTATTCCGATTAGAAGCCCATCATTCCACGTTGTTAACCACCGCGATACCACAGCTATGAGGAGTTCATGATGCTTTTCACCAAGACGGTCGCAGAGCGCACGAAGCCCGGCCAGCGTCAGGACATTGAGGAGAAATCGTACACATTCCACGCATACGGTCGGACTGAGGGTGTCGCCGGTGTCATCGTTACTGATGGCGAGTATCCCGCGCTTGTCGCGCACCAGCTCCTATCCAAGATCGTGGACGAGTTCCTCGCCAAGCACCCTCGCACATCCTTCTCCGACCCCTCCCTTCGTGAGAACGCATGCCCGTTGCCTCAGTTAAAGGAGTATATTGTCAAGTACCAGGACCCCAGCCAGGCAGATAGCATTATGAAGATTCAGCAGGAGCTGGACGAGACTAAGATTGTGCTGCACAAGACGGTACGTTGTTGGCCGGAAACGGGTTATCCACGGAGTTCTTCCCTGTATATTGATACATTATGTGACTCGAAGCTAATTCCCACGCATAGATCGAGAGTGTGTTGGAGCGTGGTGAGAAGATTGACTCGTTGGTTGCCAAGAGTGACGGTCTCTCCGCCCAGAGTAAGATGTTCTATACCCAGGTATGTTTTGACTTTCAAAGACCTGGACCTCATTTACTAATGCCCTTCTAGGCCAAGAAGCAGAACTCTTGCTGCGTTGTTATGTAGGCTCCTATTCGTGTGGTTTCCACCCGACAGCGACAATATTTTTCTCTTGGGTTCAACTTTATTCACATAATCAAACCGTCATGCTATGCATTTGCTGTTGTTGTGTAATTTCTTCGATATGCCGCTGCCTCGGGCTTCTTTTATTGCCCTCTCTGTCCTGTCCTCTCGTGAGGACTGGGGCTTGCATTGTTTCCTACCACGATGATCACGCGACCGTTGTTTATAGATGCTGCACACAATGAAACAAGTTTCCAGTACTTCTTTTCCAAACTTGGGCACCTACTGTCCCCGGTCATGGTCATGTCTAACACTCGACCCGCGATCCGTTTCTTGTTGAATGATTAGGATCAGATTCACGAAAATGCCACTATCATGTCTGGGGATCATACACGTGGAATTGAGCTGAGTGTTAGGACCTAGGTACTGGTCCCCCTAAGCCTAACGAAGCGCGCTACTAATATCGGTCCTAGGCATGCTGGTCCCAGGCATGCGAGAACATAGCGTTCTAGCATATTTGGTCTCTTTGACCTATTGAGCTAGTGCGCCTGGGCACATGTCGTAACACTGACGCTGAGAATGAAGCAGGTATCAATACTAAAGACAATTATAAATTCCCACATCCATCTCTTACCATGTGGAAATTTGCTCGACCTATTCATAGATGTATTACCAAGAGAAGTCACGATGCCACTTTCGGTGTTAACGGTAAGGTTGTGGCAGTGGAGTTGATCAAAAATATATTTCCAGCCTTACAATATGTGCATGCACGTCCATGAACATATGTCCACAAATGAACTAGAATGAAACCCTCGGAGTGTCGAATCTCAATCTCTAACCCTGACACATCATTATCCTCGTCAATTTTGCGATTGCTTTGAATTACAGGCCCCGCGACCGTGGTTTCTTATACTTCCTTCGTCGAGGGTCTCCAGCGGTCGCCAAAGAAAAGTAACTTCCATTAACCATAACTAGGCTCCACCTAGTACTTGGAGAAAGCGAGATTTTCATCACAAATGTCGATCAGACTTACTATAGCGCAAGTGAATATTACTTATAGCAAGGGTAGTGTCACCATCGAAATTTCAAAGGACACATAGTCTCCTGCCTGCTCGTCCCCCAGGTCAAAATCGCAACTAACAGCAAGCTGTCCGTTGGCCGACTCTGATGAACAGGTATGACCTCCCAATGCTGTGTTAAAAGTCAAACTCACTCTCCTTTCGATACAGCAGGGCTTGACAATACATTTCTTGAACTTATGTTAAAAGATATGGTGATTTTAAATAGAATCCAGTTGATTCTGTAGCATTGAATATAGCTACTGCACGACTGGAACGCATATCTGATAGCGTTTTGCAACAAGATAGGGGTGATTTGAATAATCTGTTGAATCAAGTGTAGACTGCAACAGTATTCCACCACTTTCGAGTAAGCACGCCCCTTGCCTCAAGATATATATGGCGCATCGAGGTCAATTCACGTTTAGGATTTCTCAGTCGCTTTCACAACAACAGGGAAGTCACCACTCGGGGCAGTATCGTCCAGAGTCCAAGTAAGACCATAGACACCGGTGAAGTTTGTAGACTTGGCCCAGAACTGCGCTTCAAGAAACGTATTGTTGTTGTAGACTAGCTGCGAGGCAAACAGAGCAAAGCCCGATACCGTTCCATTCAGGTAGGCGATCCTAGTCATCGGCAGAACTCCAACGGGGTAATCGTTCTCGGGCATGATATACATGGAGCCGGCACCGGTGCCGTTATTGAAAGTTGCGTTGGCAATCCAGCATTGGCCAGTGATAGAAGCCAGGTCCCAGGTCAGGGGAGTCAGGTTGGCGTTGCTGTTGCTGGGATCTTCAGCAATGTAGAGGAGACCTACGATTGAGATTGATGTTAGAAATGTTCTGACAACACAAGCATTTCTATAAATTTACCATCATCGAGTCCATAGGCAATAGGCCAGTCGGTAGAATTGGTACCATAAGCAGAAAGAGTGGCGTTTGACTGTCCGCCCCGTTTGACGTGCTGATGGAAGGCCAGTCCGGTAACGATCTGAAAGAATAGAAGAGCCAAGACGGACTTTGGATGCATTGTAGAGAAGAAAAATGTCCAACTGGTGGGACAAGAAAAATGATAAATCAAATGATAGGGGGTTGACAAGCTAAAAGACTGTCAAGATTGAAACGAGAGGTGCGTGTCTGTTTGAGGGGAGTGTCGCTTGTAAAACCTACACTGCAGGCGATATTGCCTTGAGATGAGACAATAAACAGTCAGTGTCCGAATTCGCTCTATTGCAGAAATAGAAAAGAAGTAACAAAAAGGGCCAAAAGCTTCTTGCGCGATTTATCCAAAGTTGATTCGAATCGCGCAAATCTGACACTCATCAATTCTCGAACCATCCCATCACCCTCCCCCCCAGCGGTTCTCAGCATAGCTTGCGCAGATAGAGATCCATCCGCGGCACTAGATTTAAAGTCGGCGACTGCCATTTATGCCCTGGCGTACGTAAACATCGCTGATCGAACTAAGACACGCGACAGTGGAGCGGCTATACACACAAGCCTCGTACTATGAGTGGGTGGCTGGCGATCCTGCTCCACCACGGAAGTCGTGGCTCATTTGGGGGAAAATTGAGTTCAGGTTTCCACATGCTTTATCCTCCCATTAGAAGCGATGCCGTTGTTCAGCTATCGCAGGGCAAAGTATTGCTTTTGACCCAAGCCTACTGATTCCTTCTCAATTGAATGTGACTAGGCGGGGTATCGGACGAGTGTGGACCTTGGAAGCGATCGTTAGTCTGCGCAGATCGTAGCTGGCATGCGCGGCCGATTGAGACTATAATAGAGTGGAGATAGATTCGTAAACTGTTCCACATAAATCCTGTTTAACCTCGATACGGAACGTGGAAAAGGCCACTGCTGAGCTTTGGATCGTCTGCCGTTCATGAAGTCTTCCTGGAGTACGTCCCCGTAGTACTATAAAGAACTGTTTGAGGTCTTCAACCGAGACACATTACCAAGACCTCATACTGGGACAGAACTTGCCACGACCATACCGCACTTCCTATGTGCCGGTGGCTAGAGGCTGTGCATCCTCCGAACCTTATTTAGAACCTGGGCTTTAGTCAGAAGACTTGGAAATCTGCCTCCGGACTCGAAGAAGTTTGCGGAAAAAGATTAAATCCTACTTTAAGAGCTTTATGGATCATAGGGCTGTCTGGGCTGAAAGGAAGATTTAGCCGCTCAAAAGAGCGATCGCCAAACTAAATAAAGATTGAATCTCCACCGAAGTTGACTTTCTGTGGCTATAGAAAGCCAGAACCAGGCCATAATGCGAAGATCTCTAGCTGTGGGGTCACATCTTTGCAACTATCGATGGCATGACGTGGATCAAGACTACGTTACGAATTATCTGGATCCTTTTCCTGATTGTATAGTACCAGGCCGACCCATTAGCCCTGGCAGGAACTAGGACGGGCATTAAGTATGACCCAGTCAGGACAATTGAAGCTTCCATCAATAGCATCTTGTTTCTATCCTCCTCTTTCCAATTCTTTATTTCTACCACTGTAGTGGTCGTCACTACAGTTATGCGTTTCCTTTCCCTTGCGTTATCGTCTCTTGTTTTATTTCCAGGCGTCTTCGGGGCTTCAGCTCTGTCTTCCAAGCACACCAAGCATGTGAGACAAAAAGGTTGCAGCAACAGCCCCTCAAATCGGGCGTGCTGGAGTGACGATTTTGACATCTCTACCAACTACTATGAGAAGGTGCCTGATACTGGCGTGGTGCGCGAGTACTGGTTCAATGTTGAAAATACCACTGCGGCCCCAGATGGCGTTGAAATGCCGGTTCAACTCATCAACGGTTCTTTTCCGGGCCCAACCATCATAGCTGATTGGGGTGACACTGTCGGTATGATCATTCGAGCCTCTCTTTCGTGAAAATCCCCCGGCCGAGACTGATGTGTGACAATAGTTGTGCATGTGAAGAACTCGCTACAGAACAACGGCACCGGTTTACATTTCCATGGTATTCGTCAGAACTGGACAGATGCCATGGATGGTGTGCCGAGCATTACTCAATGCCCTATTGCACCGGGGGATTCCTTTACTTACCGTTGGCGTGCAGTTGAGTATGGCACTGGCTGGTATCATTCTCATTTCTACGTCCAGGCTTGGGACGGTGTCTTTGGTGGAATTCAGATCAACGGCCCAGCAACCGCGAATTACGACGTCGATCTGGGACACGTCTTTTTAAATGATTGGTATCATGTAGGTACACATGTCCCTATCAGTTGGGTGATTCGAGAAAACGGACAGGGTATGTGCTAATGGCTGCAGACTACCGCTGATCAGCTCGTCCTTCAAGCGGCTACTGGAGGACCCCCCACAGCCCCAAATGGTCTTATAAATGGAACGAACACCTGGGGAACCCAAGGTTTTCGCTTCTCCACAGCCTTTGAGGCTGGTAAAAGATACCGAATGCGCCTGGTTAATGCCGCGGCTGATCAGCATTTCCGTTTCATGATTGACGGACACCAGCTTGAGGTCATCGCGACTGACTTTGTACCAATTGTGCCCTACAACACAACGAACCTTAGTATTGGTATGGGCCAGAGGTATGATGTCATTGTCACGGCAAAGCGATTGACGAGCGGAAATTTCTGGTTAAGAGCTATTCCTCAAACAGCTTGCTCAGAGACCGATGCAACCGACAAGGTCAAGGGTATCATTCGGTACGACAACTCTTCCACTGCGGACCCTACCACCTCGGCCTACAGCTACACTGACTCCTGTGCGGACGAGGAACCATCTAACCTTGTCCCCTATCTTCCCATCGATGCCTCTAGCACTTACGCCTACAGCAAGGAGGAGAACGTCGAAGTTCAAGTCACTGACAACGCCCTCCTATGGCTGATGAACAAAACTTCATTCCACACAGAATGGGAATACCCGTCTCTACTCCAAATCTCCGAAGGTAACCGGACATGGTTGGATAAGCAGCGCGTCATTCACCTACCTGGTGCAGACGAATGGGTATACATGGCTATCCATTCCCCTTTTGCCCAAGACCACCCAATGCATCTTCATGGACATGATTTCTGGGTTCTCGGCTCTGGATATGGAAATTTCGATTCGTCCATGACCAATGGCCTCACCCTAGTCAACGCCCCCCGAAGAGATGTTGTAATGCTGCCTGCGAGCGGATATGTGGTGATTGCCATCAAGACTAACAACCCTGGTGTAAGTCTTCGACGAAGTATTTCAAATATCGAGTTTATTAATAATGTCGATGTATCTATAGGTCTGGCTGATGCATTGTCATATTGCGTGGCACACTTCTGAGGGTTTTGCCGTTCAAATTTTAGAGCGAATCACGGACATCACATTTGATCACGACTCGCTTAACTCCACTTGCGCAAATTGGAAGAGCTATGTCGCCGCGAAGGATGTCAACCAGTATGACTCGGGTGTTTAAGGATAATGGATGATGAGGGAAAAAGAAAGGACTGGAGGTTCCATTCCAACACTGTTTCCGTGTCTATTATGTTCCTCCTTTCAATGTATCTATTTTTGTTCTCGATCAGCAGAGCGCTAATTACAAACTTTGACAAAGAATTTCGTCCAAACTGGAGTATATAAGATATTTGAATATGAAGTATAGACAGCGACTCATTGGTTACTGAATCGTTATCAAAACCACGAAGCAACAAAAGCAACGGCGATTGCCCCACAAGGTAGCAATCCGGTTCATTTAGCCGGCCACTCCGTCGCGACTGAGGCTCTGCAGGCCCCTCCTTATGTTGATCGACCAAGGCTAGAAGCATGAGAGAACCAATCAATACCCGCAGATGCAGCCAAATAGGGAAGTTCAAAGATGTCAAATCCGGACGCAGGTAATGCTTCCAATCACATTGACTCCGTCCCCGGTCGTCCATGCTTAGCGAGGGACATTTGGGGGCCGCAAAGGCTTGGCAGGGCCCTTTTTAAGGGGTTTGATGGGGGCGACGAGTCGTACAAACGTGCTATTGGCTAGATGATACCTTTGACTGGGACGCCATCGGAACTAGCTTAGAATCGGTCTGGTCTGCCGGATGGTGCCGCTTAAACCAAGAATAATAATTAACAAGAAAGTGAATGTCACCCAACCTGCTTATAGCTGGTCGGAACCCCCTCCCCCAGACAAGTCGCTTTATTCTCTGGGGTTCCTCGGTCTTTCCGCTTTTCGTTCAAACAGTCACTCGTTTAAGACAGTCATTTATTCAAAGCAGTCATTCTTTTTCATATCACAACCAAGATGCGTGGCTCCAAGATCGCCCAAGTGATGGCCCTGGGACTGGCCTCGGCCACGTTAACAACAGCAGCAGCAGACGATGCGTCTTATGACGCTTCGCTGAACTTCCGACCGGGTAATGTGACTTTCAGCGATCTGTATCATTGGGTTGGATCGTGAGTTTCACAATGTGCCCTGACACCACGTCCCGCTTCTTACACGCCGCAGATATTATAATGGTTCCACGACGATCGAGATCAAGTCCTTTGGTGGAATCGCTGCGCAGGAAGAAGGGACCGAGGACACGACCTGGTGCCCGAACTTGAAGGGAAACACCTACAGCAGCAAGTTTGATACAATCCTTGGACTCACAGAGCGGGGCAAATACAATGCTGGCAGCAACCCCCTCAACGTTGTCCTGACCTTGTGGGACCCGGACTTCAATTTCAGTGTGTTGAACGCAAGTGAAGAAATTACGGATCTACCGTGGGACTGGGCGCTTTTCTCTTCGTTGTATGTCAACAGGTATACATGCTCTGGTATCTACTAACGACTGTCATAGGCCTCTAGATTCCTACAATGGCTCTTTCACGGAACCGGATCTCTTCGACCTCACACTCACCGAGACCGGAAAGGCACCCTACAACGTTTCGAGTACCTTCACCCAATATGGCAGCGAAAGCACGTTCGATACAACTTACCCGATTGTGTTCAATATGACATCCTGCAATGGAACCCAGGCCATTGATTGGTCTGCATACATGATCTCCAACTACTACTGGCCAAGCATGGGATCCAATTTTTCGTATCCAGACCCAACTTTTGACATTGTGTTTGACGACAAGACTGCCAACCTGAGCCTGAATGCTTACATTCAAGCCATCCAAGGCTGTGAAGATAGGCCTACAAACCAAGATTTCTGCGAGGCAGACACGATAATCGAGGCTAAGATGACAATTACGTTCGAGGGAACGATTGACTCTTATCATTCAGATGAGCTGGAAACCAATGGCTCCAAGCCTTCTTGGCTCAAGACAGTTGGCTTCAACAACAGTACCAAAACAACTGGAAATAGTACTACTGGCAGCGGCAACAGCGACAAGAAGAATGCCTCCAGTGGTCGTCAATACCCGAGCGCATTCCCACTTGCCGCCGGCATCATCGCAGTTCTATTTTCTTCTCTGTACATTTAGCCGCAACACAATACAGTACTCAATGCGATCGCCAAATATTTGTCCTTCTTGGACGCCTCCCGCGTCAGCTTAAGACAAACTACTCCTTTATTATATTGAAGCGCCTTCCAAAGTAAAGCTGTTCCACGCTCTTTGGACTCCGGCAGAGACTATAAGGCACTCTTGTTGCTCCGGCAATTCTTGTGGTAACATTAGCCCGGCGTCTATCAACGACGAGGCCAGTTCTGATGTCTTTTGAGGCACAGAAAAGCATCCACGGTGCAATGGAGTGGCCTCTGTGGTTAAAATGCAGCCCAGAGTTGAATAAAAGCCCATTTTGCGGACAAGGGGTTTGATATCTTCGATCGCCCTGAGGTTACGATAATGACGGTCTCGTCCGTACCCAGAGATCAGAGCCAAGGGAAGTGTTGCTCTGAGTAGCTTGTGATGACACCAAGTCCTGAATTGAACACAATTCGGTATGCAAGATCTGGAACTCGGCCCTTGACCATCCAATTATCGCATTTGTTTTCATTTTCCCCGACTTTACCTTCAAAGTCAAAGCCCATTCCGATCTGAGTTACGGACAAGATTTATGACAGATAGCCTATTCGCATTGTAATAGAAGTCAGGGAACTTCTCAACCGTGAATGTACAAGGAATTACTTCGTCTCATATTGAAGATGTTGAATTCGGATGCTTTGGAAACGGATTGAAACTTTGGCAGGAAAAATACACATAAAGATGCGAGGGTCAAACAATTTCAAAGGTAGCTAAGTACTAAGATAGTTCTATCTTACTTCAGTTCAGAGATGTTTCTGGACCTAGTGATTTATGTACATGTCACGAACCCTAAACACACCCGCACAGAGCAATATGCCCTCTGTGCCGTTGCCCGTTCAGCCTACAAATTCCGTCAACAAGGAGCAGAACTTACACTGGGCTCGCAATCAATGATTCTCATGATTGGTCAACCAGGATACAGCCAGCGCAGTGCACCCGGTTTGCAACTTTAGCTGACCTAGTATCGTAATCAGAAATTCCAAGAAGCCATCAGTCACACATTGAGATCGAAGCCGATCAAATGAAGACATATTCATGGAAGAGATCACATTTATCAACGAGTGGTATTATCAGTTGATATGAGACTAGCACTTTACGCCCTTGCTGCCCGATTCGCAGCACCCACATCTTTTACAAAAACCACATCACTCCTCCACTGCTTGAACGAGCGCGTCGGGAGCTTCAGTGCAAACATGCGATCAATCTCCATAGGCGACCGACCCTTCATTTCAGGCACAGCGAACCAAGTCGCTACGACCCCGACTGCTGCGAATCCCGCCATGACAAAACCCGTCTTCGCTCTCAGGTTACCTTTATCTGCATTGTAGATATATGGCAAGATGATAGAGAACACCCCTGAGGCAATGCCACTGACAAACCAGCCAATACCTTGGGACTTGGCACGGAGCTGTAGTGACGACGTCTCTGCAGCCACAACATGCGATGCGGGCCAGATTCCCAGGCCGCAGACCATGGTAATAACCATCATAGTGACGGCAGTATACCTAGGTAGTAGACTGTTAGAGATGTTCCAACTGGACTATGGATATGTTCTTAACAGATACTCACCAGATAGTCACCACACCCGCGAAGCATCCCGCGATGCCCATTGCGAGCCATAGAATCATAGACGTGCCAAGAGTTACAAGGCAAAGGAAGCGTCTTCCAAATCCATTGAGCACCCACAAACTGACCACATTGGCAATCAAGCCAAGTCCAATGCCGAGAATTAAGAATATCAGACTGTTTGTGGATCCCATCCCAACAATTTGCATGAAATAGGACGCACTCGCTAAGAGCTGCAGGCCAAACAGCTGAGGCAGAGCGCTTGCAAATGCAACGATTAGCGTTCTTCTCTGATGAATACTCCTAAAACAATCCATATAAGTCTGTGTCTTTCTCTCTTCCTCTTCAACCAAGATCGATGTTCGAATTTCGTCAATAATAGCTGCCGAATCGATGTTCTTCGTATCGAGTCGTTTTTGAGCTTTTAGTGCTTTGTCCAATCGTCCCCTCCTGACAAGCCATGTTGGGCTTTCGGGAAGTAGCGCAGCCAGTATAAAAGGAACGGCTGAGAAGGGCCACTGGGTCGCAAAACATATCCGATAGCTTGTTGGACCCGTATGCTTGAGAGAAGTGTAGACGACAATGGACCCGAGTAATTGGCCTAGTAAGGTGAAAATGGGGAGAAAGGCGATGATCGGTCCTCGTAGCAGCACTGGCAGAACCTCGGACATATAGGTCTGCACGACACAAAGGAGTATACCAATACATATGCCCTGGAAAAGCTTTCCACCCAAGAAGACACCCCTTCGTGAATCCATATCGTCTGGTAAATCCGCAACATAGCATATGGCGACCGCTATGGCGGATAGGAAACTTCCTGTTGCGAGCGCTAGGCGGCGTCCTCCGCGATCTTGAAAATGTCCACCGAATATTGCTCCGATCATCATCCCGATGGGACTGGCCGCGTTCCATAACGAAAGCCACATCGACGGGATGATATACTTGGTACCGAGCTGCTCTCCAAAGCGATGTCTTTCGGTGGTGAGACTAGAGTGATCAATAGTTAGGCCGGAAACTTACTGGAATGCTGGCATCGCGGAGACGTTTCCCACGATGACAAGATCATATCCATACAAAAGGATGGCAGAGCTCAACGCCAGGTTGTATGCGACAACTCTGCGCCATTTCTTCATCGATTGCCACAGGGGCACATGAGCTGCCCGCGGGCTATCGTTCGTATCTGTAGGAGAAACATTCTCGATAAAGTCTTCTGGATGTTTTGTTCCAGTGTCTTGCATGGTAGAGCTCAAATGAAGGTGATGTGAATACTCTACCAGCAGTGACTACCCGGATTCGATCAATAATATAGGATCGCTTGCACAGCACGGGCATTGAAGGGTGGACAGGACAGGATCGCCGAGGCTTCTGTTATGGAATGTAACATGAGCTTGGGCTGGATGCAAACTTTATCTCTAAGCGAGGACCAAGGACAGACTCTAAAACCAATTAAATAACCTTAAGCAAATAGGAGGCGCCATGACAGGTACTCTGCATCTGGGTCTGCAACAAATTTGCCGATTGAACCAATCACTATGCCTGATGGTGGCTCACCCCGCATGACTGCATGACTGCCAAGTAACCGGCTACCTGCCATAGATGGCTAAAGATAAGGAGAGGCGATGAGCCCAACTTCAGCTCAGATTGCGGGGGATCTAGTGGGGGGTTTGCGGGGCTGAGTCCCGCTTCATACTCCAGGTTTATAACCTTGGCGCCAGCCAGAGTCGGTGTTTACAACCCAATCGCACGCAAATGTAGAAGAAGATTTGCAAACCTACTAAAGCTAGACGCAAAAAAGCATGGCGGCCTCCAGCAATTAATGTGACACGGGTCAACTTCGGCACGGGTGTCAACCTCGTCTGGGCAAGGGGTCCAAGCGACAGCGGGCAAGTTCCATGATCAGATGATTATATATTAGTTTAAACTACCCAAGCCACACTGCCTTGGAAGGCCACGAAAGATGTACTGAAGTCTCATTCCCGCTATTCTTATCTGCAGACATGAGGGGGTCTCACTCACACGACAGTATCACTCACGGTTTTGAACATAATTAACTTGCACATCCCTCTCAAGCCCATCAACCATCTTCGGGGGTATTCCCTGTTGCCATCAAGGGCGCAGTTCCCGATCGCAGCCGCTTTTCCTTCCTCCGCTCTAATGTCTCAAGGTCATCTCGTAACTTTTCAATTTCCTCATCCAGCTCGGTCATCGTAGCAAGGCGGTACTTCAGTGTCAAAATTGCAGCCGAGATCAAAAGCAGCCCAAAGGACACCAAGTACGACCACTGCCCGACCTGTGAGGGACTTTCTTGAGCAGGGCCGTCATTGTATATAGTCCACTCGGCCCAGGCCACAAAGGCAAGAATGGTAAAGGGGCTAACGATCATGCTGAAGACAAGACCGAAGAGAATGAGAAAGTCCGCTGACACTCGCATAAAAGCTTTCAGGAAAGTCATGCTGAAAAAGGATCGGAAGTGATTCGATCTTGATGTTTCGCCATGGCTGAGTTCGGCCTCTTTGTGTACTAATTCCTCCTTGGCTTTCAAGCGAGCAGTTTTCAGTTCTCCTTTGAAGCTGTTCCAGATATTTCTCCTCTCTCGCCATATCACCATTATTTTAGCGGATGGAATGCGCGACCGGTAGGGAAGAAACTTGAAGGTCAAATGGACCAGGTTCAACACGAGGCAGAGAATGATCAGGCTGTAAATATACCGCCTCGAGTAGATAAGTCTGTCCCAGAAACGTTTCGGATGGGCAAGTTCAGTGTCCTTGCTCGCCACCCAAGATTGCAATGATGTCGACTGGCGAAGTATTTGTGACGAGTTAAAACACGGATTGTAGCAGATATCTCCAATGAGATTCCATCTAGTTGCATTTGAGAAAGTTTGCCACACGCTGTTATTCCAAGTGGATGTCCTCCAGGAGGATTGCCAGCCGTCACTAGATGTGGATTCATAAGGAGGGAGATCTGGGTAGCAGAACATGTACTGCGTGGGTGTTTTGGATTTGTTGGCCGCGTAGACCAAAGCGCAGATTGAGCCTGCGAGCATCAGGAGATTCCATAGGTAGAACAGGACGTTTCGAGCTCTTTGGTGTGTCAAAATGCGAGACCAGCACTGGAGAGGTAAAAAGACGAGGTACCCCGTCACCACGATAGCAAGGACCGCATCGCCATCCAGCTCGAGAGACGCGGGCTGGATCATGACCTGGTTCGTCTCCGTGATTAACTGAGGGAAGTCATCCCATAGAGTGGTATTATACGAGACCACTGGGATAGTGACTGGTGCTGGATCTGGTCTCTTCTGTTCACCGGCTATCAGAATGAATGCCTCGATTGCAGCAGTACCTGCATATGTGGCGGCAGCTCCCAGGAAGACATCGGCGAGCCATCCTGTCCAGCGTGTCACACAGCTCGCAATCAAGAGGCCGTAGAAGAGATATCTTGGGCAAGAATTATATATTGTGCTAATCTCGTAGAAGCACAGGGCCTCTTGGGCAATGAACAAGGGCCCGCTAGCGTTCATGAAGGACTGTGCCGCACACCCGACGGCTACCACATCGAAAGATCGTCAAAAGTGACTTTTTCTCCAATAAAGAGACTAGTGAGAATCTTTCATTGGGAAGGAAGTTTTAGAGCGGGCTTTATCGTTATTTAATTGGTAAGTTTTTTTCCCACTCTCTTGCTGCTGCCTTGAGTGGGGCCAAGATGGGAAGCGCTCCAGTCCTGACGTCAAGTACTTTTTGCAGCGATCGCCAACTTTAGATCTTCCAAACCTTAATGTAGATTTTGCCAGGCATACAAATAAATACTACGGCTCTTTATCCCTTTCCCCCTGATCCGTTGACTGACGCCTCGTGACTTTTAGACCTTTTCACGGAGTAGAGACCGAACACTTGGACGGCATATTTCCTCCCTTGCTCGCGAATCCCTCCAACAAGGGCTCCCCTGGATGTTTCCAGGACCAGCGTTCGTGGTCTGCCATCTTCCAAGGTACTCTGGCCTGTGTCAGGGTATTTTCCCATCTTTCTGGTCGAGATAGTTTAAACAAAGGATTCCCCCCAATCGTTTGCCTAGAATATTTCCATTTGTGCGCGGCGATCGCCGTCACTCTATCTGACGGGCATCTCCACCGAGCGGTCGCCCTGGCATGAGTATGAGTCCACTGAAGAAAATTGCCTAGCCGGAAGAAAAACATATACTGGACTAGAGGAACTGGCTATATCAATCATCAAAAATCTGGTAGTGAAGCTCTAAAACCGCTTTCCACCTCTAGTTCGGAACGAATTTCTCGACCAATTCTCATTCCACCGAATATCCATCAATTGTAACATGGTTTGGTCGACTGGGCCGATGAAGGTCTCCCACAAACAATGTTCGATTTAGCCATCCATGACTTCCATCCGCCACCTCAAATCGTGGATTCGTCCTAGCATACCACTCCGACTCTTGCTTGCTTCCAGAAGAGTCATCGCCAGCTGAGTTCGGGTTCTTTTCGAACTTTCGTATCCACCCCTCGTTGGTAACACTAATCAACGCCCCATCGTCGGCCTGGATAGTGTATTTGGCGAATACATGGCCCATACCATCATCTCGAAGAATGTTCCAATCTCCACCACCTGAGAGAATGGTAGCTCTGAGCTTGGGACCCTCGACAGTTCCACCGGTGATTGGGATGAATCTTCTGTAACCGCAGTGGGTGATCCCGAAGTCTTGCGCTGGGGAAAGGTCGACCTCGAGGGTAAAGGCAAATTCAAGGGTGGGAGCCATGGTGTAAATCGAAGATTGTGCACTAGCAGCAAGTCAAAGGAATGACCGAGGACTCGTCTTCAAGCAGGAATTCCCATCTGCGTGAAAATGAGGGGTTCGGGAGACGCGGACAGCCGAGGGATACTAGGGCCTTTTAAAGGGGCCGTTGCTCATTAGGATTTGCACCATGATACGTCTGTCCTACAAGCCATCTTCTACCGTCAGCTATAAACGGTCTCTCACTCTTTCACTCGGACATACACTACGCGCTGTCCCCTTACGTGCATTCTCCAATTGCCTTGACCAAAATACACGGAAACCCTCCTTTCTGGCCCCATTGACACGGATTGAGCGTAGATAACTCATTAAGTAGACCCACGCTTAGCTGAGAGGGTACTGTGTAATCCATGTTGTATGATATAGTATCTGGGTATTGTGCCTTCCTCAAAATTGCATTTGCTTGCATATCAGGATTACACCCTAATGGGACCTAGACCGTACGAGCGGCCTGTTACGGAGGCCCTGGACTAAATGTGATATGCTCCATGCATGGTGAAGGCAATTTTGGAGATGTCTTTATATGTAATCCAACCATTAGGCGCAGACTGCAACACCATCAGTCGACCCCACTCATCATACCAATGCGTGTACCAATCAATGAGTGGTCGAAGCACTTGCCGCAGGAAGGACCACCGCGGCAGCTCCAAGAAACAAAGTCAGCCCAGAAAAAAGCTTTGCGCGTGCAGGACCGACTGACCAGTTTGCCTAACACCAGTACATTTGGCAATCATGAATAACTAGTCGACTTCTTGAAAACAAAAAGACTCCAGCAAGAAATATATCGCGCACGTGTCTCTTTCCAGACAATTTCCCTTTATTCTCTTAGCTCGAGTTAGTATCATTTCCCATAGTTGCTCCTTATCCCCGTTGTCTTTGTCTCCTCATGGAACATACATGGTTCAGACAATCATGTGGACCTATTCCTAAGGTCCCGTCCCACATATAAACACAAACGACGAATGTCCAGTCCATTATGCTATGCTATTTATGGTTTCGTTTGTCAAATATCTCTAGGGTCCGTTTCTTAAATTACCATACGAAACCCAACGGACGCATGGAATACAACTAAAATTACGTGATATCGAAGTGGTGGATGTATAATTCTGTAGATGCGTGATGGAGACGTGAAGCAAACGTACCGCGAAAACAGCGCGTGGGGACAAGCAGATGTCTGATCGTGGTAAGGCTCCAGGGGAAGTGAGAGATAATTCAACATAAGAGCTCACATCCCCAAGTGAACGACACTTTTCCCACTTTTCTTGCCACGCTATCTCCATCTCTCCTCATACTCATCTCTCCACCTATACACGCGAAAACCACCTCCCATCTACCGCAATGGAATATCCACAGCCGCAAGCCCGCCCCACGGCTACTGCAATGAAGGTTGCCAGAATCGGGGTGCGGGGATCTCCACCGATCATTATGAACGCGACCCTCAAGCCTCCAACGGTCGACAAGCTACAAGTCAAGGTCCTCGCCGTGGGCATCTCCCAGCAAGTCCGAAACCGAGTCAACGCAGACCATCCCATGACCAGATCCTGGCTACTGCCCTTCGACCCTAGCATGGATGGTGTCGTTCAACATGAAGCCACCGGCGACCTCTACTACGTCCTTCCCCGCGGACCACGACTCCTAGCCGAGCGCATCAACGTCCGCAGACGCGACCTCTTGAAGCTTCCCACATATGTCGACCCCGTCAAGGTCGCCGGGCTCACCGGTGCCTGGTTAACCAACTGGGCCATCTTGATGGCCTGCACCCGACGCAAGGTCGTCATAATCGGCGCTACTACCTGCGACGGCCGTGCCGCAGTTCAGATTGCTCGCTATCTGGGAGCCTCCGAGGTCATCGGCTTCTCCGATGACGAAGACGCTCTCGCAAGGGTCACAGGCCTCACTACCCGCGCCACGCTGGGCAACCCCGAACAATTCCCCAAAATCAAAAATGTCTCATTCGTGATCGACTTCATCGGGAGCGAGAAAAGCGCTGAAGTCCTGGCTCGGCTCAACCCAGGTCCGATTCTTTGCGAACTACAGTACGTGCCTGCCTGGGGGCCTCGTGGAGGTGAGCCATTCTTTATGGACTTCAACCTCTCGACCGAGAAGGGGCTGCAAATCATCGATCCTGCGCTGTTAAGCTGGCGTCTTACGACTCAGCAGAACTGGCCGAAGCTGCGTTTTGCTCTTCAAATGATGGCGAGAATTCAACACATTCCATTTGAGATTGTGGAGAAGCCCATGACGGAGGTTGCGGAGGTCTGGAATCATGAGGACTTTAAGAGTTTGAATAAGGTACTTGTTCTAGTTCCTTCCAAGAAATAAGGAAAAACAGAGGATGAGGTTCGGCTAGTTCGGAACAGGCCGCATTGAACAAGAAGCAACCTTGAAGCTGGACTCCTTGAAGCTGGATTCAGGGAAACGATCATATTGATGACCCTGGGTATGGAAGGGACAGAGAACAGTTTTTGGACAGGTATCGATGCGGAAGAGCGATGTATGCCCTGCGATGGGCCTCCCCTAGTAATGAGAGATGGTCGAACATGTACTGCAATAATAACATCACTGAATATTCCGACCCGTCTTCACAGCCATCTGGACAGCCTTGCATAGTTTTCGTAGATGAAGAGCAAATACCAATGACTTGACTACTGAAAGGTATGCTTCTGTATGCTGTGAGTAAGGCGAGACATTGTCGAGGCGATGTTCCGCCCATCCAGAGTCGACTACGAGCCTGATGCTATATTTCAGCTCTCAGGTGATCAGGCAGTAGTGCCTTGCATTTGTTTGAACTTTAATCTCACTGGACTCCGTGGAACGAGATTTCTTATACCCGGTGCTCAAACCCCGACAGTGTTGATCAAACACTATCTCCGGGGCGACTGGCTATCTCCGCCTGAAGTCATGGCGTCCCCCAAAGCTCATACTTCGACAAATCTGCCCCCGGATCTATCGGTATCTGCACAATGAGGAGGTGAAGATACGAATGACTGAGATCTCGATATTGAATGGAACTGGATACCCGCATGGGGATCTTGATTGGTGCGTATCCTAAAACCTTACTGCCAAGGTAAACGTTCATCGTCGTGGCCTCTCATAAGATCGTCCTGATTACTGGCGGGAACAGTGGATTGGCTACGAGGCTGTCAAGGCTGTCCTCGAATTCAAAGATGCCTGCCGGAATTCCATGACCAGCCGGCAGGGTGACCGAAGACAATCGATCTCGAACCAATCCAATACCGCTGCAGCAAGACGGCGTAGATTGGACTTTTCAAGTTGAGGGAAGATTGTCCGAGGGTGTGTAGCCCGGTATGCTGGCGATCAAGATGGGTGCTAAACATCCGAGTCGTGGTGGTCGACTGTTGAGGTCGGTTGTCGAAGGCGAGCGCGATGACTTGGTCGGCAAGATTGTGCCGGCAGCGGGGGTGGTTCCTTGGTGATGGTCTGAGGGGCCTTGGGTTGAGCGGACTCCCTAGCTATTTGAGTGGAAACTTGGAAGATGAAACCGGGTTTGAGGTGATCTTCGGTCATAGTTTTGTGCAAGCTGAAATCAAGGATAAGTTAGTTAGGTGTTGCACAACTGAATTAGTAATGCTCTACTCCGCATGCCTCAAGCCCGGATGAAGAGATATCTTACAAATCAAATATTCGTGCCCCACCCACAGATCAAATCAAGTGGGAATATAATAAGAAGCCAGTGCATGGCAAGAGTTTTCCAAAACATCAACACACGATCTAACTCACTCGACATGAAACAAGCTTTTGTCGACAAGACCGTCACGGTCGCAGTGCGGGATACCGAAGTTCCCGCTCCGCAGCCGGGCCAAGTGCTTATTCGCGTGGTGGTCTCGGGTACCAACCCAAAGGACTGGAAAGTGGCCCGGTGGCGCCCCGAGAGCCCTCCTTTGAACCAAGGCGATGATATTGCGGGCTACGTTGAATCAGTGGGCGAAGGAGTCGTTGGGTTTAAAAAGGGGGACAAGGTGGGTGCCTTTCACGAGATGATGGCTCCATATGGGAGTTATGGGGAGTATGCGATCGCGTGGGAGCACACGACTTTCCATCTGACGGCAAAGACAAGCTTTGAAGGTGAGAAAGACGAGCCTGAGCGAACCTTATGTGAATTCCACTGACGCACGAGTAGAGGCCGCCACTGTCCCTCTGGCTGCGATGACCGCGGGGCTTGGCCTTTTTCAAAAGTTGAACCTGCCACTACCGTGGAATCCGACCAGTGAGCCATTACCCTTGATCATATACGGTGGAGCCACCGCGGTGGGAGCCTTTGCTATTAAGTTCGCGACGCTATCCAATATCCACCCATTGATCGTCGTCGCCGGCAAGGGCGCCTCCTTCGTAGAGGGTCTCATTGACCGATCCATGGGCGACACCATCGTCGACTATCGTGAAGGGGATGATGCAGTACGGTCAAAGATCAAGGCTGCAGCCGGTAATAACCCTATTCACCATGCCTACGACGCAGTGTCTGAGCATGGCAGCTATTTAAACATTAGCGCCGTTCTCACTACACCAGCCACCATCACCACCGTTCTGCCAGCTAAGGAAAGCGACGAAATCCCCGCTGGGATCAAGATTGATCGGACCATGGTGGGATCAGTACACATGGATCCGGCAGCGGGTAAGACGATCGAAGACCGCGAATTTGGAGCTGCGTTCTTCCAATTCATCGGCCGTGGGTTGGCTCAGGGATGGTTCTCTGGACATCCATTTGAAGTGCGCCCGGGCGGATTGAACGGACTCCAGGGTGCACTGCGAGATCTCGAAAATGGCAAGGCGTCGGCGGTGAAATACGTGGTGCGGATCGCGGAGACCGACGGAGTATCCCAGTAGACTCCAGTGACTAGTACTCAACAATTCATTATTTCTATATCAATCCTTGCTTAGTGCTCCGTACCTATAGATTAAGTGAGGAATTGAGTTCTCGTCTGCGAAGATCCCGTGGTAGCTCCGTACAAAGATAGTGGATGGCCGTTGACACTAGCTTCGTCACGGTAACACGGGATGCGCCGGGTTTCGATGTAGGATTTTAAATTGCTTCTGCATAAGTGGACTATATTTTTCGGACATCTACCGGGTCAGGAAGTGTCGTCGTCAACCGCACGGCGTTCTAACCGGGTTGGAGTATTAACATGCAGCTTGAAGAGATGAATCGCAAGCCAAAAAGGCCAAGCAAACCACAAGCGCGACTCCGCCCACGTGCCGGGGACGTGACAGGACCGCGACCGGAACAACCGGGCGACAGGAAAACCTCCGACGCCCCAAAGTTTCTCACGAATCAGGTTTAGCAGAATCCATTCGGGTCTTTGTGCTCGGATGGGGAGCCAAATTCGGGGGAACACTGCGTGCGATGGTCCTGTCGTGCCTGATGGTCCTTTCCTCTTGTGGTATCCTCCTCCTCGATCTAGTCTTACAGCATGCACGCCACTTCGTCGATCAGCATTCACATGCAGGTCCTTGCAAATGGCGTGGGGTTTTTGTTCAGGATGATTGGTGATCGATACTTTTTCTTGACACCCGCACGGCCCTGGATGATCACAGCAGTCACGATGGCCTGTCATAACGCTAGGATTATTCACCTATATAACCCTCCTGATCGGCATTTTCGATCAGTATGTGGTCTTTTTGAAGAACAGGCATACCTTCGACAGTCTCTCGCCCATCGGATAGCTGCTCATCATGGTTGGCTCGACGACTTTGGTCAAGGCTTTGCCCTTTTTGGCGGCCTCAGCTATTGCTAGTGTGAATTATCCCACTATTCCCAGTGACCTGACGACCCCCTTCCAGCAGCGTCTCGCTGTCTATGGGGCCAACGGTAAGATAAACGGTTTCTAACGACTATGTATGGCGAGAAACTATCAATTGACACCATTCTGGCAGCCGTCTCTGTGGGTTGGAACACTTATGAGCAACTTAACAAGAGCTGCGTGGCCTACGGTACCTCCGCCGACAGTTTGACCTCGAGCGCCTGCTCCACCACTTCGAGCACCTATGCTACGTCGCGGACATGGTCAAACTATGCAGTTCTGACCGGGTTGACTCCCGCCACGACATACTACTACAAGATCGTTTCAGGAAATTCCAGCGTGGACCACTTCCTGAGCCCCCGTACTCCCGGTGACAAGACTGCTTTCAGCATGGATGTGGTTATCGACCTGGGTGTCTACGGCAAGGACGGCTACACCACCTCCAAGAGAGACACTGCCCCAGTGGTTGAGCCCGAGCTGAATCACACTACCATTGGCGCTCTTGCACGGACCATCGATGACTACGAGATTGTCATCCACCCTGGTGACTTTGCCTACGCTGATGACTGGTACCTCAAGTTCTCCAACCTCCTTTCCGGTAAGGAAGCCTACCAGGCCATCCTGGAGCAGTTCTACGACCAACTCGCCCCCATTGCCGGCCGCAAGCTGTACATGGCTAGCCCCGGAAACCACGAGGCCGACTGCTCTGAGATCCCCTACTTGCTTGAGTTGTGCCCGCAGGGTCAAAAGAACTTCACCGACTTCATGCACCGATTCGAAAACACCATGCCCAAGACATTTGCCTCATCGTCATCCAACACCACGGCCCAGTCCCTCGCCACTCAGGCCCGCAGCCTTTCCAATCCTCCGTTCTGGTACTCCTTCGAGTACGGCATGGCCCACATTGTCATGATCGACACCGAAACTGATTTCCCGGACGCGCCCGATGGAACCGATGGCTCTGCGAAGTTGGACAGCGGGCCATTCGGCACGACCAACCAGCAGATCGACTTCCTCAAGGCAGATCTTGCCTCTGTCGACCGATCTGTGACACCCTGGCTTATTGTTGCCGGCCACAGACCTTGGTACAGCACCGGTACTGACAACGGCTGCTCCGCGTGCCAGACGGCATTCGAGGACATCTTCTACAAGTACGGCGTCGATCTTGGTGTGTTCGGACACGTGCACAACTCGCAGCGCTTCGCGCCCGTGTACAACGGCACTGCCGATCCCAACGGAATGAATGATCCCAAGGCCCCGATGTACATTGTTGCTGGTGGTGCGGGTAACATCGAGGGTGTTGACAGCCCCGGTACCGAGCCTTCCTACACCGAATTTGCCTACGGATCTGATTACAGCTACGCTACTATCCGATTCGTCGATGAGCAGAACCTCCAGGTTGACTTCTATCAGTCCTCGACTGGCACTCTCCTGGACTCGAGCACTCTGTACAAGAGCCACACTTCCCAGTTTGTCCAGCAGTAGACTGGGTTTCGGAGAACCCATGTATGAGAGGAGAAGGCCAATGATAGACATGTATATACGTTTTTGCTTTACTGGATTTCGTAATGCACATACATATTTTTTGGGTTTCTGAATCATTACATCCCTACCTTCCGTTTGAGTCTTGAACCTACCCGCCCCTGCAAAGAGCCCAGAGCCACGCCGGGCGTTCTGGTCGGCCAGGAACTACGTTTTTAAAAACTTTCAAGGACGTCTGGTGAGCTAATGATTGGCATTTGCAGAAATTAACTGTGGATTATTTCAAGTTACAGCTTCGTAATAAAATTATAATGACGACCTTGTTAGGCATATTAGAGATAAAAAACCCGCATTTCCAACGCGGTCCAAACTTTCGCTCAATTTCGTGATGAGTTACTGAAGACTGCCATTGCCTGGACGTACCTGACCTGGCCCTTCTACGACGGCAAGGAGCCTGTTACAGTTCCCGCAGTAATGATTACATTCTTGACATCATTTCATGACGCAGGGCAGTATAGCTCCACAGGGCCCAAGGAATATGCAGCAAATGCAGGACCAAAGCCTATTATAATGAATTTAGGAGTCAGTGTTGTATGCGAGACCATTGTCACCCCCTTCAAGTAGAGGAAGTACGGAAAGTTTACTTAGCACGACGCCCGACTCGAAATTCTATCCTCGTGAGCTCTTGCTTATGACAATATGGACAGTGGATATAAGAAGGATAAGTTGATAAGGAGGACCAGGGCGTCAGCGCGAGAGTCCCAGCACCTCTGTGGTCCCCGACTTGATCCTGATGGGATGGTGTTGACTGGGCACCCTCGGGTAGATTTGTAGAGCTCCTAGAAACTGATTGTTCTTTGCTTTTGCTACTTGCGAGACGTAAGCATATATCCCTATTCAAAAATAATAAAATCTAAATGACCTACTTGTGATAAACGTCTGGGGCCGCGCTTATTCCAGCACTAGCATCAGATCGATTTGCTTGAGACATAGTAGGACCTTGATGTGGATCACTACTATAATCTTGTAGAGAGCGCTTTTCGGACATGGTAAAATATCGCAAAGTGATCACTTTGAGAAAAAGAAAATATATGGAAGTTTTATTCCAACTTTCCAACTCGATGGCTGAAATCGGAAAGTTAAGAGTTACAAAGTAGGAGCAAAGCGAGCATATACACCCTTTTAAGTATCCTCTGTTTAGCAATATAGCTAATAACCGTACGCGTATTATTTTGTGGCATGAGAGACACAAGGTCTAGCCACTGACCAAATGTTGGTAACTTATCAAATGAGCGACTAGGACCGTCTACATGCTTTTCGAGTTATCATGTGACTTGAGACTCGCGGTCTATTGCGGTCCAGATTCTTCCTATGCCTCACCAAAAGCCGCCCACAAAAGCCCAACCCATGGTTTGAAAATATCCTGGCAGTTCACGCACGGTTTAAGACGTCGGTATTCAGATACTTTGCTTTAAGCCTCAGATCAAGACAATTACGCCACCAGAGCATGGGGAGACTGAGTAGCCACGGGGAATCGAGGTGATGGCACTTAAAGTAATCAAGCAACTTCTTGGCCATGTCTGCCTAAGCCCTTGCAGATAAGCCAGGATATACGAATGGCGAATACCCCTAGACGACATTAGAGAAATCCTAGCCCTGACAACCAGCGAATAGGGGTTGGTTAAGGAGCAAAAAGCTGTTCGGGGTGGTACGGAGATTGCAACGCCTTCCCTTGACCTAAACAGAAATTTGTGGATGATGAGTTCAACTTCTATATCGGCTATCACGCTTTTGCGCAACGAGGCGGTCACGACTAGCGCCAATGGAATTACGGTCGCTTTCGCTCTGGCTGAACCCGTGCTTTATTTGCCACATTTTGACCCAGCTACCCCAGCTGCTGCAAGATCAGTCATGTTGAGTGGACATTTGCGACTCCGATTGACGAAGGCTATCATGATAAATAGAGTTGAACTAGTGTTCAAGGGCGTCACACAAACGAAGATGTCTAACGGTAGGTAATAGTTACTGCCGCTTTTCAACTTGCGCGTTAATACGCCGAGTATTCATATCAATTGATTTCTAGGTATATTTTCAAATAAAGACCAAATCCGAAACGTGAAAGAGCTATACAAACACGTATGGCCACTTTTTCTTGTAGGTGCGTAAGACGGACTTTCAAAGTTCAAAATAAAAAACAGAGCAAAAGATTTCCGAATTCGAAAACCTCAAGTTACGAAACGATAAAGGAACGCGGGACACACAAGACAATAATGTATATTAACCAAAACAATAAAGAGACGATGGATGTCTCATTACAAGCGAATTATGATAATGTGTGGGGGATAACTAGCGGCGACCCGGGGGCACGTCGAATTTCGAAGTTACACCGAGGCTACGAAATTTTTCCTCCGGGGGATTACACTTACAAATTTGAACAATTACTCGATTCGCATAACCCAGAAACAATTGAAATTGAGATGGTCTCTGTCAAATGGCTTCTTCAAGCTATCGTTGAACGCTCAGGAACGTTCCGGTCTAACCTCTCTGGCATTCGATATATCCCCTTTATCCGGAGCCCCGTGGAGGGATGCCTAGAGCAGACAAAGCCCGTTGCGATATCGAGAATTTAAGACGGTCAACTACATTACAACATCACCATTTTTGGAAAGTCGTTTCCTTTGGGATCACAGATACCTATTGCCATAAATCTCATTCCGTTCACAAAAGTTACTTGCCGTCGTATCCAAGTCTGGATGATAGAAAATTTGCATTTTCGTGGCAAGGTAAAAAAACATGTCGAGCCGAGTAAGAGGTTCTTACTTTTCGAGGAAATGGCACGTTCGGCGAGTTTCAGCAAACATCCCGGAAGGTTAACGCCAGTCGCCGCCAGCGGTTTTATTCCTTGGAATAATCGAGCGACCGCTGTCACAGGAGAAGAGCTTATTGATCACAACCGGAACAAGTTCCTAGGTGGTCTTAGTGATAGCTGTCAAGTCGGGCTAGCTGAAATAGAATTAAATGTACAGATCCCCAAACACCAATCCATCAAGCATAGAGCGGACACGGAAAGATTGCATTGCGACGCGACACATGAAGGCATGGAAATTGCTCATCAGGATATGGTAAGCGCATAACAAAAGAAGCAGAATACATCTATTACAGTTGCCTGCTTCATGTCACTCCCCTTTCTTTTAAATGGTCTAAACAGCATTGGAGCGCTGCTATGAGAGTTCCTGGCAGTGTTACAAATAAATTTATACATCTCTGAAGTTTCCGAGGAAAAACCGACCCATCGACGTGACTTTGCTGTTTCGGTGCATACTTCAATCCGTATCTTCTCTTCTCTTGCTGCGCAATCATATGTTGATCTGCCTGCATATTCATCTGCATTATGATATAAAGAGCTCCCGCTCCCAACACTAGCGGAAGAAGCTCCAAGCCCCTAAGCCCTAGAAATACTGATCGACTTCTTAATACATCAAAAAAATAAAATATTCGTGCTAAAGATTAGCCTCCTTGATGTAAGAATAACTTATCGTTGTTAATATATGATGACCTAGAAATTCGTTTCTAGTTTGGTGTTTTGGGGTGGCCCGCTTCCCGGTGAAATACGTTATAGTACCGTCGACATTCAAATTCATCTATGTTTATCGTCAGAGATAGTGTATGAGCCCTTGTTTGGAGGTTTGGTTGTACATAGTATAAGAGGCGGGTGGATGCTGTAATCCATGGTGGCGCTGACCTCCACATGTTCCTGCGGCTAAAGGCCCAAGGACACGGCGGTGGTGGTGAATATCACCCGTGTGAGATGCTTTCCAGCGTTGCACCGCGGCTTTATCGATGCGTAGCCGATGACAGGTACGACACAAGCTTCGTAGAGATATCACATTTGCTCTGGACAGAGATTTTGTAGCGCAATATTGTCCTCATTGTTTCTTTGACGGCTTCTTGTACATGATTCTTTCCAGTGTAGCTCGTGATCGAAGATGACCCCTAAGAATTTGGCAGTCTCAGAAGGATTGATGATATTTCCATTCATCCAGAAACCTTCGCTAGCTGGAAGAAGACCAACTTCCAGACTTGGTAGGATATTTTGCTGGAAGGATCAGATGAGTACATATGGGGTGTCCAGAACCACCGATAGATCGGGATCGCGGAGTCTGACAACCCGATTCGGAAAAGCCCCTCTCTAGGCGCAGACAATCGGTACCGAGCTGTGTGGCAAATTCAGTTTGCGTAACATCAGCAAATAAAGTCCCACCCAATGACCTGGCTATACACAAGCGAGGTGGCCATGACCATTATATACTAGAACTATCTTCTTTGGCGGTAGAATCTCGGCAATTCTGCCCACTCGTTCCCTTGGAGCCTTCTAGACAACCACAACCTCACTCAATAACACAAATTGTCTCCTCCATCGAAGGCCCTGACTAAAGCAAAACCTATGTCTCAACAATGCGTCCAAGCGAGAGTCCGAATAAAACACCTTCCTCGAGTCCGGGCGACATACACCGCACAGGCCCAAACACGTTATGCTTCCTCAACGGCCCGCCATCGATAATTAAAACAAACCAACCATTCAGCGTCACCATAGGACTTCCATCTACACAACAGTCTACCCTACCGAACTTACGCCAGAATGGCTGCGAAGCGATTCACCTGTCCCTGAGACTCGCGGAAAACAACTCCGCTGCGAACCTGCTTAGCGGGAATTTGACCTCGACGATCACTTGTGGTAATAGTCACCCGCCATCTTCGGTTACTTTCGATGGAATTCGTGTTGTCAAGGCTGGCCGCTTGCGGTTGAGGGCTTTGCTTGGGATTGACTCGGATGTTGGTGTTCGGGTTGCGTTTACTGTGGACTCGAATATATTTGAGGTCTTGACGTGAGGTCATTACCACACACTATCACAGTCCTCCGATTTGGCATTGTCTACCCCGAAGATCAATTTGAACACAGGACTATTCGATCTTCAATTGACTGATATCTCATGTTTTCGAGATCAGACAAATTGGGCTGGTAGTCGTTCCAAATACATTTCTCTACCTACTTCACCCCACATTGAAAAGTTGATTGGTGGAGTAATCCATCCTGTTTTAAATTACATGAACGAATCATCAAGCTCCAGTATCTAAGTGGATCAGACTATTCTTCTGGCGTTTAGAGGGCCCCATGTAGGTCTGACAAAGGAAAGAATTGGAGTCGAATCCATATAGCCATGTAGGATTTGCTGAAAAATATACTGAGCAATACAATACACTAAGCTACCACATACTTCTCGTCTTCTTTGCAAGTAATAGTCTTTCCATATCGCCTGCAAGCTTGATCCTCCACCAGATCAATAAAAAGCTTCGATAAAACTCGCCTTTTCAGGGCCTCGGCACGGTCGTAAAGTCGCGTAGCTACTTCACTCGACTAAAGATATTCAACTCGAAAAGCAGCCCATAGTAATGGTTCCATAATTGGCCTCGGGTATTATGGGTCATTTTGCCAAAAGGCAGTTACGGCCCTTCTCACGCCGGCGTCATCGACAGACATGTCCTTGCAGCAGTCAAAGTCCAACACCCAAACACTATGTTCGCCCAGACAATTCAAGATAATATCAACACTCCGTCTACTATTTTCATTGGGAGGAGCGAGGACAAACTCGATATCACTGCCGTCGATATTTCCGATCCAGTGCATGATCGCCAGAGTCCTGGCCATAATCCGGGCATAATGCCGTCTATCTTCAAGCGGGATATCGAGCTCATCCATCTGACTGGCATGAAGAGGAAAGTTTCGCAGCGAAAATACTTGGATCTGAGAGAAAGTGCGAAACTCACTCCACCGGCGGTGTCGGCCGAGGTATGGACGAATGAGACAATCCTTGTTTGCCTCGCTCTCCATAATGTCGTCCACCATTTGCGGTGGACAGTACTTGTGAACGAGGAGACTTCTCATTCTACCCGGGAAGGGTGGAATGCGTTGTGATTCTAGGACATTGCATGCAGTATACCTCGAAGGAAAGGCTTGTATATTTGAAGCCCACCAATCGGAATCCGCAGTGATGAAACGTTTGCAATCTGGAACTTGGATTTGAGGGTTCATAGCGTGAGAACCTTGGTCAAGGTTTTCGAATTTTCGAAGGCTTTGCAGCACTCGTTGATGAATATTGTAGTCATTCTGGAGCGATCTGAATTCGCCGCCATCTTCTCTCTTGTATGCGGATCCTCTCTCGGATGAAGCCCATACTGTGCCACAGAAACCAGCACCGATCGTACGAAGCTTTGAGATAGGCTCTTCGGAGCGTTCCTTGCTACCTTTGTCTTGCATATTGTTGATTTGGATCAAATATTGGTGAGTCGGGAAGAGTGTTGGAGTGGTTGAGGCTTGACGTGGTCCAAGTAAACCTTAACTTTTCCGCGGTCTAAAATGGAGCCGACCTCCACTACTTCACTTCTAATGGAAACCACTAAGCCTGGTCGGGAAAAATCTATATTTAGTATACTGTATCTTATATCGCCTTCGATCATCAGTGGCTCTGCCTAGCCTTTAGTAGTTAATGTCCTACAGCTTTGAAATCCAATTCACTGGCAACTGCAAATAACAGAGTACTACATTATCCAAGTTTTACTTTATTCTCTCAAATGAAAACATTTCCGAAGCTTCAATCACTGAACATAATTGTTCCGCAAGCACTGGCTTCTAGACACACTTCAAACCCCCGCTATCTGAGAATAAGCTTCACAGTCCTTGCGAACAAATAAAATATCAAACAAACTCCATAGCCAAGACATGTGAAGCCACCACTCAGCACTTCGGCCGATGAACGGAACCCAGGTGCTGGTCCAGGTTGTCTTTCCGATTGAAAGCCCTGGTACATTGAGGACACTTGAAAGCCCGTGGATTAATGTGCAGCGACCTTATATGGCGGGCAAGGGATCCCTTCCTCGAGAAGGGCCCAGGATTCTTGCATCCTGGCGAAATGCACATAAGAGGAGGGGAGACCGTGCTAACATAATCAAGGTCAGTATCTTGGTGACCAGTTCGACATCAGGGTATAAGTACTCGTTCTGGCTCAAGTTATAATGAGAGTAGCCATGGGTGTGGAATAGCTGCATCTCATCCAGATTACTCTGGGACATGCCCCGTTGCAGATCGGGAAGGTTGTTTTGCTGTCCAGAAGGTGCAGTAAAAGCTGGGTCGAACCCCGGGTACTCTGAGAAGAAATGGTACGGATTGGTAGGCACTAGGTCCTCAATTGAAGCATTAAGCGCACCGCAATCCGAGGTGTCGCTGCAAGTAGCCTGGACCGTTGCATGGCCGTTCTCCAGAGAATTGCTCTGTCGCTGAACGGTCGAGGATCTTGCGTTGTAATCTGGATCAGCCAATGCATATTCTCGAAGGTTCAAGAGAGAGCCAACGATGTTCTCCAAATGAAGGAATGTAGTTGAAGTAGAAATTCTCGTTGTCTCCAAAGGAGAGATTGACCGCAATTTATACCGAAGTCCTCAACAATCCCATACATGCCAGGTGGAATGAGCCTCGATTTACCTGCTCCCGGGATTATCTCTCTTTCGATCCTGTCTTCAGTGATGTTAAGCCTTTCCCATGCAGAAATTATCCATATCCAATAAGACAAGCTCGATCCCCTTCAAGTGAGGCCAACAGCATGGCTCTTGACACACGACGTGTCGATATACTACAAAAGACTACCCGGAAAGTGTCGGGAACCAATCAGACATGCTTGATCTCCTTCGAGTGGGTCCAATGCGGATGCCGCTTGGGAGCTTCCCAGGAACTGCCACAAACCAATGAGATAAGCCCGACCCTGGGGCTCCTTCAAAGGATTGCGAAGCATGTCAGTGGATGTATAAATCCACCAGAAACTGCCAGGAACGAATGAGTTCCTGACGCTGACCTTCCAGAAAATTCCCATTTATGAACACGCTTCTCCAAGTAGCGTACACGACCAGGATCGATCTTTACACGGGCGCACGAGCTGATGTTAGCTCGTATAGCCGCCATCTTACCCATATATGATGTAGCTTCGTCGCTATCACAACAGCTCAATTTGTGGCTGATACAAGCTCCGCACGATGAACAGACTTTGGTTTTACTCCCCTGGTGAGAGGTCTAAGTGTACTATGACAGGCTCTACAGGAGCCAACATCTGCGAGTCTACACTTAAGAAGTGTCATGTGCAGGAATCCGATGGACGATCTCTCTCGATTTCTCGAGGACTCAATTCACCTAGGGGACCAGGTCATGAGCTAGACACGAGGCAGAAATCACAACCCATGGCCTGGTCTATTCGTAGCTTTGCGTCTGGCAATGTCTATCCCTGTCGCACCCGGTGACGCTGATTGGCACGTCCACCTCCCCTCTCAACCCGGGTGAACTAGCCCCCATCATCCACCATCACACCGACTATTGTTTCCCTTCTTATCACAAAACTCTGCGCCCTGTTCAAGATATATTCAAATCCCCCCTACATCGCAGTCTTTATACTGTCAATTCGTGATTACTATTTTCTTTCCTCCACGTCCCCATCATGCCGAGCAAAGATTGGGAGGCTCATAAACACGAAATAAATCGCCTTTACATGGTGGAAGGCAAGCCTAAGGAGAAGGTCATGCAGATCATGGAGAACAATCATGGCTTTATCGCATCGTACGACTCTTATTCTCAAATGTCTTGCTCAAAATATTTCTGACTCGAGACGCAGCAAATGGCAATACGAGAATCAATTCCGAAGATGGGGATTCAAAAAAAACCTCGGCGGGTCAAGAATCTGGGTTTATGTCAGGGAGACGAACAAGCGGAGGAAGCTCAAGGATAAGAACGATGTGGAGGTCTTCATAGATGGAATCCCTCAGTCACCCGGGAGTATTGCAACTGGGATTCGCCGACATGCATATGAGACAGTGATCGAGGAAAAAATAAATCTACTAGGTATGAGCTTGCGACTCTTGAACGGTGGGGTTTTCACAAATAGAGCTAACCGCAGGTAGCACCACTGCCCACAACACCCGAAGGCGTCGTAGTATGCTCTCCAGCCTCGATTTGCGATGGGAAACTATCATGGCCCTCCGACCTTCCCTGGTTCAGCTTTTCCAGACAAATCTCTATTCACAAGATATTTGGTAAGAATGCATGCCTTGAATGGTCTTCTCCGCTGACTCTCGGTAATAATATCGGCAATCTAGCTCTGCTCCTTCAAATATGACGCGGAACTTTTGGAACACACCTTCTGCTCAATTCCGAAGAGGCTTACTCCAAACACTGGGCTCGGCTGCACCGTCGGCACTCGCTCATTGCCCGAGAGCCATTCCAAGTGCCTCACAGACAGCCATGATGATGAACCCTATCCTCCCCGAAGAGCAGAAAGGCCAACACACGGCCACGGCGCGAAGTCTCTTGCGACGAAGTGCCTCGGGACTTACCGAAATCAGTCTGGCGCTCTATATGCTCGCGAATGGATTTGAGCTCACCAGCAGCCATGATAATAGCCTTGATGAGTCAAATTTACTGCAAGACATCTTGGGGCTGACAAGTTTTGACAACTTGCCGAGCATGAAGAACCTTCTCTCTCTCGAAGGTCTCACTGCGAAAGTGCTTGCCCATAAAATCTTCGAGACTTCAGTCTTCAATATGGATGAAAAGATGATTCGGATCATGCTCGAGGCTGGAATGGATACCAACGTGCCCATTTACCATAATTTCCAAATCATAACACCACTACAAGCTGTATCAGGCGCAGACCAATGCATTGCTGTGGAACTGGCGAATTTGCTTCTGTCACACGGCGCGTGTACCGAGGCGACAGGTGAATTCTATCCAGCTCTCTTCATTGCTTTTCATCATGACAACAAAGAGCTATTTGACATTTTACTCGCCAATGGAGCGAAACTTTCATCACATATATTATGCCTTATGGCGAAGGAGGAACTAGCTGAGGAAGATGACCGTGTTCCATATTTCCAAGCACTTGTTGATGCCGGTGCAGACCTAAAAAGTGCGATTGAAGAAGGGGTAACACTTCTCGGTCTCGTAAGCAATGCAAAGCTGATCAGATGGTTTATCAAACGCGATCTTGACGTGAATGCCCCTCAAAGATATACAAGAATTCTCTACAACCCTTTACGAGAATTTCATCACACTACCAGGCCGCTGGGAATTCGCGCAATAGCTGGAGACATCGCGTGTATGCGTGCACTGCTTGAGGCTGACGCAGAGGTCACTTTACCCCTTGAGCCAGATGGCGCAGTCCCTCCACTGGTTCTGGCCGTCCAATATGGCCACACGGAAGCTACCCAGCTTCTTCTAGATACTGATGCGGATGTCAAAGATGCTGATCAATGCAAATTGATCGACGATCCTTCGGGGGGAAGAACGCTTCTGGAAAGAGCTGGTAAGGATTTAGAGCTATTTTTGCCTCTCCTGCGTGCAGGGGCATGGGCCCCTGAATATGAACGACAAGATATACTCTGTTGGCCGATGCTAGAGGCCGTCAAAAGCGGTGATATTGCTACGGTCGCTTCACTGGTTGGACTCGGCGCTTCGGTCAACTCCTATGACAGAGAGTCTTCGTTGAGTGCGATCGCTCTCGCAATACGCAATGGAGACCTCGAGATGATGTCAATGCTAAAGAAATTAGGTGCATCAATTGCCGGCAGTCCCATACCAACAATTTTCAACGTACAGACAGCGGTATGCCTAGAACATGCAGGATGGCTCGACCACATATTGTCTTTGACCGGCCGATCCATACTTGCATCAGCTATACTTCAACGAGAAGATGCGCTTGTTTTGTTTCTACTCGATAAAGCAGGAAGCCACAGCCAATACTTCATCACACCAAGGGCGGATGAGATTTCTAACCCTTCTGCGTCTCCTCTGGGGTCATCATTTTATATGGGTAACTTGCGATTGGCCCAAGTGCTCATTTCGCTAGGGGCCTGGGCCAATGAATCCGACCTGAACATGATGGTCTGTCAAGCCCTTGAGCACAATAATTTGGATTCCCTTAACCAACTCCGCATGACACCATCCCTTCCAAGATACATTCCCACGGCATTTGGGATGGCTCTACAAACCAATGACCTTTCAGTGGTCCATTATCTTTTGAAATTCAATTTCTCACCGCGCGGACATCCAGTAGTGCTCTTTGACCTAGTCAAGAGACGCATTATGCCTCCCAAACCAAAATGGTGCAAGTGGGATTATAAAGGAACAACGTGGTGGAACATAACATCTCCTTTCCCAGATGTGGAAATCCTGAAACTTGATTCGGTCCTCCTCGCCGCGTTTAATCACCGAGTAGAACTGAACACGTCCTTGATCAACCTAGCCTCACCAGTAGTCAATTCACAATGAGAATAAATCGTGATAAGATTGCTGCCAATCATTGCCAGGTCGCGGGCCATAGTGAGAAATAGGAGCGGGCATTGGGCTGCGTAGTGTGGCTAATAGTATTCCAGGTTAGTCAATTAGCACGCACCATCTGCGTTGTTCAGCTGCCAGTCAGCACTAAATAGAAAGCCATACGATATTCGATGCATAGATGCATAGACCAAAGGCATTTCAGAATTGTCCGTCCACACTCATATCATACAATTTCCCGCCGTGGAGACCCCACAATTTCCAAGCCAGCTTCGATCAAACCGGAAAATCCCAAGTCGATAGATCGGATCGTGGTTGCTCCACTCGGCATGACATCACCCGACGAGCTTAAATCTCGCGCGTCAAATACTTAAAACCTTGACATGACAACGCGTGTCGGCATCCTCAATTCACCTACTGCACTGTCAGTACAATGTCCAAACGCACGCTAGACACATTCTTCAAACCAGCAGCCACACCCAACTCCACAAAACGAGCCAAACCAGACTCCAACGATGCACCACCGTCACAACCACCGGACGAAGATATCGGTCCCCCAGACACGCATCCCAGCTACCCGATTCCAATCCCCCAACTCCCCTCCCACATCTCAGTCAGTCTCACACACGGCACACCCGCAAAACAACCCCGCGCCATAAACAACCAGCCAGATCTAGACCTACTCTATTTCCAACCATACATAACTCGGCCAACAGCCAACGAACTCTTCAAGTTCCTCCGCCGCGAACTACCCTTCTACCGGGTCAAATACACGATTAAGCGCGGGGGCATCGAAACGGAAATAAACACACCTCGCTACACGACCGTTTTCGGGGTAGACGAAACGTCTAAGTTCAGCTTAACGCCTACCAATGATCCCCCAGAGGACAAAGACGAAGACAAAGATTTACTCCCACATACCACAAACCCCCAAACCAACTCACCACCACCACCACCAGCAACCCCGCTATCATCCCTCACTCTAATCGACACAATCTCCAAAACCCCCATCCGCACAACCAAATACCAATACACACCCCGCCCTATCCCAACATGTCTCGCGCACCTCAAAAACCTAGTCGAATCTGCAACGGGCGCTCACTACAACTTCTGTCTGGTGAACTACTACTCCACCGGTAACGACAGTATAACATTCCACTCCGACGACGAGCGCTTCCTCGGCGCGAACCCAGACATCGCATCGTTGAGTCTAGGCGGAGAACGCGAGTTTGTGATGAAGCATAAACCACCACCGCAGGGGCAGAGTTACACGGCACCCGCTACACCCGCCACGCAGTCTACGCAGTCGTTAAAGATGCCCCTCTCGTCGGGCGATATGGTCGTCATGCGGGGGCCCACACAGTCCCATTGGATGCATAGTATTCCCAAACGAAAAGGGCGGGGTGGTGATGCAGTACGGGGACGAATTAATATTACCTTTCGGAGGGCGATGGTCCCCGCGGGAACGAATAATTATTATCGATATAATGTTGGGGAGGGGCCCGTTTGGAGATGGGATGAGGGGAGGCAGGAGATGGTCATGATGGAAAGTGGTGGAGGGGAGAAGGATGGGGACGGTGAGTAGATAGTGTATTTGTATAGTTTGATGAGGATGGGCCGGAGATGTTGGTGTTGTGGAGGTGAGATGGGGAGGGAGAGTGTCGTAGGAGGAGGGTGCAGAATTGGATAGAGGTCAAAGAAGCATTCTGGGATTGTAATAGAAATGCATCTTACAGGCGATTGTGAAGTCAAGGCCGATCCATTCGCCGTCACATCAATCTCGTGGCGCTGCTGTAGAGATCCATTGTCCCAGGATTAAGTCCAAATTTCCATCGAAGATAATTCTATTCATGTACAAAGCTAAAACAAACATCACAAAAGGTATCACCAAACCACCATTCGAATCAACACAATCATCCCCACGAAAAAAAGTAAAAATTTGCAACCTGCAATCGCATAAGCTATGCATCCAATGAGCTCCAGCGCTGACACGGCGTGGAAATAAGCTCAAGCTCAGCCTCGAAGCCAGGGCCAAGGGAAAGAATAAATATAAGAATGACAATGACAATGACAGTCAAGGTACAAGTGCAAGGTTCATCACAAAACTCCATGTACATTGCTCCCAAAGAAAATAAACAGCGAAGCGGGAAGTCGTCATATGCACTGGTGGTCCAGTCCCAATGAGCCGCCCTTTTCCAGTTCTCCGGCTATGCTGTCCGCGACGGAAATGGGATATGCCGGTGTGGAGGTCGGACGACGAGGGCCAAACGGTAAGAGTGAGATAAAATCGGTGAGAAAAATGTCCCTCCCATCGAGAAAAAAAGAATACAGGTTAAGGGGGGCATGATTTTATGGAATACAAACATGGGAGGTAAGAAAGAAGAATAAAGGGGCGACGGGAGGGCACGATTGGAAGGCCCGTAAATAGGGTTGCGGAAGAGGAGACGGGTTGATTAGATGATAACCTCCTCGCCGTAGACGTCGGCGTAGCACTGGAAAGTATCCGGGCAGCTATGTCACAGTCAGTTAAATGAGAAGTCACCGGGGGAGAGCAGGTCGCAGGTCTCACAAAATGGGCTCCTTGCCAAAGATCATGTGCCACGAATACTCCATAATATTGGAGGTGACCTCGTCCGGCAGGTCATTATTCAACACCCAATTATACATGCGCTTGTAATCGCTGAGCGGGCGTTGAAGCACCTGGTCGCGCGACACGGCGAATTGCGAGCAGCAGGGCGCACCAATTTCTTGAGGCACATTGTCATTCCCGAACAGCACCTTCCATGCCTCGGCGTAATGCTTCTCGCCCGTGTTACCCGGCTTGGGAGGCTTGCGGAAGGGCTGCATCTCCGCGGGGCAGCCTGGCGACAGTTGACAGCGCAAACTGACGAAGCCTTCAGCCAGAACGTAGTCGCGCTGAAGGGCGCGCACCGAATCTACATTGCTGTAATCCATAGTATCGGTGTGCCAGCCGGCGGGCCAGCCGTCGCGGTGGGAGTGAAGGAAAATAATAATTGCCGGGAGGTCATCATAATGGTCGACGATATATTGCAGATAAGGGAGAGCCTCGCGGCCTTTATTCTTAGGGGTGTGTGCGGGTGCGGACGTGTCGTCGACAGTGTAGACGAAATTGCGCCATCTGGAGAGAAAGTGGGTTCGTGTCAGCCTAAGTCTTAGATTCGGGAGGGTCTGAGCCAAGACGAGCGCCAAACCCCAACCAGTCCACGAGGAAATTCTCCCCCTGAGGACGGAAAGAAAAGGGTGTCGCGTGGCTGAGACAGCAATTAAACATTCTTTCCCCGTTCGATTCTCACTTACTCGGCCAATTCCGCAGAGACCCAAGCGGTGTCCTCCTCCCGGAGTTTACCCATGACAATGATACCCTCGTTAGGGATTTCGATGGGGGTAGTTTGAAAAGTCAAGACGGCCGAGTCGCCCGTCCCAGCACCCCATTTGCGGCCACGAACATCTTGCGCGGGTTGGCGGCGTAGTGCGGCGCGGAAGGAAGTAGTATCGAAGCGCCAGAAGGACTTTGGGGTTCGCTCGGTGTCCAGGCGACGGCTGAAGAGGATGAGGGTGACGATAATGAGCGCGGCGGCCGCACCGACTCGAAGTGATAACCTCATGGCATTCCGCGGTGACTGTGTGTGTCGGGGAAAAAAGAGTAAACGAGTGACGAGAGTTGGCGAGGAGGGAGAAAGGAGGGAGGTGGCCGAGGAGAAAACGGCGCGGCTGTCAAAAACGGAGGCGGAGCCACATGCGGCGACGGAGAGAAGGAGGAGAGGGAGCAACGAGCAATTGAGGCCGGATTCGATAAATCCCCCGTTGGAGAAGAAGAAGACGAAGAAGAAGAGAAGGACGAGTCAATCACGACAAAAAGGACAAGTCACGGAGAAATAAATTCGAGTTCGAAAATCGGAAAACGAGAATACGAGCATCAGCACACCCGACCACTTTCCACCAGCACCGCTGAGCGACTGCGTGATTGGAACGATTTCATTGGTGGAGATCGAGTGGACAGGACGAGAGATGTTGATTGGTCCAATCCCGTTGATTAAGTCGATTGTTTGGTTGTGCTGGGGCGATGCACGGTCGTCCACGGGTCGATCCATGTACCGAGAAGTATCTTTTCGCCTAATTTAGTACACGAGAATACCTATGTATACTTAACCACCCGCGGATCTCCCTCTACCCCTGGACCCCTCACCCTCGAACAGATGAACGGATCCATCTCGGCCGTCCGGCGATCGGCAATTTAGTCTGAGAAAGATATGATTTCAGTCGAATCCAGATTACACTACCAGGTACAATCAATCATGTCCATCACAAGCCTACCATACTATTGTATTCTTCGAAGTAGTCACTATCAGTCCCGCACCCGATCATTAATTCTCCGCTCTGATTATACTGACACCGGATGACTCCTTTTTCCGGCATCTGCATTTAGCCTGTTATCGACCGTCCCATGCAAGGGAGTTGATCTTATGCAGCCTCCACTATTTGACCCCCACCACATAGTTACTCATTAACTATAGGTCATGGCAGTTAGATCTTAAGGTTAAAATAAGATATGCAGAGTTATTCGTGGTCAGGTAGCAAACATACTCCGTAGTTGAGTGAGCCTTCCGGCTGAGATAGTGGAGCATTAACGCTATATATCACCGACGATCGGCAACACTAAAAACTGAATATGCCCCAGAACAATGGCAGAAAAACTGATAAAAATAAAGAGTATATATTATCATACCCGGATTATAACCAAAGAACAATGTCATTATCAAATACCGTCTCGGAAGTTATCTAACTCTTCGCGCTAATGCCACGGTCGGCGCCTTCCCTCGTGTGGGGGAATACAACCTGACAAGAGCAACCCCACCGAAGCGCAAGTGGAATCAACAATACTGTTCTTTTTGAGAATCTAGCCCCGCGCATCTACAGTAACAGATATAGTGAGGATAATTATCATTGGAGTCTTATTGTCAAACATGGGCACAGTACAAATTTAACCCTTGGCCGCGGCACCGACATCATCCCCTCCCACAGCCCACAAGACCCTGCATAAAACAATCAACATATATTAACATTAGATTAAAGGATACTAAACCGGGCCAAATCAAATGACATTCCAAGGGCACGCTGGCAGGTCGAGTGTCGCACCAGAAAGCTTAGGTACATTTACCCCCGCCGGTCTGAAACACGAGAGGTCACCGCTTAGGCCGACACTTTATCTAAGGACTGGATGCGACCAGTTTAAAGAGGTTATTTGATCCTCACATTAGAATTGTAATAGAGAGTCTGTATCTGAACACTGATGTAAAGTATGAATGGTACACTGTGAACGCCTCGCCCAAATGATGAGCCCGGGATATCTCGAACAAGAACAATAGACACGACGACAAACATAGAGATCACCAGAAATGCAGGTGCAGCAATTTCCCCAAATCAATCAGAGCCCGACGACTCGAAAAGAATCGAATCCATATACTCCCAACCCCATCTCACGATCCCTCAAGTTCCTCCAACGGGAGTATGTTAACATCAAAATCCTCCCCCACCCCAGCAACCCGCCCAACAACACACCGGGCCCGCTCCAACAACGCCTCCTCCACACAATACCGATGCTCACTCCCAAGATGCGTCATGAACGCATCCAACCCCTCTAAAGCCTTCACCGGGCCCCCACGCTCCCGACAACAAAAAATACACCCGAACGGACCATTCGGTTTTCCTAACCTCCCCGTCGGCGACCTCTTACATTTAATATGACTCTTTGCCAGGAACGCCCAGCGATACCGAATACCCGTTGACGAGTGTGTTAATACTTCGGTATTGAATTTTGGATCGTTTCGACGTGAGTCTGGATCGAGCGGCATCTCGAAGAAACAGGTTGCGCAACGCCATTTGGAGACCATTGAGTAGTAGCCTTTGGGTTCGGAGTGGACTTTAAAGCCGCCCAGGCCGGACGAGAATTTCCAGGCGCCTTTGCAGAAGCCCGCGTAGTTGTTGTCGTTGCTCGGGGGCCAGCAGTTACGGAGTGAGGGGTCGGAGGATGCGGAGGATGTGCCGGAGTTGGTGGAGGAGATGGAGGGTGTGTGCTTGGGGGGTGGGATGGGATTACGGGTTGGTGGTGAGGTGCCTGTACTGATTGGGGTAGGGAGGTCACGGGAGTTGGTCGGTTGTGGACGTCCAATCTGTAGATTTGGACGGTTTCGAGAAGCGGCAGGGAGATGGGGTGGTGGGCTTGTGTAGTGTTCTTGGCGGATGGTCTCTTCGGTTTGAAGTTGGGGGATGCCTCTGGACTCGAAACTGCTGTCCATCACCGCTGGTATATGTCGTTCGTGGGAATCTAGAGGACTGAACTCCTCTGCCCACGGTGCATGCATGCCTAGGAGGTACATGGAATCGACTGTCGTTCGAAGTGGATGCACTCGAGCGGCGGGTTCATGAAGGGGGTCAGGACTAGAGGTCCGACTCCAGTCCATGCCTGACGGTCCAGCGTCCACGTCCATGCGTAATGGGGTTGCGGTCGTCTGTCCCGCGTCCATGCTCCACGGGTTTGCAGTCATTTCGAGAGTGAGGGGGTCATAGTTCGTGTCGTCTCCACCTGATGATGAGGGTGCACTATCATGCTGACGAGGGGAATGAAGCTCGGTTGGTAGGGCGGAATCTGGCATCTCGTGCTGTGCTCTCTCTCGCGGTATATTCAATTGCAGCCGAGCGGCAGTGCTTCGATTGATCTGGTCTTGCTCAAAGTAGTCATGCGGATCAGCCGCAAGTCCACCGACCGATCCGTAAGAGCCATCCGGCGCCCTATCGACGATCGTATACTGGCCGGGCATTTCAAACATGGGCGGAAGACCCGCCCCTGACCCGAAGCTTCCAAAGCGAGAACTCGTGTCGCCTCGCGGGGAATACACCTCGACCGAGGACCGCCGGCGACCCGAAAGGAGACTTCCAAAGGAGGCCCTAGAACCGGAAGACCTTCTGGATTGTGGCGAGACCGCCTGTTCCTCTACCTGGCGAATGAAATTTAGCATGTCAAGCTGTGGCCCTGACGAACCTCCTGCTAAGACCCTGGGCCCCGGGAAGGATGATCGGCTCTGTACGTATCGGGAGGGTGGGAGTTGAGCCAAATACTGTTTCTCAATGAGGTTGATCCAGTAGAATAGCCTTGACGTGGGATCGATCGGGACAGGGCCAAAACTGATGGGTGGTGGAATGGGGGCAGCCTGGGTGAGCCGCTGGTATAAGTTATGAAAGACCGTGATGGTTCTTACCCGACCGCGGTCGGAAGCTTGAACCAGAGCCAACATGTCAAATTCGGCATTATTCTCCCGCAAGTTTGTGAGTAAAGCACTCTGGAGCTCGATCACGATATCTTTCATCTGTTCGCGAGCCAGCGGGTCGCCGTCTTCAAAATGGCGGCCTAGTCGGCTGGCGTGGGCATTCCACTCAGTCAGAATTTCTTCTCGCCCACGCCGTAGTGACCACTCGAGATCGTTGGCGCTTGCATCAATGGCAAGGGCCGGTGGATGACGGAATTTCTTCCATTTTTCCTTGATCGCATCGAAGAGCTGGTTGCCGTCATGGTAGGCGGAGACGACTAGTTTCGAGTTGATTCTTGTTAGCTATCATTCCGGAGAAGTCACGGATGTGATTGAGAGTGTCTGGGAATTACAAACCTGCTGCCACACAGGCGACGACGGCGATCACCTCCGCCACAATCATAACGAGGGTCGAGTGCTGGCAGAGGCAGACTTGGCAGCGACAAAAGAAGTGTGTCACACAAAGTCGACACCCGGAGATAAGAAGCTGGGATTAAAAGATGGCCGAAAGCAACGGATGGAAAGGATAAGCCAACGAAGAAAATACCAAGAGAAAGAGACAAGTCTTGGGAAAGGGACAAGAGATCGATGACCAAGGAAAAGAAGAAAATGCCCTGACAGCCAGACAGAAAGAGGACCAGTGTTATCACCGACCGCCGTAAGTCTCCCAGCATTCAAACGAGTCACAGCGAGCTTCCAGCAGGAGCAGTAGCACGGGCCACTGACTTAGTCCTCCCAGGTTGATCCGAAGCGAAAAAGAAAAAGGCGAACAGCCGGGGAACCGGATTCCTCGCCCAGGCGCGCTAACCTGCATGGTCTGTAGCGGAGGGTTGGCAGACGGGCAGAATTAGCGAAGCATCGGAGGAACTTATCACGGATCTGACAGAGATACTGCAGAAGCCAGCGATGCGGGTATAAGGGACGAAAGTACCGAGTACGATCATCCCTCTCCATGGAGTCCATGCTTTGCATTCTGGCCTTTGTCTGAAGTACGGAGTACACAGTACCGAGACTCCAAGCTCCGACAGAGAAGCACGCGAGAGGGGGTCCAGAGATACCAAGTGACTAGCAAAGTGAGGCTGAGCGTTGGGGGAGATTATCCAATGCGCGGAGCGGAGTGAGACTGAAAAGTGGAGAGACCAGCAGCAAGTACACTTCAGTTCTCTTCGGAATCACCCAATGACGGATGGGTAACCCCCTGCGCGAAGGCAGTGCAGTCGACGAGTCCAGTACATGACTTTTCGGAAAGTAATTTTGCTGCCTCTGCTGGAAAACCCGGGTTGAACTTTGCACGGATGCAGGGTCAATTGTCTATTGTCTCGATGTGGACGTTGGAGGTGGTCGAGTGTCAGTTGGGTCGTGCCGGTCGATCGGGGTCTTTACCCCGGAGATCCACTCGTGTCCACTCATGTCCACTCGGTGACATCATCCGTAGGCATGTTTTGATTGACCATTGACACTTTTTGCGCTGTTTTCAGGTACATATAGTAATATATGATAGATACTCTGCAAGGTTCCCAAACCGGCCCGGAATAGATGCTTGTTCTTTGGTCCATACCCAGGTACTCGGGACCCATTATCTAGGGTAAACCCGACTGCAGGACTGGCATGCATGCTGTGCTTCGATCCGTCACCCTGAAGAAAAGAGTGGATTAATTGGATGATAAGCAGTGATGCCCTGGTCACGGAATTCTCTCTCGGGCTATTCTGGACGGGCGAACACATCATCCGGCTGTCTGGAGCCGCGTGATTCCTGCTTATGTATGCGACACACGTCACCCCGGAGATACCCTGAGTACGATACCTAATGCACATTTCCTAGCAGCCGATCTGCCTTGAATAGTCCGAGATCTGGTCTCATTGATCATAGTTGAATACTTGAGGTGATTGGGTTATATAATATATCTTTTTGTTCTGCTAAACTGTAGATACAATCCGTAATTTGAGGTTAAATCCTCTCTAATTCCTCTCCAATTCAATATTATGGTCGTCTCCTCAGCCGTAATACTATAGACTTGTCCTTGAATTAACCCGTTGAAGACGGCGATTCGTAGGTATAATCTTTTATATGCTTTCCTTGATAACTTTTTAGTAGTTACCTAGACGGTTTCCTCGACTGTTTCCTACTTAATCCCTAAGTTGATCCTCTTATGGTATAGTAAGCATGATAATGTACTCGGGCGGAAGAAAAGCGGTGGTGAGATAGGTTCAGGCGACCTTTCGCAACAGCCTAGACGTCTAGCACTGTACGATGTCCCCTTGCGTCATAGTGCAAATCCTGAGATAGCGGACGACGAATTCCCCAGTGACCAGGTAAGGTATACGGGGGAAGAATAATTGTAGATGTATGAATGATATTCAAGCAAAGGCAAAGTCAGTATTAAGAGATCAATAAATCAACAGATCCAGCGCCGAACGAGAAAACGCCCGTCTTTAAATGCAGCCCACCCCCCGGAGATATCATCGCAAAATGTTTGAGCAAAGCCAAAACGCAAATCAAACAAGAAAGACCAAAATCAACAGCACCGTCCACGTTTCTTCGCGGTGCTCATCACCTGTACCTCCTCCGCTTCACCTACAGTCGGTGTCGCCAGTCCCAACCAACTGCGTCGCTTATCACCATATCCAAGTCTGAAACTACCCCCTCCATCAACGAGGCCCGGTGTAAACGGACCGATGGGGACATCAATCCCGGGTGTACCGACGGCCGACAATGCAAGTTCGACATCACGTCGATTCCGCTGTTCAACCAGCTTCCGCGTAATCACACGAAAAACCTCATCAATACCCTCTCCATCCTTCGCACTGATCTCATGACAACAATCCCACCCAATCTCCTGGCCCCAAAACGCAGAACTCCGTTTACTATCCGGACTCTGTAGCACACCGGGACTGATCGCAGGCGCACCGGCTCCAAAAACACCAGACCCAAACCCAAGGCCCATCCCCATCCCCATGCTCATACTGCCCATGCCCGCGGTAGGCGGCGGCGTCGAAGCACGACTCGGGTACAACTGCTCGGCGACGTACGCGATCGTCCGCTCAAACGGAACGCGTCTCTTGCCCGGATCCTCGGCAACGATATCGCTCTTGGTACCGACGACGTGAATCACGAGGGGGTCGGCATCGCCCTCGGGCCCGCCGATATTCCGCCTCAACTCGCGGAGCCAGCCGGCCATTTCCTGGAAGCTGTTTTCGTCGGTGATGTCATAGCAGAGGAGGCAGGCGTGTGCGCCGCGGTAGTAGAGGCGCGATATCGAACGGAAGCGCTCTTGGCCGGCCGTGTCCCATATTTGGAGGCGGACGGTAGTGTCGGATGTGGTGTCGAGGACGCGCTTGGTGACAAACGACGCGCCGACGGTGGAAGTGGTGGTGGACGGGTTGAAGGCGTTGCGGACGTAGCGCTGGACGAGGGAGGTTTTGCCGACGCCTGTATTGGGGGGTGGTGGTGTGAGTATGTAAACAAAGGAAGAGTGCAGAAGGATGAGAAGAAGTGTTTTCTCTAGCAGGGGGCATACCTTGTGCGCCGAGCACGACTATCTTGGCCTCGAGGGAGGAGCTCATGGCGCGGGGTTGAGGCGAGCGGGGCCGACCGTTCGCATGAGCATGATCGGGAGGGCCGAAGGAATGCAGTTGCTAAACTGCGGGGGAGTAAAATTTGTAGAGAATAAGGGAGAAGAAAGAAAGAGAAAAGAGATGAAATGCTGGAAGACAGAATCCACTCAAAGCAAGGAACCAAACAAAGCGGAATCAGCCGCGCGATCGTGTTCCAAGGTTTGTCCAGGTTCGCAGGAGTCAGCTGCGGGTGATCAATCCGCTCTCTTTCTCTCCCCTTGCAACCGGGGCGATTGGATGTCTGACTCAAGGGCTTATGGGGCGCAAGGGCGGTATGACTGACTCACTCATGGGCTGAATGACTATTATTATGAATGATTCTGGTCATCTGTTCATAGCAAAGTTTCTTGGGCTTTATTTCTATAGTACTGTTTTGAGCCTCATGCAGGGATTCCCTCTTCCACTAACTAGGGAGCGGCTAACTACCTCCCATGCCGAGGTTAACGCCACGCGCTAATAAAGGATGACTTGCATACAAATCTGCCACGATGCATTCCAGCACTGGCACTGCATACTTGGATGTATGTTAATTTGCATCATGATTGGTGCCTCAAATAAAAATCGCCGACTGACTGCCATTCGGTCTTCTAATGAGAGAAGTGAAGACCAGTAAGGGGCAAGAAGATCGGAAACTATACATCTAGGCAAAGCAACCAAAGCAGAAGCAGCCACTTACGGTGTGAGGGAAGGTATCTGCTGACCAATCTCCCTACAAAGATAGCTTCTACGACAATTTGATCATACAGATGTTAAAAGTGTCAGGCAAAATTTTCAGATTTCGATCGTTCCGTTAGTACCAACTGGCTAAATTTGGTATGTACATTCACAGTGCGCACTTTCAACAGACCGTCAACTTCCAGCGGGATTGATTTTGTGAACAATGAACCTGGCATTGAAATCGAAAATGCAAGCGAAGGGTATATATAGGGGACCTAGCATGTACCAAAGACGTCATCTCATATAAAGCAAAGGGTAGCGCTCAGCGCTGAAACGTCTATGACCGACCAAGATAACCAAATGACATGACAGACATCATATAGACAAAAAAAAAAATTCGTGACTCAACATCTCAGGTCGAATCATACTTCCATAGATTTTCCTTTCAAAGCCGGTTCTCTCGCTGCTCATCCTCCGACTCAGGAGAAGCAGTGCCTTTCTCTAGATCCGCAGGGCTAGCACTGGCAAAGCCATACTCGACAGCCTTCGCCTCGATCTCCTCATCAGTGAGCCTGGGCAGCTCATGCGACGCCTTGACATAGCTAATCTTCTCGCAATAGCCCTTGGCAAATATGATATCGATCTCCTCCAGGGAGCGACCAGCCGTCTCGGGATAGAAGAAGTACATGGGCGGAATGAAGATGGCGTTCATAACAGCAAAGAACAGATACGTGCCCCAGCCAATGGAATCCACCATGACGGGAGTGATCATGACGACGGTAAAGTTGAATAGCCAATTAGAGCAAGTCGAGACGGCGTTGGCTTTGGCACGGGTGCGGATGGGCGATATCTCGGCTGGGTACAGCCAAGGCAGAGGCAACATGGCAGCACCGAAGAAAGCCATGTACAAGAAGAGACCGAAGACGGCGCCCTTGGCGGGCTCGGTGCCGCCGGGAATGAGACAGGCGAAGACAATAATCATGGAGACCATCTGGCCAGTCATACCGCCGATGAAGAGCTTGCGACGACCGATCTTTTCGATGAAGAACCACGAGAAGGTTGCGAAGATGGCGTAGACGATCATGTTGACACCGCCGATGAGCATGGACATGAATTCGCTTTGACCGAGGGACTGCTTCAGAAGGACGGGGAGGTAGTAGATGACGGCGTTACAGCCGGACAGCTGCTGGGCGATTTGCGAGGAAGAACCGATGAGCATACGGCGCAGGTGTTGGGTCCGACCACCGGTGAGAAGGTCGGAATAGCCAGCGCCATTGGCGACACCCGCACTGGAGAAAGGTTAGTAAATGTTGAAATTCGAGAGGGATGATTGGCATACGCTTCGATAGACTCAATGACGAGCTGCTTTTGCTGCTGAGTTTCGTGGTCGTCGATTTCATTTCCAGCCAAAGCAGCGAGCACATACTCACCCTCGTGCACTTTCCCCTTGGAGATAAGGTAGCGAGGCGAGTCAGGCATAAAGTACATGCCGACAATAATGATGACTCCGAAGACAATCTGGAAAGCAATGGGGAAACGCCAGGCCAGATCAGGAGGACCGTACGAAGCTCCAAAGTCAATCCAGTAAGCAATAGCTGTACCAATGGCAATAATGCCACCCTCGATACAGATCAACAGACCACGGTTACTGGTCCGAGAGCACTCAGCCTGGTATGTAGGAATAGTAGAAGTGTTCATGCCATTTCCAACGCCGGTGATGACACGACCAAACATGAACTGCAGCAAAGGGATATGGCCGACGAAAGAAGTGACTTGAATAACGACTCCGATGATCATAATTGCAGCACCACTAATCACCATCCATCGACGACCCAGACGGTCACCGGCGAAAAGGGCAAACATCGCACCGAATAGACAACCTAGCTCGTAGACGGCGGTGATGAGGGCTTGCATGGTAGAGTCGTTCTTGGCAGCCGTGAAGACGTTGTCGAAGGCATTGGCGGAAATGATACCTGACATGACGCCTTGGTCGTAGCCGAAAAGAAGGAAACCCATTGTCGCGATGGTGGACACTGTCAGTGACAGTGGCCTGCCGGACATGCCAGCAAAAGTAGGCGCCATGATGGAAATGTGTGGTAGTAGGATCACGTCCCGCCCAAGTAGGAATATATTTGTTCAAGATCTCCACGCGTAGATGAATTAAAATAAGGTAGGGATGGATCAAAATGGGGGGGGGGGGGGGGGCAAAGATGGAGACTGAAAAAGATGGAGAATAGGAAGAAGAAAACAGGGAATCCTTGAGAAGAAGCGAGGGCAAGCATGCTCTATTTAACAAGCAACTCTTCTCCAAATCGCACAAAATGTGGCAACGATGCAATCGTGGGGCCTTGTCTTCTTTCCCCGTGGCCAGCATCTCCTACTCCAAGTTGTGCAGATTTCTCCGATACCCTCTACCAATCGTGAAATTATACCAGGGAAACCTGCGGAGTCGCTCCCGAACCCGCCAGCCGACCGACGCAGGCTCCGCTCCACCCACACCTTCATAGCTGCCGGTCCGCCGAATGGGGCTCCTTGGGCTCTGCTGGGTGGAGCCAAGCGTCTGGATGCATCAATTATGAGTAGTTAAGCATTGTTGGTAGATCCACCACGCGCGAAAGGCGTTCGGTGTCCCTGATGACATCAACGGTACCAAAACTAATGCACTTTGGGTTGGCTGGGTCAATCTCGCTGGAAATCGTGATTCGTGAACGAAATATAACGTGGGGATTAGTGAGCGACGGAATTACGTTTGTTGTCGACGTGGAGATGCCCTGGACTGGCCACACATGTCGTGGGGACCGGGAAGATTTTGTGGTTCGGGTAGTCGGAAGAGGAGGTGTGTAGTATATGCCGTCGAAATATTATCTGTGTTGACTATTCACGCTATCGATCATGGCACATTAAATGGAAATAGTGGAAAGCATGAACGGTGAATCCACCAATGATAAGATTATTGCAGAAGTAAGGAGGTCAAGATTAACGGTTTCGCTATCATGCCCACGCGAACGGCCTAAAGAAACATCGGAATCACATTGAGGATTTTTGATGCTAAGGCCATATTCCACAAGCCGCACAGCCTTGAAAGTTAAGTTTTATATGATAACTGACTTTTTCACACCGAGACATTGGTATACATATTACCTTACCAGTGACTTGCGACCTAACAACCCGCCCCAGTTGCGTCGACTTCGTCAAAAAGCTTTCCAACGATAGAATGATCACCGGGGAGTGAACACTACCACATTAGGCCATACACCCACACTTCAAGCCATGCATACAGTTATGTGCGTCCAACGTCGCGAAGAACGAGCGGGAACGACGAGAAAAAGACACTCACCCCGCCAATTCGGCACTGCAGGCAGCGAAAAAGTATTCGGGATGCCGTCACCGTCAACCCGAAGGAGTGCAGCGACCGGGCAGTGGGTGGGCTCGATGATGCAAGAATGCACCGTGCGCGAACTAGCGGACCCTCCCAGCGGATCAGTGGGGCTTTATGGACCCATTTTCGGATTGTCGAGCGGCCCAGTATCATCACGGATGATGCAGAAATATCAAGGCCTCCAGTGGTTTTGTTGCTTGCTTTCTCGGCTTGAATACGGGAAATTTGATTCGCGCCTCGAGTTGAGGTAGAATGGGCAGGTAGTCTCTTCCGAGGTGCTTGTCACATAGATAAGTACCGACTTGGGCTCGGTGGTCAAGATTCTGTGATCAAGTCCCTCCTCTGTTATGCGCGGTGGGGTTTGGAGAACGGGATCCGCTGGCTTGCATTCTGCATTGCCAAGGTCGAGTCAGGTTGATTGAATGTGAACAGGAGCGAATAGACTTTGACAAAATCTGTTATGTTTAATGGTGGAAACGTCTCGTGAGTTGTGCAAGACATCATCTCTCGGTCTCTTGGCTTGATGCTTGCACCATATCCTCTGTAAAGAAAAGCAAATTTAGTGGCAGAATTCTCAAAACGGTCCTAATGTTGAAACATAATTGAGATCTCGCCTGTTTGCAATAGGCAGCCTTCGAAGGTGTGGAGACCAATATATACACGAAAACACTTAGGTTGACTTTTTACACCGTCTCGTGTATGTCCTACCCTACCCCATTTTTTTTGGAAGAAAAGAAATTGAAAAAAAGAAAATCAAATTGTCGCAAAGGATCTGGAGCCATTCAGCACATACAGAGAGAAGACTTCTCCGCTCGATGATGTCAGAAACCAATTTTCGGCTGGAATTTCTCTCGAACCTCGCAGTGGGTCCACATCGGACAAGGTCTTAACAGTGCAAGTCATAATCTTTATAGCGCAAAGATTCCCGTGGATGTTGAGATTTTATTTTAAGCCGCAATTCGTATGCTTGCAGTCAATTGCATTGTGGATGTACTTTTCACCACGCGACTTTCGGAGCCGCGATATAACCAGCATCTAACTATCTGAGCGTCTGAGCCATACGTGTGACCCATGAGCATTGCGTGTGATTCCGCCGACTACGTGTGTGAGAGGAATGAACTAGAGCAGTTAGGTTAGCGAGGAGATCTTCATGAAGTAAAGTAGTCTTCTCCATACACGTTTCACAGAATAAGTATGGCCATGCACACGATGCGACCGTGCACATTGAATCAGTCGATCTGTGGGCGGAAAATATGTTTTGGCCTTCCAAGGTTGAGATGCCACTATCACACGATGCGCTTTATCTGAAGCTACTCAGGCTGCATCCTTTCACGAGGAGATAAATCCACGCAAGCAAAATGTAACGTGCGAGAAGGAAGGCATACATGCGAAGTGGGTAAGTAGAACACATCGCGCCGCTTGGATATGGCGAGCCCCGCTTTGGGATGCTGGCGACGTCATCTGGGTAAGGCGAGTCGTGGAGTAAAAGGTTTTTGAGATCCACCAAGAGTAGTATTGAACGAAATATATAATTACGGGGAAGGAAGGACAAGTACAAGGGTATAGAAATATACGTGGGATGGCTACCGCAGCTGGCATCAAATCGATCAATAGTCATCTACAAATGTGAAGCGTCAAGCTTTCAGTATAAAGGTAGTGTTCCAAACTATCACTAAGTAGCGGGCTTTCCGTCGGAGGCCCTACAAGGACATGAGGATCACATTAAGCTAGTAGGCTGCGATACCAGAGTTAGATCACTAGGGACCTATGGCTAGTCGGCGAGAATCTATAATAGATAAGAATTCATAGCCAGACACGAAACTGATCATACGGAAGAAGATCTAATAGAAACTCTTCCAACGAGATACTAATTTCAGTAATGCTCGGATCACGAAACGGCATCGTCATGATTTGTCGGAGAAATTAATAGATTTGTAGTGGAGCAAAAGACGGTCTGGTAGGGTGAAAAAATAAAGGTTCCGTGTGAAACTACTTCTGGTTTGAGTGATTTATAACGGCAAAAATGTATTCCTTGACATATACAACGGCCGGATGGTGTAGTTGGTTATCACGTATCGTTAACACCGATAAGGTCCTGGGATCGAGCCCCAGTCTGGTCACATTTTTGCCTCTTCTACCCCACTGAGACTTCAGAATGTTTTTTCCTTCTTGGAAGGCAGGGATCTCATGATTTTTTTAATCGCGACGCCGTGCGTGGTTCTGTGAACGGCGCCGTTGCTCATCTGGAAATACTTTTCTTTCTGCTCAGCTGGCGTTCCACCCCATGTATACAAAGTGTTGGTGAGGTGTTTTTGTTATTGACCCAAAGCGCCGAGCTACACCACTGATTGAAGTAGCCAGAATGATACGCACACAGAGAAAAAGACTCATTGGGTATTTATCAGCAACAGCACCCGAGCTGACGGATTTACAGAGCTGGTATCAGGAAGAGGAGAAGTTAGGAACTTAGGAAGACAATTCTAACGATATAAGGATGCTCTCTGTTGCCTACCTAGTGAGGATTGCCTACTCATATGGGATTAACAGTTGCGCTTGCAAATTAAATTAGATAAAACGTTACCGTGAAGATCCAATCCGCCATTACTTTAATGGCCCACAAGGGCTGATTGGTAGGCATAGTTCACGGGCATCTACTCTATCTGCTCCTGTTAGCTTCCCGGACTCGGAGGCTTTGCGGAGTACTAGTATATTCGATGCGTCCTAGAGGCTGAAAGATGTTAACTATGCCGTTGTCGAGTTGTCAATGCGATAAATTGCATGGATGCCATGCTTATTGCTGAGCGACTGCTTCTCGCCAACCCTTTTTGTTCTGCAACAAATATCTGTCACTTTGAACCTAGAGGCCCTGACGTTGAGTTGCTGTAAGAATAAGTCATAGGGGTGGAAAACGCAAAACTCGGCGTAGAGCCTTTTAATACCACAGGTTATAGTATACTGAGTAATCGAAGGGTGTATAGAGTGAATCAATTGATGAAATAGTTATATGTATACACCAAGAAAAGGGATAGGACGGGATGCAGGCTTGAGGAGCACGGTCGGGTTCAGAGCAATATTTACCCGGACCGAGCTCGGTCTTCATAGCAATACGCAAGTTCTCCACATCCACAATAAACCCTGTCTGGAAGTCCGTAATCTGAGACACGAAGCCTGTTTATCCCTTCGATATCTGTCTGCATCCCGGCTGTCATTTTGATCCGGTCAAGTTCCGTTCCTGCAGCCACTTTTCCAGGCTAAAGCTCCCATCTCGCAACTCTTCGGGGTCTCCCCTCCACTCAAAGGCAAAGCCCTCGACTTCCTGTTCTCCGGAGTCAAGAAAGTCAATCAAAATAGGTACCAGGTCATATTGATCGGAATGGTAGGCACGAAGCCGATCCCACTCCTCCTGCAGACGAATTTCGTAGGCTAAGCCGTCAACTGGTTGAAATGGCTTTCCACTGACAAGGGCTGCGTACTTTCCCCAGAGCTTAGTCGTGTAGCCTATGACTCTAGTGGGTCGCATTCGTGGAGCTTTAGGCAATTGCAGAACGCTGGCAAGTGTGGAGGAGTCCATCAATGTCCCGTCGAAGAAGAAATAGCCTTCAGTGAATGGCGTCTGAGGCCAGTCTGTTTTGGAACATCCAGGAGACCTGGCTGGGGATGCGAAAGGTAACCGTGGATCTTCCGAGGCCTTGTATTCGAGGAATTTGCGAACCATAAGGGATGGTGGGGGGAGTGGTCTCCGGTTCTCGCTCATTCTGATTGTGTCAAAACGCTTCGGAAGGTACCTGGCTTCCCATGGGCTTTGAAAAGTGGTTCAAGTCGAATATCGGTTGGATGGACTAGATGATAGAATAAGTTGGAGTGCCAGGCCAGGGTCTGAACCTCTTGCCCCTCAGAAGCTTGGAGGACTTACTGTTAGATGCGTGGAGTATGTCCACCCCACTGGACAAGGAGGCCAGGCCAATTCAAACTAGCGGCGGTGTACCGAGCAAGAGCCATAACATTCGCCCAGGAGCTATGGTGGTTAGTGCGCCTCGTGGAGGCGAGGGAGGTGTATTTCAGTACGACTTTAGAAAGTCGATCTAGGGCCAAAGTTTCTAGCATACCCGGGGTTTGAACTAGCCACTAACTACACTTTGCACTACGATTATAGGCACCCAGTCACAGTATGAGATAAAGAGGCATCGGATTAAGGAGGCTATCAACGACATTTTCCATAAGAACGCGAGGCTACACCTAAAGTATAGACGGCCAGACCCAATCAAAGACATCCCTACGGTTTACTACATTATACCTCCCAAGAATCGATGTGTTCCGAGCGCTGAATTGGCATCCGCGAAGCTTATTCAATCCTTGTGCGTCTAGCGCCTTAGGGATCGCCGAATATAAGAAGAATCACTTGACAGTTATTACGGGAAACTGCAGCGTCTAAACGCACCGGTCTAGCGTAAGAAGCTAAGCTTTTTAGGATATGTGGTTCTCGGGGGCGCACCTTAATCGTATCGCGCTAAAAAGATTACCGATCTCCCTTTCCCTTAGGCTAGCTTCCCGAATCTAAAAAGAACCTCGGCACCTGACTTATTAGAGACAGTTAGAATAGGACTATCCACCGACTAGATCCGGAGAGTGGTGATTATTAAGTAGTCTTAGAAGACGAAACTATGCAGCTGTCTGCTGGAGAGAACTTAGGTTTAAATGGTATCCACACTGTGACTATCGGCGATGAAACATTCGTGTATTATACCAATAGCCTAAAGGAGCCGCTTAATCGAGTGCGAATCGATCCTATTAGCGGCCGTGTAACCGATCCTTACATAACGCTCATAATAGGTGTCTATGGCCATAATTTCGTTTATGACCGAGCGACTGGAGATATTTTCGTGGCTGGCGCGACTAGCGTGTTAGAGGTGAAAACGATAGAACTCTCTACGTTGTCACATCTGATGCACTGGCTCCCCCTGTGAACGGAGGTCCAGGGATCGGATGCGGTCTTGTATCAACAACGCATCATTAATCGTGTCAACTTGTCGATTTTGAAACTCAAGGTTGGCAAGAGCAATTCTCTTTGAATTCGACTATCGTCTGGGGTGAACTTAATCTGTTCCACTGGGTGGTTGCTCTCGATGATGCGATTGCCAATATCATGAAAGAACCCGGCACGAGCTGATACATAGTACGCGAAATTTCAGGTCACGCCATAACATGAATAGAAGCCGCGTTGGCTTAGAAAAAGTCCGGCGGCCTGATCCTATAAAGAGGAAATATGATCTGTAGAGTGGGGGGTTAGACAGTGAGTAAGCGCGCGGTCAGACGTAACTAGTCAGCGTTGACACATACCTACAAGTCGCTGATTATGACAATGATTAAGTCGGATGTCATGGTAGGCTTTGAATGATCATGCATGACGTGAAGCTTATCGGATGATGGTTCATGTGGGCCTTCTTCGCCAAACCGTTTTGGACCTAGTTTAGTGATGCGTCCGTCTTGAAAATTTCCCGTGTATTAGTAGACTCGTATTATTGTAGTTCAAAAGTCTGAGTCTAGAAACCAGAGAAACGGACCAACTAGATTTTCTGTGGTCAGTCTTGAAAGGTCATTCTTGATGTCTTTAGAATCATTTTTTTGATTACAAAGGTACCAACCTTTTGGTCTTTCTTTCAACTCAATGACTACTAAGATGGGTTTGAAGATTTGTCGGGGTTTCAAACTCATGAAACCCCACTGTACAAAAGTTCTGATACGTCTTGGATTATATCAAATAGGAACTGGTATTGAAACAGGGCGCACCACATGAAAAGTTAATCTATGCTAAAGGCATGTAGAAGGGTAGTCTAAAGTAGATCCCCAATTCTTACAAAGCCCTTGTTTCAGCATCGGCAGCTCGGTGGTCCGTGAATCGCAAATATCTTCCTCAGATATTTCACCTTGAAAATTGTGGCCAATGGAAGGACGACAACATAAAGCAGAAAAGGGAACTTTTTACGAGCCAAGACATACTTTCGAACAGTACCGGGGCTCTAGCCACTCAGTGAATAGCAAACACCTAGCAAACTTTGATCCTCCTCTACGATAATGCCAGGATCATCGAAATCCCGAAATCCCGAAATCCCGAATCCTTGAAAGTCCCGAGATACTTGACTTTTACCCGAACTAGAAGATCAGACACTACGTCATTGCTTAGAATGAGGAAAAGCGACAGACAACTGAGACAATTCTTACATCCAAGGGATTCCTGGAGATCGTTGGTTTGGTACTGGCCGATCTGCCTTCTTTCGCTATCTTGGTAGAGACTTATGTACCAAAATACGGTCAAACGGGACTAACACCACTGTCATCTCCTGTGATTAATGGCTCGCCTCTGATTGTCGCGAATTTGCAAGGAAGCTCAGCTAGGCGTAAACTCCGTGAAAAGAAATATATAAAAGGAAGTCAAGTTTCCAGGTCTTCTCAACACTACTTGACAGACAGAAGTTTGTACACCAACTCCTGACGATTTCCTCTATTTTATTTTTCGCCTACGCCTACACAATGTTATTTCCTTCAGTACTTCTTCCTCTACTAGCAGCATTCGATATAGGTGTGAATGCACTGCCTGCAATCACTCAGCCACTCGCGAGCTACAAATGGCCAACCCAATTTGTAAGAAGCGGCGAGGCAAACATTCAAGTACTCGTTCAAGGTGCAGGACCAACTGTTGTGCTCCTACCTTCCTACGGACGAGATGGTGGGGATGATTACAATTACTTCACCGATTCCCTGGTGGATGCAGGGTACCTTGTCCTGCGTCCGCAACCACGGGGTACTTTCCAGTCTACTGGACCCATGGAGAACGTCACTCTACAAGATCTTGCGGCGGATGTCGCGGCCGTAATTGATTCACTGGGCAATGGGCAAGCCATTGTGATCGGCCACGCTTTCGGTACATTCCTCGCCAAAGTTAGCTCTGTCCTGTATCCGGAGAAAATCCCTGCGATCGTCGTGGCAGCTCCAGGCGGCATCGACTTGCCCACAACTATCGCCGGAATGCCTTTTATCGCGGGAAACACCTCTTTACCTCTTTCTGAGAGACTCGAGGCTCTTGAAACGGCGTTCTTTGCACCCAATCATGACGCGCACATTTGGCTGGAGGGCTGGTATCCCGAAGTTCTTGCTATGGAACACGCGGCTGTGAACGCCTACGGTAGCCTGGCCTCACACTGGGCTGGTGCCGATACGGCACAAGTTCTGGAGCTGATCCCTGCGGACGACCCGTTTCAGCCAGAGTCGGAATGGAATGTCACGACCACTCGATACCCGAACAGAGCGACCTCGAAAATCATCGCTGATGCCTCCCACGCCCTGTTCCCTGAGCAGGGAAAAGCTGTCGTGGAGGCCATTCTGCCTTGGTTGGACCTTCAGAGCTCCAAGGTGTGAAACCCATTGTATACATCTGATGAAACGGAATTGGGCGACGGATATCGGTGATACAGGCCTTTATTGGAAAGGTAGAGGAGTGAAGAGAGGGGTAGAGAGGAGATACAACGCAAGTATGAATAGAAGGTAGAAGCTTCATAGCAATGGAGAACGATTAAATCCCTAGATATAGAAAAGTTATCCTCCATTTATCCTTCCATGCTTGACTAGGCCGCACTTTGTTCGAAGGTGCTCGTTGCAAGCGTGGATTGGCAAAGCCTTTGTTCGACAGGAATAGACCTAGATATTTAACTCCCAAACGCCAACCATGGAGCTATGGAAGGCAGGTTTGTGGAGACTTAAAACACAAGATATTCTTTGATGTTGGTGCCCTGGCTAAGTTATTATCCTCGCTATATCTTCATCATTTTGGAACTCATTCAGCATTTGCTGCACAAATCGCATCATCTCATACTGATACACCTGCTCCTTGATGACAAGAGGGTTTCCGAAATTTGTAGACTGCTCCATGTAAGCCCTCTCGTTAAGCACCGGCCGTCCGTTTCTTAAAAAGTAAACCGCCAGACGGTATAGGGACAGGCTATTTGAGATGAGAACACTTCCTGCCATTTTGTCGTAAGGATTGGAGAATTGTGCTCTAAATTGCTTCCAAATGCCATACCACGTTTGTAATCCTCTTTCGAGGGCAGACATATCCACTGGCAGAATTGAGGTCTGGGCTTCTAGTAGTAATGAATGCATGGCCAAGACCAGCAGGTTCATTCCAAACGTGGTTACGTGTGATGCCGAGATGACCTGTCCGACCAACAAGCCTCTCACGGAGGATAGGAAACAGCTAGACGGGTCCTGTGCCGAGAGCTGAGCCCACGAAGACGCAGAGCAGGCATTCCAAGACGATTCATCGCAAGGAAACGATGCTCTTGTATCTGTCGGTGAGAGCAGTGGCTTACTGCCACAGAGTATTGATTGGTAGCAGTCCACTGCATAAACGCCCCAAAGGACTCTCTTCTCTGACTCCTTTCGAATCCAAGCTTTCCAAGATAGTGCATTTCGTGCCGTTCTGGAGCATTCCCCGTGGATTTTTAGGAAGCCTGCATGCCGTATCGTGGTGATGAGGAGTGGATGTAATAGTCGCGACGCAGCCCGCTCAGCGACTCCGCCGTTTGCCATAATAGCGAGTTGCAAAAGTACTAGCGCTTGCATTTCTTCGAAGGTCGGTGACTGACCGTCGGAACGGAGACAATATTTGGCCAGAATTGAGGGAAGGGATCCATAGATAAGTCTTGCGTCTGATAGGGATGATGAGTGACTGCCGAAGCCAGCACCGATGAAGCATATTGTTCGAAGAAGCACCGACGGTGAGGAGGCCAGGCAGAATGTTGGTATATGCAAAAGAGGGAAAAATGGGTGAAAGTGGGAAAAGAAAAGCCTTGCGTATGTCTCCAATCGCAGCACTGGGATAACTTCTGGGCGTTCTAGTTCCAGAGTATAGTCGGCTGGAAGCCGGAAATTGTCAGGGCAAAGAAATCCTTCACAGGTTCCTTTGTCTGGAGCTATGTTTGAGTACGCCAGTGTGGCGATACGTTCCTGGGGCGGAGTTGGATTGCCGGATGTTGACGTCTGATCTTCTGGGCTCCATGTCCAAAAGCTCATATCGGTGAAGTTTTCGAGGTCAGCTAGCCGAGCTAAAAAGTCGGTTTCATCGGTCAATGGTGTGGCCAAGAATGAGATGTCATCGGGTTGCTGATTCGATGACCTCAAGTCCGGACTTTGGGTTTGCAATGGCATATCTTCAGAGCCTGTTTGTGGTGATTGAATGGAGCTGCTCTTCGTGGATCTCCGTGGCCGCTGCTTCCGATCGGTCCTCACACATGGCAAATCCTTTTGCAGGCATCGTGAACAGGGCGACCCCTTGTTGGCAACATCACATCGGACCTTAGAAGCGGCGCAAGCGACACAGCTCTTGTTCATTTTCGTCAAAGATAGACGGCCGGGAAAAACGGCATCGGATTTTGTCAGTTTGGTGGCAGGAGTTTTGTGAAGGGGAAATCCCGAAGGCAGATCGAAAGCCACGTTTTAGCCCGATAAGGCGTTACTTGGTGACAGCCACTTACTGGACTTTTTCTGGAACATACAGTATGCACACCGTAACGTGGATTACCACCGCCGGATTGTGTTAGTGCTTACTCACGCTGACCAGATCCTTATCGCGCTTCCGAATGACGATTGGGCTTCTGATGTGAAATCCCGAAGTCCCGATGGCCCTAATGGTCAAGGGCCACACAACTAGATGTCGACTGCTTTATAAAGCCAATTTATCGACCACAAAGAAGATTCTACCTCTCGCGTCAAAACAACCCGATTGAATATTTAACATTTTAAGATTACGAGTATTCGGATCCCTCGATCGGAAAACAAGTCCAATCATCATGTCGGAACCCAAAGTCACCGAGGGAGTCGAATCGTGTACTTCGCCAACTCGAACATGGTTCGATCGTTTGTGTCTGGTGCAGAGACATCAAGATCCCAAAACTCACTCCCCGTGGCAGAAGCATGCCATTGTCATGATCGTCACTCTATCTGCCTTCACCGCGCCTTTCGCCTCCTGCATCCTCTTCCCGTCTTTCACCACTCTCGTCGATTATTTTCATACAACCGAGACAAAAGTCGCCCTGACGACAACCGTCTTTCTCCTCGGTCTAGCGGTTGCTCCTTTGTGGTGGAGTACGTTAAGCCAGGAGTATGGTCGCCGACCTGTGCTCGTGTTCAGCTTCTTGGTCTCAACGGTCGCTGTGATCGTCTGCGCCGTGTCGAATTCTCTCCCTTTGATCATCGTCTTTCGCCTCATCGAGGCACTGGGCTGTTCATCCGCACAAAGCGTGGGAGCAGGTGTCATCAGCGATATTTATATATCCACGGAAAGAGGATCGGCGCTAGGATGGTTCTACCTCGGCACATTGATCGGACCTTTGATCGCTCCCATCATTGGAGGTGCTCTTCAAATTTGGCTTGGCTGGCGATCACCGCTATATTTCATGGCCATCTTCACATTCATTACCGCAATCTTCACAATGCTGTGTCTTCCTGAGACGTTGGTCACAGCTTCCATGGATGACCGCGAGGAAAAGCTTCGGTGGCACCAAAAAGCAAAGCGTGACGCCCTGGCACCTCTGTCAAAGTTGAAATTCCTCTTAGTGCCATCGATCTCTCTGACAATCACCTATGTGAGCATCTGCTTCGCCAGTCTCTACTGTTTCAACACGACTCTTCCTTATGCATACGCGGCGCCGCCCTACAATTTCTCTTCTATCGAGATCGGACTGTGCTACATCAGCAATTGTCTTGGATACGCAATTGGAAGCGTCGTTGGTGGTAAACTGAGCGACGCCAAACTCCGTAAATATCAGCTGACGCATGATGGAGAGATTCGCCCGGTTGAAAGGATCAGGACCGTATGGTACGGTGTTGGCTTCGTTCCAGCCGGCCTGATTATCTATGGCTGGCTGGTCGAAAAACACGTCTTCTGGGTCGCACCTCTGGTTGGTGCCTTCCTTTTTGGACTAGGACTTATGCTTGTCACCTCGACCATTATGCCCTTCCTTGTGGATATTAAACCGGGGGTGGGTGCTTCTGTTGTGGCTGATCTCAACTTGGTCCGAAACATTCTGGCCGCTATTGGCACTGTTTTGTCTCCGATCGCCGTAAGTAATATTGGCTTTGGATGGTGGATGACTATTATGGCCCTACTATGCTCCTTGGCGGTCTTCTTGATCGTGATTGTTATTTGGAAAGAAGGAGCTGGAAACAAGCCGGACTCGGAATCTGTTGTGTGAGAACTATTCCAGTCTGTAAGATAAATGAGTCACTATGAAATAACCCTGATTACGATAGTATATAGATAATTCTAATTATTACCTCTGCATCCGGATGATCTACAGTAAATTAGTGTCAACCCTAATATACAATGTAAATATATTTCGGCAATGCCCCTACATTTAGCCCGTTCTCGCTAATGAAGTAAGTGTTCTTGCAAATTTGATATCCTGAAATATTTGGTTAGCTAAAAGAGTGGGCTGACTAGTCCGAGATCTGATATTTGAAAAGGTTTCTTCCCTGGGCCGAATATACTCAAGGTGTACGTGGGCTGATATGGCACTCGATAGTTACCGTCTTACTGAGATCTTGGCTAAGCGTGGCGTTTTGAAAGCTCTGATATCTGGTCACAATTTGAATGCCTGATCAGAATTTGATATTGCCCTTTACAACCTTTGCGCTTGGCACCGAAGGTTGCGTAGCAATGAATTCCAGAGGTAGACTATCTGTGACAACTTTGGAACTGGGGCTTGGCAGTTTCCCGATTGGGTCAGGGGCGCGGTTTTGATGATGTGAAACTCGGAATACCCGTCTCTTTATCATTCTATTCAATTGTTGCCTAGAGGGATCCGTCTAAGCATTAACAAGGATCTGTTTTGGTAGCCGCAGGAATCTAGCAGGGTATACCTGGGGTCATATTTCGTTCAATGAATGCTTATACCTAAGAGAGAAACTACTATAAGAAGAGTTTTGACGAGCGTCAAGTGGGAAGCGCCATCTCCACGCTGTTGTAGTACATGCCAAAAAAGGTCTGGCGCTTTGATGGTTCCAACGAAGGGAGCATGTTCTTTATATATACACGTTGAACTTTTCTATCGCTCTCATCTATCACTTAGAGGGACAATTGAACTGGACATTACCTTTCAGCCAACCACAGCTCCTAAAGATGACACCGTAAGAGGAATAGCGTACCCGTTGTCTCCGTTGTCTACTGGGAATGCCGGCCGGCAGGTTGAGGTCAAGACTCGCTTGAGCATTGCGCAACACTCATATCTTCTGGGTCCCTGGATCTACATCTTTCTCTATTCCGATACGAACTCAGCGGCCTGGCTCTTAGCATCGCGTAAGAGCGGTCGTAGGTAGCAACTTAAGCCCGAGGTCACAAGAAGTCAGCAATTATACGTCATTACAAATAACAGGTGATGACGTTGGCTTTTCCATGTCAGATGGCGCCAAGTGCCGTGTAATTACGGCAGATATTCAAAGCTCTTTACAAAGCTCTCCTTACAGACCGGCGGCTCGGTGGTCCACAGATTGCAGATTGCAGATACCATATCCCCCCCTCCCCGAGAATCTAGTGACAGAAAAGGTAAGGAGCACGTAGTCTCCTGCGTTTTTTTAAGCCAGGACCTCTCAGAATCCAGGACAGCTCAGTAGCTACCTAGTAATATGCTTCAACGCTAATATGGCCTTATCGTTCTGAGGCTACGTAACCCCACACGAACTTGTGCTCTAGCTCATTTTAGATCAAACGAAACAATATCTTCTTCGCGTGACCATTTTCAGAAGCTAATACATAAATTGTTCTATGTATTACAAACAGGAAAATAACGCGTGGCTACTATAGAAAGCCATGACACTGATTCTATAGAAATTTGTAGAGGAATCAATTCACCACTGCGAGAGCGATGAGATAGAGAGGTCAGAAATGTACGAGGCGGCAGGTCTTCTTTGGTTGCTCACATAACCACCATTACTACCCCTAGCAGGCCAGCGGCAGTCGTCATCGGCTAGGCCTTTGTATCACAGCCTATCACAAGATACTTATGATCTACCTCCGGCTTAAGCTGGACTTTTCTTCATATTAAATTCACCGCTATAGATGGTCTGAACCCCGAGAGAAGGGGCTATTAAGGAGACTGAGAGACTGCCGCAACCTATGTCTGGAGCGGAGGTGCTTCAGACATTGCGAGTCTCGCGAATGTCTTCAAGAATGACATCAGTCGCCTTCTCACTAATCATGTAGATTGGAAGGACAATAAAGAATCCAGGAATGCGCGGGAAGACAGAGGCATCAACTATTCGCAGGTCTTTCACGCCGCGGACACGAAAACGAGAATCAAGAACAGCTTTTGGGTCTCCATCTGACCCTATAGGGCAGGTACATGAGGCGTGATGACCCCACGCCTCATTTCTGATAAACTGCTTCACCTGCTCCACAGAAGAGACTTCATAACCAGGTGACTGTTCTTCAGGAGGCTCATTATCGAACAGTGGCATCTTCTCCATGATGTGACGCGCGAAGCCAACACCTTCGGCAACGGCGTTCAGGTCCCGCTCGGATGCCTCTATCGCGGCCGCACTTGTGCCAAAGTAATTGAAATTGATATCAGGCACGTCCCGAGGATCGGCTGAGCTGAGCCTGACAGTTCCCTCACGGTTACGTGTATGAGCCTTAAGTACGGCCCACGTGAAATGCTTTTTGTCGAGCGTGGCGCGTTCAGAATGTCCAGGATAGTAGCCCTCAAAGAGGGTAGGGCCACCGAAGATGAAGAGATCAGGGTCCCCATCAGCATATTTTGACTTCTTCGCCATGCCAATGTCAAGTCCATTCGATAGGTAGGGTCCACACTGATGCATCCACTCTTGAAGGGCTGGGTCCCCAGGCTTTCCGAAGGTGCATTGTGCTATGGTCTGAAAGTCATTATTTACTTTGCTGACGACGGGAACCTCGTAGCGGTCCTGAAGATTGGTGCCAACACCCTGCATATCTTTAACAACAGGAATTCCAAACCTCTCTAACTCGTCTTTCGGGCCAACTCCACTCAACTTGAGGAGTTGCGGTGTGTTAAAAGCCCCTGCCGCAAGAATGACTTCTCGAGAGACGAGGACGCGGTGCTTGGTGCCGGCGGCGGATAAGCCAGACCGTGGATCAGCCTTGTATAGACTGCTGCCTTCGAGGAACTCGACGCCAATTGCCTTGGGCGTGTTTCCGATGACAGATTTCTCCTCAAAAAGCACACGTGTAGCGAGACAGCCTGTCATGATATGCAGTGGATGCTTCTTAGCCGTATTTACGATAAAATCCCGAGTGCCGCTTCGCTTTGCCTGGCTCATGGCCAGGGGTATATGATAGATGCCTTCAGTCAAATCCCGATGAGGATCACTGGAGTTCACGTCTTGCTGCAGGAGTCCAAGTAGTTGGGCGACTTTTTCGGGGACCATGCCAAGGATAGTATTTCCCATGGCAGTAGCAGCAGCAGTGATGATAGAAAGGATCTTTGAATCCCGCAGGGTCGATTCCAGATCAGCGCGGTCTGTATTTAGCCAACCAGTGAAGCCATGGCCAGAGGTACCAGTTGGAAGATAGTCGCAGTGTTCCAGGCGCCTGAAATACTGGCGCATATTCTTTGGGTCCCACGAAGTGTCGCCGGTGAGATTTGCAATGTTTGCCCAATCACTCTCGTGTGGATAGATGGTGATCAGAGCATTGTGTGCTGTGCAGCCACCAAGTGTTCCTGCGCGAGGGTAAAGAATCCCCTTCGGTTTCGAACCGCTTGGGGGATTCAATCCGACATATAATGTTCCCTCGGTTGTCTCCCAAGTCATTTTTGAATCTTGCTGCGCAAAGGTATCGTCCGCATAATGCTTGACGAAATAGTCCCAGCGCATTTTCTTGTCTTCTGTAGACAAGAAATGAAAGCCAGGAACCTGCTGGTGAATGTTGGATCCCTGGTCATCCCCTGCTTCGAGCAGGAGAACCTTATGGCCATTTTGAGCGAGATTAGCGGCCAAAGGTCCACCACCGGCCCCTGAACCGACTACGACGTAGTCGTAGCCATCAATTTCGTCGACTACCTCCTCTGGAAACGCATCATTATCCATACCTTTGGCACTTAAAGCCAGCCCAGGCACGAAAGTTGTGGTATCTTCGCTCATTATTACATGGGCAAACTCCGAGTTTCTTTTTGATTTGCCGAATATCTTCAGGTTTAGTCTGCGAGGGTGCTTTTAAAACCTTCTGTCAGTGGAACAAGGATCAGCAACTCGGAGTTTGAGAGCTCATCTTTTATGACGTTATTCATTACCTGACAAGTGAATTAATGTATTGATTGACGAATTATAGCTAACCATTCTTAAGTTATTATAATCTCACCACCTACGGAACGTTCCAGACTGCTGTTGTCGAAATTCACGCCATCACACTTAGTCTAGATCCAAGACCTACTCTAAAGAGGCTCCAGTCATTTTATTAGAGTGAAATGAGGTTTCTGTTAAGGAGGCTTTGTGCCATGTACACTGAGCTTCAGTGACGCACTTAGCTAGCATTTTTAAAGTCCGATTCCAGATGCTGTATTTTTTAGCGTATGCTTGAAGCAGTGCATTATAGGCAGAGTTATGCTTTCAATGTGTATTTGAAGGCTCAATATTGGCCAAAGAACCTCCAAGTGCTTTAAAAGAATCCATATATACCATACCTCAGTGCTTTGCCAACAGTAGTAATAACTACGTCAAGATACTTATGATACCATAATCATTACTGGTGTGAAGGCTATGTAACAAAGTTTTGTACTACACAGAAGAAGATGATCGACTGGTCATGGCATCCCTAAGCTTTCCTCATCTGTATCATATCATATGATAGTAGTTCGTTTCACCTCATTTTAGTATTAGAAGCGGCCCCATTAATAATATCATCAATATACAGTCAAATGCACGCCAAGTCTAGTGTAGTTTGGATGGCTTTTAACTTGACCGATGACTGATATCTCTGTGATAGTCCAAGGGTATAATGATCATGTCGCTCGTGATTAATTACAAATTCCTGGATGTTACAAGCGATGGTGCCACATATATGTTGGGATTATTCGACAACGATTAGCCTTTGTCCGATCCGATGTACTTTGATCCAAGCGAACGACTAACAGCATTTGCCGCCGCCTAACACGACATATAGCTTTCAACTAAGTTTCGTGCGACGTGGGAGAAAATATCTGGATCTAAGGACGATACATCCAAAAGGATTTAGACCTTAATCTAGAGCGTTGGTGGCGCTGCTGGGTCATTGCGACCGTGTATGGTTTTGTTTGCAGGACTGGTCATATGACATCATATCTAATCAATGGTATGGGTTCGCAGTTTTTGACCCGAACCGACTTCCGTATGAATAATGCATATATAGTCAGCCCCCAACAGTATGCATATCGACATTCTCATTGAACAGTTGACTGCTCATATTTCCATTCAACGGTGATTTGAAAATTCATACATCAACTGCGGAGCAGCTATCAACTTATTTACAACAGACTCACTACATATCAAGAATATCAGTACGCCATGATTCGTGCTCCTCGCATCTTGCCAACTGATCCGGCAATACTGGTAATTGAAGGTGGCCCTGCCATAATCCAGCCGCAACATTCCCATCGTCCTGGTATGTACGACAATCCAGATGCTATTACACGAGGTACCTCCCAAATTGAAGCAATTAATCCGAGCGCCCCGCCGAGTGGCCCGGGTTGCGTGGATTGCGAGGCTGCCAATGCGTGGTGGTTCCATCTACGTCGTTGTGCCCAGTGTGGACACATCGGCTGCTGTGACTCGTCTCCCTCACAGCATGCCTCTAAACATTCCATGGCGACGGAACATCCTATCATTCGCAGCTTTGAGCCTGGCGAGGATTGGTTCTTTGATTACCGCACGGAGGAAACGTTTCTAGGCCCGCCCTTGCTGCCACCATTACATCATCCAGTCAGCCAGCCAGTACCTGGGCCCAGAGGAAGGGTGCCACGGGACTGGGAAAGTCACTTGCATCTATGATGAATCCGTGCCTATCCAAGTTATGTTCAGAGGCCAAATTCTACCCTCCATTCGCCCTTTCTTTCATTGTGTTGCAGGACCTTGTCATGTCATCTTCTTCTTCTTTAGCTAGATCCCTTCCTAAGAATCTATCTAGCCAATCCAAAATGCAGAATTTTGATTCCTTCTTTCGTTTCCCACGGGTTATGAGTTTGAAGTTTCACTGCTAGTAGGATCTCACCGTTTTATTAGCATTGTGAGTTTCGTCAGTTTCGTCAGAAACCTGTCATGTATGCCACCTGATGCAGTGTCTCTATGCGATTAACAACGACATGATTTCTGCTGCCATGATGCTAGCAACTGCTACATAACAGTTCCGGGACACCATGGGGAAGCCACATGGAGAGCAACGCCGTCTGGCCCACCAAGCCTCAAGCGGCGAAATACCTGAGGCACTAGGTCAAACTTTTGCCTAATGAACTGTTGGCATATCAAACCAGAGGGACTATAGTCACCACGGCTCCAGCCGCTTCGGCGGCGAATATCGCGATAAATATACCAAATACCTTTTACAAGGGATATTTTAAGCTTATACACATACTGCTAGAACGAGGAGCTGATGTCAAAGTCCAGGGGGGGCGGTTCGGAACTGCCCTGCAGGCTGCTTGTGAGGGTGGACACAACAGGGTTGCGCAGATACTGCTATTATATAAGAGATTTAGTAACATCTTCGGATCTATTATGGATGTTACGACACGTGCCCAGGCGCACTAGCTAAATCGGCAAAAAGACCAACTATGCTAGAACATTATGTTCTACGACCGCAGCGACAGGTGACCCGTTATGGGCAAATTACACACTCCTTGCTCCACTTGACTGCGTGAGGTCACCAATAAATAGACATTTTGAATGTAAGACATCTATGATCTCCTGGGAATGCCACTAGACTCCTTCATCGCCCACCTAAAAATTATCATCAAGTTTGTAGTTGGCAACTTCATATCTATGCGAGTGGTCAGTGTGGTTCACAGAGCATTGAGATAGAAAAAAGCTGACTCACCCCGTAGCCTGCCAGTCTATTCCCATCTGAGAGGCAACTGCCTCTGCAGTACGAGCCACATCAAAGTAGCCACCCCAAAAGAAATATTTTCCTTTGACTTGCGCAACGCGATTCTCATCCTTCAGGACAACTTCAGATGGCTGCTTGAGGCCGTAGATCATGAAGTCGTTGAGCTCCTGCTGCCCGCGTGTGTCTATCATGTGAATTAAATGATGTTAGTGCGGGCATTCCGTTACCTGCTGGACCACCTGAAAGTTTGAACGTACCCAAAACATCCAGTCGGAAGGAAAGATCGTAAAGTCCGTATTTAGCAATACCCATGTTGTTAAATTCGTTATGTGGGAGAACGTTCAATGTCGTTGCATAGGACTTAGTAGCCTCTTCTGTGTGCATCATCATAGCAATTCCATCCGCTGCATCCGATCGCTGGAACCCCGAAAAGGGTAGTATATACAGATTCTCAGGCTCGTCTTTAGAGACATGGAAGCGACGACGACCAAAGACATCATCCATGTAATCACGGAAACCTCCCCGTTGATCAGCAAAGGACCAGCAAAGTCGGATATGATTACTATCACGGATCAGCTGACCATCCTGTCTGCTACTTCCCTGTATCTTTTGAACTCTCCAATATGGAGCGGCACCAGCATCAGTGACTGCAGGAAGGTAGTGGCCTTGTTCGTTCCTGAAGACAGTCAAGTAGAGTTCACTATCTTTGCTGTACGACTTCAAGCAGATGAGAGAGCCATCTATGGAGGTTTAGCAATCATGACTGTGGACAAAGAGACAGAAGACTTACATATCCAAGTGACGCTCCAACCTCTGCCTTGAACTTTTCCTTTTCGGTGGTCCACGTCTGCTGATCAGAAGATGTAGTAGTCCGAGTGGTCTGCAGAGAACCACCCAAGATGACTTCATGGCAGAATAGATGACCTGGTGTGGTTAGGCTACATATAATACCTAATCTTCATAGGAATGCTCACCAAACATCTCGTGCAGCTTACGGAGCTCGCTCAGCTAGACTAGGATTAAATAGAAATAACTAATGAGGTGTCTGATCAACTCAAATCTTTCGTCGCCTGAACTTTGGCAATGGCATCCCTCAGCTCTGGCGTAATTTCAAGGTCTTCTGGACGTAGATATAGAGTAGCTCTTGGGAACTATGAAGATTACCGTCAGATGATCCAGAATAAGCATCAAATGGAACTTACGTTGTATCCAGCAATCATTGTTCGCTCTTTGTTATCGTTGGCTGATCCAGAGCCTGTTGCTTTCTCCTCAGTGAACCCTCCACTGGCCCTAGCTGAAACACCAAAGAAACTACCAGAGCTGCAGGCTATTCAGTACTCAGAGCTCATCATGGTTGCATATGAAAGATTTACTTACGCAGCAGCCTCGAAGCCATTCATTGAAAAATTATTCTTGGCCATTGATACATGAATCTCATGGTGGGCCACTGTGAACTCGATCTTTGAATTATCGTTGACCGTGAAGGATGGGAAAGAGGGGAGACGCTCCGCTTTGTTGTCCCTCGGTGGTGGATAGGCATTAACAGAAGCAGGAGCAGTCTCAGAGGCGGATCCAGAAGGAGGGGTAGGTTGAGAAGCAGAGACAGGCTCTGGTGCGCTCTCCAGAGAATGATTAGAGTTCTCATCATCATCGACGGTTTGACGGTCAGAGTCTCTCTCTGGAATCAAGAGGCTTTCATTGCTCATCATCAAATTCGTAGATACCCCTGAATCACCTGTGGGCTGTGTTTCTTTATCTTCCGCATCTTGCTCTTCGTCTTCGTCTTGGCCTTCGCCTGGTGCTCCGGGTGTTTCTCCGCTTCCTTGCGGCTCCTCTTCTCCTGTAGCTGCCGCTGGTTCACCATACCCAGTGGATTGAGGATCAACTCCTGGTAGCAGTGGTTTTGTCGTTCTCATCTTTTCACCCAGTAAAGGAGGGAGCGCAGTAAGCTCTGCAGGCATATTCAAGCCCGGGAGTAGACGGAAGGCTAAGGACAGCTTGTTAGTAGGGCAACATCTGATTAATGAGCGGGATGACTGACCTGGCTTAGGGGCCTGTTTAATCTTTTTGGTCTGCATATCAACATACCAGCCATGCATTACTGAGCTGTTTCGTAGAACGGTCTCCCATTCCCGTTCGTCAAGTTCTCCAGCGTGTCTATTCCGTTTAGTGGCCTGACATAGCGATACAGGGAGAAACCTACAAGAATTGTACGATTGGCCCTGCTGCTAGGGCCCGAATGTCAGCATTCTGCAGCCCTAACTTGGCAACGTCTACCCTTGCGTGCTTCATGTCTCCTATTGTTACCCCTTTTCCTTTGGCTAGATCCTGAGCGCAGTGGAATTAGCTCCGAGTCATCAATGAGGGCAGGAATAAGTTCCATCTTACAAAATTAGGAATTTCTCTCCTGCATCTCCGTCACCTAGGGCAGATGTGGCTGCAGTTGGTGGTTCTTTCTTAGGGCCAGTTCGCCTAAAGCTGACGGAAAATGTAGGAAGATCACTCGAAGCGTCTTCGGGGGGTCCCCGTATGGGATTCAATTAGAACATTTATCTCACTCTCTGCGTAACGAGACTCACCTCCTTAACTAAATAGCTGCGCAGCTTCATCGTGTCGGGCACAGCAGTCCCGTCTCCGTAACAGAAAATCTTGGAGGAGCGGAATTGCGACCTGAGTGCCGATGGTTAGATCTGACACGTGGACAATTTTGACTTGACTTGATCATGATGTACATATTCTTGATACGTTTCCTCAAGTGAGCGAGTGTCACATTCTGCCATTCCTCTTTCCTAAACGCTGATGACATGAGAGACTCCTCGCTCGTGCTCTCTTCGTCGTTGAAAATGAATTGTAGCATAAGTTTTACACTGTCGAAAATGCCGGTGACCGTCTTGCTCTGCTCTTTGACATAGATGCGGTAAGAAGGACGTGTCTGCGGGACTCCCTGTTTAATTGTCAGTTAACTGCGCTTATCCTACTACCAACATTAGATGGACATGGCTGAGAGGTAAGAATACCTGTTTCAGTGCAGGCGACTGTTTCTTATCTGAGTCGTTGTTGATCTGCACTTTGACATCTCCAGAGGCGTTTCCACCTTCCTGGCTCTGACCCTCATCTTGGGCGTCACCACTCTGGTCCCCCACTTGAGACTGCTGTGGCTCCTCCTGCCTCTGCTGTGCTTGTTCTTGTCCCTTTTCGGAATCAATAGCCTCAAGATACTGAAGCATAGTCATCGTCTCTCGTGCCTGAGCTCCATCTTCCAAGCAGGAGCCAAACTGGTACGAAATACTCTCGACCATATGCGGTCGGAGTTGCTCCAGTTTCATTGCCATCAACTCTGCTTCAGTATTGCTGCATCTTCTATCAGCTGTGATTCGTAAAAAAATGAAAATGGAAGGATAGGGGATATTGCAAAGTACGTACCCAATTGGAGGAAGGATGGCCACTGACGATGAACCATGGTCACTTCCCAGTTTGAACACCTTTATTGCCAACGGAGAGGATCCAACAGGAACAACAAAAGGACTAACAGGCACAGGAGGAGGTACATTCGGGCGAGTCTATGGTTTCGTGGGATTTCGTGTCCCTCGATCGGGTAGCTTCTTACCCGACAGTGGTCGCCCAGGGACCCTCTTCGTAGGTTGTTTGGTGGCAGGTTGAGGCATTTTGTCAAAGTTGAATAATAGAATCCACGAAAAGTAAGAACAATACCAACAAAATTGTAATAGGAAGGATGCTCGCCTTGAGAATGAGAGTGAAGGACAGCTGGTTATATGAATTCCGCCGCGAGTTGGCTTTAGGGGAGAATACCAACACACCACGACCTGGATTGTCGCAAGTTAAACACCTCAGGAATTCACCGTGTGACCGTTCAGAGGGCACGCCAAACTTTGTCGAGTGGTAAGAGATTTAGATGGCCGAGCTGCCTGTTTCCTGCGGTGGCGGCGCACTAGACATGGTGACTAGTGGACGCTAGTCATCACGGTGCAGTCAACGCCACGAGCATGTGGCATGGACTAGCCCAGAACAAGCATCTCAGGAAAGAGAAGCCAACGACAAGATAGGGGTCACATCTAGAGCGAGATATCACAAATTTTCTTTCTTTTTTGTAGTCAAATAAATGTCTCATAGCTGTTTAAGAAGGAAATTGTATGCGATCCAATCGGACTTTCCGATCCAGAAAAGGACAAGTAGGAAATTGAGAGACGGACAGACCAAGATACCGTTAAAGAACCCCCCACGGACGGTTGACCCAGAATTATCACTTCTTATCACTTCTCTCCTTTTTATTTTTTATCTTTCCTTATACAGCCTCCAGATAGTAAACTCGACACTTAGAATCATCATGAGCACTCTACTCCTCGCCCCGTACAATGACTCCATGCGCCTAGGACAGGGCTACAACTCCTTCCTTCAGAACCCTTGCCTTCAAAATGCTGTCAAGATCAGCGAGGATGATCTGGAGCGGACTGAGGTGATCCCAGAACAGTCGCAGGTATGCCTTCCATTACTCAATAGGAATAGGTGAGTACCATGCAAGCAGCTCTCTGACTTAAATCGATCATGGGTCACACCTGATTGATCTTATGGACACACCATCCCGCAAGTCCCTGCTGAGCCTCGTGACCCATGCGAGGCTAAATATGGTACTCACATTGCTCTATGTAGTGAGTTATGTAATTTATGTTCCTACTCTACCTAGCGATAGATATTGGAGCAAGTGCAAGCAAAGCCCCATTTTTCATAGTGATCTTCCGTAGACAAATCCACGGCGGACTATAGACGGCCATAACCCAGAATTTCTTCCAAGACCATTCACCGCTTTTCTTCCACCCGAAATACATTTCATGCTTACTACATCATTAGGATATTAACATAGAGATTAAGTAGGAGACTGTCTAGGAACTGTCTAGGAGACTACCTAGGAGGTTATACCTATAGACCGCCGCCTTGAGCAGATTGATTTAGGGACTAGTTCGAAAATATTACCGCCGAGGACTCGATTACAATATTGATAAAAGTTTATAAGATTATAATGATCTATAAGTCTTGAGACTACCTTTCTATCTTAGTTACAATCGTAATGATTAATAGGATTAGGTAATGAAGTGAGGCAATGAGAAGAGTCAAGAGGAAAATTACCCACATTTGGGCCGAACCAAAGACTACCAGGCTGAGATAAACATAAAACCCTACGAACGCGAAAAAAGAGATTTTAAAAAAGACCAAGACTCTCTGGATTCTTCACTGGGCGATTTAAAATAATAGAAAACTTGAATAGGTAAATAAATAGCAAGGCGAGGAAACAACTTCGGACGAGGAACGACTTTTCGACTCCGTGGCGCAAAGACTCGGACTCAACGTTAGAAGGCGGCGGATAGTGCCTATTTCAAACCCCGTTTTGTTCTTGATTTGTTGCCGGTACTGGCCCCGTATTAGGAGCTGTAGGAGCTCCTTCGTTAGCACCTGGAGTAGAGTATACAGGGCCGTCGTGGATTGGTTTTTCGGGATGAGTAACTGAGGGCGCATTCGCAGTTCGGCCGTGTACATAAACGTTTGCAATTTCCAGGCACAGGCCACAAAGCGTCCAAAAGCTGTGCGAATGGTGAGAATGAACCCTTGTTGAGGCGAGGGACCTTGTGGTGCTGACTTACAACGACAGAAAAGTAAATGCCTCGATGGCATTTCGCCTCCCGCAACCACTGTTTATGCTCCAAACATAGAAACGACACCCGCCATCCTCATAATTCAAGCCGTAGTTGGTTTGTGCAACAAATATAAACGCAGATAGCCATCTAATTGTTTTATCGGAGGATCAGCTTCAAGTCTCTAGGCAATAATGCGCAGAACAAGCTTGCCCGGGGTAGAGCAGGGTCTGACTTACAGCGCATAGAAGACTATGTCAAGTGGAAGCATATACCCACGGTTGCGGTGCATGCATGCAGTGAAGAGGGAGGGAATATAAAATACTACACTGAGTACCGCAATGACCAAGGTGAAGATGACCCGGTAGCCCTTCAGATGGGTGACCGACCACGCGGTAAGACCCATGACGATTACTGCACTGATCCATAGGGCCAGGCGAACCGCAAAGAGAAACGGTCGAATAATTTCACTTGCCTCAGTCATAGTTGACTATCCTTTGTATACTGTTGAGATAATAAAAGGCTGCCAGAACATTCACCAAATTTTGTTCGTGGTTGAGATCGGATTAAATGCTTTATACTATATGTTGGGGGGCACAAAGTCGATGACGCACTTATGAAGCTTCGTACCGAGATTAGCTGTCAAGTCTCCGAGCCCGCGGATCTTGACTGATGACCAGCTGATAACCCAGCAGCGAATGAAATATTGTTGTGAGGGCTAGCACCTAAATCCGTATATAATTTACTAGGCGTGGCTGCGTGGTTGGTTGTCTGATCGGTGGATTCCCAAAGTGGAGATACAGCCTTCTCGGAAGGGTAATGCCATTTCAAGATATTTTCTCTAGCTATCCATTCCCGACGGGTCGAGGCCTTATTATCAGCGTCTGATTCTAGACCTAGAATCTAGAGGAATGAATTCAATTGGACGACAACTTACGCCTGTTTCGGATTGCACTTCGAGGGTAGTAAGGAGGATCAAGGCTCGCTACAGTGCGTGTGAGCGAAGACTATGATCAGAGGTTGAAGCCGACGAGCAGGCTGTGAGGCCCGCTTTTATGTCCTCTATCTCACAAACCCCCGTTGCAGGCTCATGGTGGAGCTGCAGGCGTGACACGCAGGAAGTAAGAGGAGTCCCGATGCGGTAAGGCATGGACTGTCATGGATGGGGGCGCTGATACCAAGATAGAAACCATCACAGTAACGGGGGCGATTGCCACGGTACCGGGAAAAAATAGTATGCACAACTGTCTTGGTCCCCTCTAATTATCACTGATCGGATAACAGTCTGGTCCTTCAATTTTTGCTTTGTGTTTTCGATGGGTCGTTTTCCTACCAAAAGAAGTCGAACCTGTAAGGAATGCGGGAAGTGGTTATCGCGCAACCTTCACACACCTGTGGGGTCTTGGATAGATAGCACAGTGGTGTTTCATAAGTTTGACACCCCAACCAGACTTCAGAATCATCTCATCGGACACGCTTGGAAAGACGAATTGAGATATACTGTCTGGGCTTTTCGGAAAGATAATTCAACAGACATTCCGAAAAATCTTCTGAAACAGAGGTGGTTGGAGCATGGTCTGTCTATGCCTTTTCTTCCGGCTTTTGTTTCAATTGTATGGACATCCACTGCAGGACCAATGCAATTTAACACGGGATTTTTTTGGTTAAATGTCTAAAAAAAACATACATTAAAGCATCTAAATCCTGACTGCTTTCTACATGGAAGTTTAAATGGTCTTTTTAATCGATTCAGGGGTCAGCTGATTTCTACATAAAGGGTTCGAGGGAAGCTAGCTTGTCCAGGTCTAGAAGCTATCGAAGACCATCTCATATCAATCTTGGGCGTGCCAGCCTCCCAAGGCTGCTCGTTATCTTGTAGCAGGGTACATTCCCACCGATTATGTGAGCGCACAGCCAGCAATCTCACTTTCCCACGTGAGAAATATGACATTTAGAAAGGCAAAAAGCCTGATAAGGATGATCGTGGGGCCGTTGAAGCGGCCAAGTTACTCAACCCGCGTGCTAGCGCCGCTGCACCTACTTTGAAATTAAGAGAAGTCAAATGGAAGATGACTCAGATTACCTGAGGGGAGTGGAAGTAGTTGACTATCTCATGTAATAATCTCCCCACGTTTGTTCTGGGAGGCAGGGAGCTACGAGAGAGGGGAGATGTATTGCACGAGCTCCTTCTTCTCCGTTGAGGATTGCGATTGCGACCAGATGATTTCTTGCAGTGATCTGCTGAATGTTTCGTATTACTGGATTGGTGAAAATTTTTTGCTAAGGCTGTGACCGCGCTGTTGAGGCGGGGTTCCCATTAGATACTTGTTCCTGTGAGAGGAGTCGCGCAATGGATCATGGCTTCGTGCGTACCGGGGTCCATCTGCGGATATTGCCTTGCGCATGCTATCAGTGAGTATAGACGAGCTATCGGTAGAATGGTCAGCTCTGAGTAAGGTCAAGAGAAGCAAGGACGTCACAAAGAAACTGGCCCAGCGACATGTCAAGTGTAAGGTCCTAGAATGTGTCAGAGGTCTAGCGCATCGTCTCCAGCTTTTCCCCCGAGCTCGCAGTCGCACACGATGTCGTTTCCATCGAGCATCTGGAGTGCGATCGGTTCCCGCCATCTCTCATCCACATTCGTCTCTTTAGATGTCTACTTCAGAGGTGCGGACAACGCCGCCCGAATTCCTATCGAAGCTCATCTGGTGAAGAACTTAAAAGCTAAGCTCCTCATCATCATGGACTTTGACGCAAAAACAGGCTCCCTTGACCAGTGAGATCGCTCCGGTAGTGTCAGCAGGCGGCTCAAGAACATGATCGATTCGACGGCCTTCGATGGGAGATTTAAGGTCAGTGAGGGCGACCCCGTTTGAGGTTTAGGGTCAGGGGTTAACTGTCTTTGCTCGAGGATAGTAATCGTATCCTGGCCAGCTTCCGCCGAAATCCCGCCGGTCGAAGTGTGAGTGACATGAGTACTTTTCTGCACCGAGGAAGGCTGTGTGGTCCGTAATGCATCGTTGTCGGTCAATTCGAAGCGATGGGGATTGGGGCTCGCCTCGGTTCGGCTTGGTAGACTGCGCCGCAAAGGGTCCCAGGGATTGTATTCATATGTGTACCACAACTGACGCAGCCGTTATCCAGTCATCAGGATCAGGATGCATAAGAAAGACCACGAAGCTCAGGCCCAGTTGACTGACATTGGCTTTCCTTGAAAGGTTGGTAAGGAAGTGCTCTTGACTTTGTTAGCCCGCGAACGATGCGGGATTACCATATGCAAGTTGCTTCGTGAGAATCTCGAAAATTATTTCTCCGAGAGCCCATGTATCTGTACCGTATAGAGTCCCTCGCTTAATAGATCCCACATCTACCAGTGACGCGGCCCGGACAACAAGCGTGTCTAGAATCAGTCTTCGTTATTTCAAGATCTAGAAGAATTAGCTAAGCATTCATGTCGCGTGGGCACTTTTTCTCAATTGAACGTAGGTAACCACTTCAACTGGGTCCATACCGTTCCTTGTCGAGACTGAATCTTTCTCGGATGTCGCGGTAGCCCTAAGGAGTCATGGGAAGCTGGTGGCGGCGCTAATTCGAGGAACATCTCCAAAACTAACGGCATATCCGAAGTGGGTCTATCCTCAACGGAAAAGAAATTCATGCAGCTGGTATTGGATCCTCCTAACACACAGCCGAAACGAGACGCTGTCATATTATACTCACGCTTAGATATGTCGGGCACGATGATTGGATATAAAGACCGCTTAGATTCACGGCTTCTGGAAGGGTTCGTTGGAAATACGTCGGCACCTAGTGTCCTTGTGTGTATTTTCAACGCCACAGATAACAAGCGTCTAATAGTAAGAACCCACAAGTGGTTTGACGGGTTCCTAGAATGCCTGGGTGGGTCCGGCAGGTCGATAGCGCTTAGTAGCCTCCCAGAAAGGCTTGAGTTAGGGGTCGGCCCAAGGACACGAATAAGGTTTACGGCAGCGACTTTTGTGTTTATTTTTTTTTCTCCAAATCAGAATTGCTTCTCATTTATGGCCATGCCGGAAGCCTGATTGATGCCAGATCGGGGCTGGAGTTGTTATAGGGCTGGCTAGGAGTAAAGCTCAGGCCAAGGAACGGCAACCTCCGGAAGTGTTTGCGCCCAGGCTTGTATCGCGTGGCTTATTCATTCGAGGTTTTTGACAGGGGGTCCACAAGCTATCTGGACCTCCTTGACGAGTACGACGAATTGTAGATTGCCGAACGCCCTGTCAGCTCAGCCACTCGGCTACTTTGTTTTGCACAGTATCTCTTGTTCCATCTTTGAATCAAGATTAGAGACGGCATGTTATGGCTTCGGGGTCACCGAAATTTTTAATTTTTTTTGAACAACCTATGCAACTCCGTACGACTACAGAGTCAAACAACCGACGAGAAAGCGAGAAGCCAGCATGAAAAATCGGTGGCGATTATCGCAGCTCTCCACATCGGTGGATCTTTCTCTGCTGTACCGTTGATCGTAGCTCGTCCGACCCTGCATCGACCCGCCAAGCTATGGACGCAGGTACACTACATATACGATGATAGCCCTGGACTGGGTTTCAGCGCGGTGTGGACAGGATTTTAAAGTTCAGTTCTGTGTGACATCACAATTGCCATGGCATCGCCATCACCATTCCTCATCACCGAGCATGTCATTGACTCTCAGCATGTCCGGGAATATCCCCGGGCGACAAGAACGGGCGATGACGCTCTGAAGCTAATGGTCAAGCAATATACCCCAAAATCAAATCCTCATCCCCAGCCAGGTGACCTGACCATCATTGGAGCTCATGGAAGTGGGTTTCCCAAGGTGAGTGGTCTTGACGATTGATTCGACTCCAGGACGGTAAAACCCGTTTAGGTTGTCCAGATAATTTGCTCACGCGAAGAGAAAGGAACTTTACGAACCGATCTGGGAAGGGGTCCTCTCACAACTAAGTGACAAGGGAATACGTGTCCGGTCAATCTGGATAGCCGACATTGCAAACCAAGCCGCGAGCGGGGTCTTGAACGGGGAATACCTGGGAAACGACCGTTAGTATGCTTTCATCTTCGCAAAATGAATCTTCCAGTTGACTCGGTTAACTAGCATCATGGTTTGACCATGCGCGAGACCTTCTTTACATGATCAACCACTTCAAGCGGGATATGCCACGCCCGATTGTTGGGATCGGTCATAGTCTCGGAGCAGGCCAACTGTAAGTTGCTTTACTATCGCGGGCTGGTATAACCTACCAAACGCCACTGGCTAATACCATTTGGTCCAGAGTTCTTCTATCAATGATGCACCCACGCTTGTTGACCTCTCTGGTGCTCATTGAACCAGTCATCGAGAAGGACGTCTATACCGGAAAGGGGCCAATCTTCGTCAAACTCTCCCTAGACAAGAAGGATACATGGGAATCTCGTGAAAAAGCCGCTTCCCATTTTAAGAAGCAGTTCAAGACCTGGGATCCGAAGGTACTCGAGCGCTGGCTGCAATACGGTCTGCGCAGCCTTCCCGATTCGGATGCCGTTACCCTCACGACCTCCCGCAGTCAAGAGGTGATGTACTACATGCGTCCTAACTTTGACAATCGGAAACGATTAAGCTCGAAGAATGACCCTTCTGCCATGAGCGATCACGATCCTTGCTTCCATGCCGACATCATCGGTCCCGCCCATGCGGTATATCCCTTCTATCGCAACGAGCCGATTTTGCTGTGGCACTTATTACGACACGTCCGGCCGTCCGTCCTTTACCTCTTTGGTGATCGTAGCCCTGTCTCAACACCGGATCTTCGCGAAGAGAAGTTGACACGGACTGGTACGTGCATCGGAGGCAGTGGTGGTTGGAAAAATCATCGGGTGAAGGAGATCACAATTCCTCGGACGGGACACCAACTTCCCTTTGAGAACGTGTCTCGAATTTGCGAGGAGACGGCAGGCTGGCTCAAACAAGAGGTTGTCCGATGGTCTGAGGATGAAGCGCGCATACTCGAAGGTTGGTTGGATGATACACCGGAAACACGAGCTTCGGTCCCCAAGGGTTGGCAGGAGCACCTCAATGCCTGTCTATCCCAGGCCACCGAAATGCCTAAGGCGCAGTCAAAATTATGAATGTAGATTACGCGTATATAGCGATACCCTCGTGTTAGAATAATATCGAAGATCTGAGCATTCTTGCTGCTAAATTAAAAGGTGCGGATCGCGAACATCTCCGATTATGCGTTCATGGCGATTGTGTTTCTGTCGTGGATTCTGTCGTGGATAGCGTGCTACATTTCGCCAAGAAGTCGCTCACCATGTACTTAGTAAGCTACTTTCCCAGATTGTTGCCTCGGGCAGAAAGTGTGTTCTCGGGAGTCTGGCAAGTTCCGACCGGCAAGTTCTAAAGAATGCCGATCAACTAGTGGTATCTGGCAATGTTGGTGATTTGTAGACTGTTGTTGACGCTATAAAGATAAGAAATTCCCCTTAATGCGGCATCCGAAGAGGCAAGCACGAACTGCTCGGTGCAACAACCTCCGGGCCTCGACGTGTAATGCACTGATTGTGAGTGGCCCACCCGCTGTGAACTGTGCCGAGGCAGTTTCAGGCCTCAGGCCTCCATTAAGATGCCGCAATCCTGATCTACTCTTGAATGACGAACTTTGAGGACACTTTATGTTAAGATTCATGGATGCCGCGGGAAGTGCGGTCATTCAGTAGAGTAAGAGAATCCTACCGCAGCTATTCTATCGCCCGATATTCTCGATCGAGTCCGGGATCTTAAATCTTGTTCACAAGAGATTTGCGGCGAATCATGACCACCCGAGTCGGCCGAGAAGCTCCCCGCAACTTTCTCTCCCCCGGACTCCATTAGCCCGAGCTGTTTAACTTCACCTTAATTCTTCCAACATTCCTGCTCTTTCGACACTTGTCACATTGTCTTGATTGCAAATTCTTCACATACTGCATGCGATATCACTAGAAACTGTTCTTTTCATATACCCTCCGCAGTCAACATGAGCCAAAAACTGACCGGCGCGGCCGTCGCCGAGCACAACTCCAAGGACTCATGCTGGGTCATTGTCCACGGAAAAGCCTACGATGTCACCGAGTTCCTGCCAGGTGGGTATTCCCGACTTCGTCTTTGTCGCATAATCTAATTGTGATATTCTAGAGCACCCTGGCGGCCAAAAAATCATTCTCAAGTACGCAGGCAAAGATGCGACCGAGGAGTTCGAGCCTATCCACCCTCCTGACACCCTGGACAAGTACCTGGACAAGTCCAAGCACCTCGGCGAGGTTGACATGAGCACCGTGGAGCAAGAAGAGAAGGCGTTTGACCCCGAGGAGGCCGGTCGTCTGGAGCGCGTAAAGCGGATGCCCCCGCTCGCCGCTTGCTACAACCTCATGGACTTTGAGGCCGTGGCCCGACAGGTCATGAAGAAGACGGCGTGGGCTTACTACTCCAGCGGAGCGGACGATGAGCTCGTACGTGACAGCCTTACTTTTCTCCGTCTGTTCACACAAAGACGCCATACTGACTACTTGCCTGCCTAGACGATGCGCGAAAACCACCACGCCTTCCACAAGATCTGGTTCCGCCCCCGCGTCCTCGTCGACGTCGAACACGTCGACATGACTACCACCATGCTCGGCACACCCTGCTCCATCCCCTTCTACGTAACCGCCACCGCACTCGGCAAGCTCGGCCACCCCGAGGGTGAAGTCGTGCTCACCAAAGCCGCTCACCAGCACAACGTCATCCAGATGATCCCCACCCTCGCCTCATGCTCCTTCGACGAGATCCTCGACGCCAGACAGGGTGACCAGGTGCAATGGCTTCAGCTCTACGTTAACAAGGACCGCGAGATTACCCGTAAGATTGTCGAGCACGCCGAAGCCCGCGGCTGCAAGGGCCTCTTCATCACAGTTGACGCGCCCCAATTGGGTCGCCGTGAGAAGGACATGCGTTCCAAGTTTAGCGATGCTGGCTCTAACGTGCAGTCGGGTGATGACGGAATTGACCGCTCCCAGGGTGCTGCCCGCGCTATCTCTTCCTTCATTGACCCCGCGCTGTCGTGGAAGGATATCCCCTGGTTCAAGAGCATCACGAAGATGCCCATCGTGCTGAAGGGTGTGCAATGCGTCGAAGACGTCCTGCGCGCCGTCGAGGCTGGCGTCGAGGGTGTCGTTCTTTCCAACCACGGTGGTCGTCAACTTGAGACTGCCCGCTCCGGTATCGAGGTTCTGGCCGAGGTCATGCCCGCTCTGCGTGAGCGTGGTTGGGACAAGCGCATTGAGGTGTATGTTGACGGCGGCGTTCGCCGTTCCACGGATATCCTGAAGGCGCTTTGCCTGGGCGCCAAGGGTGTCGGTATCGGTCGTCCGTTCTTGTACGCGATGTCCGCGTACGGTGTTGACGGTGTCAACCGCGCTATGCAGTTGCTCAAGGATGAGATGGAGATGAACATGCGTCTGATTGGCGCGACGCGCGTTGAGGATCTGAACCCTAGCTTCCTCGATACGCGGGGTCTGCTCGGTGGACATGCCGGTGCTATTCCTTCTGATACCCTCGGCCTGGGTGCGTACGACCCTCTTGAGGCGCCGCGGTTCAATGAGAAGGCCAAGCTATAGAGCTAGGTTTGTGTGTGATTGCAACGTTTCTTTCTTGTTGTCATTTGAGCATTTTGTGTTGACCATTTTATCTCCTGTCCCCGCGATGGCGGAATGCCTGTGTATATACCCATGTCTGATGTTAGGCATTGAGTGCCATGATAGAAATACGACAGACTATGATCTAGACGTTTCTTTTGGCCTTGGGATTATGAGCCATCTTTCTCCCATTCTTGATAAAATACCTGCAAACGACTGCTAGAAGGCCCGGAGAAATTAATGCAACGGGGAACACAAGGCCTGAGATACCCCGAGCACTGATGCGTATTAAAAAGTGGCGAACTGCGGAACTTTGGGCCAAGTCACACGTTGAATTCAACGTGGAATCGAGATGAGTCTTTTGAATTTCTCCAGTGATAACAATTCAGCAAAGTCATACAGCCACACGGGATCACCTATCCCGGCTGGCCCTATAACCCTTATTCTCGAGAGTTCATCCGGGTCATTGGCGCAAATTCGCTAATTACCTGGTCGGTCGGCACTCAGACTTTTACCCAATCATCAACATCATCCCTTCTATCCGCTGAATTCGTATCCAGATGACAGTTCTGTTGAGCATCCACCTTCACCGGAATATATTCTCCCTTGTTCATAACACCCCACAGCACTGGCCACGCCCATTTCAGCAACAAATTCAGCATCTCGTAAAACTTGTCTTTATCGATACTCGCAAGATATGGGGTACACTTAGGGGGCACCTTGGCATATTCTGAAAAGTCCAAAATCCTAGAGAACTGAACATGCAGTTTCACATCGGCAGACTTACCGGGAAAACATGGCCGTACTTTCGTGGTCTCTCGTCATCGCTAAGCGGCTTCTCGCACACCATGGTTTCCAGCATGGTACAAACCAAAGCTCCGATCTCGTCTCTGGAGGGCCGTGAGTCCGTGCCGCATTCGGGGATACTTACCGTCGCCCACGCGTGACATGAATTATCCGCGAGGAGCTCGTCCTTGCTACTGGAATGGGTCAAGCGAGTGCTAAGTCTTTTCTTCGAATAGCAGCGTAGATGGGTGGGCACATCGTTTAATATGGCGAATTCACTTTCGCGCATACAATTTTTGGAGGGTGAGCAGCTTCTTGCAGCGTTGATTCTGGCGTCTCTTTCACTAAACAAACGTATAATTAGATAAGTCAGAGAGCGATAGACACGGGAGTTATTGAGCTAGGTTCGATAGCTTACTGATCCCAGACCCATCCGTAATTACCCTTTGCAGAAGAGAGATGACCAAGCTCCAACTCTTCATCCTGGGTCATTTCAAACGAGTAATTCGCGTAAGTAGCCTCAAGGGCCCATGGGAGAATCGTAAACCTGTCCTTGTCAATCATAGGGCTCGATTCAGGATGGACTGCCTCCCGATCTGCTATCCTCCACACTGCATTCAACGAGAGACTCTTCCTGCAAGCATTTGATGTATCGGGGAACCGATCGGGGAAAGTAGCTCTGGGGCGGAAATAGCGGATTGTGGGAGGTGCGGATTTGCCGGTTTTCATATCCAGACGATGAAGTTGGATGCCCAGGTCGAGTAACTCTGTATCCGAGACATGGGGATAGAACACTGTTGAGAAGATTGATAAGGATTCCGGGGATGATTTGAGAGGAGTGAGGGATCTGAGGATTCCTTTCACTTTCTTGCAGGAGTCTTTCCAGTGATTTTCTGATTCGGTCTCCATGTTGAGAAATGTTCTTGGTGCAGATTGGAGAGTCGTGGGTGAGTGGAGGATTAAGTGAATGCGAGACTGGTAGATGTCAGAAAGAACTGGAATAGGGCTCTAGTTTTCGCCTTCCCCATTTGATGTGATGCACTGAATCTGAAGCCGATGCTATTTTTCGTATTGGGCATGGTAGGCTAGGGTTCCTCGGGACAAGCACCGACCATTTTTGGATCTTATGTCTGCTGCGTAGCGTAGAAAAAGGGATTATCCTTGCCATGTCAATACAAGATCCAACGAATGAACTCGAGGTGCGTTTTGACAGATGCCGTTGTTTACCCAGGCCGCTACTTCATACGTGTAAACTTATTGATGAAAGCGGAGATCTCGAATGAAACACGGGCTGCTACGCCCACAATAACAGGCCATCGGGCTGCAGTAGATTAAAGATGGAATGTACTCGCTATGCACGCTGCAAATAAGATAATACAGACAATCAAATTCCCCCAATCTCAAATTTCAAGAACCTGCGGCGCATTCGCGAGTCGGCCACTACTGCGATACATGCACGCCGCATTAACCATCCAACCACCCCCATGCGTCTCCCCACCCCAAACCCTGGACCACACCACACCCAGCACTCCATAGAACAGAACACGTGCTGCATCCGCCCACCCCGACAAATCAAACAGATCGCGCAAAAACCCCGCCAAGGACACAAAGCGAGTATACTTCGCACGAGGCCGTCTGGACGCACACAATCGCTCCCACGCAAGCTGCGCCTCGTCCCAGAAGATCGGCTCGCGGCCTGCGGAATTGTGGATGTGTCCGAAGACGTGGAGGGCGGGCCGTACGCGCCAGGCTTCGGCGAGGAGGTTTGGACAGCCCGTGGAGTAGACGGGGGACATGTCAAGGTGTGCTTGAGGGGGTGTATGCGTGACAAGGATGTCCGTTTCCAAAGGGACGGTGCGGGACCAGGCGTCGTGGTGTGGAGGGTATGTAAAGGCGTGTTCGGGGCCGAGGGCCATGATGGCAGGGATTTGGGGGGCGCCGTAGATGGTGAGTTCACGGGGGCGCGAGCTTGTAAGTGGTGCTGTCGTTGAGGTCGAGTCTGTGGAAGCTGGGAACGAGAGAGTCACGGCGGAATGCTGGAGGTAGTGGATATCGCCCCAGTCGATGCGCGACGGCGCGGTGATTTCCTCGAGGGAGTGGATGGACGCCGTCGAAGCGGAGACCGCGGCGAAAGAGGATGCGGAGGACTGCTCATCGCGATCTTCTTCACATCGCGAGCGGACGTCGAAGTAGCTATCGTGGTTGCCGCAGATGACGACTTTCTGGGGATGCGGTAGCGAGCGCAACCAGTCTACTGCAGCTTGGATTTCACGCACGGAGCCGTCGTTGGCGAGGTCGCCGGCGTGAATCAGGAGGTCACCATCTGGTACGTCGGGCCACTCGAGGGTGTGGGTGTCGGAGATACAAACGACGCGAATGGGCTTCGCGTGTGGAGGTGGAAGTCGGGGAGGACCACGAAGACGGAGGAGGATTTGGTGGAGTGGGTAGACGAGGGCAACGAGAGGAGAGGATATCAGGTAGTCTGGGAGTGGACGGCGGTTATAAGGGTTGGACATGGTGTTGGGGGGGGGGGGGAAGGAGAGAGCTCCAGGGAGTACGCAGGTCGACCTCAATGATAATGTTAGCGCGGTACTTCCATCCCCATTTCATGACTAATACCATCCCTAACCGCCTTCTATATTAGTACTAGACTAATACCGCACATTTCAACCCCTTTCCTCTCTTCTAGAAATATCTCCTATCTACCTACCCATCTACCTACCTACCTACCTACCTACCATGGAGATTAATGACCAAGCGTGCAACGAGATCTCTTACCAGTCCTCCGACCAGGCTCCTCGGACCCCTAGTCAGAAGGCCACCCGCGATCAGCGTATCGCAGCGCGTACACTGCGTGCTCAGAGGTATACCTATGCACAAATTGCATCCAAATTAGGTATCACCCAGCGCCAAGTCCAAAAGGCCTGTAGTGATGAGAGGCCTACACCACGTAAGGCCTGTGGCCGAAGTCGAAAGCTATCGGAAGAACAACTTGATGAGATAATTGAGTTTATCTCATCTTCGAAAGAAACACGACGAATGCCTTACTCGAGGGTGATTCAAGAACTACAACTTCCTGTTAGCCCTGAGACATTACGAAGGGCCTTGGCTAGACGAGGATATCACCGATGTAAGGCCCTTCGAAAGCCTCCTTTATCCGATCGAACACGAGCACTACGTCTAATCTGGGCATTGGAGCATGTTAATTGGACGCGTGAGCAGTGGGAAAAGGTATTATGGACCGATGAGACCTGGGTTACATCGATCTATCATCGACGGATCTATGTAACGCGTAGGTCTGGTGAGGAGTTTGATGATACTTGTGTACGAGAGCGTATCTCTCATGCACCTGGCTGGATGTTTTGGGGCTCATTCTATGGTAATGAGAAAGGCCCTTGTCTATTCTGGGAGAAAGAATGGGGTAGTATTACTAGCGCTCAATATACAGAGCGAATAGTGCCCTTAATTGATGGTATGGTTACGATGGCTCGTAACCATCTAAATAAGCATCTAATCGTGATGCAAGACGGCGCACCTTCTCATCGGAACCTCTTAACGATTGAGGAACTACACGAACGTGGGATATACCCTATCGATTGGCCACCGTATTCGCCAGATCTTAATCCTATTGAGCAGCTTTGGGATTGGATTAAAGATTGGATTGGCGATCGATACTTGAAAGACTACGATCGGAAGCTATCTTATGATCGTTTACGCGAGGCTGTACGAGCTGCTTGGGATGCGATACCTATAAACTTTTTAGACCAACAGATTGATCTTATGCAGAAGCGCTGCCAGGCTGTTATCGATGCGCAGGGAGGACACACGCCTTACTAAGGGGTAATAATATGTATTCTAGTGGTTAAATTACACAGACTCGTAATAAAAGAGTGGCAGAATATTAGTCATGAAGTAGGGATAGAAGTACCACGCTAACATTATCATTGAGGTCGACCTGCGTAGGAGAGATAGAGAAACGTTGAAAGCTCTGGTTGGACTGTTCTGGACGGGGTCAGTTTGGTTGGAGAGTGTCCGGGGCGGGGAGGATCGGAGGTGACATCAGGACGGGGGTCGAGACCAGACAAGAGAGTAGTGATGACGGTGATTAGTAGAAGGGGATATAGGGATAATACTTACATGAATAGTAGGACATAGAATGACTATGTTTATATTGATGATCTCGGATGCTAAATGCTATTCCTCGTCTCATCACATCTCCAAACAACCTTTAATCTCATCACATTGAATCCTTCTGGTTGGCGCCATCACCAGCCACCTTTTCCCCGCTGGGCACCACATCGCGATCTTGGTATAATCCCTCCTCCAGCCCGATGGTTGTCTGGATCTTTCTACACTCTTGAAGAATCATAGGATTATCTATCGTGGTACTCTGAAATCTTGACTTCTCTTCTCTCTGTTTACTCCTCTATTTCCCTTTTACTCGGTTAGGAATCTCTCGGCGCCTCTTCGAATGCGTCGTTCGCCACATCCGTCGCATACACCAACTTTCAACCAACTGGCTGCTTGCGGAATCTCTCCTTCACCCAACTCTCTCGTCTTCACCCCAACGCCTAAACGCTAACAACTTCTTCGAAACCCTCACTCCTTTTTTCCACCTCTCTTTCGCGATCGTGATCCGTATCCATCATTCTCCCTCTCTCTCTCTCTCGACTCTCTCGACTGGTGGTCCTCCTCCTCCTCCTCTCCGCGCACCGCCCTCTTTTTCCAGTCCCGCCAACCACCTCGCATCCCGGTGCCCCGCCTCTCTCTCAGCTGCCCTCCTCACCTTCCAACTCCACAACATGGAGGGCATTGATCTCACAAAGGCCGTGTTGAATAAGGGTAAACAAATGGCCAGTGTCGCTGCGTCTGCTGCCAATGGCAACGGCGGCAAGAAAAGGAGAAAGGGCACTGACTTGAAGCCCATCGTCACCAATGAGGGCAAGTCAGGCGAGGCGGGCGAAGCCACAGAATCGTGAGTCGCCGTTTTTTTTTTACTTTTTTTTACACCATCTAGCTCGCCGCGATCTCCGATCTGGGCGATTTTTCTTAAAGTCCGATCGCGACTTCATTAGACACGCTTTTCTCTTGTTTTTGTTTTTCCTCAAACTGATCGCTTTTTTCCCCTCTCCGACAACAGAAGCGGCGCCGCGCCCAATTCCAAGACGACCGGAGGGTCGCGCTCACCGTCGACTTCGTCGGGCGACGAGGTTGAAACCACCGCCGAGGAGGAGGATTCCGAGGACTACTGCAAGGGTGGGTATCACCCGGTGGCCGTGGGCGAGACGTACAATAATGGCCGCTACGTCGTGGTGCGCAAGCTTGGGTGGGGTCACTTCTCGACTGTCTGGCTGTCCAGGGACACGACCACGGGCAAGCACGTCGCGCTAAAGGTGGTGCGCTCCGCTGCCCATTATACCGAGACCGCCATCGATGAGATCAAGTTGCTCAACCGGATCGTCCAAGCCAAGCCTTCTCACCCTGGTCGCAAGCATGTGGTGAGCCTACTGGATTCGTTCGAACATAAGGGACCCAACGGTGTCCACGTATGTATGGTGTTTGAGGTACTGGGTGAGAACTTGCTGGGTTTGATTAAGCGATGGAACCACCGAGGTATCCCCATGCCATTGGTCAAGCAAATTGCCAAGCAGGTATTACTAGGATTGGATTATCTACACCGAGAGTGTGGTATCATCCATACCGATCTCAAGCCGGAGAATGTCTTGATTGAGATTGGCGACGTTGAGCAGATTGTCAAGGCCCATGTGCAGCAAGAAGAGGCCAAGAAGGCGGAGGAGCAGAAGAAAGAGGACAACCGCAATGGTCGCCGGCGCCGGCGCACACTCATCACGGGCAGTCAACCGTTGCCGAGTCCACTGAACACCAGCTTCAGTAGCTTTGACTTCAAACACAGCTCTTCCAATTCCCACAGCAGTCTCAGCCAGATGGTGAACGATCCGAGTGAGTGTCGACCCTGAAGAAGTAGTAATTCTTTTTGGAATATTTGGTTGACCATCCGGATTTTAGCACCAAATGAGTCCTCAATGAAGGAGGCACTGGGCATCAAAGATGAAGATGAGCAGCAGAAGACGCGAGAGAAGACAGCGTAGGTCGGCCCTTCACTCGCCCGTCGCACTGTACTCCAAGCTAACAATGCCACGCAGTGATCTCCTGGAGAGAGAAGTGTCTGGTATTTCTCTGGATAAGAGCTCAACAAAGTCTCTTGAAGAGGAGATTGACGCCAGCATTATTTCCGTCAAGATTGCCGACCTGGGTAACGCATGCTGGGTCGGACACCACTTTACCAACGACATCCAGACACGGCAATACCGATCGCCGGAGGTTATACTCGGCGCCAAATGGGGCGCAAGCACGGACGTGTGGAGTATGGCGTGCATGGTAAGATCGCTCTGATTCGAGGACTTGGTCCATTACCCAGAATTGTGCTCCATCTAACACAAAGCCAGGTCTTCGAGCTCATCACTGGTGACTACCTCTTTGACCCCCAGTCCGGCACTAAATATGGCAAAGACGACGATCATATCGCCCAGATTATCGAGCTGCTCGGACAGTTCCCGAAATCACTCTGCCTCTCCGGTAAATGGTCGCAAGAGATCTTCAACCGCAAGGGTGAGCTGCGTAACATCCACCGCCTACGCCACTGGGCTCTACCGGACGTTCTTCGGGAGAAGTATCATTACAGCGTAGAGGAAGCCATGCGGATCAGCGAATTCCTCTTACCCATGCTGGATCTTTCACCGGAGAAGCGTGCTAATGCCGGTGGCATGGCCTCGCACGAGTGGATGCAGGATACGCCGGGCATGGCTGGGATTAGTCTGGGTATCACGCCCGGGACGCGGGGTGAAGGAATTGATGGGTGGGCATCCGAAGTCAAGCGGCGCTAGAAGAGCCGCGCTACAAGCGTGACGGAATTTGTCGTATCTCAGCGAGTTTTTCGTACCTTCTTGGTCTCCTCGGCTTTCTTCTTGTTTACTTTACTTGCCTTTGCCCTTTTTTCCCCTTTCATCTTTGACGGGCTAGAACCCTAGACGGGACGGTCTGTCGGAGTTGCTTCGCTGGTTGATCCTTCCCTCCTTTTTCTTCTCTTCGTGCCCCTATCTACCTTTCCTGTCTACCCTATCCTACTCTACCTACCTTTCCAACAACAGTGATGATATGTGAGTCTATACGATCCTTTCTCTTACTGGTTCCTTGTGGTGGCAAACTGGTCGGCCTATGTGCTTCTTTCATCTCCCGCTTCCCTTTTGAACCATCTTCCTTGGCGACTCATTGGGGGTTCCGCAAATCTGTGAATGCGGGTGTTTTTGAGAAGACGCCCTCCCAAGTATCCATCTTAGGCCTTTCCACCCGCCTCATCTACTTTACGCCCATAGATATTCGTGCTTCAGCTTGATGTCCTCTTCTTTTCTTTCCTATACTATGTTAGGTGGGATGCTTGGTCTCTGGATTCGTGGACCCCCCGTTGCCCAGATCCTGCAGCCATCCATCCGGTCCTCACCTTCGAGGTCGGTGATGACAGGTCCCTGGTTCGGGTGACTGTTCGGGACTTGCGTTGCGTCTCAAGTTGTTAGAAATACGAAGACTGTATGACCTGAGCGTTTGGGCGTGCTGTTCCATTTTCGAGAAGAGTGCCGATTTCTAGGATCCATAAATCTTACTTCTCTACTCCGCACAGAGCTTGCGATGTACAGGATCAAGTAGAAAGGGGCATTTAAGGCATCGAATGAAACGAAATGGATGGTTTTTGTACGCGGGTTCGTGTGTGCTGCTTATCGAAGAGAATCTATGAATCCTGCACGAACAATTGTTCATCATTCTCCTCCCCTTCCTCGCTGGGCAGTCTACTTGGAAACCAACCATACCGGGAGAAGTCAACGTAGATCTCCCCCATACTATCCCTTGTGACCTCGACCCCTTCTTGCCCGAGGGCTTCTGCTTGGCGTTCAGCGCTGCCAGGGCCTCTATACATGCTGATCAGCAACCTGCAATATGCGAATACACCAACCAAGATATTAAGTGATGATGCAGCCGGTATACGTAGTAAATACTCAAGGTTGGGCACCTACCGATGTGATATCATCCCCTTGGCGTTAATGACTCGCTGCCAGGGAACATTACTGGAATTGAAATGGGCACCAGTATCTGCATTGGGCAGAGACTTGAGGCAGACACCGACTTGGCGTGGTCGTTGGGCTGGTTTTTCAACTCATCAGCTACCAGTTCATGCAGCGTGGGGCCTAGTGGGTACATACGTTCGCCGAGAAGAAGGGCGATATGTCCGTAGGAGGTGACTTTGCCGGCGGGGATTTCTTGGATAGCGGCATACACGGCATTCGCCCACCATTCGGCTTCCTCCGAGCGAGGCATCTGGTTCCCAGTCCAGCACAAGATCCCTTCACCCGATCGCAAATGAGCAAGAAAGGCGAGGAATCAACATGGTTCAAGAAACACGACACGAGACTAAGCTGGATACAGTTCGGGCAAACATTCCTCCGGCTATCGATAAGTCGACTCGAATCAACTTTCCAACAAGCTCCGCAGCTCGACACCCACACCTTTCCCACACCCACGCACTTTCACAAATCATGCCGGGCTCACTAGCAGACTACCTCGCCAAGAACTACCTCAATGCGGATCCAGTCCCAGACCGCCCCAAAAAGAAGCGCAAGAAGACCAAAACCACAGACACCGCCGGTGAAGGTCTAATCATCGCCGACGACGACGCCCCAGTCTTCGGCAATGCCCGCCCTCTCGAAGATGACGAGTACAAACCCTCAATCGACACGTCCATGACAAGCGCCGAATTCCGCCGCGCCAAGAAATCCGGCTGGAAAACCGTAGGCGGATCCACCTCCGCCCCTCAACCTTCCGACCAAGAAGCAGCAGATGCAATCCTCGCCTCGGCAGCCGCCGAGCGTGCAGCCTGGCAAGCAGACGAAGACGAGGATGCGCCGATGATCGAAAACGCCGACGATGACGAGGGACCGCGCATGGAATCCGGTGTCCGCGCGGGTCTCCAAACAGCCGCCGACACCGCCGCGATGGTAAAAGCGCAAGAACGGCGCAAACTGGCCGAAGAAGCACTCTACCGCGATCCCGCCGCTGCGGACGCCAAATCCCAAGAAACAATTTACCGTGACGCGTCTGGTCGGATTATCAACGTTGCGATGAAACGCGCCGAAGCACGCCGTGCCGAAGCCGAGAAAAAAGCCAAAGAGGAAGCTGCCCGTGAAGCGCTCATGGGCGATGTCCAGCGTCAACAGCGCGAGAGTAGGAGGCAAGAGCTACAAGATATAAAGGCTATGCCCGTTGCGAGGGGTATTGAAGATGAGGCATTGAATGACGAGTTGAAGGATGTGGCAAGGTGGAATGATCCTGCGGCGCAGTTTTTGACGGCGAAGAAGGGGCCCGGAGCTAGTGTTACTGGGAGGCCGTTGTATAAAGGTGCTTTCCAGCCGAATCGCTATGGGATTCGGCCGGGGCATCGGTGGGATGGGGTGGATCGATCCATTGGGTTTGAAAAGGAGTGGTTTGCGGCGAGGAACAAGAAGAGTCGGTTTGAGGCGTTGGATTATCAGTGGCAGATGGATGAGTAGTGGGGTTTCAGACGGGGATACACTGGTGAAGTGGATTAATGGCGGGCTTCGTTGGGGCTCGAATATGCTTAATGAGGGATTGTATTGCATGCGGTTGGAGTATACAGATCATCTTGGGTGCTGGCGCCCTTGTTTCATTATGACTGATAATATCACTGTCAACATTTTGCCTTTTATGAATATATGTCGGATATGTTTGTTGTAATTCTTAGAATTTGGGCTCTTATAGATAGATGCCTTGTGAGGTTTGCTTCAACTGCCTTGTTCTATAAGTGCGGCATCATGCAGATAGGGCTGCAAGCCATGCGACCACGCAGTCTCGAGCTATATTGCAACTGCAATAGAAATCCAAAAAAATAAAGCTTGATAATTAAGAGATCCTAAACACAATACCAACTTTCTACACAATGAATCAACCCCATCTCGCAGCTCATGGCAAGCGCATCAGCCTCGGCCATCCCGCCACTCCGCCCAGGTTGCTCCGGAGGAGTCTGTTTACCCAAACAAAAAACTTCCCGCTCCACCATCCCGCTCTCCTCCTCACACGAATCCCCTAACTTGATCTACCCTGGCGTCCACCATGATGGAATCACGCACCGAGTCTGGAGGGGTCATCCCGATGGACTACGAATGGCACGGCGGAAGCGCAGGCCCGGTCGATTTCACCTCTCCCTTCTCACAAGTCAGGAAGCAGCAGCAAGACAACAAGAAGCGTATGTGTTCACCTCCGCCCACAAGTCAACCACGGGTCTTTCTTTCTCTCCCATTGTAAATACTGTCTTACAATTTTTCATCCTATAGGATCCCATCAAATCTTCGATTCCCCTGACAAGCCAACCGTGCCAGCTCTCCGCCCTCCAAACTCGCAATCCTCCTTCCTTTTCTCCCCGCAACGGCCACAATCAGCACTCCCGTCGCAGTCGTCGGTATTTGGACAACCAGCATTCACGACGCCGCGGAAACTGGAAGTGGATCTGTCATCGGGTGCGGAGAATTTGTCTTCGCCGGAGGTAGCTGATAACGAGGAGACTCCGGAGCAACAGTCGAAGGGCACGCGACGCAATTCACTGTTCAATATCTACGGCCGCTTTGCTCCTAGCCCGGGCAGGGGGGAGATCCCACGGACGAACCACTTTTCCAATGCGGTGGCGCGACGGATATACAAGAAGCGACGACGGGATAAGGCGCTTGGGAGGAGAATGCGGGTGGATGATGAATACGACGATGATGAGAGCGACAGGCCCAGCAGTAGCGAAGGACGGCCAACAAGAACTGGGAAACAAGAACCAAAAACGGACGTCCAGAAGGCACCCTCGAACATGTCGTTCTTCAAGCAGTTGTTGACTCTGCTGGAAGAACATCCCAACGTACCTGCTATCTTGTCATGGTGGGCGCAGCTTGTCGTGAACTTATCCCTGTTCTCGCTTGCTGTGTGGATGGTCTTCTCGTTCGTGTCTGAGATCCGCAATGAGTTCGATGCCGTGGCGAGCAAAGAGATGGACTCCATTCTGCACAGCATCGCCGAGTGTATGCAGCGATATGAAGACAACAAATGCGCGGCTGGGAACCTCGTACCAGGTCTCGTGCCTATATGCGCCGCGGACAGAAAGTGCATGGACACCGATCCGACCCATGTCAGACGGGCGATGCTATCGGCCAGGACGATGGCTCAAATCATCGACAGCTTCATTGAGCCTATTTCCTGGAAAGCTATTGTCAGACCTCCCCTCCCTCGTCCGTCTCGCAGTTTCACTAACATTTACCCGATCTAGATTATCTTCCTAGCCACTATTGGTACCGTGGCCTGGGCCAGTAATTGGTCCTTCCGCTCCTTCAGAAACAACCGCCTCAACCAGGGCTACCCACAGCACGATTATCCACCTCCACCATCATATCACCAAAACATGCACGGCCAACCCCTCCATCTGCAACAGAACCCGGCATACGGCTTCTACGGCCAACAAGACCCACGGGCCTCGCCGACAAAGAACTACACCGAGAGACAAGAAGCCCCGCTCATGCTTGAAAACACCCGACCTATGGACTTTGTCACTGAGCGCTCTCATGAACGTGAGAGTCACCTCCGTACGCCGAGTCCTTCGAAGCGTATGCATCGACAATTCGCATAGTGTATTTCCGACGGACTTTTGCCCTATCATGGGTAACTTCTATTTGGCGTCTTTTCTTTGGAGCGGTTCTCGTTCTTGGTTTCGGCAGCATAAGAGGTCGCATGGATCAGGATGGTTTATGGTTTGGGGCTGGATCGGACGGTATTGGCGTTGTTCTTTTTGCACATTTCTTGTATACCATTATTGGGTGTTTGATTCTCTTCCGGTTTGATTCTTGTATTTTCTTGGTTTGTCTTGTTGATGGTAGCTCCACGCTTTCTCTTGTACTCTTTTGTTTACCTCTATCATTGGTATATCCGATGCGGACCTTCTCTGGCAATATTATTGTCTGTCGATCAGATTAATTCTAGACAAGGGTTTGAACATCATGTAAAAACAAGCTCAAGGCTGGGCTCGAGTTTACATACTTGATGCAAACTTTCAGCAAGAAAATACACTTGTCTTCAATTTTTCGGCCAGCTTCATCCTCCCCGCAGACAAACAGTCCCCAAGGATCTGGCCGGACCCACTTTCCATATACGGGGTTTGGCATAGCCGCCGCTCTCGAACCGGTGGAGGCAGTAATTGGGAATTGTTTCATTGCCTTTACGCTTTAAGGGAAGATATTTTTTGATAATTCTTAATTCTTTGACTGTAGTTGAGTAACTGGGAATACGGTGGATAGAGTATGAAGGAGTCAGCTCTATCTGTGTACTCGGAGTTTGGTGTCCTAGACTTCCGAAATATATACCTCCAAGTCAAACGCATCACAACCCTACACTAACCTCATGAATACTAGGTATTGGCATCTACCAAGCCTGGACATCCAGACACCAACTTGCCACGCATACCTCTGGGCAGATCGGGCGGATATTCGGACTCTACAATTTCTTCATCCTCTTCTGGGAATCCAGAAAGGACCCCTCTCCGACGCCAGGGGTCCACAGTTTCTGAACGTGTTTTGGCTCAACGCTGATCGTGTCGAAGTTCGCGTAGATGGGGTTGTGTACACAATACTGGCAGTTCTTGATCGTCATCCAGATTCTGGGAGGAATGGAGCCGTCGTTTATTTTCATCGTACCCGTTTCAAGTATAGGCCATTTATTCTGTCGACGACACGGAGCTGGCACGGGTCTTGCTTTGTCCGGTGGAAGTATCGGGGGCGGGATATTTCCATTTCCAAGTTCTTGGTAACCTGGTACCCAAGATTGATTTTGCTTGATCAACGAGAATAATCGAATTGATTACGCTGGTCGTATTGATTCCAGGTTATTTACTTATTCGAGCGAACTCCCTACAAAAGGCGCCCTCGCCCCTATCGGCGAGGGTGTTTTTACCGGATTTGACGGCTATGAAGGATCCCGTTCTTTCGTTGACGACGCTGAGGGTGTTCTTCATTGAGTGGGTATATTTTATTCCGCTGGAGTGTATGCTCTCGCTAGTGGTATTCCCCGCCAGCTATCGTACTTGATGGTTGTGTTTTTGAACGCGGACTCGTTTCGTGGTTCCTTTCTGTCGAGACTCTTATACGAAACCTTGCTGACGTCTTCAATGTGTATTGACTGGTGTCCTCATCGCAGGAGAAATTCTGCGTCGCTGTCAAGGCGCGTATTGGGGGCTGATTGCTTTTGCAGAATGGGCGTATGCTGCTAGAATTGTTTGTTTTGCGCGAGTCATGTGGCTGCAGAGGCGGAGTGGAACCAGGCATTAAAGTCCAGGGGTTAGACTTCTGACATGCATATGACGGAATATGTACATATCCGTAGAGCGCCACGATACATAGTCTTACGGACTTGATTGGAAAAGATCAATGCAACACAGCAGATTAGCTCCTACGCTTGTACAGGAGCACGTTACTATTTTCCTACCAGTCCCGCCATCTTGACTGACCTTGTTCTTCCAGGGTCGTTGAAAATATAATGGGAAATTACCTCGGGTCATAGACCCGAGTCTTGTCCTAGTGGTTATACCAATCGGATGTTCTTATGTATAAAATTCCATATATACAATTCCAAGTGGCAGAAATCTACTTAAAACAGCGAAATATGTCCAAGTGTATCAAGAATATGTGTAATCCACCTCCAAGTCGCCCAAGTCGTACCAAGTCGTTGAAATTCTTCAAAATCCAAACTGTCCAAATCGCCAAAGTCGCCCAAGTCTATCACGGAACGCCGCCCTCCCAACCCTCATGTTCCGTGGTAGATGAAAAACAATAAAATTTCCAAATATGTCCAAGTGTATCAATCGTATGTGCAATCGATCTCCAAGTCGCCAAGTCGTTGAAATCCTTCCAAATCATCAAAGTTGACCAAGTCTAACACGGAACCCACCCTCCCAACCCTCATGTTCTGTGGTAGATGAAAAACAGTAAAATTTCCAAATTTGTTCAAATGCATCAAGCGTATGTGTTAGCCATCTCCAAGTCGTTGAAATGCTTCCACAATCACCAAAGTCGGCCAAGTCTCACACGGAATCCCGAACCCAATGTTCCGTGGTAGATGAAAAACAGTAAAATTTCAAAATTTGTCCAAAAATATCAACCGTATGTGCAATGAATCTCCAAGTCGTACAAAGTCGTGAGAATCGTTCAATATCCAAGCCGTCACCAAATCATCCAAGTCAACCAAGTCTATCACGGAACCCCACCCTCCCAAACCCAATGTTCCGTGGTAGATGGATGACAGCTAGACAATTGGCTGGCGACTGCTCACGAGGTGGCGCCGGACTCGAATTCCGAACGACGTAGTTGCCATCCGGGGCAAGAGGCAATTTTGGATTCTCCTCATCATGGACGGCCATTTTGACTGTGCCTTTTATTTTATCCTCTCGCAGGTGAATTGGAAGCGGAATCGACATCAGGGCAGCATACGCCGCAAGATAGCCAGACCGAAACAGCACAGGTTGACAACCTTGAACACCGGAAAAGGAAGAATCTAAATCCAGAATGAGTTCAACTGAATCGAAACGCGACTTGATCATTGTATCAAACAGATTGCCGTTGTCAATCAAACGTGTCGATGGCGGATATCAATCGTCGATTTCGAGTGGCGGGCTGGTCACAGCCTTGTCGGGGTTGACAAAGTCCACCCAATTTCGTTGGTTTGGCTGGCCCGGTATTGAAGTCAAAGACAGTGAGGAGAGGGAGCAAGTATCAAAGAGTTTGGGTGAACATGATGCGACGCCAATCTTCTTGGATCAAGGGTTGGCGCACGAACATTACAACATGTTCTCCAGTAAGCCCTGAGTCCTCGAACTCGCATGCTGGTCGGTCACCTCACAAAACATTGCAGATCGAATCCTGTGGCCCATCCTCCATTATCAGTCAGGCGTGATTTATGAAGATGGTCCCTGGCAGGCTTATCGAAGGGTCAACGAATTGTTCGCCGATGCCGTCGCCGACGCAGCAGAATCAGGAAGCTTGATATGGGTGCACGATTATCATTTGATGTTGTTGCCACAGCTTCTCCGCGATCGTCTCCAAATGAAGAACAAAAGTTGTGCTATCGGCTTTTTCCTCCACACTCCATTCCCAGCCAGTGACTTTTGGCGAGCTTTGCCGGTCAAGAATGACTTGATTGAGGGATTGTTGTCCAGCGACTTGATCGGATTCCATACGGACGAGTATAAGCAGAATTTCATCGAAACCTGTGCCAGTAACCTGTAAGAGTTAGCCTCGTGGTCAAGATGCTACACACAAGATTGCATGTTCAAAAAGGCTGATTTCTGTTAGTGGAGCACGTACCGAGATTCCAAACCAGATCCAATACAAGAATCGGTTGATCTGTGCAGGTAGGTTCATTGTGGGTATCGACCCCCAGAAATTCGCAGACACCCTGCAAAAAGAAGAAGTCCAGGATCGTATTCGGACTCTTGAAGAAAGATACAAGGGTATGAAGATCATCGTGGGAGTCGATCGTCTCGACTATATCAAAGGCTTGACCCAAAAGCTGAAAGGATTTGACTCCTTCTTGGAGAACTATCCAGAGCTGCGGAACAAGGTTATTCTCATCCAGGTTGCCGTTCCAAGTCGCGAAGACGTCAAAGAGTATCAAGATCTAGAAACAGAACTTAGTACATTGGCTGGAAAGATCAACGGAAAGCATGGTAGAGTAAACTTACCCAAGTCACAGAGAACCAGAACTGATACCATGCAGCCACCCCCGAGGGAGCACCGCTGTTGTACATGCATCGATCTGTGTCTTTCACAGAGCTGACTGCACTGTATTCCGTGGCTGATGTTTGTCTGCTCACATCAACGCGGGATGGCATGAACCTCGTTTCATTCGAGTACGTGGCCTGTCAGGACAAGAAGAAGGGCGTACTTGTACTCTCTGAATTCGCGGGATCAGCAACATTCATGAGAGATGGAAGTATTCCTTTTCATCCAGCAAACACGACTGAGATGTCAGAAGCTCTATATGCAGCTCTGAACTTGGATTTCGAAGAGCGTCAGCGGAAACATCGGCTTCTGATGGAGTTTGTGAGTACACATACCAGGTATGCAAAACCCTTGACGTGCAACTTGTGTTGAGACTCGAACGTCCCCAAGATCTCTCTCTATGATATAGAAAATCAGTTGCTGACTCGAGAGAAGTGCGAAATGGGGTCAAAGCTTTACGGAGAAGTTGGCACAGCGCTGCCGCCAGCCGAAGCAGCCATGTTGATAATGTCCCAGGGTGCTTCACAAAGATGATGATAAATGAAATGGAAGTAAGTTGAGAGAAAGAGGAGAGGATGGAGTCAACAGGAATGAGAAGGGTTTTATAAAAAAAAGTATTCAGGGCGATTTGGTCGATGCCTTGACTCCGCGGGGTGGTCTTTTGGTTATAGGTCGACGACATCGTCGTTTGCCACCTCACTAGACCACAAGATTTGAGCTTGATTTTTTGACACAGTTGCCTTGTGCCATCGAACTGTTGATGGGCATGCCATTGGTGTTCTTGATCAAGGCTGCGATCTGAAAGGTGATCGTGATCCTCGGCTCCGTGGTTGGCCGAGAATGTCGAGCGTTATGGAAGCTTGAAGGACAACACAGGGCACTTCCAACTTCACAAAATGAATAGGAATAGAGCAAATTTGATCAAGAGAGGAAGAAGAAGAAGGACTCAAAAGTCGATGTTTTAGATTCTTAAATATCAGGGTGGGTCCCCAAGCGAGACGCTAGTGATTAGCGCCGATCTTAAACCTGGGATAGACACTATGGAGGCTTGTCCATTCCATAATAATTCCACCACTCGATCCAACGTCCTCGAAGCATGAGGGAGTTAAATTTTGAGATTTAGAATGTAATGCAGGACTATCAACGAACTCGAAAGTTTGGAATTGTAATTCGACCTGCGACGTTGGGGATCAGGGAGCTGTGTGGACTTGACAGACAGTGTCGCATTTCCTATACTTCCAACACCAGTATCACATCAAAAAGTTTACAAATCCGGAAGGCACGCTATGCTGATGCCTGGTGATTCGCTTATTCGGTCTCACTTAACCACTAGCGCGTGATCTGGATGCGCTGGATGGTGGGCATTTGAACATAAATATCTCCAGCCTAATCCCAATATCCTCCTTTTTTTTTTTCTTCTCCAGGTATAGTATTCCCCAGGTAATGTATAGTGCAATGATGACCAACCCGAAATGCATTGACTTTCTTGCCGAGGCCCTTCGACATTGGCTGTTGATGAGTTGCATTTTCTGAGCACTACTTGCCTATTCACCTCCTGCTTCATGTTGGAAATCACATTACCCCCACTTCCATCTGCTCCCTCGACATGTTTTGTGTGAGGTTTAGCTGCTCCTCTTTCCACCCCCTTTTGAATTTTTGTGTTCAATTATTTGGTGCCTTGTTATTTTGATTGACCCCGAGGCCTGTGTACGGGATTATTGCGATGTTATGCCACAGCGGAGCAACTGTGGGTCTGTCTGCATGGCTGTGTCCAGTTCACTGGCCATAGTGATATATTTTCAGTATTCGGGGTTCCTGGGTGCCATCTCTTTTCTCTTTGGCTGCGCTAATTTTCATGTTTGTTGTGATGCTTTGAGTCATCGATGTGTATTTTGTCAGAAATGTGTGGAATTCCCAGATTGGCATTGACATTTTCATCAGTACTTTGTATGTACTAGTTGAAGGAAAATAAAGTATCTTTGTCTTGGAATTACCTTTCAGTATGATTCTCTACATAGCACGGAAACTCTTTATATTCGGCCTTGTCCCCCAAATTGCTGGAGCTTTCTCATTTTTATGTCTGTGTTACATTTTCTCCTTCCAAAGCTAATCGAGGTCGAGACCATCGGACTCTTTACCCAACGACCTGGACGGCCAGGAACATGGGACTATGAGAATACTGACGGACTTGGTATTCTCAAATATCTCCAATTACGCATTTCCCTTGCTCAACGTCAATACTAGCTTACAAGTCGATAGTGGTGTGAAGACCTCGAAGTCGAGCGAATTCTTGCTGTCTGGTCAGCAGTGTACCTGAATGGGTATTACAACGCCAATCCTGATGTGATCCCCTCGGCGGATATTGGAATATATGTTCAAGGTACATTGTAAGGGTTGGAGTCCACTATGGGTGACGCACGGATTGAGTACGGAGCCTGGAGAGTATCTTGTGGGCATCCCAAGTCATGGAAGATCAATCATGTCGAAGTATGTTTCTTCTCATTCGATTGCTGGCTTAAATCGGGGAAGGGAGCAATCAACTGATGTACCACGGCATAGATCCGCAACGAAGATAATCTCGCTGATCCCGACCCATGCAAGCTACCGCTTTATGCTTCTTGCAAACTAATGTATGCTGCTTACCCAGATACTACACTTATCTCATCCACCGGCGATTTTACTGCTGTTTTCAGCCACAGTGGAACCGATTACCGTGAGTACGCCAGACTCAATATCTAGGCCACTCTGTTCGGTCTCTGGGACAACACAAACCGATTGCACCCTGTTTTGCTGGGAGAATATGCAACTTTACCATTTGACAAGGCCGACCACCCATGCCTGTTGACTGGAGTGGTGCTGAGCTCAGGTTGCAATCTTCAATCTGGGTTGGCGCCGTTGCCGAAGTGATTTATACCCTAAGCGCCGAGTGATATCGGTGATATCGTTATTGTACATAATCTGTTGCTAATCTGCTTTTGTGGCGTAATCTCGTCTCGTTCAATGCACGTCCAGATCAAGTCACTCTCTCGACCAGCTACTAGGCTATTCAAGTATGTCAAGTCTCGAAATGACAGACCGAAATCAAATAGATGGAAGACCACTAATTATCCAACAAGCTTCTCTCATCCTCCTGCTCTACCCAAGCGGAACCAATGACTTCAGGTTCACCATTTGGGCCTACTTTCAATGTCGCAGGTATTGATTGCGGAAGAACTGAATAAATCATCAAGGCCGCCGCTTACAAAACCACTGCCCCTGTGCCATCCGACATCAGTTTCGAAAGTCTCCAACACGGCGAAAAGGCAAAATTGAGAGTCCTCAATGCATCGAGTGGACTTTCCTACAACGTTGCTGGCGATCAGAAAAAAGTCAAGGAGACCGTTACCAAGCTAGCGGCGACGAAGGGTGGCGTATTTTCATTCGAGCTGAAGGGGTATGATATTGCAGTCTTTACTACCTTCTAAGCAGCGTCTTGTTACGAAGCTCCCAGGCTCAACGCCCTAATGTGAGGGAAGGAGTACTGATAACCAAGCAACTTGAAAAAGTCAACAAGGTCTTGATTTAGAAGATCATTGGTTTCCGCATTCAGAGTTCTGTGCAAGATCCATACGAAACTAGCATTTGCCCAACAACAACGAAACCACCAATAGCCGGTGCGATAGGCAAAACCACGGGCAATAGAGAAGCCAGCCTCAAAAAGAAATACCGGGCTTGAACGAGACGGCTATAGTCTTTTCTTGTCTCAATAATAAGGCGGGTACCATAGTAACCAAACTCAATCATCTCGTCTGTAAAATACGGATTTTGGACAGACACGATCCCCACAGCATACCAAGCCATGAGCCATGCTCTCTGGGCCACAGTGCTACCTCCTGGTTGAAACTTTGACATTACCCCGATTGCGATCAGGGGCAATGCAGCCACTAAAACGGTCAGGCCACCAGTCATATATCCTCGCGGGCCATAATGTTTCTTTCTGTGAAGGATGCTCGTGGAAGAGGTGTTTGAGTAGGACAGCTTGAAGTTGTAGCAGCTGGGAATAATCAAAACGGGTTCGAAATTTTCGCATGATGACCGTTCGCTGCTGCAGTCCTGTTTGGGTTGTACTTCCTGCTTCGGTATCTCTTCAACTGGCGGCGGAGTTTTCTCTGGGAGCTCAGTCGGAGCAGGCAAAGTCGATGCATTTCCGTGGACAGAATCTTCGCTGGCTGATTCGTGCGTTGAAGTACCGTCGGGAATGGGCTCTATGCTCCCATCTTCCAGTACCTTATCTCCGATCCGGCAGATAATTTCGCCGTCTTCCTCGTCGTGCTGCTTGAATGTAGCACTGAATAATGTCAAATCCTCAACGACCAGCGGCTCACTCTCCAATTTGCCAACAATATAAGTAAATCGACCGCCACGGCTCACTGCCTCCTCCATGATCTCTGTGTGAACAAGATAAACATTTGGATAAGTCGGGGTAAAGCAATTGGCGAGGAGATTTACGAAGGACATGACCAAGTATGGGGTCACGGTGAACCCAAATGCGGCATATCCATAGGCAGTTATTTGATAGCCTTTGGATTGGTATAGGGCCGAACATGCGGACAGGATCTGGACAATAGAAATGACAGTGGAAGCCAGGCTATACGAGGATTGGAGAATACGGCCCAGTTCGACTTCTGGCAAGATATGCTCCACCATTGCATTTGGTGGGACATAGGCCAGTCGATATCCTTCTGGCAGATCGCACACCCCAGAGACGTGATAGCCTCTTTCCACCCACACGTGCTTACTGGCGAGTCCGTAATTCATAATCAACCATGGCGGGTGCGCAATTTCAGACTCGAAGTAGCCTGTATACCCCTTACTAAAGCGCCGTTAGCAAGAAATGGGCATGGAAGCGCTTGGTGAACGTACACTTTTTCCACATGGGTTTTGATCCAACTTTTGCTGACAGCTGAGGTCAAGTACACTCTGATTAGCTTGATGTATTGTAGATACTTTCTTCAAGGTCTATTGGACATACCGGCCCGCCAGTATTCGCCTAAACCGAGCGGTGCATATCTAGTTTGAACCCCTCTTGGGGGGTACAATGAAAGTGAACGGAGAGTATCTCCTGGTTGCGGCTCCCACTCTAGATCCCGGACTACCATAACTAGAGCTTGGGCTCTCAGAGCTTGCTGAAGCTGGTCTTTGTAGAAGCTTGCTCGTTGGTATATCATGTTGATGCCGCGTCCAGCTCCAAGACAAGGAAATAACAGAACGAAGAACATATTTGCCGCAGTGATGTAAAGAGGTTCACCGGGTACCCTGACAACGGTTGCGACATGGGACACATAGTTTCCCAAGAAAAATGAGGCCACGTCCGTCCATGCCGTAGACGTACAAATATCTTGCGACTCCGGATGGTACGTGACGCCATCGGGTATGGTAATGGTCTTGTCCCGCCTGGGTAAATAGGCGGCCAGGGAGCCACATGTCAACCCTAAGAGCGCCGATAAAAGTAACACACGTTGTGCCATGAAGACGGCGCGAAATGGCTCCTATGTGGCTTGTGTGTCGGGGGGACGTGTAGGTGTTGGGTAGAGTGTAGCGGTCAGATCCTCCTTAATTTCTGCGTTAGAGGACCAAGCTATTTTAGCGTTTACATAACCACTTCTAACTCGCTTAATAGTTAACTAACTATGCTTACTTCTATATACAAATATAGGTATGTATATCTTTTTTAGAATGCTCCTGTCAACAATCATCTATCCTCCAGCACTCTAGTCGGACTGCAACTGACCTATTTCAGTATCCTTTACGTTCAATCTCCTCGCAAGTTTTGTGGAGCTGAGCATAACGGCCCCCACTTGGTTCCAATTTGGGAAATAGCGCTGACCATAATGTCCGAATGGCCTCCCCGAAGTCCCCCATATAAGCGATTTGTCATCGACACGTAGAAAAGTTCAAGGCAAAGGAAGCTTTCAAAGTAAAGACCAAAAAGAGGATTAGGTTTAGGTAATGGCTTCTAACATCTGTACAGACTACGAAGCATTCCAGCTGATTTTGAAGACCAGCACGGGTGCCAGCCTGTCAGAAACATGAAGCCTAAGCCTACCCTCAGCAAGCTAGTAATTTCCTGAAAACTTCCAGATCTCTCCAAATGATTGACGCCATTTATTTGAAATCTTCCCTTTTCATTCTCCCCCTACCGTTTTACGCGCCATTCATCGAACACTGAACCGTCATTATTTTGTCAAATTGTTATCAGTTTGTGCCCCTCCCGAGAGGCACTTGCAGAGCATGAGACTAAGTCGATGAACCAGCGAAGTTCGACAACTTAGTAGGCACAATCGCCGCTCCGCCCCCTCAAGATGAACCAACTTCATCAACCAAATGCGCACTGGACCACCGCATTTACATCTCAGACATTAACTGGATAGCTCCTCCGCCTATCTTTGTTGTCCGGATGTTTACGCGCTGTCTCAAGAATGCCGCTCGGTCTTTAAATGCAGCGCCCATTGCCGTATCGACTTTATCGGGGTGCGTCAGGACACCTCCCTCCTGTCCTTGTGCCCGTTGAAGTTCCTTGACCCCTTCATATGCTGATTCTGGGCAGAGGATTCCGGTTTCTACGATCATGCCCATATAATTACATCCATCGAGTGGGTACGGAGTCTCCAACAGGGCTTCATCGACTGAAAGCGACCCCAGCTCCGATCGCAGAAAGCCTGCCAGTCGATTTTCGATACAGGCCCGATGGAGGGCTATTTCATCACCTCCGCTATTGAAGAATTGGGTATATGCATCACGAAGAGTCAGCCACTCTACGGGGGTTTGGCATTTCTGGAACCCGTAATCAACAAAAACAGCGGGATGTGGATATGGATGCGACAGAGAGGCGAATCGCTTCAACTCCCAGACACTTTGATACCAAGTGCCTATGGCGCTCATCAACGATGCAAAGTCTCGCATTGTCCGGATTTCACCATCCAAACCGTGCTTCTGGAACAGCTCGGCCAATTTGGAGCTCAATCTTGCCCGCCAAAAATCTTCAAAATCCGCTCTCTCAACAAGCAGGCCGTGGAGCCGCGCGAGCCTAAGAGTCTAAGAAGCATTGGAGGTTGTACAGAAGCCAAGAAATATCCAGTTGTCGTCGTCCACATCTGGCATCAATCCGTTTGTGACCTGGCACCAGAAGACATAAGCTTCGAGTTTCTCGCGGGGCTCCAGTATGTCCCACGGGACCATGCGATCCAACGGATTAAGAATATGTCTTTGTTTTTCGAATATTGTTTCCCAGCTTGTCACAACGCCAGAGCCGAAGCCATCCTGCTGCATAAGCCATTGTACCTCATTCCTGATTCTGGCAGGAGGCACTTGTGATCCTCGGAACTGGGTCAGTTCCTTGAGTCTGTTGGACTTCCACGCCTGCCTCAGCACAGCTGAGGGCAAGGGAAGCCAGCTAACATTTGGTGAAGGGGTCTTCTTTGTGATGCGAACTGGTGACTAATAAGCGAGAAAATTTCCAACCTAATTAAACTAAGAACTATCTTCTTTATTCACATTTTCATTCCATACGATGACTATAGATTACTCGGATCTACCTCTTAAATAGCAAGCTCTCCTCTTAGAATTACCGTATAAGACGCTAGAATTCTCCCCGCCGGACATCTGACTGATTAGAATTAGCATCATTTCCGTAGAAAATGGCTCCCTATATGTGGCGTCTCGAACACTCTTTTTCATGTCACGTAAAGGCAAAGCTCCAAATTTCATCGGGCGCGCCAACCGCGCCGGCGTGCCTTGGGTTGGTCTCATTGTTACTTATCTTTTCGCTCGCATGATATTCCTGGGACAGTCATTCAGCGCTGTCAGGGTGTATTCTGCTTTGATTACGCTGTTTGGAGGTATTTAGATACTCGATATAACCAATGAGGAGTTGAAGCGCTAAAACCAGATACTTAGTGGCTACGCTCATTGTTTGGGCCGTTATTGGCATCTGCCACAATCGATTCCGTCTCGCTTCCATTGCGCAGGGAGACGAAGTAGCGGAATTGCCCTTCCGGGCTACGCTATATCCATATAGCACTGATTGTCACTGGCAGCGAATGTCTTCCTGATCTTCTTCCACGGGTATACGTGCTTCTTGAACCAATTCAGCCTGACTGATTTCGTGATTAACTACATCCTAATTCGGGTATTCTTGTTGTTCGTGATCGTCTACAAGTTCTGGAGAAACACGCGCTGGGTCAAATTGCAAGATATGGATATCCAAAGACTGGCAGGAGATAATTCGCTGAACCGGACTGGCAGCCACAAAGGGCTCGGCACTGGTGGTATCGCATAAGCGATATTATTGTGGGGTAAGTCGGCATGCTTATGCTGCATGTCAATGTTTCCTATCAATCTACCCATGCTGCGATGAAGGAAAGGGAATTTGGCGAATCTCGTCCGCATCTTATCCAAATCACAGGTCGAGATTAGATGTAGCAAAAGACGGTCTCCGACGGGAGGCCGGTACCCCGTGAAACGGAGGGCGCCGATACCTCTGATCAACCTTAAGATCAATAAGAGTAGATGTACTTTTCTAGAAGCGAGATATGTTCATTTCATATGCATCACTTCGCTACATTCATCTTGTAAACGAAGAACCGGGTCCGATTTCTTCAGCGTCGTATCTTCCCGCCCCCAAATTCCCCCCACATCCTGCACCCTAAAGACCCGCCCGCTACTCCGTACACATCGTGCCCCTGACGACCGCTATCTATTGGCCAGATAACAAACGTGCAAGGGCCCTTGGCCTATCTATGCTGTGCCTGCACGAACAAGGATCCACGCCCCGAAAGCGCGAAACCCGGTCGATCATTTCCTTCGCATGCGCGTGGACAGGGCGCTGGACAGCTGCAAAACTCCAATCACCACTCGATCTCTCACGCTGTGCTGTCTCCTCCAATCATGGTATGGTTGTACCTCGCTCGCGTTCCTTTCTAGTGTTCTAGTGCGGGTGTTGCAGATCGGTGGATATTCCTGTTACAGTATGGTTTGCATGGTTTTGGGTAGAGGGGAAGGCCGTTGGTGGCTGCTTTTTGTGAATGCCAATGAGGTTGTGTTGTTGATGGATGGCTTGATGTAACATCGTTTGAAGTCGATGTTTCGGGCTGCAGTATGGGCTGTCGAGATCTCGGTTAGAGGACTTGGGGTGCTATGTCCTGTCTATATAAACTGGCATCGTCTCTTGTGATCGACTGGAGAATCAAGTCTCGCAGGATCCACCCCCAAACCTTAGTGATCGACTTGTTGATCTTGGAGTTTATCAATCGCTCTCTATCAAAATGCAGTACTCCAAGGTACGATCATCGACATGCTTCCTCCACACAGTCTGGCCATAGTCAAATCCTAACAACAAATCTAGATTCTGGCTCTGGCCACCCTCCTCATCACCACCGCCGTCGCTGCTCCCCACAAGCGTGCGTGCGCCTACACTTGCGGAACAGTCTGCTACACCAGCAGCGCCGTCAGCACCGCCCGGGCTGCCGGTTATAAGCTGTACGAGGCCGGTTCCACCGAAAATAGCTACCCACATGTCTACCACAACTACGAGGGCTTTGACTTCACCGTCACTGGGACCTACTACGAATTTCCTATCTTGAGCGATGGCGACGTGTACGATGGTGGTTCTCCTGGCGCGGACCGTGTTATCTTCAACACTGGTGATCAGTTGGCTGGTGTGATTACCCACACTGGTGCCAGTGGCAACAACTTTGTTTCTTGCTAGATTGACTTCAGAGATGATACGGGGGATGATAGTGAACGAATGGCTACGAGACGACTTATGCGATGGAATGTCAAAGCGTATTTCCTGCGTCATCTATGAGAGCCTGAAGACTGTAGTGTACAAGACCACTATCTAGATTTGTAATGTGGACGACTGACTTTCGCGTAAACACAAATGGAGGAGCATCATGTAAACGCGCTGTGTAGTCTTCCGGGTTGATATAGGTATTTAGAGGCAAACAGCAATCGACACCCGCACAAAAATGAATATGTGGGAGCTCGTCGTCGCCGGGGTTTGATACCGTGGGACTACGATGAACGATCCAGGAAGATCAGGATATTTGTGGTGTTCCTCTTATCTGGAGTTGACTGTCCGTCGGCCTGTTTAGCGTCAAGCCCCGACCGCAACATGGCTGGCACATCAGCCATCGTCATTATTGTGGAACGGACAGACAGACTCGTCATCAGATTGATGACAGGGCCGACTGGCTTGGTTTCGAGGAATACTCGAATTCATCGAGATCGAATCTCGACCTCCAGGACAAAGGTCCTGTCAGACCATGAAGAGTGTAAAAGGAAGAGATCAAGCAGGAGAGGGGCAAGGGGTTTTAAACAGCGTCGCACAGACATCGGAAAATCTGTGGTCCGAACAAGGATCGGTGCGGGATTGCGGGGAAATTCGATCAACAATAAACATTGCGATCTCAATATCTCGAGGATTTCTTTGCAACTATTACAAGCAGCTCTGGAGAAGAAGTAAGTCTGTTAACTTCGAGCCAGCATCTCAATCATTCCCCCATTCCATTTCCATTTCCACCATCTCTCAATAAACACTCACGCAAATGCCCCGTCACCGCAAAGAGCATCATCCCAAATTCATCCGCCGCCTTCGCCCACCTCTCAATCCTCTCTCGTCTCTTTTTACTCTGCGGCCTCGCTGCCGGGGGTTCTATTAATCCACAGTCGCAGCAATATCTGCATTGAGCATGGGACGAACAGAATAACCTTTTGGTGGGGCCAGTTGAGTTGTGGCTGGCGGTGCCACTCGGGCGCACCAAAATCTGGGGTCGTCCCTTTTCCTCGGCTCCGCTCCTCTGAGGAGGCAGGGGGCTGCAACCTTGACCCTCCTTGTCTATCTCAAAGATGGACTTGAAGTGCAATAAAACCACTGAAATATGTCCTTCACTTGCCGTGGACACACATTATTATCTTGCGCTGAAGAGATCCCCTTTGCAACACCAGCAATCCGCTATTCGGCTCCAATCAGGAGCCTACACTCGCAGCCATGAGGGGAATACAGTAGTTTCCGAATTCAGTTTGATCGTTTACGCTTCAGACTTGATTGCCGGAAAATTACTTCTAAGTGTACGAGTTTTAATTGGATGAACTCTCTTCGGTTGATTCACAGATCCAATGTCAAGAACCACTAGTCTTGCCGAATATCGATATTTCTGTATATACAATATCTATCACCGTTTTTACACAATTATGACGAGCCATTATATGCCGTGACTGTATTGACAAAAAGGGAACTTTTAATTTACAATGGTAGCGCTGACAAGTCCGATCTGAAGGCGTCAATGAATCAAGGGAGATTTCCCATGTTGGATCACATGACTCCCAAGAAGTTCAGAGGGGGTGTCTTCAGCTAGTTCACTATTGTAGTGATCTGCCATCGACAATCCCTGCCGAGTGCCAGAAGAAAATCAGATCACCTAATACGGCAGCGCTGGCTCTACTCTGCAGCCTTGAAGCAGCCGGACCACCCACGCCGTCCAAAAAGTGCAAAAGACATGGAAGGAGCGCGAGAGCCCTATCTCCCTCAAGTCGTGCCCCGCTGCTTGAGGCAGATGACGCAATCCCCACCAGTGTGCCTGCTTCAGGATGGGGATTTTCAAGCAATCCAGATTTTGAGGAAACATGGAGAAGAGTCAGGCAGTTCTTCTCATAGTATTACTCAAGCCAGAAACCTTGCCTCTGGGTTGTCTGACATTATCGTCATTCTCGAGCGCCCTCGCACTGTCGAGTCACATTCCCCAAACCAAAGCTTTGATGACTTTGTGAATGACTGTGACTCTTTGAAAGTCGTGGACGAGCTACTTCGTTTTGCCAGTCGAGGGACTCGGAACATTGATACCGTTACTGTCATCAATGCATTCTCGTTGCAGCCTGAAAAAAAAAATGTCGTGGCAGACCGCAGGTGTGAAGAAATTCTTGCACAATTTCTGCAGACGAAGAGACCCCAGGTGATTATCCATTGTACAAACCGGGTCTATGAGAGTCCGTGGATGAGCAGATTCAAGTTCAAGGGAGAGCTTTACAGGATGCGGAGCGAGCAAATCAAAATTATGGAGGGGCACACCACTATCGTGATTCCTTCGTTTCATCCGTCACATGCCGTCAACCACCAGATAAAGTACAGATTAGAGCTGCGAGTTTTACTTATGTATCACTTCGCCTTGGCATTCCACTCATTAGGCGGTAGAACAACTATCCCGTGTTACGCAAAAGCTATACAGAATATATGCCTCCGCCGGGGAGAAAGAAAAGAAGACAAATCTCCTCTCAGTGATTAGGACCTAGCATCATGCATATCAGATACAATCAACAAATCTTATCTGCATAATGGAACTGACGTCTTACCACTCTCGAAGGGCAGCTTTGCCGACGAGGAACTTTCAGACAAAATCAACAGGGAATCCGATACCTTCGATTCCTTGAGTTTCTGGCTTGCCCTCCTTCTCGAGAAGCCGCATAAATTTGAGCTTTTTGGAATTGCATCTACTAGGTTCCTATTACAGAGAGCGAACTTCAAATCTGGCTCCATCTATACGAGAATCTCCTCGGCGTTACATGACCTGGTGGTCACAGAGCAGGATCATTGGTTCTTCCAAACAGAAGACACCAGTGTGGCTGATCTAGATAGGAGGTTTCCAGCAGTTGCCCTCCATGTTGACCCGCAAATATTCGGTGTCATCGACGCCAGCCGCAAAGCTTGTGTTTCCGTTGAGAAGTTTCTAAAACTTGTTGAGAGCGGCCAAGTTAGCGATTCTCGCGCCAAAACAAATAATCACTACGTTGCCGTTGTTTTGCACAAGGCTCTCCTGAATCAGTATCTAGCTACTTCGCAAAGAATTACTATTTCTAAAGCGTTGCGTATGGAAGCCCTGTCAAAATGCTGTTGGGTCATTAATGAAATGTTACGGAAACAAGGGGAAGAGGAGGGACAGCTGTCTCATATGGAACTGATTCTTCACGTCAAACGTTTGTTGAAAGGACTCAGAAATTTGAGAATGGAGCTTGAGGCTGTTTTGGAATAGAGAGCTTTGGTATTACATGAATCACTGGCACACTCATACTTTACGACGTTACAATCTGTGGCCTTTAAATGGAAGTAGCAAGACTCTAGGCAATTTGCACCGAGGAAAAAGCGAGAAGCATATATGACCGGAATGAAGCGAGACTGCTCCAGTTCCCAATACATGAGGTTTCCGCCACTCACTTTTGCTTCGTAGCCGCCTTTTCTCTAGAGCTTCAAGGATGGTAGCTGCGCTCCATATCATTCCTGCGGCCGCCCTCGGGGGGTTGCTTTTGAAAGGTAGGGCATTGAGCCCGATGTCTGATGTAGTTAATACAAAGCGAAGAAAGTCCACAACCAACTGAGAGAGAATAGTCTAGCAAATCCCCCGGTATAGACTAGTGTCTCCTAGCACTGGAAATAGACAATCAATGGGCGAGTGAAGGTTGGTGCAAGAGTTTTGGGCGCACTGGCTTGAGGGTGATAAACACTTGTAGATATATATTTGATCCAAATGGAATCGAGACGCTCATTAGGACGCATGGTAATTTGCGCGGCAACAAAATAGAAAAGGATATCCCATGCGAAAATGATCCTGATAGTAGAGGAACCGATAACTAAATCATCGCTGCAATGCTAGAACCGACACGAGAACCCAGTCTCAAAACAACCCATGAAATTCTCGACCAAGAAGCACATTGAGAACACAAATCAACCCTTTGACTCATTCTGCAATTCTATCACCAACCACCATCATCCTCGTACTGGTCCTCACGACCCTCGTAATATGCATCCTGGCGGGCTTCGGCAATCTCCTCGCGCTCCGAATCCTCATCTAGACAGACCACGTATCAGCCAAGGTCAAATCGCAAACCCGCAAGCTCGAGGTGCATCAAAACACCAAGACCCAATGAATCAAATACTCACCACGCTCATGCTCAATAATAGCACCTGCAATGCCACCCAACGCCAAACCAGCCGCACCAGCCGCAAGATACTTGCCGGCGTTGCTCTTCTTCTCCTCCACCACGACGGGTGCTTGTTGCTCATAGCCACCTCCATACCCGCGCTGATCATACCCAGCAGGCGGAGGAGGACCGGGCGGGGGCGCATAATAACCACCCTGCGATTCGGGCGGGGGCACGCTCCGCGAACCATCATAGTAGCCCTGTCCCTGGTAGGGTGGTTCCCACTGCGCGCGGCCGGTGTTGTCTTCTACCCAGAAGGCGCGGCGCATGTTGGGCTCCCATTCTTGGTGCCAGCCCGCCGGCAGAGGGGGAGGGGGACCCGGTGGGGGGCGCGCCTGGGGTGGAGGAGCGCTATAGGGGGCGCGATCGTAGGGGGGTCTGTTGTCGTAGGGTGGGCGTTGGTCGTAGCCGGCTGGAGGGCCCGGGGGTGGGCGGTTGTAGGGGTCGCCTCCGTAGTAGGACATTGTGAGGGTTTGTGTGTGTGGGAGAGGGGGAGGAGTCAAAGAGGAGAAATTAAAGAAGCAGAAGTAATCAGAAAAAGTGGAGGAGTAGCAGCTTTATGAATAATGGGGGGGGGAGTCGATTCAAGCGCTTGAAAAAAGGTCGACTAGAAACAATACCAGGTACAAGTGCAGACCTGGACGAAGGACAGATTACTTTAATACGGGCAAAGGTCCCTCCCATCTCCCCTATTTTGGTTATTATTCTCCGCGGGACCCGGGCCTCCACACCTCCAAGCCCAAGATAGTGATAAAAGAGGAGTCATACAACCCCTCGGAGCCACGTTGAGGGATAAAAAGACAATAACGGAGGGCCACGATCCACAGGGCTGTGGAGAGCACAGGGTGTTTTAGCGCCGAACAAGCCTTTAGTCAGTTGTTCCGAACCAACAAATAACAATACAGTACGCAGTACGGAGTACATACTGGGCTATACAGTATGTACAAGAAGTAACTCCGTACATACGGCTGGACTAATTCCGGCGCCTAGTCGTGGTCCGGGCCGACTAGGCAGATGCGATTTTATGTGGCTTGGCATTGATTTTCTGTTTACGGAGTACTCCGGACAGTATTCTGCTCTCTTGAATGGTTACTATGAGCCCTGGGGGTCTCAGGGTTCAACGAAGAGTACCCCGACCAGAGAGCCATCACTTGCAGGCTTCATAGTCCATACCAACGGGGCTAGTATTGTCTGCTCTTGGTAAAACCCATAGAGACCAGTCTTGACCTACCAAGTTACCAGACAATGGGGAATACTCTCCCCTACTACGGTACTTTTCCGTCAGCACGCGCCAAGGTGGACACTCCATCTGTCACCATCACCGGGCCAAGTCTCGTAGGCTCGGCGTGGAGATGGTCGCATATAAATACCTAAAAAGGGGGGAACCAGATTAGCAACCATTGAATTTGATGATGAAAATAACTACATGATGCCTTTTCACTTAGACACGAATTCTGAAGGATAGGAATCAACTGCTTCGCATTTTCTTCAACACAGAATAATATCTATGGTATACTCCGTTCAGCACAAGGATATGCATGACAAGTCTTGGCAACGAGCGATCAACAGGGCCTCCCGACGCCCGTACCGTAGGTCCGTAGGGCGAAACCACGCTCGGGGCGCCGCTCCTGCAGCCCTTCCGCTATCAGCCAAAACCCGCAAAACCGAGCGAATCTTACAGAGTACACACCGGGCATAATGTGAAACGAGACAGAACGTGACACTCATCATTGATAGGTAGGAGAAACCACGCAATAGACAAGGGGACGGGGGTCATCCAAGAGTTTACAATGCACCTGCAAGGCCTGGGTATACGGTGGAGAAGCCAGAACAGCAAGAAGTCCCTTATTGAAGACACTAAAAAAGGGGAGAGGGGGAAAGGAGTGTGGATTATTACATTGGTTTTACGATTGTTTTACAGAGATTTCCGGGAAATCTGACGGAACATTGCAAGAACCAAATGTTTAGTATGGCGGTTAGTGCGGGCGCTAGTAGGTGTGCCGAGCCATGATGTGGCTCGGGCAGACGAGACACAGCCACTGAAGGGATCACACGTGGCTGATGTGGGAGATGCGAGGTGGACGGGTCGGTTGGAGGCACTTGGCGGGTGGAAGCGAGGTTTTCCCTGTCAAAGAGTTCAGTTATTGAATGGTAAGTGGGTCGGTATTGAGGGGAACGTTGGATTGGGACTACGGAGTACAGCTATGTGGCCAAGAGACCTGAATGGTCAAATCGGATTACAAGGAAACAGAAGTGGTCAATCATTGAAGGTAGTGAAGCAGATAGCCCCAGGTAGTAAGTAATAGATTGCGGACGTAGGAAATAAATGTCTCCAGTCTGGAACGGATTACATCGAATAAGAGAAAGTTCATAAGTAACAGCACGGCAGTCACCGACAATACCTCGACGAGACGAAATCCTTGTTCAGGATCGGAATACATCGGGCAATGTCGGTGTATTCAAAGTCGTGGGCTCTGCATCGCGAAATACGCCCAATGTAGCCTCACGCAGCAGAGGCCAGCCGTATCAAGCGAACATGAATTACAAGCTTAAGAGCCGGCCAGGTTGCTGGTCTCGTCGCTGCCCGGGTAAAAGAAAGCCGCCAAACTACACAGAGGTTAGAAAAGACATGAGGACAGCAGCAGGAGGGTAAGACTCACGCAATGATGATATAGGCGGCAAGCAGAAGTGCTCCCTCGAGATAGTTACTTCGGCCATCCAGGACCAAGAAGTTTACCACGAAGGCGGTAACAAAAAGACAAATGGTCTCGAACAAGGTAAAGTACAAGGACATGTCCTTGTCCATACACCAGCCCAGGATGACGACGAGAGGAGTGACGAAGATGGCTATTTCATGGCGGGTTAGCAACAATGTTGAGACAAAATCTCGTTGAGAGGAGAGTAAACACCTACCGATCTGAATACTACTTCCAACGGAAACACCTATTGAAAGATCCATCTTGTTCTTCATGGCCACACTAACGGCCGTAACGTGCTCAGCCGCATTACCGACAATAGGCAGGATGATTAGACCGATGAACGCTTCACTGACGGAAGAGTTGGCAACCATTTCGGGGATGGCGTCAACAAGGAACTCGGCACAGACGGCAACCAGACCGGTAGACAGGAGGAGCATGACCACGGCGGCGGTACGCGACATCTCCGGTTCAGTCTCCACGACGGCAGTCTCTGGTGCGACTGGATCGGTGGGGCCAGCCACGCGAGCAGCACCACGGGCAAATTGAACGGCGTTGCCAACGTGCGGTTGACGATTGACGCGAGCGGGTAATGAGTTACTTCGGGAGAGCCCAGGGCGTGAGGCCGCAGCTGCCAGCTGAGGAGATTGACCGGGTGTCTGGGAACTGAAAACCGTATTGGACAAAAGAGAAGGGATAGGGCCGAAGGGTGAGCGTTTCCGCTGCTCCGTTTCTCCAGCGCCTGGCGTGCCAGTAACGTTAGGGGTCGAGGCGAACACCTTCATGGGAGGTCGGGCAGCCTGTGCTTGCTCTGTTTCTTTAGAAGGCTGGCTGCGAGCCTTTTCCGCTCTCTGCTCTCTGCGCTTCTTGCGTTCGCGCTTGCGCTCCTTCTCACTACGAGCACTTTCCATGCGGTTCATGGCGAGACCAAAGTCACGCGAACGGAACTCGGAGGCCTGGCCGGCATCATCATCGGCATCATAACGGATCTCGTCACCGACGTCAACAGCACAAGAATTGGCCTCGTTACTGGCGATCGAGTTGCCAATGGAGGCCGAGTTCTCGTCGGTCATGATCTTCTTCTGGACGGACTGAAGTGAGGTGGTTCCCTTGGAGCTGGTACTGGACTTTCGACGGCGACGACTCTTCATAGCCCTCTTGATGCGCTTAGCAGTGGTCCAGGAGCTCGTGGTGTCGACAGATTCGTCACTAGAGCTGCTCGAGGAATCGGAAGAGCTGTTCATGAAATCGGCCAGGACACCGGGATGCGACTCCTCATCAATAATGCGTTGCGGGATACTGGCATAGAGGTAGGAGTGGGTCCTCAGCTGGAAGAGGATGTACAAGACGTACACCAGCAAGAGAACCACACTAGTGCCACGGCTGACCTTGAGAGTTCGACGATCGGCTTCCGCCGAGTCCGAGAACGAAGCATGGAAAGCAGTGGGTAGAAGAAGACTGGTCACGGCCAGACTGAGCATACAGGCACTCATCTGAGTGACGGTGCTGTTGTAGATCTGTTCCTGGAATCGCAGGCCACCTAGCAGGAACGCCATACCCAGAATCAGGAGCAGGTTTGCCAGGATAGAACCTAGCAGAGAAGCCTGGACAATACGAATTTCATTCTTGACGAGAGCAATGATGAAAATGATCAGCTCGACGGCGTTACCGAACGAGACGTTGATCAGTGCACCCATCGTATCGCCGAGACGGCTAGCCACACTCTCGGTAGCATGGCTAAGCAGACCCGCCAGAGGGATGATCGCCACAGAGTTCATCGCGAAGACCACGGCTGGGTTGAGGCCGGCCGCTTCGACAGCAATACCCGCAGGTACGAAGATCAGCAGGACGTTGACCCAGCTGTGGCAGAGGGCATCCTTGGTGTGGTTGTAGAACCGGCCTGTCCCGTTGCGCATGCGGGTAATGAGGCCCGATTTTTGAGATTTCTCATCCTCTGCGGGCCCTGCCATCGGGACAGGGCCCCCGGGTGGTGCGATCACTTGATCATCTTTGACGGTGGAAGAAGACTCCGCGGGCGGATCGACTTCGGGGATTTGGCTCGTGGCCTGGGGGAGGGTGGAGGGTTGGTTGGGCAGGCCGCGAGAAGAGGCGTGAGCTTTCGCCCACGAGTTAATACGGTCTGTTGCAGTTGCCAGTTAGTTGCGCGGTTCTGTGAGCTTGAGAACAAGAGAGGGCCAATGATAACGTTGTACCCGTCGCAAGCCTAGACTTTGCGAGACGACTTACGCATGTATTTCAGGAATCAGCAGCTGATTCAAGGCGCAAGGCAGTTAAGCCTGGAGGAATGCGAAGTAGGGGAGGAGTTGTCTGGACGGACAAAGCCCGGGGAATAATCGAAAGAAAAGATCAGGGGGAAAGAGCGGGCCTGGCCTTATTTATCGCGAGCCTTGGCGGTGTCTTGGCGCTGACGGCAGTCTGTTCCCAGAATCAAGTCTTGAGTTGTGATGATTATGCCCACCTTCTTCTAACAATAACAACAATTGACCGTTATGACTGGCTACCGAAACTACCGAATTTCCAGAATTTCCATCTCTCCACAAACACCGAGTATGCAGTCTGGTTACCCCAAAAAGCAAGCCGGCAGATCACCCGGTGATCCATGAATGTTGACGACTACTCGACTCGGTTGACAGGCGCATTCTTCCTACACAATATAGGCTTCGTCGGCATATCCTCTTTCAAAACCCCCATGATGTCAAAACAATATCTTCCATTTCAAGTGCATCGCCTTGCCCGACGCAATGCCCAAAGGAACATGGCAAATGACGCGTTCTCTCACCCAGGCCCTATAGGGATTCGGAGGTTGCCAAGGGTGCGCCTTTGCAGGGAATCCGGCTCCACCATGGACAATGTCCGACACTGGCGCGGCCGTGACACGAGTGATTGGCTCCATAGTCCCCACCCGATCGACACCGTGTGAGAGGTCGCCCCGAAATTGTGCGAAATGGCAGTCTCACACGAGGCCAACGGGGAAAGGCCAGAGAGGCCGCTGGATTGGACCGACCTCGAATACTATCTATCTTCTTCGGCAAGGCCTGACGAGCTTGTCACGACTGCACAAACTTCATACATCCTTCCGCAAAGACAGGAGTCTAGGTGTCCATGCCCGAGCCTTGTGGATTACAACATCCTACCGCGGCGAAAGGTCCGATCCTCGAAAGGTCCGATCCTCCGCATGCTCACCATACGAACGGAGCGGACCAGTAAAAGCCACCCTCGACAGTCCAGCCACATGATGTCATCCACAGCTACTGTGCTGGCAAGTCCCTATGAAATGACCTAGATTCAACAGCTTTACAAGTATTCGACGAGATGAATACCTAATCTGGCAAAGTCCGGTTGCAGCTTATGCTGCTGGCCTACTGCTGATTTCCTCGGTCGCTGCGTAGGACAGCATCCTGCGCGAGTCATTCCCGAGCCCAATGACCGGCCGCGCGGATTTGGGGCCCGCGCGTCCACTATAGTGGCTGTGCAGCCTTGTGTGGCTGTGTCTTCCACTCTTCGCCACAGTGTTGGATGGGTACATTCGAGTCATCCCGTCTAATAAGATGGAAATAGCGTGAAAATCAGAGAGAAACTGACTCATTGATGACTCAGAGTTTATTTCATGCTAAGTTCACAGATGAACAAAGAGTCAATTGTGACTCGGAGAAACTATGCCGAGGTACCTGACTCGACAAGCAAAGAAGACCTGGAAAAGACATGACCATCTTTGAATGGCAACAGTAATAATGTCAACACATGGATAATCTAAATCTTCTATTTAACGATTGCGAAAGTAGAACATTTCCCCTCACCCCCCTTTTTTCAAGGCTCTCAGATGGCTTTCTCCTCGAGATCAAGTTCTTCCTAATCTCACGCCATGTAGCTTGGCTCGGCACCTATCACCTATAGCATGGCACGCGAGCCCTGATGGAATGATTCAGATCAAGGGCATCTAGACAAAGGTTCCTTGTTTTTCCCAACGAGACAACGGGAACTTCATCTTTGTGTACATAGTAATAGCCCCAGAATTCCAGCGCACCCCGGCATAAGAGCCCTCCTCATAAGACTTCGCCTGGAAGATTTCCTCCTGAGTCTGCGAGCCAAGACAGCCAGTCAAAGCTCGACCAAATCGGCGAGTCTTGATAGGCTTGGCAATCATCACTCCGGACGGTTCATTCGCAAAGTTTTCCTTGCCGTTGATTGCGGTCTAGGTTGACCAGGTGCAAGTTTAGTCTACTCCGATCGAAACACCCAGTTTGTCCTTAATCACCGTCCCGTCAAGACCGTTGCTGACGTTGATGCTGTTACTCACATTGTAACCGGAACTAACGTAGACTTCAATGCTGATTCCAGTGCCAATCACGATGGGGGACATTTGTACGTTCCAGTCGATGAAGGTCTGAGACCTATCGGTGACTACAGCAGCGGTTTATGCGCAGTCGGCTGGGGCGTTCAATTGGGACTCGTTGCGGCCGCTGCTGACGATAATGCGGGGCATATCGTCACCCTCGGGGACGCAAATCGCAGTTCCTTTGGAGGCGAGGAGTGCGTGGTAGACTTTTTCGTGGACGATTTCCACTATGAGAGGGACCGCGTTAGCAATATCTTCACACCGGCGATGAACAGTGGGATTCGTGCACCGACTGCGCCTTTTTATGACTCTATTTTCATCTCGACAACTTAACCAACTAATTTCCTGCTTCCGCCCGGATAGGGTGGCACCTGTTGTAAATCTGCAGGATGGAACATTCGTGGAGACGAGGTGAAAGAATTCTGCGGTTGTGCTGGAATTCTACTGACGACTCTCTAGATGACCTATTACTGTGAGAAGCTTTGCTATACTGGTGGCGCTCCAGTGAGGGGCACTAATCAGGGATGACTGGTTATTAATCTGTCGGACTCCCAACTTTCGACCGATCAGGATGCCATCTAGTCTTCTCAACTATCAAAGGCCACATGGATTCTTGGAGCCCTCGGAGGATGGGAGAGATCTCACGACGGCAATATATATACCGGAGATGGATCCAAGGTTTTAGAACACACGACCTATTTGTGCTACAAGCACGCAATTGTGCTTAATTAAGTGAGCTGCCAGGTAGCCAGCAAGAAAGACCAGATGATAAATAAATTTAAGTTGTCAGTCCGATAAATACCGCCTTCTTAAAGCCAGTCGTGGAAATATAACCAGGGGTGTCCATGCAGGAAACAACGGGAAGAGTCGACTCCGCCCCACCTGGTCGATAGTCAACTCCGCTCAACAAGGGGATGCAAACAATAGTAAGAAATACTTGCGTCTTGAATTTTTGAAAATCAACACTTCTAGTGAGAAAATTCAATAATCATGCCCAGTTGTTTTTCAATAATTACATACCGGTCATCTTCACGTGACTTCCGAATTCATCCTCTCGCCATCGAACCTTCTCCTCAAAACTTTGTTCAGCACGAGAACTAGGGAGCACTTTTACGCGCCTAAGACTTGATAATGGCGCTCAAACTCGAGCGAAAGGTGGAAGTTTAATCGACGCCCGATAGTGGATGTTTCGGAGCCCCATCGGCACTTGGCTCGGTACGGAGCGACTCGCACGGCAACCCGATCCGAACGCAGCCACATACGTCCCGGCATCGAAGATCAAGTCAACTTTCATCTTAGTCTCCTTTTGTCAACTTCACAACAAGTGACTCGTAACTTGAGTTGCCATCCCCGCCAAAGAAGGAGTCTCAGATTCCCGCGAGGTAACCTGCGGGCTTGGTTTACAAGCATAGCCATCTCATGGTTGACCAAAAATCCCAGGCGTCCTCGCCTGGTAGAGTCAAGTAGGTACAGTCCTTGAACCAGCTATACGCGACTATTCTAACAGAAACAAAAGAAGTCTTTTGAATCCGTTACAATGGTGGGAAAAGCTTGATCTCGACTCTCGAAGCTTTCTCATGATGCTAAAAGGTGCTTTGGCACCTACTATCACAATTGCCATGTATGTATGCCGAAGGACCCCATTCTGGCGCAAGAAACTAACGATTGCCAAGATACCAGAGTGATGCGATCTCGAACATCACAACCACGATTGGCTACCTGTCAGCCTTGATCTCGGTGCTCTCCCAGGGATTAATGCCCCGGGCAAAGTTCATGAAGATCATGTTTTTCGATTTGCTAGCCACTTGTGTATCTGCGTCGCTTTGTTGTCTAGCGGTCTTCTGTGCCGTCAAGGCGAGGGAGCATAACACTCCCACTGACGCAAGCGATGCTGTACGCAATGGGTATAATAGCGATGCTTGTGCGGTGGCTGCAGTCTGGCTTATTTTCATGATTTGGTGAGTAGCTTTTCCGGAGGATGTGTTCAATTGCTGTATGAGTCTAATATGAAACCTCCAGGGGTGCCAATGCACTGCGCGCTCTGAAGCCCATGGAACTGCAAGATCCAATGGTTGCTTTTTCGATTTTCGCTTCAGTAACTATTACGCGTGCTGGCACATTTATCACCCTGTCAGAGGGCCTGGAATTCATTTCACGATTATTGAAAGGGTTTATGATAGGCTTCGCGATCGCCACCGGCGTGTCTCTTCTCATATTTCCCATCACTAGCCGGGGTGATGTATTCCACGACATCAAAGAATATGTGTCGTTGGCTGAGGGAGTGTTACAGGCACAAATATCCTTCGCAGAAGGTAGTGCAGCGACCGGTATGTTTTCAGGGAAGAGACTCCTGCGCCGGTCACGGACCACGATGAGCACTCGGGATATGCAGAGCGAAGGCGACACGAATCTACAATCCAAGCAGAAACAGCTGCAGGCAGCGATGAATAAGCTCAATGGCTTGCACAGCAAACTGCATGCCGATTTGTTCTACTCCAAGGAGGAGATCGCGTGGGGCAAACTATCACCTGAAGACTTGAGTGTGATGGCTTCGCTTTTCCGAGGTTTGCTTCTTCCGCTCGCTGGAATGTCCATGTTGCCGGAGATATTGGAAACCATAATCGAGAATGAAGGACCGCGTGACGATGATGCCGAGACGGACAGTCTGGATGGGGCAGGAGAGGATGCGCTGAAACAATCGGAGATCCAGAGAGTAGTGGAAACCCATCATGCGCGGCTTGTGGATGCGACTGAACTTGTCAAGTTGGGACTGGCTCACTTCCTGCTGTCGCTGGAGCTTATTTCAGCTAAGCATTTGGAAAAACAAAAATTGCCGCACCGAGGTGGATCTCCCGCTAGGGACGAGGAAGCTAGGGGCCAAACTCTTAGTCCTCTTCAGCCAGACTTTGCGTCACACTTTGAGCGCGATGTGCGCATTTATTACTCTCAAAGGAAACATCTACCAGAGGCGCTGGCTTCGTTAGAGGCATTCTCGGCTTCTGAGAAATATACAGACCAGACGACGCCAGGGTCCAAGCATCCGATTCTTACGACTGATCCTGATGTACGCCAGGAATTCTTCCTCATCCTCTACATGAGTCATTTACAGGATGACCTGCTCAATGCCACGATGAAGCTGGTAAAATTTGCCGACGGGAAGGTAGCTGATGGAACCATGCAACGATCCCGTCTGATCTTTCCAAGGCAGGGTTCTATACGGGAGTGGTTCTCACTACGAAGTGAAAAGGAGAAGGAAAAGGAGGATCTGGAGGGTAGTCGGCAATCGTCCCATGTGGACCCGTCAAATGTCCACCGCGCGTCAATTTTGACTGGGTTTCCCGATCCGGAACATCTACCCCCAGAGAATATATGGGAGAAGGGGAGTATGGTTCTGCGAACTATTTCGCATATCATCAGGTCCGATCAGAGTACCTTTGGGTTCCGAGTATCGGCAGCAGCATTTTCCGTGGGAATCCTCGCCTATCTACATCAGACCCAAGACTTTTTCATTCGTCAGAGATGTATTTGGGCTATGATTGTCATTGTCATCGGCATGAGTCCGACAAGTGGCCAGACCATGTTCGGCTTTGTTGCTCGCATTCTGGCAACTACAGTCTCTCTCGTGCTAAGTCTCATTGTGTGGTATATTGTGGATGGCAAGACAGCAGGCGTGCTTGTCTTCCTCTTTATTGCCAATGCGATTGCGGTATGTTATCAGAAAGTGTGTTGGATTAACAGTTGCTGACAGTAATGTTGTAGTATTATCCCTATGTCAAGCTACCACAGTACTTTGGCCCGTCTGTCATTGCTATCGTCACGTTGAACGTGATTGTCGGTTACGAACTGCAGGTTCGTATCACCTCCTCTCTCCTGCCTAGTGCCTGTCTAACACATGTGAAGGTTGCCAAATTGGGAGTGACTGCAGCGGAGTCAAACGATCAACCGTACTACCCAATATATCTCTTCGGCCCCTACAAACTCGCCGCTGTCGCCGCTGGCTGCGCGATTTCATTCTTCTGGGTTATCTTCCCGTACCCGATTACCGCGAAATCCCAGCTACGGAAGCTGCTTGGTCGGAGTCTCTTTGTTCTTGCCAAGTTCTATAGTGCCATGCACTCGACGATAGAGTTGTGGCTCGCAGGCGAATTAGGCAACACCAATGATATGAGCTCGCCTGCCCATCACCTTCAAAAATCGAGACGGACTATATTCAAGGAAGAGATGATGCTACTCGCTGGCCTGCGCATGCATAGTCACTTTAGCACTTTCGAGCCACCCATCGGCGGCAAATTTCCCAAGGAAACCTACGACAACATCATTTCAGAAATCCAACGCATCCTAACAAGTATGTCGCTGATGGCACATACAACGCAGAACCTGGACGCTCTCTCAGTTGAGTCAGAGAATTCAGGAGACAACAGTGATAGACCGTGGATGGCGCAACTCGCCGAGATTGCTCTGAAGTCTGCCGATTTCAACTCTCATCGAATAACATCGCTGCTATGTCACCTCTCGGCAGCGATTACCAATGCCCAACCATTGCCACCTTACCTCTCGACACCCGAAAGCTTCCCACTTGCACGGCAAATGCAGAAGATTGATGACAAGCTACTCAACATCTCACATGTCGAAGATCCATCCTTCTCTGCTTTTGTCGCCCTGGAAGTTCTAAGGTCTGTTGTCAGTCTTAGTCTGCAGGGTCTCCTTGAGTAAGTGCAATACCCCTCGTGGGCGCTTTACTGATGCAATGCTAACCTGCGTAGTAACATGCGAAAACTAGTTGGCGAGTTGAACTTTGATGCTTATCCACGACAGAATCCGCGACATGAGGAGTCGGCTCATTTGCTACGGACATCGAGCCAGGAGGAGACACGGCGAGATTGGTAGCTTCTGCGTTGTTCGATGTACATAACATTTAAAGCTGTTCATCAAACCTTCAGCATCAGAGATTCATTAGATTGACGCAAGGTTTTCCTTGATATCCATACGTGTTTCAGCCGGGCAGGCATAGATATATTCAAAAGAATGTCCACTACCCATCACCGCTATATGGGCGGCTTTTCATCAATCTAAAACCAAGGGTCCCGTCATCCCTGGTTGATACTCAACAATCATTTTCCAAGACCCTAGAATTCGAACTCTAACAGCTTTAATTTATAATGCATGCTCACTTTATAGCTCTCACGGCACGCGAAATCAGGTCGAAATTGTATTCTCAGATCTACAAAAGTTTAAACTTCGCCGCAATTCCCATACAAACGACCATAAAAGCCACAAAAACACCCACAATGCCAAAGAACCACGACAAGCCAGGCGTATCCTGGCCAGGAACATAAACGTTCATCCCAAACATACCAGTCACCAAATGGCACGGGACAAAGATCGTCGCCAGCAGGGTGACCTTACTCATAGCCGAGTTGATCGTCAAACCAACTCGCAAATTGGTTGCACTCAACTGCGCCAGACAATTACCCTGCGACCGACCAATAATCTCATCGATATGCGCCAGCATTGATAGCGTCGTTACCAGGTGGTCCTGCACGTCGCCCAGGTACAGCAGTAGATCACCGTCAGGGAAGATGGGGAGTTTATCGGGTGCTTGGCAGCGTTTGACGAAGCCATTCAGTACGTCAACTTTCCCGTTTAGACAGCGCATAATGTGGGTGGTTTTCTTGCGGAGGACGTCGACTTGTGGAATGAGTTCTTGGACGTCGTCAATGCGTGCGATGAAGACTTGATCTTCAATGGCTTCGGATTCGGCCTCGACGGCTCGGGTGAAGGGATCGAAGCTGTCAACGATGTCGTCGCTGGTGTTTTGTTAGATGTGATCTGAACAGCGTGGCAGTCGCCGTCCGAATCGAGCCATCCCCGCTGTATACTTACATCAATGCGTAGCAGATCCAGTCACTAGACAAGATGGAAGGATCATGCATTTTGCGAATTCGATCCCGGACACGGCTCACATGGCTGCACTCACTAGGCGAGAACGTGGCCACTCCATACTGAAAGACGAGGATGTACATCACTGCCGAAGAGGGCATTCCTAGTCGTTCCCCGCTCTCCGTGGCCTGGGAGGCCAGCGTTTGGAAGGAGATGAGGTAGTAGTTCTTGAAGACCTCGACTTTCTCGCGAGGCTCCCGGATAGCGATATCCTCGGCTGTCAGGGGATGGATGGAAAGGGCCTCTGCAATGATTCCGACGTCTTCCTCGGTGGCATCACGGACGTCGACCCACCAGACAGGGCGGGAGGGCTCTGGGCGGGCTTTGTGGCTTTCTTGGAAGATATGATCATGGTTTCCGTCCGGGAAGAGGGATACCCAGGACGAGGCCGTGATAGCTTGCTGGTTATCCGAAGAGAAGAAGCTGAAGCGGCCATGTGGTGCCTCCTGGACCGCTGGCCTGTCGGTTCGCGCGTGCGTCTTCATTTGCACTATCATAGGACGGCGTTTCGGTGGGTGATACGATGGGCAGATCGTCGAGAGGATTCCATCGGTGAGCGGATCTCAAGTTTAACGGATTTAGGCTTCGAAAAAATGTGAATGATGTTCATCGGTGGAAAAGTTAGAGTGGTTCAACCCATTCTAGTCATCAGCCTGGATGCCTTCTCAAGACGGCAGTGACAATGCAGATTGGAAGACTGATAAACTGCCCATGAAACTCTGCCAAAGGAGATACTTGCGAAGCAGAAATAAAGCAGCAAGGCAGATAACAACCTTTTCGTTCCAGGGCCTAAACACCCTCGACCAGAACTTGGGAGACCCAAGTTCGGAGACCAACACCAGCGATCCCCTACCAGCCCTACCCGTTGGCCCGCATGCTCGGTGGGCCAAGATGGAGAAAATAAAACACGTATCCAATGGGATATCTTATAGTGACGATGGCGAATGACTTGCTGGGTCCTTGGGCGCTGTTGGGAAGGACCTCGGAGGGAAATGTGGCACCGGAAAAGCGGCTTCGGTTTTGTTCCAGTCCAAAAGCTTGGCTCCAGGCATCACAAAGGGCATAATAGCCATGAAATGTTACAAATTACACGTGAACCTGGTATTTACTGCCTGAAACAAGGCCATCGTGGCATACCGTATGGAGGTAATACTATTCGTTATCAAAGCAGAAGCCGTCCAAGTACCCACTCTATCAATATTTTGCTTGTGTCCTTCGCTGTCACATCACCCATAGAATGTCACAAATTATGGTAATTTTTAAAGACCCATTAACTCCATACGCATCGCTCCTCGCACAAAGGTAGGTAGATCATAGTTTCGAGAAATCCAAAGTTATACATGTCCGCAAGACTCCATTCCAGAGTAATGCTGTCCACCCCAGCCAGGGAAACCCCTAGAATACCAGCGTTAGTATCAGCTAAAGATAAGTCACATCGCTAATCATCCGCTCACCTAACAGAGGCAAAATAAATTGATCCAACTCATCATTCATTCCTGCTCTGCATGCTGATCGAGTTGATCATCGTCAAAAGCATGGGACTTGCGCAGTTGTGGATAAGCCATAATAACAAAGATCACGACGGCTAACAAGATCAACAATGTTGGGAGAAACATAAATGTGAACATGAAAACGCTTAGCCCGAAGGCCAGGTTTTGCCCGCGGAGAAACCGACGTGCCATAATGTCGAGTACTGAAGAGAATGGCATCGGCCAAGGATTAGTTTCCAGAGTGGTTTCAGCGAGTTGCAGTTCAAGCTTGTCCGATGCAAGATAGCTCAGCGTGAAACTGCGATAGAGCCTGCTCTGTAGCAAAGAAGTGGTGCATTTAACAAAGACTTTGTAGGCACGATCGCTGCGTAGCTGCGTACATCGACTAAATCCTTGCCTCCCAATATATAGACGCCAAGGTCGCACTAGGAACGCCGGATGTTGAGAATCGCACCATTCGGGTGTGGCTAAGAGAGTATATATCTAGCCGCGGAAGTTGAATGTTGATGCCTGTACACACACCGCAAGAAAGCAATATTGATTTCCCCAAGTGCACGATTGGTGGAAGTGTCGAGAAGTACGGCAATTGGCAATGCCGTCATGGACCCAGTAGAAAAGTAACGATAGGCTTGGCGCCATTCGAAGCGACCGGCAGGGATTTGCCTGCATTGATTACGGTAGGAATCGATCAGACACGCCACTGGTGGCGTTTATATTAGAAGGGATTTTTATTTCAAGTTCTGCAGACATCCTCCTAGAACTCTAACCGCCATGGCCTTGGTCATCGTGTATCGTTGGGGAAGTTAGGATTTAGCCGGTGGGTCTGGTAATTTCGACGCCTGGCAACGGAACACCGGATTTGCCCCATCGTGGGGCTCTTGGCGCGCGAACAGCTTCAGGCAGCAGCTTTTTTCGGCAGTGACAAAGACGGCGCGAAAGAGTTACTCTGGATGGAAATAGCCTCAATCGATCTATTAGTGCTAGAAAAAAGCAGAAAGTTCGTCCTCATTACCAATAATTGGATTGACCAGCTAGCTGTTCACCTCGAAATAGTTGGGCTTGGGATGGTTAAACTAACTGGCAAGACCCGGTTATTTTCGCCCTCAGCCTATTGAGTGGAGCACGGACAATAATGAGAAGCCGGCCGTACCGTAATTGTTGAACAAGCGGGCAAGGCTGCGGACTAATGAGCCCGAGGCTGCAGGGTCTCGATGTTTCTTTGCGGGAGTTTCGGTCCCTGTAGACATCAAGCTGTGGGAAGTCCAGACGTTGATGGAAGATAAGCAATATTGGCAGCGATCAGAAACCTATACCGTATTCCTGTTTCTGCTTGACTCAAGCCTGGCTTTTTTGTAAATCCAGGATAGCAAGATCATTCTGCCGATGTGCGTCTCCGGTGGCAAGAGGGCCATCATCGGCACAGCATTTTCCCCCATGCAAATGTCCCGCGTTGCCCTGTAGGGCTGAAGCTTGGCCCGTGGGTCCGTGGTTCGCTGTCAGCGCCTGCAGTAGGCGCAAACACCTGGCCTTGTACCTCTTCGGCGGAATGATTTTGGGACAAGCAATAAAAAAAGTCAGAATTAGGGACCTATCCAAGGCCCAGATCACTAGCTCATAGTCCTCTCGATCATGTAATCTTGATGACTGGCGATCGCGAACAAGGATCGCAGGCTGCAGAGAAGAAGCTCACCGAAACCAAGGCCGATCGGCGCTCTCTGAAAGTCCCTTTTACTAGTGGGGGGAGAACGGAGTACATACGTAGGAATGATGCTGGTAAATACGGCATTACACCCTATCCAGCCTATAATTAGAGCCTGGGATTATAGGGGGAAAGCGCGAACCAATAAACCCACCAATTGACCAGGAGACTCCGACTCCGGTGCCTAAACAAGGAGCAAATTGCGGTTACAGTAATCCATTTATTGTGTCCACACTACTGCACTGCACTGTACTGTACATTTGCATTTTCACAGGGCTGGATTTCCCAACCCCACAGTCCTTTCCCCTTTCCCCTCGTTGCGTCTCCAATCATCTCTCTTTTTTTGATCTCATCTCTCGACTTTTTCTTTACCGTCCTTTCCAGCCTGTCCGCCCGACTACTCATCCCTCGCCTCAGTTTCAGTACGGAATAGATATCCCCTCAAACAAACCCCAATTGAGAACAGAGCGACTCTATAATTCTGCTTGACTACGCCGCCCACTGCCGGAGCAAGATGTCTTGGCTCGCGGGGCAGGACAAGCACGGCCACGAGGAAAGCGATAATCTCGGTGTGGACTGGGTGCTACAATACGAATTCGAAGAAATTGGTAAGGCCTATGATCGCCATAGAGCGAAGTATGAGACGCATAGACTAGGCAGGCATGATGTCCTTGATTAAGCCTTTCCTTTGCGGCTCTATTCGCGGGGAATGAACAAAGAACTGACGGTCGCCTAGATCAGGGACAGGCTATTTCCGAATTTCGCACACTCGTCCATGATCTGACCGAAGCTGGACTTCGCGTGCAGGTCCGCCATGGCCACGGCTCGGCCCTGCTAGTGTGTATTCGTGTTCCCCGAGACCATCTAGGGAAGATGGTACACCAATCCAGGTATGATGAGCACTAAACCGACTTCAAGATAGCATCTTTGAAAAAACATGTTTCCTGTATCGCATTTGTACCTAGAACTGATTTTCATAAAGGATAAAAGATTGGCTGTTTGGCATAACACACACCCTCCCGGAAGGTGACGATAATACAGTCGCCGCTGCTGATACGCGTTCGGAGGAGATTCGCTCTGTTTATCACGCCGTTACTTGGAAAAAAGAGCTTGGTGGCGCTGGAATTACGCCTCGGTTTGGGAAGTGGAAGAATATCACCGCTTCGTTCCCATTGCATGATCGGGATGCGTGCTCGGAGTTGCTAAGGAAATGGAATCGGAAGACTCATTTGACCGTCGAGGATTTGGATACCATTCGGGCGTTGTTTGGAGAAAAGGTGAGAACCATTCAAAGGCGTATTTAGTGATAATTGTGAGTCTGAGGAAGAAGGCTAATATTCTTTCTCCTGGTTGAGATAGGTTGCGTTCTATTTCGCTTTCATCCATTGCTACTCGCTGTTCCTGGTATTTCCAGCCGCCCTAGGAATCGTGGGATGGTGGTTCCTCGGCCCGTACTCGATCATCTACGGCAGCGCGTTATGTGTCTGGTGCATCGTTTTCGTGGAGTTCTGGAAGATCCGTGAAGTTGACTTGAGTCTGCGGTGGAATGTCAAGGGTGTGGGCAATTTAAAGGTCAATCGCACGCAGTATCAATGGGAGAAAGAAGTGAAAGATCCAGTTTCGGGCCAAGTTACGCACACATTTCCCGGCTGGAAACAGTTCCTGCGACAGATTTTGCTGGTGCCATTTGCGAGCGTCGCTAGTGTGGCTCTGGGAACTTTGATCGTGGTCACATTTGCCAGCGAGGTGTTCATCTCAGAGGTATACAATGGCCCGCTAAAAGGATACTTGGAATTTGTACCGACGATTCTATTCTCGCTCTCGCTTCCTGCCATTACTTCGTTCCTCACGGGTATGGCCAATCGGTTGACCGAGTATGAGAACTACCGCACGCAGGATCTGTACGATCTCGCCCAGACGCAAAAAACCTTCGTCATGCACTTCATCACCTCTTTCCTACCGACAATCCTCACAGCGTACGTATACGTCCCATTCGGACATGCGATCGTCCCACATCTGGATATTCTGCGACGAGTCGGGATCAATATGGCCAGCCTCAAGGACTTCGAAGTAGATACCTCCCGATTCCAGGCCGAAGTCATCTACCTCTCTATGACAGCGCAGGTCTTCAGCTTCGCGGAAGAGATCGTGCTACCTTACGTCAAGCACGTCCTCTGGCAAAAATTGCGCGAGTACCGCGAGCGTAAAGCAGGACTTACCCGCCAACGCAGCTTCTCCAAAGCAACCGACCTTCTCCTCATCGACGCAGCCGAAGAAGCCTCTTTCCTAAAACGTGTTCGCAGCGAAGCCGACGCAGACGAGTACAAAGTCGAAGAAGACATCCTCGAAATGTGCGTACAGCTCGGCTACCTCGCTCTCTTTGGCGTCGCCTGGCCGCTCGTCCCGGTCGGTTTCTTGCTGAACAACTGGCTTGAGGTGCGAGGTGATTTCTTCAAACTCACGCTAGAATGCCAGCGTCCGCCGCCTATCCGCGCGGACTCGATCGGGCCCTCTCTACTTGGCCTAGATTTTCTCGCATGGCTGGGAACACTCTCCACGGCGGCAATTGTCCATCTCTACCGAGGCTCCATGTCCGAAGTCCGCCTCTCCCGACTGCTCCTGACAGTCTTCATCGCCGAACAAGTCTACCTAGGCATCCGCTTCACCGCATCAACAGCCCTCCAAAAGATCTTCAACGACACCGTCCGCCGCGAAGAAGCCAGCCGATACGCCGTGCGAAAGAAATTCCTAGAAGCCCACCAGTCACGACACCGTTCACCTGATTCACCGTCCCGGGTACGACAGCGTGTGCGATTCAACGAACGGGTGAACGTGTACAACAGTGACACCACGTCGGCGGATGGATCCCCCTCGCCGACGACGAGTGAACAGCCGCAGGATGAGATATTAAAGGGATCGGATCGTGAGGCTGAGTTCTGGGAGGCGAAGTCGTGCGATATGGCGGATGCGGGCGTCAAGCTGATTCGTGCTTTGAGTGCGGGGAGGACTTGCAATGAAGGTAAAGGTTTTAAACGTGCATAGTGGTGCCGAGATAGCTGTTATTTCTTGACTCTTTTATCATTTAGAGCCGAGCTTTGGGATTGATGGCATATTCTAAGGCGTCATTGTATATAATGCATTTTGGAGCTATCTAATCTTGCTGCATTATGATCTTCAGACTTTCGTCGTTCGCATTGACATAGAAGTTGGTCAATAAATAACCAAAGACCTATAGCTGGCATAAAGACCTCTGGTACTACTCTCTATGTAGCTATTGAATAGAAAGGGTTGCGCTCTTGCGACAAATGGTTAACAAGGAGGCTGTTTCAGTTCAGCCTAAATAATGATGACGCGTGGAGGTATCTAGGGGGTCGAATCACAAGTTTGGAATACCATCATTAGTATTTCTATTTTTGCCACAGCACTCTTAATATCTTCGCCGCGTATCATCAGGTGGGACACAGCGGGTCGTCGGAACCAGTTTGCCGGGAATGTGCTCTGGGGGCGAGCATAATGAGGAGTCGAGCATTGTCTTACAGATTATACAAGTCTGAGTAATTACACTGGCAGAGTATTAGTTCATTTCTCATGATGTCTATAATAGTAACGATAATTATAGCAAGTCTACCGAGGTGTACCCCTTGATGGAGCTCCAGGGACGCCTTTCAGCCCTACAGGGCAACGCCAAGGCGATCCACCACGCTCCACTCCCAACTGGCCAGTCACCTTGAACCGCCATGCCCGCTTGCTGTCTCCCTTATTTTTCCATTTCCCCGTCTTCTAACTCCTGGTTCTTCATGCTCTGCTACCTTCCCACTCTTTACTTAGATGCCCCCGCTGCTATACCTTCCAGCTATACTCAACTTACTTCCCGGGTTGGCTGTGCGACCACGCGGCTCGGTAGGGAAAGTGCCTGCCTAGAGCACACATGTTCAGGGTCTTTCCATCATTCGATTGACCACACCGACCACACACATCATGGCAACCCCGGGGGCTTCCTCCGATACTCTTATCACGCCCTCTTCGCTCGCACAGCCACATTGCTCCTCCAATCTGCCCACAATGCACCCAAGGACCACAAACCCGGAAGAACAAGCCGAATCCGACCTCGAATTGTCAGTGCTAGAGTCCGCACCGCCCATTGTCACCAAAATCCTTCGTGAAGCGAGCGACATCACATGGCAGGAATCATTAGAAGCAACAAAGGACACCGTCACGCTTGTCCGTCGCCGCGGCCGTTTCCAACTGCTATCCCAGCAACAATTCAGGAACAGTCTGCTCGCGAGCGTGGGATACCTCGAGCTGGCGAATGCCGCCGACTTTGCGGCCAATGTGTGGAATCAGATCCCCGTGCCGACCTTTGCGGTCGTCCTCATGGGTATCGGTGGTACCTGTGCGCTGTGTATGGTCTTTGCAGCCATACAGGACTTCCGACTGAGTATGCAGAATGTCAAGCTACTCCGGACGGAGCGGGAGCATCTGAAAAGACTGCGACAGTACCACAGCAAAAATATCGAGGTAGTACAACTTCTCGAGAGTCGATTGGGGGTAAGCGACCGGGAGATGGGTACCGAGATTGTGGATCGTATCGTGATGGACCTCTTAATGGGCTTCGGGTCAGTGCTCGTTGGGGTTGGCACGCTGATGGCCATCGGAGGCGCCAATCCACGGGTGTTCAAAGCCAGCAACCTGCTGTCTGGATACATCGGCAATGGTCTTGCGGCAATGTTCGGTCTTGTCAACGCCGTCTGGTCCGGCTATCTTATCCGTCGTTTCCAGCGCCATCTCAAAGCTGTCCGAGCCTCGCAGCCCGGTGATGATATTCGTCGTCGTTTACACGCTCGTATTCGTCGGTTCCAGTGGCATTCTTTTCTGAACGGACTCAATGGTCTCGTTGCAGGAGCGGGGTCCATGGTGACTGCAGAGCGGTGGTGGGGATACGTCGTGTTGATTCCGTGTATCATTTCTCTGATCGCGGTGAACTTTTTCTGGCGTAAAAAGCTCGGTTATGACAGACCACTTCTCACGTACGTTTCACCTGCGCGGGTGCAGCTCACACCCTTACTTGAAGATTTGGAGTACGCCATTACCATGCAGCGCGGCTTAGCAGAGCCAGAGACGTCTTTACCGCAGGCGCTTGTGCAGATGGACTCGCTGGATTCAATGCTTCGATTCATCCTGCGCAACGGCATGTTGGAAAGATACTCCGAGTCTCTCACTCGGGACAAGCAGACACGAGCCCTTCTCAAAGATCTTCCTTCGAATACTGCTACGCTCCATGAAGTTACCGTCTCGATAGAAGCCCTCTTCCGCCTTTCTTCCTCCAGGAATGCGGAAATTCTTCGTGCACACGCAAAGCGCTTTCTACAAACGGACGGAGTCTTGATTTTCACATATCATGAGCGTCATCTCCTCGAGCTACTTGGCTATGCTATCTGGCAGGACCAGACCGCTGGCACGGCTCAGACGACAGCCCCTAGGGCTACTGCTCCGGAAGAGAGGATAGCCGCCAAATAATGGCTTGGCCTTTTTTATGTATATAGCGAGCCAGCCATGTTTCATTTTTCATTGCTCGTTCTGGGTGACTGGTCACCTTTGGGATTGCTTTAGCATCGCATCGCATGGCGATTGATCATCAATTAGATATGACATGCTAACTAATCTAGACGTGCATTCAGCTTTTACCTCTCCCATGGTGTGTCGCACATTTCGACATAAATATAGTTGTTGTTATCTGAAGCATTTGAAAAAGGATGGCATCAACGACACGACAGAAAATTTCATGGCACGACAAGGCTAGTCCTAATGAAGAATTTCCTCCCCTTCGATATGAAATGCTACATTCGAAATACGTAAATTACCTAACGAGTCCTTCCGTATAATTCACATTAATACTTCTCGTTAATAACGTTAGCGATTGTATAGGCGACCTCTGTCTATTTATCCCTATAATAGACCAAGTTAATATTCTACTCTGTATCGCAGGGGGGGGGGGATTCCTCATTAGGATTAGCCTTGTCGTGCCATGAATTCTTCTGTCGTGTCGTTAATGCCATCCTAAAAAAATGCATATATACAAATCTTCAATACTCTTGCGTGTTTCATGCTTCTTAAAACTATCTCTCAGTATATAGCATCTCTCTATCGCACCAATACACATCCACACCACGCAAAAATCTCGTAAAATGCAGAAGTCTAACTGTCCAATCCAGCACAGTTCTCGCTCGTCTCAGCGGTGATAGCTGTATACGGCGACGGATCGGTCCAAATAATATTGTAACTATTATCTCGTCAGCACTTCCACTTCCCTTGTCTCCCTCTTCTTATCCGCATCGCTACTGGACATACCTATCATCAGGATAAGTCGGCGCATCACTATCACCCAACTCGGCAACAATATCCGTCAACGCATCATGCTCCCAGCAGATCAGGATATTGCCAGAACCAGTATACCCGTCCACGACGTCCTTCACGCATGCGGGATCGTCGCGATCACAAGATGTGTCCACAGTGAGGCCCAAATCTTCGGCCAATGGTTCGACGGTATCATAGGGGCGTTGACGTTTTCCACCTACAGAGAATCAGGTTAGAATATACTGGGCCACGCGGATACTCGATCCCTGAAACGTGACGTACTACTCTTCGGCGTCTGAGCCATAATATGCCCGATGTTATATCCAGAGCTGGCACCGAAAACGGTCCGCAGACACTGCGCACGCTCCAAGCCCTGTGTGCTCAAGCCATTACCTGAATCGGGCTTTTCACCGTGGCGAATCAAATAGACCGTTGGGCTTGCGACAGCCAGACTGGCGATAGCCAGCGTTGCGAGGGGAATTAACTTGACCATTGCGAATATTGAAAGATAGAACCAGTAGTAGATCTTTCGAGATGTCCTCAAAACTAAGAGTCGATCGTGAAACAATCAATGCCGAACGGGGTATATATACTCACCACCAGGCACACATATCCATCAATCCCGCCGATCGATCCATCTTAGGTACCTCCCCACCAATCCCTTTGCTCTAGCCGCCAAATCAAAATCCAAATACTACGTGGATCCTTCACATCTCCATAAATCGGAATCCTCCGATCGCAGCGCGACCACACACCATCGTGATCGGCATGACATGCTCGGCGCGGGGGGTTTGATTCGCTTGCTGATCCCGGGCGCTAGCTTGGATAGGAAATTGAAGAAGTTTGTGCCCTGCGCCCCGCGGTGGCCTTCAAGAGTGTTAGCGTAAGTGCTAGCGTGCTCGCTAATGGTCTAGAGACTGGCGTGATGCTTGGTTGTTTTGTTTCCAGCGGAGGTTGGGTTCAGGCTCATGTTGGGAATTTGATTTGGGAAATTGATTGGGCTCCATTGTTTTGCAGGTGACAGCTGCTTCAGAACTAGGATTGACTACACGATTCCCTTTATGTTCACATCGTCAGATAGTGTTATGTGATGCAAGAGTCTAGATTTAATCTAAGGAACTGCGAAGATCGACTCCATACGGCAGCATGCATGTATCCTCGCTTATCTTGCTATTCTCCGCCTGATCGATGGGAGTTTGTGCTCGCCTTCGTATTCTTAGCCCACGTGTAACAGCTATGCTTCATAAGAGGATAAATTCCGAGCGGAATTCTAAGTTAGTTGGAGGGGAAACCAGGAACTCGGTCAAATAAGCCTCGTATTCGCATCTGCAGGACCAGCGGCCTCGGAGGGAATGAGCCTAACGCCGAGAATACTAGAGCTCTGATACTGTCCGACTACTATCTTCTCACAAATTTCAAGCTACACCCTTTCGATCTAAAAGCTAAACAGTCCGCTGCGACGCTTCCCATACGGATACACACAAAGCGCTGCGATAAACAAACCAATGGTGATCCCAATCGCCACCTGGATCATACCGAATCCCAAGCTAAAGACCGAGCTACTTGATTGCAACCCAGCTCCAGGCGCCGAGCTAGCCGAGCCATGCGAAGTGACGTTTTGCCTGATCTGGTCTGCAGACTGTACGCCGGAGATCAAAGAGCCTGTAGCCGCTAGGCCAGATGGCACAAGAATGAAGATGCCTGGCAAGATTGCAGTCGCAGCGTGGCCGTGCCATAGTCGACTATACAAATTTCCCATAATTCCCACGGTAAATGCACCGACGGTATTCGCAACTTGCGAATTCGAGCCTAGTTTCTTCGTGCTGAAGTAGTTGCTAATGTAGCCCGATAGCGCGATGATGGTCATAGGCGGAAGTTGCTTCCATTTCCCCTGGTTGATGATCAAGAGCCAGACAGTCATAATTGTCACGAATGGAAAGCGTTGAACATAGGGATTCTTGAAAGCGCCTAGCTGTGGGCATTGGATATCCGATACGGCTTCGTTATCCATAAGACCATAGATCGTAGTGCCAACGGTGATGCCGTAGCCAAGAAAAAGGGAAAAAATGATCGCGTATACCATCCTAATCGACCCAGCGATGATCTGATGAGACTGCAGCTCGAGACTGCTGCACAGAACAAGGAACCCTGGCAAGATCAATGCAATCGAAGATTGGGAGATCGCTGAGAAACAAAAGAGATACTGGCGCTTGCCATCGATGATAGCACGTGGGATACTGCCGAAAGCGCGGGCCAGGAACGATGTCACCACGGTCGATGTCACTTCGAAAACATTGGAATATAGAACCGATCGAGGCGCAGCCACGTGTTGCATAAGTCCTACCAAGAGTCCATTGATGAAGATGATTGGCATATCGATTGGGCGAGCGTTGAATGCAAACGGGCCAACCGTGGCAGTGGCCAGGCCGTACACCAACACGACCATCCACTTTGGATACCGGGGCTTTTTCTTCACCACATCGTCCAATTCCTGGACGGCTTCCTCGATCCCAATCACGTCGTGGATGACGTTTTTGTAAATGAGATGGGTATCAGCGAGTCGTGCAAGATCAACTCCCTGTCCGACGCGAACCAGTTTGACTTCCGTCGTTCGCGTTGATGGATCATCAAATGACATGATCATGCAACCGGGAAGATACAAAAACTGGCTGTCCACCTCCAGCACTTTGGCGGTCATCTGCATATATTCTTCCAACCGATGGGTCGGCGCTCCGAATAACATCAACGCCCTGCATAGCTGCATGATATATCGCTGTCGACAAATAATTTCCGCGATATGAACGGTCACTCTAATTTCGTCTTCCAAATTCATCTTACGCTCGGCTTGAACCCCACGACGCTGTGATGCAGCAGACAGCACCTCGCTCGAGACTGGCGTACTAGCTCCGCTCAGGTTACCCGACACCCCGACTAAAGTGGAGGTAGAGGTATTGGGGGGCCTTTTGTACCACTTCGGCGGTTTGGCTTTCTTCCCAGGCGTCGTTCGTCCAGACTCGGAATCAGATCGAGAGGCAGGGGCGGACAAAGATGACTGACTCGGTGTCCGTGATGGCATACCTCCTCCCCCTCCTTGCTGATTCCCACCATTCAATTTTATCAACTGCGAAAGAATCCCACCACCACCGGAGCGATATCGCAACCCAGAATCCAAAGCCGATTCATCCTCGCCCCCAATGTAGTTCGATCCTCCATGTGGATATGGTTTTGGCCGAGTTTTGCGCCGTTTGCCGGAATGACCCTGCGTCAAGTCGCGCACCAGCCGATGGGCCTCGGAGCTACTTTGTGCCTGATGCTGTCGCTTCTGTTCATCAGTCTTGTGCATGTTGTCCGTTACGTCCGAGACTGGTGGTTGACTTCCGGACGCCCAGTCTGCATGGTACACACCGGGATGTAGATCATCTCCACCGGTTGTTGGCCGGCCCAGCCGTTCGCCGATTTCCGAGGCTTTCTGTTTAAATCTATCGGTTGTTGATCGTATTCGTCGCTTTAAATGTTCCAAACTCGATATTTCCCGACCGGTTTCCTTGGAAGGTTCTTGTTCAGGCGGTTGTTCTTCGGGTTGCTTTTCCTTTGCAGCCTCGCCCTCCTGATCACCCTGGCCTCGGCCTTGTGGCGGTGTATCAGCTATATCTGCCGATTCATGAGAGTAAGGCATCGACGGGCGATGGGGTATGACCAGCTTCTGTGACATTTCCCATTCTGAGCGAGGATCTTCACGTGGCGGTTCTCGCTGTGCTTCTTGCACTAGATTGCCCTGGGAGCGAAATTGAATATGCCGGGAGGACGGTGGACCGTGCCGTTGGGTCTCTCGCCCATCTTCTGGTTCTTCATCGTTTCCATTTTCATGCTCTCCATCTTGCTCCTTGCTCCTCTCATTGAACTTTTCGGGCGACATAGATCGCTTGTCGTCTCTGGTTTCGTTCGTGTAACTGCCATCAGACGAGGAAGAAGCGTTCGTCCTCTCTGGTTCGGACATGACCACAGGCGATTATATCCCAGCTGTAGACCACTATTTACTTATGGGAACGGCATCGATGACTTGACAGAACGACCTGCGAAACTCAGCGGGTCAGTTTAGCCATCACGGACAAGCCACATGCTACGCAACTTGCATACCTACTATGCAGTGTCCTTTTGGCTCAGTCGTAGCGGCAACCGCTGTCTTCCAGATGTTTCTCGGATCGATTGAGTTGCTGAAATCTGAAATCTGAAATGCAGCGAAGCTAGGTGCAGGATGTGTTCAGGCTACTTCGATGAGATCATGGCGGCGATTGTCGGGTATACTCCCGCACGCTAGGGCCTGAAACACACCTGGTTTAAGTCTGCGACCCATCTGGACTAATCGAAGACCCATCAGGGGATCCAGAAGGATTTACAATTCCGCTTGCTGGTTTAGAGTTTAGAGCCTTGTGGAACGTCATCCCGTCGGAATAGTTGTCCGACTACCCCAACAACCGACTCCTCGCCTAATTGACCACAATCATCCGGGTGTCGCATGTTGAAACGGAGTAGGAAGTGTTTAAATTAGGTATATCCGGTGTATACCCAATTCATCGGCTCGGTAACTCCAAAGTCGAATTGATTCTGCTGGCCCTTGGCTTCGAGTTAGCACATCAATATCGGGTGCCCACAATAGACGAAAATTTACCATGAATCCCCAGTCTCCTAAGAGGTCCGCTGAAGAAAATGATGTAAGATCGGTCATATCATCCAACGAAGTTCCGGTATCGTCTGACCCTTCATTGAGCGACGTCTCAAACACTTCAATGCAGCTGGCAAGCGCCTCCTCGGCGCTAGCCACGAGCATTCGGCTCAACTGATCCTTTGGCAACCCCCGCATGAGCCCGTCTAACAGGGTTGAAACCATTGAAATAAACATATACCCCTTGCCATTTGTCTCGCCCGCTCGTACGGATTCCAAAGACCACGACTTGCAGTCAGTTACAACGGACAGCAAATCTTGCCTGAGGGTGACAGGGCCGAGACCTTCCTCCTCTTCTAGCTGAGCCCTCAGATCAGAAGCTATCATGAAGTAGACTTGTGCGGCGCATGAATGCAGACTCCCGTCAGCACAGAGTGCCATTCGCCGGAAATCATCGCAATCCTGGACGCTCGGCTCCGTGGGCACCCGTTGGGAAACGTAATTCCACATCTTTAGGGAGCTTTCAACTATGACTTGTCTTGAAAATGCGTATACCGTCTCATGCTGTGATGCGCGAAAGTAAGGTGAGTGAAGTGCGACAAGATAACGACGCAGGGTAAAGTCGAGTATCTTCCTCTGGAATGGTGATGGCGAGGCTGCACTTTCATCGTTGTGAGCTTGTATATGCTTGCAGGCATTCTTATAAGACACCCGTAGCTCTGCGTCCAGTCGGAGAGTTTCTGCATATTCACTATGGTCACTGATCCCATTTAAGCGTTTCACAATCGCGAGTCGAGTTGGGAACATCTTTCTGAGAGCCAGCGAAGTTGACATATCCGTGAATGACTGCTCCGTATTTAGCAAAGGATTTTCAAGCATGATTTGCTCGTCGTCAAGATTCTGCGGTGGGTGGGTGTCGAAATCTTGTAGCGAGAGAAGTGGCGGTCCGCCAGACTCCATGCTGGAATAAAGTGCAAGTTCCAATACAGTATTCCAGATTCTTCTGCGAACTTCGGATACAAATTTTGTCCCTTGAGGAAGATGTTCCGGGTCTCGGTGGAGGCCCATATACATGGCATTTCGAATGAGCTCCCCGGCGGAAACCCAGATAAAACTTCCCTCAACACCTACAATTTCACGTGCCAGCAATAGTAAGATCTGAGTTTGGAGAAATTGAATATGCAATCTGGATTTGAACTCCGGCTCTGAGATCCAGGTCTGTGCCTCGTGAACCCACCGAATAGCAGAACGCCGTAAGGTGAAGCGGTCATCGTACATTGTCGCTCCTATGGCCAATGTGAGTTTCAACTGAACCAGGAATGCAGAATCAGGCGATCTTCCAGCCGACCAGACAGATTCATAGTCCCGTTTGAACGTTGGAATGTGAAAAACTCGATAAATAGTCTCTGTCGTTCGCAGGTAGATATCCACCAGTGAATCTGCCAATTCCTTCGGTGGCAAGTCCGAGGTCAGAGGTGTGGGCCATGGGGGCTTTCGTCGTTCCTTGATTATCTTGCCTAGGTGTTTGCACTTTTGCATGTCGATTACTGCTTTCGAATTTTCCTCGTTGATGATAGGATCAATCATGAGAAGAATATCTCTAAACTAACCCCGGTAAGACTCTTTCTGCTTGGATGATAAAGAATAAAAGAAGCGCTTACCTGGGCGACGCCTGACATCCAGTGACTCTGCCCAAAGATCCTAGTCTTGTGCATCACGAACCGTGAAATGGGTTGCGTATGACCATCGGAAGGAGTTTCATTCATGTGAAATGTTCCGGCAAGACGTGACGAAGTTGTTATTGTTTGGCTGTCAATACTCGGAGTTGAGAGATTAAAAGTGATTGATTGGCGTGTCGTCTTTACCAGCTGCTCTTCAAGCTGCCTGATCTGTCTTCTTAGCGCCTCAACCTCTCGTGTTGATCCCAGGCTAGCTGATGCAGAAGGGCTGGTCGATGATGTTGGGGCGGCCAACACTGAATGTCGACTTGATGAAGTACTTTCTGAACATGTGCTGGATGGAATGCTGGCAAGATTCGAGGATTCAGATGTGTTTGGTTCAGACAATCGCTGAACATGAACTGCCTGGCCAGCTGCCGCTCGCCAACGTCTGGGCGGCGGCGATAGAGATGTATATTCGCAGTGGGGGTTCTTAGAACGAACACAATTGCTGCATGGAGATTCCCGATTGCATTTTATTTTTCGTCTCCGACACAGTGTGCATGAGCTGGATTTTTTCTAGTCAGCCAAGTTTAACATGGTTTTCCAAGTCACAACACATCGCGTACACAGCGGGCCGCCTCCGTCGGCGTTCGGATTCGGCCATGGACAACGCGTCGCGCAGGGCGTGATTTTCTAAGAGGTAATTGTCGCTAGTTCCCCTGGCACTTCGTATGCTGCAGTCGCTTGCACTGTGAAATTTTTGACATGATTGTGAGAAAGACAAACTCCCATCGAGGGGCACGAGGGAATGGTGAGGCTGTCAGCTCGGCGTTCGGAAATTGCGTCTTTAGTCCGTCTCGTCTACCATTTACCGAGTCCGAGTCCGCGGGCGCACCGCGGAGCCTTACACGGGGTTTTGTATACTCTCGACTCGGTTCTATATAAGCATGGAAATCTTCCCCTGCAGATCAACATGGATTTACCGCCATACCTCGTCATCTCACTGACTCGGGAATTCTTAGTACTTTCTCAAGTCTTGCATCGTTCCTGACTTCCAACATCGAGGAGAAATATATTTTCAAGATGGCCCCGAGCGATGTCGAGCGACAAGTATCCTCCATATCGGAGAAGACACAGTCTACAAATGAAAGTATCTCAATTGAGGCCCTACCAGATGCACCAGATGGTGGTCTTAAAGCCTGGCTAGCCGCAGCTGGAGGTTCATGCATCTTCTTTGCTGCCTTAGGGTTTGCAAATGCTTTTGGAGTCTTTGAAGAGTACTATCTGTCGCACCAGCTCATCGGAAAATCCGCAGATGATGTGGCCTGGATAGGGTCTCTGGCTGCATGTCTTCAATTCGGTGCTGGAGCGCTTGGAGGTCCATTGTTCGATCGATATGGTGCTTGGGTACGTTCCATTTCGACAGAAACATGATATAGCCTCTCTGCTAACGTCGCCATAGGTCATTCGGCCTGCTGCTGTCCTATACATTTTTGCAATCATGATGACAAGCCTATGCAAGGAATATTGGCAATTCATTCTTGCACAAGGTATTCTTATGGGCTCTGCCATGGGGCTGATTCAATTTCCCGCCATGGCGGCTGTGACTCAATACTTCGACAAAAAGAGAGCTGCTGCTCTGGGAGCAGTGGTAGCAGGATCCTCAATTGGTGGTGTGGTCATGCCGATCGCACTTTCGAAAATGTTGAACAGCACCAACCTGGGTTTTGGGTGGTCTGTACGGGTAATTGGATTTATGTTGATTCCCGTGCTTGCCTTCTCAACTATCACGGTCACGGCACGTCTTCCGCCACGCAAATCTGCATTCTTCATGGCCAAGCCATTTAAGAACTTCAAATTCTGCCTCATCACCGCTGCTATGTTTTTCACGTTCATTGGGATGTTTGCTCCACTCTTCTATCTTCCTACTTATGCGGTGTCTCGAGGCATGGACGCTACCCTTGCCTCGTATCTGCTCGCCATTCTCAACGCAGCATCAACGTTTGGCCGCATTATTCCTGGGATCTTGGCTGACAAGTTTGGCCGGCTGAATGTCTTCGTGTTTGGTGGGTTTGCAACAGGGGTAGTCATATTCTGTTTTAATCGAGCTGTGTCCACGGCTGCATTGGTCGTCTACTCTATCGCGGTGGGGTTTACCTCTGGAACTATCATTTCTGGGGGATCTGCAGCCCTTACCATCTGCATCGAGAGCCCTCAGGAGATTGGAACTTACATGGGGATGGCCATGGGCTTCGCTTCGTTCGCCGCTTTGATTGGACCTCCTATTAATGGAGCAATGATCAACCATTATCACGGGTTTGGTGAGATGTCATATTTCAGCGGCTCCATGACAATTCTAGGTGGCTTTGTTGCACTTGCGGCCAAAGCTGTGACCCCACAGGGAATCATTGGAAGAACATAGAACTATTCGTTCAGCCTTTGATCAATGCGAGCGCCCCTGTTTTGCAGCTTCACATGAGTCAGTGGTTTGAATGTCGTGATTCCCGATGTTGTCAGAGCGCTAGAGGTAATCGAGGATGCTGAGGAAGTACGCAATTAACAGACAATATCCAAGAGAAAATATCATATAGATCCTTTCAAGTTTTCAGATTACTGGTTTCAGATTATCTAGTATCTCAATAGGGTGAAATTAACGACACGACAGCAAGGTTCATGGCACGATAAGCCTAGTCCTAATGAGAAAAGCCCCCCTCGCAATATAAAATGCTTCGTCCGATATCTAAAAAAATGCCTACAGAGTCCTTATTCATGTAGAATTAACTTTAAGGCTTCTCATTAATATTTTTACGGACCGTATACACGACCTCTATCTATTTAATCTTATAATAGACTAATTTATTATACTACTCCCCTACCTACTATCATCCTTTTTCAAGCTCTTCTCTAAGGTCTTTTCTAGAGTCTTTTCTAGGGTCTTTTCTATAGGCTTTTCTGAGACATAGGCTTATACATACATAAGGACTCTACTGGTATTTTTTATATCTCGAGTGGAACATTCTGTATTGAAGGGGTGGCACTCATAATTAGGACTAGCCTTGGCGTGCCAGGAACTTTTCTGTCGTGTTGTTAATGTCATCCTTTAATATCAGGGGATGGTTCCCGGACGTGGTGGCATGTAAGCGTAAGCTGGTGGAATACGGTTACCTAAAACCCACCGCTCCTCCTTCTTAGGCTTGAAAAATCCTCTTGTAAACTCAAGACTATGCTCACTTCTTTTTCCCGTTTGTCATATTCTTTTCACAAAATGTCGCCTCTAAGCTTCTGGTTCACCGACGGTCATATGCGCTAAGCCATCAAGGTGGGCAACGTGATGAGACTTCCCCACCCAGGGCCAAGCAAGTAGAGGATTCTCGAAGTCCTTCGTGAACACGACGACCAGAAGTACGGAACTGCCAAAGATTCCTCTTACGTCTCTGTCGAACTATCATGTATTGAAGTCGGAGGCTCTCAAAGACGTTTGATGATGCGCTTCACAATGCAAGTCTCTTATCTCGGAACGGAGGACAAAGAATCGCCTACACGGGCAAACCAAGCGACGAAATTCAGGAGAGCAGAATTTGGCGCACTTTGACTTTCGCAGAAAAGACTCAACATGCGCACTTCCACTCCTAGGCTATCTTGAGATTAAACAGGACCGCTGTGGTTTCTGTAGTGAACGATATCAGTTAGGATTATAGATCTGGTTGGCTTACATTTTCCCACATGCATTAGGTGGGCAGCGGTCGCCACGTTCTTCCTATACTATACCCATATTTTCAACACACGTGGGCCCTTCCTAGAATACGGGTTTCGCTATTTGGCAGTACCAACGTAACCCCCGAGATTCTTAGAAGCTTAGTTTAATTGGAGAGCCCGAAGGTCCTAACCTGTTGACCCAGCTCAATTAGGTGTGCGTGCCAAGACTTCGGATCTATGCAAAGAGGGGGTGGTCCGAGAATCCGCTTGCTGCCGACATTGGGGTTCGGATATCGAATCCAAGTGAACTCAATCCTTCGGAATGAGGATGTCTGATTGGACGGTTGTTCTCTCGTGGTCAAGTTCCTGCTCGCTCTATTAAGACCGAGGTGGGCTGACGGACTCTTGAAAGGGGCAGCCGAGGACCTCAGCGATGCGAAATCCGCGATACATTACATTTGCGCCACCCATTTCCGGGAATCCGGGCTTGATTGCCAGAGAATTCTCAGTCAAAGAGAGCTTTCGAGGGGATAAAAGAGAGAGAATTGCCGCGATGATTGAGGCCCAACAACCAGCACAATTACAACAACACCTCTCGAACAAACTCTCGTTCAAGCACAATCTCCATCGTCAAAATGGTCGGATTTGATATGCGTGGTTTGACCCCGGCTCCGGTCACACCTTTCACTCCAAACGGCACTGTGGACTACGAAGCTATCCAGCGTCTTGGCTCATGGCTCGGTGGTATCGATGGAGTGAAGGGCCTTGTGGTGCTCGGCCATGCTGGCGAGGGCACCTTCCTCACCACCGAGGAGCAAGTGTCAGTCATCAAAGCATTCGTCAGATCCGTTGACAACAAAGTCCCGATCATTGCTGGTATCACTAGCGAAGGCACTGAAGTAGCCGCTCTTGAGGCCAAGCGAGCCCGAGAAGCCGGCGCAGCTGCCGGATTACTCTACCCTTCCCACGGCTGGCTCCGCTTTGGGTACCAGCCCGGTGCTCCTCAAGATCGGTACCGCCGTGTGTATGAAGTCTCTGGGCTTCCCCTGATCCTCTTCCAATACCCCGACAACACTAAAGCTAGCTACAACTTGCAGACCATGCTGGATATTGCAGCTCAGCCCGGCTGCTTTGCCATGAAGAACGGCGTGCGGAACATGCGCCGGTGGGACACGGAAATCCCCGTCATTCGGGCTCAACGGCCGGACCTGCAAATCCTCTCTTGCCATGACGAGTACCTTTTGCACACTTCATTCGACGTTGATGGCTTCTTGGTTGGCTACGGAAACATTGCTCCTGAGCCCCTCGTCGAACTTATCAAGGCCGGCAAGGCCAAAGACTACAAGAAGGCACGAGAAATCCACGACCAACTGTTGCCTGTCACGAAGAGCGTTTATCACCGTGGATCTCACATGGAGGGTACCGTTGCCCTCAAGCATGCTCTCGTTGCTCGGGGAATTCTTACTCACGCCACTGTGCGCTCGCCTCTTTTGCCCCTGGAGGATGGTGCCGAGGAGGAGATCCATAATGCTATCAATGCCGCATCTCTTAGCAAGGTGGTGCTGTGAAGGACACTCAAGTGGACCTGAAAATGATAGATGCAATATTTAAGATCAGAGTATAATCAAGCAGAGGACAATGGGAATAACAAATATCTATGAATTGTGCACGCATTAGACCCAGCTGGCGCAGGGCCTTGTTGTCAATAATAAACCACCAAAATAGTTGTAACTATTAACTAGTGGCCTTGACTAAATCACAGACTTCACCTAGTATTTGGCGATCCACTTATAAGGTTGATAGAGTTGATTGTGTAAAAATTGCACTGGGACATTAAAAGGTCTTGGCAACCGCCACTGGGCCGGACCCGGCTACTCGGTTAATCCCCCGCACTTTCCCCATATTTCCCACATATTTGAATCCGACATTTCCGCTCACCCCATAGCACCCGAGCCTTTCATGCATGATATGCCAATAATTCGGACCAACTATGACCTCTAGGTCTCCCCGAATTTCAGGCTCTACAGCTGCATCTCCAGGTGCCTCTTCTGGAAAGCGGCCCCTTTCCATACACAATCAAGATGCGGACGATGAGAACCGTCGGAAAGACCCTAAGGTCAGTCGGGCCTGTGACAGCTGCAAGAGGAAGAAAGTAAGATGTGATGGCACACTTCCATGCGGAAAGTGTGCCAAGAGGAATATAGATTGTGCCTATGACGCCAAATATGGCCGAGGCCGACCTCCGACTCCACCCCTTTCGACTACGATCGGTGACTATCAAGAGAGGCCGAGGGTTGGTCAGCCACATGAGCTCTCCAGCTGGCAACAAGAGACCCCTGTTGCTCAGGCTGTCCCTGCTTCACAAACATATTCCCGAGTCTCACCAGATGTTGAGCTTGAGGGTCAATATTTTGACCCAACCTCAGGGTTGAACTTTCTTCATCGAGCGTGGAAAAAGTTATTGATTCAAAATGAACATTCCACTTGCTACGAGTCAAATGATACTGAGCGAAATCAAGTCCTCACATCAGCTGGTGACCGACCTTTTTGTATTGACGATAAGGCATCAGAAAGCTTCATTCCAGATGCGCCAACAGCGAGGAAGCTGGTGCATTTCTATTTCGAGACTTGTGTTGTGACATACCGCTTGTTTCATCGACAAACTGTGGAGGCATGGTTAGAGATCTTCTTGAGGGATCGAGGACAGCAACAGACCCTCACCAGGCCCCTTAACAATTCCAGAGCTGCGATCCTTCTTACTATCATGGCCATCGCGACCCTACGCATGGAAAGGATGAATCACGAAATATCAGCAGAAGACGAGTCACTCACTTTGCAGCAGAGTGACTGTTTGTTTCGCGCTAGTACGAAATTGACCGACGATGAGATGGGTTTCCCACGTCTGGAGTCAGCACAGGCACGGTTAATTCAAGTCCTGTATCTTCTCCAGACATCTCGCATTAACAAAGGCTGGTACACATTTGGCACAGTTTTCCATGTTACTCTTTCTCTAGGTATGCACCGGAGACGGGACCAGAAGCGAGATTTTCCTGTCACCAGCAGGCGAGATGATTACATCACTTCAGAGTGCTACAAGCGCACCTTTTGGTCGGCGTATATCATTGATCGATACCTGAGTGTTGTATTTGGTCGACCTCGACTTTATCAAGATGAAGATATTGACCAGGACTTTCCGGAAAATATCAATGATGAGGACATGACAGCCCAGGGACCTTCCATTCCAGATGACCAGGCTGACTGCTATATCGACGCTCTGATATTTCATGCCAAGTAAATTCACTCCTTCACATGAGACGGTCCTGATCCGCTAATACGTCCGTAGAATTGCACGAATCATTGGAAAGGTCTCGCGAGAAGTCTATTCAGTGAGCGACCTGCCTAATCAAGATCGCTTGGTAGCTGCCCATCGTTTGGGCCGCGAACTGCACGAATGGCGTTCAAGCTTGCCGCCGCACTTGGGTACCGTGAAGCCATCAACATTGATGCCCGCTTTCCGTCGTCAAGCTATTGCTTTGCAGCTCGCGTATTCTCATGCTCTTATCCATACCAATCGGCCCTTTATTCTGAGCGATGCAGCACCTGAGAATATCACCGAATGCATCTTTGCCACAAAGAACAGTTTAGAACTTATCAACAGGATGGCGGGAGATAAAACACTTTTCCATTCGTTCTGGTGGACTCATTATGTTATCTTCTGTGCATTGGCTGTTGTTTATGTTTGGGAGATTCAACGAGTCACGCGGACCATGGACGGAGTCAACGATGAGTCCATGGGCAAGATCTTTGACATTGCAGAGAAATGTCGGGGTCACCTCGAACGAGCGTCTACGGGAATATCACAAAACCGGCGATATAGCGTCATACTCGATGAACTTAGATCCGAAGCACAAAGATGTCGTGTTTTGAGGGGAAGCCTGCCGAATCTACTCCTAGGGGGTCTACATGCCGGCGAGTCCAATTCCAACCCCGATAACGGCTCTCCATTGTTCCAAGATGGGAACATGTTAGAGTCTGACCCACAAGCTATGCCTCATGAAGGCATCATGACGAATCTGCTAGATAGCTTTCTGTTCAGTGACTGGCAGGCTCTTGATTCATCGGTATGTACACTGTGTAAGTGTGGCTGTAGTGGAATGGCTAACCTTATTCAAAGGCTTTCCTCCCATTGCCGGACCCAAATTCCGTTTCTCCAACTTACTTTCATCCTATCCCGTGAGATGACAATGCGAAGTGGGGATTTACCTCCGAACTCAATGAGGGGTTCGGATTTCGCGGAAAAACAGACTTCGGACGGCAAGAATCCGGGGTTGCCAAGACTCAACTAGTGTAGCCCAATATGCTTCGCCCGACCCCGTGGGGTTTCCGTTGGATCTCAGATTGGCTAGGGGCTATAAGACGATCTCGATCTCCCAACCGTATAATGTCTGTTCATCTCATTCCGTCTAGATTCATCAATATGGTGGACAAAGATATAGCAGTCATGCACCTGGAGACCCAGCCGGGTCAAGGAACCTCTGCCGCCGATGCAGATTTTTTGTCTAATTTCTCTGATGAGGCCAAGAAAAAGGTTCTGAGAAAAGTGAGTTTGAGGGAACACAGACTCCACAGCAGTTGCTGACATAATGCATATAGGTTGATGTACGTGTTTGCTCCGATCTCGTTCGAATGGTCGCTGACGATGATAATTGATTCTCAATGTAGACCAGGCTTATTCCTATGTTGGTTCTCTTATACTTGGTAGCGTATGTTGACAAGACAAACATTGGTATGTCCACTCGCGTGTCTGATGCTTTGCACCCTCTGAACTTTGGCAGGAAATGCAAAGATCGAAGGCCTTCTTTCAAGTCTACACATGGACGGAATACAGTACAACATCGCCTTATCCATTTTCTTCATCCCTTACGTCCTTGCTGGTACTCAAGATCTCCCCGTGTGGTAAAACGATGAGTGTTCGCTGATGAAAGTGAAGAGGTCCCGAGCAATATAATCTTAAACCGACTGATGAGGCCATCCCATTATTTGGGATTTCTGATCTTCTGCTGGGGTGTGATCATGCTATGCACTGGCTTTGTTCAAAACTTTGCCGGTCTAGTCGTGATTAGGGTTCTTTTGGGACTTTTTGAGTAATGCCTCCTGAACAAACTATGCAGTCTTTTCCTATAGCTAACCTGTTCCCAGGGCAGGTTTTCTTCCAGGCGCCGTGCTCGTGATTTCGAAATGGTATCTTCCGAATGAGACACAGACCCGCATTGCTATTCTTTACACATCTGCTGCTTCTGGGGGCGCCTTCTCAGGCCTGCTCGCTTTTGCCATTGCCAAAATGGATGGTGTTGCTGGTTACGAAGGGTGGCGCTGGGTTGGTTACTCAATTTATCAATCTTCTTTCATGCTCAAAAACTAACATGCATACTAGATCTTCATCATAGAGGGAATTGCAACCTGTGCCATAGCCGTGGCATGCTATTTACTCCTTCCAGACTTGCCATCTTTGTCGGCGGGATGGCTTAGTCCAGAGGAGATCCGATTCCTCGAAGTACGCCAACTGACACATAACAATCACGATAGTCACCATACCGGCTTCAACAAACGTGTTATCTTCAGTGTCCTCTGCGATTGGAAAATGTATTTTCTCATTCTCATCAACTGGTCCAATGCTGTTCCCAATTATGCCCTCAAATTCAGCATGCCCGAAATCATTAAATCCATGGGCTACCAAGCAGCCAATGCCCAACTCCTGACCATCCCCCCCTACATGGTCGGCGCCTTCTCAGCGTTCGGATTTTCAGTATTTGCGGATCGATTCTCTTGGAGAATGCCTTTTATCCTCGCGCCCCAGTTGTCACTGATTGTCGCATTTGCAATACTGTTCTCCAAGGCTGCCGACATCGAGAACAACATCGCGCTCTGTTATTTTGGTGTTTGTCTCGCGTGCTTTGGGATGTATCCCATTCTTCCTGGTGTCAACGCTTGGAATGTCTGCAACATCCTTGATCCCCACAAGCGTGCTGTGGCCATTGGTTATCTCATATGTGTTGGCAATGCGGGCGGTATCATTGGGAGCTACATCTACCAAACTCGAGAGGCACCGCAATATCCCACTGGCTATGGTACTTCACTTGCGTTCGCCGCTGCTGGGATCGTGGCTTGTTTAACTTTAGAGTTTTGCCTCTGGAGGGCGAACAAAACGAAAGATCGAATGACGGCTTCCGAGATCGAGGAAAGATACACTGAAGACCAGCTTCATGATATGGGGGAGAAGAGTCCTCTTTTCAAGTATACTTTGTGAGATAAAAACCGATGTCATGGAACCACTTTACAGGACTTTTCAATACTTCCTTATAGGAGTTGTCTCGTGTGAGTAGTAGTAAGCTATTGTAGACAGGGTAATCTACTCTTGAATGAAGTGCTTGATGCTAAGACTAGTCCCTGCCTTGTTTAACGTAGGTTACAGCGGAAGGTGGCCGAGCGAGGAGAGGATGTAATAGTCAACGTTGGGCTCACCCATGAGGGAAACAGACTCTTTTACGACCCCCAAGGAAATCCTCACACCTTCACCCATGATCCTCTGCACGTCGGATGGTGATATAGACTGTTCTCCAAGCCCGACTCGCGCGGCCGCCTCTTTAAGCCAGAAGATAGCGGTGAGACGGTCAACTACACAGCTGTTAGGATTGATGACAACACTGCATACGCAGTACCAAGTCCTTTTGCTACTTGGACTTTCTCCCTGAGGGATTTCAACCTGGAATGCCTGGATATCTCTGGTAGTTATAAGGGCGGTTTAAATTTTTTGGCGCAAGTCGGAACTTTGTTCTTTGATACAACCCGAAGCTAGTTTCAATTCACTCTGTCGAGCCCAATTCATGAGTTCATCAAGCCGCTATAGTAGCGCTTCACCAGTCTGCATACCTCCCCTTAGATACCCGCTTGGGCCACGGCTTCTGGCCTAAACCGTGACCAAAAGGGATGGACAAAAAATAGAGTATGAGTAAATATCGGAAATAGACTCTAGTAGCTAAAGAAAAACGAGTAGACGAATGCACGCGATAAGTGTTGCAAGCCTATTGCCACAAGCAGTTTGGCGTTAATAATAGTGACTGCCAACTAGAAAGGTCCTACGCCCACGAATGGGAAAGACAGTATCTTCTGGTTGGTCAGCGGCTGGGTCGTGTGCGTGAGTTTGTTTTGGCTTGGATACATAGGCGTTCCTGAAAGTCCTACTCGAGGGTCAGTACACTATTACATATTCTTGCACGGTTGCCCAGCTGAGGAGCCAATCCAGGTGATAGCTCGATTAGTAGATGAGGCATACGAGAAGATTCTTCTTTCACATCCGCTTCGCCCCCGTGCTGTATGTTTGATATATAGGCTGCAGGATCTTAAACCTCCAAAATAACATCATCAATGATGATTTATCTCTCAATTAAAGAGACAACGCTTGAGATACATAGATACAGGAAAAGAGGGGCGTACAGTCAGAAAGAAACAGACCAATTATATTCCGATACCAGAATATTTTGAGGCCATCGTCCGTAATCTAGCTCAGAACCCCAGAGTGCCTTCGTAATCGCAGCGAATCGAAATATCCTCCGAGGGGTTGTTCTTGCAAATCCACTTGGTGCCAGGCGCTCCTCCGTTTGCGTTCGAGCTCAGCAGGATCTGACGATCCTCGGGAATAGTACCATTGACTCTCTCAAGCTCAAGAGTGAACAGATTAAAATCAGGGGGGCCCTGCGGGAATCGAATATAGTATTCCCCGTTGTTGCATCGGGCATTCAGCTTTGGCGAGCTGCCGTAAGTCCTGTTAAATGTTAACGACCCAGCCCCGTTAGTATGAGGAGGAAAAACGAAATATACCAGATCAAGTTGCAGTCCGTTGGGGTGTCATTTAGATAGTTGGGATCTGTGAGGACAAAGTGCATGTAGGCGCCGCTTGTCACGGATGATACTGTGGCCCAAAAGTCTGTCACCTCGAAATTGGTGGATCGCTTGATTTCCGCAGGGGCAGCGAATGCCGAACTAGCGGCCAGAGTGATGGTAGCGATGGTGAACTTCATTTCTGATGTGCTGAATAAGGATATCGACCGACCGAGCTATTTTGGAGTTTTTTATGAGGTTGCTGAATGATGGAAGAAATATCGTATAGGCAAAGCACGATATTTATGTATGTGTGAGCTACAAGAATCAAAATGGAGCCCAAGAATATACTTGCGTATCAGGCATCCAGCCACGAGATGATGGTTACATGAGTCACCCTGGCGATGTTATCAACATTTGAGACACAATGTGTCAGTCTCCAGGCCCCGATGTGAACGACTAGAAAGCTCATGAGTTGGTCACAGAAAACTACTGCACTAGTATGAGCTAAATGCAGCCACACATATGGACCTGTTCGTAATTGCTATGATGATCAGTATTCTATTTCCAGCAAATCTCCGTGGTTAAGGCCTCCCATCAGCCCAAATCCCACGCTGACAGCCGGAGGCCTAGCTTGGAGATCCTTACTATTCAAGGAGAACTGTCTTGCTCAGCCAAAAAAGAAAAAAACTTGATCTGGGGACCAGAGTCCCCCGGGGTGGATGACTGGTCTCAAATTGCTAAAGTGTGTTAGTCACACATCTTTCCGACTAACTTAACTAACTAATACAGTCTTCGCTTCATAGAAATGCGATGAAATATATTGAAAATGAGCGATCATGACCTCTCTCATTGCTAGAAACTATGCTCCGAAATAGTCTCTTAACAGATGCCTCGATACTGACCTCATATCAGAAACATTGCAAAGACCATATTTTTCTCAGAAAACAGACGCCAGCATGGACGGATGTCGGTATGGTAGACACTAAAAGGCGGTCTACATCCATTTCGAGTATCTTTGGAAGCCTGGATTCCTGGTTCCGATATTGTCGTCGGTTTGGGTTGTCATCAACGAGCCGTTACCAACGCGTGCAACAACGTTCACCACCATATTTAGGGGAGAAAAAGGAATGTAAAAATCAAGAGGCGCAAGTGGCATTAACAGCTCTAACTAAAGATTCCTGTGTTGATCTATGGTTGAATGACAATTCAAGTGATAGATTGGTGCCGCAACGGAATCTGCCGTAACGTAATCCGTCCCAACTTCCAAATCGGGTAAAACCAAAACTTCACCTTGTCTAAGCCAACGACCCGACTCCAAAGACCAGACATTTCGAGTCGCCGACGCAGGTCCAGTTTGAGAATTGAGCGTTGCTTCGAAGAGGCCATTAGGCCCGGTTTCAATATCCCCCTCGGGCACCTTCCTGAAGTCCCCGGTTGCGCAAGGGGCATTGTGCGGAGCGTCTCCGCGGCACAACCGCACTGCCGTGAAGCCGGCATTCCTGACGGGCGCGATCCCCGCGTAGGCATACCAGTCTAGATGGATGCCATACAACCAGTGATTGTGTTGGTATGTGACTGGAATCTGGACCCTAGACACCCTGTTTTCTTCCAATCCGTGATCCGTGTCTTCCTTTCATCTTCCCTTCCTCTCTTCAGCGTCTTGAGTGTGAGGTTGAGATTGACCGAAGATGCGCGGCCAATTTTCTCTCACTGCAGTTGCAGCTGTCACGGCATCAGTGTCTGGTGCCATTGTTCCTATCGCGGAGCTCCGTGGTAGTGCTGGTGTGCCTGCGGAAGAAGCTAGGATCAGTTTACCTCCGTGGTTCTTGAGTTTGGCATCAGAGTATGTGATTTCGATCTGTATTGGGTGGTGTGATATGACATGACTCTAATTATATCTTCATAGGCTTGATGTGATCGCGCCAACTGATACCAGTTCTGTTCTGGCTCCATCCAGCGTCCCGGGTTCGGATAGTTCGTCTACTTTTCCGACTGTGTCTATCGAACCAAGTCCAGCCTCAGTTCAGTCACCCTCGGTTGACCAAACACCTCTACCCACCCAATCGTCTCCCCCAGTTCCATCAAGCTCAACCGAGCCTCTGAGTAGTGCGAGCCCGACAACCCCTGCTGCTCCATCAGATGCTCCAACAGTCAAGACGTGTCCTGGTCCCGCTCAACAGTCTCAAGACGTTTATTGGCTCCATGCTCAAGATCACAATGGCGCGGGTGCTGGATATGCACCTTTCACGAGCGAACCCAACAAGTATCCTGTGTTTCGCAACGTGATGGACTACGCCGTTGTCAATGACGGCTCCGGTGACCAAACAGCTCGCTTGCAAAAAGCAATCGATGATGATGGCGATGGAGGTAGCCGAAAAGGAAGTGGCGTCACTCGAAATCCGGCCGAAGTTTTTCTACCCGGGGGTGTCTATCAACTTGGTAGCACGCTGACGCTGACTGTCGGTACCATCATTGTTGGTGACCCAAGCCACCCCCCCATCCTCAGAGCCGCGCCCAATTTCCAGGGAGAGTTCCTCATCATGGGGTATGACAAAATGAACGGCAATCCGGAGACTAGTTTTATGATGCTGGTCAAAAACGTGGTTTTGGACACCTCTGCCGTGCCCCCGAGCCAGTCAATTACTGCATTGCAATGGGGTGTCGCGCAAGGTGCTGGGTTGACCAACATCCAAGTCCGGATGCCCACTGGAGCCAGTCGACACACGGGTATCAATATCGTTGCTGGCTCGACGATCGCAGTGACTGACGTGGTAAGTTTAAGACACCTTCAGCAATCAGATAATGTCGACTAACAATCCCAGACTATCATTGGTGGCGCCACCGGAATAATCAACTCTAATCAGCAAGTCAACTTCAAGAATGTCCACTTCATCTCATGTGGTACTGCGTTTGAAGCCTCGGGTGGATGGACAGTGCTCCTTCAGGGAGCCATTTTCGAGTCATGCGGCACGGGTGTCAACATGACAGCCAACCGCCTCGGTAGCTTGGTGATCCTGGACTCGGTATCCACAAATTCCGGTCCGTTGATTCGATTCCACGACTCTTCACAAGACACTGGCTATCAGAACAGCCAGTTCCTCATCCAGAATCTCCAATATAACTCCAAGGAGCCAATCGCAGTCGACACCAATGGCCATACTCGCTTGGAGGCAACTACTTATGTCGACACCTGGGTCTGGGGAACTATGGTCCCTGGAGCATACGCACCAGGAGCCTCGTGGAATACTCACAGGCCGCCTCAGCTGCTTGTCAACGGAAAATACTTCACCAAGCCTCAGCCCACGTATGGCGGATTTGGTAGCCAAGATGTTGTCAATGTGAAGACTGTTGCCGGGCATGTCGTTAAGGGAGATGGTGTCACCGACGATACCGTGGCGCTTAACGCGATTCTGGCACAGAATGCCGCAAACTGCAAGATTACATACATTCCTTTCGGAGTGTACAAGGTTTCGGATACGCTTCTCATCCCGGTCGGTTCGCGCATCGTTGGTGAGGCATGGTCCGTTATCTCAGGATATGGCGATGCGTTCAGGAACCCGAGTAGTCCCAAGGCTGTCGTTCGAGTCGGTAATCCCGGCGACGTTGGTCTCATCGAGATTCAGGATATGCGATTCTCCGTCGCCGAGATTTTGCCCGGCGCCAAGGTGGTTGAGATCAATGCGGCTGGACAGCAGCCCGGCGACATCGGACTCTGGAATACCATGGTCATGGTTGGAGGTACCGCTGAAACCAGTATATCCACTACGTGCACGTCGCAAGATCCCAAGGATTGCATGGCTGCCTTTATGGTGATGCACTTGACCGAGACCTCCTCTGCATATATCGAGAACTTTTGGGGGTGGACTGCAGATCACAACTTGGACAGCAAGTCCATTTTCACCATCGTCTCCACTGGTCGCGGGATTCTCGTCGAATCGACCAAGGGAACCTGGCTCACCGGGACGGGCTCCGAACACCACTGGCTCTACAATTATAATTTCCACAATGCATCCAACGTGTTTGCGGGTCTGCTGCAATCGGAGACCCCGTATATGCAAGGGTCCGGCGAATTCGAGAAGGCACCAGCGCCGTGGACCGTTGATCCTCAACTTGGTGACCCCGACTTCTCTTGGTGCGGGCCAAATGATGACAAATGTCGAAGTGCCTTGGCTACCAACGTTGATGGAGGATCCAATATCGCTCTGTACAATTCAGCCGCGTGGGCTTTCTTCGATGGCTCTTGGAATGGGCTTTATAACGAGCCGTGCCAAGGCAAATGTCAAGCCAATATGATGCGAGTGACTGGAGCGCCGCAGAACTTCATTTGGTATTCGATCAGCACACGCATGACGGAGGTCATTGTCTTGGATGGGAAGACTAATGCCCGGGAGGACGATCATGCTGGTGGATGGGAGGGTATCATTCAGGCCTATGGTCAATACGCGGGTTAGGACCAAGGTTTTTGGTGTTTTGCTTGTCTATAGCATGAACTTTGAACATATCGCATGTCATGAAATAGACTTCAGACACTAATAATAGTAATGAAAAAGATTGACTCACTTACCACTCAAGCTGGCCCATTTTCTTGACAATGCACCTTCGTCTAGACACTCTGCACCGACGTAAAGCTTTCCTATTGAGGCATTCGTTCAGGCCTCCCATGCAAACTGGAAATATTGCATCCTCCGGTAGATGCAGCCTGAAGTCTCAGGTGTCAGTTCTATTTTCAGCTTCACGTGACCGTGGCTGTGAACGTGATGCCTGAGCCACAGGCTCCGATGTGTTCCGAAGTGCTTCGCCTCTCGGTGGCGTCCGGAGAAGGTCCAGGCCGATCTTTCTGCCTTTCTGTTTCGCCAGTCCAACCCGCCAAAAAGGAAACGTCATCCAAGGGTCTTGGCCACTTGGCTGAGCTCATCGGACACCGAGCCCCTGATGCAGGAATCTTGAATCCCCATCAACCCCCGAGAACATGGACAGCTCCAGCTCGTCATGTTTGGGACAAGGCACTAGCTGATGCAACACACGCCGGTCCACTCGGTGTAATAACACTCCATGACAGGCCAGCATCATCGCAGCGTCGCGGGGCATCTTTCCATCAGTGGCTGATTAGTGGAGATCTTCCCCAGTGGGCTTCATCTCCACCTCAAGGGGTGAACAATTGGAGGCCGTTGGGGGGCAATTCCATGCGGTGGGTTCCGGCCGCAACGAACTTGTTGGGAAGGGCTGGAGGCAGCAGAATATCCAGCGAGTTCTGGTTTCTAAAATCAGTACTGACCACTAGGCTGTGTCGACAGAGTTGGCCCAGCGGCGCAGGAAAACGCGTTCATGCAGTTAAGCAGGATGAGCACGAGATCCCACCCTGTAAGGCTTGGATCTCGTCCTTCGGCCCGCGGTCGACTGGGGCGGAAACGAGATTGAAACAAATCACCGGCTGCACCGGCGTCGCAAGTGGAGCCTCGAAATGACGATTGGCTTGACCAAGTTTGAACGACGGCCGTGTCGGTTTTTGGGTAATGATTCGGCGCAGCCCAGGTGCAGATCGGCCAGAGGGAATTGCTCCGTTTCGTTTCCCCAAAGACGGCTGAGGTCATGTTGCCACTAACCCACAGCCTAGCAACCAAACTCCCTTGTTTCTATCTATATTCAGGGTGGGAAGTTTGGTAACTCCACTCGGCAGATATAAAGATCCCCCGGAGCCCAGCTCTTTCATCCTACATATCCAACTTTCCAAGAATTTCACGACTCTGAACGATCTCCATCTCCTCTTCACTTCAGCCTACTACATACGTCTTCCTTCAGCACAGGACATCTATCCAATAAACTCAATTCACAATGAAGTTCACCATCCTTACCTCCGCCCTCTTCCTCGCCAGCGCCGCCCTGGCCAACCCCGAACCCGTTGACGTGAACTCGATCGTCTCCGCAGCCGAGGGAGCAGTCTCTACCGCTGTCGCCGGCGGCCAGTCAGTTGCCTCTGACGTCGCTGCCGAAGCCACCTCCCTTGCCAACGCCGCCTCTACCGGCGGCGCTGCTGCCGTTAGCTCCATCACTAGCGAAGCTGGCTCCATTGCCTCCGCCGCTGCGAGTGCCGGCTCCTCCGCTGCCTCTGCCGCCGAGAGTGCTGGCTCCTCCATTGCCTCCGCCGCCGAGAGTGCCGGCTCCGCAGCTGCTAGCCGTGCTTCCACCTTCGTGAGCCAGTTCACTACCACCAACTCCAACGGCCAGACTACCACCGTCGCCTCCACAATTACTACTGCTCCTTCCACTACTACCGGCACTGGTACCTCCACCAGCGCTACTTCTACTAGCACTGCTGGTGCTATGGCTCGCCCAGAGGCTATGGGTGCTGCCTTCGCCGGTGTTGCCGGTATGCTCGGTGTTATGGTTGCCCTGTAAATTGAGTGATCACTGTATAATGTCTCGTTTGCGATCACCCTTGGGGGATATCCACGAGAAACTCACTTTCTTCATGACCTTTTTTTCATCTTGTTTGTAAATTTTCGGCTGGCATTGGCTTGAAATATGGGTACAATACTGGCGTTGGGTGTATTTCTAGTGCATTTCACATCTTCAACATATGAGCATACTTTTAAAAAGAACCTTCAATACATCAGCTTCCAAGTGCATTTCCGGCGTGCCGGACAATCCAATGTTCTGTCTCAATCCCATCACCTGATTTAGATTTTGCGTCTAGACGTGTTCCGCGCAATGTTGACCGAGGACATCAGTCGACAAGATCTGTGGCACATAATGGGTTTGACCGCGAATGGTAAAATCAAAATCCGTTAGTCGAGTATCAATTTGTAACTACCTATTTACATCACATCATGTCGACGCATTCTCATCGACTCTCCCAAAATTGTGCATCCATGGCCACTAATCGATTAAACAACTGGTTCCGCGACCGCATCCCCGTAAGATGGTACGCCTGTCCGGCTTCTTTTCCAATAACCACCAACCCGTCAGCAGCCTCTTTACTGCCAGCCGTCAGCTCCACAATCAACTTCCCCTTCCACCCCAGACCCTCAGTCTTCTTCAACTCCTGGATCTCCGTAACGGGAATTTGAAACAAAACGGAGCTCTTCTTGCGACTGTCCAAGCGGAGATCATCCAGGCCGGCGGACTGATACGTCGTGAAATACAGGATTGGTGGCTCCTGGGTGGAGTCGATCACTGCAGCGCCTCGTTTCTTCATGAATTTAGCGTCGAACTTCAGTGGGCCGAATGGCTTTGAGGAAAAGTGCTTCTGTTGAAGCATCGTGATCAAGTTCTTAGTATGGGCTGAACCGGCGATGGCCATGGCGCGGTCAAAGGCGATGTGTCCTCGAATAGCCGTCGCGATAGTGCGACGGACGAATTTGAATACTTTGTAGAACCATTTCTTCTTCGGCTTGCCCATCGGAAGAGGATCGTTGGGACCTTGTGTTTGGGGGCTGAGTGAAGAGTCAAGGTCGCTGCCTTGGGTCAGAAGCTTGGCTGAGGACTTTTTGCGGCGAATTGGCCATGATGGCTCATTGTCGCCGGATTTTGGTGGCGGTGGTAGGGGAGCCGAATTGATTTCTCCGATTCGGAATAGTGTCAGTGTTAACTGGGCGTTTGTAGGAACACCAGCCAATAGTGTCCTGTTCTCGCGTTAGCAGAGTAAATATTGCTTGCAAAATGTCACGATCCTACTTTTGAATGTCCATTTGATCCTTCCAGTTGGGGATCGTCCGATTCAACATCGCCATTCCGAAGGTGAACAGTGGATCGCCGAAGAATCCTACTCCAATCATAAATCCAGCAGTTTTGATGATAGCGTGACTGGATACAAAAGGGAACACTAGGCAAATGAAGCCTAGGATACCCGACAGACGCAGCCGGGGTGTGACCAAGAGAAACGGTGGTGTAGGGGATAAGAGACTGTTACTTGCGTCAATATAGGGCCTAATTAGAAGGACAGTAGCGTAGGATCGACTTACTTTGCAAACTTTTCGTATATGTCCGTGATATCACTGATTGCACGCATGGCCTTATCAGTACCCCGGGACACTTTGTTCCTTACGGGCTTTTTCGTCTTGTCGTCAGTGGGATCCTCAGTACCAATTTCCTCGGAGATATCCGCCACATCGACCGCTTCAGAGGGAGGAGGGACTTCGTCAAGATCTTGCGGTACAGCTTGGCCATACTTGCCCGCAGCACTTTCCATAGCAATAGTTGCAACGCTATCGATCATGTTCTTGGCTTCTTGTTCAGCAGCTTCACCTTTATGCACTTCCGGCGCTCCCGTTAGACTGTCCTGGGATTGAGGCTGACTATCTTTGCCCGTTGGTGAGCCTTTGTTTTTGAAGGCCGGAGCACTGGGAAAGAGAACCGGTCGGATGGGTGGAAACATGATCAAGGCCATCAAGACACTCATTATAGTGGGAACGAGTAAATCCAGATACCATGAAAGAAAATATACCTTTCAATAGTTAGACCGATCACCATGATACAACATACTAGCAGGAAAGTAACGTACTAGTGTGAAGACAAAAGTCCGCCCGGGCTCTCTCCAAGATCTCAACCGCCCAACATGTCGAACCAGTTCGGTCACACCAACGACAACAGACGTGTAGAATCGCTCAACGGTCATGCGTAGCTTTTCGGGCGGAAACTGTTCATCTTCCGCTCGATTCAAATCTAGATTTTGACTGGTCGCATCTTGAACAGCCTTCACATGGTATATTTGCTGATCACATGTTAGCTCCGAAGATCTCAGAGCCAGTTCTTATGCGTACCTTGTTAAATCGCCGAATCAAAAGCCAGAGATCCTCATTGGAGAGACCCTCAGCTAGTGTCTCCTCGACTGTCCTTGACGAAGGCTTCCATTGGATGTTTTGTTGTCGTGGGTTCACTGATTCGGTCGAGCCCCTGTTTTCCGTGGATGGTGCCCGGGTGAGATCGTAGCCCTCGCTGTCTTCCAATTCTCCGGAATCCTCATTGTCTCCGCTCATGATTGTGCCGAGCCTCCTGGTGCAAGATTTTAGTCCTTGCGAGAGTGCCTAGGCTTGAAAAACGGTGCTCCCGGGTCAAATGTTGCTGAGTTTAGGTGTCCCCTGGCTTCGGAGTGAGGGGAAGTGTGGGGGTTCGACGTCATATCGGGCCCCTATTTTTAGCGAAAGACGTATCCACCTCCACACGATGAAGCTTTACGATCATTGTTGCTAATCTACGTAAGAAATGACCGATGGCTCAGCGATTTACATGTTCGGTCCCCCTCATTTCAAATACGCCTAGTTGAGTGAGAATCAGTGCGATTTTGGGAATTACTGGGAACAGAAATAACGCTCATTGGACGGATATATATTACCCGAGCAAGGTCGAGAAAAGGGCTCAACAATGCCACGAACATCCAATTGCCATCGTTGCTAAGCGCCTACCCAAACGCAATTAGTCTTCTTTCCATAGTCGTGATTGATCAAAGACAGGGTTGATGATAGTGGTTTCTGACTCTGTCGAGCCATTCTCGTCGACTGTCATTCGCGGGCCAGTGAACCAATGCTTGGCAAACAGGAAGTAATAAGCCATGCAACCGATCCAGACAGCACCATTGATGACAATGGTATAGTTCATGTCGGGTGCTACACGAACCTCAAGATTAGTATATGAATCTTGAAACAATCGCCAAAGAAGAGGCACGTACGATCCGGATTCGGTCCCGCGGTCGGGAACATGGATAAGACCACCCCGAAAAGCAAGTACATGACAGCAACGTAAGCGATCGGCTTGCTGAACCGGCCGGTATAAAATTCTCCTGGCTGGAAACGGTCTCCACCCCAGACCACGCGGCAAAAGATTGGCATGCCCCACGATAGATAGTTACTCGCAACGAACAATGAGAACAATGCATTGGAAGCAGCATTGTTGATGAGGCATAAAAGACCTAAGATGAGACAGATCACGACGAGGCCGCAAATCATACGTACGGGCTGGTATTGGATTCGTGTGCTAATATGGCGGAAGAAGTTGGAGAACGGCAATGCGCCATCGCGCGAGAATGCCCACGCTTGGCGGGATGCAGCGACAAGCTATTTCATCAGCCACGGGACTTGATCCTTTATTATATTCAGAAAGTAGAACTCACCAAGCTGAGACCAATCAGATATTGAACGATGCATAGCACGATCATGAAAGCCAAAGCGCCGTCTTTTCCAAGGGCGTCATAGTAGATCTGCGGGCATTTGATCAGCTCTTGCTTGCCCAGACGGAACATAGCAAACCTGAACTTACTTGCGCCATTGGCTGCCCAAACTTGGTACCCAGAGTTTGAGACACGTCTGGATTCATAGTGGCGGCCATCACAGCCAGCACTAAGAACCCAAAGACGAGCGCCGAGCCTGCAGAAAACATGATACCCAATGGAACGGCCCTGGCAGCATGCATAGCCTCCTCGCTCATATGCACACAAGAGTCGAACGAGCCAATGGACCAGATTGGAGCAAGCCAAGCAAGGATAAAAGCCCACCCGGTCGGCCATCCTGTTTCGTTGTCAACATGGCCAAAGACATACTTTCCCGAATTCAGTGATCCCCCTCGAGTCACTTTCCCGACAGGCAATGCGACTACTGTAGCAATTACCAGACCGATGTTGATGTAAATGCAGGCCGTCTGAATCTTAGGCATGATCCGGCCTGTGACTGCCGCGGACAACCCGTGAAAGAGGATTAAACCCACGTAGACAGCGTAGATTACGCCGCGCGATGCTGTCCAGTCCGAGTCGCGAGAGATGGAGACGCAAGATAAAATCATGAGAGCAAGCGTATCTAGAATGGTCAACTGCGTTAGAACTACCCGTATCCAGGTAATGTCGACCAACTCACAGTCTACGGAGCATATGCCGCCAATCAAACCCAAAGTGTTGCTGTATCCAATGAGGAAGCTCAGGGGGTTCTTGTACTTTTCGCTGGCAAAGTAATGGGTCCACCAGTATAGACCTCCAGCCGTGGGCATGGCAGATGCCAAATCTGACTACAGACCTGTCAACGATGCGATCATTTCCAGAGACGAGAGAGATGTTAAAAATACCATTGCCAATGCAACCACAGTAATGAAGATGCTCGCCGTGAACCATCCCTATCCCGATCGCGCATCAGCGACCGAGCTATTAATCCGACGGGTAGTATTGCAACCCAATGGGTGCATACTTACCCAAACCATTCCAACGGGACCAGCCGGAAGTGAAAATGCGATGGTCGACGCGATAGACGGTACAAGACCCATGATGCTAAACGCGATCGCAAACACCTGCGGTGTCGAATATTGTCGCTTTAATTCTTGCTTGTACCCCATTTTGGCTTGGCGCAACCAAAACCATCAGCACGCGACCGGGATCATTTCGCATCCCCAACAATAGCAAACTCACCTAGCAACTGCAAATCACTCGAATCTGCAAGTCCAGGCGTGATGGTCACGCCGCCAGCCTCGGAAGTCCCATCATCTCCTCCGGTTGAAGGCTTGGAATGCATAGCGAGACGCGTTTTAGACTCGGTCGGTACGCTCAACGGACAACGGACATGGCGCAGGGGAAGCGTTATGTTTATACTGTCGATTGCGGGGCTCTTCACGGCCCAAATGTAGGAGGCCCAGCTGAGAACCTTCTTTGATAATCAAGGCATGCAGTGATGCCTGCAAATCCTCGATTGGGCTCTAGCGGACCGAGCTACTGTACAAGAGACCGGGGTAGGGGCGGGTGAGATCTGGAGAGGGCGATTGGGGAAGTTGGAGGCGGCGTTTTAGGACAGGTGAGTTTAAGGGGGGGGGTGAGTTTAATGAGGGAGCTGCTTATAGTACTGAAGTTTCTGGTCCTCGTATCGGCTATTCACCGAATTCCTTCAGCATCGATCCTTGCGTGTTTTGCTGGACTGCAGGGCTGACGGTGGCTGGGTGGGGACTTGTGATTGGCTTGCCAGATGTGCGTGAACAATCACTTTTTACTACCCCCTTTTTTTGCCGCATCCTCTACAGGGAGCTTAATTGCTGGAAGTTAAGATAGTACTGGCTGTTAGGTACAACCTCATAGAATTTGATAGGCTCATTGCTTTGATTATGTGCCTGATGATGCTCCTACAAATTCCTTGTATAAGTTACACTGTGCTGACCAGGCAGTTAGCGCGTCGTTGTTTGAGGTATCTGGCTCTAAGCACAGAACATGGACGGACTAAATATTCAATAGCTCTCCAAGTATCGCAACTGAGTGATTAGGGTCGTACAACTAATTACTAGTACCATCGTCTTGAAGGCTTTTCGAAAGTTAATTTGCAAGCTGACTTGCTTGGCACTGCCAAAATAGCCAGAACGTCAAACCAGACCCGTCAATCTATTGCGTGAGCGGCAGATCTGAACCAATCTTCTCCCGCCACCAATAATACTCGCTTCGTTGGTTGCACAAGAAGCTAGCCTGCCTTGCGCGTGTGGATTACAGTGTGGGACTTTTAAGCTTTCTCAAAATTAGACTGCCAGCTCTTGTCAAGGCCCACGTCAAACACATTATGGACTGCATATTGTGCCGCATCAGAACTTTTCACCTTCTCATGGATATTAGAGTCTTCTCAATGCCAGAGTTGAGAATTGATTGATTAATTGATTGATTAATCCGCCATCAAATCCACATAAAGCAAAATAGATAGTGGATATATAGCTTGCGAAAGTCAAACGTCGCGTCTGCCTTCCTCCGTTCCGACGACAAAGCCCATCAGCCCACAAATATTATCCACGCAAGACCGTGCAATGAATGCCATTGCACTGACCCAAATACACAGTCTACCAAATATCGCATCATCCAAATCTGCTGACACCTACTGCTCGGATTTAGACTTGCTGCTCAGGAGCAGTCTCGGCAGTGGGTGGGCGCGCAAAGCCAGTGGTAGTATCACTATTTCCAGTGTAGCTGCCATTAGCATTGCCATTGCCAACACCATAGTGGCCGGGATTGGTCACTGTGCGCTCCGAAGCACCCATAGAGTCCTTCCGAGCCTTGGTCTCCCACTCATTGTAATCCTGGCCAGGGTTGATGTGCTCCCAGCGGACAAAGCAGAGCAGGCGATAGAAGCCTGACGCAAGCAGCGACCCGAGCAGAGGACCAACCCAGTAGATCCAGTGGTATCCGGGGAAGCTGCGATTGATTACGTCGGGACCCAGGGATCGGGCGGGGTTCAGGGAACCGCCGGTATAGTAGTCACCTAGAAGGAGCCATGGTTAGATCTGCCCGAGGAAGAGAGGAATTCGTGGTGAGAACATACCAACCATCTCGCAGACGAAGAAAGTGAGACCGATACCGACGGGTGCCAGGTAGGTCGACTTGTGCTTGACGACAGCCAGCATGATGATCACGAGTACAAGCTGCGCAGTCAGGAACATCTCAATGAAGAGACCCTGGGAGATGGAGGCACCGCCACCCAGTCGGGTACCGACGTTCAGAGAACCGGGGAACAGTGCGCTAACAACACCAGCAGAAGCGATGCCGGCAACCAGCTGAGCCGGGAAGACCATCAAGCCTCGCAGTGGGGGCATACCACCGGTCAAGCATAGAGCAAGTGTGACCTGGACATCATTAGCTCGATCAGCTTGCAATTGGAAGAATTCACGTTTCGAGCTTGATATTGACTTACAGCAGGGTTAAAGAGACCACCAGTGACTCGGTAGAAGGCCCAGACATTGACAGTCAAAGCAAAACCGAAACACAGAGATGAGTACAAGAGATTGGAAGTATTCGGGTTCGCTCCCGGCACCGGCGCGGGCGTATTAGCGACCTGAGTTCCAGCGAAAGAGAAGAAGAGGAACAGGAATGTGCCCACAAACTCGCCCATCATGCAGAGAGCGTTATAGCGCAAGCTGTCCGGCATCTGGATCATAGGCAGCTGGCCACGGCTTCCGGGGCCAGATGGCCCCGCCAGTCCAGAGCCCTGTGACTCTTCGCGCTTGTGAAACATCACCATTTCGGCTTTAGGTCTTTCGACAGTGCAATTGTGAGTTTCTAATTCAGACCTGCTTCAATGGGCCTCCGAATGTAGCGACAGTTGCGATCAATTCAAGTAGTCAAGATTTCTTTTGAACATTGTCTCTCCGGCCCAGTCCCGAGATATTTATTCAATACCTCTATTCATCACAGACGTCACTATTGGGATTCCTACACAGTAAATATCGAATGCAAGTATCATCGATGTAGCCTTGAAAGCGGAGATCGATACGAGAATCGGCTAACCGAGCGATCTCTTCGCCTAAGAATAGCCTTTTTTTGCTTGCAAGTGCAATGTCCATCTTAAGCCCTATAGTCCTCAACGGTCGAATTGCAAGTTTAAAAACAGTGGTGAGGTCAACATCCGCAGCTGTCCCATGTTTGTGTGCTGTGAATCCCCAGCTTGGCATTGGGCGGAGAGGACTCCGTTCTCCGCAAACGGAACGGTCTGGACTGTCATGGTCCACCAGCGAGTTCTCTGTATGGACTCCCACTAATGATCGTCTCTAGAAACGCTAATGATAGGTGGGCCACAGGTTTTGATCAGTTTCCCGGACATACATTCCATCAAAGCTATAATCACGACCAGGGTACATGAAAGATCCAATTGATCCTGGATGGATGCTCCTGAAACATGACAAATTATATCACAGAGAGCATTGGATCATTTATGACAGTAATCCATTTAGGTTTCTGGAAATTCTTTCATCCCCTACGATGTCAAGACCATACCTTGTTTTTTTAAAGTACTCCGCGGAGTCCCGGATGTCACCAAAAAATCACCGAGGGGAGTCAAAAGCTCCTCGATCTCGATAACGAGGATTCAAGTCCTGCCAGCTACATTTACTCATAATTAAAAGCTCCTTTATCATAATGCAAAGCACTCGATTTCTCCATAATCTCGAGACATCACGAGTTTTAACCCACCACCCTGATAGCGATGCTGTAGCAGAGTTAGGTGCTTGAATATACCTTTCTACGATCTGGTGATCAGCGCCGAGCTTAAAAGTCACCAGTGATATGACCCTGACATGGTCTCTGCGTGCTAATCAAAAGACTGTCACTGGTCCGAAATTTTTCCATTGCACGTTAGTACCGGGTAGAGCGGCAGTCCGCCGGTGTGTGCTAAGAATTCCTAGGAATTCTCGTCGAGTGGGCTGACGGTCGGCTTTGGGCTTTCGGGCGGTCGCCGCGTGACAAACAGAAAAGGTTCGATTTGTTGGCTCGGCGAACGCGGCGGGTCACTCCCGAGAGGCAAACGGGGTTTAGTCCTATTCGAGTAAGCTGGTTCAGTGACAGGGTATAGAAAGTGAAGACTGTAGATGGAGAGGAAGGGATATGTAGTTAGAGGAATGCGGAGAAGTCTGGTCGGCCTACTGGCTGAGTATCGTCATTGTGTTCATTCTAGACTATGGTGTACTTTTGACATGGAGAGATAGGTGAATAACTAGCAAGGATTAGGACTGACTAAGATGAATGAAAATTAGGTAAGTTAATTAATTAACTAGGAAATGATAGTTAGTTAGTTAAGCTATCAAAGTTGCTTACTTTTCGCTACTCTTGAGAAAAAATCCTCGTAGAAAGTACACCTCTTCTCGCTAGGTACGATTAGGTTCCATCGTGAGCTTACGTGAAGATCTTTCTTCCGATCGCTTACAACATCTTTTCTCAATTTGTATTACCGAATGCCGGTGTCATAAATGGCAAAAATGGACGTGCCGAGAAAACTCCAGCCGGGCGAAAGGGCCATCGAACCACACTGAGCCTCTGCCACCGCCTTATCGAGCCTCCTCCGCGGAGATGTCTATTTTTCTCGGGTCAAATCGTCCTCAACCGCACCGAACCACAGGAACATTCTGCTCTGGTACCTGGACAGGCACACAATTCTCGACATTTCGAGACGCCCAGCGGGTACGCCGATGAGTCGAATGGCGCTTTTTCTCCCGCCGGGCTTTGCTCGCGTTGCGCCACGGTACGACCTTTTATCGGGGTGAAGATAAATAGCTGGCCACCAGCCAGGCTTTTTGATAGGGGATATAATTTTACAAACAAGTTAATTCATACTAGAGTGGAGACACCTGATTATCTTTCTCTTGTATAAACCGAGCAACACGTCCTCGATCGACTTTGATTTTTATTTCATTGTTTCAAACAACCACCACAACAACCACAACTACATCCACCATGGGTTCCGTCGGTGGACTGACTCCCAACCAACTCCAACTCATCAAGGCGACCGTACCGGTCCTTGTTGAGCATGGCAATACCATCACGACAGTATTCTATAAGAACATGCTTGCTGCCCACCCGGAGCTGAACAATGTGTTTAACGTCCCTAACCAGCGCAATGGCCACCAACCCCGGGCCCTCGCTGGCGCCCTCTTCGCCTATGCCGCCAACATCGACAATCTGGGAGCTCTGGGGCCCGCCGTGGAGCTGATTTGCCACAAGCACGCTTCGCTATACATTCAGCCAGAGCACTATGAGATCGTTGGCAAATTCCTCCTAGAGGCAATGGGCGAGGTCCTCGGAGATGCCCTTACCCCGGAGATCAAGGAGGCATGGGGCGTCGCGTACTGGCAGCTCGCCGATATCATGATCGGCCGCGAGAAGCAAATTTACCAGGAGAGCAAGGGCTGGACCAACTGGCGCGACTTCAAGATCGCCGACAAGGTCCAGGAGTCCGAGGAGATCACCTCCTTCTATCTCACCCCAGTCGACGGCCAGCCTCTGCCAGTTTTCCGGCCCGGCCAGTACATCTCCGTTCAGGTCAAGGTGCCCGAGCTCCAGTGCTTGCAGCCTCGTCAGTACTCGCTCAGCGACCAATACTCCCAGGACTACTACCGCATTAGCGTCAAGACGGAGAAGGGCTTGCCAGCCACCGACTCGGCTGCTGCAACCCACCCCGGCTACGTGTCCAACCTCTTACACGACCAGTACAACAAGGGCGACATCGTCCAGGTCTCTCACCCTTGCGGGGACTTTTTCCTGTCCGCTACCGCCGTGCAACCCACTACCCCAATTGTCCTCCTCTCAGCGGGCGTTGGTTTGACCCCGATGACCTCCATCTTAAACACCTTGACTTCCAAGCCGGCTTCTGCCGAGCGAAATTTGCATTTTATCCATGGTGCCCGCACTTCCGGAGCTCGCGCTTTCAAAGACCACATCGCCAATCTGAAGAAGAACCACGCCAATCTCCAGGCCACCTTTTTCACTAGCAACCCCACCGAAGCCGAGACGCTGGGAGTCGACTTTGACTACGTCGGCCGCGTGGACTTGAGCAAGCTGGACGCCAGCAAGGATCTTTTCACCGACATTCCTACCACGGAATACTATATCTGCGGTCCTGACAAGTTCATGACGGACATGCAGACCACTCTCAAGGAGAAGGGTGTGAGCGCCGACCGCATCAAGATGGAACTATTCGGCACTGGTGGCATTAACTAGAAGAGGCTCTTTTTCCCTCTTGCATTCCATTGGTTAGACCTGGCGTTTATATGATACCTCTCTTCTCTCTCCTTTCTAGATACTAGCATCAAATCAATTTCGAATCAGACAACAAAATTATGAATTCAAATCACGCAAGATGACCCTTCTTCATGTCAGTCCAGATAAGCCTGATAGGTGATCGCTACGCTGCAATAGACTTGAGTATGCGAGCTACCCCGGGTTTGAGCCCCATTGCTACAGATGCAGTGTGCCGAATCTGGGTACAGGAGGGAATTGGGGGATTTTATTAGGGACTTGGGCCGAACCTGGTTCGAGTTTTACCAAGACCCAGCACCTTTCCTGTCCACGAGACTACCAAGCTCCTCATCCTGAAGCTCGCAGAGATCTTAGGAGCAGTTCTACAAGCAGAACCTAGGTCTCCCGACCATGTCCCTGCTTGGATGCTTGATAGAATGTCAGAAACTTTCTAGGTCTCCTAATATTGCGGAGGAGAACATGGTTGTTGATTTCACTATTCATTTCCCAGAGATGCCACCTCACACGATAGGCCGGGCTCGTCTCGAGTATCAAGTCCTTGCGGTCTTTGACCAGCCGACCATTGTATCATTACTCGTATTTGCCCCCTCGAACCTATACCTCAAAGAAGCTTGCCCATCGCACTCTCTGTGCCTCCGGCAATGCCTGCATACACCACTTGGAAAGTCCGCCGTCAAAGGAATCGGTCATGTCGGTCTTAGTATATTTCCACTTTTTCGAGAGCCTTTCTTTCCACTCATCTACCCATACCACCCGCTTCTGACCATTGGCATCAATCAGAGGCACCATACCTTGGGGAACGAGTTCATTTTTTCGCAGGGCTTGCCCGGTATAGAAGAAACTGTGTTCCCCACTGCATTTGCCCGTGAAGCCATGAGGATGATCCTGTAAAACAACTCGCTTCTCCTGGATATCCCAGTAGCAAGGCCGACAAAGGGCAGTGGATGGGCAGGAACGGCAAAAGTACCATTGGCTGGGTGAGCGTATCTCATGCCTACAGATGAAACATTCTGACAATATGTCGACTATGGACCATGTTTCATCTGGCTCTGCCTGACCGTCCTCCAACTCTGAATTCTGCCCTGGGCTTTGATCATCGGCGAGATGCACTCTGTCCAATGAATCCGGTAGAGCGTCATGGATTACTCGTTCTGTATCATTGCTCTTTTCCGGTTCAGTGGATTCCCATTTCCAGGTCTTGATCAAGTATGACACTGCTCGGAGATCTTCGTCATCATCCGTTGTGAGTAAAAGGGCCTTGAAAAGCGCCACAAAGGCGTCGATATCATTCCGAGGATCGTCATCTGATAGTAAGGTGATGCATCTTTGAACTACCTCGCATAGCAGGTTCTGGGCACCAGAACTATCACCATTGGATTGCAGCCAGCTGGAAACCACCAAAGCAACTTCAGAGAAACTTTCTTCCGTGAGCACCAGAGAATCGACTCCGCGAAGGGGAATCTCGGGTACGTAAAGACACACAGCCGCCAAGCGACTTAATGAATATTTCTGAACCAATACCATCCACCAGCGATTGTCTAATTTCGATATAGTCACATTCTCACACCACTTTTGAACCGCATCCTTGGACCGACCTTTCTCAAACAACACCGAAGCGAGATAGAATTGCATTTCTGTTCCCATGTTCCCAAGTTCGTGTTCATCAAAAACGGGGATTGAGGCGATGAGATTGAGATACTCCGTGTCCTCTGGTGTGAGCACGTAATGCAGAACGCTATGCATGACGCGAGGATGGTGGACGAATGCATCAACAAGAAACGAAGCGAAATTATCTTCTTCAATGCCTTTGAGACGCATTGGCACTATATCCTCGGAATGCTCAAGGGCAAAATCCCAAACGGAGCGAAGGCGATGGATCTGACGCAGTTCCGAGAATGTGGCAAGAAACGATTGCAAGAGGGCGCCAAAGCGGAGCCGGTGCCGATTCTCGATCCTGCTAAATTCTTCCCATGCTCGTTGCGCAGTCGAGATGGCTTTGTCGATTTTATTGACACGGAATTCTATGTATGCGGTATCAAGCAAGTCTGCTATATGACCATCAATGCCATGGGCGGAATCATCCGGTTTGTCTGTCATCGAGATGGCGAGGTCAAGATGCTCCAATGCTTTCTGATGCCTGCCAGCCGCCTTACATGCGCGCGACATATTTTTGTGGATGACTGAGAGGGATTGCTTGCTAAAAGTGGTTGACTCATCGCATTCATTCAGGGAAATTTGGAAATGCACAATGGCTTCTTCGAAATAGCAATGGTGGAGCAGCGCCTGCGCGACGCGGGCATGCCACATGGCGGTTTTCAGAAGGCCTTGCGACTCGGCAACCTGTATGATGCGATCTGCCTGTAGGTCGCGTTTTGTGTCCGTGAGTTTGCTTGCTTCTCCACTGGTCGTAGGAATTGTTGTTATCTCGTTGTACGCATGTAGCAGAATAGACAGCGCCGCTGGAAGACCGTCTTCCTCCAAAATTTCATCGGGGCTCAGCCAAACATATGCAGAAAACCGTGCCATTGGCGAGAACAGGATACCAAAGGGAAATGTTTGATTGCCTGCTGTCTCTTCCAGTAGCCTTCGCTGATCAGGGGCCAACCAATTAAGAACTATCTTCGCTGCGTGGTTTGCGGTCTCTCTATCATTACAACCCCACCAGTACTGCCCAAGAGTCGAGATTTGACTGGATGCGTGGGAGTTGTGATCAAAGTAAGATTGAGTGTAGACAGGGTCGATAATCCACTTCTCGAGTAACAATTCGTTCCCTATCAGACTTGCAAGAAGAGATGAGATGTCACGTCGTCGACTCGCTTCTACTTGTCCCGGATCGGTTGCCTCAAGATGCCATGGAAGGTAATTATGTGCGTAGTTTCGGAGCATTCCTAGGGACATATAGGAGCTTGGTGCATTGCTCTTCGCCACGGCATAAAGCAAAACGTACAAGAAGTCGGCACCAGCCTGCTCACGGTTGACATGCAACGGCCCAATATCAGACGTGGACAAGGAATTGAAGAACTCGTAGAAGGAGCTATGCCGAAGAGTGACAACGGCGGTTCCGAGGTACTCGCCATCATCTTCCTTAGGGCCTCGGACGCGAAGTGAAAATAGTGAGGAGTAGACTTTGTGAAGATCATCTTCAAGATTTAAAACTTCCTCCCCAAGAAGGATCTCTAGAACCAGATTTAGAATCTCCACAGTCAGAGGTATCTGGGCCAGTGTCACGAATGAGAGGATAATATTGAGTTGATCGACCTGTGATCCTGCTTCATCATCAGACATTGTGTCTGATGCTGATAGCTCTTTCGTGAGCCGCTGAATCTCCTTGGACAGCATCGCACTAATGCCCTTTGGCATCGACTTGACCACTTTGCGGATTTGCTCTCTTGTCCTGCAGCGCGACAGACTTTTGATCACGAGGTTCGCCCATTCCCAAAGACCTTCCGCTTGTGCGCATATTTCTTTGACAACTTCATCTTGGAACTCGGAAGCGTTGCGGAACAGCTTGGACCTTTGAAGGCTATCCACGACAAATGTGTGTAAATCGTCCTTGTTCTGGTGATTGTTGATTTCAATACCATGAACCCATCCAAGTGAGTGTTCGTCGAGTATGCCGCCAATTGAATCTCGGCCTACAAGGACGACTCGAACGCGAAACTTCCTGTCCGTCGCCCTGGTGTATGTGTTCTCGAGGAGACTGAAAAACAACTCCTGTTCATCTGGGTCGGCCTCGTCAATGCCGTCAATGATGAAGCAGACTTCGTCTTCGGACTGCACCACAAAATAATCGAGTAAGAGCTTCTTCCATACCATATGGGTATTGCCGGCATCTCCCTTCAAGCAAAACTCTTCCGCATGAACTGCAAAAGATGGCCTCTGGACAACCACCTGCCAGGCCAAGGTTCGCAAAGCTTTGTTAAACGAGCGCAGATCGACGTCGTTGTTCTTGCAGAAGAAAGAAGCCACAAGGGCAGTTCCAGTTTGCGCAAGATCACCGATAATCTTCGAGGCCAGATATGATTTTCCAACGCCCGGTCCGCCATGGATCCAAAGCAAAGGCTCGTCACCGTTCCACCACTTCCTGATCCTACCCTCAATCCATTTACCCGAATCAGGTATTCGACTCTCGTTGATGGCGGAGTACACCTGTCCCGAGGCAGAGACCGGATCCAGCAAGGCCTTCAAGCGGCTGATTCTCTGTTTCTCATCTTCCAGCTCGCTTTTCTCAAGCAAAGCCGCTGTATTTCTTACTGCCTGGTTTGTCAGGGTCAGAGTATGGGCAGAAACCATCCTATGTTCTTGCCTGGTCAATTCCTCCAACTCGGCCAGGAGTGCTTGAACTGACGTATCTTCGACGAGAATGTTCTTAGCCCATTTCGACAACCGTGCCTTGGATGAGCCACGGCTCAGCAGGGCTTGCGATACGGCACAGACACGCAAAGAGGTAACAAGCACCTTCACGATCACACTCTTCATCCCATCGCTGAGCAGAACGTCGCGGTAAGAATCTAATCTTTGTGCAAAGTACCCCAGTTTTTGAAACAGACCATAGACGCTATCGAAGGCATCGCTGACTCTCCGTGCGGACCGAACGAGAAGAAGCATGGCCCCCATGATTGTCGAAGCGGGTGGGAATGCTGTTGAAACGGCACCAGAAATGATGTCACCAAAGTTTTCAAAGGGAGACAAAACTATTTGCATGGCGTGGAATAGGGGGCGTTTTTTCGATCGGAAATCCATGAAATGCTCCTTCTGTGAATCAAGTTGCCTGGAAAGCTCCGAGGGTGTGCCAATTTTGGGAAAGTCCGGCGATGTCAGGCGAGTTTCGGTCTCTTCACCATAGCTAATACAGGCTGCTTCCCAGAGAGCGGAGAGACTGTCCTCTGATTGTATCGGAAAGCCCATGACTAGATAAACCACGAGCGTATAAGTTTACCGCAGGCAGTTGCTCTTGTAATCAGGCAGCCGGGGATGAATTTGAGGGCTGAAGTCTTGTTGAGCAGAAATCCCTTGACATGCTTACCCCTCGTATTGTTTCTACGTGGCCCCCACTATCTTCTTTTAGGCTTAGCCTTGTCAAAATCGTTAAATTTGTGGCCATTGGTGTACTGTCCGTAGAGACTGCCTTTTTTTTCACATTATCATTTACGCCCTGCTTAGAATCAGAAGGATCGCCAAACGACAGATAGAGCTAGCCGACGTGAGTTGCAGGCAAGTAGTGTGAATGGAGTCCCCTAGAACAAGAATTCATGCGGTGCTATCAGTAGATGATATCTTAGAGGAGAGTCATTTATTCTACTACATAATGGTAAGTAGACTCGGTATTTGAAATCTGGGAAGTTGAAAATGCTGATGGTGTTGGGGGGATGAAGGATGGGATCCCGCAAGATGACCCTTCTTAACGTTAGTCCAGATCAAACCGAGTAGGTGATGGCTACGCCGCAATAGACTTGAATATGCGAGAGAATCCCGCTTTTCAGCCCCATTGCCAAGGAGCCAGTTTCCCCGCTAGCAAGCTTTACGAGGGGACTGTAACCATGCGGGGGCTATTTTTGGGCTGTCCGCCTGGGCTTGGCTGTGATCGCAGCTTGCCAAGTCTCGTATTGGCGACGATCTCATCTTAGATAACCCTTTTTATACAACAATTTTGATGCGCAGCGAGCAAATTGCGACCGAGGATGAAGTCTCCATGGAAAGGCAGTCTTGAATACGAGGCCCAATAAAGCTCGTATAACCCATGCGCACGCGACAGACTAGTCGAAGGTTTCGGCATATATAGCGCTGGTCAAGCACTTTCTGTTCAAAACTTCAAGTCAAGAGTTGCACAGAACGCATCAAACCGACATTATGCGCTACTCTACAGTTCTCCAATTATCAGCCGCTCTCCTCTCTTTTACTATCCCATCTACCCTTGGAGCAGACTCCCGCTACTGCATGAACAAAAATGTCATCAAAGCCAAAGACTTCACCCTCCAAGAATCCGCCGACAGCCCACACCTCGCAGCACTAGCCAAGCACTTTGAAAGCACCGGCAAGAACGTGAGCGTTACCGCCGTTCTGAATTCTGCAAACCGAGACCTCAACAAAGGTCATCCATCAGTCGGAACCGGATCTCCCTCTGAAGCATGGGCATGGAACTCGGGCGACTACAAGACTACCAAGTGGACGCCACAGGGTATCACCAGCTCTGCTGATGCACTCGGTACCGGAAAATGGAACGACCATGAAGCGTGGATTGTGAGCTGGTATCAACAAGGTGACAGTGTACGGGTGAGTTTTGTCGATCGAAAGACACACAAGTACCGCCATGTCCTACTTGTATATCCTTCTGCGGACGATGATTTCAAGTCCATCGCCATCCATGCTGGCGGTATTATGTGGTACGGCAACCTGCTGTATGTTGTCGATACGAACAATGGTATCCGGGCATTTGACTTGGATAATATCTGGGAAGTTGAAACTGCTGATGGGGTTGGAAAGATGAAGGATGGGAAGGGATACTCGGCGGATGGATATCAATACGTCCTTCCTCAAGTTCGGTATGCTACGTCAAGACAACCTTCTGATCCAGGAATCTTCACTAATAAAAGGCTACAGCTGGTACAAATGGACCCCTGGATCAAAATCACCCTTCCGCTTCTCCTGGATCTCCCTTGACCGCAGCGACAGCCCCGACACTCTTCTCGTTGGTGAATTCGTGCGCGATGGCGAAGTCGACACCAACAAGGACCCCGTCCCAATTCGGCTCGTCAAGTACCAGCTAGACTCCACGACTCGCAGGCTTCGCACGAATAGCAATGGGTTGGCAACTGCCAGCTGGGCTCATTGCGTTGATATTCTGAAAATGCAAGGTGGTGTCTCTTACAATGGGAAATTCTATCTCTCGCGAAGCAATGGTCGCGATCCAAAGGCTGGTGATCTGTTCACTTGGGAAGAAGGCAAGACTGCTCAGAAGTTCTCGGGTTGGTTTATGGCTGGTAATGAGGATTTGAGTTATAATCCTGTGCGCAAGGAGTATTACACTGTAACCGAGTATGATGAGGGGAGGTTTATTCTTTCGTACAAGGTTTGATTTTGGCCCGATGATGTCATTAATTGAGATCGTGTCAACTGGTCAAGGGGGTCTTGAATACACATAGACTGAATCGATTTTTATTTATTCTTGGCTGGCAGCAGTGATATCTGTATAGGTCCAGTATATCAACAATAAGGTCTTAACTGCAACTTTGTTGGCCACCGCGCAAATAAACTCCGCGGGGTATTCCCGGGGTTTAGAGAAACCCAACAGTCCTCGGTAGCCGATATGCCCGACCGAATGGAGCCATTTATAATCAACTGCTGATCAAAACAATAGCGCCAAGAAACGGGAAATCGGGACCGAGTTCCATCATTCTTAAAGCAGCTCATCCAGCAATATCACACATCATCAACCATACCTTACATCGAATACAGTAAACATCCCGCCATGGCCCCTAGGATTGGAGTCTTCCCCGCCTCTGGTGGGCTCGGAACAAGCATCGTCAATCACCTGATGAAACTAGTTTCGGCGTCTCAGTTAGTCTTGATTACACGCAACCTGGATAAATGGACCAACTTGGGCCAAGCGGGCGCTACACTGCGAACTGCAGACTATGACCAGCCCTCTACCCTCGATAATGCCTTTGACGGAGTGGACGTTCTGATGCTCATCTCCTACGCATCCTTCGAGATCAAGCACCGAGTGGATGTAAGAGCTCTCACTCCTCAGAATAGAACACTCCTAACAATAACAGGCGCATCAACCAGCAATCCAAGCAGCGATAGGAAGCGGTGTGAAACACATCTTCTACTCATCCCTGGGTTTCGCCGGCGATCTGACCGACCACAGTGTAGCTCATGTTATGGGCGCACACCTCGAAACGGAGCGGTATCTCGCTGAGCTTACGGATAAAATCACTTACACGTCCGTTCGGGAGGGACTCTATACTGAATCATTCCCAATATACACGGCGTGGTTAGACCCCGCGAATCCTCCTGGCGAAATCACTATCCCGCACTCTGGATCTGGACCAGGAGTGGCGTGGGTTAAACGGGACGAACTTGGTGAAGCGACCGCTAAATTGATTGTTGCTTACATCAACCACCCTGACAGCTTCAAGTACTTAAACAAGAAGGTATTGCTCACGGGTCGACGGGAAATTTCCCTTGCGGAGACGGTGGGTATCCTGGGTCGTGCAATTGGAAAGCCTCTTGAGATTAAGGAGATTTCTGTTGACGAGTATGTCGGTCTTCCCCAAATCGGGGACAAGCATACCTACCATGGAGTTAACCTTTCGAGGGAATGGGCTACAGCTTGGGAAGCCATTAAGCAAGGAGAAACCGCCGTGGTGTCACCGGCGATGAAGGAAATCCTTGGACGGGAGCCAGAAAGCTACGAAACTACTATCCAAGCTTTGATTGGATGAGCAAATCATTTCGAAACCCATGAATGTAGTGTTTAGTATTGAAAATATCAATTATTGCATGCTAATGAGCGAAGAGGAGACTTCTAAAGGCTCCGGATAAATAAATACAATGCCAGTTCAACCCGGCTCTGATATGTACATGAACAGTCTCTTAGGAATCATTAGCAGCCCTTGCACTCCTTGACCCAAAGGTTGATGCCACCAAACTCGGCATTGTGGCTACCGTACCAGTAGATCTCCTTGGCAGTCTTGCCATCATCGTAGCCGTCAATAGCGAACCAGGCGTTGCCGTTGTGTGTGAAGTAACCTTCATCATTGACACCGAAGCCAGTGGTGTTAGCACCCTCAGGTACGGCAGCGGAGTGAGGTCGGGTCAGGCCGACAGGCTCAACCTCGTTTTCGACAATATACAGGCTTTGGAAGCCAGTAGGAGTCTGGGACTTGGAGGTGAAAGAAACGGGGCCGTTGTCACCGCCACCACGCACTGTCAAGACGGGAGAGTCAGAAAATGAGATATGCTCATGTGATTGGATAGCAACTTACGGATGAGAATCTCGTGGGTAGTGCTGTTGACACCCACCCAGGCGTTCTCTGTAAATGTTCAGGTCAGAGCTTGTCCTTTGGAAAATGGTCACAGGGGATGCTACTTACCGCCATCAGTGAGAACGGTACGACCACCGTCAGCGACGAGGGTGAAAGCAGCGGGAAGGCTGGCAGCAGCAGCGGCACTGGCAAGGCCGGCGATGGCAGCGATAGAGAACTTCATTTTGAATATGTGATGATAGCTTTGACAGAGGAACCCGAATGATTTTGATTCTGACTTGTTGATGCTCAGGTCCAGTAGGACCCTGATGCTTTTATAGACGTTCTTCTTAGAACTAAAGCGAACCAGAATGGAACTGCGCCACCGGGAACTAAGACATGGTTAAACTAGATCGAGATCACAACCTGGGGATCCTTCCAATTACAGTCGACGTGGCTACTGATTCGGGACTGATCCGGATTATTCGTCGATCATCTGGAGAAATTGAAACATGTCTTGCAACTCCTCATAGCGTAGAAATGTATGTTTGCACATCGTCTTCTTGCGATGACCTTGGCCTGAGATTGTCGAGAGTTTGTACTTTGAAATTCCAAACAACCCCTTTTCTTTCCCTATTTGATATCAAATTCTGTAGTCGACATGGGGACGAATCGATTCTCAGAGGCCCGAAAGCCCATGAAGAATACCGGTTAAATATCAGGGATTGGTCTGTCCCAAATTTGGGCCCGACTTGTTGGGGTAAAGCCACTGTCGATCCCGCCCTACTGGGCGGAGATTGTTCGGGAGATTTGAGGTTTCTCCACGTGCTATTCTTGGGGTGCGGGAAATGAGCGAAATAGATGACGCTGCCGACTGACCATGTATGATGTGATTTCCATTAGGGGTTTTATTGATACTTTTAATAGATTACGTCAGAGAACATTAGCCCTGAAATAGTCATGGCGGTGCCATCTTTCGGGGTCTTGAGTTGGAGTGCAATTGAAAAAAATCAATTGATGAAGTTTTTTACTTTGAGAGTTCTCATATATTTGCAATTCTTTTGACAAAAAATAAGTGCTACAGGGCTGCAAAAATATTATTCTAATCCTGTATTTTGAATGGGTAAAGAATGGTGAACAGGCTACGATTTGCATCGACGTGGGTCAAATCCCAGAAAATCGTCGATCTCTGCATAGTTCAGAGAATATAGGATTATTTGATTTCGAGGTTTGTGAGCACTCGCAGATGGATGCCTCTGCTATTCGCGCCCATTGATATACAAGCCTGTAGGATGACATATATTCTAGTAGACGAATCTCTCTCATGTCGAGAGCGATGACGTCATCGTACAAGCTGTCTCAGAATCATCCCCAACGATGTCCAGCAATGACTGACCATTTTGGTTAAAGTGGGGGGAGTTAACCCCCATCCCGGTGATATGAAATGCCCTGTGTGATGAAACGCCCACCGGTACCTGCACATTGAAGCACCGTCATTCCCAATGCATATGTTGAATGTTACGTTAGAGCAACAGAATCACAAAATTTCAATCTCTTGCCTCCATAGCCCCTTTCAAAAAAATATTAATAATAGTCAAAGCAACGAATTACGGGACGACGAGCAACACTAAAAAATCCGATGTGTGCTACTTTGACGCTAAGATCATCCACAAAAACGTCTGGGATGGACAAGAAAGACGGTGTGACATTCTTTCGCCCATCCCGTTGCCTATATTGGGCTCTGATACTATCACCATAATCAGAGCTGAGATCGAACCAATTTTGGTGGGATTCTTGGTAGCAGAAAGATACATAAAACAAGAATACCGATGAACCGAATACGCGTTAAGGAAAGAATCATGTACCTTGATGTATGAAAGATACTAGCGCCGCTTACCGGAATAGTTGCCATAACCCCGATGCGTAATAGGAGACGCTGCTTTGAGAACTGGACTCTGAGACTCTGGTATTAAATCGTGCTGTGGCGACTTCGCGGCTTCCGCTTTTTATTGGGCATCAGGCATCGCTAACCCTTTATAGCTCTGGGCTGCCCCTTCCCTGAGATATTCGCGATGACCAATAGCTCGTTTGGGGTCGATGAGTATTGGCCACAGATGGTTGACTTATGGGATGGAAATTGGCAATATGCCCCTCCCAGTAGCTACGATCGCTCACCCGCAACCTTATACTCTCCTAGCCCTGTCCTTTATCGTGCCACGGATCAGCCTTAGTCGGATGGATCAACTCAATTTACTCCATTGTCGAATGGGAAGAGCGTCTTCGAGACTAGTCTTAGTTGGAATTATGGCAAGGAGAAATGTTTTTCCTTGCCGTTAGCGTTAAGAAATACACGACCGGTGTTCTGCTTTTTGAGGATCATCCACCGAAACCCGAGTCGCGTTCTCCCCTTCCGTAGGATGCGATGAGGAGCTCAATAGTTTATATCTTCTTCCCCCAAAGTTGGACGAACCCGGCCTAGCCGTTACTCTTCTACTGAATCGTGGTCTGGAGTTGCCTTTAAGAACCAGTGACTGTATATCCGCTTTTGATTACCCCGCAGAGCTTCAGCATGGCATCGCACTAGAACTCTGGTAGCGATGCACGCGAAAGATATACCTTAAGACTGGGCTCTTGGGCGATCAGTGTACTACTGTAATTGGCCGAGGCCCTGATGCTATTACTAACTTATAGGGGGAGTGATTGTTGTATTCTCGGCGTAGTGCCTGCATTTTTGTTGTTCGAACAGCTCAACAGCAACGAAGCTTGATAGCTGGCCTGGCAGGGGAGCCAGGTGAAATACTCGCACGCTATCTTTCACATTGGAATGATTCAGTCTTCCGACCAAAATGAATCGTTATTCGCCTCGACCTACTCCGTGGCCATTGGAATAACTCGGAAGGCATATGACCTCATGCGAAATCCCCGTCGTCCTGCTCTGAAAGAGGTGGACCAGAAACAACCGCTCAGATGACCGACCGCCCGAGTTGTCGCCATACCCTTGAAAACGTAACTAATCGGTCTCGGTCTGGATTCGAAATGTGGTTTATATTCCTTGTCTCCCTGGACCCCGTTATTTCGCTCCAATGATATCCTCTATCATCTGTGGCAAGGCTCCATATTCGGGTAGCAGGGTAGTATCATGGTCAGTCTCGGGAAGCACCTCACTATCGTATACCAGGACAGTACTATCAGCGCCGCTCCCAAGCTCTTCCTGTAAAAACTTCTTAAAGCATGTATCGAAATAAGCAGCTCCTTTCTTTCCGATCAATAAATCCGACTCGGCCCAGAACACCTTTACAGCGAGCCGTTGCTGCGGAGGAGAGATACTAGGAGCACTAGAGTCCGATGGTTCTTGAGTGCTGGGTGGATGGCTGGCGAAATATTCTCTCAACTTTGCCTCGAGTTTTGCTGGATACTCTCCGTAGCTCTCGCAGGCACCCCAAGGCCCAGCCGCCTTTTTCTTCAGCAACAGTAGACACTCGTCGTTCGCACCGCTCGTGTCCTCGCTGAAAAGCAATTTCATGATTACGTCGGACTGTGCCTTAGCTTCGGCAGCCGACACGCCGCGGAATTCACGGCACAAGTCATTCTTTGCGCCAGAGGCTGTGGATGGCCCAGAAAAAAGACCACTTGAGAATTGTACGGTTGGCACGACATTAGAGGTTATGAAGCGAACAAGGCCGTCGAAACCGCCAATAAGCTTGGAAGGCATATATGAGGAGAGAGATAAGTAACTGATACCACTGTACTTGGGGCTCACCCACGGCGTGAAAAGGTAGAGCCTGGGATTGGTCGGAGACAAGATCTCCGGCATGGAGTAGACCGTGTTTAGTGCGTAGATAACGCCGCAACTATGTGCGCCAACCGCGACGTGCTGGGCGCCGAGAATGCGCATCAGCGCCGGCACGGTTTCGAGCCAAACTGACAGTCGCTGTAACGGTTTTACGGGCGTTGATCCACCCATTCCTGGGCTATACCGCGACAGAAAAGAAAAATAACGCGTCAGCCTTGCACATGATAAGCGCGGCTGAACTCACCTACCGGTCTGCGACAACAAATCTCACACCCTTTTTCTCGCTGAGATAGTCTGCCATCGTGGCTAAGTATCTTCCACCGTACAAGCCGCCGATAAACAGTATCGTCGGCGCGGACTCACTATCCTTGCCGGCGACGGCATAGGTCACGGTGAGTTCGCCATGGTCGTCGGTCGCTGGTAGTGTAAACCGGCGGTTGAACTTCTCACTTGCGATGAAGTCTCTAGAACGGGCTTGTAACTGCTCTGTAGTGTATTCGGGATCTGCTGCTGGCGTTGGTTCAGGCGCTGCTACAGGCTGGTCTGGGATGGCAGCGGACATAATCTCATCGATTGGGATGTTTTGGATCCGAAGGTGGGGGTGGCTGGCGGGGAAACAGCGCGGCGTTAAAAGCGACAGCCTAGATACAGCATGCAATCTATCGGCGGCGTTTGCGAGAGTGTTTATGAGAAGAAATCACGCCGAGCTTGGATTAACGAAACTTGAGATAGGAAAATGAGAGCTAGCTTGCTGATGCCTGGTATTCCGCGCTAACCTGATCCATAAACTCATCTAAGTCACGTTACTACTGGTGCCGACAGAAGCGGCTGACGTCGGATCAAACCGACATTTTCCTTCGGAAAACGTGTTCATCAATTAGAACTAATTTAAGCAAAATTTTTCGGAAAAAGGAAAGCCATGTAAAGCATATATGGGGCAATGGCGTGCGGGGTTGTGGAAAGCATAAGCCCCATGCCAAAGATTATTGTATCTGCCATGCCTTGCTAGGTCGATCTCGGACATAGATATCCCGCCATATTTAGGCTAAATCAGCGATGAGAATCCAGCTTAGTCCTTCTTAGTTGTCTAATCTATGGCCCTTAAACTATATGAAATAGTCAAGTAATATGACAATTCGCAAACAAAAACTAACAAAAACTACCAGTGCCGGGCAATGACTCGAATCAGCAAAGAAATGACGACGCATCAATACAGCAATCCCGTTCTTCCAGGGTTCTACCCTGATCCGTCCTGCATCCTAGTTGATGGAACCTTTTACATGCTGCACTCGAGCTTTCACTTCTTTCCCGGGTTACCCATCCACAAGTCGAAAGATCTAATCAATTGGGAGCATATCGGTATGTACCTACTTGTGCAAGAGCAGAGTGAAAAGCTAACAGAGATTCAGGGAACTTTATCTGCCGACCGGAGCAAATCCGACTCTGCTGGGCCACCACAAAGATCAACAATGCAGCTAAAAACGAAGTATTCACCGGAGGCCTATATGCACCCACTATTGGACATGACAACGGCCGCTTCTACATAGTGTGTACATTCTTGAAGGGAACAATCAACATGCCGCCTGATCTGGAAGATCCTACCTCATTCAGTGACCCTGTCTACTTCGACTTCCACGGGATCGATCCCAGTCTGTTCTTCGACGAGGATTCTCCACGCCAATGCCATTCAACTTCAATGAGAATGAACTGATTGAAAGACAAGATCTAATGGGATGTTCTGTTGAAGAACACCCGACATGACAACGCTTGCTTTACGCTGTAGCCCAAGATACATACCAAAACAAGGTATTCGACAGATTTTCACTCCTCCTCTTCAGTTGTTGCCTCATCGTCGACAAGGTTAGAGAATGGCCTGTACCCTTCTTCGTTGATCTCGGCGAGAATAGACGGCGAAGTCTTTTTGCGCCCCAGTCCATACAGCTCCTGGAAGCTCATAATCAAAGGGTGCCATTTGTCGGGATCGATCCGGTTTGCATGTCCTGCCATACGGATGCTTTCATGAACGTGTGTTCGGAGGACCTTAACCTCCAATGCGATAAACCCTTTCATCTCTGCATCTTGCATCATTTCATACACTCCTTTCAATTCAGCCTCCATCTGAGCGGGGCACTCAGCAATTCGGGGAGGGCCGAATCAGATCGGGATCCGCCGACGTCAAGCCTGCATGTCCAAATTTGTCTGGCACATACTCGTAACCATTCATGCGTTTGAAGTATAGGTATCCGGTTCCCTTGGCTGCGGTCAACATCTCCTTCGACCCAGTTGTTTTTGCTAGAGCATTTACTGCTCTTATCATGTTGTCTGATGCAAGATTCAAAACACATTGTTTTGTTCGAATCAAATTGATCGTGGTTTGCGATATGGCCCCTAGGCCTGATATGCATCGATTTCCAAGCCACCATGCAGATGACATTGGCGCAATGTTGGATGTTCCATCTTCATTCTCCGTCGTTATTAACACAACCGGTGTACCCCAGTAAAAGATTGGTGGGGAAATCGTCTGAGATGCCTCGATTTGTATTGGTGCCATGGTGCCCTTGGATGGTGGATGGGAACCTAAGAACGTCGCAAATACTTGTCTATCGCAAATTCAAGTACACCAGCTTTTTACATCCTTACTTATATCCCAACCTGCTTACCTGTATAGCATTAGGTAACCTCCTTTCACTGTAGTACCTTGCTATTCAAGTGACCAATGATCGTAGTATATTACTAGTTTTTTTCTTGGCCTTTCTAACTCGGCCTTGGGTTGCCCGGATGCAGCAGACATGGCGAACCGTCGTATTGTAATGCTTGTTATGATTGGCCAGTTTAAACGCGAGGGCATTTCATGTCACCGGGGTGGGGGTTAGCAATGGGAGAGGGACCCACCTCGCTGAGCCGGATATACCGGTGGTCTGAAAGGTGGCGAGCGTACCATCCGAAATGTTATTAACATGAACAAACATGAACATCTTAAGTTATCGGAGCCACGCTAAATAATTCAATATTCTGGTCATTCGTACTCTCAAAAATCTGAGAGGTCTTATTCTCCAGTAGCCCAGGCAGAAATCGGAATAAAAAAGGACAGACGAGTTTGAGACAGGTCCACAGGAGTGCATACGGAGACACGATGGCGGTACTGGTTGAGTAAAATATCATAATGAGAGCTCACATTCGTCAATACAGAATTGCATAATTAAGGTTGAAATAAGAAGGATCGACCGGGTTGATTGCTGGAGTAAATTGCCATACAATCGAAGGCTCAAGAGACCCCCCACTCGGCATTTAACAATGCGCAAAGGAACAGCAAGCTCTGGGATGATTAACGCTGTAGATAGGAAGGAATTGGCATCAACTGAGCTCTGTACAATAATTCGCTGAAGTAGTTGGGTATGCTAACCCACTGTATGAGTTATATATCTTGGACGCCTGCAGGTGTCGGGTTTATGTGTCGGCTCAAATACATCACGGGCGGTTCTATTCCATGGAATCCAGGTTATATATCTAAGGTTGAATAATGTCGGAACTTTCCATCTCATCATTTACTGCGGTCGTAATTCTCCTTCAATAAGGAGATTAGATCAAGCATGCGGGCTTCTTGACCCGCTAAGTCTCGGCCCGTGGTCTCTACAGCGAGAGGGATCGAGATCTAATACAGTTTATGCACAAACTTCGTGATCTGGATTACATCAGGAGAATTATGCTTCACACTTTCGAAAAAAAATAGAGTTTGTGCAATAAGCTCCACATGTTCTGATTATCTCTCACGTGCCTAATGCGGGAATAACGTTAATATGTGAGTTTCGGGTCTCAGCAGCCTTAAGCCATAAATCATTATGGACACAGAAGCCCGGTGTCTATGATAAGAGGCAAGTAGCGAGCAATTTTGAAACCGAACGGTTCAAAGACCATTTTTTTACCCCGCGCCAATTACTAGGATATCGTCGCACTTGTGACAGGACAACCTGCCGAGCCCCTTTTGCACACAACAGCCGAATTAGCTAGCGATCCAATACAAGTACCATCGCTGGACTATCGCATGGAAACCGAATCTGATGGGATATGATTTTGCGGGGATTCGGTGAAGTCCGAGCCCATAGGTCCCAACCTTAACATCAATCTCGGTCCGCTTAATTTCAGATTAGCTTTGCACTAGCCATGCGGCTCTGACTTCCATGCACACACAGAGGTACAATCCCAAGTGTGAAAGAGTCTTGAATATTTCGTATTCGAAATCAAGTCCCCCAACCCAGAGTTGGCAAACAATTTGTATGGCTCGCCGCCAAGAGTTGAAACGCGTTTGGTGAAACGCGTTTGGTGCCCTTGACGGAACCTAGTTGTCGAAACTCCGGGCTTTGATGTATCACCTCGCTGAATTGTACTTCTGGGCGAAAAGAATGAGCCATGCTCGGTTTTAAGGACGTCGATTTGGTTTGGCAGAGCTGGATCATGAGAAATGGAGTAAGTAATTACTCGCACAAAATCACTGCTATGACCGGGGCTATAAGCCAGATAGAACTGGTTTTCTGGCGCATTGACTCTTTGGCACGGTCCTTAGGGATCCACGACCGCGGAGTTCCTTAGCAGCGAGATGTGAGATAGTTGTTGGATAAGAGTAGCACGATCTCGAATCCATGAGGTTTGCATTATGCTCGGCATGCAGGCAGGATGGATGACTTTGCACTCGATAACTAGAAATTCATTATTCTCGTCAGTTGCAAGTTCTTTGAAAGGAGAACTTCATATTTCGAAGGCCTGTCATGATCCAATCACGCTCGTCTCCTCCAATATTGGACTGCATGTTGTCCTATGCCTCAATCCGATCACCAAAAACCCGACCTCATATCATGACTTACCTCCTTCTTAACCGAGTATCGACTCGTCCTGAAGAAATGCACCCGCTCAGGGCGTTCACAACCCTGACATAATAGCGGTAATAAATTCATCCCCCCATAAACCACCTTACAGCGGTAATGATTTTATCCCCCCATAAACCACCCTCGATAGCCGCATCGCAGTAGCTGCCGATGCAGATCCCGCCACGGGAGCCATAATCCGGGGAAAACTGCCTTACGTCGGCAGTGCGATCGATTCTCGATCCGGTGGGCGGGGGACCCATGTGACGATTCACGAGAGGGCGATGATAGCTCTCCCCACTCGGACTGACAGCTTGCCGCGTGGACTGACCCTGGGGAGCAAACACTAGACAGGTTTGAGCAAGAATTCGTATTATTCCGGAAGCTGAAACGGGAGTGGGATCCTTTGGGCCACGGCCTTACTGAAAGGGAGTTAGGGCAACGGTCAGCTCGCAGAGTGGACTCTATTAGTTTGACGGCAGTGATCCACCCGGGTCGGTGCCGGGGCCGGCTGGTTAGGGCGGCTTGGGTTTGGCTTTGGCGAGGGTGATCGTAGATCTGGATTGCTGGAAACAAGACATCTAGAACGAGATATTCAGTGTATAAATTTGTAATTGCGAATGATAGAAGACGTTTCTGTTGCGAAAATTTATCGTGTTAAATCGAATTGAACACGTCAGACCAAAGAACCCCAAATTCATTCATCAGAATCCCAATCTTACTATCGAGGAAACCAGATCGCGACACAAATCCATCACGTCACAACAATAAAGCCCGCCAGAAGACTTCCTCATTCTCTGTCCCGATAATGACCTAAACCGTACACCGAGCAAGTCTCTTTGAAACTCCCATCCCGAAATCACTTCGTGGCATAAAACCAGGTAGTGTCACGAGGACACCAACACAAAGACACGAAAAATCCCCTCGGTAGACCACGGGCTCAAAGGTCCTTCCTAAAGCGCCAACATAAACAGGAAACAGCACATCCGGATCACCCCACGACCCAAAGTGGCAACGGTGGGCAATGGGAATATAGTTCAAAACCCAGGGGCGCGCACCAGGGCTGGGTCAGCGGGAATTACGGGCGTTGCTAGTGGTCCGCCAGAGGAGGTCCACTGCGGACGGGGGGTCGCGCTAGGATACGCCTAATCGGGTGGGGGGAGATAGTGGTGTTTACCCTTGAGATGGAACTTGACACGAGGATGCTACCGAGTGTGTAAAAACCGTGTACAGTACATTGTTTGGTGGAGGCTAGACGGAGAGAATTGCCTCCACTTAATTCCACTGCACGAGACGGACTCGGAGTTGGGTCCGCAGCTACTTGGTCCCGCGAATGCTGGTCTAGATGTATGTCGCAGCAGGAGGGGTATGTTGGAGAGGCGGGACGGGAGGACTTGCAGGTTGGGCGGCGATATCTGGATCAAAATATTGGATACATGTTTGCTATGAATGTTAGTCGGGGATTTCCGAATTGGTACGGATAAATGGAACATTTCTATTCGTACCAGCTCTCTCGTACGAATGAATGGTATATCTTTGTTGGATCATCCTTCTCGCGCGAATAACTGATCTCGCCACGGTTCACGTATCCAGTCTTGGGTCCGGATCCCGAGGCAGGCTGACACCTGACAAGCCACTACATTACTAACCACGACTACGATTTGGTAGGTCAATTCCATGACGATAGATTGAAGAAACTTAAGCGACGTTGCGTTCCACGCGAGGCTTATCCGAATTAATGATGAGAGTGGCTTGTCTGCAATAAGGATGGCTTTTCTGCAATAACGGATTATCGGTCGGATCCGCTATCAGGTATGGACTTGCATTTCTGCACTCGAACATACCCCTGTCGAGTAGTAGTCGAGTCCAGACTTATCTGCAAGGAGAATCTTGCCTTGGTAGTAGTACGTAGTATCCCGCATGGAGTATGTACCATGTCAACTGCGTGAGGGAAGCTTGTATGAATATCCATTTCCATACCTAGCTACTACTGCCAAAATACCTTACATGATTGATCCCGGGCAACTGCAGAAAAGCCTGTGATAATATGTAACGAGCATGGCTGTCTACGTGGGTATGCATGTGTCATACCTGACCTGACAGGTTGAGGTGCAGCGGATCGCCCGCGCGACGGGATGCAGGGTTACGCGAGTCGGTCGCCATTAGTACCGCGTATAGAAGTAGTGATGGCCAGGAAATGACTTTTTCCGGCCAGGGGATGAAACAAACGAGTCAATGAGGAAGTGGTGATTGGTAAAAACGCGACAGAATAATTCTTCGCCGGTTGTGTACCTAGTAATGCTATGAAAAATGTGAACGGTGCGTGCAATAGTACAATAGTACAATCGTCCAGGCTCGTGCAAGAGCCGTCGGGCCCGAGACTCGGCCGGAGAAAGGCTTGGCATTGGCCAATCCAGTGGTTCTCGCGGGTTCCCGGCCCCACTTCCGCTGCCACTTTCGTGCTCCCCGTTTTAACACTACGGTAAGTGATCACTTTGGGTTCTTTCGGTTACTCTGTTCTCATACTCAGGACGTACGCCATCCACTCCTACTTTCAACGGTTTCATGACCACGGGACCACGGAGGAACACACTCGGAATTCCTCACGGCTGATCGACCCCCTCGGAGCCGGCCGTGGACCTTGTCAACGTGCTCTCCCAGGTGGCTAAGGTGATCTCGGCTCGACTGCACCGAGCGAATCGCATTCTCCAAAGGACATCTCGAGCTTTGAGCTTACCGGGAACCTACGCCATTGACGGCTGGAGAACAGGGTCTTTCTACCCATCTACAGTACTAACCGAGTGGATCTTATTTTCCCTCCATCATCTATCAATTATCAATTATTGATTTATTAATTTTTTTTTTACCAATCGGGTCTATTCTTTCACTCGACTCCCGAAAAACCTGACTTCACAAGTCAATTCGGCTGGTAGACTCGGTCCATCGAGAGGAGTGAGTCGTCATCCCGGTCCGGCCCCCTGGTCCGTCGAATTTTCTTTGTTTTTGGTCCCCTGCCCGTTTTTTTTGACGGGCGTTTTCTCGATCGAATATCGGGGACCATTATGCCCATTATATAACGGCACGGACACGGCCGATCTTTTTGATTATTTCCATGGTTCATCATTGATCATCATTGAATACTTTCATCGTCTTTCCATTCTCGCGATATATAATTGCTCCTCCCCAGCTTCCGCCACCCAATCGTCTACTATCCTAACCAACGGCAACCACCACCGATTACTTTACGTGACAAGCGACATCTACCCAGACCGTCCCAGGCTCGTGCACCGATATTGATATCCTCGTTCTTGAAGCCCGCCATTTACCATCCTGCCAATCTCTTCCGTGCATGATCGCAACCTCTACTCAATCCGGTCCAACCATGGCATTCAATCGTACCGCTCTATCCAATTTATCTCTCGAAGACGAGAGATATCTCAACCAACAACTCAGTCCACAGTCACGCCCCATGGAGTTGTTCCCCACGACCAAGGCATCCGACCCGTTGCCGGGCAATTGGTCCTACGACAGCGCTATTGACCTGTTTTCCCTAAACCCCGCCGACATGGACCCGGTCTCCTTCGACTTTGCCGATAGCCTGACCAGTGCTGACTCGAGGGATCTCTTCATGGATCCCTTCGGGACCCCAACTGCCATCGGTGGATTCAGTATGCCCACAGCTGACGACACGATCTCGCTCTCTTCCGTATGAGACACCCTACCACTCGTTAGCCCGAGTTCCCGTAAATCAACCAAAACTGACAACCCATGCCACAGGATCTCGATAGCGACGATCAATCCTGGTCCATGAGTGCCCGCCCCTCTATCGATATGACCATGACGTCCCCAACGACCACCTCCAACAAACCAATCACCCGCGCCTCCCTCACAAATTCATCCTCCAACAGCAACACCAGGACATCAACATCAACATCAACTCGCTGGTCCTCCAGCCCCGAAATCAAACCACAAGAATACAAAGCCTCCCACATCGACAAACGCCGCAAGACTCGCTCCCTCTCCGACGAATCCACCACCTCCTCCTCCGGCCAAGCCGCAGCTTCAGCCCCGCAAGACCCCCAAGGCCGCAACGCTGCCAAACGTGCTGCTCACAACATCATCGAGAAGCGCTACCGCACAAACATGAATGCCAAATTCCTAGCTCTGGAGAAAGCCATCTCCCCAGCCGGCGTGCAAAAGTCCTGCCGTGCAGGCGCGGGGTCACTTAAAAAGTCGGAGATCCTGAGTAATGCGTTGGCGTATATCGAGCGCATTCAGCAGGAGAATCTGTCCGTGCAGAAGGAGTTGGCTATGTTAAAACAAGGGATCGTCCCGGGAGGGATGTGGAGGTCTTCCAAACACGGTCGCTCGTGAGGCTGACTTTGTTTCTTTTCTTGACTTGCTCGTCGTGCACCCCGTCCTCGATTCTCCATTTTTGGTCTGGTCGCTAGTGTTCTTTCGTTCTATGTTCGTTGCCTCATGACCGCGACGTGCGATATTTCAACTAGAGGATCCCCGGAATTCCCGCCGGCGGGCGGAGTTTTTTATTTCTGGGTTGGGCTCGTTCAGGTCATGAAGACGGTTTTGTGTTGGTTTCTTCTTGGTTCGGTCAGGCGTTCGGAGAGGAAATCGGGCCTCGGTGTTTTGGTTCCATCTTGATTGCGTTTTCATTCTGCATTGGTCGTTCGGCCACTCTCCCATCATCATCATCATCATCATCATGATTTTGTCTTATGTTCGGGTCCTGGTGACAAAAAAACAAAAGCGTGCTTGTATTTGTGCATTGGCCCTGCCTTTCTGTGTTCGAGATTCCCCTGCTTCATTTTCAGTCGGTGTCTCCGATAGTGGTTCAAGCATTAATTCAATTACCAAGACTCTCATGATTCATACCTTGTGCATATTCTTTGCTCTTGTATATTGACGTCCGGTAGAGGATCCGGGCGAAGGCGGCTGTGGTAGTGTTGACTGCCGTGTTCACAGTGGAAGAAAGCAAGTACGACGGCATGATACTGATGAGGTGAGTGGAGATCTCGTCCGAGCCAAGCGAGTGAGTCCACTCGATTGAGGTGTTTCGAGCTGATTGTTGCAAAAGTTTTCCCGGACTTCCCGATTCGGTAATGGTTGCGCCGGGCAGCCTGGGGCGGATTGGACTTATAAGAGTGGTGGCAAGTCGCTTTAACAAGCAATTTCTGCTCATTCTGCACTGACAAGATATCCATGGGGCATCAGATGGATTCTTTCTCGTGATAGATCCCTGTTATCCATGAGATTCGAATCCTGGAACCGAGCTCGTCATCGCCTCTTTGCGCTCCTCAAACTCACCATCTGGTCAAACCACACCAACACACTCGAACGGCCCACGAAGCAGTGGCAAGAAAACCCTCCCAAGCAACAGAAATTCTCCAAGTCTTATGCTGTGCCACATCGCCAGTCACACAAAGTCTACTCCCAAGCACAACGGGTGTGCAACAACATCAGACAAAAACAAGGCAGCTCTACAAAAGCAACCTCCCACGACAGAAACCGGCCACCCCTTTTCCGCAAGGTCCACGGCGCAATCCGCATATCGCCTCCGGAGAAAGCCATGAATTAGTCACACCCAACCTCGCAAGCATTTCGATTGCTAATATCACGGGTCGATAGACGTGTCCGACGAGAAAGTCAGCCATCCAGCGAGCGCCACATCCCGGAACGCAGAATTCCCGCATCGAGTGACGATTCCGTAATCCCCTCCCCGAAAAGAACACCGCAATCGTTATTCATGGCGGTTACTCGTGATATTCCGGAGCTTGAAACAAGGTCTCCCCAATAGACGCTGCTAGTCTGGGGCTTAGGCCGCCGGTGCGGGTATCGGACTCGGTCGGTCAATGAGAGGCTGATTGTGGTTGTACATGCCTAAACGGGTTTGGCAGAGCTGTGAGGGTACCTGATCATCGCCGGGAGAACGAAAAAGCCTCTAGATTGTTCGCAATGAAGAAATACCGGAACTCATCGGGAGATATCGTGAAGATGAGAAGGATGACACTCACATCCTAGAGACGATCAACCTCAAGTGTCGTGTCCACCGTGAATGAAATCCCTCACCTTCGACCCCTCACCCCGCATTCCGACCCCCCCCCTCATCGATCGCGAGTCTATCTCAACTTCATCGAGAGACAACCACCCGTGTGAACCCATTGAGAAGTTGCCCGAAAAAGGAAAGAGGAGGAGATTCCTCAAGGCCGAGCGGCGATAAAGACCAATGACAACACCCGAATGGGGTTCGGTACTTCCCGGCACTGACAGTCCGGATCGACCAGCTACAGAACCACCGCGAGCACGGGATATTGTTTGCGCGACAGATTCTAACTATGCAAATGAATTGCAGGGCGAATATGTGAGAGTAATCTGGGAATTTGTAGGTGCTGTTCCCGTTTCCAGCTTTGCTTGACCCTCGCTATATTGCACCCATCGCCGACCCACCACCTATATTCGGGTTGTCATTGGGATTCTTAGGTATCTCTTCTCTTCGTAGGACGGTGTTTGCTGATTGGATCCGCTTCAATTCTCCATACGAGTCGTTTAATTTCCAGGTGGGCATGGTTCTACGCGGACCGGGCTCTTGGAGAATGCACACTACAAAACTGGAAGAGACACGAATGAAGCAAATACCTGTGTGTTCCAGATGAATGCAGATTAGCATGGGGGAAGAAAAGGTAGCTTCGACTATCACAATGAGCAAGCTCTTCAGAATTGGGCGTCACTCTGCGCTCCACGATGCAGTTGAACGGCAAAGCCTTTCTAGAGGGATGCCATGGGGAGAAAACGTTCAGCTGGTGGTAAACAGGGTCTGAAGGAGGTTGAGGGATACCCGATGGCTTTAATGATGTTATTACCGGTGCTCCAGCTTGGTGGACTTCTCATCAACAGCTATGGACTGTTTTGACAGCCGTATATGATCCCCCAGGAACGGCAGACCATGAGTAGTTGTCCGTTGTTGCTGCTGATATACCAAAGCAGTGTGAAGGGCGGCAAAATGATCCATTGTCACGGTTACTCCATCCAAGCATCGAGCATCGTAAAAGGATCTTCATTCTACTTCTTCAACCACGTTGCCTAGATCCTCGAGCCTTAGACCGTACCACTGACTATTCCTACCGCGTCTTCCCGATTCTGGGTATGTAGCATAGCACTGCATTGCTAGAGACGAATAGCGATATCAGAACCAAAAATCCCAAATCTATTGCTTGTCATATTCCGCACTGTATTTTCTTTGCCATATCGCTGTATTTGCACTCTATCACACGAGACAATAATGAGAAGCCACAAGGGATCTTTAGATTTAGATGTTTTTGCATGCATTTTTGGCGTTGTTTGGGTCGTGAGTGGAAAGCTAGAGCAGTATATCTGGAGTCAAGCAGCAACAGAAACAGAAACAGATGATTGACGCTCTTGTTGCCTCCACAGGCTAAAGACCAACGATTTAGCTGGGTGCAGAATAAGGGGCAGTAATACCGTCATTCTTTACTCTCGATGATTTCACCACTCCCCAGATTCCATGTGTAATAATTAACATCACCTGCAGCCAAGCTCATGTTGGTCCGTCCGCCACGTTCAATATTCATTCGAGAAAGCCACCTTATCCCACATGGGGCTTCCCTTGAACCCCGAAGTGGATCCTCCAAGTCTGGGTCTCCCCAGATATCTCGGCAACCAGGGAGTCAATACGGCGGCCTGACTGGTCGAAAATTCCCATCGTTTCGTCTTTCCCCGTCTTCTTGGCTGCGCAATGTTCCCCCCCGGAAAACATTTCGTCACGCGATCGGGCCTTCGCGATTCGAGCTAGGCGTTTGGCGTCTCCGGTAGAGTTCAACTGCGCCTAGCGATTGAGTTTATGATCCTTGTACATACTCTATATGGACGTTGGACTGTGATCCGGCATCCGTATTTTTGGACTCCACTGATGCTGGAGACTATCAGAAGAAATGAATATTTGACACACTACGTGATAGGCATGTTATCTGTTGCGTACTTCTCGTTGTCCACAGCGTCACACACAGGGAAGCGGACTTTTGGCCGCTGCGGCGATAACGGGGCTTATCGATCCGCATGGACTTGCTGTTTTGGGTTGCCCTTGCCACTGACTGACCCAGCGATGTTTGCATGGCTGAAGGGCGGATGCAGGGTTTTGGAGGCGCCGAGAAGAATTCTAATGGAGTTATAGGGCAAGGATATATATGGTTGTACGTGATAGATACAATTAGAGTGTCACTTGAGATCGGGTAGCTGCATAGGATGTATATTGGGCCGCGTGGTCTTCCCATAGTTACTACTGAGGGAAATCGCCGAAAAGTTACAACCACGATACATAAAACATAGTATACATGGCCACTTCAGCTCCAAATTGCACTGATATCTTCAAAGGCCTCCGTGTCAGATTCTCTATCTAAGATCATTACTTACGGTCTACTCCAACGACATGCCTATCGCCCTGCTTATCATAGTGGGTCGCCTCCTTAGATCGAAGACTGGGTCCCCAGCCCACTCAAGGAGGTCCTGCCGAGAGCGGAACGTAACCCCCCGCAAAAAAAAATTCCAGTCGACACGCGACAAGCATTTTCATTACCAACAGTTCTCAAGGTCATGACCAATCTCTGCTAATTCGACTATTGCCCCCGTGAATTGTTGTCAGAGGGAGCCTTCTCATTGGCCCGTCCCTCCCCAGCTTTATCTTGCGCCGCCCCCGTATTTTCCCTGGGGCAAACCCAGTGACAGATACCGAGACCCGGGCTGGCCTGCGCTTCGACCAGCCTTCTTTCCCAACTTTTTCCAGTGGAAGCTGCTCTTGGTGGAGGAAAGATTGGTGGCTTGGAGAGACGCCTAGCAGTAAAAAGAGGGGGTCGATCAATTCGCACCCGCCGTGTGGCCCAGCTATATAGAAACGCTGCCTAGTCCCCCAACCCCATCTCTCCCTCCTTTGTCTCCCTTCAACTTGCAGGCAGAAAATGGGCGCGCGTTCTACTGTCTTGCCCCGTGAATCGACCTCTATTACCTGCGGCTGAAGGACCTGTCACCAAGTTATGGACGTGGAATCACACTCGCCCCTTAAGGTGCCGCTCGAAAATGATCAGGATGTGCAAGATGCTACCGACCTGGCAGGCATGGGCCATGCCCAGGCGTTGACCCGAAAATTCAGTATCTGGAGCATGCTTGCATTGGCCTTTTGTGTTCTAGGTATGTTGTTGAAGAGTTCTTGTCGCGTCGATCGAGTGTGCGAATGGAAACTGGACACGACTACCGAACACTTGACTAACCAAATCGTTCCCCTTGACAGGAACCTACTCTACTTTTGCCCAAGATCTCAGTAGTGGTCTTACCAATGGCGGTCCCATTACTATTCTCTGGGGCCTGGTGCTGGTCACCGGCTGTAATTTATGTGTGGCGCTCTCCCTGGGTGAATTGACCAGCAGCATGCCCACGGCTCTCGGCCAGGCATACTGGGTATACCGGCTTTGGACCACGCCGCTTGGCCGTTTCGTTTCGTATATGTGTGCATGGATTAACACCTTTGGATGGTGGACCCTCACCGCGTCGCAGGTCGCCTTCATGACGGAGTTCATGCTGGGCATGAAAACCATGTTCAACCCCGACTGGACCGGCGGCAGCCAGGGATGGCTCAACTTTGTGGTCTTCATTGGTGTCGTCTTCCTGCTGACTGTGATCAATGTCGTCAGCTGTCGTCGCGAGCAAATCCTCCCGTGGATCAACAACTTCGTCGGTGTTTGGTTCGCCGGCCTGTTCGTGGTCATGTCCCTAGTGATGCTGATCTGCGTCGGCGTCAAGAGCGACCTATCCTTCCAATCAGGCAAATTCGTGTTCGGTACATGGATTAACCAGACCGGCTGGTCCGACGGTGTCACCTGGTTCACCGGTCTTGTCCAGGCTGCCTACGGTTTGACCGCATTCGACTCGGTTATCCACATGGTCGAGGAAATCCCCAACCCACGCCGCAACGCGCCCCGCGTTATCTGGATGGCAGTTCTCTTCGGCGCTATCACCGGTTTCATCTTCATGGTGGTCTGTCTCTTCTGCATCCAGAATGTCGACAACGTCACCAACGCCGACCTGCCCTTCATGGAACTGATGCTCGAGACCGTCGGCCTGAAGGGCGGCACTGTCCTCCTCGCCTTTTTCATCTTCAACGGCGTGGGCCAGAGTATCGGTATCCTCACCACCGCCTCTCGTCTGACCTGGGGCTTTGCCCGTGATGGCGGTCTCCCATTCAGCCGCTACTTCAGCCACGTCGACCCCGTGTGGCAAGTCCCCGCCCGAGCACTCTGGGGCCAGGGCGTGATCGTCGCCATCGTCGGCATCCTTTACCTCTTCGCCAACACCGTCCTCGAGGCCATTCTATCCGTCAGCACCATCGCACTCACCATCTCCTACGCCATGCCCATCCTGGCCCTCCTCGTCGTCGGTCGCGACAAGCTGCCCGATGGAGGCTCCGCCGGTCTCGGTCGCTGGGGCCCGTGGCTCAACTGGATCAGTATCGTCTACTGCATCATCACTACCGTCTTCTTCTTGTTCCCCGGTGAGCCCAACCCGGCTCCCAGCGACATGAACTACGCTATTGCCGTGTTTGGTGTTATGTTGGTGATTGCCGTTGCGTTCTGGTTTATCCAGGGAAGCCGGACGTACCTCCAAACCGATGATGCTGTTGCGCAGATGTTCTATGCGCAGCACTTGGAGAACGCCGAGTCTGCTGCTGAGCCTCGCTCGGATGCGGATTCGAAATAGAGTTGCGACTTTGTTTGCACGGGGTTAAGTAGACGGTCGGTCTGGGTAGATTGGGCGGTGTCTATGGCTTGCGCTAGACTCGGTGGCGTGTTGCTCGTTTGTATATAACAGAATGGTGGTTGATATTGTATCACCAACCAGCATCGTTTATTTGAATATAAGAAGTATATCAGGACTCAGAATTTCAAGATATACCTCCTCGACCACACTACATCACAACGCTAGGTGACGATAAATTGGACGTCGAAAATAGTCAGTTCTGATATGCTACACTAAGCGTCCATTACGCGAAGATTGTTAGTCACCGTAATGCGTGTGATACGAAATGACACCATGTCCGTCTCCACTTTTGCAGTTCATTATTTGGAACTTAGTACCTGCCCTACCTATACTTCTGCCAGTGGGCGGAAGTACTGTGTTCCGAATACTAATGAACCCCCACTGTATACTAACCGAGAACTGAGGGTTGCTCAATGACCAGCTCGCCCTTCACTCCCCGTGCTCAGCGAAGACAATAAGAGTGTCATAATGGCCTGCATCAGAAGGGGGAGAAGTGTATCACCAATCTCTGGGTCTTTCTGAGCGCCAGTATCTACATTTTCTTTTCGTCATCGGGTTGTCCTTTTGCGGCGTCAGTACTTGCCCACGTTCTTGGGCCGAATCTGTTATCTTCTGAGGCATGTCCATTTCGAATTATCTTGCTACAAGGAAGAAACAGATCCGCAGCCTCAAGTATCATTGAAGGTGTCATCAGCAACTGGAGAAAGGAATTGTCCTCTATGCAATAGTCGCTACCGGTACTGGCGAACCAAATTCACATTGGATTCAAGAAGTGCCTTTATTCAGAGCAATTATGAAGCTAGAAAGCAATTTTCTAGATGGACTCCCCCTCTGTATGAGTTACCATTTCCAGCCTGTGGTATCTCCGTTCCAATCATCCTCACCCCATTCATCCGAAGAGGGTTTCGCGAGGCCATACATCGCTAGGAACACAGGACCGATCTCGATGTTTCTCAGGTCTTTACGTTCGGCTTTCTTGCCGTAGAAGTAACCGATGAAGTAACTGAAGAGAACGAAAAATTTTAATCCACTTATTTGACAGAAAACACAACATGTAATGACATACAGGTTGCCTGTTTGACTGTGCCAGACAAGGTAAGGGAGACCGGGCACATAAGGTTCATACCCTTTCTCGAGCTCCTGACTAAAATTTATTGTTAGCATGGTCAGGAAAAGGGAGGATCGACGTACGGAAGAGCCTCTTTAAAGGCCGTACGGACACGTTCCCTCTCGACAGCGGACAGACTCCAGTAATTATCCGTAAGCTTGTCAATGCCGAGGCGGAGACCTGGGACTATCTCCCACGCCAGCCAGATCGCAAATCCATTTGGCACCAGTCCTGACTCATTTTGAGTGCTGACCTTGTATCCTAGGAGCATTGGTACATTGCTGAAACCCTTTTGAGTGAACGTTTGGTGGGCAGTTAACTCTCCGGGCGTGTAGTTTGTGGCCTGGCGGGATCTGGTCTTCGGATCTTGCATCTCAGTGTTCTTAATAGGAACCTGAAGATAGACTCGTAGGAAGGCTTTCCTAGAAGGATTTCTTGGATCACAACAGAGGAATTTAGCCGCGGCGTAAGAGCGGACGCGAGGGTATTGACGTATTTCTTCACCAGCCTGAAAGTCATGCTCATTGAGCTTCTCGAGGATTTTCCACTGCGAAGGGATAGGTTGATCCAGGCTGATGATCGTGCCAGGGTCTGTTCCTTGGTGGAACCAGCTTGAGGATGGGAACGACATCATGGTGAGAAGGTTGACGAATAGGAAATAGAAGCAAGAGAATGTTGCGGTAGAAAACTTTCGAGCTAGAGATTGCGAACGAATCGAGTGGTGAAGAAAGAGTCGGAAGGTGGCAGCAGAAGTAAGGTCTTATTTCCTAGATGTTAAGGTTACGACAGGTGGGAAGTCGCTGGGACAGTGGAAGTCAAAATAGCTCAAGTCACATCGCATCATTCATTGAGAGTGGTTGTTTTGTTTGCACTTCTCCCTCCAGTCACGCAACCCACGACCGAAGCAGTCCAGCACCACACAGTGAGAGATATAAATTGCAATAATTAGTCACAACAGTCACACCTATATCCTTAATGATGCCCTAGGCGGCCAACCTCCCGGTTTGCTTCGATCTGTCTACTTTACTGACGCAGCAGGCTAGATATGCTCGATTTAATGGCTACTACCTGAATAAGACTGCCGCCCGTTCCAGCTAAAAAAAAAAAAGAATAATAGGGATATCTACCCAGACCTTACCCGGTTTTATAGAATGGAGTCGATACCTAGGACCCTTCACCGACAATTATAGTAGAAGGAGGTCAGGTAGGAAATCAACGAAGAAGCCATCTTGGAAACCATCCAGCAAACCGTCCAGCAAACCGTCTAGGAAAATATCTTGGAGGTTATACCTATACTTAGCCGCCGTCGGCGGGTTATCTTTAGGTACTTCTTTGGTAATGGTACCGCCGAGGACCTAAATGTGATATTAACTAAATTTATAGAATCATGGTCGTACAGAGGCTTTTTCTTCCGTCTAAGTTACGATCGTAAGATTAATAGGATTAGGTAAATTATTTCTGCTATAGACGGAAATTGCATGGCATTATAGAGAAATTAGTGAGGATTCAACATCAGATCGCAGATTATGATTAAATCTCGGCTCTAAGTTAACTAGGTCAGCTAGTCCCTCATTGATTAGTCAATCTAACTTAATTTCAATATTCTTCTACGGTAAATTGCACTTCATAAAAGGTATATGGAATATAAGTAGATTGTATGGGAGGAAGAATGCCGGGATACGGTGGCCGTTCTCGGCCACCGAGGGTAAGTGGCGTTTTACATACCGCTTTAGGGACCGCGGGTATTAATACACTAAGTAATCTTTGCGACCCCTAACCCCTATTCGAATCTTCCCTCGTCTTTTCCCCCTATATCGTTCTCTCTGCAAATTCCTTCCTACCTCTACGGTCTTTATATCCGGCTTTAACTTTATTCGATAATTCTTGCTAGTATATTTTAGTGGCTAAGTCCACTAGACGACGCCGTATCCACGTCATAATCTAGAGACTTCAGAAGTTATCGGTGGCCCCGGTCGCTATAGAAGGTTTAGCCTCTGCTCTAGTTCGCGTAGCTAGCGAAGGGTGCGTAAGAAGATATAGGCGAGTAAGAGTGGAGAAGGGAAAGGGGTTTAGGAGGTAGTTTCAATCATATGTAATTCAATTTCATATGTAATTCAATTCAATTTGATTTGATTTAATTTGTATACTATTTGAACCAATTTCAATCGCTCTTTATCGCTTAGGAGATATAGGTCTTTCAAATTGTGGCCTCTGGTTAGCTAAATCAGAATTACTTAGTGGCTAAACGATATATAGCCTAATATTGTAGGTTTTCGGGCACTCATCTAGCCTATTCGGGATTTCTGCCGTTGAAATCAATGCAAAACGGTACTTGCCCTGTGGCCGTTATCGGCTTCCGTAGCCTGGAAATAAGATCCTGCCGGGTTCTAAAATTCCTGATAAGGGGTTATGGCCTTTTCCCCCTGTTAGTCCGCTGTGGGCGGTAGGTAGCCTTACCAGTAAAGGATACGACCCATCTCTACAGTCACGGATACGTGGGAGATCGCGTATGCATAGTCCCTGAAAGCTTTTACTGGTGCTTTTAATGACGGTAGGCTTTTCCAGCAGGATGTACTAAATACAGGGTCTATTCCAAAGGTAATTCGGTTGCCCGGTACTTCGATAATATGAACTACAATTTGCCTTCGGGCTTTCCTGTGATGATCTGTACGTTGCGGCCTCCACCTGCGGGCCTGTCGGCCTTTTGGCCTTCACTGTCCTAGACTAATTCAAGACTTAGTAGATCTCATTATAAATATGAGAATTAAACTCAGGTCACGATAACTGCATAAGTACATTTTTTCCGATTAGTTAGAGTTATCTCGGGCTCTGTGATCCTATCAACTATAGAGTCATGAATGACTGGAGTGAGGGATTTACCATACCCATACGCGGAATCAACCTAGTGTCGACGAGGCTGCTAATCTATTCATAGGACCTGTCATGTCCTCTCTCGCATACGCAATACCACTGCTAGCCAAGAAATTTACTAAGGCTTTTATGTTCAAAAGCCCACAAGCCGCTTAGTTACGCTCTAAGTCGTACTCGCTATTACCGATAATTGGGCAGTCTTTCTAACAAACCGCGCAGTCCCCACTTAGCCCCGTGTACAATTACCGCAGCACGATGCTAAATTTCGTATATTTATCCACTGAGTACCTTGACTCTCGTATTCATTCCCAATTTCTGTTCTCTACGTTTTAATATCGGGTCTAAAAATTCCACGGGGTGGTTTGATTTGAGGAGCATCAATCATGTTCGAGAATGAAATCCTTCATGAGCACGACAAACTTCAACCGACTAGCTCTCCCGGCGTGCAGTCACGCGATTCTACACACGCCTCTCTTGGTCATGGATTTGAGAGTAATACTGGTTCCATGAGTTGCACTGGACAATGGGAACCAGAGCGTGAACATCTTGTCTCAACGATAAATTGCACAGATGAAGCTGGCGATGATAATGTCGTCAACAAAGAACATTTTTTAGTTTCACGGGCGGTACCAAATATCTTCCGATACTTACGAGGTATTTTTTCAAAAGGTGGTAGCGCAGAGGTTCCTCAGGAAGCCTTCAAGTGCGAGATTTGCGAACAACCTACCTTGGCGTTTCGCCGTCATTGCAAGGTACTGCTTGACTTGAAAATCATCTTCTCCTTCGGGGTCTCCTTGATAGCAATTATGATTGCTGTTAGCGATGCTCCTCCTATAGTTATATTTGTCTGCAGCTTGATCGCCATTGTACCATTATCAATGACCTTGACGACTGCGACCGAAAAGCTATGCCAGGATCTGGGGGAAACAGCCAGTGCGCTCCTCAATATAAGCATTGGCAATCTAGCAGAAATGATCATATTGTGAGTCTCCATTAACATGATATCCCAGTATCTGGCGATCTGACTTCTTTTAGTGGGTAATTTCTTAGGATTCCATATTTTTACCTAGAGTCCGAATCTAATCCTCAAATAAAGCACAGCCCTAATGAAAGACAATATCAAAGTTGTTCAGGCATCCCTCCTGGGCTCTATTCTTGTCAATCTGCTTCTTGTCCTCGGCTCCGCGATCATCGCAGGAAGTATTCTGGCTCCTGGCCAGATATATAATACTGATTTGACACAAGCATTCGTTGGATTACTGAATCTCATCGTGTGTTGTCTGATGATCCCGGTTTGTGGCAATATACCATTCTCTCTGGAATTCTGTTGACCGAAAATAATAGGGTGCTTTTTACGGGAGCGTCAAAAATACAAAGTCAGCGGATGCTATGGCATTGTCATTCAATCGGGCTGTTTCAATCATTCTTCTGGGAATTTATTTTTTGTATCTGTTCTTCCAGTTCAGATCTCACCCGCATGTCCCCTTTTCTCATTCGTCCGGGACACCTTTCCCTAGCAACGCATCCAATCGAATCAATTACGATCGACTTCAGGATGAGGTCTATTCAGATGAGGAATCACACCCAGTAATTCCGGGTACGGCAGCAACAAGCGTGATCTTCCCATCCCCAACGGATCAATTTCCATGCCCCCATACCCAACTTCCGGCACCGGCAGGCATACACGCAGGACAAGGGCTCCCTATGGTAAACATCGACACTGTGGAGCGGAGTAACTCTGCTCCAAATTTTTTGAATTCCCGTCAGAACTATGATATATCAGGAAACTTGGATGATCACTACTGTGGAAACTTAGTGCTTGCGAATCGTGCCATCTCACTGGCATTGTTAGTCAGCTCAACTATTCTCATTGCCGTGTGCGCCGAATTCTTCGCTTCAAGCTTTCAAACACTGAATGACCAGAATATTCTCGGTGAATCATTTGTGGGTCTAATTATCATCCCTATTGTAGGGAATGTGCCAGAGAATGTCACGGCTGCTATCGTGGCAGGCAAAAATCAGATGGATCTTGCAATCAGCATTGCCCTTGGTTCAGCTATCCAGATCGGGCTTTTCGTGACACCTGTGATTGTATTGGTCGGATGGGCGCTTGATAAGCCTATGAGCTTACATTTCGATCACTTTGGGATGGTGACTCTAGTTGGCTCTGCCCTTCTGGTCAGCTTCATCATACTCAAAGGCAAGACCAACTATCTGGAAGGCGCCATTCTGTGTGTTTTTTTCGCGGCTATATCGTAAGGGATCCTGAGTTCTCACCCTATATCAACTCAATGCTGAAACTGAGCTTATCTAGTGTCGGGGCTTTTCTGCTACCTATTGCTTGATCACAAAGGCCTGCCATACCTGATCAATTATATCAACCCTTATTGGACTATAGGGAGCATATGGCCATAACCTTCGATTGCTTCAAAGAGCATTCGCCGATTCTTTGCTCGGCCCCCACAGCCCAATTAGACTAATACACTTTTATGGTTACTACTTCAATCAAACTCCCGCCCTTTCTAACTAGTAGAGAAAAAATCAGGATATCTATCCAGATCTTAACCGGCTCGCTCGAGCTTGTCTTAGATTGGCGTTGGGGTTGAAGGTAGTCTTGCCGCAGGTCTCGAAAGCCTATTCGGGGTACAAATTTTCAATCTTTCAGCCACTCCACGATACAGCAGGAAGCTCCTACAACCTATCTGTAACACAGCCTGTCGGCGTTGCGTTGTAATGTGAACACATATTTCCATGTGTAGCTGATTCGAGAGACTGCATCCTCATACAGGCGTCAATCAGCACTGAGAATCAATCGATCCATGACGCGCTCGTGCAGAGTCACGTAAAGCTACAACCAAGGGGTTTAACACTGAAACCGCCCTATTTCCTCGTCTCTGTTACTCCCTGCAAATTCACCAAAACAATTTCGTATCACAATTTATCAGAGGTCGTTCACCTAATCAATCTGGAGGCCTTCGAAAGACTTGATGTAAAAATGAGATTTTACCTACGTCCAGATCTTTGCACGGCTGGATGGAGTATTACATTCTGGTCTACGGTGTATGTGCAAACGCCGAGTCTTCTCGCATATGTCGATGGAAATCTCGATGAACAAATCTCTCGCGATTGCGAAATCCTTCGGAAGAAGCCCCATCCGAATATTGTGGCATATTACGGCTACATTGAAAGTCACGGTCAAGTCTCTGGGTTATACTTTAAGCGATATACGTCTGCCTTACTTAGAGCGGTTAACCCTCAATACCTTATTAAGGCTACCTTTCTTTCGAGTCACCGCGAACTAGTGACAGAGAGTATAACAACTGGCCTTCAAGGGCTCCTACATACTATTAAACACCTCCATTCGCTCAGGCTTATTCATCATGATATCAATCCTACAAACACCATGCTTGACGAAGAGGGGACCCTCATTCTCATCGACTTCGATAGCTGCCGATATATTGGAGTCCCTGCGCAGCATGGAATCAAAAAGGACTCCGTACTGGCACGACCCTACTGTGGAAATTTCCACTGAAAAGAATGACATTGACCAAAGATTTGCAAACTTGGCTGACCTGATCGAAGAGTGAAAACTTCCTTCTTGAATGAAATGCTCGCATGTAGAATGCCAATGTCACGGGAGTCGTCGGCTGAGCGAGAATAATGTCGATCACAAGCATCATTTATCTTTTTCTCTATTTGTCAAACACTTCATTTCTCATAGCTTGCTTCCGTCCTTCTCCGCTTGTATCTGCTGCTTGGTTTTATTCTTAGACAGATTTGTAGTTGGACCCGGAGGGGGCGGGGGAAGGCGGGCTCCACTCAACTATGTGAAGAGGTCTTTCTTGATATTCAAAATCTTGAGCGATATCCCCGCTGTCTTGGCCGCAACTCGCAGCGTCTCCTGTCAACAAATGACCGGTGGCCATGAGAGGTTAGGGGGGTGAGGCTGACATGCGAGGCCTAGCTTGAGCCTTCCGGTGGGAATCCTGTGCTGGTTAGACAAATGGCGCTGATCATTGTACGGAGTAGACTCCGCACATTCGTTAAAGAAGTCAACCCCCAATTCCTTCCAGGAACGAATTTCTTTCCCACCAATGACCTTACACCCAGCGGCTCGGCCGCGACTGTGGCTGTCAGGCTTGAATCCTAACTGGTTGTTTGGTGCATGAATACGAGGATCAGCGCGCCGAGGCCCCAGATTCGGATGACGAGGAGTCGCGCCAACACAAGAGAATCTAAGGCAAATTCGCATAAAAGGAGAGATGCCCCGCCGAACCAGGCGATCTCCGTGTCGTCTCTGGCGATTTTCTACCTTAATTGTTGCCTCTCCACAAAAGGCTCCGTCGGGCATACGCTTTGCACTATCATCATGAAGTCGTGGACTGTTCTCGCCTTGGCAGTCTCCCTGGTCCCTCTCGCCGGCGCATGGGAGATTACATGGAACGACGCCGATGACAATAATCACACCAAGTCGGGTACGGGCCCCAGCGAGTGCATCAAGATTGATAATCCCAAGGGCCACCTTTTCAGGATCGATTCCCAAGGCGCAACGGATATCAACATGCTTCTGTTCACCAACAGTGCCTGCTCCGGTGATGCAGCGGGCATGGCAACCGATGTGTTCTCCAAGGACGCTTCGAAAGATCTTCTTGGCTTCAAGGTTGTGAGCCTTTCGTCGACGGCATCAGGCTCAGGAAGTACCACGGGAAATCCCACGGCTACTGGTCACACTGCGACAACGGCAACGGGGACCGGAACAACCGCGACGGCCAAGACTACTGGTTCGGGTCACGTTACGTCTACGAGTGGCAGCACCGTGGCGGAGTCGAAGACTACTCAGACGACAGCTGTGACGACCGCGACGGCGACTAGTTCTACGCCCTCTGGTAGCGCGTCTTCGACAAGTTCGAGCGCCGCTACTGCGAGCACATCCAATGCCGCCGTTCGAGTCGCAGGTTCCAATTCGAATATTTTCAAAGGAGTGTTGGGTGGCATCATCGGATTGGCGGCATGGATAATCTAGATTCAGGATCTGGTCAAAATAATTTGGGGTTTAGTTCTATTCCGGGGGTCTACCTTCGCTGGGAAACCCTTCTTGTTCTCGACTTTGCACCTGTCGATCTTTTACTTGTTACAACACTTTAGCCAAAATACCGAAATGATTAATCCAACAGTTTCTTTATTAGCGAACACTAAGCAAGAGAGACACTACTTCGTGATTTTCTGTTTATTTCTATCATCGCCAGCTTACTTTATCTTGTGTCCGGATCTCGGGTCCGCTTTGCTGATGATATATATTGACCCACACCGTCAGCACAGGAACAAAAGCGAAATATACACTGCATCAAAAATAATCCGGACATGCTTCGATCTCAATAATAGCGTTGAAAATAGCATATAGATATGCATTGGATCCAATAGCTTATATTAAGTACATCTGGAATCTCGAAACAGAAGCCCCTGGGTTAGTTGCCACACACGTGAAACTGAAAGCAAATCCATGCTGATCTCATCATCTATAATTAATGACTTACAGAAACAACTATTCTACCTGAATAGGGATCTATACGTTCCTGACCACTCACTCATCCAGTGTGCCTATGTCTTGATAAGTATATTGACTCTGTCAAAGCCTATCTGGTCTATGTAGGTATTTTGCTTCGATTCTGGTAGTAGAACAAGCCCACTACCTCCTCCTGCGATAATTGACCCTGAATTAGCTTCCAAAGCTTTTTTGTCCCCTCGTTCACTGCAATGTAATTATCGAAGGGTGGCATTAACGACACGATAGAATGTTTATGGCAGAATATGGCAAGTCCTAATGTAATCCCGCAGTCCGCGACAACCGTACAGAAAAGCATAGATCAATTAGCTTCAAACAGGTAAGTCTTCATTCGCGGATTATATCCCATGACTTCTCACCAGGCCTCATCCTGGATCTCCCTAACTAGAAACGGCCCCTCTGCAATACAAAATACCACATTGGAGATTCTCAAAATACCTGCCAACTCCTTATGTATGTTTGATTTTATACACGAACACTTCACGTTAATGAAATTAGCGACTGTATACGCTATCTACTCATCCTTACAACAGACTCAGTCATCAATTCTAAAACCCTTCCTTACTACCCCTTCCTGCTCTTGGTCTTTTCTAAGGTCCTTCCTCAGGTCCTTCCAAGGTCTTTCCAAGGTCTTTAACGGTTATCTACTTCACCTAAATACGTAGAGATCTTAGAGAAAATAGATAAACAAAGATCACGTGATATTAGTATACATAATCGTAGACTATTTTAGCGGGATGGGTTTTCATATAGGATTATGCAAATATAAGAACTCGCAGGTATCATGTAATTCCGAAAGAAGCATTTTGCTTCAAAGGGGGCGTTCATAATTTGGGCTAGCCTTGTCGTGCCATGAATCTTTCTGTCGTGTCGTTAATGTCACCCTTATCGAATGCCTGCTTCCATCCACCCGTGGTTTTCACGCACGACCATCATAGATGCACAATGCGTGGGACGGTAGCCTAGAACTTGACTAGCAGCCTGCACCAGTAGTATTTGTCGTTCTACACTGTCCGACCAGCGAGACACAAACTCATCCTATGTCACACTACACGACTTGGAAGGATGCGGGGCTGGTACCCCGACCGCGGATAGGTAGGACCAGGGATAGCCTAATGACGCCTGGACGCCAAAGAATTGGCCGCCACCAGTGGGGGGATTAACTGCACATATTAAGCTTCCCTCTACGGGGTAGTATTCGAGGGTCTTTCATTCTCGGAGTCGAGACTGCTGCTGCTAGAGTGCTGCTGGTCCAGCCACAGCCGCGCATTAGCCAGCGGATTAGTGGGTTGACACGTGACTTTGAGATTCCATCCGGACCAGCCTTCTTGCACAAATGTTTCAAACAAAGAGATGCAACGATCTCCTCTTGACAGGATCCCTAGAAACACCACGCAGCTCGACTATCTCTCATCATGCAACTGTTCGTCCTGAAGGATGCATCACCGCGGAGTTCAAAACGATTCGATCGCATGTCTCCGATAGCTGCCTACAGCACCACTTTTGTGGGTCCCTGCCGATCAGTCGTCGTGCGTTGCAATCATTCGTCCGATTCAACACGCCAAGTGGATGCGATCTTGGCAGGGCCGCCGATGATAGCATTCCTTTGTCCATCATAAAGCCATTGAGGCACAACTGTTCGAAACGCCCAGGCGATCAACACGAGACTGATCTCACTCACAAGTCTAGCTCAAAACCTGCAGCTTTATTGGCTCTCATATCATCTGCTAAGCCCAGCCCCTCTTAATCATTCAAGCAGACTCCCTGCCCCTCGCTTGTTGTTATTGTGGGGCCTTCTCCCCTGCCGATCATCGCGACACCGAGAAAACCGGGGGGCCGGCGGTCCCGCTGCCACTGCTGCTGCGCGACCACGCAGTAGGGTCACAAATGTCTCAGAAGGAGAAAACGAAAGGGGAGGGCGGGCACAGGTATCGTGATTGCCGCCTTATACCCTCGGCAGCATTAATTCCCACCGGGTACGACGATGTGACGATAATCTGAGCTTGAACCTGTGGTGACTAGCGGCAGGCCGCCGCAGCACCGCAGGATGCAAGATCGACGATTGGGCGAGCGCTTTTGGGCCCTGAAACTTCATAACGCCCCCGACGGGCATCCGCATTAGACAGGGTCCACCGATGTCCGTCCGATGAGACTCTGCACGGCCAAGAAAAGGAGGTCCGGCTGGGCTTGACTTAAAGCTTGCTAAATTGGCCTGGCTTGGCTGGTGATTGAAGACTATCATTGCACCACATTCTTGATCCACTGTTCCCCATTCCCCTCCGTCAATGCAACCATACTTGATCATAACAAATTAATCCTGCGCGGGTCTACCCCCCCTCTCTCTCTCTGACTTATCTCCGTCATTCTCGGACCCATTTCGTTATTTATACAGTGGACCTTCCCCTCAAGTATCCCTGTGGTGCAGTGAAGATTGGTTAGGAGTCGTGTGCCCTCCCTTCGTGTCTTGTCTCCCACTATGTTCGCGTCTCTATTGAACCGAGGGGCCTTGTCACTGGCAGTGGTCTCCTTGTTGGCGTCCTCTGCTGCGGCTGAAGTGTTTGACAAGCTAGCTGCTGTACCTGAAGGTAAGTCACTTGATTGATATTTCCTTCCCTCGTCAGGTATGGCTGATCGTTTGCTTCACTTTAGGATGGCTCTATTCCCGAACTCCCCGCGGAGACCAACCCATCAAGTTGCAGGTTGCCCTAACCCAGGGTGACGCTGCCGGGTTCGAGCAAGCCGTACTGGACATGTCGACGCCCGATCACCCAAACTATGGCAAGCACTTCCGCACTCACGACGAGATGAAACGCATGCTGCAGCCTACTGCATCTTCGGTGGATGCAGTCCTAGAGTGGCTCAAGGAGTACGGAATCACTGATATCCAACAGGATGCGGACTGGATGTCGTTCCAGACGACGGTGGAGAAGGCCAATAATCTGCTGGATGCCAACTTCCAGTATTACATCAATCGCTACAAGCATGTCGAGCGCCTGCGTACCCTGGAGTACTCTATCCCAGACTCCCTTGTCTCCCACATCAACCTCGTGACTCCGACCACTCGCTTCGGTCAGCTCCACCCAAATCGCATTACCCTGCACGGCAAGGCCAAGGCTGCCGATGAGACTTTCCGTAAGGCTGCGCTGTCTGCTAGCACCGATTGCAACAGCGCCATCACCCCTCAATGCCTCAAGGACCTGTACAAGGTCGGTGACTACCAGGCCGATGCTTCCAATGGCAACAAAGTTGCTTTTGCTAGCTACTTGGAGCAATATGCGCGGTATTCGGATCTTGCCCTGTTCGAGCAGGATATCGCTCCCTATGCCAAGGGCCTCAACTTCACTGTCATCGAGTACCACGGTGGTCTCAACGACCAGAACTCCGCGTCTGATAGCAGCGAGGCCAACCTGGATCTACAGTACATTGTCGGTGTCGGCGCTCCCGTCCCGGTCACTGAGTTCAGCACTGGCGGTCGTGCACCCCTGGTTCCTGATCTGGATCAGCCTGACCCAAACAACAACAACAATGAGCCGTACCTGGACTTCCTGCAGAACGTTGTCAAGATGGAAGATGGCGACCTGCCCCAGGTTATCTCTACCTCCTACGGCGAGGATGAGCAGGTGAGAACCCAACGTCGAGTGAACTCATAAAGCGCCACACTGACCTTTCCCCTAGAGTGTGCCCGCAAGCTACGCACTTAGCGTCTGCAACCTCTTCGCCCAACTCGGCAGCCGCGGTGTCTCCGTAATCTTCTCCTCCGGCGACTCCGGCGTCGGCGCAGCCTGCCAAACCAATGACGGCAAGAACACGACTCACTTTCCCCCTCAATTCCCCGCCGCCTGCCCTTGGGTTACGGCCGTCGGCGCAACTACGCACACCGCACCCGAACAGGCCGTCTACTTCTCCTCCGGCGGCTTCTCCGACCTTTGGGAGCGCCCTACCTGGCAAGACGAGGCCGTCAGCACCTACCTCTCGCAGCTCGGCCAACGCCAAGCCGGCCTGTTCAATGCCAGCGGTCGTGCTTTCCCCGATGTTGCAGCCCAGGGTCAGAACTACGCTATCTACGAGAAGGGCCGCCTCACCAAGGTGGACGGTACATCGTGCTCGGCGCCCGCGTTCGCAGGTGTCATCGCCCTCCTTAACGATGCCCGCATCAAGGCTGGACAGCCAACCATGGGTTTCCTCAACCCGTGGTTGTACTCCAACACCGATGTGCTGAACGATATCACCACCGGTGGAAGCACTGGCTGTGATGGAAAGGGACGCTTCGGTGGCGCTTCCAATGGTGGTCCCGTCATCCCTTATGCTAGCTGGAATGCTACTGCGGGCTGGGATCCTGTGACTGGCTTGGGAACGCCTAACTTTGAGAGTATGGTGAAGTCTGCTACTTAGCATTAAACCTGCATATTTTAGCATCTATATGAGGACTTGGAATTATGATACTTCCTCCAGGCTAATGATTCCCTACGATGAAGGGCCTGTCCGGATCGTTGCATGTATATAGATTCTTCTTGTGCGATCGGTATCTTTCATATATAAAGGGATTACTCTGTGTGTCTCCAAGGTCTGACGTAAGTCTGCCGCGTTCTAGTAAACACCAATTCCTCGATTGTCTTTTGCAAGTGACCTGACAACGTGGCAGTGAGTGACCGGCATATTAGGGGACAACGGCCGGGTCCTTTCGCCTCGAGGGTACAGTTCGTTCACTCATGGACTTTCCCATTACTTCGAATTACCTACAAGCGCAAATACTTGCTCGTCATTTGTATAACGTTGCTGGAAAATTATTTCATTCATATTCATAAGTCATTATCCATCCCCTGTCTCCCCATGTCCCGTATGCAAGAACAGTCTGACCACAAATCAACTCGCTTGACTATCAGACCATGGCAGCCACCGCTACTGTATCAGAGGCTATCAATGCTCGTTAACCACTTAACTAGTTGTCAACGTCCTTGACGAAAGTCAGTACTCATGAACGCAAAACCATAGAATGCAGTTCCACCTACTTGTGACCCGGCTGATGAAGCGACTGCCTCCTCTGCTCCTTCAACCGGTGTTCAGTATCCATAAGGACATTTTGAAGGGTTCGTCCCGCTTTGGACCCTAGTCCCACTCGTTCGTCGTTGAGGAGCTCTGTCGAAGCTGCCTGGAGTTGGCGACTGTAGTTTCCGTCATCTCGCCCGTTGGTATCCGATGAGCTCGATGCTTTGGGAAATTCTTGGGGGGAATCGCACGAGGATGATCGTCTGACTGGGGCTTTTGCGCATGGAGTTGGGACTTTGTTGGTCGATGCTGATTGGTGGTTGATCGACGGTCGGCGGTCCATCTTGAGGATCCGCGGTTTGATGTGTGTAGGGGTTTGGAAAGGTGGCAGCTGCTTAACCAGGAGGTTGTAAGAATCGGGGATGATATGTTGAAAGAGGTGAAGTTTCTAGATACAAGTGCGCGTGTCGGTGATAAATACAAAAGCCCAGATCCGTGCTGCTTGGAACGGAAGCTTCCAGGATAGTACTGATTGGCGGGTATTTCAAGTTATATCAAACTTCGCGCTTGCTCATCATGACGTTAAATATACGAGTGGCTGATGACAGGGCTTGGCAAAGGCGCATTTACTGGACGGGCTATGGTCCAGCTGGGATTGCGAAGTGCACACACCTGTTATTCCTTGGATATAAAAGTACAATTTATATTGTAACACCCTGTACTACATTGTCACCAAGGATTTTCAGGTAGATACACCGCTTGAATTGATACTATTTATATACATGTCATGGTCGAGCCATGTAGAGCTTATTTGGCCTCTTTCTTTCCTTCCTCGGCGATCTTCTCGACCTGTTCCTTTCTCTTCTTCAAGACTTCTTGGATCTCCTCAAACGTCTCCTTGAGCACCTTCTCGGCCTCACCTCCCTTCTTCTGTGCAACAGTCTGTAGTGTCTGCAACTGAGGGAGAATGTTGGAACCCCCGGGAATCGCCTTCAACCACTTATCCAGATCCCCGAATCCGCTGCTCTTCGCTTGATCAACCTTCTCCTTGACATACTTCTCCACGTCCTCCGTCTTGCCAGAAGAAGCGCTATCCTTCAACTTCTCCCACAAGTCCTGGAAGTTGCCCTTCTTAAGTGCATCGGCATTCTCCTCAACCAGTGACTTCAGCTGGGGATTCTTCTCGAGGAATTGGCGAGACTCGTCAAGACCTTTCTGCCACGCCTCATCGCCGAGCCTTTGAAGCTTTTCCCTCTTCTCATCGATCAACTTCTTGATCTCCGCGACCGCATCTAGGCTTGCGCCGCGCTTCACAATGTCCGAAACTTGACTCCACGTCTTGTTCACCTCCTCCTTGGCCTGAGGTCCGTAGGCATCGCCCATCTGCTTGAGCTGATCGAAGCTACCGCCCAGCTTCTCCTTCAACTTGGGGTGGTTATCCAAGATATCCTCGCCCACGTCACCAGCCAAATCCAGCAGACGATCAAGGTGCTTCTGCAGAATGTGGAATGCCTCGAATGCCGTATTCGTATCGAAACCGCCCTTCTTCGAGACATCGCTCAGCTCCTTGTATGCATCCTGGATGACCTTGTCGAATTCCTCGCCATGGTTCTCCTTGATCTTTTCCAGATCCTTGAACGCGGTGTCGACGTATTCGCGGGCGCCCGGAACGTACACGGCGTAGCGGGTGACCGTCTTCTTGAACCAGGCATACGACTCGCTGGCTTCGGGAGCGTTTTCGGCGAGTTTCTGCTTCGCTTGTTCGAGGTATTGCTTGGCTTGTTTATTGGTGTCGACCAGTGTCTTGGCGCCGGAGTATGAGTACCACGCGTATCCGACCGCCGCGGCAAAAGCACCACCAGCAACGCCGCCGATCAAGGCAGAATTGGCACCGGAGGAAGCTGCACCTGACGAGGTGGACTGGAAACGAGCATTGTGGGCACGGGGTTTGGCTGGGCAGCGGACTCGGCCGATGACGCGGGCAGCGGTTCTTTGGTTCTGGCCGAGCATCTTGGATCACGTGGTGATAAGGAATGAGGATGGGGGAGGTATGAAGAGTAAAGGAGATGGGGAAGGTGTGTGAGTGAAAGAGAGGAAATTGGAATGTACTATGTAATGATAATTTGCTTTTTTGTGCATGTAGGATGAGCCTCTTTATATGCTTCCCCCAGAGCTGGAGCAAGCCACATCAAGGCCTAGTCCTGCTTGGTTCTTTGGCCAAGTTCAGCAAGAATGCCAAGGATCAAGCGGGTATGGCGTCATGATTGTGACAGAATCCCGAGCTGTGAACGGGTGCAGCCACATCCCCGGTTGCCAAGAAACTCACCCTGAAATACTTGCTTCTATGCATGGATGGTGGTGGAAGGCAAGAGAGAGCCTCATCCCTCCGACCTTGCTCGTTCCAGAAGTGGATTTCCTATGTGGAGAGGCTGAATAGTGGCGCACTCGCCATAATGGCACGGTCGGGCTCATTTCAGCGAAGCTCTCTCTGGTCGGAAAAGGCCTACTGCTGGAGCAGCCGCCGTATAGAGGTGAATATCACAAGGATTCAAACCAACTAAACTAGTGTGACTCTCGAGGCTTGGGGACCGGCGGTTAGGTGTCCCCTGTATATATGTATAGCAGTTCCTGATTCCCCGCACCCTTCAATTTACAACCGCCATCTCAGATACGAATCCCTATGACACCGTGGAGCTCCGAAGAAACAGCTATCGTGGTTTTATTTGCCTCAAAAGGAGTGCGGCATGATTCTATTCTATATTTACTAAGAAACCGGGCGGCTTCCCTCCTTGGAATGCTAGCAGAAAACAGTTCCACGGCTCCGGCGACCCCACGACGAACACTTTCCGCCATCCGGGGCTAAATATCGGCACTACGCCACGATCATCCTGAGCTCTGGGATATTGACGGGAAATGGGACGGCGATAAAGTAGTGCAGTTTATCTACCGTTTGCCATTTATAGACCCCGCACAGGTCACGTTTTTGTTGAATTCAGCGCCGGCCGAAATAACACAAATTAAGAGTACGCGCCAGGTAAGGTAAGTTCTGGCCCTCTAAGGAGCGCAGAATCAGGTTTGACAAAAGATAGTGGTGATATTGCATCCTGCTCACGACTCAGCTTGCGCTCGGGTTTTCCAAGTCAGAACCATTCTTCCGAGGAGAGGTGTCATCAACGGGAATATATTCGGGCATCTGGGATACTTTCCTAAGCAAGCTCACTAATCCTCCCCCTGGACATCCCATTCTACTCACTGCTCACCTCCTTCATACTCGTGGCGGGAGTTTTTCCTCCCCTGTGCATCGTTCTCCCACTTGTTACGCTTACCTCCGTATTATGAGTATCCAGAAGCAGTTCCCTGATGTGCACTGGGTCTGGAAAGGAGGTATCTCCTTCGTCTATGAGGTCCATCCTCGTATCGTGGTGAAGGTTCCGAAACCCGGCGGCTTTGAGAGAGAGCAATTCCAGAAAGAACTGGAGATCTATAAGACTTTTTCGCAGAATCCACCATGCCCTTCCATAGTGCAGTGTTTCTTCTACGCGGATAACGGCATTTTAATTGAGTACATGCGAGGTGCGATCCTTACCGGTGCTTCATAATGGTCTCTACTAGCCGCCTTATTAGATGTTACCCTCTCTTCTAGGATACAAAATAATCATGCTCGGGACCTAGAATCCTCTAGTTACCAAAGTAGAGAAGTTAGAAACTCTACCTCTACGAAAGGAATGGATGAACGACCTCGCTCAAGCCGTTGCTTTCCTAGAATCGCTTAGTCTCGCTCATGGTGATCTACTGCCCGAAAATATTCTACTCGATCGCAACCGATTAAAACTCTCTGATTTTGATTGTACGGCAGAAATTGGGACGGACTTTGAAGCTTGCATGGCCCCATATGGAAGATTACTCAATAGCGACGAGCAGGACCATGGTCGACGTGGAAGTTCCGGTTTCTTAGGTTCTCGAACCGAACAATTCGCCCTGGGTTCTTTGTACTACCTCATAAACTACGGGTTTGAGGTTTACGGTGATCGATGTCTTGCCGGAAATCCTAAAGAGCATGGACGCAAAGCTGTGGATTTGCTGCAGAACATGGAATTTCCAAAGTTGGATGGTGATCCGTTAATTGACAAGATAATCAGCAAATGTTGGCACAATAAGTATGACACGATTGCGGAATTGGCTACATACACAGAGGTGCTCCGTCTTCGAAGAAATACCTGCAGGGGGCTCGAAGCTGAAACGACCTCCACGCCGCAATGGCGTACGGTCATAGGCCGCATGTTTCGTGGGTTATGGAATCGTCTCAGATCTTGGTGGGATTTCCTGTTCTGTCACACCAGCCAAACAACCAAGCCTGAACTAACTATTGGTGGAGAGCTGAATGGCCATAGCCATGGCATCGGTCAAAAAGTCTTAGAGGATATCTCTTCCAAAATGATATTCTGTCAGAACCTGGAGAAGCGCGGACTTCTCCAAATGCTTTCATCAGGAGAGCCAGAGCAACTTGGATTTACTCTCGAGTGGTATAGACATTCCACAGGTTAGAAAGGAAGCTAAGCTGCAGATTGCGATCAAACAGAAATGTGATGTGCTCTCCAGAAATAATCAAGGTGGTAAGGGATATCGCCATAAAAAATTGGTAAAAAATGTATAGGCTAATCCTTTCTTAATCAGCCCCTTAATCTAGTAACCTCGCCGAACCTGCCACGAAACGACAGCTGCAAGTACAAATTTTAGCTCTGGGTAGTTCGACGATTTTCATTCTATTGAGATAGTTAGACGAGAAAGTGATGTGATGGGGGATGTATGCGAAGACGAGATTATGGCTATGGACGGCCCGGGCAATGTCGTGGAAGCATCAATGTATTGGTAGCCAATAGTCTCCTGATCCTCACCATACATGGTTCAGCACCATGAAGTTCTCCCATTTTAGCTCTATACCAATTCAGTTCACAAATCTAGTCAAAAACCCTGAATCCCACAAAGTCAGCACCCCAGGTCTGGAACGCATCGCTGCCTGCCACATTCGCAACGACAACGTCATTGTCACCATTCTTCCACCCATCAATCGAAACACCCAGCGAGGCAGTATCCCACCATCCAAGTCCAGGTCCGAAGAGCTCACTATGCCGTCCAGACAAGGGGACCTCCAGTCTGACAGGGCTTCCACCATTCACCGCGACTGTGATATTGCGCGAGTTTGCGCCCAGACCCCAGGAAGTAGAGAATGCGACATCGTTGTTGATATAGTCCAATTCTAGATACTTGGAGGATGAAGTGTTGGAAACCGTAGCGGGAACCGTGATGCTGGCGGTGTTTGTGCTGTCGAGATAACCAATCTTTGATCCTACGGGCTGGCAGAAGCCGGAGCCACACTGAGTGAGTGTTGCTGAGCCTGCGAGGGTGAATGCAGTAGCGGGGTAGTATGTTCCAGCTGGAGATTTGATTTGGATAGAGTCAATCGCGAGAGTGGAGTGGATGGTAATTGTGTTTGCAGAGCCAGCGGATAGTGAGATGGGGCTTGAGACTGTCTTGCTAGAGGCTGGGACGTTGACTGTGCTCTTCTTCTGGGTTGATGACGATTGTACGGTAATGCTGCTCGCCTTCAACGATGACTTGGAGAAACTGATCACAAGAGTATGATTGGCACTCGTGGTGTTGACATAGATGGAGTTGAATGTCACCGAGTTTCTGTAACGAATTAGTAAAAGCTTTTTAACGGGGACCGTAATCGGGAAGATAACTCACCCCTTCGACGTGGCGAACTTGGCAGTTGGGTAAGTGCCAGGCGCAGTGGTGTCACTGAGCTCCACTAGCATCACACCGTGTGCGGCTACTGTGGCCGTATAAGAGCTCTTGACATTGCGGACAGTCTTACCCGCCCAGATATCCTTCAAAGTGCCCGCAGCTTGAATGCCCACGTCCGGGAGATCAAGGGTCAGCTCACGAGACTCGTCAGCCCAATTAATCAGCGCAGCAACAGTCCTACCCCCAGATAGAGGACCGCTCCAGACTTCGTACCCTTCTTCCGACCAGCGGCGGTTTAATGTCGCACTGACACCAAGCGAGTCCTGGTTGTAGGAAACGACGTCTTTGTTGGACAGGATTGCCAAGGACGCATCGCTGATAGAAGTGACTTCATCCCTCAAAGCACCACCGATGACAAGTGGACTCTTCAGTATAGCCCAGAGCGAGAAGTGGGTTTGTTCCTCTGCGGTAGTCAGAATGTTATTTCCAATTTCCAACATATCCAGGTCCGGCCATTGGCCTGGCCCCGCGAAGGATGTTTGCGGGACAGCTTGGTTTAACGTGCGGAAGATGGCTCTCCAAGCGGGGATGATATCGTTGCCGATGCGCCAAGTGTGGCCGAGAGCTGGTGCCCACAGGGCAGGGAAATCTATGCCCCATTCGCAGATCTGGAACAGCACGGACCGGCCTTGCGCGGCTAGAGCTTTGGTCATGTTTGTATACCGCGGGCTTGGCGATGTGCTTGGCTCGTAGTTGACGTTTGGATAACCGGTCGCCGCGTCGGAGAAGCAGTTGTCGTCTGATGGATATTAGCCCATGTGCCATAGAGGATGAGCACGTGTATGCGCTGGGAGAGTTGCCTACATTTCAGGGCATCAATCTTCCAAGAAGTAAACAATGCAGCATCCTGGGCCTCGTGATCTGGTAAAACTATTAGCACATTTTGCGACAGATGCTAAATCCTATCTTTGCGACTTACACAAACTACCCGCCTGCTCCATATCAGTCTGACAGGATCTTATGCCCGCATCCTCATAGACACCAAACAGCAACCCAAGGTCATGGATATATTGGCCGAGCGCTGGGAACCCATTCGGAAACAAGGTCTCATTCCACGTCAAAGACCCCTCTGCAGTGCGATTGGCAACTGTCCAGCCACAATCAGTAGTGACATAGCGGTATCCCAGATCGGCGAGGCCCAGGTCAACCAGGGCTTTCGCATTAGACTTGACAATAGTCTCATTCGGGGCGCAAGAGTAGTGGTTATAGGTATTCCAACTGGTCGGGGTTAGTTATTTTCAATACCAATCTGGTACTGTAATGGCATACCCCATCGGAGGCGTCCTGGCGATGCCATTGTCAAGTCGCGGCCTTAAAGCAGCCCCAAGAGCCACAGGCGCTGCCACCAAAGCGGATAGAACAACTGCAGTGGCGTACATCTTGTTTGATCATGGTTAAATCCTCGACTTCCATCTTGGCTATTTATGTCTTCCACCTCCACATTCCTCGAGTCCCTGGATAATACCCTGCAGCGGGGTAAACAAGGCAAGACTATAAGAACCCCGGAAAATTGCCTAAACGGGCACTGTCGATAGTTTGGGGAGACGAGGATCGGCATCTCACCGCTCACGATCCTGATTGATGTAGGTACTTACAGGCTAATTATTCGGATTTCTTTCCGGTGTTTGAATGGAAATATCAAGGTAGGGTGACATTAACGACACGACAGAAAAGTTCATGGCACGACGAGGCTAGTCCTAATATGGAACCCCCCCCCCCCCTTTCAATACAAAATGCTACATTCGAAATTCGCAGAATACATAGCGAGTCATTATGTATAATTTACATTAAACCTCCTTGTTAATATCTTTAGCGACTACATATGGGACCTCTATCTATTTATCCCTATAACAGACTTATTTATTATTCTACTTCCCCTCCTAATATCACACTTTTTTATGGTCTTTTTTATGGTCTTTTTTATGGTCTTTTTTATGGTCTTTTTTATGGTCTTTTTTATGGTCTTTTTTGTGGTCTTTTCTACGGTCTTTTCTAAATATAGGCTTATGCATATATAGGGACTCTACTGGTATTTGATAAATCTCGAATGTAGCATTCTTTATTGGAGGGGGGACGCTCCTCATCAGGACTAGCTTTTTCGTGCCATGAACTTTTCTGTCGTGTCGTTAATGTCACCCAAATTCAGATGTGCTCTCGGTGTATGAATGGAGTATTAAGGTTTTACTGGATTAGGCTCAATATGTAGTGGCTCGGGTAGTTGTACATCGAAAAAATGATAGAACAAATGAAAAATGACGCCTTGGCCATATCTGGCTGTCCGACGGGGTATTGCGGGCGCAAGCAAATTCTCCGTGTCTCAGTGCATTCCTGTAATGCATCAATCAACACATTACCAGCCAAGTCTAGACCGAGATCCTTGTTGATTGCAGGATTGCATATCAACCCGTTTTATCATGTCATTCCCCCGTCATCCCCCAGAATCTCTCTCTTTAAGCAACAACACCCATCAGTGCCGAGCAGAACAGCATAGCCATAACACCAAGTCCAGTCTTAGAAACGGGTTGGTTCAGCACGGCCGCGCCAGAGCTAGTGCTAGCCGCACTGGTACCCGTCGCAGTACCAGTGGAAGTGGCCTTGGTGGTCGTTGCAGCAGCGGTCGCGGTCGCATTTCCGCGCTTGTTACAGAAGATGGAGTAAGTGCCGCTCTCCTTCTCGAGACATTTGGTCAGCTCGTCGACAGTTTGGTCCTGGGCCAAGCAGTAGATGCCGCATTCATTGTCGTATTTGACGGGGGAGTTGCCCTTGCAGCAGGAGTCGAAGGCGTCGGTGATGTTACCGGAGATGGGAGCACCGCAGGCTGCGTCCGTCACGTTGGGGAGGACGTAGACGTTGCCGGTGCAAGTGCTGTTTGAGCCTGAGACGTCGGCCATGTTTGGTGGCGTGGAGAACTTATTAGTGGTGGTAGATAGAGTAGATGAGGCGCGCAAGCAAGAGGTGCTCAAGATTTGCAGCGGACAGTCTTTGAAGCTGGTACAGGGAGGATCGAAATCAGTTTCACCATTTAAAAACAGAGATTCTTTCTCGTGGCCCCGCTTTACAATACGCTAATCTATATATGGCCAACCCAGGTTTCAAGGGGCTGAATCGTATCGAAAGGCTATTTGATAAAAGACCGGATCTGATGAGTAACATGAAATACTATGACCATGAATAATACAACATGCGTCGTTCCTCAGCTCGCTCCTGCGGCTACACCCCACTTGGCAACGATATTCGCCACGTGTTTGTTCAAGCATTTGTCTTATTAAGCATTGACCTCCCAGTGCCTCCATTTCCCAAGCCAGCACATAGGAACATTGCAGTCCTACCAGGGAGCGAAGGCGAGCCTCATCTAACGGCTAGATCCCTGACTGTGGAGATAGGTAATCAGTACTAGATTATGGCGTTCAGTCCCACCCGAGAGCGTGGGGTACCAATAAATTGTCATGCATTTAACTAGCCACGGCGAGGTTTTACCAAATCATAAGAATGATCTCCCTTATCCAAGAGCAGTTTGACAATCTCTTGATGGCCATTATACGAGGCGGCCTGGAGAGCATTGCCGTATTCGCCGCCCTGCGCGTTGACGTCGGCTCCCTGGTCCAAGAGCAGTTTGACAATCTCTTGATGGCCATTATACGAGGCGGCCTGGAGAGCATTGCCGTATTCGCCGCCCTGCGCGTTGACGTCGGCTCCCTGGTCCAAGAGCAGTTTGACAATCTCTTGATGGCCATTATACGAGGCGGCCTGGAGAGCATTGCCGTATTCGCCGCCCTGCGCGTTGACGTCGGCTCCCTGGTCCAAGAGCAGTTTGACAATCTCTTGATGGCCATTATACGAGGCGGCCTGGAGAGCATTGCCGTCTTCGCCGCCCTGCGCGTTGATGTCGGCTCCCTGGTCCAAGAGCAGTTTGACAATCTCTTGATGGCCATTATACAAGGCGGCCTGGAGAGCATTGCCGTCTTCGCCGCCCTGCGCGTTGGCGTCGGCTCCCAGGTCCAAGAGCAGTTTGACAATCTCTTGATGGCCATTACACGAGGCGGCCTGGAGAGCATTGCCGTATTCGCCGCCCTGCGCGTTGGCGTCGGCTCCCTGGTCCAAGAGCAGTTTGACAATCTCTTGATGACCTCTTAACGAGGCGGCCTGGAGAGCATTGCCGTAGTAGCCGCCCTGCGCGTTAACGTCGGCTCCCTGGTCCAAGAGCAGTTTGACAATCTCTTGATCGCCATCTGATGAGGCGGCCTGGAGAGCATAGCCGTATCTGCCGCCCTGCGCGTTGACGTCTTCTCCCTTGCCAATAAGATCTACTGCAGGCGCGAAGAGCCTATTGAGGCAAGCGTAGTAGAGCCTGGAAGCTCGCGGAGGGCCAGGGTTATCGACCCAACTCCTATCAGCCTGATACAACCGACACCATCGTTGGAATGTCACTTCCTCTTCAAGGAACTTGACAGTCTTTCGCACTGTACCTTCAGAATCCCGAGCCAACGCAGCATAGCCGGCCCAGAGCTCCGCCGCATATCTTGCCATCGGAAAATTCCCCTTGATGTGTTTGTGGCTACCTTTGATGTCTGTGAGATAAGTCAAGCACGTTGTCGTGATAGAAATGCTAGCTGTCATGATTTTAAAATAGTTTTCTCCGAGAAGGTACTCTTTGACAGAAAAGTGGGCAAGATGTAACTCTTTATCCGTGGTCTGAACGATTGTCGCTAAGCCGGGACAGTAATCCAAAAGGTCAGTTTCGGAGAACAACCGACGCTTGATGTCAAACCCTCTCGCCTCGTCTTCAATCTGCGTCGCTATTACTTCTTTAGCCTCGGCTAGTGTGAGAGGTCGCTTGGAGTGCACTAAAAATTGTAGCAGGCGTATTGCGTCCATTTTGCGCTCCTCTGGTATGCTCTTCATCATGCGCTGATATGTCTCATTTAGGCTCTTAGGCAAAGATACAAGAGCCTCCTCCATAGCTGCCTCGTGACGACATCGAGCTAAGGTGTCTAGTTGACAGAATGCCCATCTGAACCTAAGTTAGGCGTTAGCAAACTAGTATTATATCGATCAAAACAGTAATATCTCACATTCCGTCTGCCCCGTTGCCAACCTTCTCCCGTATTTCATCGAGAAGACCCTGAGATAAGGGCTTCTCTGTAAAATCACGCCGTCCAGAGAGTTGTGCTGAGACCCATGAACGGATATCAGAGTTGATAGCCTCTTCATCGAGTGGTATGCAATTTTCCTCTCCTATCAAAATTGGAATACGGCCCAGAAAGTCGGACTCAGGTCGACTGGTATAGAGCAGCTGGACATGGGCCAGCTCTGGCTTGGATATCATGTCCTCAATCCACTTGAGAATATCAACCCTTGTGGTTGATTCATCTAATGCGTCTAGAACGATAGAGACCCTCTTCTGGACTCCAAGCATTTTGAATAAGATAGCCGAGAGCCCCTTTGTCTCAGGTTGGATTTTCCCATTCTGATGCGCTTGAAATGACGCATCAAGATGAAGAGCAGAGTCAATCCCACCTTCATAAAGCTGGAAAGTAAGCGACCGCAGCATACTTTCATATGTCTGCTTTTTGGTGTCGCTAAAGTCGAAGAAAAAGTTGAGGATAGGATTGTCGTTTGCTTTCGCGAGATAATCAAGCACAGTTGCACTGAGAACGGTTTTTCCACATCCCGCGAGCCCGTGCAGCCATATATGTCGACGCGACCCCGAGTACCATGACTGGAAGACAGGGTTCTCTAGGAGCCACGCGCCTGTCCCCTCATGGCGGAGCGTCCTCGCGTGGTTAGCGTTTGTAGATGGGTCCGGGGGAAGAAGCCAGGCTTTGATATCACGAGTACGAAGGTTAGACTTGATAGAATCGGTAGTGGCTTTCGTTGCGAGTCCTATCCGCTGCACGCTATCCATCTGCTTCTCGACTTTTCCAAGTTAGAACATTTCCGAAGTTCAAGTATTATTCTTGCCCAGGTATTGCTGGTGCTTCAAACATCGGGACGAAATATTCAGGTAGGCAGGTACTAACCCTTTTCCAACATAGCTTTCGCTGACTCCTCGGCATCAACAACACTGGGCTGCACACATCCTAAAAGTTCCTTTGCATATGCAGCGGCCACGGTTGCAGCATATTCTTGCCAGCTTTTCTCTTTTCCTGCATCCGCATAGTCACAAATGCCTCTGATGACAATACATGGGAAGTCATTCATGAGCCCAGCTGCCTCCATCTCCACGCACAACAAATGCCCACCATATGCTTTGTCGAGTGAGTTTCGAGACTCGGCGTCCTTAACCACTTTGTTCCCAGATGCGATCAAGCCATGATGTACCCTCACTTCTCTTTGGGTCCGTGCTTCCTCTGTCTTCTCAGGCAGCCGCCTATTCTCCTCATGTACCGAGCTAGTAGCCCATGAACCAAGAAGATATGCGATCATTCCGATGACCACCTGCCATAGCCTAGACAGAAAATGGACGTCGTTTGACGTCCGACGTCCCCTCTTCGATACCAACAATGGGTCTTTCAAACACTCACACCTGGTATATTTTGGTGCTAGTCGCGGAAATCTCCGTTCCACGTCATCCAGGTACTCATTTATCTTCGATCCGTACATCTCATGATTACTTTTCAGCTGATTGGACGCATTGAGAAGCGCGTTCGGAGGTCTGTTCAGCGAGCCCGTGTGGACAAACTGCCCACCCTGCTCCAGCTTCCCCATATCCCATTGTACCACCCCGTGATAGTCCGCAACAGGCTGGCTCACCACTACATCACCCAAATTGACCTTCGACGGAATTCCACCGCCAATCCCAACCATGAGCCCGAATCTGATCGATTGAAATGTGTTTATCATAGAGGTTGCCACGGTCGCGGCAGAGTTGGTTCCCATATTAGGTAAGCAGGCTATGACCACGTTGTGGCCGCATACCGAGCCAAGGTTATATGCATTATGGTCGTTGCGAGGGGTCGGAAGAGGTTCATGCTCCTCATCTAGCATGGCTCTAGCTGCGGTCTGTTCTTTTGGAAGAGCGCAAACCCACCCGATGGTATAGGCATCGTATCGGAGTCGCTTTCGGCATGGGAATGTTTCGGGGCCAGCATTGCTTTGGGCTGCTGCTGAATGCTCTGGCTGAGATAGGTGGTTCTCAGCCATATTGTATGAGAAGTACTCGACCAGGCAGAATGTTTAGACGCGCCAGATAGTGCTCAATATGTTAACCAAGCACTCTCTCTTCTCGCAGAACCAAAGGTCTTGGACGATCTGCTCCAGAAGAGAGAGGTCAAAGTGAATACTTCAAAAATTACAATGTGGTGGTTCATGACAAGAATCTCAGTTGGACTCCCACGAGCTGGAAGAGGGGCATTTCCTCAGCCTCGTAACCATGTGACTAGCGCGCTAGGCCAGAAAGATTATTGCAGCTGTTTTCTCGCTCACACCGCTTCCCGAATGGTTTTGTATCGATGATCATACTTTCATGTGGGGGCGGGTAGCGAGGGGCGTTCCCAGGAACGGGTCGACCCGACCCAAAGACTCAGATCGAAGAGAGCCCCGTTACCATATCCAGTCAATATTTTGCAGACAAAACGTTTGGACTTATCGCTTGAAGAGACCTCTCAGCAATTCAAACGAACAATTCGAGAACTACCAGATCACAGTTGGGGATTAAAACAGCTGAGAAATGATGTGTTATCTGTTTAACCCGCCTTTTTCTGAGGCCCGCAGCTTTGAGGAGCTTTGAGAGGAGCCACCCAGCTCCCAGGAACCCAAAATCGCCAAGTCACGTGCATTTCCTATTATCCAGCATGCCCCAGACCTTCGCCCCGAAATCATTTCATCTGCTCACTGAACAGAGGGGGACAGGAAGGGGGGCAGATGAATCCGCTCCCCGTTCCCCTCTCAGCCTTTCATGGCTTCCTCTCCAAATCCCTTCACCACCATCCAGACCCGCGCTCCTCCTGTCTCTCCACAACATGGCTCCAAGACTCCCCCACGCAAAGCTTGCAATGATTCAAGACATAATATCGAGCAAATCACTAACAACCTCAGAAATGGCCAAAGCCGCTGAATGTAGTAAACGCTCAATTATTAACATCAGCAACAACCTTCGCTGGTTCGGAAACGTCAAAGCACCACAAACGCGTGTCGGTCGCCGACGAACCGTTACCCCTTCGATGCTAGAAGCCTTGTGTGACCATCTACTCGAAAAGCCCGGCCTGTATGTGGACGAGATGGCAATCTTTCTGTGGGATGAGTTTCGCGTACAGGTTACAAATTCGAGCCTTAAGCGGGCTCTCGCTTCGGTGGGCTGGTCGAAAAAGGTGGCGAGACAGAGAGCCAAGGAACAAAATGCCGATCTGCGAGACTTCTACTTGCATAAATTGTCCGACTTTCAGTCACATCACCTAGTGTATGTGGATGAATCTGGATGTGATAAGCGGATTGGCTTCAGACGGACAGGTTGGTCTCCCCTAGGCGTAACACCCTTGCAGGTAGCGAATTTCCATCGCGACCAGCGGTACCAAATACTTCCAGCGTACTGTCAGGACGGAATTGTCCTTTCACGTGTATTCCAGGGCTCCACGGACGCTACGCTATTTGCGGACTTCATTGAGCAGCTACTTCGACATTGCGGAAGATGGCCTGAGCCGAAGTCAGTTCTAGTCATGGACAATGCATCTTTCCATCGCTCTAATCGGATTGAAGAAATGTGCAGTGACGCAGGAGTCAAGCTGGTGTATCTTCCACCTTACTCACCCGACTTGAATCCCATCGAGGAGTTCTTTTCAGAGTTGAAAGCATTCATAAAGAGAAATTGGGTGCATTATGAGGAAGACACACAACAAGGGTTTCAGACATTTCTCGAATGGTGTATTGAGGTTGTTGGGTCTCGAAAACAAAGTGCATTGGGCCATTTTCGACATGCTGGTGTGGTCATTGGACGAGGAGATTAGTTAATGGATTTTGTAATGTACATTAGCAGTGTGCTGTGTTGGTGTGATCCTACATATATATCAATGGATACGAGGATTCATGGGTCTCCCGGTGTTTTTTCATTTCCCCGCATGTCTACCGCACTCGTAGAAATATCATGTAATTATATCGAATCGTAAATTTAAGACCAACCTAATAGCGATACCAACGCCGTCTTGGATATCTCTGACCCCTTAAATCTTTAGTCTACTACCACCGAAGCCTCTTCAGTCGACGGCACACTATCTAGAGACCGAACCCATGTACCAATATCTCTCACAAACTGGCGTGCGATACCTACCATAATCCCTTTGTCGACAAAGAATGATGGGTTTTGGTCATCATGAATCAGTTTAAGATCTAGCCCATTGGCCAATGCCACATCACGCGCTTGCCGAAATTGAGCCTTCAAAGCGTCATCCTCAACATTGGCCTCATGCCACGCGGTGTATTGTTTGACAGCCACGTCTCGTAATCCGGGAATATTGAGATCATTCTGTACTTGGGCCTGGGGTGGAATCGCGGCTGAGCTGGGGACCTGCGCTTGAAAGGAAGGGGGCATCCCATTGATGTTGATGTTTATCGGAAGAGAGCCTCCCCAGGAACCGCCCATCTTGTTCTTGGACTGTTGGCTCTCCAGTCTTTGGCGCTCTTCTAAATATAGCTCTTCTCGAAAACTATTGGGGACGTCGCCATGAGACTCCAAGGTACCTCCCTTCTCCACAAAGGCAATGAGACGTTTGAGATGATGGCTTCGAAGCGCATGGTGTTTCTTCCCATGTGGGTCTTGCCAACAATGTGGGCCAAGATGGCACGAGGAGGAAGGACAACGCATTAGGTTGTACACGGCCCGCCAAACGGATTCTTGCCCAGATGTGTGCTCTTCGGCATCCAGTTGAGCGTCTCGCTCGTTGAGCATCCGTTTCGTGACAGACGACCTGCCTCTCTTTTCGACCCTACCAGAGATGGTTCTGCAGAGACGGTCATCCTCAACGAATTTGAAGGTAATACTTAACCTCAATCTTTTGCCCCGAAGAAATAGCGCACCCCACCGAAGCAGCTGTTTTTCAACGGTAGCCCAGTCGATATCAAGATGGTCAAATCGCTTCATCAGGTCGCGTTGAGAGCGATCATTCACCGATACGACAATTGCCGTGTCATCAGATCTCACCCGTCCTTTGTAGGAGGGCTTTCCCTCCAACAACTTCTCCAACTTACACTTCAGGGTCATCGGCCAGTAAGCGCTTGGTGTCAGAGCTACGTCTTCCTCCGTGTCTCGAGAGATCACTTTCTTATTCACCATGACCTTCCACTCGATCGTATACTGGATGTAGTTTGCCGGAAGCTCATCGTCTAGTGTTCCATCGTGCCACTCGGATAGCTGGAGCAATCTAGGACTTTCCGTCTTGTTTTGGGACAAGTCCTCCTGACCGTCCTCGGTGGAAGCGTCGGGTGAAGGGCTGAATCCACCCCTTGATGTAGGCGTGCAACCAAAGTATCCGGGAGTGGGGGCATTTTGCCAGTTGTGATCGACAGAGTGGGAATCATAGGGTTGAAGGTCATAATCATCGGGATTCGAGTTAGCAGTCATCGTTCTCGTGAGATTCTAAACGTTGCAATGGGATTCAACATTAGCAATTTCCTCCAGTCATAGTCCAGCAAACCCGAGTCCCTAAGAAGAAGACCCTGCCTGTTACACTAACCAATACACTTGACCTGCCCGTACAGTACTGGATGTACACCTGGCTAGTTCAAGAGACTCTTCACGTTGAGACATTGACAGGCTGAAATGCGAACGTGGCCAAGTTACCAGAATCAATTTGGGGACCCCCTTCTGTTTGCCTCGTTTGCAGATCAACGTTCTAGAAGCCGTTGCGACCATACAGGCTTATTACGGAAGCTATTTTTAAGTTGTAATTTACGGCTGTATGAGAATACTGCAAAGAAACCTAGTCAGGGGGAGGGTAACTTAAAATGGTATAGTGGGTTTCAAGAGAGGGTTCGAGAAAGAATCTCTACGTGTAAGTGGTGAAACTGATTTCGATCCTCCCTGTAATGTTGATGGAGATGGGTAGGATGGAGGCAGAAACAGAAGGAAGAGATGAGAAGGTCGCAAAAGCAATAAAAACAAGGCAGCAGCCCAAACCCACAAACAAAAAAAATAGCCAATCCCCGACCTGAAAAGGTTTCTCCTACATCATTTCAGCCCCGTACGATGTACTCCTCACACTCATCAAACCATGCAATCAATCAATCACAAGCAACCCGCAGGTTCAAGTAAGACAAACCAGGCCCAACGGCCCAGCCTCCGCTCGTATTAGGCCGTTTATTGGCTGCCACTCGTCAGGTTTCAGGTCGGTACCCGATGGAGCAGAACGCCCATTTGTGGGGAAGCTCACTGAGGACCCACCAAGTACTATATTTAACACGCATAAACTGGAGATTGTGGGATGTCTTTAAGTGATTGGTGATGCTAGTTGGAGGATGTTTACTCGGAATCTGACCCTGAAACGGGACGTTCTTCGTCCATACAAGCACTAAATGTTATAGAACGGTTGGACGTGATGTGCAAGGACGATCTACCTTACAGGCTACATGATATCAGATGCACTGAGGTTTGTTGGCACTTGTCTTGGCGTCGTATGATGGGTACGATGCGGGATGGGCGTATTGCATAAAATTCCGGCTAGTCTGACGCCACATAGATCTGACTTCACAAAAGCGAAGATCATCGATGCTCTATGGTCACGGAAAAAAAGGGAGAGAGAGAAGAGCATACCAGAATCCGGCAACACGATCCAGTAATGGCTGAAGGGATTGCACTCCTTGCAAGTCACAACGTGTACAGTTACATATGTCGCTGCGAATGGGCCGATATATGAAATCATCGTGACCTTCTCCCAGCAAAGGTGTGTGTGCAGTCTGCGATAGGTATCAAGCAGAGCCAGCTTTTGCAACCAAAGACCGAAAGAAAATGAGAAAAATAGCCCGTCGACCAGACGTCCCATTCCATCCAGGACCTACTAGGAATTATAGAATACTTGATTACTGAGCACAAACTTACTTGCGAACTCTCTACGACGGATCTCCTCGGGGGTGAAATGGTGCGTGTTTTTGAACGTGGTAGTATTGCGTTATCTCGGACTGAATTATTTCCTCTCGCAAAGATTTACCAGAGCAGCAGAATTGATGGACACCCCGGGGAAGGCGATACTATATTCTCGTTAAGATTAGTCGTCTTTACCCCCAAACGACTTACCAGTTAGGGGCTTCATGGCAAACAGTCTCATTGGGATTTCTGGTTATTTACTGGGGCACCAATATGGCTTACTCATCTCTGGCCCAACATGTAACTAACTAACTAGCCATCCACTGCCTGCCAGCACTCTTGTGTTGCACAACCCGAACAACCCAATCGTTCGCATTCTCAACTCTTCTTTCTCGCTGCGATAACCAACTCATGGAGCTCAAATGCCTATCGCCAGAGTCCAATGGCAGACGATGCTCGTGAGCCGCAGGCGGCCCTCACAGCAATTTCGTCACGAAATCCAATCGTCGCCTTATTTCTTCATCAGTGCTTCCCCAGTTCTTATTGCCAATTTTCGCGAACTGCGATCTATGATCAAAAGACAGTCTGTGATGGCGATGCGTGGAGTCTCTCTGTTCGCTGTCTCTTTCAGTGAGAAAAGCAAAGTTACATAGCCTGTCACCAGCTAAGCGACCAAATAGGGAGAGCCGTATCTAGAAAAATTAACTACAGCTCATGCGATAATGGATGAACGCCAAAAAGTGGCATCAAAGTTGGCCACGTGACTGCTGCCCCTCTTTCCAACAATATCAGCGCATCTACGCAGGTGGTGCTGACAAGACGTCAAGTACCCGACCTCTGGGCTTGGGTGATCCGTCTTCAAGGTCCAAAATGGACTTGACGCATGATGACTACACAATCACATGGATCTGCGCCCTGCTCATCGAAATGGCAGCCGCAAAGCTGATGCTGGAGAAATTCCATCCTCCACTATGGCAGCCGCAAACCGACCACAACGTCTACACTCTCGGGAGCGTCAGTGGTCACCATGTCGTTATTGCATGTCTGCCCTCAGGGATTTACGGAACCACGTCCGCGGCGATCGTCGTCGACCAGATGCTAATGACCTTCTCTCAACTCCGATTCGGCCTCATGGTCGGTGTCGGGGGTGGTGTGCCTAGTCCCGGGAAGACTGATATCCGCTTGGGAGATGTGGTTGTTAGTATGCCGACCTCAGGCTCTACTGCTGATGGGGTCATTCAGTATGACTATGGGAAACAGCTGCATGATGAATCTTTTCGTCAGACGGGGTCGCTCAACAAACCTCCACGACACGTTTTAACGGCGATCTCACAAATCCGGAGTGAGGATTTGATTGAGGACACTTCGAGTCGGATCGAGGAAGTGATATCTGATGTACTTGAGACAAAAGATTGGAAAGTCCGAGATCAGTTTTAGCGACCAGATCACGACTGGTTGTTCAAGTCCAGCTATCATCATTATCGGAGTGAAGATACCGACTGTTCAACATGCGATCAGACACAATTGGAGGTTCGTGAGCCGCGGTATTCCAAGAATCCAGTCGTCCATTACGGCCTGATCGCATCGGGGAATCAGGTCATCAAAGACCCAATGAGAAGAGACGCTCTTGGACAGGAAATGGATATTCTCTGTTTTGAAATGGAAGCTGCCGGTCTCATGGATCAGTTGTCGTCTCTTGTCATCCGAGGAATCTGTGACTACTGCGACTCTCATAAGCACAAGAATATGGCAAGGATACGCAGCGCTTACTGCGGCGGCTTACACAAAGGCGCTACTCGCTGTGGTCCCCTCCCACAATAGGAAGGAGCTAGCTCGCTGGGAACCACCGTCCACCAGCAAACTTGAGCGCGTCAAAGAGATTCTGCAACCCTCCGTCCATCCCCTCGACATGTACCAGTATATCGGCAAGCTGCGTGTTCCGGGCACTGGAGACTGGGTTCGAAATGAGCCACTGTTTCGGGCGTGGGTTGAGAAAAACGATAACCCGCTTCTGTGGGTCTCTGGCACTCCGGGATGCGGCAAGAGCTTCATCGCACAGAACATCATTGCTTACCTTCGAGAGCGTTTCCCTCAGTGTGACGCCACTGAGAGCAACCATACTTCTGTTGGGTATTTCTTTTTCAGACACAACGATCCCGAGACAAGGAAATTCCACTGTGCATTGAGGAATATCGCGTTTCAAATCTACCAGAATGACCCTTCCTACAGAGACTACGTTCATGCTCACTGCCATTCGACTGACAACATCAAACCAATCCACGCTGCGTGGAGAGTCCTGTTCATGGACTACTATCACAACGCCCGCGGGAACGTTGAGGGTAACGTAATTCTTGTCCTCAACGGCGTGGATGAAGCCTTTGAGGAGGACTGTAGGGAGTTCCTGAGGCTAGCTTCAGATATCGTACACGGTGGTTACCTGAGCTCTAGACTATGTTGGTAAGGGAACCAGGCTAATCGATTGCACGAATCAGATCCTGTCAAGCCTCGCCTCAAAGCCGTACTCCTTGGGAGACCAGATATATACAACGATCTGGTGGAGGCTTTCGAGCAGCCTGTCCCTACCATCCACATCATTGCCAACAAAAACATTGGGGATATCACAACATACGTTAAAAAGGGCATCCGCAAGTCTCGACAGATGAGTCGGATTCCGAAGACACTGCGCCTGAAAATTGAGGAAACCTTGATCAGCAAGGCCGAGGGGATGTTTCTTTGGGTCGACCTGATGTTGACAGAGCTTAATGGGAAGACCAAAGCTGGCAGCATGCTTGAGAGCCTCCACAAGGCCCCCAAGGGCCTCGATGCGATGCTGAGACACGTCCTGGAGACATTCAGCACCAGGCTGAGCGAAGAAGAAGCAATTGATCTCAACATTATTCTGGCGTGGGTTTCATGTGCGGACAGACCTTTGACATTGGAGAAGCTAAGTGAAATACTGCACTTCGAGCGGGATACTCACGATGAAAGATTGGCGCTGGAGGATGCTCTACGTACGCAATATGCCTCTCTCTTTGTGCTCAACCGCGTAGACGGCTTGACGACAGCAGATTTAGCCGGTTGGGGTAGACAGGCCTTTGATCAGTCTCAAAATGACCAGTCCGCTGAAAACAGTGACTCTTCTAGCGAGCAGGAATCGGGGTTCAATTCGGACATATATTGGACGACAGTAACCTTCTGCCATGCCTCAATTCGAGATTATCTGCGAAACCCAGACTATGGCAAGGTATCTGGGGGAGATGGCTGAACAGCTGTTGGCGTTGATTTCGTCCAAGCGAGCTTGGGCACTTTGAACATATGTCTCAAGGCAATAGCCGAGGTCCAAATGATGTCTAGTGTGCGCGACTACGCGCTGAGCAACTGGGTTAGCCAACTGAGGCATCTTTGCAAATATTGGGATAGAGTTAATCGACAACAGAGACAAGAGACCATTGTTTTACTTTGCCAAGTCTTTTTGCGTGCAAATTTGGAAATGTGTCACTCTTACGCTGCTCCGGAACCAGTCATCGAGTTTATCAATCGTGAGACAATGGCCTTGATCATCTTTATTTTTGATGAGAAGGAATGTGTCAATACCATCGACGACACTGAGATACGGGGATGGATACGTCTCTGCATTGAGGAGCCTGCTCAGGTGTTCGTGCCGCTAGGCCGTGAAGTGGCTGAAAGATGGCTCATCGACTCCTGGGATCCAGTTTTCTGCATGTTCACCGTACTTGCTGTCGTTAATGTTCTCCATGGAGAGGACCCCCCTGTATTGACAGCTGTCCCGCCTATTGACACTATCCTAGAAGTTGCCAGGTGGGCGCAGTTTGAAGAGAACGCGATCTGGCACCACCATGTTGGGTCTTGTCTAAGCTTCTTTGAGCATTACGATGCGGCCATTGAGCAGCTGAATACCGCACTGGCTCTAGAGCCAATATGGCGAGCCAAACGGAATCTTGCTGAGGTCTATTGGAAAAAGGATCGTTTGAAAGATTCCCTTCGATTGTTTAGAGAGGGCGAAGCGCAATACGCACCGCCGCCTACGAACCTTCGTACCGAGCACGGAATTCATGATTTTGAAAAGGAGAAGGCTCGCGACCTAGCTGAGCTCCGCAAGAAAATGGGCTTACTTTATATTCAGCTGGGAGATCACTCAAGCGCCACATGTTCGCTTATGAGATCCATCGAGCTTTGGGATTTTGTTCACATCTGCACCCCTGTGTTCCTTATTATTCGTGCTCTAGTTGCATCAAAATCCTCGCGAGACGAGAGGATATTGCAGGTGCTCAAGATGGTTGACCGGGATCCTTGGTCTTATAATGAGACTGTTTTGTCCCGGGCTATGAAGCGCAACTTCGAGGACTGGGACTGTTGGGACAACACCCAGCTTCCCCTGGTATATGCCGTCTCCGCGAAACGATGTAATGACCTTGAATGGCTGGAGTGCAAGTATCAGACCCTGATCGAAGAAAATAGCGGGCGGGATATCGATATGATATGTCTGAACGAGTCACTGGCTCACCTATATGACAGATTTCTGGGTGAGGAAGGGAAAGCCATTCTGATTTGGAAGAGTATCATAGCCCAATACAGGGTTCCCGACTCAATCCGGTACGAAACTTTCTGCAGAGCAAGAAATCGTGCTGTTGCGGCCTACGGATACCGGCTCTTGGCCAACGGTCTGAACTGGGAACGCCCAATCTCTTATCATATCGGAGCTCGAGAAGATCTGCGACACCGAGATTCAGTCCCTGGCGAGCAATAACGTTCTCTTCCATGGCCAGCCGGGAATTTACATGGGCATATGGCATAAATTAAATGGTCGCAACCAGGAGGCGAGAAGTTACTTCAGACCATACGTTTTACATGCAGTATCCTGGTGCGATCACCGAGGCGACATACCTGTTATGCATATACAGCTCGTCCTCGGCCACCGCTTCGCCATGATAGGCGATGACGAAGATGCCATAAACCTTCTTCAACTCGTCCATAGCCCCTTGGATCTGCGCGATGGCAGCTCGGCGTCGCCCGAGGGACGCATGGCATCGCCCTGGCCACTAGTCGTCGAAGACCGCGTCTGGTACTGCCATATCTGCCTTCTATCGTGGGGGAACTTTGTCAACTGCAACGTCTGCCGCCGGTGCAAAGCGGATATTTGTAAAGAATGCCTCGACAGTGTCAAACGCGGGGTCCCGGAAAGTAGCCATGCTTGTGATGCTAGTCATGAATGGTTGTATATTCCGCCGCCGCCTGGTGTCCCCGGTACGTATCCGCTAAGTCGAGATGGGAAGACTCTATCAGTTGAAGAGTATATGGATGCTGTTGAGAGGGCTTGGATATGACTTTCAGGGGAAGTTGAAGAAGGCAGAGGAGATGTACCGGCCAGCACTGGCAGGCTATGAGAAGGCCCTTGGTCGTGATCACAGGAGGACCCGGCGACTTGAACTGTAATCCATTTAACTTTCGTAGTAGAAGCCGAAGGACAATTGAGCCGACTGTCGCCTAGGTAAACACCCAGGGAATGATGAGGGTGTTGACCATTGCTTTCGAAGGTAGGCTGTGAGAGTATAGATTCAAAGACTAAGACGAGACGAGACGAGCTATATTAACAGGTGATGGGATGGTGTAGGATTGGGTCTGCTATCTCAAGTCTTTCCGATAAGGGTTGGCGATTCCCTACCCAAACCCGCCAAGATATAGGGGGGTCATGAAGTGAGGTAGGAAACAGTCGAGTCTCGAAGCGCCTCCTCATGTTCATTTCTAGAATTGAAGTAGAAGTGAATTCTAGGTTCATTAGGAAAAGTCTACGAAGGACAACCCCTTTCTCCTGGTTTTTTTTTGTACTCAATCGGCAAGAGTCCGGTGAGGCTCGCGCGGCACGGAGAAAGCTGTTTATTCGGCAAGAATCGCCGAGGCTCCACCAGCATCAAACGGCAGGAAAGGTAAACATTGATTTGTCGTCCTTGATTTAAATTAGCCAATCCTCGCATAAACTATAGGTTGCTAGTCTCTGATGAACCCTTGCCCCCAGGTCTCTCCTTGCACTGTTCAATCAGCCCGCCTATCTCTCATAAGCAAGCACGATGCATGTCAAGGCGGGATTATTATTAGTCGCCTGGGCAATTGGTGCCACGGCTACACGAGGCTGGTGGGGCGGCGAGGTGCCAGCCCAGCGATCGTACATGTATGTTGGAGGACAATATGCTCAGAACAGTGCTGGCCAGCATGTCTTCGCGAATCAGATGTACGTGGAAAAATTGACCCCAGCCGAGGGTGTCACCAAGCCGTATCCAATTGTTTTTATCCATGGACAAGCTCAAACAGGCACAGTATGTATCAATGATGGCTCTTGCCCCTTTCTCGTGGCAGACGAAGCTAACTGTGATCGTTAGAATTGGCTCAACAAGCCTGACGGAGGTGAAGGCTGGGCCTCCTACTTTCTCTCCCAAGGATATGCATGCTATATTATCGACCAGACCTTCCGCGGCCGCAGTGCCTGGTTCCCTGGCAATGGGACGCTAAGCACGTATAGCGCCGAGCTGTTGCAGCAGCGCTTCACCGCACCGCAACTATACAACCTCTGGCCGCAGGCGTCTCTGCACACCCAATGGAATGGGACAGGCGTCATGGGCGACCCGATCTTTGACACTTACTATTCCTCGACGGTGGAGTTCCTCAGTTCAGCCACCTACCAGCAATCGACTGTCCAGGCCGCCGGCGCCGCCCTGCTCGACACCATCGGATCCCCAGTCATCCTCCTCTCCCACTCTCAAGGCGGATTGATGCCCTGGCTCATGGCGGATGTGCGCCCGAATCTCGTCCACTCCATCGTCTCGATTGAGCCCACCGGCCCTCCTTTCCAGGAGGCTGTGTTCAGCAACACTTCCGCCCGTGCTTACGGGCTTACCGATATCCCTCTAACCTACTCGCCCGCCGTGACCAATCCTGTCACCGAACTGGTGAAGCAGGTAATTCCTTCCAACTCATCCCTGTATTCCGACTGCGTCATCCAGGCCGATTCACCCGCACCAAGACAGCTCGTCAACCTCGCCCATGTGCCCGTTCTGGTCCTGACGACCGAGTCGTCTTACCACGCGCCTTATGACCGGTGCACATTCCAGTTTCTGCAACAGGCAGGCGTGCCGGCTCAACACCTCCAGCTGGCGGATATCGGCATACATGGGAATGGACATATGGTGTTCATGGAGAAGAACAGTTTGGAAGTTGCGGCTATCTTGCAACGGTGGATGGAGCGGACGTAATTCATGGAATGGAGAAGTTTGTTTCGCTGGCCAAAGCTGTATTTTGATCATTTTCCTTCACTTTCCTCACACGAGGTACAGAATAATGGAGTAGAAAAATGCCGCCTTCTATCACCTCTTCTCATACTATATACTGTCTTTTAATAGGCATCCATGACATAAATTCACACTTAAGCACGCGGGTACATATCGAAGCACCGGTATTTCAAGTACATGCTTTGTGATTCCCCTTTCACGCAGCCTTGCACAATGGCATGCTACCACCTGAGTCATTCAAGTCCACAGCCCTTCGCCTTGTTGAAAGTAACAGCCTCACCAATGCCTCATGCCCACCTCAGGCATCCTGAATTAATATGAATTGAGGAGAGAATAAAACCTACGATTAGTTTGAGTCAACGAGCCAATGTCTCTTCCTGCGTCTAGAAAGTCTGTATCTAAAAGCAGCAATTCCGCAGGCAAATAAAGATGCATTTTCAGATTTCCTTTGTGAATTTTGAAAGACCCTAGGTCCCAATAGGCGAACAACACCGGCACTCAAGGGATTCGGAGAATTTGCGCTCAAATCGTATTGGGTTTAGCGTATTCTATGATTGGGTCTGAAAGAGCATACTTATGTTTCCCGACATGGAAGGCAATAACGGTCCACACTGTACATCAACTCGAGTCAAAACGAGCTGCCTCCTTGCATCCAAATCCAGCGCAAACCAGTTGTTCGTTTCGACGCCGAGTCCATACTAGGTCTCGACCACAGCGAATATTCCAAATGACAGGAAAATTGCCTACAAGCGCTTCGCCTCATCATCTTCACGAACATACTCTTCGCTATGCGAAACCTCCTCGATTTTCTTCTCATCATTCTCAGGACCCTCAACGCCGACCAGCGCCAAAAGTCCAATCTCTCTCTCAATGCGGGTCTTGCGAGCGGCGTCGGCAGCAGCCATACCGGATGTCCCAAAGAGTTCGTCCATTTCCTCCAGAGTGCGACCCCGAGTCTCTGGGACGAAGAAGATCACATATACGATGGCGATGGTGGTCACACAGCCGAAGAAGATGAATGCACCGAGGGCGCTCTTGTTAAGGAAGGGGGATGTGGCGGTCGCGACGGCAAAATTGTTTAGCTAAGAGGATCAGTTAGCAAGTCGATCGAAGGGGAGAGATGAGGCAGTATATGCAGCATACCCAGTTGCTGCTTCCTCCGATACTAACACCCTTGGCGCGCATACTGAGCGGGAAGACTTCCGAAGTGACAATCCATGCGACGGGACCTTTGGAAATTATTAGCAGTTTTTTTCGGTTCGCGGAATGACAGAGAAACGCTATACGTACCCCACGAATACGCAAAATTTATGACGAAAATCCAGACAAACACAATGACAGTCCACCCCGCTGCACGGTGTTCCCCAAAGTCATGCTGATAAGCGCCGATGATACCTGCCACGATGAAGTGGCAGATAGCCATGCCAGCAGCACCGGCGATGAGAATTTTCTTGCGCCCAATTTGATCGACCCATAACACGGCCGGGATGGTGAAGAGAAATTCGACGATGCCTACGACGCCGGTGGCCAGCAGGGTGGTCGTGTTGCCTGGAAGTTCCATATCTTCGAAGATGAAGGGTCTGGTGAAGGTTAGATTGTAGATCAAATCAGGCGTACAAGGTCATATTTAGACTCACGCGTAGTAGTTAATCGCGTTGATGCCGTTCCACTGCTGGAAGACCATGATCATGCACTGTCATCTTGTTAGTGGAAAAGCATGACCGGGCTTGACGGGAATCCATACAGCAACGGTAGTCCGCTTGAACAGAGAGGGATTTGTAATAAGCGACATATAATCATGCAACCCGATCTGGAAACGACTCTTAAACGATCCATCCTGCCACTGGGGATACTTTTCAGCGGCAGTCTCTTTTTCAAAGAGGTGCAGACTTTTCATTTCCAAGTACTCGATTCGAACGAGCAGGTCGTCAGTAGAGGTACCGCGCAGACGTGCCAGCGTTTGCAGACACTCTTCATCCCGGCCGGTGTTCATTAGATGGCGTGGTGACTGTGGCATAAATAACATCATACCGGCTGCCAAGGTTATCGCGGGCAGGATCTGGATGCAGATGGGGATTAACCATGCCGCGTTGGATTGGGAGTCGCCCGTGCCGCCAATGTAGTTTGTTCCATAGCCGATCTGTCTCGTTAGTCGTGTACTGTATAACATAAACTCGGGGTAATACCATACCCAGAAGCTGACCATGATGCCAAACGTAATTGCCAATTGCTGCACAGCAACCAGCGATCCACGGATCTCAGGAGGAGCCTTATCACGGATCAGCCATGCTTGCGCCTTCCGTCAATATTTGTGTAAGCCACTCACCAGCTCTGCATTATACAGCGGCACAACCATACTCAAACTACCCACGCCTAGACCGGTCACGAATCGACCCGCAAATACATAGTCCTTATTCTGAGTACATGCTTGAACGATCACACCGACGCAGAAAACGACGACTGCAATCAGGACTGTGAGTCGACGACCGGCGGCATCGGCGAGGTAACCATTGAACAGAGTGCCGACCCAAGCACCGAGCTCGAGAATGGAGGTCAACATGCCCTGCTGGATACTCGTAGTTGCGGCGTATCCTTGCGTCTAAAGAGAGTCAGATATCTAAATTGACCATCACTTACAACCAATACCGAGGTACGTACGGCTTTCTGGAATGAGTTCATGGTCAAGACCTGCGCGAACATTCCCTGGTTGTCTGATCTCCGAGTTAGAATCACGCCCTCAGCGTCCATATAGAAGATTTTGACTTACATCCATATACCAAACCACCCAGAGAGGCGAATAATCCAATTGCAGAGGTTTTCTTGTTACTCAGGAGACCCAATATTCCACCCTTTCCCGCGAGTTCGGCGCGCTTGGCCGATATGGCTGTTTCCCCGGGAAGTGGCGCAACCATATTGAATCGCTGGTAGTGTATCCGGATACAAAAACTTCAAGCTCCCAAATCTCAAACGGAGGATATCAATTATAAAAGGGCTGGACGCGTCAATCTTTTCACCCGGGGATGCGCATTTTATATATCAATGATGTTCCAGGAAAATTCCCCAAGTTTGCAAGTCGAACTGGCTAAATTTCCCGACTTTATCCCCATGGGGGCCATCTATCGTTCCAGACTATTTGTGGTCCGGTGGGATAGACTAAAGCAGAGGGGTCTTTCCACCATATTCAATCAGAGTTCCGTTCGAATGGCAGGAGTACCCACCGAATAAGCCGATGCACCCCGTTCCGGCCAGGAACCGGGTCGGCTGCGGCCATTACTTGTCATCGTCACTGGCTGTATTAAGGAGTTAATCCGGCAGAGCACTATAATGTGGGATGCGGGGATTTAGCCGGGTGGATTCTGGGTAAATCGAGAATATTCGGGGAACGGAACGGATCCCGGGATCCTATTTTGCTTCGGCATCGCGGCTCGGGTGGCTTGATTTTAGGGTCTAGACTAGTTGCCCGAGTCTTGACTCGGAAGTGCTGCCAGAAATAAAGCGCATTCCCTTTGTATGATAAAGCTACTCAGCTTGAGATGTTCAAAACATTTCACAAGCCATATCCACATCCAGCTTATCGGCTTCTCCCGCGTTCTGAACGGGGTACGGTCCAGCACGCGGGCTCATTGGCGAAGCCGAAGGTCGGGTCCACCGGGAAGTGCGGATACTCTCCGGGTCAAACAGGATGGAGACGGGAAGATGGAACAACGGGGGAGAGCGTGACAAGAGCATGGATTTACTCTTTGCGAAGAAGAGAATGCTGGTATTTCGAGCTCCGTATCGAGCTGCCGTCAACCTGCTTTTCCTACCCTCAACCAGATGATCACTTGTCAGCGCTTCTCCCAGCCCAAAATCAATGAAGTCACTGAAACAATCGAGGCCCATCCAGCACCGAAGCACCGACTCACCCCAAGACCATTCCCCACATCCCACATTCTCCCACGTTGTGCACGGTTGATGTCGGTTGTTCAACGCAATTTAGCCGAACGTTTACGCCTTTCGTCACACCTGCACCTGCGAACACGCGCCACCCAGGCCCCTACTGCACGCCTCACCCGCCGCCCAGACACTAATTTTCTAGCGTCCGGCGAATCGCTTTCAGACCACAAAGCACTCGAAGAAATAATACCTGGAACTTGGCAGATTTTCCGACAGATTGGCAGGTCGCTCAGCATGGAGAGTAATATTGTTGGTTTAGTAATAGCTAAGATGCGAATGTCTGGGGTATTAGGCGGAATGGATAAAAGCCCTCGGCCATGTCAGATCCCTCAAGCAGCATAGCGGCAACCCCCTTACGTTCCTTTTTCATACCCTTTCAAGGCTCTTCTGCTTTTTATCAAGAAGAACAGACGCTGCTCTACTTAAAACCTATAGAGATCCACCGCGTCTCTCATGGTCTGGAATAAATTAGCGATGAACTAGCATTGGGGGAAATTGTAATACTACCAAGAGCATTAACATCCTCTGGAGTGAGGCCGTAGAGTGTACTGAATTCTTGCCGTTTACTACTACTTTTCTTGGAGCGCTCGGTGATGAGTATTGCATCGAACCGTATATCCCCGGCGTGGATAACATCCTTGGTAAGTCTTCGGATGTCCTCGGTCCGGCGTGGGGTGTCTTTATGAAGCGTATCTCGTACCCAGGTAGTAAACGTCCTTTGACGGACATTAGGATAGCTATGGCGAAGCGCTTGAAGAGTGGTATCGGATTCTGCCAGTTTAGCGGCCATTTCTGCTATATCTTGACGTATTTGGCGCGGTTCCTTAAAGAGGAGGAGGCAGTCTGTGTTGGCAGTCATTTTCTGCTGAGGGTAGTATTGGATTGTCGGCGCCTCCTCGACCATTTTGTCGATGCAGGCTTGGGGACTGTTCTCTTTGCTCTCAACTGAGCCGTGGTAGAAGATCTCAGTGTAGTCCTGGGATATACTCAGGTTAGTGAAAGCTCCACTGAAAGGAGAATCAGAATTAGTTTTACCATTATTAGTTGAGCGTGTTTCCTATCTATCTTAGTCAGCCTTTTTCGGGATCCTGCTGGCCTCCGAGATGTACGCTCTGGGCGCATATCAGCCCTCGAATAGTAGTATCCTCTCTGCTCGCATCACGACCGATAGAACGGAACATCTCTTAGAAGTGCGAAGAACATTGTTGAGTTCTTACAATCAACTGAGTTCATCTACACTCAACTGCTGGGAACACTCTGAATGTATTTTCACAGAAGCAGCCCGCCAACAACACATGCCGCTTTCGACCTCGGTTCCTCCTGACCGCCAGACAGGAGGTCTCACGTCAGGTCACGAATGTTTGAGTGTTACATCGAGTAGCAGCATAATTTCCTTTGAAGCCTTTTGGAGCGTAAAAATTGTTGAATCCTGCTCGGTTACAAGATTTCACAGATATGGTAGCAGCAGAGGCAAAACTCGGCAAGAGACCATTTCGCCGAAATGCCATCCACATGGTCATAGCATACGAAACCTCTCACAGTTAGAATGATTAAAAAGCAGCCCAAGTTCTTTTAAAATAGTGTCGGGGTAGCCACGCTGTTTCCGATCAATAAGTTTCCTCTGTATGTGGCCAGTCACTCAATAAAACTCCCCGACTCTCCCTGGTATCAATTCCTTGGTGAAAAAATACTATACATCCAGTACTCAGGACTCCACCCCAGCGATAATACCAAAGATGAGCCAAACCTCTATTCTTGAGAGACTTTCGGCTCTCGATACCAACACCGTGTCCGATGCCCTTGATTTCCTCAACCTCGAAGGTGCCACATACGGACTCCGGCCACTCTGGGCCTGCCCAGAAATCGTCGGGCGCGCCAGCACAGTTCAACTTGGCCCTAAGACCGATGCTGCTCCAACCGCTCATTTGATTACCCCGGTGATCAGCGCTGTCACAAGTGCTGACCGCATTTTGGTCATCGCCGGCGGTTTGGAGGGTATTTCATGCTGGGGTGATATCATCGCCAACGCCTCCAAAGTGAAAGGTATCCGGGGGACTATTATTGATGGAATGAGTCGTGATATCGACGGTAGCCATGACGTTGGATATCCCGTTTACGGTCGGGGAGTCACCATGATCAGTGCGCGGAATCGAATGGTGCAAGTTGGTTCTGGCACACCCATCCAGGTGCGCGGCGTGACGGTCAAGCAAGACGACTATGTAATCGCCGATAACTGCGGGACAGTTTTTATCCCCGCTAATCGCATTGAAGAGGTTGTGGAATTGGGTGAGCGCATCGATCGACGTCAGAAACTTATGGTTCAAGAGGTTCGGGCTGGCAAGCCCGTGTCCGAGGTTATGCATGACACGAAATTCGACGCCATCAATAAGGACCAGTCTACACAGCGAGCGACCGGATCCGAAGGGGCACCTACTATCAAAGAAAAACCGAGAAGAGCTAGTCCCGAAGACGAAGAATTGGTAGCCCTCTTCGCAGAATCAGATACACCCGGAGTCTCTGATGCACTGGATAAACTCGGCATCCCCGGACAAGCATTCAACATCATGCCCTTGACCGACTATAAAACTGTCACCGTTGGACCCGCTTTCACTGTTCGCTATGTGCCCGCCAGCAACCCACCTGGAAGTGTGGGCGATTTCATCGACGACGTTGCCGTGGGTGACGTTGTTGTCATCGATAACGGCGGTCGGACGGATTGCACCGTTTGGGGCGATATTATGACCCAATACGCCGGTCTGCGGGATATTGCTGGAACCGTTATCGACGGTGTCTGTCGGGATGTCAACCGCGCTATTGATGACAACTACCCTGTTTTCACTGCCGGTCGTTGGATGCGAACGGGCAAAGATCGTGTGCAAGTCGGGGGTGTCAACGAGTCGGTTGGTATTGGCAAGGTCCGAGTCGAGCCTCGGGATATCGTTGTCGCTGATGCAAACGGCGTGGTGATTGTGCCGAGGGCTCGCGCTCGTGAGGTAGCTGAGGTTGCGCGACAGATTGAGAAGACTGAAGCTGGGATTCGTGAGATGATTGCTGGTGGAGCTACGATCGCAGAAGCCCGGGAGAAGCTTGGCTATCATACTCTGCAGCGTAAGGACTAGAAGAAGAGCCAAAAATCTCTTTTGAAATATGAACTCCGGATTTCTTGGATCATCACTACGAGCTGTGCAGTTGCCTAATGAATGTAATTCTAAATTAATTACGATATCATGAAAAGCAAGTCGAGACAACTTTTGAATTTGTTTGAGTCTATCTCAATTTACAACAACGTTTCATCTCACAACATTAAGGAGGAACACGACAACAGTACATGGGGCGTCAAATATTGCCCCGGATTAGTCCTTGGTTATCTTTATAGTAGGTTCAAGATGAAGGATGCGAAAATTCCGGGAAACCATTATTTAATTTCAAAAATAGCTCTTGGATCAAGAAAGGTTGTGTCACGCCATACGTACAATTGACTTGTTTCATCATACATTTTGGATCAAGCATCTCATCGACGTTCTCTCTCAAGTGTCACGATCGTGCATTCTGCAACTCCGCCGTGTACCAATTCTGAATCGCACGAACATCGTAACTCAACGCCACGCTATCGAAGACCTTCAAATGCTCCTTGCACAATGCCCCAGTGTTTGATAAACGGGAAACCCATTTACCATGCTTCTTAGCAGCAGCAACAATCTTCTCAAAAGCCTCAACAAATTCAGGCTCGTCCCCTCTGGCCGGAACGTAGCCAAGAATTGATAATGCAAGGTCGTTAGGTCCGATGAAAATCATATCTGTTTCAATATTCAGTGAGTATATTCGCAGGACATGATTAAGAATTGATCACCCACCAACGCCCGGCACGGCACAGATAGAGTCGACATTCTCAACCCCGGTTTTTGACTCAATCTGTAAGCATGTAATAATCGTTTCGTTGGCCGTCTTGATATACGTTCCAAGATCAATTCCATGCGCGATAGCTGGAAAAGCCGATCCCTGCCCCCGGACGCCCTGTGGAGGGAACTTGGCATGCGAGACAATAGTCCGCGCTTCTTCGGCAGTATTTATTTGCGGTACGACAATCCCACTGTATCCAGACTTAGTCCGTACACATCTTGTTCAGGGTCCGCGGAATACTTACTGTGCACCGGCGTCTAACGCTCTCTTAATTAAATCAGGGTGTGTCATTCTGAGACGAACAAGCGGAGACACCCCCAGAGCAGCGATCGCGGCTGTTGCGCTATGCATTGAATCATCACCGACGTGACCATGTTCGCAATCAATGATTATACCCTTTATAGTTTTTAGTAAAGATTCCAGTCTTTCGGCGAGAGGAGGGCTTACGTCAACGCCAGTCTGCGCAACAATTTGTGCTGCGCGAAAAGATGGCAAACCAAGAAAGGTCATGATAGGCTTAGAATTCGTTCTCAAGGCATTGAGCAGACGTAGCTGTGGGTTACTGACTGCAGTCGTCATTGCTACGGACCATGTCATTCTGTACTCGTGGGAAATTGCTCGTGTATCTGGTGAAGATGAATTTGAACGTGAATGTCGACCCGGATGTAGCAAAGATGGATAGTCAAAAGGTGAAGATTCTGATGCACTGTCAAATTCGAGAATTTAGGACAGGCAGTCGTCACCCGCTTTGAAGAAGTGACGTTCGATTATTTCCGATGGTCGGCAGAGCATAACAAACCCGAACGAAGCCCAACCAAAGCCGAGCTTGATGCACGGAGGAACATTGAGTGTCCGGATATTTCTACTTCCATAGAAGCAACTAACTCATCTAGCGCTCGGCAGGTGTCATCACTTTCTAGCAAGTCAAATCTCTCAATTGGTTGACGTCCGAGATAAAACGTCATTTCTCGGCGTAGCAGCATTTCCCCGAGCCGGCATTTCCCCGAGCCCAGGACTTTGTCCACAATTCCATGTCAAAATATATGTACAGCATACTGGAAATACTACATTCATGAGACTTATTCCATTCTATAGTTGTCACCTTGATCATCATTGTTTGGATAATTTTTCTAAGCGTCTGTCCTGAATACGGCGCTAACACTATACCGTGTAAAATATTGCCGGAGCTTGGTCAGATTTCTATTGAGGGATTGATTTTCGTCTAGTTTGCCCCTCTCTTCCACAATTACTGTTATAGCACTATGAGCGATGAGCGAGCTAAATGGAACTAATTCCCCCAGTATACGGAATTCTAGATGGGTCTGGTTTGTGGCACCACACCGATATATATCCGTGCCCGTGAGCGCACATATCAACGTCATTTTGGGCGTCTCATTTTCTAATAGAAGCAAAGTCCACATCCCCAATTTTTTGGGACCGGCGATTAAGAAAATATACTCAGTATATGGCACTTTGAATGTATGACTTCTTCTGAACCTTGGCAAGGTTGTGTCTGGTAGGCAAGACTTGAGCCTGAAGTAGATAGTTCCTGTTTCATTTATGGAGATACGATAATCCGGGTATGATCCGTGTTACGTGACCAGAACCCTGCATTGGAGCTGAACCCGCTGCCCGTCGACAACCCTTCCGTCCCCCGCTGCAGTTGGTTGTTATATCTTGTTTGGAGTTAGTTTCTTAAGCTACTTACCACAAACGGAGCTCTGCTCTGCCATATTTAGAGAATCATTTGCTTGAAGTCTCGCGAAATTTCGGAAGTCAGCAACTACAAGTGCAATGGCAACAATTCGAAAGACAGGCGAATCGACATGTGTTTTCCTCGAGATCAAGGATAATACACTGGATGATATTGATAAAATCTTTTATTTGGGTAATCAATGTCAAATCAGACCCCCACGTTGTGGACTTGGATCTCTCAATAGTCTCCCTCTTGAAGTCATCCACTTGCCACTCATCCGACTCGATATACAGTCGCTGATTGAATTTCGACGCGTCAACAAAGCAGCGAAACTGGCCACAGACTCGGTCCCGCAGTTCAAACACATTCTTACTCATGTGCCGGCTTCAATCTGTGGGAGCCTCAATATAGGATCTGCAAGGTTCTTTTCATGTCAGGACTTATACGAGAAATTATCTACAGCGGAATGTGACAGCTGTGGTGACTTCGGCGGATACTTGTACCTGGTAACCTGTCGTAGTGTTTGCTTCCTATGCTTTACCCAAGAATACGCCCAAGAATACGACTATCTTCGTCTGCTACGGAAAGACGCAATTCGGAAATTTGGCCTTTGCTCTGAAAAACTTGCAAGTCTACCTTGTTTGAAAAGCTTTCCTGGTCGCTATTCACCTCGGGGAATTAAATGTCGGCGCCAAGTGCTTTTATTCGACTATTCTTTTGCGCGACTAATTGGGATCGCCGTGCATGGGTCTATTAGCTCCATTATGCTTCGTAATCAGCTTCCAAAAAGCTAGAGGCCTACAATACGGAATTGTCTCTATGCAGAACAGATGGAACGAACGTACGGCGACTGAGATTTGAAGATCTCTATGATGGGCGCAGTTCTAATCCTAGGCGTTTCATGGGCATCATTCGCGCACCGTTCTTGAATTATCAAACTGCACCCCCAGAGTGGGGGTTCCACTGCGTCGCTTGTAAAGCGCACCACTATTGTCGACCACTTCATTGGCGACGCGAGTATACACTAGTTACTTTCAAGGATCACATCAGGAAATGTGGGGAAATAAAAGAGGGGAAACATATTCCCTGGGTGAGTTGAAAAGGTGCCTCATGGGTACGAATTTGCTTGATAACAATTATTGTCATATTTTACGAGGCAAACAATATATATCTCACAAACGCGAAGAAGGCCTCTTCATTGGTTTACCAGAGGGCCACTTGTTATTTGTCAAGTTTTGTATGGATACATTTAGATTCAGACATGTTGCCGTGGGATGCGTTGTGTACAAAGGCCAGTTCACACTACACCTATTCAGTACAGTGCAACGCTCCATTCTATATACAGTCGATTGGAAAGTGAAGGTGAAAAACCTCTGTAAAATATTCGATTTCACTTTCTTTTCTTCTTTTTCTATTCCGGGGACAGGTACTGTAACCATGACTTTCTGTAGATTCACACGCTTACCACCTTACACATCGGAGCAGTAGGAGTGTGTATAATATAACAATTACAGTACTTTTCATTTCCCCTAAGACGGTTCATCATGGATCAACGGTTTCTCGCTATTTCAGCCATCTCCCACTTCTGCCATATAGCCAGTTTCTTAGACTGCAGCTGTCGCGGCGTCTCGCCCGCAAAGTTGGGCTGGTCCATCACGGCATCACCTCCTTCCTCCAGCAAAATAGTAACCATCTCATCCAGCGCTCGTCTCCAATCAGCGGGTGTGGGGCGCACAGATCCATTCCTTGTCTGCTTGTGTAAAATGATTCCCATCCTCAAACATTCGTGTAAAGCCGTATTGCCATCACTATTAGTGAGAGATACATCCGCGCCTCGACTAATCAGAAATCTAGCAGCTTGAACCTAGCGTAGATTCCTAGCCATTAGATGTAACGCTGTATTCCCGTCTTTGTCTTGTTTGTTGATTTGGACACCGTGAGATAGAAGGTTATCCATCAGAGTAGTATTAATAGGGTCGCCAGCTAAACATTGATAGGCGAATTTAAGTAGCACGGTTTGGTAGTCAGCGTCGACCATATCTGCATCCGCCCCATTCTCCAGTAAGAACCTTAGCATAGTACTAAAAAGCTTACTTCTACCACAGCTAGCGTGGCCCCTTATAGCGTAATATAAAGCAGTCTGGCCCTGGCTGTCCCGAGCATTGATATTACTACCAGAGCAGAGTAGTTTGAAGGTCTTAATAATCCGATTATTGCTTTAACCTCAGAAAGCCAGCATTCGAATGAGCTAGGGCCCGCTGCTGCCCAGTGAAGTGGTAGACGCCCATTGCTGTCGCTACATAATAGTGATTCTGTGATGGGACTTCCGCCGTGGTCAAGAAGCGCCTGGATAGCCTCCGTATTCCAATACATACTGCTAATATGAAGTGCAGTGACATCCCACGGAATCTCCATTTCAGACAAAAATATCGAGGAAGGCTGATGCTGGAACTGCTGCTTGGCGTGTACATTAGCCCCTTGGTCGATGAGTTGGTTGACCAACGCGGAGCCGACTCGAGAGGAGGCCAGACCGAGGACCGTACCAAAGGACTGTAGTGGTTGGCTATCATCGCCATCATGTCGGCTCGAAGAGCCTCCGGAGAGTACCATAGTCGCCCATTCCACATCCGTTGTGTGGATCTCAGCCGCTTGAGCAGTTACGCCAAGGGTACCATGCACTTATTAGTAACAACAAACAACGCCGTCGGCTTCGGCAAACAATGCACGAGTACAACGAGAGCGAGAGACAAAAATATCGTCACTAAATCAAGCTCGAGCTGGCGTATTGTTGTCAAGCTAAGGGGTGGTATTTCATCACTAAAAACATACTAAACCAGCGACTACGGTATGTACTTGGCACTCCACAACCTCAACAGGCCAAAAAATACAGGCTAGTGTATCAGTCTGCCGGGAATGATCTCTCACGGTCGTCCTTCGGTGGTGCCTTCCCGCTCTTTGCGACCCAAATGTTCCTCAGCCTCGGTGTCGGCTGGGCCTGTACATTGCTTGGGTGCTTGCCGTTGCTATTCGTCCCATATCCATTTATCCTGTGCAAGTTTGGCAAGCGGATTCGGAATCGCAGTAGATATGCGCTGCATGATGACTAGAGGGAAGTTGGAAGTTGACTGCATTCATGGAATTCGAATTCCTTCACATTTCCTTCAAATTAGGCTCACTGGGTAGCTATAGCACCGCACCAGAACTGGAGATGCTGAGATTCCTGAAAAGAGCCCCTGAACGTTTGTGCAAACGCCTTCCTCGTCCAGCAGATTGAGCTTCCTGCGAGCCCAGTCATAGGCATCAATTTACCTCTGGGTCGCGTCGAGCGCCGATTCCTTTTCTACAATTGTATGCAGCTCCACCCTTCGGTCCTCTATCTGTAGGCTCGGGAAAGAAATCGAGGAAGGATCCCGGGATATGGCGTCAAATCAAGCTTTCTCGTCGATCGTGATATTGGGCCGGTGATTTCGTGGTATGAAAGACCTAAACTCGATTCTGTCGAAGAGCTCTCAGTGCGCAGCGGCTCTCCAGCACTTCGAAAAAGTGGCATCGTGAATCACTTCTCCTACGTATCAAAGGCAAATTTCCGACTAAAAGGCACTGCCAATATCCGAGACTACCATTTGAAAGCATCGGAGCTCTTGCTAGCTGTCGTCTTTCCGCACGTTTTCTGAAACGCCAACCAACCCACATCTCTGAGAAGTGGAATCCGCCTTCTACACGGGCACCGGCTCATAAACCCTTGGTTCGGTGAGGAAAACCATGTCCTTCGTTCTATTTGCTCCGACTTTGCAAATAAATGCGCGAGAAATTAAGATTTGCACTCATTTCGAGTCGTGATAGGCCCCGCATTCTAGGGGAAAGTTCCCCTTCTTCGTCCCCCTTGCTCCGACGCTGTGACTATTGGTCTGGATCGGCCTGAGTAATTAAGATTTACCGCCACCTCCGATTCCGTGAAGGGGCTCGGGAAACCGTCCATAACATCCAATGAAATACAAGCGCCATTTTGATTTACAGATATCAAGCACCATAGTCAGTGGCGAAATGACCTCTTGGTTACCTCGCATATTGGCCCACACCTACTCCGCAGAGCCTACGAGTAATTTATCGCGTTCTTAGACATCTATGTGCTGCTCCTGCACAATTAACCAATGACTTGTCCAAATTCTCACTCTGAGCAAAAGAAGGGCCGCTACATCGTTCCTCTCGTCCAGCTTACAGCGATCAATTTTCGGAGTTGAGACGGCGACTAAAATCCCAGCTCAAAACATCATGTGGCTGGCCGAGCTTTCCATACCTGCCTTCATCATAAGTTCGTTCGGCATAACGGGGCTCGGCGTAAAACCTTTGAATGCTCCGAAGACTAAGAACTCGTGGGACGGGCGATTGTAAGCCTCGGGTAATTCCAGCGCATATTAGTTGCCTCATAACCCCTTCACACTAGTCCATCGACTATCATCTTATTGATACTCGGCCAGTATCCATGGTCCCTTTTATGTAGCTCTGGAGCTCCTCAAAGCGCCCATCTTCCATCCATACTACAGAGTCCAATCCAGGTCGCAGATCTTCCCGCGCATTGTTGAGTCTGTGTGCAATGGTAATGACGGTATGCCCTGGGTCCGTAAAGTACTCTTTCATCAATTCCTGCATCTTGGCCTCTGTCTTTAGGTCCAAGGAGGAACCTGCTTCGTCAAGGATTATGATTGGTTTCCGTTCGCCAAGAGCGGGGTTCTGGTCGTGGGTTGATGGCTGAACTCGAAGTAGCGCCTGCGCGAAGGCAAACATCTGCATCTGGCCTCTAGACGCCGGCAGGAAAGAAGCAAATGGCTGGCTGAGAATGTCAGAATACGGTAGACCGTGAAGGAGCACGTTCGCCGTATTGACCAGGGAGGTATTTTGGAGCTGCGAAGTAGATGAATCTAACCAAAGCCCGGTCTTTTCCAGAATTTCCAGAATTGTGCCGTCTTGATGCTCATTGTATGGATCAAGATTAAATCGAACACTGGCGGTGGGCAAAATGAATGCATCCTGAGGCACTGCAATAAAGCAGCGTCGCCGTATAACATGCACTGGCAAATGACTTATGTCCACACCATCGACCTCAATCGAGCCAGCCTCGGCGTTTAATAATTGCAGCAGCGTGAGGAAGAGAGTGCTCTTACCGCTGAGACTAAAAGTCAGTAAATTCCAGCCGGCTTCGATATTTTGATCGACGGGGAGGTTGTAACAAAAGGTACCTTCCCGTTCGGCCACACAAAATGACTTTTTGGCCAGGTTGAATATCCATATTGACATCACGAAGCACGGGGGCCTTTTGGCTACGGGAATACAGCATTAATAAAATTCTGCCATCGGTGGATGCCATTGATGACACTAACCTGTAGCCTGCTGATATGTGATTGATGCTTATGGATCCCTTTCTTGGCCAATGGAGTGAGGGCTCCAAGTAGTCACAGTCTTTCTCTTCAGAAGGGGTGTCTTGATCAACAGACCGCAGCCGTGCCACTGCCCCAAGAGAAGTCTCGAGGGTGGTCCAAGTTTCAACCAGGCGAAGTAATGTCGTATTCGCAGCAATGATCATATTTAGCGCAATGCCTATGTCAGTCCCCGTGGCTGTGTCCCGAAACGCCACTGCCGAGGTAATCAAAACCACAGCAATTCCGGCGATCAAAAGATCCAGAACTACATTGAGCCATCTTTGTAAACATAAAAGAAGATACAATGGACTCTGTGAAATGTCCAGCTTCTCGATGTTGTTGTTTTTGAATCTGTCTTCCCATCCAAATGCACGGATTGTAGCAATGCCCTCAACCTGTTCTGGAATTAGCCTTACTCAATTTCGGGAACTTAGTCTTGATGCTCACTGTATCTATGAAACTCGCGTAGAGTTTTGACTTCGACTCTAGGTCCATGAAACGCAACTGCCGAGAGGTTCTAAGATAGACTCGTTGAATGAAGTATACAAAAATGCTGCAGAATGGTAGGGTCATTGCGATCATGGGCTGAACCGCGAATAAGATAATTCCTTGCATGAGAAGTTTGAAGATTTCTGATATTTTGTGGTAAGACTGAGTAATACGCTGGCACACACCATGTTGAACGTACGGGTACTGAGATTTGCGAACGCAGAAGGCAACTGTTTGTCGACCAGTTGAATATCCTGACCAAACCTGAAGTTGGTGGAAATTAGTAAAGACGTTGTCAAATGGAAGCGATATGACGAACTTGTTCAAAATGGTACCGACTTCGAAGGTTGAAAAGTATGATAGCGGAGCACTGTGCCAATTAGTGTTTCAGGTGTTGTGATTGGGTCGGCCTTCAAACGTACTTCATAATCTTTCCAAGGAGACGAGCGTGTAGGGTAGAACCGGATCGCGGAGCGATGAGAATATGTGTTGACCTTGAAATTCGATTAGGGGGCTTGGACATTTCAAAACTGAGTGAAAACGAACCACATAGTCCCATTCGTTGCAATCAAAGCCATTGTAGAGAATGAAGAATAACTCAGAATATATTGCCACGAGTTCGCAGCGTTGGATTCAACCCACCACTTTAGGATATATTGCGAGAAGGTGAGACAAAAAGCATAAAACGCAGTGCAACTCGCCATGAGCAAGATATTCGGAATTCCGACTGAATCAAAGTAATAGCCTTGACTGTATATCAGACCTCATGAATTCCATTTGAGGATGTGAATCGACTGACCATAGAGTGCCGAATCTCCGGTCCTCCTTGATGCATCCTCAGCTGCATCCTCGATCCGTGTTCCATCCATCTGTAATTTGAAGCCCTTCTCAGGTCTCCCAGTCCCTGTTGCGTTTTGTGAAACATGAAACTTTATCATTTGAGCATCCGCCCGAAGACGATCATCTTGGGGGCTAAGAACGTGTACTCGTGTGCCGCTAAGCAAAACCACCCTATCTGCGAAGGGATAGTACTGAGCTACGATTGGTCAGGAGGTTAAATTCATAGAGAACCAAGATTGTGAGACAACGCACCTCCGTTCGCGATGAGAAGAACTGTGCTTCGTAACTTCCGGAAAATTCCTTCCGGGCCAAGCAAGGCATTGAGAATATTGGTTTCGACCGCCCCATCAATGGCGCTGAATGGATCATCCAATACCATAGTATGAGAACGAGAATAGACTGCACGAGCAAGGGCCTTTGGCAGTTCTGTCAGCAATCTTGCGGGTGAGACGTATGAAGAGGTTAAAGCTTACGATGCGGGATTTCTGTCCCCCAGAGACATTGATGCCATTGCTCCCAACTAATGTCATATCTCCAGCTGCCAGGGATTCTAGATCGGCTTTCAGACTGCAGGCTTGGATGACAGTCTGATACCACTCGATATCTACATTCGCGGAGCTGCCGCAAATAGTATCTCGAATTGAGACATTGGGAAGCCACACTAACGGACCACAAAACGCGATAGTCTTGTCTGTAACGGCAATTCTTCCCTCGGTGGGAATGATTTCGCCGAGAATTGCCATCGCTAGGGTGGACTTTCCACTGCCAACGGGCCCTGAGCATACGAAAATTGCACCTTCATTTATGTGAAAATTCACATTTTGAAGAACCGGACGCGGGTTGAAGTGTAGTTGAACTTTGACATTTTCTAGTACGATTGCGGGTCGTTGACCAGGATGGCGACTGTGTGTCCCTCCTCCGGTTGACGACAATTTGGTAACACGTTGATCCTTTAACGACCCTTGGATCAAATAGGCATGTATTCTTTCGAAATTTGCCAGAGACGCAATAGCACGAGGTATGATTGTCATAATCATATTCGCAGGATGAGTGACAAGACCCAGGAGAGCGATCGTGGTGAAGACGACATCAGCATTGAATACGTCCTTTGTACTTCGAAACACAGCGAACAGGATCAATGTTAAAACAGGAGAGAATATCCCCAACGTGTTAGCTACAGATTTTGACCAGTAATCAGCTTCAACGCACGCAAAATACAACTATAACCATAAATCCCTCAATTTTTTTTGAGCAAGGGGTAATTTGGCAGTGCCTTACCGCTAGCGTTGTAGGCCACCATAAGCCATCGCAATCTTATCGACATTGCAATTTCTCGGGCCCTCAGGTTCAAGACAAGACAGGTTGTAGCCTTCTCAAGACCTAGAATCTTCATACTTTTGATTCCCCCCAAGGTAGCAGTCATCATGGCAAGGCGATCTTGGGTGGCAGCACTCCAATCGCTTTGTCTCCCCTGAAGATGTTTCGCAACATATGCGCTCATTCTGGAACATCCTGTTGAGACTTAGCATATGTATACTTCATGGGGTGTGCTTGGAGAATACCAAAAACAATTAACAGGGGCAGTGGGGCAAACCACCCGATCTGCCTTGCAAGGAGGCTTGTTCCGGCTAAAACTTCCACAACTTGAGCCCAGGTCTCATGAAACATTTCCCCGCAGGTGTCAACGCTGTCAACATCTGCACCCATGAGTGTTAAAGCCTTTCCATCTTGATTATAGGACTGTTCAACTCTGAGTGATCGATCATGAATTAGGCCAATTAGAGCCCCCCGTGTCACCATCTGCAGCCTGTTGAGCCTGTGTCGATATGATGACGTCGCCATCTATATTAGGGCCTCATTAGATACGGTATTCTGGGAGTGGGTTTTGATAAAACTTACTGCAATGCCGCAGTATGTGCCAGTAGCGAGTACGACAAGCCAGTATCCAGAATCCATGCTTTCGTCTTGGGAGCTACTCTTTTGCACAAACCCGATGGTAACACTAATAAGAATCGGTTGCGAATAGCGGAAGACTATTAAGAAGAGCCGTGGTACAATCGGCGATAAGATCTCTCCCCTGAAACAAGTAAATAGCACACGAGGCAAGGTGAAGCTAGTTTCTGGCTGCGCTGGAAAAAATGTCGGTATTGTGTCAGTTGCATCTTTAATGGAATGTGTTCTGTGACGCTTACATCTCTGATTCCAGGCCAGAATGAGCCGTTTCCTCAATAATCTTGAAGATAGCTTTCGATCAACTTTCGGCAAATCGTCTTGTGTTAAAAAGCTATGATAACCCTCCTTGAGGATAGGATTAATCCACCAAAAGAGTAAACGACCAAGAACTCCTGTCAGCTCCTCGGGCGTAAGACTTTTGTAAGAAGGTTTTAGCATTGCCACCTTGCTCTGTGACTCAGTCACTAATAGGCTCATCTCAAGTATCAATCTTGTGGTTATGAGGATTAGTAACATAATTTCGAGGTTACTTGACGGCAGCGTGAGAATTATAAGATGCTTGATACCCGACAGGGCCACGTATATGGTTACCGCACTGGATGGCCGGACAGTCTTCCGGTGTTCAAAGAAAGACAAGATCAAGAGTCCAAAAGCACCTAGAGCGGATGCAAATGATGAAACCTTGTCATCTAGACTGACCACAAAACTTGTTGTTTGAATGGGGAAAACGATATGTGTAGCGATGATACCAAGGATAAGAATCTATTGACATCAAATACAGATGTTAGCCTAGTCTTGATGTAACGAGAGAAGGGAGTCGAACTGTTTTGACGTGACTCTGAAAATTAGGAACGACTTTGGTGGTTGAGCCGTGTAAATCCCACAATTTGAGAGGCACATAAACAACGAAGATTGATGATAACAAAGTTGAATAAAGATCGAGCCAGTAATACGTGATCGACATTGTTCCGAAGAAACTTTGGTTTCGATTGTTATCAATTTTTGAGTTCGAGAAGTTTCTAAGATGAGTTTTCAGTGGAGCGGCTCTTTGTTTCTTCCACGGGTTATCAGCTCTCTATCTTTTCACAGGCAAAAGTGCGTAATCATGGCCTTGGAATTAGGCTGACTGAAATTACGTGCTACATGCATGATTACGCGATAACGCGCTAAATTCCAAAAATAGCTGGGAAGGCTTGATTCGCCGCTATTTTATAGCGTAACTACCCCTCCCCGTGATTGACCCATGAATTAGCGTCCTTCGTACTAAGAGGCGTGCACCTTACTCTGATAGGCGCTGAAACGAAGAATTTGCAAGACTGAAAGTAATAAAAAATTTTTGTTCGACCATGGCTAGAGAAAATACCTGATTACAGACAGTGAGAACATGAGGGAGGGGGCGAGTATATCAGCTTATGAAGTTTTTATTAGTATTCAAGAGCATCTTCCTGACGCAATTACAGCTTGTAGAAGTAATTACATTAAGTCGTGCGTGGCTTTGCCATTCTCACAAAGAATATCCAAACACGACCAATGCAGACTTTGTTCTAGCATTGAAGACAAGAAGTAACTTCGACTATTAACAAACCAATGTGGTTGTACTCGTACAGAGAAATAGATTGTAGGCACAGCCAGAATAAAGCCGATTAAATAGGATTTCGGAACGATCTTATAGATGCGAGGGAACAGGCAGAAACGGACGATAAGACAATTTCTTAAGTCATTCTGGATACGGACAGGCAGCAAAGCCTTGAAATGAAGGAAGGCTAGTTAATGAGCAAAGGATGAGTAATCACAGCATGTTAACTAACTAACTAACGCACACAGATATGCAGACCCAACCCTACACTCCAAAGTCAAAGACATCTAATTCGAAGAAGGTGACAACAATTCAAGTACCCTAGGCAACAAGAGAAAAAAACCAGATGTAGAGAACAGTCCATACGAAGTCAAGCCACTTTTGTACATCCATGTTAGGCGGCTGGCTGGCAAGCTCCAGGACAAGCTATAAGCCCTAAAGCGAGGTGTCACTAGTCGCTGTGCGCATCAATGCAGACCAAAAAAAGAAAGTCAATTAAGTTAAGTGCGACTGAGCCGACAGTGAGTATTATCCTCTCGGAGACCACACTATATTTTCATTTGAAGCTCACCACGTAGTAATCGCAAGTTGGTCGATGATGACAACCTACTTGTTTGGTGTTGCTAGCTCAGCTCTGCTGGACACATTGTTAGATAAAGTTTCACAAAAAAGAAAACATACAACAGCCAGGATTCGCATGTGGTCACCCACCATACTACTAACTGGCCGGCGTGTGGCTTAAGTACGGCTGAGCGGACGGGAAGCCCTGTTCTCCACACCCTATGGTCGTATGTGCTGGATAGCAGGACGAATTGAGCTAAGTACTCACCGATTTAAACAGTCATTCGCATTGAAAGGAACAACTACACTTGAAACAGTTCGCTTAGCCCAAAGAGGAGTCAGTGATATGAAAAGCCAAGCTCGATTCAATGTCGAGAACTGATTGGCCAATATGGTTCACCGCCTGGGCGAGGAGGAAAGTGAGATCCTTGAAGCAGGTCAGTTTGGGCAATCTCGTTCTCACCTCGGCTCACCTTCAACTACTGTTCTCTCCAGAGAAACAACATGAAATCCAATGCTTCTAGCATGACACCAGAGCAAGAACATGAAGCATAGCCCATGCCTAGAGATTAAAAGCCATGGTGGTCCCGAGAATCGTGGCCCTTGGCTAAAGCAACATTTTAAAAGCGCTTTTTGCCTTTTTGTGAGTTCATAATAGAAATACCGTGCCTTGACACCGGCGTACTATTTGCCTATAATTTTCCATACCACTCGGTCATAACGACCAGAAACTCCAGCGGCCAGTCGAAAGTTTTCAGCGTGACCAAGAAGTCATTGCGACAGAAAAGAGATCGACGCAAAATGTCCCTAGAAAGAAAGTCGCACGAGTACAGCAATAACTGCGGCGCAGATGTATGCCTAGGCATTCGAACTCGAGAGTCAGGGAAAGTATTCATTTTTTCCGCGGACACCTCAAGATTGGTCCTTCATTGGTCCTCGTCCACTACCTAAGGGCAACCGAGGAACTATACGACTCCACCGACCCTAGCTGGTTCAACTCTTTGCATAACTGGAGGTATTGGAATATGGAATGTGAGAACGCTATGATTCAAATCGCTCAATTAAAATCTAACTCCAGACCTACCCCATGTTACCAAAACCAATCCAAACGCTGAAATGTCTAATACCCTATCTCTTGAAACCGACCACTCCGAGTCATCAGGGGCTTTGCTATATATTTTTAAGCATTTATCATCTCAATTTCTGATGAAGGCTGCGACACCTTAGACGAAACGACTCCACGACGCGGCTTCGCTGAAAGTTCCCCCCATCGCCGGCCCATGGCAACTGCTGGGTGAGCGGCGGTCATACAAATGCACGCAATGGCAATCATAGTGCTCTCAAGGATCATCAGGGAAATCTCATCATTAGCCAGATCACTGTCAAATCCACCTTTCAGCTCCGCAACACGGAAGATCGAGCGAGTGAAGATCGTTAAAACGGCAATGGCAAGACCTTTGATTGGGTTAGCATAGGCTGATAAATGCGGATTATTTAGTGACACTTGCCCAGAAGGAACATCTTCCATTTCAAACCACTGCGAACAGATGCTGTAGACGCATTCTTCATGTCTTCTGAGCTGCGGTGCACTCGCAGGGCGAATTCCGAAGCGAGCACGATGAACAGCGTCAACGAGGCGACCTGGAAAGCCAATCCTGCAATCATGATATTGACACCGGTATCGCTGAGGCTTTTTTGGTCTGAGTCGGCGATGGAGGTAATGGCGCCGCCGGCTGCTTGTAGGACTAGAGCGATGATATCGCAAGTGACGAAGAGGATGGTGTATGTACGCGGGCGAATCCTGGAGATATCCTCCCCGTAGACGATGACAATTCTTCCCAGGCAGACGTAAATGGCGGCGGTGAAGAAGGCCGGGGCAAGTGTGAGACAAATGAGGTATCTAACAGCGAAGTTTCTGATTAGCTTGCTTTATTCAGAGGTATGTCTCAAAGGTCACGTACAGAAGGAATGCATTAAAGTCGAATGGGTTGCTGTGCATCATGACTCGCCCGATGTATCCCAGTATTTCAAGAATGAGCCCTGCGGTCATGGCGCCCATGTATGTCCATGTTCGGAACCATGTTCCTAGGGCGATTTGTGCGGCGAGGAGAAGGCCGAAGATGACGAGGAAGAGGACATTTGCCGGGATGTTAGGCTGGTAATTGATATAGGCCAAGTCAATTGGGCAAGTTGCCAAGGTGCAGTCGTCCATGTTCATTTCTGACATTTTCAGTGTTGATACTTCTACTCTTTTTTTCTCTTTTTTTCTTTTTGTTCTTTTTTGAGATAGTGAGGAGGAGAAGAGGTAGAATGCGAGTCTAGATGGGTTGAGGTTGATATTCCCCTCCTCAGAGCATCGAATACACACTCTCTTTATACAATCTGACAAAATAAGGAGGCCTGAAAGTCAGCCACGAGGCTATGCTATCTCCGATCCTACGTAGGACTATCATTGGCGCGCGTATACTTCCCAGGGCTGACAATGGGGCCGTGCCAAGACACGGAGTCTAGGCCAACTCCGAGTCCGCGGACTCGGAGGGGAATTGCCTGGGGGCCGGTCCGCGGACTTTTAAGGCCTCCTGTTCCTGTCCGGCCTCCATCTTAACTCGCCTACTATGTCCGCGCCGACCAGTCTAGGCCGAGTCAGGACCTGCGAGAACTGTGTGCGTGCTAAAATTAGGTGCTCGCGCACCTCTACCCAAAGCTGCGATCGGTATGCAACATCCTGCTTCTACTTCTATTTCTCCTCTCTTCTACTTAGCAACGTAAACCTAACACTCTTTGAAGGTGTCTCCGTCTGAACAAAGATTGTTATTTCCGCGCAACAAAAGCTCGTAATCCTAAGAAGAGGAAAACGTACATCTGCCCACTCCTCGTGTCGATACGATCTGTCAAGCTGACCGCATCTAATCTAGGCGAATAGGTGCACTCGAGGACAAGGTGGATCAAATATTAGGCCAGATCAATCAGCCTCACTCAAGCCCGCAACAGGCACCACTTCCACTGCCACTGTCCCCGAAAAGTGAAAGTTGTGCTCCGACTCCTCGAAACCCGTGCGATGTGATCGGGAACGGGCTGATCACCCACGAAGAGGCAAATCGTTTGATACAGAGCTTTCGTGATGCCATAACGTATTTCCCATTTGTACAGCTGCCGAGAAACGCCACTGTCGAGGATCTCAGATTGGAGAAACCCTTCCTCTTACTCTCTATTCTTTTGGTCTCCTCGTTTCGAAATGTCCCGCTGCACCTGGCCCTCGAGGAGGTTTCAACGTCTTACCTTGGGGGACAAGTCTTGCAAGGCAATCGCCAACAACCCTTCGATATACTACAGGGATTGCTGGTTACTATAGCTGGGTATGTTCTAGACAATTTCTCTTTTCGTTAGATTCACAAAAGCTAACGCGGAAGATAGAACGAAGAAAAAAATCCATATAGTGCGGTTCTCTGGATATCTGCACCTCGCACGAAGTATCATCAACGACTGCAGACTGGATTACCCAGCCAAGCTGCGAGTAGTAAGACAAAGAATTGACGTCATGTTGGACCCGGATCCTCCGACAGAATCGATTTCCCTGCGAAACGAGGAAATGCGAGCTTTGGTTGGATATTTTCTCCTTGACGCGTGGTAAGTTCGTTTTACCACCTTTACAGCCCGGTCTGGACCTGAAAAGAGTAGGTCTTGCTTACTTTCTTTTCATATCACTAGTCACTCCATAGTACTGCAGCGGACAGGAACGATGCCTTGGTCACCCTTCATAGAATCATGCGCTGCGAAGTTGTCGCAGGAATGCGAATTCTCAACCGATCGATACCTGTTAGGCCAGGTTCAAATACAACACATGCTTGTACGAATCGATTCCCTAGTTGCACGGGGATTCGGTGAGAATCAGGCTCCTGCGGATATAGAAGTTATGATTAGTTCTCTTCAAAGCGATTTTGAAGATTGCAAAGCCCGGCTTCCTGTCCCTATTGATCATGATGGTGAGTTGACCAAGCCTTATCTGTACTGCAGATCTAAATTCTAACACTTGATTAGTATTTCAAGGCATTCCGTCCCACGCCTTCGAAATCCATCTCTATCAAACTACCTTTTTCGATGTATACCCATCTTCCGCCGCGTCATTCGACCAATCCATGGCCCTCCTGCGAATCGATGCCCTTTGTCACGGACTAGCGGCTGCAAAAAGATTTATGAGCTTTTACTTCAGTCTACCACCTGGTATTGAAAAGAGATTTAGTTACACCCAATGGATTCTGACCGGGTTCAGCATTGCAGCTTCATGCAAACTTGTTCTCGCATCGTTGGAGCCATCCGTTCGAGATCACGATCAAGTCCGAGGGTTGCGAGAGACATTGGATATGCGGCATGAAATCCAGAAATCTGTCAAGCTCATGAATACCCTTGATCAGGAGTGTAAAGGTGGGAAGGGGGGTCAACATGAGATGTTCTTCTACCAAGATTGGCTGCGGTTCCTTTCTGAATGGTTTGAAGAGAAATATCGTCTTGCGCAGTCTGATAGTGCTGGAGATAATAATGGTGCACTGGGAGTCTTCACCACTGGAATCTCAGAAAATAATATCTATGAAGAGCCTCAGCCTCATCCTGGTTTTCCTTGGGTGGATCTTCAGGACGTTACGATTGAGGAGATGTTGAATGTGTGGTTAGAGCCAATGAATATGCCACACTACTTTTAAAATGTACAAATTAGCCTTGATAGTTGCAGTGACGAATACATACCCCTCTCTGCTTTCTTTTTCGTCATGAATATTGCAGCTGATTGCCAGTTTTCTCATTCGCTTCGGTATTATCTTCTCGCCCTCCAGTCACTCCCAGAGGTAGAAAGGCAAAATGTGGTCGCTCAAGCGGGTATTACGTCGCTCATTTCATTGACGCCTTCACTCGAAATGCCAGACCAATCTGATCTGCTTCTGGGCTTTAGTCGCAGCAAATAGAGAACAAGACGGTGCATGCTATCTTCCACCTCATGAGTTCACTCCAATCCTGTCAACGAAATATTCATGCTTCGCTCACTGACATAATACGTGTCTAGATTCTCAAGTAGCTACGAACTCGTTGTATCTCACTCCGAAAAGATCCTACCTTCGACTTGCGAGATTGCAACACCAAGTTTACAGTCCGAAACATTATCCTACCCGACCCCCAAGTCTTTCCCCAGCCCAGTATAGAAGACGATGACTTGGACCCAGGGTTTTATGTTCCGCTTACGGAGCCCGAAAGTTTCCACGCTTCGGTTGGGCCGGTAGTCACGTTTTCAGACGAGGCTCGTGCCAGTCACAATTCCAAACCGGAACACTTAAATCACATGGCGGATTTTTCGCCTTATTTGGCGACCGTTAGAATGGATGTGTCTGATATGGGGCCATCGGTGTCACGACTAACAGTCCCTTGCTCACAAGTGGCAGAGCAGGCTCCTTGTTTAACCTCGCAAGGTGCGTCCTGCGAGGAGACACCTACACAGAGGTTTTCCCTCTCCCGAAGCCTTCCAGCCTTCTCAAGCTCCCGAAGCCAGGCCTTATCACGGTCAAAATATGGTACAACTCTATCCAGACTCAAGTATGATCAAACTTAATCAAGCCATGGAATTAGGGGACCGCACACGGAAAAGAAATACCCGTTCCACGCCTACCACGCGCGTTCTCACGTGGTCGTATCCAGCCATGACACAAGTCCTACCCCCAAGACGAGAAAGTAAATCCTCCGAGCTCCCTCTTACCAGATTTGCAACATGGCAGGCAGCATGGCCGGCGAGACAGTTGTAGTACACTTTTTGGGTGGAGCACATACCCATTCAGGACAAGCTCCTTTCAAAGAGAACGTAGAGGGAATAGTCTCGATAATACGGAAAGAAAATAAGCCAGGGTGTGTTGTCATACTAGCGAATTAACTTAGTACCACTGCGTAGCTAGATGGCATAGCAAATAGGCCTACATATGGATACTATGGTAAACTAGATAAGAGTATCTAGACGTCGCATTGCATCCCGGGCCCGAGACAGCATGAGGATCCTGCGATCAAGAAAGCACAAGAACAAAAAGAGAAACCCCAAAGAGGAAAAGCTCCAGCCTGCGCATCACCATCGGAAAGGCATTCCCACCAAGCCACCCATTAAGCACTTCCCGCGAGGCAAGTGCATATGCCTTTGCGATCAAGAACGGCCTTGGCGGCGTGCAGACGAGTTCCATGTGTTGCGTTACACAGTGCATTTACTGACCGTGCACGGTAGTGGTCGCTGGGACCTGCTTGGGCAGGTTGCCTTCCTCGGGCTTCTCCTGTAAATTGGGGGTCAGGTTCTCGTAGACAGAACCGTGATCCTCCCCAGACAGCTCCTCGAGAGTTCGACGCTTGGTCTCGGGAATCAACCAGGTAGTGAGAAGGCCACAAAACATGAAGCCACCGAAGATTTGCATAACGTGGTTGAGCCAGGGAGAATCACTGGAGCCTGGCTTGGCACCCTTGTGAACCAGGGGGCCAAAGACACACTGTGCGATGATGGCACCGACCTTGCCGGCAGCTGCACTGATACCGTGGGATGTAGAGCGGTAGCGGGTTGGGAAACACTCGCCGGGCACGATGAAGGTGGTCGCATTAGGTCCGAAGTTAAAAAAGAATTGTGCTAGCACGTAGAGTGCAAGTAGACCACCATGGTACTTCTTGAGATGGCTGTAGGCACCACCAATAATGAAGAAGATGATGGTCAGAATCAAGAAACCGGCCATTTGAATTGGCTTGCGGCCGATCGTGTCAACGGTAGCAACGGTGAACCAGTAGCCTGGGATAGCACCGGCGCAGATCAAGATCAGATTCCCCACTGCGTTACGGTAGAATGTCTCGTATACGTTCTTGCCTCCGGTCCAGCCAATCGCGCTGAGGATGATAGAGTTATTGAGACCGAGACCATAGAACGCTATAGCGAAAGAATCAAAATTAGATCGTTCGATCTCAAACGTAAAGAGAAATTTGTGGATGAAGCTTACCAACGTCGAGGAAAAACCACGAGCCCGCAGTACCCAGAAGGACTTTGAAGTTCTTCCACTCTCCGTAGTGCTGTCTGAAATCGGCCCAGCTTGCCTTCGGTGCGAGGAACTCAATGCTCTCGTTGCGCAGAACACGGATCCGCTGGATTTCGTCTGGGTGACCTTCGGGGTGGCCCTTGATGTACGCACGAATGTCTTCGTCCGCCTTGAGGATGTCACGACTGACATCAAAGGTGTAACGAGGGGTCTCGGGGATGGTCAGACGGTAGTAAAGAGCAGCACAGGCAGGAACCGCACCGAAGCCGATAAGGGTACGCCACATTTTGTCGATAGCCAGCTGACAGACACCACTGCAATGGGCAACATCCTTAGCAGTCTGAAGAGACTCCTTGAACCCCGCGGTGACAATGAGAGCCACAATAGCAGCAGCGAATTGACCGATACCCTGCATCGCGAACACAGAGCCCATCATCGCACCACGCCACTTGGTAGTTGCAAATCTATCTGCCAGTTAGTACAATGTAAACAGAGTCTTTCATCGCAATAGAACTTACTCGGAGGTAATGATTGACGACAGGGGATAGTCACCACCGATGCCGATGCCCATGACGACACGCCAGAAGATGAGCACACCGATGATGGACATGCCGGGGGAGGCCGAGGACAACGACTGAGCCAGCGTGGCCATGATGATGATCATCAACTCGATACCGTACATGCGCTTTCGACCGATGCGATCCGCTAGCCATCCGAAGAACAGCTGACCGATGACAGTACCGCCCGAAGTGGCAACTTTGATGGCAGTGTCAGCACTGGAAGGCAGCTTGCCGCCACCAGTTTTGGCACCCTGCCAGTAGACGACACCCAGCATACCGACAGCCAGGTTGATGGCGAAGATGTCGTAAGAGTCAGTGAAGAAGCCCACACCCGCAACCACGACGGCACGGACATGGTGCCAGCCGAACTTGGCCTGGTCAATACGGGCCAGGGCAGCACGGCGGCGTTCGTTCGGGTCCATGACGGAGGAAAGCTCGCTGTCAGTGGGAGGAGCAGTCTCGAGATCCGGATCAATAGCGTGAGAGGCCATGATGGATGCTTGAAGGTGATGAACTTGAACTGAAGGTATCGAGGAGTCAAGCAAGTTGCGAGGGGTGATGATGATGAAGAACGCGAAAAGGTTTGGGGGAGGGTAAAGGAGGAAGAAGAGATGTGAACGTGGAGGAGTGAACGGAGGAAAAGTGAGTGAGGGAGATGATGGTTACACGGTCAACCAGGGCCGACAACAGAAAGGTTCCGATCTGCCCACGCGCCAGAAAGACAAATATTGGCGTTGTTACGCTACAAACATTGTCGTGTGTGACCGTTACTGTCTAGAGCCGCCAAAGCTTCAAGACCCGCTCTGCTGATCGCGAGGTTCATAGTTCTCGATGGGCCAATCAACGTCTACGATTCAGGCACGGGGCACGAGGAGCTTTAGTAGAGGATTCACCAAGAAGGGAAGGAACGATGGGGACGGTTCCTGGCTCCCGCAGTGGCACCTGCCAGTTGCAAACCTTATTACCTTATTCCCGCCATACACAAACATAATGACTGCATTATTGCAATATACTCATGTTGGTCATCATGAGGCAGTCTGGATACACGTTATCTGGTAGAAAAGGACATGCCTTTAACAACACCATATACCAACCACGAATATGATCTCATCACCATTGTAGCCAGCTTCTTCCATTTGACATCATTCATCCGACGACGACATTGCCATCTAACGCAAGTGCCACCGTATATCCTCATTGCACGATCATACCCAGTCCGAACCAATTCTCAGCCAGTCTGGAAGCATCGCAATCTGCCACAGTGGACCACCATCTTTTGAACATCCCCAAGTCATATCATTCACCCGATTCCGCCATTGCCACGGATTGCCTCCATCTCAGATATCCCCGTCATCCCACCATCACACCAACGTCAACCCCCGCCTCCACCCGAGCCACACGTGGCGCAATAACGCACATACTTAAACCGGGCACTGCAATCACCATGACCGGCCTTGATTTCACAAAATTCTCTCCCTAAAACCCCCAAAAAAGACAAAGTGAAGGTTTACTCCAAACCATCCCGATCACCATCCACCATGGGCCGCAATTCTGGTAGTTCCGAGAACAAGTTGCGGGGATACAAGGCGTAAGCCTACCAGTTCCCCCCTCCCCTTCCCAATTGCCTATTTGCCTACTTTCCAAGGCCCTGCCCTAACCACTCCAATTCTCCCCTGCAGAGCAACCCATAATCCCCGCGTGTCAGATGAAGCCCGTGCACACGCACAGCAAGAAGCCGACAAACTCTCCAATTATACCAGTGACGAGGAGCGTCACGAGGAGAATGTCAAGCGCGGATTGAAAGCGTACGTACACCAGCCCTCAAGCCCATTCGCAAAACTGGTCCTGGGTGAGAAAAGACCGTAAACAGAACCTCTGCTGATCGCATCTTAGTGCTGTGCATAATCCCCGCGTCACGGAGAGTGGCCGTAAGGGTGCGAAGGACAAGTTGAATGAGATGGGGGCGCCGGCGGAGTAAGGATGTACTCGTGTTTGATAGAATTGAGTTTAAGGAGACGGGGATGTAGAGTTGTAGATTGAATCAAATGGATATAACAAAACTGGATTCAATAGAAGATTGGTGTTGTATGATCATTATATGAGCGGTCTTTTGTCAGTCTTGGTCTATTTTGGGTAAGATCTTCATCATAGAGTCGGTAGAGCGGAGTGTATGTACAGAAAGGAATATTATAACGGGATGATCCCGTTCAACTGTTGCATGACCCGAGATAACGGGTCGTTTCCCATAATTAGGGTACCATCATCATAGTCTTACATGATCAGGCCAGTCCACGCTTCATCTTCCACCGCATGATAAAGGTCGCAACCGGGAAGAACGCAATAGACGCCGCAATCCAAATAAACAAAACCCCAAAATCAAGTCCAATACGCGAATGCGTACCAAACAAGATGGTCCGAAGAGCCTCGACAACTAATGAAAGAACGGTTAGCATAACATCCAAACAATCATCCGCTTACGACGGGTAAACAGGAGATGGAACCTACTCCGATGCAACGGCCACGCATACCCCCAGCGATAAAACACGCTCGCCAACTCAATGTCATAAAACCCGGTCGCCACATTCGTAATCACCCAAAAGATCAAGAACATCGAACTCCACGGGAATCCCAACACCATCGCCATATTCTCACATGGCATGCCCAAAGCTGTCATGCCCACCCAGTTCAGCATCCAAAATACGACGAACGAGCCTTTTCCGTATGCATTCGGATTATTCGCAGATACCGTATCGGGAGCTGGTGAATTGGAGAATGGAATGCCAAAGGCCAGACTGACGAGGCTGTAGAATAAACTGAGGAAGAAGTATGCGGCGATGTTGGAAATGATACGCCAGATGAGCCATTGGGGGATCTTGAGAGGTGGGTTTGATGCGGAGGGTTTAACGAGTTGGGCGTGGATGGGCATGAGGAAGGGGAAGTTGAAGAAGGCGATGATGATGAGGTAGATGAGGCCGATAGTCACGGCCGGTGCGGCGACGGCTGGAGCAAAGGGACGGAGATCGATGTTCGTAAAGCCAATTGCAGGGTTTAACGCTTGTGCCGGCACGCTGGTAAGGTTTGTCCCGTTCGTGATAAGATTCTGGACCCATTCGGGACCGAATGAAGCCAGGACGCTGCTTTGGAAGATGGCCAGGTCCGGGAGGACGTAGGAATAGTATGTACTTTGGTCGCGCGCCGAGATGATGACAGTTTGAATAGCACCAATAGGGTCGTAACTGGTGTTTCGTTGCGTGATTGCATCACGGAGCAGAACGGTTGCATTGGGGTTGACGATGACGGCGGCATAGGCATGTTCATCGTAGACGGCTTGGCGCACCGCCCAGGGGTCGTTGTTAAAGGTGCTGGCGTTTTTGATGACATAGCCCAGATGCAGGTCGGACGAATCGATGAATTCCTGTGCAGTGGTCGCTACGGCAGGCCCGACAAGAGGGTTGCTCGTGGCATAGTCGTCCGTTTGACCATCAAAGTCGACGACCCAGACTTTGAGCTTGGACAATTTGCTCTCAGTGCTATATTGGGAGCCCCAGAAAAGTGACAGCACGGCGAGCACAAAGATGCAGAGAATGAATACTGTGGAATTGTCAGATCGGTCCGAAAAAAGTCTTTCAAGTGCTTGAAAGATTGATGTCTCTACATACCAGTGCGACTCCATTGGTAAAATACCCGTCGTCGAACCTCTTTCAACGCAGGATCGAAAAACGAGACCGCCGGCGCGACTTGATCATCTGCCTTATCAGAAATCATTCTTCGAAATGCTTATTTTTTCTTGTCATACCCACAATGTGCGCGACGCAACATTTTAAACCGGCAGAAATATCACCATCATGTCATTGAGAGCCGTTTCCGGCGATTCAAGGGATTCTCGGGGAAATGCCGTCTTAGGCAAGTCCACGGCTTATCTCCGACAGCTTACAACGAAACGACGTTATTGTTCCGGGCCCACCAATCAGTGCGGACAAGAACTGGTAAGGATGCCTTGGTCTATTGAGCTTCGGGATAATATCTAGGCCATGGTGTAAACAAAGTAGGTGAATTACCTGTGCTGACTGACGGTTAACGAAAAGTCCGTTAAATATGTCCGTCTACGACCAGGATGTCTTCATATATCCGATCCGAGGTGGTTAGGAATTAATTACTTTACTATGTATTAGTCCTCGGCCAGAAAGGTAGATCTTATCTTAATTACCCGGTCGGAATTTGTGGATGGATTATGCGGGTGTCGAGATTGTTGTGTACTGGCCTAACGTTTCTTGGGAGTATAGACACGCAGTAGAGCAAGATGGATGAGACCGGCATGCAATACTAATGGGCTGGTCTTTGGACTTTTATCAATTTAGCCTGACCGTTTCTGAGAAATAACCCCATCTTTGTACGGGGCCAAGTCCATCACTCCCTGCATAACGGCGACACCCCCAATGTATCACATCTCTATACGCAATCGCGGCACCAGGGGCCCCTAGCCCATTCCCGCCCCAGTTAAAACCCCCTACGTATCCCCCTCACTCTTACAAAGTTTCACGTTCAGTAGGTACATTATACATCCAACGCCAACATGATCAAGGGCATGGACATGAAACAAGGCGTTGCATCCTCGAAACTCAGTCACAGCTGTGGGGGTTGTTCTATCGCGATCATCAGTCATGCACCAAATCCTCATTGGCGGGTGGACGCGGGGCCGGTCTGAAAGTGTTTGGGGCTAACCAGTCATCGCCAATCACAATCACGTCTGGATAAGGATCTGATGGATAGATGGATTTATATTGAGATCATTTGGAGGAAATGTGATATGCTTTTTTCATACAAGGATTCTGTTTGTATCACCTTGAGAGGTATCCCCCGCTTTTCTATGGGCTCATGAATACATAGAGTAACAGTAAATCATGAATCCAACGCAATATCCAGCTTGCCCGAGTCTCTAATAACCAAAATGTCTATCGCTAACCGTAATCCCGGGGACCAGCCCAAGGACGTCAAAAATCGTTTACATCGTATCCTCCCAAGTGTTTCCTCTCCCGAACGGCCGAAGACTTCAAATCCCAAACCCACGATAGTATCCCAATCCAGATGCATAACCCACATCAAATTTAAATCTCAACCTTCACACAAGAAACCTGGTACGAAGCATACCGACGCTTCAAATTAGGCACCCGACACGTCTGCGTACTCGTCATCGGTCCGGCAACATCCGAAATATCATTCCCGTCGCACATCGTGTTATCAAAGAACTCGATCCGGCACCCGTCCGCGATCGTGTTCAGCGTATAGGCCGAGGCGACTCCGTTCAAGTCGGCACGGCAGCCGGTGCTTCCGCTGCCAGCATGGAGTTCACCCGTGCCGTTGCAGGCTGTCGTTGGGTAGAGGTCGAAGGACCATTGGATGTCTCGGGGGAAGAGGGGGAAGGCAGTTGTTGTCGTTGTGAAGAGAAATGAGGCGGTCGCGAGGGCACGGAGGATAAGCGACGGCATATTTGTGGTGATGAAGGCGGTGGATTTAATGGCTTAGAGTGAGATAGCGAGAGATCACTCCGGAGGATGATACTAAGCGTAACGAGAGACAAGATCTGCCAGTGGATCGTTAGCGATGATCAGAGAAGAAACGCCTCCATAGGAAGACCAGTATACATACCAAGGTCACAGCACGAGAAAAATGTCAAACATGTAGTATTGTGAGGGATACAAATCAGGGTCCAACCCAGATGAAAGAGTTCAAAGTCTGCGCAGCAGGATCAAAAAGAAAAAAGTGGATTGACAGCAGCCAAGCCCCCAGTTTAATAACTTGGCTTCTTCAGCGACAGTGGCGGGGGAGCCCCCAACCTCCATGCCAGGACTCCGTAGCCACCGCGTTTCAGGGCCCCGTCGGTGATCGTCAGTCTGCCAAGCCGCGCAGGCGTTCCTGCAGGCGTACGTATACTTCGGCTTGGCAGTGCTTCGTCTGTACTGTACTGTTCTCCGCCGAAACCCGTGTGTACGCCACACGCGGTAGATTGATACAAAAGAGCAATCCGATACATTCAATGCCAGCAACACAAAACAGACATGAGAAATTCGGGAGTTCGTATAGAGCTCAGCTGTGCCCAGTCCACTTCTCACCCTGCCAACGGCCATTCCGATGAGGTCATTCGTGGTGATCATCGCGAGTACCCATTCGCAGTGGGGCCGGCCCCTCGATACTCCACTTTTTACGTACCGCGCGTACGTATCCTTCGAGCACGCCGTTGAGTGAGTATTTGAGGCGATCACCATCATCAGGGTCTACGGACTCCGGTGGAGTTGGATTAGTTTGTCCAAAAATTCCAGACGCGATTGTCAAAGCTTAGATTCATGCATTATGGAGAACTGGAAAATACATCAAAAGTCGATCTTCTGGACTCGTGGCAAACGATACTGCGGGATGTTTCTATATTTGTTTCGGGCGGTGGAGACCGGTCGGAGAGGGCCGTCCACGAGTCCAAATTCTTGTACGAAGTACGCAGTACATTGTCCTTCGATTGTTGATATGGCACATGATTGAATGTATTATTTTGACAGATCGCCCTATACACACTACTAGAGAACACCCTAAAACCAGTGCATGCGAGACATCTACTATTTTGCCACATGGATAGATTTACACAAGTCCTACACACATCTGCATATAATACACAGAATGTGGCTCGCTCGAAGGGGCTTACACCGTCTTTGCGCGCTCGCATATTGGGACCACATGATATTGACTGGGATTACAAGCGTGTTCACAAGCGTGACTCCTGAATTCCGATCGCAACAATTTGATATACAACTATTAGAGAGCCAGAGATACGAGATGGCATCTCAAAAACAAGACCTGGTCGCCCAAAGGACCTAACTGGGGCGCATTAATCGCAGATTCTTGAAGTGATAGTTTCTGTTCACTGTTCTCAGTGTCTGTCATACAGGTGACTCGGGTTTCAAAACGACAGTTTTCTCTGGGAGCTGAAATTCGGCCACCTCGTGGTGCCTAAAGGTCTATATTAACATAATGCAATGTCAGTGGGGAAATAACTTACACCATGGCTTTCCATGATTCAATAGTAAGCTCGCGGTCTTCGAACGCCCAATCAAACATAGCTTCCGATGAAGGCTCATCATTGGGGTCGTGATACGAAAGCGCACGCACGAATTGCCGGACCTTCGAAATCTCAGCAGGCGATTGCATATGAAGAGACCAAACATACGGAATTGCTAGGGAAAGTATCTACCATTTCTTCTGATGGGGTACTAAGAATCTTCCTAATGAAACGAAACTGATCGATATGGTCAGCTCCAGTACAAAGTGGTTTTCCTCGCAGCATCTCCGCCATGATAGATCCCGCGCTCCATGTGTCGACCTTGGGACCGTATTTCTACCAAAACAGCATAATCTCGGAGGCGCGGTAGTATCGCTCGGAAACATATCCAGTCATCTGATGGTCGTGTATTCTAGCTTGTCTAAAGTCGCAAATCTTAAGATCGCAGTTCTCATTAATGAGAATGGTGCTAGGCTTTAGGACGCGATGAACAACACCTGCAGAATATAGGTACTTAAGGCCTCTCTGAGGGGTATTGATTAGGATTCCAATAAGCTTGAGACGTATGATGTACGGAAATCTGATAAACAAACTAAGCGAACTGCTCCTAGAGCAGCCTAACGGTGAGAATTATTTTGAGATATGTAGATAGGAGCTGTCGATGTTATAATAATAAGGTTGAGTCATGGTATGAGCACGTGCGAAAATTATCGTAAACGCGCATAGTTATATGTCTTGGAATGGTCTCACGAAGCGGGACGTCCTTTGCAGATATAATCTGTCATTCCAACGTTAGCTCTATGACGATTCGCTTTCCTCGCGTTCTACTCACATCTTTATGCTTCAATTCTTTTAGTAACATCATACTGGAGTGTTTAATCATATTGTTCTTCTTCCCCGAGACCCAGGGACCAACGCTAGAGGATATTGCTGTCATATTCGATGGCGATGAATCTACGGCGGGGATCGCTCAAGCCATGGCTCATGAAAAGTTCGTTGAAGGTACGCGCACTGAGCGTGATGCCTGGAAACTATCGAGCCAGCTCTATGAAAGGAGACCCTCGTGCTCATGATATATGACACTTATTCCCCACGGGCTTCCATGCCGTCGACAGCGGATGAAAATGACAAGACGGTGCTAAGACGTATGCCTGCCACTCCTACTCCCTCGGAGCCAGCGCAAAACTGAACTCCTTCAAACCCGGCGAAAGCTTCCACCTTGCAAAGAGCTGCCCATTCTCCACCAAGATCTGTCGTAGCACCTCCCCCCTCTCCATCTCTGTAGCAGGCCACACGCCGTCCCATATCCTCACATATGGCTCCACGACCCTAAAGACCTCCCTCAGCCACCTGCCTGCCCTCCCCTCCTCAATCCTCCCTGTCCCAACCATCCCCGTCTCCAGTTCCTCCAGAGAAACACCCCTCTCCCGCCCCCTCCCAACTGCAACCCGCATCACCCCAAGCAACATATGAGACCGCAATGCAAAGTCCAACTCACCCACCTCTGCCTTCACCCCCACCGTCTCCTCTACTGCAATAGCAGCCAGAAACTCCACCTCCTCCTCACTCCCAACCTCTCCCTCCCACCCTCTACACCATGCCTGTGACCCCACGCCACCATCCGGCCACCCACACCACGTCACCTCACTCTTCCACATGCCATCCATGTCCGGCTGAGCAACCTCCCTCCTCTCCGCACTCGCCTCCCACAGCTGCGCCGAGTACTTTACTTCCCACGCGTACACATCATACGCGCCCTGCGCGACCAGTATCCCGAAGTGATTCGGCTGCCACGCTTCCCAGGAATCCGCCTTAGCTAAGCCAGATCGGCCAGGGGAACCGAGCCCCATATACTCAAGCCAGAAGCGCGCTTGCGTCTCTGAGTAGGGCGGCACGCTGGTGTGGGCCATGCGCAGCCGCTCGATGGTCGTCTCGAGCGTGCTGAGGGCTAATCCCGTGAGAGTCACGAGCGGGAGGGAGGGCTGCCTGTGGCGCGTGCGCGCGACACTGTGGGCCCAGCGGGGGAGTTTCGTGGCGTGTGCCGGGGGTCGCTGGCGGGGCAGCCCCAGCGGGGAGTCAGAGTCAGATAGGTCTTGGAGGTCAGGCAGGCGGTAGAAGCGCGCTGTGGTGGGCTGGGTAAGGAAGGCAACAGAGTAATAAGAGCGCCATACGGAGGAGTGGAGGAGTGCATGGTGTGTGGTGTAAATTGACTGGAAGTCATCAGGGGAGGGGAAGTCTCCCTCAAGTTGGTCGCTGGAGCGGTAGATGGCCGCTGCGAGCTGGGCGAGGTAGAATATATCCAGGGTGCTGTGATTTATCAGTCTTTGGTCTCGTAGTACAGTGCGATTGCTAGGGATGTGCTAACTTTGGGAACTCACCGATTGAACCTCAACTCGCCCTCGGCGAACGAATATCCACGCGCGTGCAGCTTCTCGACAACATCAAAGACGCCGTTGCCGAGCCACAGCCCCTCGTCCATGTAGATGAATGCTATGCGCAGCACTTTCTCGTGGCAGTCCACCGGCACCACGCCGCCTTCGACGTCAGCGAGGAATTCTTTAGCGCTCATGGCGAACCCTCTGACAAGAAAATGAATAATGATGATTGTGGGATACAGATATGAATATCAGATCGTCACTTGGTATACCAGGTGTCACGTGCCAGATTATGGACAATGTTACGGCTACGCTTGCTTTCATGTTCAACTAGTAATTAGAATATCAGTCATCTCAGCAACACTCAGCCAATCATGGGCGGATTTTGAAAAACTCTCTCAGAAGATAGTAAAGTGCATCCTTCTTGTTGTCTTTCGAGGCTGGGGATACAAGCAGTTTTGTCCGGGGTCACTGCAGGTGATACCACAGAGGACGAGTCGTCTTTTCGGTAGGAATCCAACTCTGGCGACCAAGAGAATAGAGCGCGGCTGGTCAAGGATAACAAAAAGCTATTTGTAGATTCGGTAATTTACAAAGCCATCTCATGCAATATCAGGAGTGATATCGCAACAAAGAGGGGATATAGTATTCAGATTACATTAAACGAATCGCCTATCGGAATATCTGGAGTGCTGATCATATAGGCGCCGTCATGATGCTTCCAAACTGTGAGCCATGAAATACCAGCTTTTGGTTTCACTTGTGGTTTCAACTATCAACCCAATATGTGTTTGATTGATGTCTGGCATACTGACTGACAATTGTTAGGTATACGGAGGTTACCGAAAATCAGGTTTCTGGGTCCTGAACTGCCGCGTCCTGGAGTGTCATGGCCAATGGGGGAGTCAATGGTGGGGACCGCAATCTCGGCTTTCCATTAAGCGTGCCTGACTGCCGATCCAAACCCGCTTCCAGAAGAGAAAGGCAAGGATAATCTACATTCTCGACGTGCCAGAATCTTTGAGATACACTCAACAAACCGGCGTCTTTGCCACACGAAGGTGAATATTTAAGTAATTGTTTTAGTATCGCAGAGCATTATTCTTATACCAATGCCTGCGTGTTATGATACATACCTTTGCCTCGAGACTTGCTGATTCGGGCCCTGTATCTACATTAACAGGTTCGTTTAGGCCATAGGCACTTCATGTCTGCCTTCATTGCAGATTGAGGTCGGGACACTTTGACTCACAAACTAAATCGGGAATTCATTCTGAAACCATGATATTTTTCATGAGACTATAGCTTAGTCTAGTGGTTATCATGGAAGAATCTCGGTTATGCTACTTCCAGTCTATACTGATCAACTCGAAACAAACCAAAGAATTGGCATCCCCGCCAATATGAACTCACATTTGACTATGAGAATGGCTCTCAGCGTCCTCTTAGCACATACGACCATAGGGTGTGGAGAACAGGGCTTCCCGTCCGCTCAGCCGTACTTAAGCCACACGCCGGCCAGTTAGTAGTATGGTGGGTGACCACATGCGAATCCTGGCTGTTGTATGTTTTTATTTTTGATCATTTGCATTTGACTCGTTAGGATTGCCCTTGTTGCCTTACTCTCTAGCCCCCTCAGGCCCCCTGGTCAGCTGTCTTGCTACCTATAAACCCTCTTCGATAGTGAAATCTCTTCGCAGAGTACCTGGCCAGCTGACCGATTGCCTTTCTTGACGATCTTCTTGTTCGCAATATGTATTTGTCTATCAGAATGGCTACAAATAGCGACGACTTCTTCGAGAGCAGAGGCTGATCATAATATTATTTAGCATCCAGCTATTCTTGGGTACAGTATGAAGTTAATCGTTCTTCCTTCGATTGCCTTGGCGGCTTTTTCGTCTTCTGTGCAAGCATCTCACCCTCATTTTCGTCCAAATGGACACCATCACCATGCTCAACATGGCGACACTTCTTCTATCCAGACAACAACGACTGTAGTCACATCTATGACTACCGTGTCGTCGTCTTCAGTTAGCTTGCGGTCAACAACTACCAAACTTCCCACTCCCGCCTCCGCCCCCACGTCTACTCCAAGCACGCGCGTGGACTCACGCGACGGCACATCAAACTTCGTCCATCCTGGCATTTTCATCAGCTCTGCACAAATTGGCAACTTCTCCTCAAATGTAGCATCCAGCACGGAACCCTGGGCCGAAGCCTACAAACAAATGATGAACCACAAATATGCATCCCGAACGACTCCGACCCCCTACCCGACAGTGTCCTCCGACGCCAGCTGTGATGATGAGCTTGATGATGCTCTGACCGCGTATCTGAATGCTTTGGCTTGGGTGGTGACGAAAACAAAGTCCTACGCCAAGCGCGCGATTACGTTTATGAATAGCTGGGCCGGGACCATCCAATGCCACGGGGGTTCCAATGCACCCCTACAATCAGGGTGGGCGGCTTCTGTTTGGACTGGTGCCGCTGATATTATTCGTTATACGAATGCTGGATGGACCAATTCGAGCATTGTTGCATTTGAGGATATGTTGCGGGATGTTTATCTGCCCGAAGTCATAGTCGGATCTGATTACAACGGGAATTGGGAATTGGGAATTGGGTATGCTACCTTTCATTATGCCTTCCACTGCTCCAAGGCTTATAGTTCTCCAGTCATGATGGAAGCAGCGTTGGGAATCTCCGTTTTCATTGAGAACACCACGAGCTATGACATTGCCATGGAGAAATTCTTAGCTCGGACGGCCGCATACGTTTATCTGACCAGGTTAGTGTTATCCGTGACCCTTAGAAGAACCAAAACGGACCTATTGTGACATTCAGCGATGGCGACCTGCCAAATGCAGTTGACATATCTACAGAAGAAAAGCTTATCTCGTACTGGTACGATCAAGATACCTTTGTGGACGGACTAAGCCAAGAGACCTGCCGTGATTTCGGCCACGTCGGTTATGGCCTTGCTTCTATCTCACATGTCTTGGAAACATCCCGGATACAGGGTAATGATATGTACGAAGAAGACGCCGGAAAGCGTTTGCGATATGCACTTGAGTTCCATTCAAAATATGAGAATGGGGCCACAGTTCCTGATTGGCTTTGCGGTGGTGAGGTTAGCCTTGGGATTGCTCAGAGTAAGTTCTTCGTTGAAGTATGCAACTCAAGACTGATACCGATTGGTCTGTTCGATTGAAGCAACCGAGCCGGGGCTCAACGCGTTTTCATACCGCCTGGGCTATGCCATGAATGAGACTCAACTCTACACCGAAGGACATCGACCTGAAAACACAAATGGGGTTTTTGTTGGATGAGAAACACTTACCCATGCAGAGAATGATGCTTGATTATTTTGTCTTGGTAAATCTCAGTCTTTGAAAAGATTTTAGATGTCACAGTTTTCGGCATCAATTGCGTGACAGAGCGCTGCGTACATTGCTGTGTGGGACCTCGATTTTTTTTATAGCAGGATAGATTCTAAAATGATCCCCGTGGCGGCAACATTGCTATTCACTCTGTTGTTGATAACCCGGAGCTTTAGGATAGGGGTACCAGCAAGGCTATTGTTGGAGCCTATATTGAGTATTTTAGGGATGGAACGTTGGACCTGGTGAGTGTTGTGTTGATTGCACGTAATTATTTGATTCCGTTTTCGGGGAGTTAGTGAGTGTCGAGTTGTTAGGGACGTTTGGCATTATTGGGTGAGAATTTCCAAGTGATATAGTATATCTCATTGGATGGGTGCGGGCTTCTATCCCCATTACGATATTTTATATTGTAGGGAAAGTCTGGCGAGGAAAGAACAATTTCTTTGCTCAATGTAGTTCAAATAACTCATTAATAGTTCCTCCCATAAAATCTAATTTAATGAACACAGATCGAGGAGCCCCAAAATGCAGATAATCTCCCCATTTATGTGTTTAATATTCGAAATTAACCATCATGCCTCCCATCCCTAGTCTCACAATATAACTGGCGAAACGAAGATAGCCACTGCGGACTATCAGCAATAGTCTGATCCCACTCATCCCCACAACCAAATACCACCCTCCTAGCTTCTTGCTGAAACATCTCATCCGTAGGAATAACGCCCTTTTGCATCTGCTGGCGCGCAAATTGTCCCAAATGACGTGTGAAGTTTCCCAAAAAATTGTCAAATTGCGAAGTTGTAGCGTCCGCCGCACCAGCCGTGGTGGGCTCTTCTCCCGGGACGACATCCCCTTCGCCCTTTGGAAGATGCACCCGAGCGGACATTTGCGCATAGTGATCTCGAACATGTGCGTTGGTCGAGGAGAAAGGGATCATGCTTTCGGATTCATTACCGATGAGGTAGGGCGGGAACGCGTTTCTCAGTTGTGCTGTGATGGATGGTGGGAAGCCGTGGTCGCCTTGCCAGTCTTTCATGGTGAAGCCGGAGCGGAAGTGGTCACCGATATGCTCGATGCGTTCGTCCCAGTCATGGAGTTTCTGGTCGCAGAATCCACATCTTGATGCGATGTTTTTGGACTCCTGCTTCCAGTCGTCGATGGACGGGACGGTGTTGACTTGGTGTACGTGACGGAGATGCTGCACGAGATGATCCTTCCGTCGGAATGATCGCGATGCCTTGGACAGATTCTGGCATTCTTCGTAATTGTGCTCCTGAATGAGGTGATCGCGTGACGGGTTCGGGGTATTACAGTATGCACAGTGCTCCTGACCGGTCGTCTCGGAGAATACAGCCGGGCCGAGAGGAGCGCAGTACCACGTCTCCAGGTTCAAATGCAACGACTTCTCATGTCGCACCCAATCATACTTGCTTCTAAACCGATCACAGCAAAAGGTACAACAGAATATGCGCGGCTTCGTATCATTCCACGGCTTCGCTTTGCTCTTGGCAACCCGTCCCTTTGACCGGCGGCTGCGACCACTCTGAGGAGTCGATCGACCGGTCGATGAGTACGCCGAGTCTGCAGAAGAGGCACTGAACTCTCCGCTCGTGATGGACGCTGATTGACGATAGTGTCTGAACGAATCGTTTACTTTGCGGCCACTCGCTTGTCTAGGGCTGTTATGCGTCGGCATCTCGTCGACGGCATTCATGATTGCGGTGAATGAAGCCGGTTCATCCTCGGGCGGGGACTCCTGCCATCGTTGCATCGGATCCATTTCCTTTGCAGTGGGAATTTGAATAGGATGGGTCTTTTCGACGGGTCGCGAGATCAGATATCGACTTCTGCGACGTGGTAGACCACTACTTCTGGTGGGTGGCGCGCGAACGGGTTGCCGTTGTGACAGAGGTGCAGAAGCTGTTTCTTCTATAGGTTCCGAGGGCATGGTAAGGTCATTCAGAGCAGGGCTTGACTCCCAATTCCATGAGAAACCTTCAAATAGATGATTATTTGATGCATCTTGCGATAAACCAATTCCAGGACTCGTTGTGCCCGAGTATCCATTCATCATATCTGGAAATCCATCCAAGGAAGAAACCGAGGCAGGAAAACTATCGGGTGCCAATTCATGCCCCATGAAAGACGGAACAGCGGGTGTCGTGTTAGTGGTATCATATGTAGAATCCAGGAAACATAGATCGGATGCATCCAGTAGCTGAGTATTGAACAGCCCCCCTGCATGAAAGCCGGAACCATCAAAATGGAGATTATCCGCAGGAAAGATATCAGTAGTTCCTGTATTTGGAGCATGTGTCCAGGGATTGTCATTGGAGAAGAACTCTTCTTCAAAATGAGCGAGCTCTTCTGGTTGGTTCTCAGGTGGCATAATTGGGGGTCCTTATCGGGAATGGATGTGAATGGGAAGTTGTAGATTTCCCCAGAGAGGGGCATTTACTCCAATTGGTGTGGGTCGGAATTTGCAATCGGATCACGTAATCCCGGCACATTTGGAGTCAAGTCTGACATGCTCGTATGAGTTGATCTGGACAATGTAGGGATTGACAGAAGCTTCTTTCAAAATGTTCCGGTTTCCAATTGACGCTGATAGGTCAGTTTTCCAGTTAGGCACTTGAAGTTTTGTTTGTTAGAATGGAATAGATTACATCCAAGAAAAGAATAGTGGCGTCACGGTCGTTGTTTATATATTTTCAAACCATCTGTCCGCAGAACACGCAAGAGTGAGGCGCCCAATCAAGACTCCGTAATTTCCAGAGTTCGAAAGAGACTAGACAACGCTTTCATGGTTAAATTTTGACAGAAAAGGCCAGGAAAAACCTCTAAATCCGAGTAGGTGGGAGGACGTCCGTCATCACGTGGTTAAGCACCGATTACCAAGGGAAATTACATTTTGACACACATCATGGAAATATTCCAAGATTCATTCATCTCTATAGGACATCAAGGAGGGAAAAATTCATCATCAGCAAGCCCATACCGGGCAAGCCTCAATCTATAATCTAAGCGAAAGCCTTAACCTCGCCATCCTTCAGCTTACCAGCCTCAACGAGACGCTTAGACTCGGCAGCCCAAGCAGCCTTGACGGCACCGCTGTCCTTGCCAGCAACGGTCAGGCGCGAGGCCAGCTCGGCAAGCTCATCAACGTCAATCTTGCTCATGACGAGGTCAACGTCGGTCAGGACGGTGTCAACCTGGGCGGCAGAGGCCTCGCCGTCAGCGAAGTAGTTGACATCCTTGACGGAACCCTTGAGAACACGCTTGTTCTTCTTAGCAGCGTTCTTAGCGGCCTCCTTGGCCTTCTTCTTCTCCTCACGCTCAGCCTTGGCAGCCTCCTCGGCGTTCTTCTTCTTCTCCTCCTCCTCAGCCTTGGCGCGCTCACGCTCCTCGATCAGACGCTTGGCCTCGTCCTCCTTAGCCTTGCGCTTGGCGTCCTTGCCGGCACGGGCCTGCTGGCGGAACTTCTTGATACGCTCATCCAGGGCGAGACACTCGTCGACCATCTCGCGCAGGCGGGCGATATCCTCGGACTTGCGCTTGCGGCGGGCGTTGGCGTTCTTCTTCTCGGTATGACGCTTCTGGTCACGGCCCTCACCATCATCGGGAATATCCTCATCCAGGTACTCAAACGTGCGCCAGCTGTCGAAGTTGTACCAGAAGTTGTAGAAGGTCTCGACCTCCTCCTGGGTGGAGTTCTCGTCGCCGAGCTGGGGAACGGGCTGCTTGTTGGAGAAGCGACCCTCGGCCTTGAAGACGGGTCCCCAGAGCTTGTAGAAGTTGCCCTTCTGGAGGTCCTTCTTGCTAGGAGGCTCGACATCGGCGGCTTCGTCGACGGAGTCGAATTGGCGGCGGCGGACGGGGTCCAGGAGCAGCTCGGTGGCCTTCTGGATGCACTTGAAGAAGTTGTCGTTCTCGTCACGCTGGCCCATGGCGGCCTTCTTATCGGGGTGGTGGCGGAGGACCTTCTTGCGGTGGGCACGCTTGATCTGCTCGGGGGTAGCGCGCCAGCGGTACTTGGTCAGGCCGAGAACGGCGTAGTGATCCTGGGCCTGGAAGGAGATTAGTATGGAATGAAAATGGCGAATTCAAGATACTGAGATCAACCGACCTTCCAGTCTTTAGCATCACGGGAGAGCATCATAGGATCCTCATCCTCGGAGATGTCCTCATCCTCATCCTCCTCAGTCTTCTTGACGTTCTGCTGAGCCTGGATGCGCTCATCTTCGGAGAAAGTGCGGGCGTGACGCTTCTATAAGGTTGTTAGATCCAAAATTTATCGCTGCCCGCATCAGCGACTGAGAGTTTGACTGTGAAATACATACTCGGCGAGCGTGGGCAAGGAAGTGCGGGCCCACGGGCTCAAGGTTGCGCTGAACAGCGGCAGAGAGGGCGCCAACGGCCTTGAAGTCCTTGTCGGCACTCCAGCCCGAAGGCAGGGAGGGAAGGGAAACGTTGACAACCTGCACAGAAGCCATTGTATGGGAAGTGTGATGGGGGGGTGGTCTCGAACGTTTGTGGGAGGAGTAGTTGGGTTTTTTTGCCTGTCTTTTTTTCTGCCCCTGTTGGCCGCCCGCCAATCACAACTCGGATAATCCCGACATGCTTCACGAATCGCGGCTCTGCATCTTTGATCCTAACTACCACGAACTTTACCTTACCGGAATTGATTTTTTGTGATCTTTTCGATTCTTCAAGATGTCTGCTCCCAGTCTTTCTGCTCTGAGCGCCTACCGGCAGATCCTGCGTGCTACCCGAGTGGCTTTTAGAGGTTGGTTCTGCATCACCGCATAGATGATGCTCCGTTGGCCAATGAATTTCTAACTTTCGCTAGATGACGCTCGCGTGATGGTCGCTGCTCGCCAGGAGGCCCGTCGCAACTTCGATCAGAACCGCCGTGTTGGAATCGACACCGGAATGCAGATTAACCACGCCATCGAGGTGGCCAACATCTTGCGACACAACCTGGTGCAAGGCGCCCGGGAGGACGGCGACGAGTCCGCCAAGTGGCGTATGTAATCCTTTGTGCCATTTCAATATAATGGCATGCCCATTGCTGGAACCTCTCTATATCCGGCGTGGGACTTCTACTGTTCGAACCTACGGCTAACTTGACCGCATCTAGAACTCCGGATCCACGATGAGATCGAGCGTGGCGACAATGATTCAATCAAAGTCGGCGATCAGAATGTCAAGATCCACAAAGCCTGCTCTTCCTGATCCGAGCCATCCCAATCCTTGACCACCTTGCATATATGTCCCAGCGATGGGTGACATCCACCTACAACGTCCTCCGACGGGTTGCGGATGGACGGAAAAGCAAAAATTACCAGCTGGGGTGGGACTGAACCATGTATTATAATATACCCGACTCTTTTGTATCACTTTTGGCGTCTCGGGGTATTTTTGAATTTCAATAGATCTGCATACACATACATACAAACAAAAACAAAGAACAGAAACCAATCCGTATCAAACGCCCGCTTTGTGAATCCGCATCATGCAAGCCACTGTCATCCTTGTGATCACCAACACTGGAAAGAAAAAGAAACATTTCGAGATTGTCGACTAGTCACCAGACATACTGGCGTATTGGACCTGACCCGAGCCCGGAGGCGGGGCCACAGTGTAGCCCTGAGGCTTCTCTTGTTGGCCCGCGTCCTCTCCGGCCGCTGTAATCGCCTTCTTTCCAGAAGGCCCCTTGGCTGGGCCGGCAGCCGCTCGGCCATCGCGGGCGTTGCGGATGCGCTCCTCTCGATCCATATTATCCAACGGCTTGGGCTTACCCCAGCGCACGCGCAGAGGACAGCCATTGACAATCGCCTTGCCCTGACATTTTTCGGCGGCAGTCTCCGCGTCGGCGCGGTTGACATAGTTGATAAAGGCGCAGTGCGAGCGATGGGAGCAGACTAGTGAGCGGAGCTGGCCGAACTCGGCGAAGAATGAACGGAGGGCATGTTCAGGGAGATCGTCCTCCACACCAGTGATGAAGAGCGAGGTCACATTAGGGTCGGCAGGAGGCTTAATGTCTTCAGCTGACGGGGGCAATTGCGCAGTACTGGGGAATGGACGACCGCCACGACCACCACCCCGACCTCCACGGGCACCTCCACGACCCGGCAGCCTGTTCCCAAGACGTCCCTCGTTCGTGCGTACCGGACCCGGTCCGTTGCCATAGCGGGATTGCGTCCGCGGCTGTTCTGACGGTCCAGCCTCCGCTCCTTCATCACCCTCCGCGGATGAAGGTCCCTCGATCCGACGTGGTTTGCGATAATAGGGTTCGCTGTTCGCGAGGCGGCGCAACAGCTCGCGCGCCTTGTCGTCCGTCTTTTCGTATTCCTCGATGGCACCGATTCCATCTTCAATTTCCTTCTCGTGGTTCTGCGCATAGTATTCGCGGTTGATAGAGCTATCGGGGCCCGGCGCAACCATCTTGAGGGCTGCATCGCGGACTTGGAGCGGCAAGCCGAATGACAAATCGAGCATACAGCATTGGCAACAGTTCTTCAGACGCGCGCAGGTCAGACAGATGTTGGTGCGCTTCTGGCGTGAGGTACGGTCTGCCTTCCAGCGGAAGATTGTAAAAGGACGAGTGCACTAATCATGATGTGTTAGCTTGGTTATATGACTGAGGTGGAGCTTAGGAAAAGCGGCAAAAACTTACGATCTTGCACTCGGCACCGTGGTCTTCTTTGAGCATCTGCACATATGGATTCTCAGGAAGGCAGTTCTCACAGACGGACGGGAAGTCTGTGGATTCCCAGCCGGAACGGTTGAGATCATGTTTGATCTGGGGAGGCATGGTGACGTGGTGGGGTGAGCTGGATGACTCTCGGAGTTCAGTCGAGAAGAAGCCGAAGAAAGATGAGCCTGACTATCGATAGACGGTGGCGGTGTGTGGCTGGTGTGGCACGTGATCGGATAACAGACGAGCCTCTTTCCATGTGTTGCTGAGAAATCAGGGCCATTGCACTGGAGTGATTGGTTCAAAGTCTCGGAATATACTCAAGATCTTCCGATATTTCTGCCTAGACGATCCATAACCTTGTCTGGATCTCCTCCCCCGTCTATCTCCCCTATCAGTCTCCCCGCAAGATCAGGTCACCCACTGATATCGCCGGGGCCTTTTCCTTCCGACGCAGCCACCGCCCGGAAACTCGCAGACCCGCCAGGTAACTGGGTCCACGTGATTGGCCAGTCTTCGGCCCAGTCGAGGGTGCACGCGCTCAGGGGCTCGTGATTGGCCTGGCCTTTTTCCCAGTCCGCCAAAAAGTTGTCGCTCAATTGCACCCTATTTATCCTTCTTGACCACCTTTCACTCCCTCTCCTTTCTTGCAACTCACCTCCTCTTCGCTTCTCCACAGCCTTCTTGGATCAATTCCAACTGCTGTTCACTGTTATTATTATACGGGCCGTTGTTCCCTTTTTTTCCTCTCCCAATTCCCTCAATTATTCCTCCGGGACCCCCCCCCTTTTAATACCCACCTCCCTCCCAATTCTTCATAATGGCTCCCACTGCTCTTGAACGCGAGGATGTTGCGCGCGATGCTGCCTTCAACCAGGCTATGCACGGCAAGTCAGCCAAGCTCCGCGGCGGTTTGACTGCCCTGCGCGGCAAGGACAATGCTGCTCAGAAGGCTGCCGTCGACGAGTACTTCAAGCACTGGGACAACAAGGGCCACGAGGGGGAGACTGCCGAAGACCGTGAGGTACGTGGTTGAGATTTGCTTGATAAATTGCGTTTAATTATAGCCTTTGACTAACTCGAATTGTTCAACAGGCTCGTCGCAAGGAATACGCCACCCTGACCCGTCAGTACGTTCCCCCGTATCCATCGCCCTCAATTGCGCGCTTTGCGCCAGGTCGAGATTCCCCTTATGATACCATGAGTCGCTAACGTGTGAAACAGCTACTACAACCTGGCTACCGACTTCTACGAGTACGGCTGGGGCTCCTCTTTCCACTTCTGCCGTTTTGCCTACGGTGAGCCCTTCAACCAGGCCATCGCCCGCCACGAGCACTACCTCGCCATGCAGACCGGTCTCACGGAGGGCATGAAGGTTCTGGACGTTGGCTGTGGTGTTGGTGGCCCTGCTCGTGAGATGGTCAAGTTCTCCGGTGCCCACGTCACTGGTCTCAACAACAACGACTACCAGATTGACCGTGCTACCCACTACGCCGTCAAGCAGGGTCTGTCCGACAAAATGGCCTTTGTCAAGGGTGACTTCATGCAGATGAAGTTCCCCGACAACACCTTCGATGCCGTCTACGCCATCGAGGCGACTGTCCACGCTCCCGAGTTGGTCGGTGTCTACAGCGAGATCTTCCGTGTTCTCAAGCCCGGTGGCAAGTTCGGTGTCTACGAGTGGCTCATGACTGACGAGTACAACAACGATGACCCGGAGCACCGTCGTATTCGTCTCGGTATCGAGCAGGGTGACGGTATCTCCAACATGGTCACCATCTCCGAGGGCCTGAAGGCTATCCGTGACGCTGGCTTCGAGGTTCTCCACCACGAGGATCTGGCTGCCCGCCCCGACGCTACCCCCTGGTACTACCCGCTGGCCGGTTCGTTCAAGCACATGGGCTCCGTTTGGGACTTCTTCACCATTGCCCGCATGACCTGGTGGGGTCGTGGTCTTGCTCACCGCTTCGTCGGTGCTGGTGAGACCATCGGTCTTTTCCCCAAGGGTTCCCAGAAGACCGCCGACAGCTTGGCTCTTGCTGCTGACTGCCTGGTCGAGGGTGCTCAGAAGAACCTGTTCACCCCCATGTACCTCATGGTCGGCAAGAAGCCCGAGTAAATGGGGTATTGAAAAAGTTGCATTCCCCCGTTCGTTATTTCAACTGCGATTACCTTTTTGGCCGGTGATACACATCTAGCACCGCCTTCTTTTATTTCTCCCCATTCCATGGGCACCGATCACACCTCCTCCTCTTTCCCTCGTCCCGCAACTTCTTTGAAATCGGAGTCTGTTCCTCATTATCCCACCATGTTACCATGTATTTTCTCTTCTACTTGTCATTATTTCGAATACCTGCTGTGCCGCCGAGGCGTGAACGCTTGATTTGATTTGTCTGTCGATGAAGATTCTCTGGCCGGCTCCTCGATGGATGGTGACGTTGATGTTTCTTCTATCTTCTTTTTCGAATGTTTCTTTTCTACTGTCATAGATATGTAATAGTTATTGAGGCAAGAGTAATGAGCAAAGAACTGGCATTGTTCTTTATCTGCAATATACCTTCTTCCGTCACATAATGTGGCCTTTGCGTCTTGTAGGCCTGTTTTCCCTAATTGATTCCCAACCATGCACAAAAAGCTCCCTTTCACGTCATCCAAATAGTCTTTAGAACCCAGGCGAGGTTATGGCCGCTATGCCTTGCCTGTAAATCCCCTATACAAAATTCGGGAATTAGTTCAGAAGTCTCCATACAGCTTTGCAACTTCCGGAAATGACTACTTCAACAACGCATCCCTTGAAAAATTGAAATATCCCCCCATATTTATGGTAGACAGTGTGGACGGTGTTCCTTGATTGACGAACTGCTACCTAAGCGGACATCCTGTATCTTATTGTTGGCTCACTTTACGTGTATGACTGAATGATAAACCAATAACTTGCATCCATCGTGCGTCTAATACAAGGACGGTGTCCACTGTTTGCCATTCTTACATTGAAATGCTAAGATGCGCCTTGAAAGAAGAATGTTTGCTTCGCAGTCCAGTCAAGCATCACTTCTTGCCTGTTTGCTTTGCTCCCTCCACTATAAAAGAGCAGAGTCCTCCCACGATCCAGATATCCTCCTCATTCCTTCAACTCCCATCAACATATTGTTTTCATCAAGACCTCCTCATCTAGGCAAAAATGCCAGAATCGTCAACCATGTCGGACTCAGAAACCTCCCCTAATGAGTCTGAAGCTTCGGCAATGAAAATCTTTCGCACGTTGTACCCGGGCATGGACCACGGGCGCATGAAGGATCTAGAGAATAGTCTCAACGACGTCGACAATTCTCTATTCGCTCTCATGATCTCAAGTGACTTCGGACTTTATTCGCTGAACAACAAAGCCCTGAAATGCTTTTTCGATTACATTGAGGCCGGACGTGAGCTTTGTGACGCACTCGGATGCATTGATACACCGATAAGACAGAGAGCCGCTTTGAGAATTCTTCTTCGTGCTCTCCATACCAACCTCGAAAGAGAAATCGAATCCTATGATGCCAATCCATTTTAAAGCGACATATCGATCAGTGAGTATGTGTTGGCTTTTACTTTCCTTATCAACCCGAGATATTCCCGCTTTCTTTCCATAAGTGGAGCTATCCACTTGATTTTCTTTGGCTAGGAACCGATGCTCTTTCAAGCGAGCTCAGAAAGTGACCCGCGAAGCTGACTGATTTAATGCAGGTTAGGGATTGGACATTCCTTTTTCAAGATACTGCCATGACCATGTCTTCAAGAAGTGCTGGGGGATGGGGCAGATGGTGTTTCGACGGTAGTGAGCCAGATGTTATGAATGATGAAAATTTGGCTCCAACTTACCAAACTTGCTCAACACCAATAGACGATCAATGAGAGAAAACCATCTGCGAAAGAGGTGCCTCTGAATTGTAGTCTAAGTGCCTCGTAGCTGTCGTTAGCCGCCGCACGGCCTCAGCGGGTAGGAATGCATATCTAGTGGCAGACAACGCGAGCATAAGTACTTGGAAGTCGAGCCTGCCCAATGATACTCGAGCCATAGGCAGGAGTGCTGGGATGTGAAACACTAGTGAATTGAGCTAATGCATCCGCTGCACACCATTTAGGGGCCATGATAATGTGGCTTCAAGTTTGGCGCATATATCACGTGTCTTGCCCCTATGCACGCTTCGATTCAGATTATTCTCCTTTTCCAAGTAACCGTTCGTATCTACACTACGGCCGGTTGTTATATCCTCAGCTGTTAGTTTCTCCCGCGGGGAGAGATGCCCGTCATGTCCTCCGCAATCGATGAGAATGCCCTCAACCAGCTGAAAGGGGAACAATCGGAACTCTTGGACAAAATCGATGAGCTCCGGACCCTCGGTGTTGGAGGCCTCGTTGAGCTCCCTCAGATCGTCGTTTGTGGAAACCAGTCAAGTGGAAAAAGCTCTGTCCTGGAAGCCATCTCCAGAGTGAGATTCCCAGCCAAGAGTAACATCTGCACTCGTTTCGCGACCGAGATTGTGCTTCGGCGACACCCCTCCAACAAAGTCAAGGTATCCATTGGGCCAGGACGTTCCAGAAAGGACCTGTCAGAGCGGGAAAAACTCCGTGCCTTTACTTCAGAGTCGTTTTCCTCCAGCGAAGACCTTCCCGCTTTGATCGAATCCGCAAAAGAGTGTATGGGACTGTCCAGCACGGATGTTAGCGACGATGTTTTGAAAGTGGAGATTTCAGGCCCTGACCGGCCAGAGTTGACTCTTGTCGATCTTCCCGGTCTTTATTACTCCACGAGCGATGACCAGGGTGAATCAGGAATACAGACAGCGCAAATTCTCACAGAAAACTACATGAAGAGCTCCCGTACAATCATCTTGGCCGTGATCAGCGCTCGCAATGACTACCATATCCAGAAAGTGTTGAACCTCGCGCAAAAATTCGACCCCAAGTATGAAAGAGTCCTAGGAATCGTGACCCAGCCTGATATCCCTGAAGCCGGGTCGGATGACGAGGCATATTATTTGAAACTCATCAAGAACGAAAAGGTCAAATTGCAACTCGGCTGGCATGTCTTGCGCAACCGCTCTTTCGAGACGATGAATGTTTCTGATGATGCGCGCGACTTGCAAGAGAAACGATTCTTTGAAACAGGTCACTGGGCCTCCCTGCCACGGCGACAAGTAGGTATAGAAAGTCTCAGACATCGTCTCAGTACCATCTTGCTTGCGCACATTCGTCGAAATATCCCTGGCCTTATCCTGGATATAGAGGAGAAGATCGTACGCAACGAGCAAGAACTTGCAAAACTGGGTACATCGCGAACGAGCACCCAGGAACAACGGCGCTTCCTGGTTGAAATCAGCAGCAAGTTCACGCGCATTACCAATCAAGCTGTGAACGGGTCTTATAACGACGAGTTCTTGAAGGGGTACGAACGCGGTTTTGCAAGCAGCAAGGAATTCCCGTTCCGTCGTCTCAGAGCAGTAGTTCGTGAGCTTAACGAGTGCTTCGCCCATGCGATGAACATTCGTGGATGTCAGCGGATCATTCAATACCCCATGATGCGCACCCATAATATCCTCGAAGAGTGGTCAAAGCCTTATATGGATGGCTGGAGCCCGACATACATCACGCGGGAGTCACTGAAGGAGGAACTTAAAGAACAAGCACGCGAAAGTCGAGGCGTAGAGCTACCAGGGAGTCCAAATCAGCTTCTCGTCGGCAGACTATTCAATGACCAGTGCGAACCATGGAAAAAGATTGCCGAATCCCATCTCTTGAATGTTTGGAGCTCAGTGGAGTACTTTGTTCAGCTTGTTCTCCAGTACTTGGTCGATGACTATGCTCGTGCTTCCCTTATGCGGCACCTTATTTCACCAGAACTTGAAAAGATGAAGAAGGATTTGATGGCGAAGCTCGAGGAACTCATCTCCCATTACAACCGCGGTCACCCACTTCCCGTGGGAGACTCATTCCTCACGAAAATGCTAGAGTCCAGGAAGAAACGTCAACTCGCCATATTAACGGAAAGTCTCGACGTGGCTAAATATGGTACTCTGAACGATGTGGACCTGGAGACAGCAGCCAACAGTTTATACTCATCCCATGATGAGTTCGGTGCAGAGGAGATTATTGATCAAATGCAGGCATACTACGACGTGAGTACTTGCGGAGTACCCGCGACAAAATTTCGAGCAGCACTGAGTTTGTCCAATTTTAGACCACAATCATAATCTTTGTCCAAAACGTTGCCATCCTCGCAATTGAAAATTGTCTCCTATTCCCTTTGGAGGACATATTTTCCCCTCAGACCGTTGTGAGCATGGATGATCAACAAGTTCAGAAAGTTGCAGCTGAACCGTCTGAAACCCAGAGGGAGAGGGCGCGCCTCAACGAGGAACTTGAGAAGCTACGATTGGGCAGAGAGACTCTGGAAGCTTACAGACCGAACGAGATATCACTCCCGAAGCCCCCTGCCCTGGGTAAATCTTTTCCAGCTTGGAAATGATCTTTATTCTGACTAGAAGTCGCTGACTGTCCAATTACCCTCTAGGATTACCGAACTCGCAGCCTCAAGGTCCGCGTGTAAGGGTAAGGCTGCCCCACAGAGGTAAGCGCCCAGCAGGCCACACATATTCCATATTATGGGTTTACTGACAGGTGAACAGATGCAGCACAGGCAGCGGCACTACCACCGCAAATACCAAAGCAGCCCGCGTCTACTAACTTGTTTGGATCGACGGCTCAGAAGGCCAATGTCGCGCAGCCCTCTTTCGATGCTCCTTCTAACAACGACGCGCAAAATGCTTCACCTGCATCCGGTAGGAGGTTTCCCCCGAGATTCTCTATCCGAGATACAGGTATCTAATCATTTAACCACAAACAGCCGGACTAGCTGTCCCAGCACCCAAGTCAACTTCCTCTCCATTTTCACTCTCTCCGAAATCTTCGACCTCGTCTGTACAGCCGAAAGCAGAAGCTGTGAAAGGTTCCCCCTTCGGATTTGGCAGCTCGAGCCTGTTTGGCGGCAAACAGGGCGTCGATAACAAAAGTACAACGGCAAAAACATTGTTTAACTCCAGCGCGGAGCCGAATTCATTTGGTTCCACCCGTGGATTCGGTACCAGCATCTTCGATGAGGGGCGGAAATTATTCAACGATGTTGACTCCCAAGATAGCCGTCCAAAGCCCCCCAACTCGAAGAAATTTAAGAATGGGTAGGTCAAAGTACCGACAGCAAAGGTTACACCCTAACCTTCGGTTACTTCCACCAGGTTCATCGAGAAGGATCACAGTTCATCTTCAGATGTAATGAATCATTATCAAAATATTTGTACCGTGCCTCCTTTTTGCGATTTTTCTCCTGAGGTTTGTGGAATCATTCGAGAATTGGTGGCCTGATGTCCCGTAAAGCCAACACGAGACCGGATGGATATTTACTGACAGGGCACTGTCTAGGAGCTCCGTCTTCAGGATTATTCAACAAATTTACGGACCCTCGTGGGTTTTACTTGGGGCGCAAGTTGATATTTCCAACACTGGAATCGAAGAACCTCTATAGTTGAATATATGAGATACTTGCCATCCAAGGTTGCGCTACCTTCCTTCGGGGACCTTTGTTAAACGCAGCATCGGACTGTATTAATTCCCATAGAATCTTTGAACACTATAGTTCTGTAAATATGGCAGGCTCTGCCGTCGAGGCCAAGAGTAAAGAGACAGCCAAGAGATATTCAGGCTCACTAATGAGACTCGTAATGGGCTGATCAAACCATCATCGGCCTTTAGGCGGTCCGAACGGTGGAGAGTCGTCTCCTCTCAGAGATCCATAATAAGGGTAGTACATGTTCATTTTCTTCGAATTTTCGACGCAGCTCTTAGCGGTTCTATGACCCAGCCTTTTCGGAAATCATATGGATCATCGCCCTCCGAAGTGAACCACGCAATCTCGAACCCGAGGACGTTCAAGTCCTTTGGAAATACAAATGAGGCCACCTTATCGTAGTCGGCGTTTCCAATGTAGAATGCGTTGGATTCGGAGACTATAACCCGGTGACCCATTTTGAGCACTTCTTGCGTACGACCGTCATGCCAGGTTTGTATGATCCAATCATTTGAGACCTCTATACTCTTTTTCTCGTCAGTGAGAGGGTCGTCCCACATGATTAGCGATTTGTTTGGGCACAATTGTTTCAGCCAGCTCAGAAATGTTTCAAATAACTTGTTGTCGTCCTCAGTCTCCCAGATATATGCCACTTCATCGGCACCGAAATGATGAAGAGGAGATCCAAAATACCTATCAACCGTGGAGACTAAATCAACTATGTAATCATACACGTCGTGTCGATGCTGTCTTATATCGAGTTGAGCCATCGGGTTTTTCGGATCTGGCGTGCCTACTACTAGATCTTTCTTCCATACTCCCCTAATGCAAAGCTGTCAGGGACTCTGTCGATAAGCAAGGCATGCATGACTCCAGAGCATACCATATATCGCTATGGCCAGGCATGTCTGTCTCTGGGTAGACAAGAATGCCCAAGCTCTGTGCGTATGAAATTACACTCTGAATGTCCTCAGAAGTGTAATAGGTGGAAGTATGGTGATAATCCATGCTCGTCTTTGTCAACCCACCATCTGCCGGCCAGAATACAGGGAAACTTTCTGCATCGTATATATGCCAGTGAAAGACATTGAAGTTGTATTCATGAAGTACGGTCAATAGGTCAAGGATGGCTTGGATAGGGAAAAACTTCCGGTCCGTGTCTAGCATGAAACCCCGGTGAGGATAGAGATCAGAATACATCTTCTGTGGACTTCAAAGAAGATCCAGCTTGGTATAAAAGAAGGGTGTTGGTAAGTTGGGAAGATTTCAACGCAGATGGTAGGAGAAAGGGCGGGGTCTTTGGTGTAGCTGACGTAACAACCACAGGCGGATTTTCGGTGCGATGATTTGCCTGAGGTCCAAGGCAGACGGGTGTTGGAACGCCTCACCTAGTAAGGCTGTACTAGTTTAGTTTCTCCTCTGCAAGATGGATCATGCATTGACGCCTATCGAACTTGCAACTTTGGGAGCCCTCAAAATCTGTCCTTTACGTGATGGATAGATATGTTCCCAAAATTCTGGCCGGCCGACGATTGCGTTCTGAAATTATAAAATGATAGCTACTTTACCATTTGGGGGTAGAAGGCGATAAAAGACTGGCTACTATGTAACAATTTAGAATATCAAACTTCAATAAAATACCATTCATAGGCATAGCTCTCGACGGCATTGGGAGACTTTGATACATAGACTGAACGATGAACTTGAATTTTGTCAGTTCAAAGGAGTCTGGCATTCTAGATCACATGCACAATTCAAGAACAATCACATTTGATCAGCATTGAACAGCTACCCCCCACGTGTCTTACCCCATCTTATATTGTCTTGTTTCCACGCCGAGAAAAACGGTATGACAATGCTGTAGATGGCGATCATGGGGAAGAATGGCAGATAGAATGGAATGTATTTCCAGTCATTGCAGACAATGCATATGACCACCGGTAAAAGACAAAATGTAAGCAATATAACCCAAGCGTAACTTGTCAACAAGACTGAGATCACTGCAAGGACGGCACCGGCTGGCAGTGCGAGGGGCAGGATAAACACCATAAAGAGTTCGCAGCCAATGACAAAGATTAGCCTGATGTGAGCCCAAATTGATGCTTCAAAGGGGAGGACGTTGAGATGAGCAAAGTGGCAGTGAATCAGAGAATTTGTCCACCGGCGTCGCTGGTCAAGAAGAGCGGGAAGAGTCTCGGGAACCGAAGTAGCGCATTTTGCAGCGGGGAAATACCGCAGTCGACAGTCGGCCCCGAAATAACGAATTGCAAGAGTGGACAAATAACGGTCTTCACCAATGGACAACAGGGTGTGTTCATGCAGGGTCTTGTCATATATCCCCGCGTAGTCTTCCAAGATGAGCGGATGCAGAATCGCAGGTCTGTTATTTGGCCATTTCAGTCGGTAAATGGTGAAGCAGCCACTGAGGACCAAGACATTGGAGCATGTACTCTCCACTGCCTTCAGGACGGCGTGAGTAAGCCAGTACTCAAAGACCTGACTGCAAGCCACAAAACTACTCCAAGGGTTGCTGACTCCAGTGTACCCGCAAACTCCGACAAGTTTCGGGTCCTTTTGAAGCTGGTTCACAAGGTATGAAACCCCAGTTGGTTCAACCTCCGTGTCAGAATCGACGACCAGCATATGCATAGCATCCCGGGCATCCATGTTGAGGCAGCTTCGCATTTTGAATTCAAGGCTCTCAAAGAGTGGGCTCCAAAATCTGCGGCAATTGACGTAGTGGAAGAAATTGTAGACCAGGAGCTGAGAGTCCCGTTTGCCTCGGTTCCCAGGCTTAGGATTGTCTTGTTCGTCGTCTCGCCCAACCTTGACCACAATAACGTAGGGCACCTCTCGAAAGTAGCCAGTGCAGCAAAAGGCGCGGTTGTCTGAAGTACCATTTGAGTCGAACGATGTATATGTTTGGGCCTGGTTATCGACGCCAAGCTCAAGGTCTTCAGTGTGATTGAAAATATCTTCCAACAATATTCTGTAATTAGGCTTCTGGCCAGGGGCAGCGACTGTTCCGTCTGCGACAATGAAGAGCAGCTTTCGCTTTTTGTCATAACTGGACTCAACACAGGACTGGATTGTTTTGCGGAGTACGGTCTCGTTCTCATTGTAACAGGGTATGTGCATCACAAGAAGGTTGTTGTGTTGGTCAAATTTTCGGCTGATATAGCGAACGCGAGCAGCGCAGATCGCCACCAACATTGTAAATGCGCCACCCAGGCCCATATATACGTAAATGACTGTACGTACCACGCGGCAGAAGGGACTATGATTGGGAAACATGCCGATCTGCACTTTCACGACACAGCTGGATATGGGTTGAATCACGAGAAAGTAGCAGAGCAAGGCGTAAATAATGCCAAGTAAAGGACAGAATAGTACCTTTTGTCGGAAGGCAAGACGTCGGCGAACGTCGTTCATTTTCAGATACTTTCTGAGAAACCAGGACGGAATGTAGAATTTCAAGCAGCGCGCAAGCCATTTCCAGAACCCGCGGTAAACACCCGGGTGTATATGCTCGTCCGTTCGATGGGGCCTCTTCCAAGCATGAAACGCAGTGACTTGAGCTTCCAAGGTCTTTCTGCGTATCTTATTCCTCAGCCTTCGGCCCTTAGAGGGATTCTCTTTCTGGCGATCTTGAGAGGTCTGAGGGAGTTGATAACATCTAACACCTCTTCTCTAATAGATCCAGCCTGATGAGCTGGGCCGCCTCGAAAAGACTACGGTCGCAACGTGGCGCCGAATCTAGCTGGCTCGTGGACGCCAGACTAGACTGAGAACTATGTGATACATTCAGACACTTGATTGGCGCAACGTGACAGTGGTAAATGTGTTCTCTGAATCGATTGTCAGTCCGACCATAAACAGTGGGCCGAACACCTTACCTGAGATGTTGAATCGTCGCCCAGCTTGAATCGAAACATGACTGTCTCTCTTCATTCTCAAATGGCTTATGTTTTGAATATGGACACACGAAAAGCTTGTGAGATAATTCCTTCTGGGCTCCATCCTCTGCACTTTCCGGTCCTTTTTCGGATGTTTCATTACTGGAAGGAAATAGCGGAAGAACCAGCTCGTCAGGCATTGTACGCATGATCTTCAGTAAGCTCCCGCGTGATTCATAGACTGTGGAAATCTTAAAGGTTGTAGTTAGAAGCTGTCAAGGCGTCATTAGCTGGGAAATCTCCTCAATTGCATTGCGCCAGTCTATTCTTTAATAAATCCGCCTATGAAAATTCTAACACTACTCCCGAGAGGGAAATTATAGCCCTGTCATGATTTAGCTAGTCTAACTTCGCCTTAAATTGCCGTGTTTTGCGATTGGAGACTGCATGACACGAGATCCGAAAAATGGCAGCTCGCTGTATGAGAACTGCGGTGAACTATAGTTCGTATGAAAGCAAAGGAGCGCCACACAAGATGTGGACAGTATCAACATGGCTAGAATCAGGGGCTAGGCCGGACTCGGTCTCGCCATTGACATCCCAGCCCTAGCGAGGTCGATCGAATTTCCGAGACTGCGGTCATGGGACCGATTGATTAGTGTGATTGGTAGTCTGATTCCAGTTCACAGACCGGGCGAGCCCCATTGGTAAGCCTGCCTGTACCAGGCACAACAGTTATACAGGAACCATAAGTTACCTCTTATGAGTCCATTGACATTGCGTTTGTGCCTTCGATTGAGTTTCGATTAAGTTTTCATCTGAAGCTGCGCCGGAGGTCGGCAACTATCCATCAATGAAGCCCGATGATTACGGGAACCCAAATTCCATCGATGTGTCTAGAGATATCTACCCTCAAGACGAAGAAGCAAAAATCATCCGGACGGCCTCTTATTGGCCCATGCATGGAGGAGGAAACAATCAGTGGCTTTATTCCCAAAGCCACTATAAAGTATGTTGGAGTCAAGTAATTGGTTCTTGGCGCGTCCTTCGGCGGAAGTTTAGTTGCGGGCAGGCGTTCGCGAGGGTGACGACACAACTAGTTCAATTGCCGCCCTCAGCAAATCAGATTTTCTCCCGCCTAGAGGGAAATGAACAGCCGGCGAACGCCAGCGATCTTCCTAAGGAACCCAAAATGTTAATTCACTTACGTAGTTCACCTAGAGGTCATTGGGTTTTTGCCTCTCAGTCTTGAGCCAGTAAGGGTCGGTGATGCGTCAACTGCAGGGAAAATCAAGTTTGATTAGGTCGATTGCTTATATTGATGATATTATAAAGGCCCAGCTATGCGACAACACGGTTCGCTCTTTAGGTAGATCAAACTTCCCTCCATAAATAGAGAATCTGTCGTCTAGATCTGCTTTATAAAAGTGGAAAGTCCTTGAACATCGATGCAAATAGAACAACAACTCGGCAGATTCGATCTGGTAGAGCTTCCAGACAGACGTAGACTAATTTCAAAAAAACGGGTCTTTCAATCCGACCATTGACGTTAGGCTGGATCCACGCGAAATCCGGCCGCGATAAAATTATAGATACCCCACATGTTCACACGTGTTCTGGTTCAGTCAGCGGCCTACGGCCGTCCCGGGGCCGATAGTAGTATATTGTTCAGCTTGGCCCTGTTGCCTCCCCATACGCGGTCGAGTTAGTCAAGGAGTTGTCCAGTGAGCAATACTGTCATCGGATCTAAGTAAATGATGGTCCATAAAAGGGCCTGTTATTTGCCACATTGAATGAGCTCGCACCTTACGCAAGCGACATCACTCATCTCCAACCTTGCTCAGTGATGAACGATTATAATTTCTGCCGACTAACCACGGTAATCGTGTAACTTCACGGCCTCGAAGCGAAAGTATCCCAATCCCACGAGTCAAGTTGAACCCCCTCAGACGTACACTGAACAGACATACCGGATGCTGCATTCTTGGCAAATTTTGTCACTACTCGCATGAGTGAGTGTCCACGGCTCGCTGGGATCTAGGCCTCTGAACTTATGCTAATTGTTTTAGTTAACATTTCTCGATATATGATTGGCATTCGTTCTCACAGTGCATACGTAAATCGACCTTCGAGTTCATAAAGACACTATACGAATCGCGATAGACTCTGATAGCCATGCTTAAATTCATTGGTTCTACCGATGAGTTGAAAGATTCAATATCTATAGTCAATTACGCTCTGCTGGTCCTATGAACCTATGTCGAGAATTTGCGGGCTTCTTTATTCTTCAGGTGACATGAGCGGACCCCAACAAGCAATGGTTCTATGAGATCCGACACTGTGCAGGCAGCTATCCAATAGAACTAAGTCCCTGTTCTAGCTCGAATTTCGGTCCATGGCACACGGCATTCAATTCTCTCGCTTGATTCGCGGGTGGGTGGATGGACTTTCGGGGTTTGCGTCAAGAAAGTCACTGATCATTCAGTGACTTGGAGCCAGGGAAGGATTGAAAACCTCTTGGCGGCGGTCGGAATCCACCAAGAAGAATGCATCCAATGCCCCCGGTTCTCTGTCCAGTGTGTTTAGAGCAACTTCATACGAGAGTGTTTCCGTGGCGATATAACGTGGCCTACCCTGAGAATTTCCGTATTGCATCCACAGCGTAGCTGATGCCGCGAATTTACGGCTGAAAGTTGGGATATTGCGCCCAAAGAGCTCTGAGAGAGAGCGGCATCGGGCCCGGATCGTCCGATATTATGTGGAGTGCGTCCTGAGTTTCTGAAAAGTTGGCACAATCGTGATAATTGTTACGAGTCAAGAGAAGGATCCTGGATCAAACTGTACCACCATTCAGCGAAGGTATGAAGACTGAAGGGAAAAGAAGAAGGAAAGGAAGACAAATTAGGTAGAGAGGGTTTGAGTATACAAACATCCTCAAAGCAAGCGAATAGACACCTGAGCTAGAGTGAATTGCGACGTCTGAGGCTATTCCAATGTCTTCCGATCTCGTTAATTTTCGCCAGAACATCATATTCACCACAATCGCCACAATAATAAAGTTCTATGACTCTACAGATACGTAACAAAGAATTTTGGATGCTGATTCGAAGGATGAAAGACCAAAAAACTAGTTCAGAGAACATCTATTTCTCGAATGAGCTTTGTTTTCTAGGTGATAGTGTATAGCGTAACTGACGGCGCTTTTAAGGGGATCAGTACGATAACCGATGTTCTCGTCGTGAAACCTCCGAAGGTGAGAGAGAGAATCAAACACGCTTGAACAGAATCAGAATAAAAAGGATCTTCCTTTCTTTCGGATGGTAAGCCTGTCAAGTCCTAGAAATCTCCACAGGTAGTGGCCGCCCTAACGATATTCACGCCTCAACGAAAGCCAAAACCTCCTCCACGAAGCTTTCTGGATTCTCTTCTGCGAGGTAGTGGCCACTGTCCTTCACAGTCCCAACCTTGATGTTCTCATACATCTCCTTTGCCATGCCCTCCGCCTCAGAGGCAATAAAACTACAATCGCCCGATAGAATCATAGCACGCACCTTCACCTTCCCGTTCTGTTTTAGCCATTCCCGGTTGTGCTTTCCATCTTCGGTAAACGCGCGATAGCTAAGAAAGGCACATCGCAAAGCATCGGGCACCTGGTAATGCATAGTGTAGAAGTCCAAGACCTCGGGAGTGAAAACTGCCGAATTCTGCGTCAATCGATCGTAGAAGTGCTTCAGATACATCCTCTCTCTGCCTTGCACGAGCGCCACCGAGAATTCGGGATTGTGGCTTTGGAAATCAAAGTGCCAGAGGGTCTGCGTGTGCTTGATTTTGTCGAATAACGTGGTTCCCGGGAGAGGGCATTCCCCCCAGATCACGCTGGCGACATGGTCTGGGTATTGAGAGACATAGGCGTGGGCAATAGTGCCGCCAATATCATGCCCAACCACATGAACCTTCTCCGTGACTCCGATATGCTTAGTGAGCAGTTGGAAGATATCACTCGCAAGTTCTTTCTTGGTGTAGCCGGTATCACCCAAGGGATGGGACGAGAAGCCATGTCCTCTATAATCTGGTGCGATGACGTGATATCCAGCTTGAGCGAGTGGTTCGATAACGAAGCGGAATTGATAAGAGCTCTGAGGAAAGCCGTGGATTAGGAGGATCGTTCCTTTCTTCTCCTGCGAGGGTAGGCATTCTTGGTAGTACAGCCTGACTTCCGGGTCCTCTCGGTTAAGATGTGTTTGACGATGCATCGTCTTGACAGGGTTGTTGAAGGCCATGGAGGTCAGGTTCAAGATTTCTTTTTGGCTTTTCCTGAAGGCAGATTCGAGTTTGTATTTGGAAGAGTATCAGACTGTGGAAGAATATTTTGGGGGGAGAGGAGGGGGGAATCCAATATAGTTGTACCACAGTACTCACGAAACACCACTCCGAGTCCACTCCGAGTCCACACCGCACGGACTTTAAATTAACCCGTGGGGTTCAGTTCAGATTCCACTCCCAGGCTGTCAGATGTCCAAAAGCTTGCGGAGTTGGCGCGGCTGTTCAACGCCCAACAGTCTTACCGACTAGCCACTTAACCGCTTTACCATTTAACCACTTAACCATTTCCTTATGCTGGCATAACTCACGAGTATGCCCTTGGATGAGCGTCTATACAGACTGAAAGCATACATGTCTCACTCCCACAAGCGCGTTTGCAATTAGAGGCTTTCCCTGGTACCAAGGCAGCGCCAGACTGTCCCGGTCACGCTCGGTTTCCAAGAATTACAATTATTTTGACGAGTTCTGGCTCTAACAAACCCAGGGAAATCGGCAGAGCTGTTAAACGCTTAATCCAATAACTCTTGGGCAGTCAGCCACACTTCGCCTCCGCAAAGCTATCAGGGTGTCAAATTCCTGTTCCCCATGTTCGAGTCAAACCGAGTCAAAGCTTAAACCCCACATCCATCTGGGGAATTTTCCGAATCTACCACGCTTCATTCCAATCCCATGGTGGTTGTGGGGGTTAAGCTTTGACTAGATTTGGCTCAAACATGGGGGACAGGAATTAGACGCCCAGAGAGCTTCGCGGAGGCGAAGTGTCACTGACTGCCCAAGAGTTATTGGATCAAGCGTTTAACAGCTATTCATTCCAATCCCATAATGCAAACAAGGTCTAGATTTGTCGGAGTCGTGGGGTCCTTTCTACCGGTCTAAGGTGGCGTAATCTACTCAACCGCCCATAGCCGCCGACTTTCTATAAAAACTGACTCAAGGTCCACCTCCCCATACCCCACGATTTCTGAAGTAAACTGGACACGTCGGAAAAGAAACCCGCATCGTATACAGCCAATATGGGTTTCCAAGTATGGCGGAGCGTTCCTGGGAAGCTGTTGCTCCTGATTCTCAATATTTTTACCGGCATGGCTTTGATTGTCGAAGGTTATAATCAAGGTGCGTATTGATGCTCATTCACAACATGCTTACATATCACCAAGCTAATCGTCATGGTAGGTGTCATGGGTGGTGTCAGTGGTACATCAGATTTCATTCAAGTCACTCAGATTGGTTCAGACGGGGTGATCACCAACGCGACCAAGCAAGGGTGGGTCATATGAGACAATTTTACTTCTTGCCATCTGACCATTTTCTAGAGGAATTGTTTCCGTTTACTATTTCGGCTCCATGGTTGGATGTTTCATTGCTGGATGGTTCGGTGACAAATATGGTCGAAAGAAGGGCGTCTGGCTCGGCGCTCTCTTCGGCATGATCGGAGGATCTCTCATGGCTGCAAGCCAGAACGCGAACATGTTCATATGTGCTCGAGTTATTACTGGCATTGGAATTGGTTTCCTCAACACGATTGTGCCACCGTGGATCTCGGAGCTTGCAAGAGCTCATAACAGAGGCTCAAATTTCGCTCTGATCTTCACCTCTAACTGTGAGTGTCTTCTGCTTCCAGCTGGACTTTCCAGTAGCTTATCGTTCTAGATATCGGTATCATCATTGCCTACTGGCTCAACTATGGTGTTCAAAACAATTCAAATGAATCCTTCAAGTGGAGATTCCCGTGTGTGATCCTCCCCAATTTTTGCAAGACCATTGCTGATACCATACAGATTGGCTTTCATGACAGCACCCCTCATCCTCATCGCCACTACTGTGGTGTTCTTGCCAGAATCGCCGCGTTGGCTCATTGCTAACAATCGCCGGGAAGAGGCTGTTGAAGTTCTAGCAAAGGTTCGTGGCGATATCCATCACAACGACCCTGCTCTTGTGGCAGAGATTGAGCAGCTCGAGGCCGTTGTGGAGGCATCTCAACAAAAGCGCAACCGCATTTGGAACATTGCATTTGGCCGCTATTCCGGTCGTCTGCATCTCGGTCGTCGTGCCTGGATGAGTTTCTTCACGCAGCAGATGTTGATGTGGAGCGGGATTATGGCCATTACTACCTACTCCGGGCAACTCTTCCACCAGGCTGGTTTCACTGCATCCAAATCTGCATGGATGTCCGGTTTCTGCAACACATTGTGTGGTGTTTTCGGAACCCTGGCAGCTGTGAGTAACCCTTAGCTACGTGCCAAGGAAAAGTGCATTTTGTACTAACATATCATAGACCCTTGTCATCGATCGCATCGGTCGAATCAAGAGTATGTTGACGGGATTTTCGTGCCAGGGAGTTGTTCTCTTCATGTGCGCTGCTTTTCTCAAAGTTTCCAAGGACACAGACGATGTCTCCAAAGCTGAGAAACTCGGTGTCGCCTCTGCCTCCATGTTGTTCGTCTTCTTATGGATCTTCACTATGGTAAGCCCACCCTTAGTAAGTGTGCAGACCATTTTCTAACAAGTCATAGTTTATCATTGTGCCCTGCTTTTTATATGCAACAGAAATTTGGCCACAAGAGGTTCGGGCTCAAGGGTACTCCTTTGCCATATTTGGATGGTAAGTTATCCTATAAAATACAGAATTGGTCGATACAGTGTACTGACGACGATTCTCAGGTCTGTGGGCTCTGGCCTTACAACTTTGCTCATCCCCATCATGTTGGCAAATATAGGATACGGAACTTTCATCCTTTTTGCCTGTTTCAATATCAGTGAGTTCCTTGCCTCCATTCTTACTTAAGCACATATTAATGATGATCTGTCAGTTGCGATACCTGCAGTTTATTTCATCTACCCTGAGACCAATGGCCGCTCTCTTGAAGAAATGAACCTGCTCTTCGCCTCCCCTTCGCTCCTGGTTAAGGCCAACAAGCGCGAGTACGATAGGATGCTCATCGAGGCTGGTGGTAACATCGCTGTCGCCGAACGTCGCCTGTTTGAGAGTGTCGATGCAGAAACCATGGAGAGTGATGACAGGACCGACACTTTGAGTACTGGTGAAAAGGGAATGACCGGGTACTCCGAGGCCAAGGTATTGAACTCGGAGAAGTAGAGGGTTGGAGGGATTAATTTGTGAGATGTTAGGAGTTTTTCTCTGGGTTTATTTGTAATTTTTAATACAGAGAGAGAGTGTGTGAATTCGGAGAAAAAGGTTGTCTAATTTGATTAATACACGTTGGTGAATCTTCTTAGATCATCGTAGGAATTGTCCTATAGCGTGGGAGAATCTTCGCCGTGCACTAGCGCCCATGTATAGGCGCCACCGCATTAAAATATCTGAGCCTTCAGTCATAAGCGCTACTCTCAATCCAATTGCAATATTGAGCCTTTCATCTCACAAAGGTTGATTTTAGTATAGTGCTACGCATATAAGCACCGCTCGGCCTGCATTTCCACAGCGAAAGAATCAAAGAAGACCAAGATTACTGAGCCTTGTCACAAACGGAAATGACGAATTGACATTAACGGTCGGTGAGTTATTGCCACAACTAAACACGCTCTTTTTTGTTTTGAGACTATATATTATTTGCCCACGCAGTACTAGTGTAAGAGTATGTCGCTACGTTTGTTGGAGATGTCACGCAGGCGGTGGAACTTTATGTTGATGGCCAAACATATTTTGAGGTCTAGTAGTCTTATAATGGGCACTTACAGAATATACAGGAGTGGCAGGTAGATAGTAGCTCGCCAGTTTCTCAAACAACTTCCCTGCTCGGGTGTTTGATCTCGTTCCATTTTTATGGAAGAATCTAGCTTAGGGTATAAGGCTGCGTGGGGAGTAGTACAACACACATGTATGTTGGATGATGTCGACTGGAGCCCAAATACTCCTCGCATTGATCAGCTGTTCCAGTAAACCAACAAACTGACTTGATCTTTGGCCATTTATCGTCGCAAAGTGTGTGCATTTAGGTGCAACTTTAACGTCAATGGCTGGATAAAGGAGAGCTGCTTCATTATCTCGATCCGTTCGCTTGTGTTTGAAATTCAAAAGATCCAGATAGAAATTATGGATAGGACTTTTTGACCGATTTCGAAAGTCTTGGGCATTCATAGATGAATACATTCAATCACCCCAGTAAAAATCCATGATCGCTCGTACGATGCTCGCGTGACAACCTTTTTCAGATACACGAACCCATGTCTGACTAAGGTGGTCAGAACATTTATGCAATTGTACACAACTTCAAAGCTCCGGACGAGTGAGTCTTACGTCCGGCCATTGGGCAGAGAGCCTCCAGCAGATAGATAAGCCTCTACAGGATGATTGATCGTGTATAAACAAAGACACGTGACCGTGCCGAGATGCCGAAAAAGATGAGTCAGCGATACCGGTCCCGGCGTCAAAGTCCCCGCGGACCACGTTGATTCCTCGATTTGCCTCCACTTTTTCCCCAAAACAGTTTTTGCATGCCGGTTCAGGCCGCCGTTGACCTGAATTTTTGCTGCTTGGCGGGGCCCAGGAGCTGCGCAGACGGCCAGTCTCCTACCAAGTCTCCTGTCAAGCTTCGCTGTTAGCCTATCACGATGGCTGCAAATCCGATCGATGGGGCGCCGGTGGAGGGCAAATTCTCCATCGAAGAACGGATTTAACGCTCGATTATGGCCGTGTGCATGGCCGGAGGAGTTATGCTGGCTATCCACGGCCGCCTGGTTTCCGGTGATAAGATGGTATAAATAGGATGGCTGCCAGGTTTTTCTTCGGGGTCTACCAGTCGCCCGTCGCTGGATAAACGTATATCTTCTTACCTACGCAAGATTCTTCTTTTTCTTGAATACTATTCTGTTTCCTGACTACCTAAACTTTGGAGACCGCATAGACTACGTTGACTGACTATACGGTCATGTCGGAAAAGGACGAGCACGATCATAGATCGACACTCTCTCATCCTACCTCGGATACCACTTCAGATACCGAAGACCCCGCATCGCGGACACCGTCGCTCTACCGAGGGATTGCGGAGTCTGTCAAGTCAAGACGCATGTCCAAGTCCAACCCTGATGATGCAGATCTAGACCGCGTTTACTCTGCGAAACATCCAGACGACCACGCGGTGTATCACAGTCACGAGGATGATGACCTTGATATGACCGATGAATCTTCGCTGGAGGCCGTCAAGGTCGATACCATCCAGGAAGTAAGAGGCGGAATCGTCAACGAGCGAGATGTGGACCTGGAAAGAGGCCAACAGGAGGCATCAGCAGAGCTGGAAAAAATGAAGACATTGAAATCGACCAAATCTCGTCATGGCGGCAAGCTGGTAAGTTCTGCTCCAGATCAGTCCCAGCTATCTTCCAATGCTAATCAGCTCTCTAGGTAACATGGGATGGACCTGATGACCCTGAAAACCCCAAGAACTGGCCTACCAAGAAGAAGTGGGCGGCTACCATCACCGTCTCTCTATTCACCTTCATTTCTCCCGTATCTTCCTCTATGGTAGCGCCAGCCTTGACTACCATCGCCGCCCAATTCAACGTCACAGACCAGATCGTCTCCCAACTCATGCTCTCCATCTTCGTCCTTGCCTACGCCGTCGGCCCATTGATCCTAGGACCCCTCTCTGAGATCTACGGACGAACAATCGTCCTCCAACTCGCCAACCTATTCTTCCTGATCTTCAACATCGGCTGCGGCGTGGCCCAGAACAAGACCCAACTAATCGTATGCCGATTCTTCGCCGGACTAGGCGGCAGTGCCCCCCTCGCCATCGGCGGCGGCGTTTTATCCGACTGCTTCAAACCCGAAGAACGAGGCAAGAGCATCGCAATCTACAGTCTGGCCCCACTCCTAGGTCCAGCCCTAGGCCCCATCGCCGGCGGCTTCATCGCCGAAAACACCTCCTGGCGCTGGGTCTTCTACTCGGTCTCCATCGCAGACGGTCTCATCCAATTCATGGGCCTCTTCTTCCTCCGCGAAACCTACGCGCCCCGCATCCTCCGCGATCGCGCAAAGCGCATCCGCAAAGAAACGGGCGACCCCAGCTACCAAACGGAAGCAGAAATGCAAAAGAAGACCCTCGCCCAAGTCCTCCGCACGTCCCTCGTCCGCCCCTTCCGTCTGCTCCTCACGCAATCCATTGTCCAAGTCGTCGCCTGCTACATGGCCTACATCTACGGGATGATGTACCTCGTCCTCTCAACCTTCCCCTCCCTGTGGACCAGCAAAGCCTACTACCACGAATCCATCGGCATCGGCGGCCTAAACTACATCTCCCTCGGCTTCGGGTTCTGGTGCGGCTCCCAGATCTGCGCCCCGCTCAACGACCGCATCTACAAGCGCCTCAAAGCACGTAACAACGGCGTCGGACGGCCCGAGTTCCGTGTGCCCCTCCTCGGCATCGCGGCTATCCTTATCCCGGCCGGATTGTTTATCTATGGCTGGACCGCACAGACACATCGGCACTGGATTGCGCCGAATATCGGTGCGGCCGTCTTCGCTGCCGGAACGATCATTTCCTTCCAGTGTATGCAGACGTATATGGTGGATGCGTATACGCGGTTCGCGGCGAGTGCGCTCGCGGCTAGTTCGTTCTTGCGATCGCTGGCTGGGTTTGGGTTCCCCCTGTTCGCGCCGTATATGTATGACAAGTTACACTATGGGTGGGGGAATAGCGTGTTGGCGTTCATTTCGATTGCGATTGGAATTCCGGCGCCGATCTTTTTGTGGAAGTTTGGGGAGGCGCTGAGGAAGAAGAGTACTTACGCTGCTGGGTAGATGGGTGTGTTGATGAATAGTGGGGGGGGGTTGGCGTGTTTGCATGTATATATTTTTTCATAGTTTCGCATAATACCCGCTTTCCTGTTCGAGCGATGTCTATCATTACACAATTCAGATTTCAATACCAAGAGTCATTTGATCTATACCCAAATCCCGCGCTACTCATCTACTACGAAGCACTAGACTACGATGCGAGTTCCAATGTCAGATATGTTCGTCATGGCCAATTATTATATACACTCTATCAAAACATAACATGAGATCATCAGGACCCGCTCAAGGTCCGAATACTCTACACCACTCAATGCCAATAGCACATTTAGTTGGTGATGCCGCTCTCCTTCTTGCCGTGCTTCTGCAAAGATTTTATCAGTAAATCATCTTTTATAAACACATCATGGGGGATCAAAGGGTTTTGCAAAACTCACCAGAGTACGAGTGTACTTGACACCAACGTTAATACCAGCAGGGGCGCTGTAAGGAACGGGGCTGGTGTAGTTGTAGGTAGCCTTGAGACCAGCCCAAGTCTTCTTCACGGTGTGCAGGATACCGTGACCGGCAGAGCAGCTGCCGCTAGTAGCAGGGACGGGCCACTCGGAGGTGTACTTGGAGTAGTCGTTGTCAGACAGGGGACCGGGGGCAGTCTGGTTGAAGTAATCGTGCTCAGCGATAGTGTCCAGGTCAACCTCCCAGTTGACGTAGCCGGTCTTCTCAGCAACGAGCTTGAGCAAGTTGGCACCGCAGTCCCAACGGCCCAGGGAGGGGAGACCCCAGTTCGCGCTCAGAGAGGCGATGACGGAGTAGTGGGTGTAGAAGGTGTCGTCGGTGGTGCCCTTGAGGTGCTTAGGGATGGCGCCACCGAGGAGAATGGAGTAGACGCGGTTCTCCTGCAGGTAGGAGGCGGTCTCGTCGAAGGTGACCAGGATCAGGGTATCCTTGGTGAAGTAGTCGTTCTTGAGGAGGGGGTCCATGAAGTTCTTGAGCCAGTTACCGGCGAAGGTGATGTTGGTGTCGTGGGCGTCGTTGGTCATGTTGGGGGTGATGAACAGGTGCTGAGGCAGACGGTGGTGCTCGAGGTCCTGGTAGAAGGAGGTGAAGTTCTTGATCTGGCGAGGACGGACGGCGTCGTTGGTGACGGAGTCGAAGAGGATGAGGGGGTTGTGCTTGCGGACGTAGTCGTTCGCGCCGCTTTCGGGGTAGCGGAAGCCCTGGTATCCTGTGAGTTCGGGTAGTGATTCGTTAGCTTGGTGCCCGTGCCCAATTGGGAAGTGGATGAACTGCTCGAGTTGGGTGGTTTCACGTACCGGCATAGGGAAGACCCTCCTGGTACTCGCCCCAGGCAACGCCCTTGGTGTCGAACAGGTCGGCAATGGTGGAAACGTTGGCGGGGATCTGCTGGAAGTCATCGTTGTCCATGCCGAAGTCGTCACCAGCAGCGGAGGCGGCGTAGTTGGGCTCGGACGGGTGAGTGACCGCGAAGTAGTTGGTCAACAGAATACCCTCCTTGGCTAGAGCCTCGAAGTTCTTGTCACCGGCGCTGGTGGAGAAGTCCTATCGCATGATGTGAGCCACCCATGCTGTCATCTAGGAGGTCAATGGATTGATACTCACAGTGTTCTCGATCCAGACATCGACAAAACGGTTAAAGGCCAGACCCTTGACATTGGAGACGGGCGAGTAAGGCAGGACCGAGGCCTGGGCAGCCGCAATCTCGGCAGCAGTTGGGTACTTCTCGGTGCTGGTCTCCGCTGCGGCCATGGCCAGGCAGCTCACGAAAGCGAGGAGGCTCTTCTTGGTGAACATGGTGACGGGTTTTGGGAGTTAAAATCCGGTGATTGTCCGTTCTACCGATCGTTTTCGAAGACTGGGGAATTCTCACGATGCGAGAAAAAGGGGAAAAAAAGAGGTTGATCGTCGGGTGATGACCAGGATTCTTATACCTTGCGCAGGTCGGGCATTCGGTCGGTGGTCCGCTCGCAGCCAGTGGAGGAACGCGCATTCGTATCGCATGGCGTTTAATTGCCCCCTCCTCGCTTACAGGATACGATGGAGACCGGGGCGGCCAGGTCGGCACAGAAGGTGTTGCATTTGCGGACGGGGAATGCACGTTGCATTGCAGGCGGGATTGACTGGCTGTCTCTTCAGGCTTCGGTGCCCGCACTGGGAAAGGCTAGCGGGGGAAGCTTGGCTTCTCTTGCGCCCGTCTGGAAGCGGTGGAGCATCGCGAAGGGCCGCTCATTGGTGGGTGGGGAATGGGCTTGTTAGGCTTGCCAGAGTGGAGAACGGGCGTTCCTGGCACGTTGTGGCCCAAAGCTTCGTGACTGGTTGGTCCCTGCGGCCTTTGGAGATTACCATGAGGCGCGCACTGGACTACTGCCGAGATTAAACCGTTACCCGGACGCTCTCAAGAGGCACAAGCTTTGGCCAAGCTGGGAAACAAGATGTCAAGCATCTTCCGGCCAGCTCGGCTTTTATTCATTTCTGCCCTGTCCCACCTATAGCCGAGCGGGCAAGTGCGAATACCCCGATAGGTCAGAGAGTCCAGCTAGCCAACGGTAGTCGGATTGATGCTCGATCTCGCCATCGATCCTGCACGTGGAAGTTTGACAGGCCGGTTGAGCCCTTGAGAATGGGGAGAGAAGAATTCCGTTGTTTCTGGAAGATGACCGTCACCAATGAAGAAGGAATACCGATTGAATGGAAGCCCAGCTAGTAGTATCTCACTCCATCGCAACTAAACCTTAATTATAAGGTCATCGCTTGATCAGTGGAAAAGTAGAGATTAAATGGGTGGTCTTGTTCATGACCCAACCCAGAGTGGGATATTTCCGCGATCGGCATCTCACAATGATCGATATCAATCAGTTTAAGTGGTTCATGACAGTCGAGGAAATGGCAACGTTAGGCGCAGCATCGATTGAAGCGACCGTAGACTGCCATCGTTTTGGGGACCTTTACATTACTCGAGTTTGGACCACAAGCCTACCAAGATCGGAAGAGTCAAAACACATCTACTGCAGATGCAGTAGGAAACCCGGATTACTCATTATATGTTACGACACGTGCTCGGATCCACTGGTCGAACGGGCCAAAAAGACGAAATTTGCTAGAACAAAGCATTCTAGCGTGCCCGTGACCGATATAAGTAGCGCGCATCGTTAGGCCTAGGGGGACCAGTGCCCACACGCTAACAATAATCTAGACAGAATGACCTAAAAAGCAACGATTTAGCGACTAGGTACGACGGACACTTTTACAGAGACCTGCTTAGCGTGGCTGTTTTTGAAACACCGAACGAAAGCCTTAATCCAACCCTGCAGTCTCAGCGGTCTCGATCTCATCCTCCAACATGCTATCTCCCGAGGGTTAGGGTGACCCATGGTGGGCCAAGGCAATAGCACTTGGCAGGGCTGCGCACTTGAGCATGAGAAGACTATGGGCGGACTTCCCACCCCGGCAATCTGCTACTAGCCTGCTACTGTAGGTACCGACACGGATTGACCAATTATTACCTGAGTCGCAAGTCATCTATACGGGAGACTGAGGCTAGTCCCGTATACTTGTAGCAATACGGGCGGCACTTGATTGCCCCGCGATTGGTCCCATTTCATGCAAGTAAGGGTTAGTTGCCGGCTATTCTAGCTCTTCGGGTCAATAATATGGATGGCTTCATCAGCCGGAGATATTGGTTCTAAAGTACGGTGATTCCGCAAAACAGGTCCGCTATCCACCCTCAATGTCGCTGTCGGGAATTTCAACAATCGTGCTACATATTCATGATTCTCGGAACCTTTACAATTGAGATGCTCGATTCCTTGGAAATACACTATCAGCTTTTCTCATCAGATTCACGGGCCATATATGGTGGAATTGAAGGTCTTATGGAATATATATCCTATGTCCACTCGGAGATGTTCGCAGTACATTACCTCTGGCAGACATTTGACTGGCTGGCTCAAGTATAATTAGCACCCTTAACACCGTATAAGTACATTTGTTCCGATTCTGTGACCATCATTGCACCATTCGAAAGACTGTATCCTTCAACCTATTGCGTTGTACTCAATTCCCAAGTTCACCTCTTGCGGTCGCATATTTTCCTATCGTGCGGATAGCGATGACGCGTGGCAAGATAAGAGAGATAAGGCTTGAGTCAATCTGAATTTCTTGAATGTAGTCAATGCCATGCCCTTGTTCAGAAAGACTTCTAAACGCGACAGTAACAATAACCCCAAGGCAAAATACCCCAGAAATAAAGTGTAGCCACTACTATCGATTCCAAGGTACGAACAGTCCGCCCAATCGTCACAAGTTCTGAGACTTGGCGGAGACTCGGAAATAGACTTTGGCTACCCCACACCCACACGAGTCCAGCACGTATCTTATCAGTGACGGGCCCCCTTCAAGTTCCCTTCGATCTTCTGCCCTTTTCCCACTCCCCACAACAGGATGCCGCCAGATCGACAGCCGCGTGTGCAGCGCATTGTTCGCGTCCGCACAGGATGTTGGTCCTGCCGGCGTCGAAAGAAGAAGTGCGACGAGCTCCGACCGATCTGCTCGGGGTGTCGGCGGAACGACCTGCAGTGTGAATGGCCCTCGACGGTACCGGGAAGGAGGAACTCCGGCCCGGAAAACGACATGACCGGCTATATACATGTGGATAGACGATCTAGTTTTGCTGGGTCGATTGAGGATCTCGACGCCATGCATCTCCCCGGAAGCCCGCTATCCAGACGCCACTCCTCCACTTCATCCAGCCCGGGGCTGTCCGCTATCGTCGAGGAGCATCTGGGCCCGGTACCCGTTCCAGATGAGGCTATCGATCGCCGTCGGTCAACTCTAGTGGGGGATGAAAATGCGCTCGTTGCTAGTATGGCTGTCGGAAACGTCGTGCCTCGCACTTTGTCAATGTTACCTGGGTATGACCCAGAGAGCTACGCCCTTCTCTCGCATTATCTTGCCAACACGGCCGACGTGATGGCCAACGGCACCACTCCCATCAACCCGTTTTTGGTCCAGATTGTACCGCTCGCCTTTACCAGTGATCTTCTTCTTCAGCTGGTCATCGCCCAGAGCGCCGCGCATCGCGCCTTTCGGCGACGTGACGATTCCGATGCAGTCGCCAACTCCCACTACACGAAAGCGATCCAACTGTTTCGACACGGTGTCAACGATTTCATCGAAGGGAAAGAGTCGAATCCCTTGATGCTACTGGTTGGTGCTTTGTTGATGTGCTTTACAGAGGTAATGCCAACCAACTTGATTAAAAACTCGTTCTCGGACACTAACATGGCTGGTAGACTGCCAAAGGCGACATGACGGGGACGGTCTTCGACCATCTCTCCGCCGCTCACTCCTTACTCGTGAAATTGCTCGAGCAAAGCGACACCGCCGTACCGAGAGAATTAAAAGACTTTGTCATCGAGTACTATGTCTACACCGCGACCGTGAGCATGATTTCCATTGATGCCCGCCTGAGCGGGCAACTATTCCTAAATTTTGATCTGGAGCAACGCGCTCGCGAGGTCCTTCGCACCCAATACGTAGGCAATCTTTGCGGCTGCTGGTTAGAACTCCTCCTTCTCATCCCCTGCATTTTCGATCTCGGCCGACAGTGGATGATGGACGATACCCAGCCCACCGTCCCAACCGCGGACGACATGGCCATGTTCGCCTCCATCCAAGCCCAGATCCTGCGCTGGTCGCCATACTCTTTCGTCGAGCCCGAGGTCTACCTAGCCGGTCTAGTGTTCCAACAAGCCATGCTCATCTATTTGTACACCGCTCTCGGTGGCTACAGCTACACCCCAGATGGCATGTACAAAGGTCTCATACAAACGGCCGTCACCGAAGCGCTGTCCTATCTCAGCGAGATATCGCCACAGGCCCGGATCAACTCCGGTCTCTGTTGGCCGATCGCGGTCGTGGGGTCTTGCCTGGAGAAGCCCGAGCAACGGGAGCGTCTGCGGACGCGTCTGACTGCGATGGCAGCTCATTTTGGTCTGGGTAACATGCAGCGCACACTTCTACTGCTTGAAGCTATGTGGGAACTTCCTGCGACTGATGCTGGGCCGTGGAATATCTGTCGGTCGATGCAGGCTAAGCAAATATGGATTTCATTTGCGTGAAAGCAGACTACCGCCATGTGCGTGTGTTCAAGTTTTCAAAAGAGACTCCAGAGTCATGATTAATTCTGGGATGGATCCGTCGCGGATCTTTCTCGCGTCACGTACGCACTTTTGCGACCATCATCCATGGTGAAGTCCATGCTATTCATAAATGATGTATCTTCACATGCGACGGACAGGACGCAAAGAAGATATTTCCATAGCGTCGTCGAACTGACCACTCGGAACGTGACATTCGCGACGGAGGCACCTCTCATTATCGTGGCGCGGCATTTGTTGGCCACGGTCATCTCTTCAGGCAATCCGGAAAAGGCGATCGACTTCCAGTCACTGCGCACAACGCCGATTATGCAGAATGTGAAACGTCCCAAGTACAGCGTCACCGCCCAATGGTCGCTTTCCGAGCCCTCGGTCAACAGCGACAGCGCCGTGTCAATTAAGGCGACAATACTCGCGGGCTGAACTGCGCCAGCTGGCAATCCAGTTTGACTTTGAAAACAACAAACAGGATACTTGGATCCGTGCCACACAGTCTTACCAAACAACACATTTCGTCGTTGATCCTATATACCCAGACACTTCTCTGTCTCTCGGGTACATGGTACCCGCATTGTTGAACGGCACGTTCCGCCCACCCCACTAGTCCGGAAAAACGACCGTGGCTATGGGTGAACATTCATCCAACGATGTAGATGACTCTTGAGCCTATAGCGCGATCGCCTACTTCGAGCGGATTGAGTCTTCTCCACTTTGGTTGAGACGGCAAAGCCTGCGTCGGTGGAAACGATCATGGTCAAACTTCTTCGCGGAGTACAAGGGTTGTGGTCCTGAGGGCAATATAGATGTCTTTGCTGTCATTTCAGCGCGAATCAAGCGTGAGTCGGATGTACACGCTAGATGTATACCCCGCTACGTTAGGGATATAGATGTTTTCATGGCCTCGCAACCTTCCAAGTCAACAACACGACTTAAAAAGGTGTTGGGGGTGAACGGAGTTTGTTTCAATAAATGAACAGAGAACAAGAATGTACAGTCCTGAAAATGTGGATATTCGTTGTGGTAAATATATATCTCATGCAATAATTAATCCATGACAATCCCTTTGAGCGAGTAAAGCCACCCGGGCAATATTAATGAACAGTACTCCCATGGATGTTGTCTACTCTAATTGTCGTCTAGACCTAAGCCACTACTCCGCGCCTCTTCCATCACGCTGGATTTTCTATGGTAGTTTATCTTCCTGGATGCGCGTAGCTTCGCATCCGACAGCGCGGCATGCTCATGCTCACGCAGTATAGTAATCCATCTACCGAAAAATGGCCGATCAAAACAGCCCAATCAAAGATGAGCTATGTTTGCAATGATCATGCGATAATTCTGAGATGCTCACGTGGCTCTCTACTGCTGGATGTGGTAGCTAGAAGTGTGTCACGTGTTGTTGCCGCGCTTCGGAATTAGCGCAGCGCGGTCCGAGACCGCGGTCAAGTGGGTCTCATTTGCGACGGCAGATTGGCCGAGACCTGGGTAGTTGAATGGGAACCGGATGAGTGGGATAGATGAATAGTACTACTCAATTAAATGATCTATTCATTCATAGAGTATTTCTGTCAACATGTCTCAGAAGATACCAACTAAATTCGAAGACGTAGTCATGAGATAAAATGCAATAAAAATTATGGTTTTAATAAAGGAGCCATGAACATGCATATCTGCTCGCAAAATCTAAGCAGAAGCATCCTTGATGTGATAACTCTTCAGCTTGACAAATCCATCATAACCACGGGGACCAAGTGTGGAACCCAAGCCAGAAGACTTCCAACCAGTCCAAGCAAGATCCTGCAAAACGATTAGTTTATTTTTCCCCCTCAATACGTTTCTCATCGGGGAGGTCAGGGAACATACCGGAGCAGGATAATCACAACGGTTAATAAACACCGTTCCAGCCTCAATCTGATCAATCAGCTCCTCACCGCGAGCAGTGTCCTTGGTCCAGACGCTAGCAGTCAAACCGTAATCACTATCGTTCATCAGTGCAACGGCCTCTTCGTCGCTGGAAACCTTCATAATGGGCATAACGGGGCCGAACGTCTCTTCCTTCATGGTGACCATGTCGTGGTTGACGTTGGTCAGGACGACGGGGGCCAGGAAGTTGCCCTTTTGGCTTGTCTTGGCGAGAGAGAATGTGGGGTTCTCGGGGGTGGCATCAATGGCTCCCTTCTTGAGAGCATCGTTGATGTGCGATTGAATCTTCTCCTTTGCAGGCGCGGAGATGACTGGACCAGTGGTCGTGGTCTGGTCATGGGGGTCGCCCAGTTTATATCTAGATATTACATCAGTTGCTGCAGATACAATGACAAAAGCTTGTTCTTGGCGCGTCTCAACGTACCCCTTCAGCTCCTCCTGCACATAGCGAACAAACTCATCGTAAATCTTCTCGTGAACGTAAATACGCTCAACGGAGCAGCAGCTCTGTCCAGAGTTGAACACTGCTCCATCGACCAGGTTCTCGGCGACGTTCTTAACGTCCACGTCCGGACGTACGTAGGCAGGGTCATTACCACCGAGCTCCAAGTTCACGGGCTTGATCTGCTTGGCCGTTGCCTCGCGAAGTCTAATACCGCCAGCAGTCGAGCCGGTGAAAGAGACGGACTGGACATCGGGCAACTGGGCGATTTGGTCGAGAACATCCAAGCTTCCAATGTGCAGGACTTGGAGAACGTCCTTTGGCAGTCCAGCCTCGGTGAAGATCTCGGATAACCTGTCACCGAAAAGGGGTGTCTGAGGAGATGGGCGCAAAAGCACCGTGTTACCCGCCAGCAAGGCAGGAACCAGAGCATTGACGGTGGTGAGGTAGGGATACTGCGGGTAATTTAGCATCACGAGTTTTTTAGATTGACAATGGCGCCGCGAGTAGTACGTACGTTCCACGCAGATGCAATCAGAATAGGGCCCAGAGGCACTTGCTTAACCATACGTCTGAAACCAGCTTGAGGCTCACCCGGCAAATCAGCCAGACTCTCCTTTGCAATCTTAATCATATGCTCCGCGCGAAGAGCGGCGGTCTTAATCTCTCCAGCGCAGTAACGAATGGGCCGGCCCATCTGCGTGGTGAGCTCCTTAGCCAACTCATCAATGCGAGAGTCAATAATCTGAAGAGCACGCTTGACAATTGTGGTTCTCTCCTCTAGGCTCACGGCGCGCCAAGACTGGAATGCCTGCTTCGAGGCGGTGGCGATCTTGCCAGCTTCTTCCAGAGAAGTTCCTGGCTTGTCGAAGATGACCTCATGGGTCGCAGGGTTGATGGTGCGAATCTGGTTGGACATTATGTGAGAGAGATGCAGTTTGAAAAAGTCTGAAGGAATGAAGGAATGAAGAGTTGTGAAACTTGTTGATTGCTCAGGGTCAGGGGAGGAGGGGCATGGTGGAATTTATGTGGTCCCCGCCGCTTATCGCGGTCTCTTCGTTCTCGAGACTTCCGCCCGTCGCCACTTTCCCCGCCGGGCGCTTGCTTGACCTGCTCTTACTCCAAGTACTTGCCCCTATTGAGGGCTCTAATTATGATTGATATATTCATAAACCGTGATAATCATATTGCAATAAATTAACGAATTCTATGCTGTACCCTCTGTAGCATCTGCCATAAACTTAATAATCTCCGTCGCTAAAAATTCTCCATCATGAGGCTTCGCCGCTCTCGAGGAGCCATCCTCGTATAGCTGGTCATTGAACACCCCGCTGTCATGCCGAGCTTCCAGCAACTGCGACATGATAAATTCGTTAAACTCGGGATGCGCTTGCACGCTCCACAACCGCTTCGGCATATAGAGACCCTGGACCGCGCATCGGGGACTGTATCCGAGATTGAGACATCCCGCTGGCACTTCGTGGACCACGTCACGATGCATTTGTTGGAGGGACTGGATCGTGTAAGAAGGTGATTTAGAAAATGTCTGAAATATGTGAATTCTTACCAGCTTGTCTTTGCCAAAGATCTGCTTGCCAGCATCGGTTAAAGTAATCTCCTCAACGGAAATCTCCCATCCACCCTCGCCACGACCGACGCGCGAGCCCAAGGCACGCGCGATAATCTGGTGGCCAAAGCAGATGCCAACAACGGGCTTCTTGTGCTGCTCAATAACGCTTCGAACGTATTCCATGAGGCTCACGATCCAAGCATCATCCGCGAATGAATCATGTTCTTGTAAGTCTTGTTAATGCATACTCTCGACAGTGACTCATAAGAGAAGAGGGAAGAATACATACTGCTACCGGAGAGAAGAAGAGCATCGTACTCTTCTGGATCAGGATAGACCGGGTTATCAACGACATGCCACTTGCTGATCTCCTTAATGTCCACCCTTGAGTCCCCAGAGGCCTCTAGACCCTTGTTCAACAAGCGTGTAAAGATGTCTCCATAGCCACCGAGTCGCTCTTTGACAGGCGCAATGGGCGTATCACACTCCAGGACAGCGATGCGTAGTGATCGGGTCATTTTGCCGGTTATTGTTGTATATGCACCGTGATTTTCCCCGGATTGTTTGATGATAAGTGCAGAAACGCTTGGTGCCACTCGATGTGTGCTTTATGGATGTTCGGCCCCGCGGTGGTGTTCCCGACCTCGGCGGGCGCGCTTGGCTCCACTGCGCGGTCCGCGGGGGGTGGTGTTATCGCGATCCTATCCGACGGCCACGACAAGTTGTCGGGGTGGCTTTCGGGTTGGCTCACAAGGTGCGGCGGCTATTCTGGGTCGAGAAGAACGGTTTGTTTCCCTCGCCTACACTTAATTCAGAGGCAACGGCTTGTCACGTGCACGACCGCAAATCGCGAGCATCCCGGTCACAATGTAGTCTTGTCGATAAGCGGAGTACAGTATTGGCATAATTGTCATCTGAAGCACGACCGTTATTTACTCTGCAATCTTGAGCATGGTCTCTTTTTCTATTTCAGATACTAGCACACCCAGTGAAGTGATCATTCGCACATACCCATACAGACTCTACCGCCAAGTTTTATTTATAGGGTTCTAGAACATGACGTCATCTAGAATGGCCCCGCCTGCCGGTATTGATCGAGAAGTGTCTCAAATGAGCATGAATAGGTGGAATCACTGCTAAAGCGAGAAGAATGTACGTTGATTATTATTGGGGCTTCCTACAATGGAATGATGAACTTCACATGCTTTGAGAGGGGGCTTTTCCATCGAGTCACAAGAAAAATAAGCCACAGGCAAGGCTTAGTAATACTGGACTTGAAAAGTTTAAAGTGCCGAGACGAAAAGAACAAGTGACAATAGAGGGAGTCAGGGTCGAGTTAATATCGCTACTCCGATTAGTCGAGCCAATATACCGACGAGTGTGTTTTTGAGAAACAGAATGATGTTGGAAATGAGAGAGATTCGCCCGTAGGCAAAACTTTATTGTCATGAAAATCTATAATCGTGCAAATCTATGTATATCTTCTACCGCTAGCACCATGATGATGGGAAAAAAACGACTTCTTTGGTATTCGAGCATGAAAGAATGGAACGGGACATTTATCCCAAAGTGACGACGTACTGCGCATCAACCGAGCAGGAGAGCGTGTTCACATCGTCAGGGTGTTGGTAAGACTCGGCACAGTTGGTGTCGCCGGCCTCACAAGTAGCAGTTTTGCAGCTCGAATCGCTAGGCTTAACTGAGAAGCCACTCTTGATGAACTCGGAAGACGAATCCAGGTTGATAGAGGACAGGTCCCAGTAGAGAGTGTCAGAGTCGACGGTGTACTCGAATTGAAGGACGCTGTCCTCGGTCTGGGTGGTTGAGAGCTTGATGGAAACCCCACCGCCGTTGGAGTTGATCTGCCATCCCTCGCTGTGGGTTCCACCGCCAGAGGAGAGAGTCTGCATGCTGCCGGACTCGGAGGATGTCGTCCAGAGGTAGACATCTGTGCCCATGTTGTTGACGAATTGGACGTTGCCGCTGGAGCTAGAGCTGGAGTCACGGACACGGTGAGGCAGGGCTGCGGCGGTGGCAGCGAGAATGCTAGCGATGAAGACGTTGGAGAAGAACATTTTGTATGTGGAGTCGACGTCGAAAAGAACAGTATGTGGTAATCAAGAGAATGTCTTTAAGAAAGATAGACAAGAGAATGACAGGATCTGAAAGAGAGTGATCAGATCGTTGCAATCAACAAGAGAAAGAATGGAAATGTCGAAAGGACTGTAGTGGTTGACGAGAAGAACGGCCATTGTTGCAGATTATGCAGAGCTATATATCGTCTTCGGTGGAGTCTTTGCAGTAGCGGAAAACGAAAACACTGCCCTTAACCGCCACGATTCTTAGAGTTGAGATTTTATGGGGTTCGCCAATAGCTACTTCGATGGTGGATCCGCTTTGATATCCGACGGTCTCGAACGCTGTTGCCATCGCCGGAAATGGTAACCCTCGAACGTCTCCAACGGTTCCGAGTTTTCCAAACCTTTCATACACTACATCTGGGACAACTAATGGTTCGCTCGTCCCCCTGGAAGAACCTGATAAAACTGGAGATCTTCCATCAGCGGCGTTTCTGCGTTTCTGAACCTCAACTCTCGCTTGATATGATTTGCCTCAGACGGCGGAAATGGACTTCAGAGTTTGCGTTCCTGCAGGGATTGCAGGAACAGAACCGAACTCGCCTCCTCCTCGGAACATGAGTCGGGATTACGTGATTAAATCATTATCCGCGCTTTGTGAGCATTCCACGTGGAAACAGGGGCATCGCGAGCGTGCCTGGACTGCGGCAGCAAGAGTCCATATTTACTATGTTGAACTGTAGAAACAGATCTTAGCATATGCCAAGATGCTCAGAGCTTGGGAATAACCAAAACTTTACCATATAGTATCAACTGTGGTGGATGACGTGGCAGGATTCACATACGTAGGTAGACAAACCCACCTCACTTCCCCCACTACCACAGGGTCCAGGAGGCAACAGAACCCATCAACTCCGCAAATGCCAAGTCTAACAGGAAACCATCTGGTACTGGTGGTAAAAAAGCAGGCGTGTTGTTGAACGTAGCCCTCGACCTAGACGAGAAGGCCATCCCGGACCCCTGCGGAAGACAGACTGTGTACCCAGTTTGGTAAGTACACCGAGCGAATGCCATGTATTTGAACCCGCCACTCGGTCACCAACTGTGTGACTCAGCAGCGTGAGACAAAAGAAGGGTCTTTTTGAGAGTGGGTTCTTCTTTTGAAAAGCCTGGACTTACGGCTTGTGGGTCTCTTAGGCGATGGGGCTGAGGCTGACGCAAGTGTGGGGATGATCTCTACCCCATTGGCAGTGACTGACTGTCCGTATCCAAGGTCTGGCCATTTCAGGAAAATTCAAGACAAATGACCCTACCGGGAAAGTGTCTATCGGGTTTTTCCCGACCATGTGACAGTGGCAAGTGCCGGTTGAAGAGATATTCTTTCCTTTGCCTTGAGACACTCAGAATGGTTTCATTGTGATGGCTAGGGTATATGATCTCGCTTTTCTGAACTATTTGTCGCAGGGTATTACGTCTCTTTTAGTGTACCGGGAACTACGCAGCAAGAACAGCGGGGAACTAGGAACGCGACTGATCGTTCTAGAATGGAAAAAGGACGGTCCCGATTCGACACCCTGATTTTGGCAGCATGCTATATAGAAATCGCTAAAATAGTTCTAGGAAAGTGCCGCCAGGATTAAGACAGTGGACTCTAACTCGCTACCTACACAGGATGAAGAAACCCCTCCTTGACTCTATCGCCCTCGATTCCGTCGACCAGTTGCTTAACGTGACTGATCTCGAGCTTGTTGACCCATAATCGTCTCTGCTTGCCCAACTTTATCCTTCTGAATGAGATATATAAAGTCTTCCTAATCAGATATAACAGCGCGGCGATGGAACCGCTCTTCTCGGTTGATAGTTCTAGGTTTCTAGACTGATGATATGGTATTTCCGTGAGAAATCCCCACGCTTTGAAATAGGTTTGCTGCCTACTAGGGGATAATTTCGATGCCTATATCTAACATTACAACCCTGACTCGGGACGACTATCAGCCCTGACCCTCGCTTAGGAAAGGAAGTAGAGACATTGGGCACTTATCAACAACTGAAGGCTGTGGAAAGTGCAACATTTCTCAAGAGAAACCCAACCAGGTGGCCTCGCAGATAAAGAAAGTCGGTACTGTTGAAACAAGTGCTGGGTGCATCAAGGATTTTCAGATTTGAGCACCACAATCGAATCAAGAAGATGGAAGATCAATTTGACAGTTGAATGGATACCTTTTCAAAATGCCTCAAATCTGCCATTCGCCTGCTGCAAAATAGAAACATGGTACTGTTTGGCCTCCAATCATCAAGCTTATTCAACCGCCATTGATCTCCCGGCTGTCATGCTTTCTCAGTCTTGCACTAATCTTTGTATTGCGTTTCGAGATAGGTGTTCTTTGAATTCGGACTTTCCATTTACCATGCTAGCTATTCTTACGTGAGAATTGAACACACACACCATTTCTTAGTGCTAAGAACTGCTGTGTATATTCAACACTGAACATCGGATTAGAGTGGGCGCATTCGTCAGCGTCAACCTCCATTACAAGCGCAGGAGGTCACGAATCTACATATTGCGAACGAGAAGATCGTCAAGAAAGGCAATCGGTCAGCTGGCCAGGTACTCTGCGAAGAGATTTCACTATCGAAGAGGGTTTATAGGTAGCAAGACAGCTGACCAGGGGGCCTGAGGGGGCTAGAGAGTAAGGCAACAAGGGCAATCCTAACGAGTCAAATGCAAATGATCAAAAATAGAAACATACAACAGCCAGGATTCGCATGTGGTCACCCACCATACTACTAACTGGCCGGCGTGTGGCTTAAGTACGGCTGAGCGGACGGGAAGCCCTGTTTTCCACACCCTATGGTCGTATGTGCTAAGAGTACGCTGAGAAGAAAACATATTGTTTGAAGCCCCTAGATACAATGCATATAGTGCTGTTGCAGTGAGAAGGGGTGAGTGCGTGATAGACCGTGTAAGAATCTAGGTGAAAGTGGTGAGAATAAAATGGGCCGCGCAGCCAGAATATAGCTATAGATCATTAGATATGACCGCCGGCCCGGAAACACTGGTCATTGATGTTTCACAGATTGTTCCTCTGCTTCTTATCGCCAAAAGAGGAGGTCTTTTCTCCGAGCACGGATACAACTGTGCTACGGGACACCACTGCGAATCTTGGATGGCTACTACAAGCACTTGATTTCCCACACATGTCATTATTATGTGCGGCACAATGAATAATGCAGTCAAGAACTGCGCTTCATGCTACAAGATCTAGACTTCTCTAGCCGAAAGTAATTCGATTTGTAACAAAACAGAGTCCCACAAGTGCGGGGATCGGAGATAAGCCGATTGACGATGATATATATTCCACGGAGGCCCTCTTGACATGACAGACACTAACGAGACACCCTTGCCTGCATCAATTCAAAACAGTTCTTCAAGCACACAGAATATGGCACCTGCACAAAGAATCGGAGATGACCCAAGCAACTTCTGGACTTACGAGCCTGATAGCGGCATAATCGATCTCTCCCGGAGATCGGGCTCAAAGCAGCTTATTAACCTCGAAACAACAACACAAACGACTTGCATAGATCCCGAGAAGAGTGCACTGTTGCTCATTGACCTACAAAACTTTTTTTTAAACCCAGCTGTACGACCACGAGTTGGGGATAAGCCCACTCCCGCAGAAGACGCCACGCGGGCGCTCCTTAGCGCCGGAATCCCAGCTGCTCGGTATCACGGCATACGAATTATCTGGCTCTGCTGGGGCTTAACGGATGATGATCTCACCAGCATGCCACCAGCAGCTATCCGCAGCTTCGGTTGTTACGAGACTCCCCCGTCTGGGAAAGGTCACGTTGGAGAGAAGCACATTCTTCCTTCAGCACCAAACATGATTCGAACCAAGAACCCCGCCCTTTACAAGGGTCTGGGAGCAGACCTCGGTACAGTGGAGCTTAGCGATAACAACACGGTCCCTGGTGGCCGAGTCCTTATGCGTGATTCCTGGAACGCTGCCCTTTTCGATCCCTTCAGTGAGGAATACAAATCAAGCCAGCAGATACCTTCCGATAACGTGCGATCGAAGCCGGATGTTCTGTTTCATAAGAACCGTATGTCTGGGCTATGGGGATCTGGCTCAGATCTGGAGAGCTTTCTGCAGCATGAGAAGATAACCACGCTTCTTTTTGGTGGTGTGAATACCGATCAATGCGTTGGTAGCACGTTGACTGATGCGTTCAGCAAAGGCTACGATTGTATTCTGTTACGGGATGGAGTTGGAACGGGCACACCCTTTGGTGCGAGTGAAGTTTGGGAATGGAACGTCATGAATTGTTGGGGATTTGTTTCAACTTGCGAGGCCTTGAAGAATGCGTCGACAGCTTAGAGTGTGTTAGTCTACATCGATCTGATCGCTTAGGATAATCAAAGATATAATCATACGCTCTGCCTTGGCGTCATCTCCAACTGTCTGTCAGACATAATTCCTAGTATCCTTGAATTAAAAATTAGGTCCTCACCCTGGACTGAGCCTAAAGGGAAAACATCATGCTTTCTGCAAGCTAATACTCAGTCAACTAGGTAGATGATAGCCATTCTTGAACTATATCACTAATCCGCGACGTAGGACGAACATTCGCTCTTGCAGAGATACTCGTAGACAATACGAATGTGCAACCTAAATAAATATGAGTACACTATTCTTGATTTTACTAAGATACCCCATAATTCTATACGACTCTTGAAAAGGGGTAAATAAAGGTCTTTGAAAAGAATTTTGCATTGAAAATATTGTGTAATCTAGGGGTTTGGGTCCTGGTGAGATCCAACACCTCAGTGGGACTCAGAATGAGTCAGATTTATTTGGGTCCCGCTGAGCTGGGTGCCCGTTTTGGAGAATGGTGGGAACCGTTCGCCGTAACCATTGCCCAAAAGGGTAGAATGGCACAAAAAATACAGCCTCGCTAGCGCTGACTCGGGCACTAGCTTTGGCTTAGGGTCAAATCAAGCGTTATCTTGAATCAACACGAGAGTGCCGCACCCGCTGCTTAAATACGTGTCCCTTCTCTGTCACTCGGCAACGTTGATTTCGCGTTAAGCATCGCATTCCTCGTATTTTCTCGTTTTTGACCATGGCCGCATCAAAATCGAGCTCACTGGATTTCAAAATCCTCCCCGCAACAGAAGCCGACTGCGCGACAGTCGCAACCATAGAGGCCATCTCCAACTGCAATGCGAGCAAAACCGAGCCGAAAAACAATCTTTCACTAGTATTGTTCGGTCCACCGGGCGATTCGTCCTTTCGAGCGAAAGACCTTGCCAGTAAACTCGAAAATGACAAGACCGCAAGAATCTGGAAGGCCGTTATCAGCGACGAAAATGCCCAGGAAAAGATCATCGCCATTTCCCTTTGGCACTACTACGTCGAGCCCAAGGTGATCGAAGACTGGAAGGATATCGAGTGGCCGGCTGGCGCGCATCAGGAAGGCTGCAATACATTCCTTCGCACGACAGTGGCAATGCGAAAGAAGCACATGTCTGGAAAGGAGTTCGGTCGTATGTGACTAGGTAGAGTTTTGATTTTGGGGATTTGAGCTAACTCATCATAGATCTGCAGGTGTTGGCTACTCTTCCTGAGTATCGTGGTTATGGAATTGGCTCTGCGCTTATCAAAAAAGGCCTTGAGGAGGGTGTGGAAAAGGGGCTGGTTGATTTCTGGCTGGAATCGTCAAATGATGGGCATGCGCTCTATGAAAAGTTTGGATTCCAGGATGTCGAGCCGGTTGTGATGGACTTGGCGCAGTATGGTGGTGAGGGTTTGGCCCCGGTCAGGACTATGAGGAGAGTTCCCAACTGAGTCACCTCCTCTGAGAGATTTATGTAGCGTGCCTTTAGAATGACTGTAATACTGAGTCTATCGCATATATCAATCGCCCTGTGTGCTGTTCTTTTTTTTGCGTCGAGTACCAGATCCATTTGGCGAATTACGTATCCCGTGTCCCTAGTCAATGATTATACAATTCTTTGATCAGAGATGGGAGTCGTGCGAAGGCACTCGAAAAAATGCTAATTATAACTCATCACTATAGACGTAGTTAAATGCGGATGTACCTTTGTCCTTCCAATCTGAGGTCGATCCATGTTCAGTAAGAACTGCACAGAAGAACGAACGAATACGCGACGAATAAATACGCGATACTCGTAGAGTATGTGACTATTCATTCCTCGTTCTCGTCGCCGCCTTCCTCGACGAAGGCCTTGTGGTTGGCAGGTTCCGACTTGGCCTTAGTAGTCGACTCGGTCTCAGTGACTGCCCCATCGTCGTCTTCTTCATGTCCGTTTGATTCCGTTGATTCAACAGCTGTACCATTGTGGGCCTTAGCCGGCTCGGGCTGTGGGTTTTCGTTTTCCTGCACCTGTTTACCCTTCTTTGTCTCCCTGATGGGCATAGGGGTCTCCGCCTCGCTCTTCAAATCCGCAGCAGACTCCTCGCCGGCCTGTGAGGCACGTGAACTTCGACTCCTCAGGGCCCGGGCACGTCGAATCATTCGATTGTGATAGACCACTTGCTCATTTTCTGGGTCTTCGTGAAGAATGCGACGAGCAGCCTCGCGGCCAAGGATTGGGAGGCGATCGACTCCTTCCACGCCTTGAGGGACAAGTTTTGGGTCCAGAAGACCGACTTGAACTAGGACGCTGGCCTGGTCCCAGTATGTGTGCTCTGAGTATAGGCGACCTGCGCGTAAACTGACAATACTGACGACGATGATCTCAACGCGCTTGTTGGTGGGAGGAACTCCTGGGAGCATCCAGGGAATCTCCTGGGAATGTTCAAATGAGACGTAAAGCTCATCGACCACACGATCGGCTCCACTTGTTCGCGAGAGAAGACGAAGATGCATAGAAGGAGGAAGCTTTCCAAGAAAGTGATTTTCGTAGAAACGGCGCAGAGCTTGTGTCCCAATTGCTCCACTCATGGTCGGTACATACGTAACAGCGGGTTTCTTGTGGGAAATATACGCATCCATAGTTTTGGTGATATTGCCCTTGAAGTATTTACCTGCATCATCGTGAGCACAAAGTATAGTCGATTTCCAGAAATGAACCTACCCTCTTGGTGCTCCTCCCATCTTCTCTCCAAGTCTGCCTGCCGTGAGAAACCCTTGCGCAAAACTTGGATCGTCCGTGTCCATGCCAGGTCAGCGGCAAGGTGATCATACTCCTCCATGTCGTGTTCAGCAAAGCCTGGTTGGGCATTACCGTAGGTATAGGCAGGATATGCCAGCTCTAGTCGTTCGCCCGTACCAATTCCAGGATTGAGAGGGCGTGTCTTGCGTCGCTTTTTCCCTTGCAGGCCTAACGCGACCGGGATAGTAGTAACATCCACACTGTCACCAGCCAGGTGCACCAGCACGGGGAGGGAAAGGGGAAATTGAGATCGCGTGTCGGGGATGACGCTGGGATAGTATGCAACGAGTGCGCAAAGACGGCTAGCATTTTGCGATTTCAGATAATACTCCAAGCAATAGTTGGCCGCATCACCGTACGCTGCTCTCGTTAGCTAACTATAGTTCTTTTCCTGCTTGTTGTATGATATCTTACCAATCACCGCATAGTTCTCGCCGACCCCCAGACCCTCTTTGACAGCTTTCAGCCGACTCTCGTATTCCTTACCTCCTCCATCTAACGGAAGGTACACGACGTCGAAGCCTTCATCCTGCCAATTTTTGATGGTGTCCATATCGAATTCGCCCGTCTCCGATGTAATGCACACTCGCGCATTGTTCGAGCCATTGTTATAAAGAAGGCCCCCGCTCAATCCGGGGGCGTTGATTGAAACAGTCGCCATTTGGTGTTCAGGGTTCCGCCCAACGACGATGTTTAGTAAATCCAGTGTTTGTTTACTCCCGGCGCGGGCTCGATGTTCGGGTAGTCAGCGAGTTGATGAAAGCGGATTGATGCGAAGACTTTGCGATGATCTTCAATCGATTCTTGTGGAGGTCGCCTTTTCTGGTGATTCGGTCGTGAAATGTTAACGGAGAGGTTGGTGGTGAGTGATCGCTGCTTGACAGCTAACGGGCGCTACGTCACTGGCGCTGTCACGTTTGGAGCACCGACGTCATTGTGGTCAGATTTCCTTGGCAATGGCCAGGTTCAATAAATTAATTGGTCACAGGCTTCGTCAATTCTATTGGGTCATGTATTCAATGGACAATCCCTTTCTATGTAAAGAGCTCTTTACTTGAGGATCTTTATTTTAGAGCTCCTCCTACGGTCGCTGTCGATCGCATGTTACTGTGGTCTTATCGTATTCTTATCGGCCACGCTGGCTTGCCCCCACGTTTATTCTCCGATGCTATGAACTTGCTTCAAATTGAGATAGTCCAAGGATTGCCAGTATCTTCAGAGTCTGAAAGGTCCCAAATAGGCAGATCCTGTCATATTGCTAGTAACTCTCATGCCGTAGAAGTAGCTTTCTAATGGGAGAAATATAGCAGTCATGCCATACATGTCTCCCGTTGCCCGTCGCCACACCGATGCTCCACCGCATGACAACTATCTCGGTTTCATCCATGGCTCCAGTACGTCCACGAAACGCTCGAAATACATTCCATACTGTTGATGCACATTCTATTGGAGTTTCGATATCCTATTCTAATAAAGTTAGGTCATAACGGGATAGCGGCTCCCGTTCCTGGTCTAACCTATGCCTGAGATATATATCTACCGCCTTGCACCAGCTAGCTGGGGGCCACTGAACTGTACGCACAATTATGAAACTGTTGCAACACTTTTAATATGGTGTTAGTCAATCTCATAGCTTCTTCCTAGTTGACCCAGCAAACTTCGTATAATCGCCTCAAACTTTTCGGATCCGCCTTGCTCGTGTAACAACTTACCCCAATGTACCTAGATTCTCGTTGAACAAGATAGAATGATACCCTTGATGGATCATGACAGGTCTACACCCAGCAATACCACCTAACGATCCTAGTAACCGACCTGTTCAGCAATTCAAACACAATGTCGTGAGCCGAAATGTAACGGAATTCAGCACATGCTCAGTCCTTCATGACAGGTACGACATCTAGAAGGGCCTCTGTCGTCTAATAGAGCACTAGAACGCGGAGTCGACGGAATGACCCTGCTGTCATGCAACGAGAGTAATGGTCTATTAACTGCCTCTTGCGACGTCCTTTCCTCCCTGACCCATCCGTGATTGCTTGACAAGCACCACACTCAATGTCGCTTTCCCAGAATGATTCTGCCCACGCTGGGATTGGCAGAGAGGAAGAAGCAGATATTGTTGTAAATTTGTCCGCAATTGTGTCGAGAGAAGGCGGCCACTGCCTATGTATTCAGCCTCAAACCGCACTCCCCGATGACACCAATAGTGTCCACGTACACGAGCCCTCCATCATCAAACGGATTGGCATGTGCTATCTTCGTTGAATTAGACCCACTGCTAATGTCGTACAGTGCAGGTAGTCTTCACAATAGTCGCATGTAGTCTCGCCTCCGGGATCGTCTTTAGATTTGCGGCTCTGAAGCCAGTCCTCATCGAGGAAGGCGTTTTCCACGATCTTTGTGTTGATGAAGATCTCCACGGGGATGGCAATGTATGTCCGGAACAAGACTTGAAGTATGTCATCTATCTTTGGATCAGATGGAATCATTTGGATTGAAAATTTTAGCTCAACCCTCCCAGGTTGAATCTGTTCTACACCATCGGGTCTACAACCGCGCGAACATATCATCCATACTGGCAGGGGCAATCCTCGATCGCCTCGGGTCACGATTTTGCAACATCCTAGGATGTGTCAATCTCATTTTCGGTTGTGGCGTGATGGCTCTATCATTCCATGTCTCGCGATATCGGTGGTTGTTCGTTGGCAACTTCTTTCTCGCTCTCGGCGGTACCTGCATCTTCGTGCCCGCATTTCAAGTTGCAAACGCCTTCCCACAATATTCGGGACGCAACGTCGCTCTGGTGACGGGTGCATTTGATGTGTCGGCAGCTATATTTCTCATTTATCACGTTGCTTACAAGGCTTCGTGTCAATCCTTGACGCCATGCATCTTCTTCTTGTGGTTCAATGTGGCGCCCGTGTTGCTTGTGATCGGATTCATTGGAATAATGCCGAGGGAGGGGTACGGCTCTAGTGTTCTGCCAAAGAAGCAATTGAGACATACAGACGACCATTTCGACCACATAATCTTCACTCGAAATGAAGTTAACGATATAGAAGATCACTACAGTGCGGGCAACAAGCATTATTTACGCCTTCGAGCCAGACTGAGCAAATTTCAAAAATTCCTCGGCACCAACAAAATTACACAGCAGCGAGCCCAGAGTGCCGATAGCCAAAAGGACACCAGCCAGGTCTTGGGTGCTTTGCATGACTTACCTGCCCGCCAGCAAATGGTGTCACCATGGTTTATTCTCATCACCTTGATGACAATTTTGCAAATGGTTCGCATGAACTACTTCATCGCCACAATACGCATCCAGTGTGAATTTCTACTTGCCTCGACAGCTCGGGCGAAGCATATCAACGATTTCTTTGATATCGCCCTCCCACTAGGAGGGATCCTATCAACCCCTATCGTTGGTTACCTCTTAGATAAGCTGAGTCTCGAGAGCATACTTGGTCTTATCGTTGTGTTCACAACTATTATTGGGGCAGTCAATTGCGTTCCTTCCGTCGGAGCAGGTTATGTGACGGTGATATTATTCGTCCTGCTACGACCATTGTATTACTCAGCGATGTCGTAAGTACATTTTTTGAGTCTTTCACATATCACATCATTGATCGTTCTTCTTCTAGTGACTATGCCACCAAAGTCTTCGGATTTGCCACATTTGGCCGAGTGTACGGAACGATAATTTGCCTCTCGGGTCTGGCGACTTTCTCCTAGTATGGACTTGATGCACTGACCCAGGGTCCATTCGAAGGCAATCCAACTCCTGTCAATGCTGCCTTGGCGTTAGCCGGATTATTCGTTGGATTTACCTTGGTAAGTTTTGTGACTGTGTCAGGAAGACGTCTTAGGTCGGAAGGAGCCGGAGGATCTAGCGAAGAGGAAGAGGAGCAACTACTGCTGGCGGATGGCCCGGATGAAAGGCCGGGGTAAATCGCTGTCGTTGATACGAGGTGAAGCCGAGGAGTTTTATCTTTTTCAAAATGTACTGACTACATAGTCCTGGATGGATAGCCAGAGCGGTATAATCGAGTACCTTTCTCATATCATTGGATAGTACGAACGATGCTAACCAACAGATAAGTATAATTTGGTATAGACCCATCTAGTCCTCGCTTATCATTTAACTGACAGCTTTAACGATTGGACGCGTAAAAAGCTGGGGTAATATCCCCACTTGGGGCCTATGCGGCTGTCCAGTCTCGTCTATCAATATCCCTGTCTCACGAATCCCCGATAGATACATTCTTATTTGCAGCTCAGATCCAAGTCGGCTATATGATAGACGCTAGTCCCAAGTAATGAGATCATACGACAGGGCTAGCCAGCAGACGAGGCCCAGCCAAGATGGGGCTTTTGCATCATGCAACCATCACGCGTGGTGATAAGTGCCAACAGATCACTCACGTCCGCGATATGCCGCGGTACGTTCTTCTTCCCAGCTCTTCCCTCTTTTTTTTTTTAACTTTATCCCTAGTATTTCAAACAAGATGAAAGATAGCGAGTAGGTGCTGCACCTCGTATACATCCCGTCGTTCTCTTCACTAGCCTCCCGAGGCAACAGCTTACTTTCGCCCGCCTCCAAACCTTAACTTTCTCGGCGGACCTGACCGTGGGGGAAAATACAGTGGGGTTTGGAGTAGCTACATGGCGCTAGTAACCTAGCAACGACCTATTAAATCAATAATTTATCTCGTCAAGTGCCCACAGATCCCTTGACAGGCGCTCGACCTACAACGCCCTCAACTCTAATACCTATCCTTTCCAGTATCTCATCCCCGAAGGTGACCTTTCTTTCCCAAACCCAAAAACTCAAAACCTTAGATAGACACGACCATCTCAACCATCATATGGGACCCACAACTCTATGTTGCCCATAGAGCACCAGCTGACGACACGATTGTTTCGCCCAGTCCCAGTGCTCCATCGCCAAGCTGCCAAGGCAAGACCGTCAAGGTTTCTTCCCCGCATTTCCCCCCGGGCCAACAACCCCAGATCGTCACCTCGTCCTTGCCGCCACCACCAAATGCCTTGCTCATCGCTAATTCTGACCCGTACACTACTCCGCCCAGCCTTCACAGTGGAGACAACACCCCTCCTTTCCTCTTGTCGTCGAGAGGATGTGTCTCACGCAGCGACTACCAAGTCGCACATACTCCGAACGTTTCGTCCTGCGCCGAGGTACTTTGCTATTTTCTGTCGGCTATTGCCATTAAAAGTGTTTGGTAGCAGAGGGGGTGGCTAAAGGCTAGATTTACTGGGCGAGAATGATGGGATCTGGATACGGAGACCGCTAGGGCTTGGAGGGGCTTCGTTTTCCTAGTGGCTCATTGTTAGATCTGGTGTCGCACTGCTAGTGTACAGCAGGCGCGTTCTTTGTTTCCCGTCGACTCCCCTACAACCCCGGTGCTCAGATCTAGTTTCTCACCGAGAAGAGATAAATGCACTGTACCCCTCCATTATTCTGAACAACCCCGCGAGGATCCTTGTTTCTTTTTTATTCCCCCGACCTATCATCCTCAACTTATTACCCAATTCAATCCAATCCAATCTCTTCTCAATCTATTCTATTTTCTTTCTCCAACGCCGTCCACGAATCATGTCTGACGAAAAGCCGGGCAGCGTAGATCGCATCGAGGATATCGCGCAGTCCACAACGGGCCAGGAAACACCTCCCAGCGATTACGATGAAGAGTTTACGCCGGAGGAGCAGAGGAAGATTATTCGGCGAATTGATTTGCGACTTGTTACTATGACGGGTTTGGCGTATTGTATCTCGTTGATGGATCGGACGAATTTGAGTGCTGCTGCTATTGCAGGGTATGTTATGCTTTTCGTCTTGCGTTGCTATTCTTTGTCTTTTGATACTATCCGAGATGTTGGATTAGTTTGAGTTGCTAATGGATATGAACCGATTAGGTTGAAGAAAGAATTGGCGTTGAATGTCGGAAATCGCTATGTGAGTATCATTTTCCTCTTTACTCTGCTGATACATGGGGCTCGGCTCGCTAACGACCGCATCTTGGTATAGTCTATCGTCGTCCTCATGTTCTTCGTGCCCTATATCATCTTCCAGCCACCAATGACGATCTTAATTCGCAAGATTGGACCGACTATCTTCTTGAGTACGATTATCATGACCTGGGCGGTGATTATGATTGTATGTTTGGCCCCCCCGACCTCAGACGTGAAGTGAATGCTTTGGCTGATTCTCGTAGGGAACCGGCTTTACTAAGAATTGGGGTCAATTGGTGGGCCTGCGTGTACTGCTCGGTGTCCTGGAGGCAGGCTACTTCCCTGGCTGTGTCTATCTGCTGTCTTGCTGGTATACACGATGTAAGTTGTCGAGAAGGGGGTTTCAATTGCGGGTTTTGTTCCCATGACTAACGCCATCGAAGATGATGTTCAAAAAAGATTCTCGATTTTCTACTTGATTGGCTGTGTGGCTTCGGCCTTGTCCGGTATTCTTGCCTTTGGCTTGATGCAATTGAATGGCCAGCATGGCTTGACTGGTTGGCGGTGGATTTTCATCCTCGAGGGTGTGGTATGTGACTCTTTAATACGGAGATAACGGAGATTGGAAAAGGGGAATTTCGGACGATTCTAATCTTTGCTCATATAGATCACCGGTGCTATTGGATTACTCTGCTTTGTCTTCCTGGTCGACTTCCCCGACCGGGCGGCCAAATCGTGGAAGTTCCTGAACCAAAAGGAGTGCGACTTTATCGTGCGACGCATCAACAATGACCGCAAGGATGGAAACTTGGAGCCTTTCTCGCTGATTAAGTTCCTGCGGCCTGGAGCCGACCTGAAGATTTGGGGCTTCGCCATGATCTTCTTGTACGTACCACCCACAATCATGACCCTACGATATCATCGAAGCGGACCGCTGATGAATTGTCTAGCTGCCTAACCACTGTCACCTACGCAATCGCCTATTTCCTCCCCATCATTCTCATGGAAGGCATGGGCTTCGGCGTCGGCGCAGCCCAATGCCTCGTCGCTCCACCCTACGTCTTCGCCGGTATCGTCATGTACGCCACCGCCTGGTTCGGTGACAAGTACCATGTCCGCGCACCCGTCCTCATTTTCAACGCCCTGCTCTGCATCATCGGACTGCCCATGATGGGATTCGCCAAGGGTGACGCTACCCGGTACGCGGGCGTGTTCTTCACCGTGGCAGGTGCCAATGCCAACATCCCTTCGTGCATGGCCTATCAGGCAAATAACGTCCGTGGACAATGGACGCGAGCATTCTCCAGTGCAACCCTCGTGGGCTTTGGTGGATTGGGCGGTATCGTTAGTAGTTTGGTGTTCCGTTCCCAGGACGCGCCGGAGTACCGGCCGGGAATGTACGCCGCGCTCGCGTAAGTGTTTCGCTCTTCATCTTATCGGGATCGCTTATCGGGCGGTCTGGATTTCCTCCCTTGGCAAGTTGGCGGTGTAGCTGTGTGATTCCGTGCTGACCATTTTTTTCCCCCTGCAGATGCAATGTGTTGATTATTCTGATTGTGTCCGTAATGAGTATTTGGTTCCGCTTCTGCAATCGACAGGCTGAACAGGGTAAACGGGTGATCGAGAGGGAGCCCAGCTTCCGGTATACCATTTAATTTGATCGAGTCGGGACGGGGCGAACGAGGCCCGCGGGGAGAAAGGAAACCCGGGGGGTTTCTGAGTGGATCACATGTCATCTATAGTTCAATGTGTCAGCTCATCACAGTAGGCAATTTCTGAAACATTCTGATTTCAACTAGCTGTCCAAATGGTCGTACTCAGTGTAGAAACATGGATCGCCTGGATGGGATCTCAACTGATCTTTGCATCGATCGGGGGCTCACCGTGGAGACGGACAGGAGAGCTCTCTCCGGCAGTGCGCGCGAAGCCGGAGGGGAATTTCCCCTCGATGTGGATCCCCCGACTTTATCGGTGGAAATCGGTGGAGAAGAAGAAGGGAGTCGACCCAGTCGAGGGCGACTTTCCCGACGGAAAACCAGCGGAAGCTCGTCCGGTCGCAGGGATGTTTGGGCTGTTTGCATCACCGATAAGCCTGGTCTAGACGGTCATTCGCCCGATAAGACCCTTATCAGCGCGTCCAAATGTTTCCCGACGACCCTTTGCTTGTCCGTTGCCCGCCCCTCGGTCAAGATGCGTCAATTGGGAATCCCGAAAAAAAAATTAAGGCTTTGCCCATGGTGTCAATAAATATATCATTTCCTTGACCCTGGCTCCTTTGATTCTCTCTTGACACACTCTCCCCTCTCCCTTCCCCCACTCCAATTGCTTCTCGGGTGCATGTGTTGAGGCTCTCTCCTTTGGCTACCGCCCCTCAACAAAGATTCCCGACGTCACTCCGTCACTTTCCCCGGTAGCTTCTCTCCAGCATGGCAGCCTCTTGGTTTGCCCTGCGTGGTGGCCGACAGCTGGCCCTGCGGTCGCGTGTGCGTGTTGGCCCTTCGCCGGTCTCGCTGCGCACCGCTTCAGTTGCTCCATTGAACATTACTCGACGCGCTCTGCACACTCCTCAGCATGCTAGTACACCTTCGCCCGCTCGCCGCGGTGTGTACACTAGCTCCGTGAACGCTCATGGTGATCCTCACCCCGAGGACATTTTCCAGCCCCTCGACACTTTCCCCCGCCGTCACATTGGCCCCTCCCCCGAGGCCGCCTCGGAGATGTTGGCCGTGCTGGACCCTCCCGCGGCCTCCCTCGACGAGTTCGTTAAGCAGGTCCTTCCCGAGGATATCCTTTCCAAGAAGAACCTCAAGGTTGCCGAGCCTCATGCCGACATCAACCTGTACCGCTCTCCGATCCAGGGTGGCCTAGGTGAGACCGACATGCTCAAGCTGCTCGACACCTACCGCAAGCAGATTGATATCTCCGGCAAGACTTACATTGGTACTGGTTACTATCCTACCATTGTCCCTCCCGTGATCCTCCGCAACGTCCTCGAGAACCCCGCCTGGTATACCAGCTATACCCCCTACCAGCCCGAGATCTCTCAGGGTCGTCTCGAGTCCCTGCTGAACTTCCAGACCCTTACTGCGGACCTGACTGGCCTGCCCTTCGCCAATGCCTCCGTTCTCGACGAGGCCACTGCTGCCGCCGAGGCCATGACCATGTCCTTTGCCACCATGCCCGTCTCTAAGCAGAAAAAGGCCGACAAGTCGTTCGTGGTCTCTCACCTCTGCCACCCCCAGACCATTGCCGTCATGCAGTCCCGTGCCGAGGGATTCGGGATCAACCTGGTGGTCGGTGATATCATGGCCAATGACTTCCAGCTGGTCAAGGATCAGGGTGACCACCTGATCGGTGTTCTGGGTCAGTACCCCGATACCGAGGGTGGTATCAACGACTTCCAGACTCTCAGTGACTCCATCCACAGCCAGGGTGGTACCTTCAGTGTTGCCACCGATCTTCTGGCTCTGACCGTCCTCAAGGCCCCCGGTGAGTTCGGTGCCGACATTGCCTTCGGTAGTGCCCAGCGTCTGGGTGTCCCCATGGGCTTCGGTGGTCCCCACGCTGCATTCTTCGCCTGTGCCGATAAGTACAAGCGCAAGGTTCCCGGTCGTGTCGTCGGTGTGTCCAAGGACCGCCTGGGTAACCGAGCCCTTCGCCTCGCCCTGCAGACCCGTGAGCAGCACATTCGCCGTGAGAAGGCGACCAGCAACATTTGCACCGCCCAGGCCCTCCTTGCCAACATGACTGCCATGTACGCCATTTATCACGGTCCCGTCGGCCTCAAGTCCATTGCCCAGCGCATCATGTCCATGACCTCTCTGCTCCGCGAGAAGCTCGTCGGTCTCGGTTACAATGTGCCTTCTCGCTCCAACGTCGAGGGCGGTGCCGTCTTCGACACTCTTTCTATTGAGCTTGCGGATGCCTCCGAGGCTGATGCCATCTACGCTGCTGCTCTCAAGGCCAACATCTTCCTGCGCCGTCTCGATGGCAACAAGGTCAGTCTCTCCTTGGACGAGACTGTCGGCCGTGACGAGGTCAAGGGAATTCTGGATGTCTTTGCCGCCTACAAGGGTGCTTCTCCCGTCGAGGTTGACGGCACTCTGGGCCTTGCTTCCGTCCCTGCCAGCCTGGAGCGCACCTCTCCCTTCATGACTCACCCCGTTTTCAACACCCACCACTCGGAGACTGAGATGCTCCGCTACATCCGCCACCTCGAGTCCAAGGACCTGTCCCTCGCCCACTCCATGATTCCCCTCGGATCCTGCACCATGAAGCTCAACGCTACCACGGAAATGATTCCCGTCTCTTGGCCCGAATTCTCCCAGATCCACCCCTTCATGCCTGCCGACAAGGCCAAGGGTTACATCCAGATGATCGATGATCTGGAGGCCCAGCTGGCTGATATCACTGGCATGGCCGAGGTCACCGTGCAGCCCAACTCGGGTGCTCAGGGTGAGTTTGCCGGTCTGCGTGTCATCAAGAAGTACCAGGAGGCCCAGGGCGATGCCAAGCGCAACGTCTGCCTGATCCCCGTCTCTGCTCACGGCACTAACCCTGCCTCGGCTGCCATGGCTGGTATGCGGGTCGTTACCATCAAGTGCGACACCAAGACCGGTAACCTTGACTTGGCCGATCTCAAGGCCAAGTGTGAGAAGCACAAGGATGAGCTCGCCGCCTTCATGATCACCTACCCCAGCACCTTTGGTGTCTTCGAGCCTGGTGCGAAGGAGGCCTGCCGTCTCGTCCACGAGTACGGTGGCCAGGTCTACATGGACGGAGCCAACATGAACGCCCAGATCGGTCTTTGCTCCCCCGGCGAGATCGGCGCCGACGTCTGCCATCTCAACCTGCACAAGACCTTCTGTATCCCCCACGGCGGTGGTGGTCCCGGTGTTGGCCCCATCGGTGTGGCCGCCCACCTGGCTCCTTTCCTGCCCTCCCACCCGACCAGCGAGTACTTGCAGACCAAGCGTGGTAGTTCCTCGTCCCCGCCCATCAGTGCCGCCCCCTGGGGTAGCGCCAGCATCCTGCCCATCACCTTCAACTACATCAACATGATGGGCGACCGCGGCCTGACCCACGCCACCAAGATCACCCTGCTGAACGCCAACTACATCCTCTCCCGCCTGAAGCCTCACTACCCGATCCTGTACACCAACGACCACGGCCGCTGCGCCCACGAGTTCATCCTCGACGTCCGCGGCTTCAAGGAGACCTGTGGTATCGAGGCTATCGATATCGCCAAGCGTCTGCAGGATTACGGCTTCCACGCTCCTACCATGTCCTGGCCCGTCGCCAACACGCTCATGATCGAGCCCACCGAGTCTGAGAACAAGGCTGAGCTGGACCGCTTCTGCGATGCCCTCATCTCTATCCGCCAGGAGATTGCCGAGGTCGAGGCTGGCAAGCAGCCCCGTGATGGCAACGTTCTGAAGAACTCCCCCCACACTCAGCGTGATCTTCTCTCGACTGAGTGGAACCGCCCTTACACCCGTGAGGCGGCCGCGTACCCGCTGCCCTTCTTGTTGGAGAAGAAGTTCTGGCCCACTGTTACTCGTGTTGATGATGGTAAGCTTTCCCTTATCGAATTCTTCCCTTGTCGTTGTTACTCATAACTAACTCGCTTCCTCTTCAGCTTTCGGCGACCAGAACCTCTTCTGCACCTGCGGCCCTGTCGACGACACTGAATAGATATATGATACCCACGTTGCGTTGTGATTAAGATTTAACTCTTTGGTCTGGTCTTGCATAGACCTTGCATTGTTTAGCTGTACGCGGATCCATTAACTGGTCCGTGTGGTGTTTCTTCTTGTGTATACATTCAACATTTTTATTGTTTTATTTTTTTTTCTGGGGGTTTCCCCTTGTTTGGGGCTATGATGATGACTTTTCGTGTTGGTAATGGCTTTTAAATGAAGAGCGGTAGAGCTGAATTGATTCAACATTATCACATCTCAATAACTGTCTCGCATTGCGTAGTTTCGCTCATGATTATCCCGACTATGCAAGAGTACTATCTCGGTCTCTTTCTCGTCCCAGGTTCAACAATTAACATCCAGTCAGTTAAGATTGATCCTATTACTTAGCAGCAGCCACCCGCAGATCTGTCACGGTACTCGTCTACTGGAACAGCTCCACGCAGTCGAATATCTACAACAATCTCCTCATTAGCAAAGCCACTCCCATTAGCTCACCAGGACAGGGCCACCACTTACAAAGTTCGGACTGAGGAACTCATCTCCCGAACTCCCCGAAATAACAGAAATAGTAATCTGCCCCGTACAAAACCAATCGTCAGCAACCTCAAGAAACCCGCAAACCAACCAGACTCGATGAAAAAGCGTACCGTATTCGTCCCAGCAACAATAGTCCCACTCGGCAGACTAACATCATAAACCTCACCGAGCCCCCTATACGCGCCCCTCGTTACGCCTCTCGAATCCAAATTCGTCGGCGCACTCGGCGCACTCCCCGTGTAACTATTCACGGTCACCTGCGGCCGTCCACCCGCGAAAGAAAGCGTCGTCCCGATGCGCAGGGTTGCGGCACCCGTTTGGGAGGACGTTGCGGTGAATTTTATTGTTAGTGGGGAGTTTACGGATTTGAAGAGCGCCATTGGGAAGGTCGATACGGAGGAGGAGCCGACGGTGTAGGTTGTGGAGGAGGTCCAGGAGGACATGCGGGCGTCGGAGGGGTGCATGCGTAGTTGGGAGGCGGCATTCAGGAAGCCCGTTGGTCTGGAGATAGGAGGAGAGGGTTAGATCAGTCTTGGTTGGGATGTTTAGGAGGTAGATGTGGATATGGGGTGTTCTTACTGTCCGTCCCATACACCGATCTTGAAGATCGTTGTGCCCGTCTTCACGGAGCCGGAGATATTTTTGGTCGTAGTTGATCCTGCGGTGACGGTTACCGAGCTGGTAGCTACGACGTACTCGCCCTGGTAGTAGACCATGGTGTATGTGCCCGGCTTCATGGCCGGGGAAGTGAAGCTCCCGCTGGAGGAAGTGTAGGTCCAGTATTGCGCAGCAGAATTGTACCTAGCCCCGATTAGAGATCGTAGACTGAATTGCTTGAGCAGGATAGACCACTCACCAGTGCACAACCCAATCTAGCGAGGAATCCGCGCCGGACGCTGTACCGGAGACGTATCCACGCCCTGAAGTCGCAACGTACCCCGTGATTCCGAGGTCTGCGAAGAAAGACGTGTCGATGTCCGTGCTTGGAGTTCCGCTGCGACTGAAATACAGCAGGTACGGACCGTGCAGGCCCTGGCGGTATGACTCGGTTTGGACGTGGCCGGAGTTCATATACCAGTATAGTCCGGTGTAGCTGCCGACGTTGTTGGTGTTGATGTCACTAGCGATGTTAGCTGTGGCCATCATTCTCCCTGATCTCAAGCTTGGATGTTGTACCGGTGGAAGGGTCCTCCTGCGGATGTCTCGTATTGATTGAGGATCATGCAGACTCGGTGCGCAGATCCAGAAACGCCTGTTGTTGTCAGTAATGGCTTCCAATGACACGATTTATGTGGACTCACAGTGTCGCTGGTCATCGATGAATCGCTCGCTGGAGTAGAACTTGCTGCGAGTTTCAGAGCCGACCAGATACACATCCGATCCCTCGATAGCCGTACCGCCGTCGATGTTGGAAACGGTTCCGAAGGGCTCTTCGTTCGGAAGAAGGTCTGCATTGAGACGGGCGATGTAGCGAAGTTCTCCGACCGAGGGTTCTTCAGCCAGTCAGTTGGGATTGTACGTCTGCGTGTATTGGGCGATACTAACCGGCGGTGGTATAAGTCGCCATGTAGATGATCGGGTCGCCACTGTGTGCCACATAATAGTGCGTCAAGGTGCTCGTCACGCAGGTAATCTTGATATAATCGCCTAGTACCATTAGCCACATCTATAATTTCTCCTATGAGTGACAGGATCACCAACCACTCTGCGTCGCGGTGACAGTAGCACTGCCCAGACCCGAGCCAATATGCGATCCTGTCGACTGATACTGCAGCTCAGAGCCATAATAGACGATGGAAGTGATGTCGCAGTTTGTCCGATCAACCGTGAACTTGAGCGAATTACTTGAGCCAGCGTCAACAACGTAGGTACCAGAGTTAGTCGTAAGTCCAAAGGCAGCCTCAACCCCCTTACCCCAAAGGGCTAGGGAAGCCACTAATAATCCCGAGAATAACATGCTGCCAAACTCTTAGCAAAGACGTGTCAATTCTTCACAAGACCCAAGCTCCACGAGCCGTCTGCCCTAATATATCAACCTCCAAAGCCCATTTCTACATTCCGAAACTGAACTGAATCATGAACGGTGGATTTTCCTACTATCCACGCTCCGTCTCTGTTTGACCGTCGAAAATCGTCCTAGTTTGAGGTCGAGTTCCACCAATCTTGGTGGAAACCCCCTACTCGCGTAATCCCGGACGTCACCTCCATTCGTCACGGCTAGTTCGCCCCGGCAATTCAGAATGCGGACTCCGGACGCCCCAAACGCGTCGACGTCAAGGAATAAAGGACTCCGCCCTGACGTGCCAAGACTCTTGTCGAGACGGGCTTGCCAAGGGTGACCCTGCAATTCCGCGTGGGGAAATGGTAGTTTCCATTAAGCCCAGCGAATAAGCAATGTGAATTACACCGTGATCGACAGCGCTTGGTTTGGGTTTGGTTAGCGTCTGAGTAAGTAACAGCCTTTCGGGATCATCGATCCTCATGATCACAGTCATTCCGATATCAGATGAGGGGAACGTCGGTTGGCTTTACAGCGAAACGCCGAAAAGTGTGTTCATGCTCGAGGATCTCCAACACTATGCCATCACTCGATTCCGAGGCGTATACGGCCCCAATGATACCAACGTCGAATGGCTTGCAATACTTGGAGTCACAACCCTTTCTTATTCCGTAGCTCGTATTCCTCGACTGAAAGAAGAGTTCGGAGCGGATCTCTCTTTGAAACGCAACACTTGCTCAAAACATCATCCCGCTACTGTATATCCGTGACACTTCAGGGGCGTAGCATATAGCCAGCAGACCCACATCCCCATCCTCGCCAAGAACTTATGCGGGGTACAGCAACACTACTGGTGGGTTAATCTGGGGCGCCGGATGCAAGAGCATTGTGGGGCTTATACTCGGCATATCTCTGTCCTTGGGCTCTGCAAGAATAATGAGAAGAGTTGTTGATTCAAGTCCATGTTCTGTCGTTGACATCGCATAATTTTTCCATCTAAATTCAGGATTGCAGCACTTAGTGTATACTATATCCCCACCATCGCTGGGAGACAAACAACATTCACTGAACTAGCATTAGCGCTGGCGAGGACAATCGCGCTCGGAGACTTCCATCAGGGAGCCGAGGTCTTTTCGATCGGTTTCTACCGCTGATGCTTTCAAGCTCTCAAAGTGGTGGCCGTCGGTTGAACATAGCAGTTGGGATTTCTAACCAGTAAGTAGCCTGAGCAATGAGGACTTGCCTGCCATACGACTTAGGAAGGCTTAATAGCATGCGATTAAGCGGACCCATCGGCTCCTCAACACATGGATGAAAGATTCGCAACAAAACCCTGATCCCCATGACAAAATATCTGGAGCTCAAATATATGCAAGCGCGTAATTGCACGGTTGCTCCCGAGGCGAATGGCCTTGGCATTTATGCGCATGGTCATGTCCCCCGTCACTTCGTCGCTTAAAAGGAGAATATTCGTCGTACGCTCTTCAATGGTGATATCCGCGTGGTTGGCAAGGCAGTCAACTTATTCTTTCGAAAATGTGTATGTCGGACTTGTGATGCGTTAATGGATTCCATGTTTGTTAAAACAGCTGTATTCTGCTACTGTAGGTCATGTAACCAGGCTTCCTAACGGACTTGTATCTCTGATATCCGTCCATCCGTTTAGGTCGTACTACGGTAATAACACATCTTCCTTTTCTGGGGGATTTGAACCGTTGTGAACTAGTGATTACAAACTCCTCTTAGTTATAATCTTGTTGGAGGAGTAAGCTTGAGCAACCCGCTTGGCAGCCGCCCTCTTGGGCGGACTAGATAGCGATGGCTAGACTCCTTTGGTGACCTCGCAGAAGTTGGGAACAGTATTCAATGCTCGTGTGCTCGAAGCACCGTCCGTTATATTTCATGGGCGGGAAGTTTGGTGGGCAGGTCCTATCGGCTGTCGACCGAATCAATATATACCTACATGTTGTCATCTGCATAAATTCATGTAAAGTGCCTACGTACCTGCTAGTACGAGTTTTCAATTTCGACGCTTGATGCTAAACCTACAAAAAGAGCTTGCCTCGCTTGTCTGCGGACTGTGCTTGCGTTTCAACGAGAGTACCACAAAGACGGAAAGTTTACCGAGTTAACTCTGCAGCTTCGCGTTGATTTCCTAATCGAGTTGCGTGGGCCCAATTCTCTGTTTGACTCTGCAACACTTGGAGCAGTTTCAACTGTACTCCCCGCTAAAAGTAAGCGTCAGGTTATACCTACCTCAAGGCGAAATCAGCAATTCGATGTATCTTGGTCGATTTTATTTCATTTCAGTGCTATCGCCTTTAATTTCCCTTGTCATTCATCAAGTGGTACTAAGTTTGATTAGTTTGCAGGGTCTCCCAGACCAGCGGTCAACATTCTTCCCGATCGAGTAACATTCCCCAACCCGTTTCCAGCCCTGCAGCCATCCTCGCGACCAGACCCAAAGCCACTCAATTGAATTCCATAGAATACCATCAAGGCTGTGAAGACGCACTTTCCTCTTTGCGAAATCTCATTCATTGTTGTTCAATTACCCCTCAGGCAGAATAATATCCACAAGAACAATATCACGCCCCACCGATTGTTCTCCATGCAGGCATCCACCTCAATCACCACCTCCCAAACGCCACAACCCAGCGATCCGTCTCACTGGCCTTGACATTCCTGAACGTTCTTCCTGGTTCCGGATCGCGATCCAAAGATTGAATCGTGCGCCACGATCTAGTCTCGCGTGGTCCCTTTTTTTAGAGCGTGTTTACTGTCTTGTTTCGGCATCGCTCATACTAATCAACACGCATCCCTCCATGAACCCGTAAACTGCAAATTACTCTGAGCGAGTGGTCTCAAATTGAAACCGAATCTCCTTGGCTTGTCGACTGATCCCCGCTGTAGCATCTACGATTTCGCGGAGCTAAGCTACGTAGTACGCAGCGTAGCCAGTCGTCACGACACAAAAGCCGCCGACGGAGTCCGGCCTCTAGTGGCGGAGTCCGGTGCAAAAGGTTAATCTTGATCCACGCCGCACGATGTAACAGCTTTAATTTGAGATTGGAAGGTAGAAACTCATGATAAACAATACGGACACTACATAGTATCGAGCATCGCTGGTGCCTAGACAGAAAACTCCAATGTGCCAAGCGGTGTTTGGGTTGCATGAGACGGATAATCCAAGTCAAGTTCAAGCCGCACGCGATCTTTGTCTCGGGTACCTTTGCCGAGTTTGCCAGTTGAGTCCACTTACAGCGCCAGATTGGCGGACACCCGCAGCAGCCTCCGCAAACAATAGTGATCGTCGTATTGTTCTTGTAGTATTCTTCTTGTAGTATTGTTCTCGGAGACGCCGCTGGCACTACCACCGAGCCTGGGACGGGGCCTTTCGATTATTATTGCATATATACCAAGGAAAAGCCATTATCGGCGATAGGGGGAGTTTTAATAGTTCCACTACAGACGCCTCTTTCTAGAATTGCATTTGCGTTTGCATTCATCGGGGTTCTGCTTTGACATTCGCTTTTCAGTGCGGCAAATATGCGATATTCTGTGGCAGGCCAGGTGGCCGTCGCCATGGCTGGGCTGTCTGGTATGGCTGCTGCTATGGGGACGGGTGCTCTGCGACGGGAGTTGAGGATGGCTGCGGAGATGGGAATCAATCCCGATCTCATGTTGAGGCAGCAGAAGTCTGCGCATACACTGGCAGAAGATCTTGAATTGGGTAGCTTGCTTGTGAAAACAGTTCTGGTAAGATTAGAAAGTATTGGATGATTGATTGGATGGAGGATGTTGACGCGGAGAACAGCTTCCAATTGACCACGGTGATCCCTCCGTTGGGACCTATGAGAATCGTTACTGGGTCAATGATCAATATTACAAGCAGGGAGGACCGGTCTTCGTGTATGACGTCGGCGAGGCCGCTGCAGAGGCTTCGGCAAAGCAGCACTTGGGCAATTCGACTTCGTTCCTCGTGGAGATGCTGGATGACTTTGGGGGCATTGGTATTGTGTGGGAGCATCGGTATGTTCTGCTTCATCTCGCGTTTGAGTGCTGTTGTTAGTACTGTTCGCTCTGCAGTGATCGCTTACCAATCTGTTCATGGTATAGATACTACGGAGAATCATTGCCCTTCAACGTCAGCATCGACACTCCGCCCGAGGACTTCAAATACCTCACGAACAAGCAAGCTTTGGCCGACATCCCATTCTTTGCTCAAAACTTCACACTCGAAGGACACGACGAGGATCTGACCCCGGCTGCTAAGCCATGGGTCATGGTGGGAGGCTCATATGCCGGCATGCGCTCTGCTTTCACTCGCGACGCCTATCCCGATACCATCTTCGCCTCATATGCATCTTCGGCTCCCGTCGAAGCTCGGGTGAATATGAGCATGTACTTTGATCAAGTCTATGACGGGATGGTGGCCAACGGGTACTCGAACTGCACCAAGGACATCCAAGCGGGACTTGAGTACATCGACGGGGAACTTTCGAAAAACGCCTCTACCGCTGCCGCGATCAAGAAGCTCTTCTTTGGTGACGGCGCAGAAAAGAACAGCAACGGCGACTTCACCGCAGCTCTGGCAGGCATCTATGGATACTTCCAGGCATACGGCCTCGGTGGTGGCGAGGCTGGCCTGGGCGCATTCTGTGAGTATCTCGAGACCGACCCGGCGACACTCCAACCAGCCGGTCCTTCCGGATTTGCACCCTTCTGGGGCAATCAGTACGTTGCCGAGCGGTTCGCCTCATGGCCCATTTTCGTCGACCTGATCAACTTCAACTACGAAACGAATTGTCAGCAAACCGACACCACCATGCCGTTGGAGTGTACACTGAACCCGAAAGCCACCGACCCGGACACGATCAGCTGGACCTGGCAATACTGCACGGAATGGGGATACTACCAAAGCAACAACTTCGGACCACACTCCCTTCTCTCCAAGTTCCAAACCCTCGAGTTCCAACAATATGTCTGTGATCGACAATTCCCCGAAGCAGTGACAAGCGGTCTTCTACCCCATTCCCCGCAAGCCGACGCGACAAACCGGCAGACCGGTGGCTGGACCATTCGCCCATCCAACGTCTACTGGAGTGGTGGCCAATTCGATCCCTGGCGCACATTGTCACCGCTAGCCACCGAGGATATCGCCCCGCAAGGCGTGACGTTTACGACGGAGATCCCCAAGTGCGGCGTGGAGCTGGGTGAGGATAGACTGTTTGGGTACATTATGGAAAACGCGGAGCATTGTTTTGATTTGATGAGCGGGTTCGGTCCGGGGAAGATCTCGCGGGGGTACTTTCACGAGGCGTTGAAATCGTGGTTGCCCTGCTTCAAGGGTACAGCTCGGTGAAGCGTGTCGGGATTGTTCCGGACTGTTCAGGCGGTCCGCTCCCGGGGGATGACGATGACCATGACGATGACGGGGGAAAGAGGAGCCCACTAAAGTGCGGTGCGCCGTTCGGTCAGGGATCGGCGTGGTGGAGACCCGTTGCTCGTCGGATTTCGTTCGTTTTGTCCATAGGATAGTCTTGCTGATTGGCTCTGGAGAGTCACAAATATGATATGTAATCTTTCTCTTTTTTCAGTTCGGGTGGTCTAAACCCTTTTTTGGTGTGCTTGCGATCCCTGGGTTGAGGAGGAGTTCGTGAACTTTCTTTCCTTCCGGGTGGTTCTCCGGGCCCTACGTCCCTGGCGATCTCACGTGCGGTCCTGCCGAGGATTTTTAAACTTCCCCGCGGTAATTCAAAATGAGTACGTCGTGTCTGGTATTTTCTTTTAGTCAACTTCGTATTCCATTGATTCATATATCTTCCATTCTTTCAACAATGCCTCCAGCCCTTCTTGCGCACTCGTTCTAGATCACCAGCGCCGACACACCACTAGAGCATCTTGCGAGATCCACGTCATATCTAATCGGAGAATTTACGGCCCCGCATTACTCACTATGCTCCTCAGCCCAGCCATCGTGCTATTCGGCGCTTTATTCGCTACCTTCCTAGTCCTGCGTTACCTCGCCCAGTTGCACCATCACCGGAAACTCGCCAAGCAGTTACACTGTCAACCCCCGGCGACCGGCAACTCAGCCTGGTTCGGCATCCCGGCCTTTCTGCGGCTGAGCAAGGCCGTCCGCGAGAAGAGATGGATTGATTACTTGTGCGATCAGTTTGATATTCATGGAACGACATTTACGCAGCGGTTTTTGTCGCGCAAGTTGCTCACCACGATTGAGCCGGAGAATGTTAAGGCCATTCTGGCGACACAATTCCAAGATTTCTGTTTGGGAACGAGGCATGAGCAGTTCTATCCGTTGCTGGGAGATGGCATTTTTACGTTGGATGGAGCCGGGTGGACTCATGCGCGAGGGTTGTTGAGGCCGCAGTTCACCAGGGATCAGGTATGCTGTACACCTTGTGAAAGGTTGGGCAACAGCTGTGGAAACTCATTCTCTAACTGTTTGACAGGTCGCCGATCTCTCCATGCTGGATGACCATATCACCCACCTGATCAACCTAATCCCCAACGACCGCAGCAGCTTCGACATCCAGCGCCTCTTCTTCCTCCTCACCCTCGACTCCGCCACTCATTTCCTTTTCGGCGAGTCCGTCGGCTGCATGTCCCCCACGACGACTGGCGTTCTTGAAAAATCCGCCGTACGCAACGCCCAAGGCTTCGCCGAAGCATTCACCACCGCACAAGACTACCTCGCCGCGCGATCACGTGCGCAGGGGTTATACTGGGTGATCAACCCCAAGGAGTTCCGCGAAGCGAATCGCCGGGTACACGAAGTCGTCGATCACTATGTGGATGTTGCGCTAGAGGCGAAGCGGAATCCGGATCGCAAGCAAGGTGATGGTCGGTATATCTTCTTAGAAGCTTTGGCAGCCCAAACGGATGACCCGAAGATGTTGCGGGATAACATGTTGAATATCTTGCTTGCTGGTCGTGATACCACGGCGAGCCTTCTGTCGTCGACCTTCTTCTATCTTGCGAGGTATCCTCAGGTATTTGCGCGACTGCGCAAAGAGATTGTCGATGCCTTTGGCGATAGTAAGGCGAATGTGGAGATTACACAGACTAAGCTCAAGGATATTCCGTATCTGCGATATGTCTTGAACGAAGGTATATCTTTACTGCTGCACTCCTGCTGTTGATGACAACTACTCACCTGTCCGTGCTAGTCCTCCGTCTTCAACCCCCGGTTCCTGTCAATTTCCGCGTCGCGACGAAAGACACGTCCCTCCCCGTTGGAGGAGGTCCGGACCGCAGATCCCCAGTGTACGTCAGAAAGGGCACACTAGTGGCCTACAACGTCTTCACTATGCACCGCCGCACCGATCTTTGGGGCAAAGATGCTCGCACCTTCCGGCCCGAGCGCTGGGAAGAGAATGCAAAGCATGGTTGGGAGTATCTGCCGTTCAACGGTGGCCCGCGTATTTGTCTTGGTCGTAAGTGCACCAATATTCTATTCATCGATGACTACGTGATGATGAAGCTATGCGGGATGCGAAAAACTTGCTGACCTTTTAACAGAGCAATACGCCCTGACCGAGGCTAGTTACACCGTCGTCAGACTTTTGCAGCACTTTGATTGCCTAGAGAATGCAGACCCAGATACCCGCCTGGAGCCGATTAAGAACTCGAATTTGACGATGATGCACGATCATGGTGTGCCTGTGAAGCTTTATGCTTCGCAGTGAGAATCCGTTGGGTTATGAGTGATGCTTTGATTTTCTTGTATATAAATGTGTGCTAAGTTTGTTGCAATTGAGAATTTGGATACCAAAGTTTCTGGGGCGAGTGACGCGCGTGGAGATACTCATACAGATCGACGGAATAAGGTGCAATTATTCTCCCGTTCTGCATGATACAATTTGGGTTCTGGAATTCGAGCCTGCCTCCCAGCAAGCCCGTCGGCCTTGACCAAGTTGATGAAGCCAGTTCATTGATATGATGGTCCAACTTGAAATAACTGATATTAAGCGAGAGCGTATAAAATTCTCAAATTTTCATATTGAGGATTATTTGACATTATTCATTGGCTCAGCACCGCGGTGCACGTTACAGGGAAGGAAATTTGATCACAACCTTGGTCTCCAAATGCTGACTGGCCCTCTCGTAAAACTGCGGAGCCTGATTCAAACCGATGATACTGCTCACAATAAAGCTAGGCTTAGCCTTGCCTTTTGATATCATCTCGATAAGTTGGGGCGCAATAAAGGCCGAGTCAATAGCACCTGATCTGACCCGAGGACCCTTTTTGAAGAGACCAGACATAGCAACCTGGAAGGTTGGCAGAAGGAATTGCCACGGCGATGTACTCGACGAGTTGGCTTGAAACTTCCCCAATCGACCAATACCACCGTCAACCTTTGTGATGGCCGTCATATTCTGCAAAACCTTATCTTCCCTCAATTGAAGCTTGTTCGCCGCTTCAATCCCAACACAATCAACACTCCGGAGAACACCATCTGGTTCCTGGCGAAGTATCTTCGCAGTCGGATCCGAGTATCTTAGGTCTATTGGCATGGCACCGAGTCCCTCGGCGATTGATAGACGCTGAAGATCGCCGTCGACGAAAAATATGCGAGTAGCACCGCGAAGTATGGCCGAATAGACGGCCATAAGTCCTATAGGGCCCGCTCCAAATATCGCGACTGAATCCCCTGGCTGATATCCGGCTAGATCGAGGGCTCCCCACCCTGTAGCGAAGATACTTGATGCGAGAAGGTAATCGATGTCAATGTTCTCGACAAGTGATTTTGAAGAGCCATTATCGACTTGTGAGGGGATGGGGAAGAGATTGTCGTTTGCGAATGGAACCCGGACGTACTCCGCTAAATAATATCAGTATTGGGAACATGTGTGAGAAGGAATTGCACCTGCGTCGTTGGTTACTTACCCTGGCAACCAGTCGTTGAGTAAAAGCCTGAGCCAAGTCCTAGTCCCAGTAACTCGGCGGTAGATAGATCTTCATCCTGATCTCCATTCAATCCTTGATCCGGAACCACAACTTTATCCCCGATTGAGAAGGAAGTCACTGAATTGCCAACTTCAACAATGATCCCGAGTGCTTCATGTCCCATGACCCATGGCACTTCTTTATCCTCGTAAGCCCCATTGTAGGTGTGAATATCAGCGCTGCAAATAGCTGACAAACTGACTTTAACAATGGCATCCGTTGAGTCAAGGATTTCCGGTATCGGCAGGGTTGACAAGTTAACTTGAAGAGGATTTCCACCCCAAGTCACTGCCTGCATAGAAGTAGCGTTTAGAAACATCATAAATCAACGATTCAATGAGAGAGATATTGAGAGATATCACACTCAGATTTCCTATCAGATATATTTTACATGGCGGCTTATATTCCGTTCCGCTCTCAAATCCAAACATTGGATTAAAAATCAGCTTGTCAACGTTTATCGAACGCCAAGCATGCGCCCAAAAATCCTGCTAACCAAGCCACCTTGTGCGAGCGGGACTTTCTTGGCAGTCATCAAACTGTGGACCATAAATGCTCTGAACATTTGATCTAGACTAGGCACCAAGTTTTCATAAGATAAAGCCAAGGCGCTTGCTTCAAGTACCTTTGAACACTGCCAGTAAAGCCGAGACAAGGGATGCCGATTAGAGCTTGGCAATGTCAGCGAGTGGCATTAGTGTCAGCGCCATTGAGCTTGGGGCCAATGATAGGGGACTTTAGGGAGTTAAGAAGATTTCTAGCCAATGAGAGAGCCAACTGGCATAGCCTTGGGGATCCACCGGTTGTCATCAACTGGGATTCTTGCTTGAACCAGATCGCTCTATCTGGTGAATAGTCTCGCGATGCCATATCTAGGTCTACTTAAATCCAAATGACGTAAGTTTCATTCAAAACCTTGATGCAATTAGCGTTTTCCACATAGTCGATTCCTTCATCCATAGCTCTTCACAACGTCCAGCTTCCAGATGACGCAGGATGTGCAAGATGAATTCCCGAGTTCAATTGATTAGGCGAAGATATTGTCTCAAAACTGTCACCAGAGGGGTATATTTACAGCCTCCACAAGTACGTGGCGGTGAGCTCTTTAACAATCAAAAGCTAAATCTTGCAGCGATATTTTGCGGAGTAATCAAAATCCTTTTGTCGGCGGGTGCCGATCTACGGCAGGCACCGCTTACCGAAGATCTTCCGGCCGGAACCCGTTCATCGGAGATAGTTACCCTTAGCCCCGCGTTTTGTGGCTTTGTGCTTCTACATTCCATAAATAGCACGCAAAAATATTGCAAGCGAGATTCAAGGAGCTTTTATATGGTTCTAATGGTAGTCGAGCCGGAAAATCGATGGCACTGTCATTTTGATTGGCCTTGTTCACACACGGTCCGCGTAGGTCAAAAACGAACTCTGAATGATAACAGAATGCTACTATGAAGCTAGCGTAAAGCTGCTGCTCGAAGATATCAGGCATTCAGAGTACGTTCCTTGCTATTGAAAGTAGAACCTGAGTACCAAGGCCCGTACTAAAGCTACACAAAATCTGGGAGCCTACTCAGCGGGGCAGTGCTCGACTGGGAAGTTCTGGAGCAAATATTTGACCAAGCGACAGGGAAAGGGCAGACCATCGTCGGAACATATGATCTAGATTCCCTAAGGATTTGGCTCCGGTGGTGGGAGCCCGCACGAGTTTGACCACACGAGGGCATCGATATAAACCCATCAGGTACCTTTAATCTGAAGTCATATTGGAAGAGATGATGAACATGTGAAGTGCGACACATCCGACGAGAATGACTGGCCAGAACAGCAGTATGCCTATTTTGAGGTAGATAGGCAGATTCCAATGTGATTTAAGTGGTGCTGTTAGAATTGAGTCTTTGATCGAGGTGTTGATCTCCCTGCAGTACGGGGTCACAAAGTTGAGGATGTCAGTGAGATCAGTGCAATGATTTGGCTTTCATTGGAGGTCGGTGGGATCGCAATTGCGAACGCTTATTTCTTCAGACAGGCGGAACGCGTTTGTTGAAGAATTTGTCGAAGGAATGAGACTTGTATATATTAGGAGACTTCCCTTTGAATTTGCAACACATAATTGGTAACTCAGAGCAACCTGCTCTTCGTCGAAGCTCAAAGCCTATGCGATGCCTCCTCCTATGTGGTTGCCTTGGTGACGCAGTTCATTACTCAAGTTCAGCTCGGGCGGCGTGACAAATTGGCGATTATGGTGGTAATTAGCGATAGAGAGAAGTGATGGCGCAATTAACCAAAATCCTTCGTGTCAACACCTCAGCATACTGCGCTTCGAACGTCAATATTCAGGGGGTATAATATCCCATTGAAAAACTATGATTCTGAGCGGTCTCCAGATTATCAACCGTCAGCTCGTACGGGACGTGCGACATGTTGGACAGCAGCAGCAACCATGTGGCATCGACCTGACCCTACGCCAAGTCTCCAAATGGACTTCATCGGCTACCATCGATTTCGATAACACCAACCGTCAGTCCGCCAAAGTCTCACGGCTGTCTTTCGATGATCACCTCCAGAAAATCACTTTACAACAAGGAGCCTATTTGGTCGATTTCAACGAAACTGTTAAAGTTCCACTGAACTGTATGGCAAGCGTGTCTGATGGGCGCGTTGATGGAAGTCAAGAATCCTCAAGGGGTTACATTATACCAAAGGGCGAAGCTTGCACAAATTGTATTTGAGGAATTGGGGGAGACAGTCGAGGGTTATAAAGGTGTTTATCAATCTTCGACAAGCAGTGTTGGACATGACGGGGCAGTGAAGCGTGAGTTTCATGGAAGATAATTGATAGCTAAAGGATCGCTGGCCTGCGTCATATTTCTGGTACTTTTGCATTACAGACACTGCGAATAGTACGCATTCTGGACCTGGCAAGTATACGGGCTGGCACAAGTCGTCGCCCCCGTCCAGCCAATACCTCCACACTGTGCCCAGTGAGATGCTGTTGCAGTAGCAGTAGACCCAGTGCTGGTGGTGCTTGTCGTGGTGCTTGTCGATTTCGTGGCGCTTGTAGTGGTACTTATTGATTTTGTGGTGGATACTGTAGTGCTTGTCGATGTAGAGCGGGTGGTAGTGGAAGTAGTTGTGGTTGTGGAACTTCCCGAGCTGGAGGGGAAGTAGGCAGACAGGATGTTGAGATAGTAAGAATAAGCAGTGCCCGAGGGCGGCTCAATCGAATATATATAGGTTCCCCACCATGGTCCTGCGGCCCACCAGGATGCTCCGAGCCAGACGTCACTATTCGCTTGCATATAGTCCAGCATTCCAGTCACGGCGCTCTGACAGACCGAGTTAGCACCGCCCGCAAATTCGCCCAAGAATCCAAGTTTGCCATTGCTTTTCAGCCACTCGGTCGCCGATTGTACACGCTCCTGGCCGATGGTCGAGCTGACACATGTGTCAGATGTGCCCGATCCATCCGAGTCAAGATACTGGTGCATCTCGTAGACTATTTTGTTGTTGGGGTCCGTCAAGCTGACGAGATTGGTATTGACCGACGTCCACGTCCAGGCACCACTCCAGGAATTCCCTTCCACAAAGATATACTGAGAGGTGGCTCCGGCGGCCCGGATGGCATTAATGGCCGCCTGATTGAGGTTAAGTACAAGCGTTTGGTCCTCTGTGTTGAATTCGTTGTCTGCAGATGTCAGTTAGCGGGGGAACAAAGTTTGTGAAGTATTGATGCTCACTGGTGTCGAAGATGACCTTGTCGTTCGATGCAAATTGTTTTGCGACGGTGGTCCAAAATGCAGCAAAATCACTTGTGGAGTTGATTATATTGCCATAGCTAATACACCCGTGAGGATATTTTTCATATAATTAGATTAAAGAATGAACTTACTATCGTCCAAAGTTATGGGGATCCACAATAGCATATGCGCCGGTCGACGTGATGTAGTCAACTGTCTGGAGATCGTTTAGCACGGGTTGCATTGTTGACAAGGATAACGTACACTCTTCAGGTCTTGCAGATACTTCGAATTCGGAGTTGAGGTCAATGTGGTGGGAACCAATCGCTCCATCATAAATGGCACCCGAAAGATGTTCATACCCGCGTTGCGTAGCGTTTGAATGGCTGAAGTGTCGGGCCAAATGTAGTCCGTTCCCAAAACACCCGGAATGTTCTGATTGCCAAACTCCGCCCCAGACTCGCTGGTACCAAACCCTAAAAATTCAGGTCAGTTTCAGCTCTTTTTCTTATGGGCTCTCCACATACAAACAAAAGAAGAGGCTCGCTTGGAGAAGCCTTGAGGCCCAGCAAGAGCCAGGGCAGCGCTGGTTGCCAGGAGCAGAGGGTATTTCATGGTCTCAAATGTTGGGTTTAGATGCCTGGAAGCTTGAGATATTGGCTTTCTTGGACTTCGTGGTTCCAAAGTAATTTATAGTAAATTCCACCTTTGATCCCGTCGACGATGCCTCTTTCCTCCACGGTGATCTAGCCGTAGTGGTCTTTTTCCACTGCAGAAAGCTATTTACCATTCGGCAATGCTGCAGGATCTCATATTCGAAAAAAGGTTTCTCGGACCGTCTACCGATTTTACAGACTCTTTTTCATAGGACACTCGAGAAAAAAAATCACTGATACCAAGACAGAATAGGTCGTGCATATTGGCAATTACTAGATTGGACACGGCACAAGGAAATCTGGGGTAAGGCTAAATATCGGAAATGAGCAAGGGAGCACACAAGATGTTACGAACATATGAGAAAGACATGAAACGCGGAGAATAGATAATATGGAGACGTTCCCGGACCCAAACAGGTAATTCTGCTCCAGTGGGAGCTTGTGATCAAACATGTCCAGGGAAACACTTGTTCCCCGGCCTGCTGCAAAATTAGCGGGACTTCCGTCTACTCATGAACGAGAACCGAATTCAAGTTAGGTGTGACCAGCATCCATTTGGCGAGACTACCCCGGCTGTTAGATTCTGGAGGGGGTTTCTGGTAAGTACTGGTAGATAGCTAGCGGTAAGAGAGCCCAACCTGCGAGTGGCATCGCACTGGCTGAGATGTGGTTTTGTTGTTAGCATTTGAGATTCATCCTGGCCATTTCAGATGCGTCATTCTGCAACCCCGCATAAGCAATTTCCACCCTTCAAGTAATTAGAATGCCAAGGTGTGGCGCTGGAAATGTACGGAATCAACACACGGTAGAAACGCTGAGAAGGGGCTTGCGTAGTCGGAGCGCCCTCCGCATGGCGCCGCCCTGCATGTTGCAGAAATGTGACGGACATGACTGCCACCGGCTATGGAAAATTGAACAATTGGCACACACTGATTGGTTAGTCCAAAATTATAGATCAAGAGAACCAAACGCCTTCTTATAGCACTCTTTCTCGCTTCCACAACACCCATTCTAGATGCAACCTCTCGTAGACTACATAACACTTAAACCTGCTTTTTTTTCTTCTTGCCTAGTGACAGTCACAATGATAACATAAAAGCCCCGGAGAAATCAAAGCGAAACCTGTAAACTCGGTGTCTCCGCAAATTCGGCCATTTATCGTGTTCATGCATCTCATTTTGCATGCTTGCCATAATTTTTAGCCTAACCCGTTCACGCACCGGGCATGGTAAGGAAACCCAAACAAATTGCGACAAACTGATCGATCATGGGTTTTCTTCGAATACTGCTAGATTTGTGCAACAAAAAACTGTAACGCTAGGACCTTCTGCAGCGGGTTTGCCCTGCACCGTATCACACATGCGATCGCGGATATATATCTATCCTCTTTTGCACTACTTCAGGAAATTTGTCTGTTTGTCGCCCAACACCAACCATCTATGTAGCGCCACTGTCCCAAACATTGATTGTTGATATCTATTCTAGAATCTTCAACTTAAGGCCGTTGAATGGCTCAAAGCATCCAACTTGATCCGTCGCAGTTCTGCTGCGTTGAGCAACTCCATGAAAATCCAACGGCAAAGTCTACCCTCCTAATGCAGAATCGGTCGCGCTGGAAATAGGTCTTTCATCTGGATTGTCGTAGCAATCCATACCATAACAATGGAGCTCAATTTCCACGTATCACTGTTTCCCGCTGAGAGGATGTTGGAGCTCCGACTCCCGGTCCTGCATGATAGCAGCTTCTACTTCATCGACTCTGAATAGATCACTTGATCATCTATGGGTCTACGAGAAGGTAAGGAAGGCAATTTTAGAATGGCAATTCGAAAGCGGTCAAGACTCTGAGCAACTCAGAGGGAATTTGTTGGCTTTTAATCATGCCGTGGATATTATTTGGTGGCACGCTCCGACCGGGAGGTACACCATCTCCGTGGTCTTGGCGCTTTGAAGGATCCAGATTTGGGTTGTGTAGGATGACCGGCTAAGCCTATTTGAGAAACAGAAACACTCACAAGCAACAATTTGTCGGTAGAATACGAACGCCTCGCAATAAATAGCCGCGCCATCATGCCATGACCTAAGCCCTTACGCATGCATTATTATTTTAATAAGACCCAGTCCCACCTCGACATATAAGAGAGTCGGCCTTTCCGCTTGCTGTTCGGAAATGAAGGAGCGGAGAAGTTCCTTTCGAATCCCCTATCTGCTGGACCACATCTAAAGGCATAATAAGATTATCCTGAGTCACAATGGTCGCTACAGCTAGGTCAGTACCACTGCCAATTCCTGCAAGCAAAGTCTTACGCTTACTCCCACATAGCGAAACTGTTGCTCTCACTGCTGAGATTCGACTCTGGCGCCAATCCGGCCCCAAGTGATTCATTAGCCAACCCGATCGCGCACTTTGCCGGGTGTAGTTGCCAATGAATCAAAATGTACTCGACGGCAGATTGGAGTGGGGCTCACTTTTATTCCATCAATTGGAATCGGGCAGTACGCACATTCTCGGGCCGGACTCGCCAGCGCTCCGTTCCGTTCTTAGCGAGCTGGCACTCTACATAATGATCAACGTGGGGCGGAGAAATGGGCCCGAAAATCTCCCTCCTACTGAACACACGGGCTCTATTCCGTGAGGGTCCTCCAACGCTAAGAAGCTCCCCATTCGGACATGACAGACTTTCTTTTCATCGACTATCAAAATGACAGCCGGCAGAACCGTTCACTTAAGAAGCAAAAATACGGCTTTGTGCAACGCACGAGTCATCGCAAACAGCGCCTCGTAGCGATAGGGAGGCTAAAATCGTCGACGCTTGTCCTTCGCCAACGCCTTCCCTTGCCATATATCCCCTCTGAAATAGAGAGGACCGAGCCAGGTAGAGCTGAGAAGATCGAACAAGATGGTTCAGAATCAAGTGCAGCTACAGCTGGAACAGATACTCAACAGTTCAAGCAGATCATCCCGGTGGCAGGGATCGGGTCTCCTAAAACACTGCTGGGTGATGGTTTCATAGACCCCTTTTCCTCAAGCGCATTTCCAATGACTGAATTTATGAACTCTTTCTTCCATCAATGTCCGTGCACCACTTATCTCTCACTGAATAACTGTTCTGAAAGTGCCGTCTAATACAGAATAGTACGACACTTCACCATTCCCGGCTCGTATCCCCTCGACAAATCACGCATGAGTGTATGGTGGTGGCAGCAGGGACTTTCGCAGCCAGTAATTCAATTAGCACTACTTGTCTCGGCTGCAGGCCACCAGAACGCAATGAACTCTCTTAATAATACCGCTTCTGGACATTTACAACAATCAGTTAGAGAGCATCTCCGCCTTCAAGGAAACATGATCGGGATGTTGAATGGCCTTCTTCGGGACACAGCCGCGGCCAAGTCTACTGTCCTAATTGTCGGGTCGCTCAGGGCAATTGAGGTACTTTCTTTCTGATGAAAATACCCGGGCACACAGATTTTCATTCCCGTCCACCTCGAGATTTCTAACTTCTAACAATGCTATAGGCAATCCAAGGCAATGTCGAAGCGGTTGTGGCACATACAAAAGGCCTCGAAGTTTTGATTCAGCTCAATGGTGGCCTTGAAGCGATGGACCACATGATCCTGTCCAAACTATACCAGTAAGCCTCGTACCTTGTTGGCTCTCTGTTAATTTTCCTTCAGTCTGACAATTTCCTTCTTTCATCCAGTGGTGATATTATGAGAGCAGCTCTGACAAACACGCCACCGACCCTACCCCTGACAGCGACCTGGCGCAGCGAGATTCGACAAGAAACGGAGGTCTTCTATTCAACACGTAATTTCATGACGTACTTGGACGAGAGATACAGAAAGACCGCATTTCAATTATATGTCCTCGGAACTTCATTCTTCGCGGCGCCCTGGTATGAGGGCCTAGAAGATAGTATGAAGAATTTTCTTCACTTGTCCCAGCGATCGATTCAATACTACGAGGTTGCATGCCTGCGGCCCTCAATCATTTTGCCCACAGATAACGACCTTTTCGTGCTTCTTGAATACCAGCTTATCTCTATTCGCTACCCACAAAAACCAGCTGCTTCGTGTACGATCTCAACTCTTTTGCACGAGCCCCTCCGCCTCACCCTCTTTATTTATCTGAACATGTGTGTTTGGCGTTTCCAGGTCTTCCCAGTCATGCAGTATATGGTCAATCCTTTACTGCAAAGCCTGAGCTCCACCGCACCCGTTCCGACCCTGGAACGAATCAAACAAGGTGCCCCTGACGTACTCTTTTGGATACTGTTCATGGGTGGCATGGCATCACGGGGGCATGAGGGGCATTCCTGGTTTGTCGCGCAATTGGTTGAATTGACTTTGGACTTGGGTATCCGTGATTGGTTTGGGGCGCGGGAAATATTGGGCGGATTTCTCTTTTCAGACCAACCTGGTCAATTGGGAGGTGAGGAGCTTTGGGAACAGGTGATTCGGCCTGAGCAGTTGAGGCTACTAAGTACGAGTGATACTGAATGCGGTCTACGATCTTGTCAGTATCAAACACATTAGACATGCTGGGTCCCGTGCGGTATTTGTGGTGTTTTACGTTGAATATGCCTATCATCAGCCAGGCTGGCGGACTTGATGTCTACGATTGTCCAATTCCACGTTCAATGGCAAACATTCCATAGATTAGGGAAATGAGCTTCCTCAAGTTGCAAACAAAACCATCCTTTAGTTTAGGTCAAGCCACTGTAGACTAATTCTAGCGATCTTACCGCCATGAAGAGCCAAGCACCTTTTTAAGCGGTTATATTCCAGTGTACGGACCAAGATAGCACATACGACCATGGGGTCTGGAGAACAGGGCTGCCAGTCCATAAATATACCTAGCGAATATGGAGAATGGGCTGCTCCTTTCTGTCCTTGACTTCCAATATTTCGAGAATACTCCCAGAGAACATCCAATGAATTATTCATTCTGCGTCATTTGGTTTCACCTATAAGCATCAAAATGAATGGGAAAACAAAGTAACTCAACATATGTCAGAGAGCCGGCTCTGGCTACTTTATGTAAGTAAATACGAAGAGTCTACCCTTGATAAAAAAAGATATTAAATTGATTCCGAGGTGGGAATAACTTAGTATGTATAACATCAGGAACTTGGTGAACGATCATCAAGGATCTAGGACGTATTGAAGTCGTACGTAGTCTACTGTCTAAATATGCGATCCTGTGAATTCGCTGAAGGTCAACCTGATAGATCTAATCATATCTACAGAAGAGCGGTAGCTACAATTTCTTTAAATAGCCTAGGGGCTATGTGTTTCGTAAGTAGTGTTGAGAAAGGTACGTCGTAGGGCTTTGCGGCTGTGACGGGATTTTATATAGCTGTCTCTTGTAGCCAAATGGGCCGATCCCACTCTCGGTTGGCCAATTTCTGCGAGGTCAGTGCGGATGGGTGGAGGGGTATGTAATTCAATTAGGTAGAGCGGGGGGAATGTGCGTTTTTGAATGAGGTGTCTAGATCGGCCGGCAATCACGTTGGTAGTACCCACGAAGTTTGGCACGGCGACGTCTCTCGCTTTGGTGGCGGTCGCTGACGTTACCACTTGCCGCCACAATTATTGTTCGTTGGCTACAAGCATTAACCGCCAATCAGAGTGCCCTGAGCGTAATTACGGCCATGACAGTCATATACCTGTCAACCCTGTGTCGAATAGGCTCTCTGGATTTCTTGTATTTAATGGATTCAATATATTTTGTGTGGAAAACCCACCCCAGTCCCCTCCATCGGCATCTGATCTCACTTACCAGAATGACTTCATAGCTTCACTGGACACACAAAGACAATACTGATCATTTTCCTTTAGCCTTACAAACTCCTAATTTTTGCTTTGTACTCTCAGGTCAATGGATGAGGCATACACCCAGGATGAGCGCCAGCCGGCAGTCGAGGCCTGGATTGTTGGAAGTGGAACTGCGTCTCTGGCATCGGCAGTATATCTGGTGCAACGTGCCAAGTTGCTACCGCACAACGTGCACATATTGGACTCACATATCTCTATGGGTGCAACTTTACATCATAATGGTGACTCTGTTCATGGATATGATCAATTTGCAGGATGCTTGCCAGTCCCAGCAGGGTCACCTCTAGAGGAGCTTCTTGCGTCCATTCCCTCCGAACAATCTCATGGATGCACAGTGCTGGACGAAATCAAAAAACAGGAAGCCTGTTATAAGCCTGCGGACCACCGTTGGGGAACCAGATTTCTCATTCAAAATTCCGACAACAGAGAAATGATATCTCTGAATGGCCTAGGCTTAAGTGCCAAGTGCCGTATACGATTAGCTCTCTTGCTGCTGAGAAGTGAGAAAAGCCTGAAACGGATTCGAATTAAGGATTTCATGCCCAGTAGCTTTTTTCAAAGTTCCTTTTGGGTTGTATGGACCGCTCAGTAAGTGAACTGCAGGTGTATTACGCTGGACTGATGCTGAACGCTCAATTGCTAGATTTGGTTTCCAACCCTGGCATAGTGCTCTCGAATTTAGACGAGCTTTACGACAATATCTGCGAAATTTTCATCATTTGAGCATACTAAATTGCCTAGATATAACTGGATACTATCAGTATGAGTCGATTTATCTGCCTATATTTCTTTATCTTCGAAATTTGGGCGTTGATTTTCACTTCGATACGAAAGTCACGAATATCGAAACCACTACTCAAAACGGTCGACAAAGGATCTCAAATTTGAGTCTCCTTGAAAATGGGTTTCGTATCACAAAGAAAATCGGTACACATGACCTTGTCATCCTGATGTTGGGGTCCACTGTGTCTGGTTCAGTAACCGGCTCAAATGATTACCCTCCTTCGCCTAGATCAATTGAGCTCAACGAAGAGTATGATGAAAATTGGACCATATGGTTGGAGCTTGGAACTCATGATCATGAATTCGGCAATCCCTATAACTTTTGCACTCGCGTGGATGATTCAACCATAGCTTCCTTCACAGTCACTACCGGAGATCCATATCTCTGGGACTTTTTAGCTTCAATTTCGACTCATGCAGAAGCGGGAACATATATTTCTTTGCCAAACAGCCGCTGGAAACTGAGTTTATGCGTACCTACGCAACCTGTCTTCAGCCAACAGCCCGAAAACGTCCACGTGCTCTGGGGGTTTGCCCTGTTCCCTAAAACTAAGGGTAACTACATCCAAAAACCGATGGAGATGTGTTCCGGTGCCGAAATTCTGACAGAAGTCCTTCGGCATCTCAAATACCCGTCTTTGGCCCATCATACCTTGACAATTCCTCGTCTCATGCCGCGGATGAGCTCTATGTTACTGGTCCGTTCTCTGACCGACCGCCCTGAGGTGATACCACCAAACTCTTCGAATATTGGTTTAGTGGGCCAGTTCGTAGAAATACCCTGGTATAGCTGCGTGGACATAAGCTATGGAATTCGCTCTGCTCAGGTCGCTACGGCACATCTGACGGGTACTTCTTTGCCAGACGACGAACATGGTCATTGGGGCTCCACAGCCATGAGTCTACTGAGAGTTTTGTTCTGGAAATAAACCGAATTTCATTGTCGTTTACTTCTTTTTTTACCAATGCAAGCCGCTGATTTCCAGACATCCATGGTTTAAAAAGATCAGAGTTGATCCACATTTCTGTTCAGCGAGCTGCAAGGTAGCATGAGACGAGTGATTCAGCTATAAGAGGAGCGATGGTGTATACAAAGTAATAATAAGTATTGTTTAATGGATTTTTCTGTAGTCGTGGTGTCCGAAGTTTGTTTCCCGTGATTGTCCGGGATTGAGCTCTCGGCAGGCCATTCCTTAGAAGAAACCACTGGAGACACTATGAGGATCAAAGCTTGTGCCGGCGGGGCCGGAATCACCCAACGGAGAATATATAGTGATTCTACCTATAACAGCTAGAGTAACTCTGCGCTATCCGTACCCACTCACAGTAACCAGTAGGTAACGCGTAATAATGGCCTCTAGGGGTCTTGCCACTGTCTCATATTCTTAGGAATCTGACAGCCGCCGAATCGCGTCTTTCTAAATCTCATAGGGTATATCAGAAAGAGGCTTTTTGAGGTGATAGGTACGCAGTTTCAGTAAGGATATCTAAGATTCGAACTTTATCGTCTCTGGTAGGGCTCCTTTAGGCGACCAGAGCGATGCTTTAAAAGACCTTTTCGAGGCTCAGGTTTTTTTTTAGAGTAAGTCGCATTATTAAGAGGATGTTCGAGGGAAGCGCGCCTGAAAACGCTCTTAACTAACCCTGGTCAATAGCGTAAAGCTCACGAATATGCTCTAAAGCTCCAGGGTTGGTTCTCTGAAACAAGTAATCATAATTAGTGGTAAATTTTATCGTTGAGATAGCTAAGTATGAGGTATAATAGGTTGAATATACGAGCAATTCGAAACACTAGGGCGTTATATGCGAGGGTAGGTCTGTTGGTACCATACACATCCCGCTAATTGACTGTTGACCAACAACACGCTCAGCGTCAATCTTATCCTCTCGTTCCGCGAGCATCCCTCTAGTAACCGATAAATTTCCTCTCTTTTCGCTTCCGAATAGAATTGGGCCAGACTCGTCTATATTCAATCAATAATAGTGCCCTCAAAGCGCTTGATTAGGTCACATTGGGAATGGTTACTTATAGATACTGTAAGGTTTGTATCATCGAGTCTCGCCCGCCGTTTTGGGCGATCTTCCTTCGTAGAAATCTTCCTCCGTAGAACATTTCCAGCGGTCTCTTTTATCAGTTCCTAGTAAGTTTCTTGTCAGAACTTCCTATCCAAGCGCAGGCGAGAGAGGGTCAGTGTAGTAGTTGCGCGATGGAGGGTGACTCCCACCCGTTCCCACCCAGATTCTCACCCTATCCGTTACGCACTCACCCCATCTCACTAAAGTAGCATTCTATGTATTGTAAATAGAAGTTCCAGAGGATATGTGTTCTTTTTAGCCAATTCTCAGCACATACGACCATAGGGTGTGGAAAACAGGGCTTCCCGTCCGCTCAGCCGTACTTAAGCCACACGCCGGCCAGTTAGTAGTATGGTGGGTGACCACATGCGAATCCTGTCTGTTGTATGTTTTTATTTTTGATCATTTCCATTTGAGTCGGGATTGCTCTTGCTGCTTTATCTTCAGCCCCTGAAAGCCCTTGAAGCGATAACGCGGCCCCTCTGCTATACTTTCTATCCTCCCTCTCCCCGCTCCTGCTTGATCCTTGACGACTTGAAATGACTTTAAAAAACCGATCCTGGAACAAAAGCTCACCGTAATCGTCAAGTCTGGCGTTGGTGACGCTTCTTTGAGGATGTAGTGGATATTATGACTAAAAAGGAGATATAGGAATGAATGGCTCGCTTCCATGTAAATAACCATACTAGATGGGCTCTCCTAATGCCGCACGAATAACAGATGCTTATTCAAAAGCAATAGCCAGCAAAAGCAACAAGTCCGGGAGAGCCACTTGTAAAGGGCGGAAAATAACTTCTTCACCATTGAAATGAAGGAGTACAACGCCGATAATGAAGAAATGGGAGAAGCAGCAGAAAAGGGCGCAAGTTTCATCAGACGATAAGTAATTTGATATCCTATTCGGCGTGAACCCTTGCAATGCGAGAAGACTTGCAATGCAGCGAATTGTGTGTTTTGATGCAAAAACTAACATTCTCTATCTATAGTGTCTGCCCGCGAGAAGCGCAAAGAGGATAAGTAAAGGGAAAGACAAGGTTGCTGGCAAAACTTCGCAACCCTCTACTTCGAAATCCGACAAGGGCAAGGAACCCTTCGTGCGGGTGCGGAACAAGCGAAGCCCCGCATATCCTGGGTTGTAATCGACTCGGTTTCCGTGGCGAGTGACCAAGCTGCTGGAAGAGAAGCCTGATCGCCCCCGTCACCGTGTCCTACCTGAGGCATCGGGAGACTGTACGGCTACGACTGGAGAATACCCTGCGGGCGACCGGATCATCTTCTACCTCCCTCCCTCCGGTTCAAAACCGGCCGTTCCCGGCCCTGCGGACCCTCTGGCGCCATTGACAGCTGCGCTGACAGCCAAACCAAACAGTGGGGGTGATTAGAGGAGATGAGGGTCTGTGGGCGTTCGCATGTTGTTTCTTCCTTCCTGTTACTCCCACCTGCCCTGGACCCGGCCAGGATGGGGCATTCGCTTTGTCATTTTCGTCCACTGCAGGCCGTCCCCCTGCTGCTTATGTGCATTATGGTTGCCTTCCTCGACCCTGTCAAGATTTGCGACGATGTCCTTCGTGGACACGATTTTGATTTCTTCCTGTTCTGTTCATTATTATACAGGCATTATTAATGGGTGGTATCAATGGCATCGAAGACACGACAGAAAAGTTCACGGAACGACAAGGCTGTTCCTAACGAGGAACGCCCCCCTTTCCATACAAAATGCTACAGTCGAGATTTACAAAATACCTGCTCAGTCCTGATTCGTATTAACGCTTCTTACTAATATTCCCAACGACTGTATACGTAGCCTCTATTTATTATCCTCATTATAGACTAGGTCATCTTTCTACTCCCCTTCTTTAGTGCCCCCTTCCTCTCTCTACCATCACCCTTTTCCTTAAAGGTTTTGCAAGGTCTTTTGCAAGGTCTGCAAGGTCTTTGGAATATCCATATCGTAGTATCTCCAGAATAAACCAGGTACTTATGTACTTCTACAAACTTAACGGAAACCTTTCTCAGCATGGTATGTTCTTAGTCCCCTGGTAACCTGGTAGGCACCCAGGCACATGATCTGATCTGGATTGAGGAATACCATCAACAGCTTGAGGGGATTGATAGGGGCTTCATGGAAAACACCAAGCAGAGAAGGGAAGATTGAAAGAAGTTATTAGTATATCAGGTAATGTTTTCATGTCTTAGTTGAACATCTCTCTTTGAGTGATCTCCGGCGAGCAGTTGCGTCCAAAGCCCGGGGTATCGCGGCTTTGAAGGACAATGCGTTTCGGAAAGTGAGCAACAACTCAGGGCTCGAGATACAGACACTGATGACGTCTTTGTTGACCCAAAAGATGAAGCCAACCATAAGGCCACGCTCCATACCATCAATGCTCTAGAAACACAGCACCAGTTCTTCCAAAGCTACATACAGTGCCACACGTAACTTCTCGGTTCTGTATTTGCTGGTAACGGCTATTGGCGTACACGGGCACGATAGGATCGACGTAAGAACCCAACAATTGCTGGCTGGGCATTGATTGAGATCACAAAAGAGCGATTCGGAAAAATTATAGCAAGTTTATTTCCGTATTTTTCGATTACTGTAGCCTGGAGGTCTCGTTCGGTTCTCCTGCTTCTATAGTTAATTCAAACTCGTCGTGGAGCAGCTCAGTCTCTATCTCATCACATGCTGCCAGAGCCACTGGATTCCTGACATTTGCCGAGTCAGGCAATATAATAAGTGGTTTATAGGACGCCTCTAGCCCCAGTAGTTCACCGAAAGACTTAAAAGTACTCGGGATCTGTACGTGATCTCACCGGGGATTTCTAAACTTGTGGCTTAAAATAACCCAAGAATTGGTTCAGGGAGGTGGCTTACGATCCTTTCATTACGCCCCAATCATAATTTTGTCCGGAACAGACTAGTCCTCTGCCTTGTTCTGTTGCAACTGAAGTTTTGACCGAAAGCCACTCCTTCGATCCCGATGTGAGTATAGCCGCAGGAAATACCCTGACATCTCCCTTAAGCCAAGTCAGCCTGTCGAACCGGTGGGAGTACTTGCACTCTTTTATTTTAAGTCTCCGTTAATTGCACTTGTCAGAACCAAGAGCACAATTACCCTTCGGCTCACACAGGAGTTTCTATCCGTCCTGTTGTTGCATCAAGGATCCATCTACCGGGGCGCGGGGGATCTTACGCTAGACATGAATTCTCCGAGAAAGCCCCGATAAACTCTGGGCTCTACAAGCCCTCATACATTAGTGTTTGCACCGTCCAATCTCTCGACCGTACGGAGCAGCCTTGGCCGGCAGTGGCGAGGAAGAGTAACCAACCATATCCCTGGACAGTTTAACAACCAAGTTGGCTGCACGGCCCGTGTGTCGTTGCTTTTGCGCCCGACTCGGACGGCCAAGGGTCCTACTGTCCTACTGTATGACAGTAGGGCCAGCAAACTTTAAAAATGTCGCAACCCGGGAGCCGGGCCTCCTTTCGGCCCTGGGCATGTCTCCGACGGCCTATAACGATTAGCACACCGAGTAGCTCTCCCGAGGTCCTTCCGAGATCAAACCGAGCCGACCGCGGAGCGACTCCACCTCTCCGCAATCGACCAAAAATTGTTGTTGTACTGTAGCACACACCTCTCCCCGCAGAGATCGCACCCCAGACATGCTTGTCGAAGGGCTGTCTAGACCACGCAAATGAATTCTGTTGGTATGGGGGCGAATTGTTGAGAGCTGGGGTCCCCGCGTTGCTGATCGTCGAACTATAAATGTCAGGTTGCATCCCCCGATATTTTTCTCCAGATTCCACATCCTCTATCTCTATTCTACACCAGTGATAATTCAAACTTGATTGTTTCCCCAAGATCCCGTTCTTGTTGTTAATCTCTATTCCTTCCAAACATGGGCATCCTGCTCAAGCAGCCCGAGGGCACTGCAGGAAAGGCATGGCCTGCCATTCTGATCAGTGGCTTCGTCGCTTTCGGTGGTATTCTATTCGGGTACGTTTATTACACCTCAACATCCCTCAAAGCATGGTCTGATGACTCGTACAGCTACGATACAGGCACAATCAGTGGAATTCTGGCCATGCCATACTGGGATAGGACATTCTCAACCGGCTACACAGACTCTGATGGTAACCTTACCATCACCTCCAGTCAGTCTTCAGCCATTGTATCCATTCTATCCGCGGGTACCTTCTTCGGCGCCCTCGGTGCTGCCCCAATGGGAGATGTCATTGGTCGTCGCTGGGGATTGATTGCCTCGACTGGTGTCTTTACCCTTGGAGTTGCTTTCCAGACTGCTGCGACTGCCATTCCTCTTTTCCTGGCGGGTCGTTTCTTTGCTGGCTTTGGTGTTGGTTTGATTTCGGCGCTGAGTGAGTACCTTCTCTGTCTTACTGCATCGAAGTTCTCGTTGCTAACGAGAGTGTTCGTTGAACAGTCCCCCTTTACCAATCCGAGACTGCCCCGAAATGGATTCGTGGTTTCATTGTCGGTTCGTACCAATTCGCCATCACAGTCGGTCTTTTGCTAGCCGCTGTCGTGAACAATGGCACCCATAATCGTAACGATACCGGCTCCTACCGCATCCCCATCGCGGTCCAATTTGCCTGGGCCATCATCCTCGTTGTCGGCATGCTCATCCTTCCCGAAACACCCCGCTACTTGATCAAGAGAGATAATCACGAAGGAGCCGCGAGGAGCTTATCCAAACTCAGACGTCTTCCTCGAGATGACCCCGCGCTGCTTGCGGAACTTGCCGAGATCCAGGCAAACCATGAGTACGAGATGAGCATCGGAAGCGCGGGTTACGTGGAGTGTTTCAAGGGTAGCCTTGGAAAGCGACTTCTTACTGGCTGTCTCCTGCAGGCCCTCCAGCAGTTGACCGGTATCAACTTCATTTTCTACTATGGCACTCAGTTCTTCAAGAACTCTGGGTTCAAGAATGAGTTTGTCATCAGTCTAATTACTAGCTGTGTTAATGTCGGCTCCACTATCCCCGGCCTTTACGCTATTGACAAGTGGGGAAGACGTCCAGTTCTGCTTGCCGGAGCCATCGGCATGACCATCTCTCAGCTCCTCGTTGCCGTTCTTGGTACGACCACTACCAGCCAAGATGCCTTGGGAAATATTATCGTCCACAACGAGGCTGCTCAGAAGGCTGCAATCGCGTTCATTTGTATCTACATTTTCTTCTTCGCAGCCTCTTGGGGACCCATCGCCTGGTACGTTCATTTTGCTCTTCTCATGATTCAACCCCATTTATATCTATTCAAACTAACAAAATTCCAGGGTTGTGACCGGCGAGATTTTCCCTCTCAAAGTACGAGCTAAGTCTCTGTCAATGACCACCGCTACCAACTGGCTCCTTAACTGGGCTCTGAGCTTCGCCACCCCCTACCTGGTCAACTATGGGCCTGGAAACGCGAACCTGCAATCCAAGATCTTCTTCATTTGGTTCGGCTGCTGCTTCCTCTGCATTACTTTTGTTTACACCATGATCTACGAGACCAAGGGCTTGACATTGGAGGAGGTCGATGAGCTCTACAATGAGGTCAGCTCTGCCAGGAAGAGTATTGGCTGGAAGCCAACCATTACCTGGACTGAGAAGAAGGAGATTTCACATGCTCTTGGGGAGAAGGGCCCAGTTGAGGAGCACAGGGAGTTCCAGGGGCAGACCCCTGCGCATGTTTAGAGGACTGAATTTTTCTCTGGCTGCGAATTGTTGGTGGTGAACGAGTGTCTTACTGCGTCCAGCTGAATGGAGTGGTTTCGATGTAATTATTAAGCTTATTTATAGCTTGGTCTGATCCAGACTTCACTTTCGAGAAGCCTAGGTTAATGGATATATCAGATCGTCTTTCAAAGGATCCAAGTTTTGCTAAAATTGAGAGGCGGAAGAATGGGTATTACCTCCAGCAATTTGTATGGCGCCGTAGGATATATCGGTCCCATCGCAGTCAAAATGATGCGGCTATTCGAGCAGCTCGCATGCGCCGTGCCCGTTTAGCTTCCCATGACAATACCCGGCTATCTTTCCGAGAGTAGAGTATGCCCAGATCAAATGAATGGACATGGGCACCAGCTTTGCCTCAAGCGCCTTTTCTTGAGTTGCAAGTGGCCAAGAGGCGGACGATGAAATAGATGACAACAATTATACAACGTGCATGTCACGTGTTATATCCAATCTCTAGATATGTCAGCCTGTCCGACTATGATTCGAAGTGGGGATTCTCTGTTCATATCCTTCAGCCGCCGGTGCGGGTAGAATTTGACTCAATACATAGCTGCAGCCCTAGATTTATCCGGTTCCGCCACACAGATCTACCAGATTTGCCACATCAGGTCAAACTTTGACAGGAGGCTCAAACACGGAGATTCATAGTAGATGAGTTTCATATGGTGTACCTTGTTTTGACTCACTGTTCGTATCTGTCGCGAAGTATCTTGCTGATCCAACAGTATCAGCTTTTGTCTTGCAGCGGCTTAGATAATCTAAAGCAAGTGTTTGAGAACGTGAACATTACATGTCATCCTATATTTAAATGCAGATGCTATAAGCCCTACATATCAATCTCACTCAAGTAGTCGCCTTCGATGACAATGTCTAACAAGGCAAACGGATCATAACTCACCGGTACCAGGGTAAATGACCCACCTCAGCTGGCCCCTAGAGCTAGAGTCACTAAACTGGATCTCTGGAAATTCCCAGTGTCAAGATCAACCATAAAGAGCAAGCTATCACGGTCGGAGCTTATATTTCTCGCGCTTGGATTTCCTAATTGAGCCGTCCATCCTATCTAGAAACTAAAAAAGTGGACACCTGGCAGGTGGACGTCGATCAACAACAAACATGAACTGTGGGACGGCCTTCTCAATTCCATGGGACTATTCTCGAAATGATGATTGGGGTTCTAAGCTGTGGAGAGGAAACCCTCAAGGAATAGGGGGGGCTAACGAAGAACTTCATAGATGTCTCGGGCGAGTAGACAGATTTTTCTCAGTTTGGGTGTCAAAGTATCAGGTACATGGGTGAGCATTGATAGACATGCATGGCGGGCTTGCATTAGCTTTTACGGCGAAGATCCGAGAGTCAATCTCGCGGGACGTTATGATATAGAAAAGGAAGTACAAGTAGAGTCTAAACTGAAACCCTTAGAAATCAGGTGGCAAGTTGGGTCCGAAGGGCGGTGTGGGGCAAAAGGCGACCGCTGACTTTCTTGTCGATTGAAAACTCTTCACTGGCGAATGACCATTCCTTCATACTAATTTTAACCTCAAATGGTGAATTATCAACAATCAGTCTTATCACAGCCTTCAACTAACGGTTTTTCCAAGAGATCCGTGTCAAATAATGATCTCGCTAGGGGGCTTGCCATGAGCAGATGACCACGAGTCCACCAGTAGCATGTCTCCAAAGAGAAAGTTGCCTCCGTGATGGCCAACTTGATCTCCACCTCCCCCTTATCTCCACTCTTCTGCCCCAAGGAGACCCAGAGATTCGCGAGATTCTCCAATCTCCAAAGCTTTGTCCATGGATCTAGGCGTCCCCACCGCCCATGACATGATGTAATGCTGTTCCCGGCACATTTTTCGGCGATCCGTCAAAACCGGCGGTGTCCCAGATTCAGAGCTGAGCTTGCCTCTTGATTTCTCTTATTCTTCTATTCACTTACTCTCTCTCACTCTCACTCTTGCTCTTCCTCTTCCTCTTCCCTCCCTCTGCATTTTTCCCTTCTCCCGTTGTCATTGTCCTCTACCTTCATCTCCCGCTTTCACAATGGCACCTCTTAAGCTCAACAACCAGAACTTGGCGCAGATCGCGACCGCGGGTGAGAGCCAAGTCAAGATCCCAACCTACCAGCGCGGTTGCGCCGTCAAGGAAGGAATCGTCCATGTCGGTGTGGGTGGCTTCCACAGAGCTCACTTGGCTGTCTACGTCGATCAATTGATGCAGAAGCATGGTGTGACCGACTACGCCATCTGCGGTGTCGGCCTGCAGCCCTTCGACGCCGGCATGCGGGATGCCCTCGGTTCTCAGGACCACCTCTACACCGTCATTGAACGGTCGGCCAAGGGCAGCTTCGCCAACATCGTTGGCAGCATCAACTCCTACCTCTTTGCTCCCGATAACCGCGAGGCCGTCATTGCCAAGATGGCTCACCCTGATACCCACATCGTCTCGCTCACCATCACCGAAAGCGGCTACTACTACAACGAGAATACCCACGAGCTTCAGACCGAGAACGCAGATATTCAGCACGATCTCGACCCGGCCAACGAGAAAGCTCCTCGCACTACCTTCGGTTTCCTCTACGCTGCTCTCGTCCGTCGCCGCCAGCAAGGCCTCAAGCCCTTCACCGTCATGTCCTGCGATAACATGCTGAAGAACGGCTCCATCACACGTCACATGCTCGAGTCATTCGCACAACTCCGCGACCCGGAGATGGCTAAGTGGATCTCTGAGGAGGGCGGTTTCCCCAACGCCATGGTAGACCGCATCACCCCCCAGACCGCCCCCTCCGACAAGGTCGCCCTCGCAGAGAACTTTGGTATCGAGGATTCATGGCCCGTCGTCACGGAGCCCTTCATGCAATGGGTCATTGAAGACAAGTTCTCCGACGGTCGCCCTCCCTTCGAAAAGGCCGGAGCCCAGGTTGTCAAGGACGTGCATGATGTCGAACAATTCGAGAAGCACAAGCTGCGCCTGCTCAACGGCAGCCACTCCGCCATCGGCTACCCCGGCCAACTGGCAGGCTTCAAGTACGTGCACGAGGTGATGGAGAACCCCCTCTTCCGCAAATTCATTTGGCAATACATGCAAGAAGAAGTCAAGCCTCTCCTCCCTGAAATACCGGGCGTCGACATTGACGAATACTGCAACACCCTCATGGAGCGTTTCTCCAACCCCACAATTATGGATCAACTGCCCCGCGTGGCCCTCAACGCCTCCGGCAAAATCCCCCAATTCATCATGCCCTCCATCGCCGAACAAATCTGGGTCACTGGGCCCTTCCGCCGTCTGTGCTTCATCGCCGCTGCCTGGTTCCACTACATTAACGGCGTCGACGACAACGGCAACAAGTTCCAAGTCGACGACCCCATGCGCGAGGTACTCCAGGCCAAGGCTCGTGCCGGCGGTACCAACCCCAGAGAGTTGCTCAGCATTCAGAACTTGTTCGGTGATGATCTGCGTTCCGATGAGCGCTTCCTGCAGGAGATGACCACTGCCATGGAGGACATCGCCCGCGATGGTATCCTGAAGACCATCCCCAAGTACATTGATTAGACTTTTGTGCTCTATGCCCCCCACGGCCCCGCTGGATATTGTGGGTCATTCATGAAGATAGATAGATTCGGGTCAGCGAGCGATTTGTGATATTCCTGTGTTTTTTAACTTTCTTTGTCTCATGATTTGAGTAATTCATGGTGATGTTTGGACATAGAGATAGATCGAGGATAGAAAAAAGTCCTTACTACTTATTCCACTTTGATGTGTCAACGACTAAACGGCGCACGTAGCATGACACGGATCATTTGCCAACAATTATCTTTAGAGTTTGAGTTGTCAATCGCAGACATGATTCCGATCTAGGATGAGCAGGCTGGAGGAGCACACATACATTAACCTGCCCCTTTCTAACTAGCCCTCGTCTTTGACTGCCCATCCAAACACTCAATACTGCCTATAAACATATATCACGCACGGAAAAGCCGCTGAGGCGAACGATACTAAACGAAGTATTTGTTCTTGGGCAGGACTAGAACCCCCCCCCCCCCCAGGTCTACTACCACCCCCCTTTGGATCGAGCCACCCCCCCTCTGCCTGAAAATATAGGCATGATTTTTATTATTACTCTAGCCACGGCTTTAGCTACGACCTTAACTATAGCTACCGCGGCTACGATCTTACTATCTACCGCGACTACGGCTATTACCGCGGTTACCGCTACCTTATTAGCTATCCTTTTTATTATCTTTATCTTAATCTTTATCTTTATTAAAGGATATATTAGCGGTTACTATGAATCGCTTACGGGAGGGCTTAGATACTATAAATTCGGCGAAGTAGAGCTCTATAAGTTTAGGCTTAAAGTTATTTAGGAAGTTCTCTATAATAGGGTTAGCCTAAATAGCTTCGACATGAATGATTTGGCAAAGGGCGAAGGTCGGCAAAGCACGGGAATTTATGGCACCGCCGTATGAACCACCAAAATTACATCAGCCTTTGGAATAGCCTCGTGTGTGAATTCAAGCAAACTACAGTAAGGGCAGGCTGTTAATAGCGTCCTTGAGCCTGATAACCCCGAAATACGACTTCAGTCCCTTTAGGCCCCTTCACCCGATCATCCTGAAGGCCCTTGAAGCGATAACGTGTTCCTAGGCTTTACTTTTTATCCTCGCTCTCCCAGCTCCTGCTTGAATTTTGATGACCTGAGCTGCCGCAGTGGAGATTCTGGCAAAAAAGGAGATGTAGGAATGAATGGCTCACTTCTATATATATCGCCATACTGGAAGGACTATCATAAGGCCGGACTTACATTGACGTGGCACACGAATCAGAAGAAGTCCAGGTTAAAAGTTAACTTAATACGTGTAACCGGCTGCCAGTGACAGGTACGTATTGGAACGTTAGATTCGGTGAAAAGAGGCATAGGGAATTTGATTTATACACCCTATTTTAAGTTTCGTACATATCTACGTTCTGTGAACAGTTTTAGATATCTACTGAACTACACGTAACATCTAATTGATGCCCATTTTTTAACGCAAAGCATTAGAATTACTGGTTTCTCAATGCCCTTGCCCCAATATCTGGAGCATTATCCAAAGAATCCCAAAACCAAACCATTCTTCGTCCAGCAACATCCCTAGTCCATCCATTGACCTGTGGAAAACCCACTGAGCAACCGTCGAGTAAATATTTAAGCAGATCACGAGCAATCGAGGCGAAGCTAATTACTCGTAATAACTCGACGCCACCAGGATTTTTTCTTTGGAGTTGCCGAAACCGGGGAGGCCGGTCTAGGTAATGGGCGAAAAAGGCTGTTCGCCATAGCTATCAAATATGGGGATCGCTCGTGTTCGATCGTGCTTTTAAAATTATTTCTGACTTCCTCCTTCTGGTTTTCTGTAAGCTCAAAGCCCCGAAAGGTAGTACAACACCAGCACTCCACCGTGCAGTGGCCAACACCTTTCCCTTCGTGGGATGCCCTCTTTACGCAGCATCCACATGCCCGACTACAACATCCGTTGCGATCAGAACAGTCCTGGACCATCCCCTTTCGCATAAACCATTCTGAATCATGCCTTAAATCATCGTAAAGCGCTTTGAAGTAGGGAAGCAACATGGAGCCTGCTTGATAAAGTGCGTACTCCCCTAATACAACTCTTGAACGAGTCTCTTTGAGCTGTTCATTCAAAGTCTCAAGGTCGGAACTGTCATCGGATTCGATTTCCTTAGCTTTTTGTGAGGCCGTGATGCGTATATTTAACGCCTCCTGGCGTTGTTTAAGCACACGAAGTGCGTGCTCGGCCAGGACTATATCAATGACTCGACTTGGGTCGATTTCTGTTTGCCCGTATGATAGGGCATTCTGCCTCAGAACATCTCCCCAATCCGATTTAACCTGATGCCACCTAAAGGCATACGACATTTCGGGGAATTTTTTGAGAATCTGGCGAGTGAGTGTATCGGTATACGAATGAGACAGGAAGAGCGACACGTGAGTATCTCGAAGGTGCAAACCGCACGATCTTATGAACGGCCACTAAATCCTACCTAATATGACGGACATATTACTCCTTGACTTTCCCCCGAAGCTTAAAAAAGCACCGAAATAGCATGGCCCGCTATAATCTACTTTACATAATTTCCATCTTTATGTTTGGTAAAGTTATGTACGTTCGAGCCACTCAATAGTTGCAGTTACTTTCTTCAACTCATCACTGTTAGTTTGAAAGGAATAGTTGTTTGCGCCTCGGCTACGGCGGCCGATAAGTGCCATTCTTCAAAACTGATAAGAAAACCGGCAGAATCTCCCTCTGACTAAGCATATTTTCAAAATTCACTTAACTAAGGAGCCCTAGGCAGATGGGGCTCAAATGACTAGGACAAGGGGGGTCAATTTAGTAATCCCAGAGATTGTGTTATCCGGACAATCGCTTCTCCGGGTCCGTCCCCCGCCGATCCGGTAGAGATAAGAGAGTTTCCTTGTGGACAAATCACATGATACATATGAGGTAATACGCTAGGCTACTTTGGGGGTTTTAGAGAATGGCACTTATCGGTCCGGACGGTAAAATCAATTCTCCGCACGGGTCCGCTCATCGGGATAGTGAGGCCTCGGCGGATTGTAAATGTTCTACTTTCTACTTACGACTTCGGAGGGACGCACGGGCGCAGCCGTGAACATTGTTCTTCATTGTATGACGCCATGGTAACTGTGTCCGACTCCAATTTAGGGCACAGACACCCGGGAAGGCAAGAACGGGGCGTGACCAAACCCATCGGCGGCCCGCTCTCTGGATACAAGCTAAGAAATAAATAAATTACCATTCAAATCAATCATAATTTTCATGATCCCAGGCGTATTTTCAAAATCGAAACTGATGAATTTGTACTACGCCAGAGATGATACTAAGATAAGCTTAGCTACTGACCTTTAGCCTGCCAATCACAGTGAATACTTTGGGATCAGCCTGTTTTATCCACTCTCACTTTTATGATGATACTTCATGTTTTTTTACTTTGTTGGCCATGGATCCATGGGTCTATAGTGACAGCCCGACGGTTTGATCAAAACAGCCTTGATTGGATCTCGACCACAGCAGGGGTTTCTTCATGTGACGGACCCCATTAAAGTTGTAATTTAGGATATTCGTATGGCATGCTACTTATGCAATCAAAATCTGTACAAATTGACCAGGAATTGTTGAGATTAGTAAAAGGACGTAGGACGGAGATCAAACAACCGATACTCATATTGGAATAAATAACAGAACCGCTTCCATTTTGGGCACCAGTCGTGCTTTCCTTTCCCTCCATCTAGACATAAAGGAAGACCATTGCCCCCCGGGAGGGAGAATCTGTAAAAAGTCCTCCATAATCGCTGCCCAGACCCTTTTACAAGCCTTTTTCTTCTGAATACGACGCTTTTTTCCAAATTCTCCTTCAAATTTATAGAAAAATGGCGCCCACAGTATCTCTCAAGTCAATTGAAGCCTCCGTCAGCAGCCTTGCGGAGTAATCAGCAAAGGTAGCAGTCCCAGGGGAGGTTTGGATCGCCATCGCGGTCGTTGCGTGCGTCGTGGTCGTCTCTGGGCTCGGTTTTGGTTTCATTTTTTCGGTCTGGTACGTTCGGTAAGTATGAATTTATTATAATATCCTTGAATTACGATTTGAGACACCTGTCATACGTTTTGGGACACAGATGCTCATTCAATATCAATAGCCAGCAAATGCAACAAGCCCGCGAAAGTCACCCTCAAAGGGGAGAAGAGTACCGCTTCGACATCGAGTTGAAGATTTACCAGGCAAAAATGAAGAAATATACGAAACAGAAGCAGCAAGCCACCTGGAAAAACAAGCTTCCGTCTTTTTTGCGAACACCCGAGCTGGAAGAGCCTTCTCACCCCGTGCATCATGTCATACTCGAAGCATCGGGCGATTGTCAAGCTGCGCTTGGACTACACCCTGCGGGAACAAGATCACCTTCGTCGTCCCCCCCCTGGGGCTTAAAACCGGCCGTTCCTGGCCCTGCGGACCCTCTGGCCCCTTTGACAGCTGCATTGACGACCAAACCAAAGAGTGGGGGTGGTTAGAGGAGATGAGAGGATGTTGGGAGTTCCCATGTTGTTCCTTTCTTCCTGTTACTCCCACCTGCCCTGGACCCGGCCAGGATGGTGGATTCGCTTTGTCATTTTCCTCTGCTGCAGGCCGTCCCCCCTGCTGCTTATGTGTATATTGGTTGCCTTCCTGAACCCTGTCAAGGTTGGCGTAGATGTCCTTCGTGGACTCGATTCCGAGTTCTTCCCGTTCTTTTCATTATTATGCAGGCATTATTAATGGAAGAATTATACAAGTAAACTACAGAACACTTGAATCAACAACTCTTCTCAGTATCTTTGCAGAACCCAAGGACGGAGATATGCCGAGTATAAGCCCCACAATGCTCTTACATCCGGCGCCCCAGATTAAACCACCAGTAGTGCTATATGCCCCTGAAGTGTCACTGATATACAGTAGCGGGATGATGTGTTGAGCAGGCGTTGCATTTCAAAGCGAGATCCGCTCCGAACCCTTCTCCCACAGGAGAATGGACAGAGTGCTTTTCTTTACAAAGTACCATATGGTGTTGTGCTTGGAATAGCACCGTGGAACGCACCATACCTCATCGGCCTTCGTGCTGCTCTGTACCCGATCGCAGCGGGAAACTCATGTATTCTTAATTGCTCCGAAATAAGCCCACGCTGTTTCAATCATATCGGAGAAATCTTTCATGACGCTGGACTTCTGGCCGGCGTCCTGAATGTGATATACACAGAGAGAAAACACTCCGCGGCTATTACAAATCGCTTGATTCGCTCCTTTCCAGTTCGAAAGGTGAATTTCACCGGTAGCTCGGCAGTGGGGGCCCTTGTTGCCGCTGAGGCGGCAAAATCGCCCAAGCCCGCATTGATGGAACTTGGCGGGAAGGCGTCTGCCATTGTCCTGGAAGATGCTGATATCGAACTCGCTGCACGGGAGTGCGCCCGCGGTGCCTTCGCTAACTCCGGCCAAGCCTGCATGAGCACAGAGAGGATACTCGTTTCCAACAAGATCATCGAACCCTTTCGTCAAGCCTTTCTGAAAGAGGTCAACGCATGGGATTCTGGCCATGGTGAATCTTGCATCCTGATTCAACATGCAGCGGTGGAAAGAAACAGGCGATTGGCTAGGAGTGCGGAGGAGTTTGGGGCTACATTATTAGCTGGCAATCCGCATGCCCCGGAAGCTCTGCCTAGCCTAGGACAGGAGTCGAAGCTACGCCTAAGGCCAGCTGTCATCGATTGTGTTGATAAAAGGATGGATGTTTACTACGAGGAAAGCTTCGGCCCAACTGTCTCACTCTATCAGATTAAATCGGATGACGAAGCTATCAGACTAGCTAACGATACGGAGTACGGGCTATCCTCCGCGATCTTCACGACTAATCTCAGTCGAGGCCTCAATTTGGCTAGTCAGATAGACACTGGGTATGTTATTAAGCACTTTTAGTCACCTATTCTAACACTATTCTAGCGCGGTACATATCAACAGCATTACTGTGCATGATGAAGCTTCTCTAGCTCATGGTGGTCAGAAGAACAGTGGCTGGGGTAGGTTCAATGCTGAATGGGGTATCAATGAATTTTTGCAGCCGAAGGTTGTTACTTACGCGGAGTGCGCTTGAACAAGAATCTTACATCATCTTATTTGCTTGATGCCATAAATCTATCCCCCATCGGCTTTATATGGAGTAAGGCCTTGGTCTTGATCAATCAACCAGCAGGCACAGGGGGTGAAGACGCTGGGTAGGAGGAACGCCAAAACCACGGCCAACCGAGAGGTCCTGGAAGACTACATCCAACACCAACGAACGCCACCAATCGAGAACGAAGCAGGAGGACGGTGTGGATGCCGGAGAAGGAAGGCAGAGATGGAGATGCAGAGGAAGCAGCAGGCCATTGTGAGGGCAAATTAAGGAATACGTTGTGGGATTGAGGGCTTGGAGGGCGTTTTGGTACTGTTTTGGCACTGTTTTTGGGCTGTTTTATATGGCAATACGCCGTTTTCCTATGTATCTACTGTTTCATGCGCGTGGGTTGGCGTTCGGATCACTCTTGCTTCCGCCGGAGGAAGCGCCTGCATAGCCATTACGCCACTAGTTAGGCTGCAACAGGTTAATAGAGTGTTGATTGATTGATTGATTGATCATTCAACTTAATCGACTCATGGATTGCAATGTCTTAGTTTCGGACTTCTCGGACCTCTAGGACGTTATCAACACCCTGCCCTTATTCTGATTTGCTTGGGTCCACAGTCAGACTTAACTTGGATTAGACAGTATTTTATTTACCTCATCCCATCATTGTTACGGTAACTAGAATGCAGTAACTCAGATTCCCTCGTTTCTAAGACCCCTCTGCCCTCATCGAGCCGTCTGCAAGACCACGTGGGGAGACACGATAGGCCAAGATTCGATTCAGGACACCATCCAATAGTTAATACACGCAACTCCCTGATGTCAACAATTTCAATCTTTGCAGATCATGCGTGGACGCTAAGATGACCATTTTTCCTTCTTTGTATTATGGGAATATTTCTACTACAGGGCAGTATGCTGCCAGTACAAAAAGGATCTTCACCAGAGACGGATGAAAGCTCTGTAATTACTTATGCAAAATATCATAGAGCAAGAAAATCGAAGTCTATATACTGTAATCCTTTTGTGTCGGTCGCGTCTAAAGCATAGATTATAGCGGGACTGAACATAGTCGCATCCATGGTTTAAATTCAGCATTTGATGTCAAGAGCTTCTGCAAGAATTCTCTACTTGATTATACACCCCCAATAGTCCGGCCATTTTCTATTCCATTATGGCTGCCCCTCTCTGTAACGTCCACCCTCTATTCGACCTGAAGAATCGAAACTTCATTGTAACTGGCGGTGGCCAGGGAATTGGCTTCGGGGTTGTTCGTGCGATCGCTGAATATGGCGGCAACATTGCGGTCTTGGATATTCGGGACCAGCCAATTGACGAATATGATAGCCTCGCGACAGAATTTGGTGTCAAAACAACCTACATAAAAACAGATGTCTCGAATGAGGAAAGTCTCACCAGTTCGTTCACCAAGGCACCTGATTTCTTGGGCTCTGTCCATGGGGCTTTCACGTCGGCGGGCATTGCTATCGATAAGCCATTTGTCGAGCAAACATGGGCCGAAGCGCAAAGGATTCAGGATATCAACGTAAGTTGTCGCCTCCGAAGTCGGTCTCTTGCCATATTAATCATGGATCATTCTATAGGTCTTGGGGGCCTTTTTTACGACCCAGCTTGTGGCAAAGCAATTAATAAGGCAAGGAACGGCTGGAAGTATCGTTCACGTGGCATTTACATCCCATACCGTGCTTCCAAGCATCGCTTGTCAGCCGATAATGCCTCGAAGGGAGCAGTTAGGATTTTGACAGAAGCATTGGGGTGGAATTGGCTTCCCATGGCATCCGTGTCAACTCGATTTCGCCGGGGTTCATTGCCTCAGAGCAGACTCGCGTTGTACGTGATCGCAAGAGTCCCGAAGACTCTGCAATTATGGATATCGCACCTCCGCTGGGTCGAATCGGTAACTTCAATGACTTGACAGGAGCAGTAATTTACCTTTTGAGTGATGCCTCCGCTTACACCACCGGTGCCGATATCCCGATCACAGGCGGCCTGCACATTGGAAGAATCAAGGCTTAAGTACTTATTGAACCTTAACACATTTGTCTGATAGCTGAGGTCTAAGCTCCTCTTTAGCCTTATACACAATCTATATATACAAATCTCAAATCAGAAGACATGTATCGCTTTTTGTCAATACAATTCAATTCACCTTCCTCAGACTGGAATCTAGCGCCTATATGTCGCTGTCCTCACGTGCCCTTACCACGGCTGGGATATCGAAGTAAGAGAATAAAGAGCTATTAAAAATCTTAAGTAGCGTTAGGGCGGGAGTTTGATAAATGCGATAGCTCACTCACTGCAATCTAACGGTTGACATGTTGGCACATACATGAACCCTTTATGGTCTGCTGTTACTCCATTAATGATGTTGTTTACGAAAGCAGGATCTAGGTATGCAATATCACTCATTGGCCCCTAGGACATCCCCCAATGCTGCCTTGAGCGAGGCGATTTGTTTGTCGAGACGATCTAGGACATCCGCCGTGTCCTTTTGTGACGTTGCTTTTGAAGCTGCGTCTCGTAACAGCTGCGCATTTTCGATATAAGCTTGAGCGGGGTGTTTTTGACTATTCATCGAAGAGCGATTGCTGCCCACAGGGGCCACGGGGGTTTTCGTACTGGGGAGTCGAGTCGACTTGATGCCGCGCTGACAAGCCCAGTAACATAGCCCAGCACACACATTGCGTAGTGCCAATGGCGCGAGATCGATCAGAGAGTGCTGCTTGCCATCTTCATCGCAGACAGCATGCATATCAACCCAGCGACATATAGCCATCATGTCATTCAGAGCACAGAGGCATTCATATTCCACACGCGTCGTAGTCATCTCCACCCGCAAATCTCCAGTGTCATTGATGCCAAAGTCGGATACAAAGCACTCAACTTGCATTAAACAATTAATCTCTAATGCCCATAGTACGGCTCGATGAAGATTAATGTGTCGCTGCATCTCAGTTGAGTGACCGTTGTTATTGTCGTGAGTTGTCACTATCCCTGGAGTTTCTTCATATCTGCGCAAATGACGGGGGCAAGTGTGGTTTCTCCATTGATTAATTTGGGCATATATGTCATGCACGTCGTTCGGCTCAGCCCCACGACGTTTTGCTGTATTGTTACCCAGCTTTTGCAGAATACTTCGGGCAATGACTGCGAGTTCAAAGATGGTATCGAGGAAGTCTCTAGCCTCGGATTGGGGAAGAGTGTCCTTGTCGCTTGCGTCCTTGTCGGGAACCAGAGATATCTGTTTACGATCCAAGCAATGGAAGGCATCAAGGCCATATACGTGCCAATAAAGGAGCACGCACCGCTCTCGAGCTCTGGCCAATGCCACTAATGAGTCTGTCCCCGTGGAGACACGATCTTGGATACGGAATTGTAACGTCATCATAACGAGCGATTCGTGTCTTAGGAAGAGTCTTCCTAGATTTGAATGGAGTGGCGGACTATTGGAATCTTCGTATTCAAAGTTGATCATAAGAGCCAGCGCTTCAAGGTCGTCAAGCCTGATCGTTCCGTCATTGGAAGATATGCTCTGGGCACCCAGAAATGCCTCTCGAAAGTCGTGGGCAAAACGCTGCTGAAGATTCCATTTGTCGGGAACAGTCGTGTAGGGCATCCCACGGCAGGCTATAGCAGAAGCCAAAATTTGACTACACCTTCCGTTATGGTAGTCTTGCCAGAAGGCGTCCTCAAGCAGAATCGGCAGCCATGGCGCCGCGAACTTGAAGTAGCAATGTAATGCAGTAGTAAAAGCGTTTTTCGAACCTGCAACGCTGTCCAGCCCGGGGAATTGTTCAAATTGTTCTGTTTGGCATTGTGGTTGTGGTTTGTCGTTACCAGTCTGGTCATCTCCGGTGGGAGAGGGTTGTGTATCTTGATGTGTTTCCTGCGCTTGGCCGAGCCATTCCAATGATCCTGCACCGTCACCCATGAAGACTTGATCGAGAAAGAAGATATTATCACGACTCAGACCGAGAAAATCTTCACCGAACATATCATCGGGATATTGTATCAATGTTGAAGGAGCTTCCTGCAGTGGCAGTACAGGTTCAAGTTGTGATGCCGAAGCAGACGAGACCGCCGCTGGATTATCCCCCGGTGTTATGTCAATCCGGGCCATCCGTGGCCCTCCGTCGCCTAGCGTCACGCCCGCACTACCTCCGTGAGCAACCTGGTGGCCACGCCGTCGTGTACGTCTCTCGGCCGGGTCATTCAAAATACAAGGTCCCTGGCGCAGGGTGCATTGAGAACATGAGGCAAGACCCTGCCGTGCGCGTAGTGAGCGGTCGCATTTGACCTTTCGTCGGTGGCAGAAATCGCATGATTCTCGCGGTAGTCCTCGTTTGAGCTGCATCTCCAAAAGTTCCCGCGGAAGCCTCCGTCAAACCCAGCGCGCAGATACCAGCGGCGATTGTCCAGAACTCAGAAACAAAATAATGATGTCGAAGCGGGACTTTCGCGGTGATTCTGCGGTAGATTCCCACAGCGGAAATAAGAAGACACGTGACCATGTAAGAATAGGAGTCGGCGGACATAAGGCGGTAATTTCGCGGATCTTCTGGCAAGACTGGTGGGTAAAGTACGCAGTAGAAGAATTATATGTGATAATTCGTAATTTGGATGCCTATTCTTGTTAAAGTAAGTCTCCATAGCAATATGTCCTTTATAACAAGGTTTCCCGGTCGTTTTTAATCACAACACCCAAAATAAAGTTGACGTCTCGCTTGCCATCATGTCTCATTCAACTGATTTCTATGGGTATCTCCCCAGCAAGCCAGCGTCGTTATTTGGAATTGTCTACTTCGGCACCACAGCAATTATATGCACTCTACAGATTATATTTGGAAGATACAAGCACTATTGGATGGCCACCATTGCCCTCGCTGCTGTGGGTGAGGCCCTCGGCTGGGGGGCGCGATTCTGGGCTCATATCGCTGTATGTCAATTTATATAATGATGTGCATACCGGATACAATACTGAACTCATCTCAGCCAGATGATTGGATGCCATTCATGATCCAAATTTGCAGTCTCGCTATCACTCCGGTCCTCATTTCCGCCGCAGACTATGTCCTCTTTTGTCAAATGTGAGCAAGCTGATCAAGGGGCCAGGGGAAAGATTTGCTGATGAGATGCAGCGTTCAAAACAATGGATCTCGACTATTCTTTGTCCCGGCACGATTCTTCTGGATTGGTTTCATTCTTTTGGATATCATCTCATTATCCATTCAAACCGTAGGAGGAGTTTTGGTCTCAAGTGCCCAGAACGAGGACCAACTGAACTATGGATCTCGCATCATGCTGGATGGCATCATATTTCAATTCAGCAACACTGTCTTATTCGTTATATTGTTGTTAGGGACAATATTCAGGTTGCGCTCGAAGGGTATCCGGCAACGATCGGTCACTGGGTGGCCGGTCATGCTAGCTATGTGGATTTCCACTGTGATGGTTTTTGTTCGCAATGCATATCGAATCGCTGAGCTGTCTGCTGGGTGGAATGGCCGTTTGGTGCGCACTGAATGGTACCTCATAGCTTTTGATATGGTGCCAATGGCGGTGGCAGTGGGGGCATTAGTTGTGTTCAGTCCATCCTTCTTTTTTGGGGATGATGAGCACGAGGGAGAGGCTAAGCAAGCGCGCTCAACTGATTGTATTCCGCTTTGTTAAGCATATCAAAAATCCCTATCAAAGGCAGCTCGGAGTACGCTGCCAAAATTACTCACTTTAGAGGCTCTATCCACCGATATCGTCAAACAGGGATCCCATTGGGACAGCGTACAGGGTTCATTATTAGCTTCTCCATACATACGGACTTATAAGGATTGGAGAATCGCCACAGTGGCTTCTCTATTATAATTAGATCACGTGAAAAGGAAGATATAATTTCATTTCTGATTGTCTATCGTGAGTGCCTTGGAGGACGGTGAACAGATCCTTGGGTAAACATAACTGCCTAAGGAGGCAATTCGAAATCACCGAGGGAGGATATAGAAAGGATGAGCAGTAGCCAATCCTATGTCAGGTCGATATCCATAAATTTAGGATGGCATTCACGACACGACAGAAAAGTTCATAGGACGATAAGGTTAGTCCTAATGATGAGTGCCCCCACTTCAACATGGAATATTACCTTCGAGATTTACAAAATACCAGTAGAGTCCTTGGGGATGTATAAGTCTATACCTTAGAAAAGATCTTAGAAAAGACCTTAGAAAAGACCGTAAAGAAGGGTAATAGTAGGAGGGGGAGTAGAATAATAACTTAGTCTATTGTAGGGATAAATAGATAGAGGTCGCGTACATAGTCGCTAATGATAATAACGAGAAGTATTAATGTGAATGATACATAATGACTCGGTAGGTATTTTGTCTATCGTGTCGTTGATGCCACCCTAAATTTGATAGAAGGGACGCGTGAAACAGTGTAAATAGTAGCCGGGACGACTACCCTTACCTAGCGTTATGTTGCTGTCTCCCCTATTCGAAAAGGTTATTTACGAAGGTGAACAATGAAACTTACGAGAATACTCTATTACCATTACTATGCGGCGATATGATTCAAGGGCAACCAATTTAGTCAATTGATGTTGAAAAACAGCTATCTCCCTCCATTGCTATCATCAGAGACGTGGGCCACCGAGTGAAAAAGACTTTCACTGGCAAGACATTCCTTGACCTCTAAAGGAGCAAGCACTGGGAATACAGTATATTGTAAAAAGTGCAAACTCCTTGAGCACATGTCGTAGGCCCAGTCCAGCCATATCCACCGCATTGGCCAAAGAGAGGCGCACCTGTCCCACTGCTACCTGAAGATGTTGTCGTTGATGTAGTCTTCGTGGTTGTGGCCAAGGTTGTGGCCGAGGTTGTACTACTAGTGGAGGTACTACTACCACCAGTGTTACCGCTCATAATTTGCGCAACTTGATTGACGATGGCCACCATTTGAACTCCTATGAGCAATTAGAACTGCGACAAAGTTTGCGCCTTGGAGATTTTATTTACCTCCAATCTGGTCCGCATTCGATCCGTACCAACCAACCCAATCCCAGCAGCCGTTCGGGTTGCTTAGTTGAGAACCGCTCCAAACTGTATGCAAGGAACTGTCAGGAATTGCCTGGGGGTATAGTATGATGATATTGTTGGTATCTAATAAAAGATTTGAAGATTAGTCGAAGTTCCACAAGTTGGAGGGCGACCTCCACTTACCAGCCCACTGATTGTAGCCCGTGTTCTGAACGAACTTCATCTGAACATTGCTATAGCTTTGCAAGCATCCATGTAAGGCGACATGAAGTTTGCAGACGGTGGTACCGCTTTGACAGCTAGCGGGAACATAGAGGTAGCCGGTGGTGTCCATTCCAGAAGCACCGTATGCACTGGTCTGTGCGAATGAAACAACAGAGCCAGAAAGGGTGCCGGTATTTCTGGCGTTCAAAGTACCATACATCCACTTCAGTACTGCTCCAGCACCATCGTAGTTGCAATTACTGATATAAGGTGAGCTGGAGGTACTGCACGAGTTGTCACCAGAGCCATCAAAGTCAGTTGGGAAGGTGTGGACCGCTCCACTGGTCGTCACGTATGAAACATTAGCCGAGCTATCAAAGTTGCTTAGTTGAGAATTCAACGCATTCATCACGTTCTGTCCCACAGTCGTGTCCGAAGTTCCAGTCCAAAGATATATTTTGCGGTTCTGCAAGTTGCTGGTTGCCGCAATTTTATTGCCGCTCCATGACTTCATGTTTGCAATTGGCATAGTTATAGACGGATTTTGGTTATACATGCAGCTGGTGTACTATATTTCACCTCGAGGATTAGCGGACAAGTCTTATTAGAGGTTTTCCGGGCGCTCATACCGCTTGGTTGCGAGCACAATCATATGGACCGCCCGCAAACACGCCAAAGCCAGCCTGGAAGACATCCGAATATGCCACCCCAAGCTGGGCTGAGAAAAACCCGCCGCTGGAAAGACCAGATACCGATACAGAGCTTGGGTCAATATTGTACGCCCCCAAGGCTGCAGCGGCAGAAGTAGTTCCTGCCAGGCTAGCCAGCGCAACGAGGCTTCCCCAGTAAGTCATGTTGGATATTTTCTTGGATCTTGGGTTTTGGATAATTCGTAGTGTTTCAAGAGATTTTTGAGGAAATCCAGACGGTTTTATATAGAGGTCATTTCGCTTATTCTTCGTCCGCGCTGTGACGATGTCAATGCCGAGTTCATCTCGTAGTTTGCTTGGGTCACATTCGAAGCACTTGACGAACAAGGTAGAAATCCTGCAGAGCTCAATTGACCCACGTCGGATCCGTTCAACAAAGTAATCGCAACTTCAGGTAGGCATAGGCTGTTGTGCTCCCGCTTTGTTGCCTTTCAAAGCTATATTGAAGCATGTGCGTACCCCGGAGTCGCAGTCGCATGGTGGCGTGCGGGGTAAACTTGTGGGGTAACCTTCTAAGCGATGTGAAGAAAAACATGAAGAAAAACAAATCGGTTCCGAGATCTTATTCTTTAGTAATCATTAAATCAAGAATTAAGATTGTTATGTCTTTCTAAGATGATTTGGGCAAGGATCTAACTCCGCTGTTAAGTTTGACCCTAGACTAGAATATTTTCTGGATAATCTATTCTGTGGGATTATGGCTATCCTATCATTCTCACCAATGCAAGGGCATATTTTACGAACATGTGCCGAGTCCTGTATCATCGATTCAAACCCGACTTACTGATGAGATGCAAATATGGATTGATAAACGAGGGGTCTAAGATAATATCTGCTCACGTATCCCGACAATATAGCGACTAATCAACGATTACGGGCCAGGTGCTTTATGCATTATTTTGTTACGATCCACTTATTCTCCGTAATATAAATCAAATGTAGAAATGGATATAATTATTCTAATAATTAGACAACGTCTTTTTGAAACTTATCAGCCGAGACAGATCAAGCTTCGCTAGGGTAGCATCTTACGGATCGGATCCGATCCGAGACCCTGATGTGCCCGGTTGCTTCGGCTCAAATCGTACAATTACAGGGATACTAGTCAATGAGCTGGGACAGCTGCGTTGCAAATTTGGAATCTGAGTTCAATGGCCTTCGCAATTCTCACTTTAATAGAACGCCGTCTATCCAGCGATTTAAGCTGGCTAATCTCAATATTTATCGAGTCTCTGCTTTGGCGCAGTAAGAATTCGGCACGACTAGTACTAATTTTCTGCTACTAGTTTGACGCTTCACATAGACCATTCAGATCCCATAAAAAATTATCTGAATGTTCTGTCGTGCACTTCGCATCTTTTGATCTTATGATGGTTGCGCTGAGGTCTTAAGCCTTAGGGCCTTAAATCATTAGAAAGGCGAGGGGGCTTTCTAGCAACTATACAACACACGGATACCAAGTAGGAGCAAAGTATTGCCTTTGAAGTCTTCTGGTTTTTGAGATACTCATAATAGCGAATACGGGCATAGAATTAGTGGATGTCACAAATAACATCCGTCCAGGATGACTACCACATTGATTTACGCCTTGTTTTGGGAGCTGCTTTGGGATGCTCTGCCAACTTGATGGATCGAGGTCATGTCGGAATGGCAGCAATCGCGGGGTCGGAATGATCAAAACTCAAAATAGAGAGTCATAAGTAACTGATGTGCATATCATGCTCAAGGATTTTGATTTTGTCGGCTATCGATCTGTTTGTCCAGCCATCCTCTCCGAATATGTTCTTTGTCCCCTACTTGACTTTCCAACCACCGTCAACAAATTTGATCCGCAAGATTGGACCGCCTAAATTTTGATCGGCAATTCTTTTTCCTTGGGGGATTTTGATGTTTCTCATCTCGAGCACCTCATAACCTTCCTCGGGACCTCCATCTCAATTCGCGACGCCAAGGCCGGACTGTCCGCGGACAGTCCGGCCTCTCCCCTTCAGTTTGTTCCCCTCGTCATCCTTCCACAGCAAACACGACCTGTTGACATCCCTGCCTTGCAGCAACGACAAACTCATTCGTGCCAAATCCATTGTTCCACTTCTCAATGACCATTCACCCCCAACCTTAGCTGGTCTGTTCATGTCCATATCAATCAAGGCCTTTTCTCTAATTTTCCTGTCCTCTTTCCCAAGATCAGGAGAATGCAATGAAGCGCAGATCAGCACACGAGAGTGCCACACCACAAAAGCAGCCTAGACAAGACCCAGTGTCTTGCGAGTCTTGTCGAAAGAAAAAGACGAAATGCGACCGACAGATTCCCTGTGGCAGCTGTAAATCTCGTCGAATCGATTGCAACTACGGCAGCAATGGTCCGGAGGCTTCTAGTCCCGCTGCACCACCTGGCGATCAGCTGAGAAATAGACCGTCCAATAGCGTCACGGCATCAGCACGGACGACAGAGGCCCCTCGGGAGACTGTCCTAAGCCGCAGCGCAGAGGATCCGCTCATGACGGCAGACCGACTCGAGAATATACTCATGGGTCACCGGATCCCGAGTGCTGTTCCATCGGCTCTTCGAGGAGAGCTGTCAGGGCCTCCACGCATGGGCCTCCACGCCCGATCTCAACCACACACGGGGACCTCCATCGGCAGCTTTCTGAATCTGGTTCGTGATGGTGGTTGTGTGTCTTCTGAACACCCGGCCACTATTCACCTGGCGTCATTCTTGCCGTCAGAGGCTGATGCGTTGAGCCTCTTCAATTATTACCTTAGTCACCTCGACTACCAGTATCATATTGTGGTTCCCGCTAGAACGGAGCAAATCATTCGCTCTTTGTACTATGCACTTGCTCGTGGCAGGTCGGGGGATTTGAACCATATCGCCATGCTTTTCAGCATTCTTGCAACTGCTTTATTTTATCAGCTGCTCTCCACCGAGTCTTCGGCAGTTGCCGAGAACTGTAGTCGCGAGACAGCGTTCCTCGCTGGAGCGGCACTGATTCAGAGCAACTACGTTGCCTATCCAACGATAGAGGGATTGCAGGCAGCCATGATCATCGCACACCACTTGTCAAGTCTAACCTTGAACCCATGTGTGAGCTCCTTATTTTTCCAAGGCGGGCTTGTGAGTCAAGCTAAAAGTCTCGGTCTTCATTTACTCGATTCCCCTCGAGTTGTAGCCGAGCGTCAAGAAAGAGGATTTGACAAGGCTGAGACCGAGTTGAAGCGCCGGCTGTGGTGGGATCTAGCGTCATATGACTGGTACATTCCCTCCTCACTCTACTAGACGCCCTCCCGCTAATAATCTCGTCTTAGGTTAATGGGTTTCCTGAGCGGCCCCCAAGAATGGACGTACACAATCCATCCCCAACACATGAATGTGCGCCGACCATTGAACAGGGAGGATGATATAATCGGAATCGACACGGGACTCCCACTTATGATGCCAACGTGCATGTCATATACCCTGCAGCGCCTGAGATTGGCCGAAGTATGCCGGGAGATTGTCGATGCAGCGGCGCCTTATCACCTTGAAGGTAAAGAGCTTCCGTACGAAACTCTACTCGATTTGGATCGCAAGCTTCAGCAGGCATACTCGGAACTTCCGTCATTCTTCCGCTTTGATCAATCATCACGCCGCCAGTTTGCGACTCTTTACCTCAAACGACCAGAGCTAGCGTGGCAGCGAGCCTTTATACAACAAGGCTACCATTCACGTCTTTGTCGGCTACATCGCCAATACTTCATTCGTGGTGCAAGAGACCCAAGATACTCTTACTCGCATGTTGTGTCTCTTCAGTCTGCCCGGAAGGTCTTGGAAGTTAAGCGCATCATGGACGAGGAAGCACCGCTCTTCACAGTAAACAGCTCTTTTTTCTGGGCAGTCACGCATCATGTCTTCATGGCAGCGGTCATCTTATTGATTGATGTTTGTTTCAACTGGGATGATATTCTCGCCTCTAAGAGGAAGGAAGAGGTACTTGATGCCTGCCGACTGCTAAGCCGTGCTCAGCAATGCTCGTCAGTTGCCCGAGAAGGTATCAACGCGATGATGTGCATTCTCCGCAAGCACTGGAAACAAGAGAGGAGACCAACCACATTTAGTGGGACACAAGCCCCACAACGATCGTCACCTGGCTTTGATGTCTCTGCCTTGCACGATAAAAGTGATGTTCCAACCACAGGGCATGTTGAAGACTCCAACAAGACTGTCCGCTTTGACGATCCTGCTCTGGGGCAGAATACCCCCAAGCATGATCAGTCCGTTGACCTAGTGAATTCCGAGCTTGAGCCGGTCCCCTTGGAAGACTTGTGGAGCCAGATGCTTGATGAAAGTGCTCATTTCCCTTTGGATACCCCGGATTGGATGGATCTGTTGACAGAGCTGACTAACGCCACCCTCCCCGGAAGCGAATAATTTTTGAGCTATTGTGTTATGATACCACGTCTCAGGGGGATTTTTAAGCCACTAGCAAAGTTAAGGCCATTCAGATAATGCCATGCTGTCAGAAAATCAACACTTCCCAAAGATTCATCACATGCTTCTGATCTAGAAGATTGGGGGGTCATTTCTCATCTCGTAGAGACCACGCTACTACTCGACTCAGTATTTCAGGACAACTGAGGTCAAGCAACCTCTAAGCGGGCTCAGCTCTACTGGGGCGATGTCATTCTACCCAGTGAAGACGAGTTAGCGATTTTTTTTCCCAATGGTCGTCAGCTAAGGGCCTGCAGGATTCTTTATTCCACACGCTATAGCCATTGGGCCTTTCAATATCCTCGAGGTGAAGAAGAATGGACTCGCTCAATACCAGATGGGCTTAATATGCGTATTACTCACGGTTCACCACTCGCCTATCTCAACGTACTAAAATTAGGCTGTCCTCGCCTATCACAGATTCGTAGATAGTCTAACCAAGACTGCATGTATTCTGGCATGTACATGAAGGGGGAGGGGGTACTGAGTGGTGGACTCCAGAATGCGTACCAGTGTACTGTCGCTGGTGGAGAGAGTATTGAATATTTCCTGTTTACAGCATGGGAACTGGCCTAGGCATATTTCTGGCCGATCGTAGAAGCAAAACGTTTACTTGTAGACGCATCGATGTATGGGGACTCGCGAGAGAGCCTATCCATTTATTGATTTAATGTGTTACAATCTTGTCAACGGATCTAACCAATGCCACTGGTGTTGGTGAGAATTATCTGTCGACCTAAGATGTTCTTGAGCTTTGCATTGGATGAGGGGAGGGGACGATACTGTTAGATTGTGTTCAATGAACCCAATGCCCCGCTTTGGGGGCGAACAGGCACCAATGTCAGCAATGCGGCTCATGCAGCGTTGTCAACAAGCCCCCATCACATGATGTTTTGATTTTATGCTACCTGTTTCGGTCCCTCCCTCATATTCCTTCATCGACGATCGCGTCAATTGTTAAATCTGCTATTGAAGCTGGTGACAGACCGATCAGCACAACGCGATGGCCTCCAAGATCGAGTACAAGTCGCAAGCAGCTGCTTATGAAATTGAGACGATCGATCTGCCAACTATTGCAAGCCGCATTAAGAACAGCCAAATCACTCGAGTGGTAGTCTTGACTGGGGCCGGTATCAGTACAGCTGCTGGCATACCTGATTTCAGATCGCCCAACACCGGCCTCTACGATAAACTCGCACCGCTAAACCTCCCCTACCCAGAGGCAATTTTCCACATCAGCTACTTTTCCCACACTCCAGAGCCTTTCTATGCAATTGCGCGAGCTCGCCATCCAGGTAATCTCAAACCAACTATCTCACATGCCTTTCTCGCACTTCTAGCGAAGAAGAATGTGCTGCATTTTGCTTTTACGCAGAATATCGATGGCCTCGAGGAGGACATGGGTGTTCCTGCAGACAAGATCCTTTGGGCGCATGGCAACTGGAAGAGCCAGCATTGTTGGAAATGCAAGGCCGAATACCCCGACGATTTGATGAAAGAGGCGATCCGTGAGGGTGAAGTGCCCTATTGCCAGAAGCCCGAATGTGGTGGTGCAGTCAAGCCGAATGTTGTGTTCTTCGGGCAATCCTTGTCCCTTGAATTTGATGAAAAACAGAGACTTGTGCCGGAGGCAGACCTTATGCTTGTTATGGGAACGAGTTTGAAGGTTGCCCCATGCTCGCAGTTACCGCGACTCGTCAAAGAGGGAACTCCACGAGTCTTGATCAATATGGAGAGAGCCGGAGATATGGGGAACAGAAACCAGGATGTGTGTGTTCTTGGCCCATGTGATGATGGCGTACGCAAATTTGCGGATGAGCTTGGCTGGAGGGATGAATTGGAAGCCTTATGGAGTAGTGTTGTGGAGACCAGGAAAGACGATCCAGAATTCGAAGGTGGCCCAAGTCTTGATGAGTGCATTGCCAAAGCGGCGATGCAGATGGATGACCGCTTGAAGATTTCGAACGGACATAAACGCATGTTAGAGAGCCACCTGGGTAACAAGCTTGCAAACATCAAAGCAAAGCCTACATCACAATCTTGAAGCTATAAGTCACGTTAGAAATATCAAACTCTCTTTTGAAGCCGTTTGGGAAGGCGTTCAATTCTTTCTGTGCCACCGGGTAAGCTGTCCGCGATTTTGGCTCCCCTCAAATCTCAAATGATGCCATCATGATGCACGACGCCATCGATGTCGTGCTTTACCTTAACTCCAAGGGGTAGGTTCTTAGTAGTCACTAGTGATCATATTCTTATTTTCAGTCTTTACCATTTCCACAGGACCAAATGCGAACGCGCTTGGCGGATAATGTCCTCCCACAAGAAAAACAATCTCCCATACATCCACCGCTATATCACCACCCACAGTTCCGAAGGCGAAGCAGTGTTTGTCTCCCATGCACAGATACCGAATTACATGCCATCACAGCCAGCCGGCGAAGATGGCGAGATAGCACTTCTTTACGGTACCACAAGTGTCCCGACCGTTATCGACGACGAAGCCGACATAGCGATGTACGACGAATTTCTCCACACACCACCAGGACTTACAACAGAGTCGGGCACTATGTTCAGGATGATCGATCTTCTACCTGGTAAGATTACTCCCATGCACCGTACCGTCAGTATTGACTACGGGGTGGTGGTGGAGGGGGAAGTCGATTTGATACTGGACTCTGGGGAAAGTCGTCATCTCCGGCGGGGCGACGTGAGTGTACAGAGAGGCACGGCACATTCATTTCGGAATCGAAGCGCGTCAGAGTGGTGCCGAATGCTGTTTGTCTTCTTGCCAATGCAGAAGATCACAATCAAGGGCAAGGAAATGGGCGAAGAGGTATATGATGAGCCTTATGAGAAGCCGGGGGATGATTAAGATCTATGACTCTTCAGTGGTCAATTATCGACTACAATTGAGAGATCCCTGGAGTACATATGACCCGTGTAGGTTCCATTCAATCAGTTGACTGATTGCCTACTACCGTGGATCCTGAACAACCCCATTTTCGTTTGAGAAATCCGACATCGCCTCATCGCCCTTTTCCCTTGTCCAGACCCCGATGGACCAAATCTGAGTCGAGTTTAGTGACGCTATTGATTTACCACGTTGTTTGGCTCATCCTGCAGCGGAGTTTCTGCTACCCCCGCATCAAGCGCGATCAGTATCCGGATCAGGTCATGCCGACCGACACACAAGGGTGTGGCCATGAATATAACTTTCTTCCACAAATGATTCAAAGATATATCCATTGAAGCATGAGAAGGGCTATTCTCGTTTCATCAACAAAATTTCCACCCCAATGTCATCCTTTTAAATCAGAATACGAAAAGGCTTGTTGCGAAGCTCTTGATCTGTCGGCCTCGTAGGACCAAGTTCGGCCAAATGCAGACTCCAATCCTTGGTTGGCGAAAGCTCTTCGAACAATAGCCGCATTGTCAGAGTGGATAGCGTTTTGTTTGCATGCGTGCAGTGGGCGTGTTTACCCGTGGTGACAATGTACTAGAATGCTGTCATCGTCGCTAATTCAGGTACCCGCTACCAAGTAGGCCCATCTTAATTGATCAGAGCAGATAAGCAGATAAGCAGATAGACACATTCCTCATCCGGCCTCAACGCCATCACCATTGGCTCACGGAAGTATTGGGATTAACCGAAGAATGTAACCCAAACCCCTTCAGGATATGGAATGTCACCCTGGGAAGAGGCTTAGGAACTTATAGCGACCCGACAGCTCTTGAAGATTGACGAGTCCAATCTATGTATTGGGGATCGAATGTATGCTCGGCAAGCCGGCACGATGGGTTTTCTAGCTTTCGACCTGGCATCAAAGGCAAGCGCCACGAGTTAAAACAATCTGATATGCAATTTACTTTGTAGCCTATACCTTGCATCCGGATTCATCAAAACTGCTTCCCTTATACAACCATGGATAGTCGTTTTTTTTCGCTTTCCATGGTACTTAATCTCTCCTGACTTGTTTGAATCCTCTAAGAGGGCCCAGGGTCTCTTGCCATGGAGCAACTCACCAACAATCCCCACTCCTGTCAACGTGCCGTCAGGAACAGGCCCAGATCACTTAGATAGAAACCTGAAGGTTCCATTGATTTCGTCACCACTCGAATGTAACCTCTTTGTGGTCTTGGACTTACTCTACTATATCTTCAGCTAGGCCTTACCACGAAACTCTTTCATCTTGTCGATATTCCAGTTATTGCATTGTAATTTCCTTATTGTGCGTGGACACTGGACTCTGAGCAGTTTCTGTCTTTTTATTCATAACTTACAATATCGGCATGCGTTACTTTCCTCTCATACTAGCGGTATCGGCTCTTTTTGCCTCCGCACAGCAGGTGACACCGGTGTCACAGAGTGCAGCCACACCAAGTGACAGTGCACAATGCGCTTCTCAACAGTAGGTATAGCAGGAAACTTTTATTCGAATCGACATGTCTAATATCAAGAAGGAATGTAGACAACTGCGTTGCGATCATGAAGAAAAATCTTCAGAAATGCTCATCAGATAACTGGGACTGCAAATGCTCAGGGTCCGCAAATATCGCAAAGTGAGTACAATCTAGACTTTCTTTTCTCTCAGTCACTCAATAAGCAGGCGTGTTCTCTGTGGTCTTATATTGACTCTAAAAACTAACGTTATACTATTAAGTTGTTACGCGAATTGCCCAGACAGCCCAGACTATATCGCCGCTCAATCATCCAGCGCCTCTAATTGTGCTACTGCCAACGCCTACGACAAGGGAAATACAGTTGTACCGAACACATGGAAGACGATGGACTTTTACAACAACGTGCACGTAACCGCCACAAGTACCGACAGTGAAGCTAGCCCAACATCTACTGGTGCGGAGAAATTGGACGCTCAAAAGGAATCTACGAAGCCTTCTAAGGGAGCCGCGAATGTGAAAGCCCAGGGAAGCTGGCTTGCTTTGGTTGGTTTGGGTATTGGCGCATTATTCTGAGGGCCGAAGAAGCTCTCGACTGGTACATTCAGCTACCCAATTTAGAATTTCTTTTCTCACTTCTCCCAAGATGCATTGTGATTCCAATGCGATTACATCTCCCGCAGTGCAGCGCTCACTATTCCACGGTGACTTGAACCTTAGACTTGTCTGTTGAAACGATACGGATCAGCTCTGTTCTTTGTATTAGCAGCTGTTCGGCTTACAGAACGCAATATGATCCTTGATATTCAAAGCCTTTTCATATGGATTTGCGTAGTACCAGGCAGCATCTTGTATGACAGAGTCTAGAAAATCGCTTCAGCATCGAGATATTCATAATTAAGGGATCACTATACTTACCGCCAGCCTTTACCGAATAGTACTCTGCTTCCCCCTTCCAGGGGCAGAAGGTCTTGGTATCAGAGTTCTGGAAAGTACTCGGGTCTTTGATAGCGGAGCGCGGAAACTGCCAAATGGAGTAGCATTAGCAGGAATCCGGTCTCCTCCATTTTCCCTTGACGTACGTATACATTCCCTTCAACCGTCTCCCAAGTGTCAGCTTCAGCCAGCACCAGGTCTCCAACTTTGGCTGTCGCGGTCGGCATATTGATCTAATGGATGAACCTTTCTTCGATGATGGCTGGATGATGGCCGAGTGTTGAATGATGGAAGGTTTGTGGTGTCAGCAAGTGTCTGGTTGGCGAACATGTCACGAGAGTGCGGGGAAGTCCAGGCTTCCTTCTGGATGCGGATATCTATTCCAGTCTCAGTTTCAGCGATCTTGGAGCCCCATTAATAGCATCTATGCCTTTGGTACCATGACTACCTCAAACACCAGGCATATTTGATCTCTCTATCGCCAACATTGTTCTACTCAGCTCGCGCCTTGTCGTATTTGTTCAGAGGCTCATGGTCCAGTGAGATTTGTCATGTTTTCGGCTTTAAACCCCATTGTCCGAGCCCATTGTCCGAGCCATACAGCGGCAGGATCGAGTGGAGATCAATAGTTAGTTAAATCATGTCGGACTTACTAAGTGACTTTACCAGTCTTATCCTTTTAGAAGCTTGTCGAAGGACCAATTCAGTTGAAGGATCAATTCAGTAAGATTGGATCTTTCCCAATCAAAACGTCAACACGATGGTGGAGTAGGATATTTTGGCCCCAAGCTTATAAATGCTCCGATTATCAATCACTGCCAACAAGTCCGCCTTGAAGGACTTGGACTATAGTAATGTAGAAAAAACACAGATATCAATAGTATAAATAACAGCTTTTTCCTAGCATAGTGTCTAGTAATCCGCACATTCTCTCGTGAGGTCTTATCTTCAAACATTCAAATTACACCTCCAGCCGCATCTCCGAAATGGACACCCCTGTTCGCCGCATCATTACCGCTCACGATATCAAGGGCAAAGCCTTCTTTGCTTCAGACGAGACCCTCATTCCGTATGATCCAACCACGGCGCCAGAATTCACCACTCCAGGCCCGAACTCCGGTTTTGGCGTTGTGCAAATTCACCGATCGCGCGGCTTCCCAGCCGATAATATGCGCGAGTTTCCCGACCCCAATAGAACCCTCGTTCCTCTAGCCGATACCAAGGGACCATCCTGTCGTATCCTTGACCTTCCTCCTGCTGAAAAAGGATGGATGCATCGAACCTTGAGCTTGGACTACGCCGTCATCCTGTCTGGAACTGTCGGTCTGATCACCGATGATGGAGTCGAGAAAACTCTCAACCCGCACAATGTCATTGTGTGTCGGGGAACAAACCACGAGTGGGTGAATCGTGGCCAGGATGTCGCTAGAATATTCGTTGTGGTTGTACCTGCAAAGGAGATTATCACGGAGGACGGTCAGAGACTGGAGAAGACGCCGGCTGGGCCCATTTTTGACCCTGAGGAAGAAGATTAGGGGAATGCCTCGAGAGGAATTCGTCACGAAAGCTATAAGTGACCGCTTTTGTATAATTGAAGATGCTTTGTTGTGATATTTATCAAACTGGAAGCTTGACTCTAACCAATTCAGTAGTCCATATAGTAAGATACTCCTTCATGATTGTTTTCGTTGTACAGAGATGAACCATGACTTGGCATCTTCGTTTTGACATGCATCCTGAAGCAAAAGCTGACAATATTCAATTTTCCATGTTTGAAGTGGCTATTGATGAAACCAGTAGTTCTCTATTGAAGGCGGTGCCACCATCAGTTCTTTATCTCGCTCATCATTCCGTGGTCGGAGTTATTCCGAGTTGATATTTACCCCCATGCCCACCCCACGCGGGGCTATTCGAGCTCTCGACGATTCAACTCTCCGGCTCGACACACCCTAGGCACTCCCAAAATGTCATATCAGCAGCCCACGTACGGTGCATCCTCCATTCTATCAAGTTGTGTTGAAGCTAACCAAAGCAGACATGTCCTCGTCACCGGCTCCACGGGCTTCATTGGCGCCCATGTCGTTGACAACCTCCTAGCTCGCGGCATTTCAGTCCGTGGTGCCACGCGATCGGCCAAAAAGGGGGAGCAAATGAAGGCAGCTCGTCCGCAATATGCCTCAAAACTGGATTTCGTTGTGGTGGAGGATTTTACCAACATTGGTGTTTTCGATGCCGCGATGGAGGGCATTGATGCTGTGATTCATGTTGCCAGTGTAAGGTTGATCTCTTCAGAGGATGGTCCAATTCCACTGACAACCCTCGCAGCCGTTCTTCTATAATACCACCAACAACGAGCAGGAACTCATCCTACCTGCGATAAACGGTGTCAAGTCTATTCTGTCCGCCTCAGCCAAACCAGGGAGTCAAGTCCGGCGTATCGTGTTAACATCTTCTTTCGCATCGGTCGTTGATATCGACAGCAACCCTTCTGTCGGTTTCATCTACACCGGTGCTCACTGGAACCCCCTCACGTATGAAACGGCAATTGACCCCAAATCCACCTCCGTCGTCGCATACCGCGGATCCAAAAAGTTCGCAGAGCTTGCTGCATGGGATTTCGTCAAAAATGAAAAGCCCCAATTCGACCTCGTTGCTCTCTGCCCTCCGATGGTCTTTGGTCCAGTTGTTCACCCGGTTCCCAATGTTGATCAACTGAATGAGTCCAATGCGATTCTTTGGAGTGTAGCTGCGGGCGTTGACCCCCTTCCCGGAATCCGTGTGCCAGCTTGGATCGATGCTCGAGATCTTGCCGAGGTGCACGTTCAGGCCCTGCTAAGATCTGAGGCTGGTGGAAAGAGGTTTATCCCTGCGTCTCCTGAGCCCTTCTCGTATGAATACGCAGCAGATATTATGAAAGAGAGTTTTGACTGGGCGAAGGAATCGGTGACGAGCAACTACAAGACTGGGGAGACGCCACATGCCTCTTATGGCGTTGATGGGGAGACGGTTGCCCGAGAGCTTGGGGTGAAATATCACAGTTTCAAAGACACGGTAGTAGACTTTGTCAAGCAAGTCAAGGAGACTCTTGCTTAAACAGGTCAGCTGGATTCTAGAAGTATTGATCGACAGGGAATTGACTCTTTTGACGACATGCATGACGCTTCAAACAGATCCAGACCAATCCTCTCGAATCATGGCGGCTCCTTTCTCTGCAATAGCATACACAGTTGCCTGGATATGGGCGCCAACCTGTAGAGGCATGACGCTAGCGTCTATAACGCGCAACCCTCGTACTCCGTACACCCGTAGCCGCTCATCAACGACCCCAGTCTTTGCTCCTTCACTTCCTCCCATTGCACAGGTACCAACCGCTAGATCAAGAATTAGCTGAAAGAGCAATGACGCACAAGGAATCTTGGACATACGATGCCAATCCGTGACGGTATAATTCGAGACAAACTCCTCGTGGACACTCTGTTCTAAGGTCGAATTCTCACTCAGGGGAGGGAAGACCCGCTTCTGTATTATTTTTGCGAGAGGCTCTGTCTGAGATATCCTTTCAGCCATTCGTTGACCTAGGACCATGACTTGCCGGTCAATTTCTCCAGGTCCTTGATAATACCGAGGGTCAATGACAGGTTTATCACCAGCTGTACTTTTGCGTGACAGGTCTTTCTGGGGAGATATGTGAATAGAGCCTCGAGAGAATGGATACTGGAGCATCTGCAATAGAGTTCCGTATTTTTTTCCCGGTTCGGACTCGAAATATGTGCTCCAGTTACCTAGATCAAAGATGTACTCGAGCTGGCCTCGCATTTTCTTCGTTGAATCGAATTGTTCACCAAGAAGGTCGTCCTGTGATCGCCCCGTTTCTCGGGCAATATTCTGCGCGATTATATGCAACTGGGCCTGTTCGTTATGAGATGCCACTTGAGCTAGAGGGCAGTAAGCGACAGAACAGGGTAACACAGTCCATGGCCCGGTTTGTGAAGCGTAGTAAGCTCGGTCGGCGGCCTCGCGCAAGATAGTGTCGTTGAAAATGTCATCACGAGATGAGAGGGTTGGTAAAACTTCAAAAATAGTTGCAGTCACTAGAAAACATGTTACACTAGGCTCTGGAGTCTTGAAGAAGGAGCCAACTCATACTCATGTGGTCCTGCAGGTTCTCTCCAACGTTCGAGTTATCGATCTTTACATCGATTCCGGCCGCTTCGAGCACCTTTCTTTGGCCAATACCCGAGAGCTCTAATAATTGTGGCGACTGGACACTGCCTGTGGATAGGATCACCTCGCGGACAGTTTTGAGGTCCTTCTCCTCGTCGCCATATCGAACTCTCACGCCAGTCGCACGCCACTCGCCATTGATGGTTTCTACCAGCACATTCAGCACGGTCGCATCGGTCAGTACATGTAAGTTCTTCCTCGTCGCGACCGGCGCAAAGTAAGCCAATGCAGAGTAACTTCGCTCCTGCCGATGAGGGTCTATCGTGCACACCATGTTCCAGACTCCGCAATTCGAGCCAGCGAGCGAGTCGTGATTGGAAGCCACCCCCAATTCTTTAAGCGCAGCATGCCAGTACTGATGTGCTGGTCCGTACTGTTTGATATGTGTCGTATGAAGAGGCCCAGTGGTCCCGTTGAATTCATCGTCGTAGGAAGAGTGATAGTACTCTTGATGTGCAGCACTGGGTTGGTGGAAGGTCTCGCTTCGTAGAAAATACGGACTGCGACCGTTAGTCACGTCCACCCCCGGAACAAATGGTCTGCAACTGAACTGGGTGTTGATAGAAGTTACAGTAGATCATCCCATCCCCAGCCTTGGTTCCCTAGCCGGGCCCATGCATCATAGTCTCCGCGATGGCCACGATTCCAAGCCATGAAATTTAGTGCACTGGTACCGCCCAAAACTCGCCCTCGAGGCCACTTGAGCGACCGCCCTCCAAGGCCTGGCTGAGGAGTGGTTTCGAACTGCCAGTCATACTTGGATCCGATAGTCTCGCCATAGCGACCTGGCACTGTAATCGCACCGCCATCCTTCCCATCTAGTGCTGAAGGGCCAGCTTCGATCACCCCCACATTTACTTCGGGGTCTTCACTGAGACGGGCTGCGACTGCTAACCCTGCAGTACCGCCTCCCACGATAATATAGTGTAAAGGAAGCTGGCAGAACGTCTCAAAGTCTTGAAACATGATGAGTTGCTCGTTTGTCATGCGAAACCCCGCGATGAGGGGGCAAGTCTTGGAATGTACCAGGCAGCTAGTCCATCAGGCCCCCAGCTAGTCCATTAGGCCCCAGCACAGTGAGATCGACAAATCGGTAGACAAGTGATTGTGATTCGCTTGATAACACTAACCTTTCGAGGTATTTGAAAGCAACTTCCCGAAATGAAAATCGTACACAAGCTTATTTTCAGCTCATGTTTGGACCATACCACCATAGCGTTGCATCTCGTGGGATTTCAGATCTGATTGGTCGACTTTGTTTGGGCGCCACAGTAAGACCGAACAAACGCTCGCATTAGTCGACAAGTCCGGAGGGGTATAACTGGGGCCTTTCGGTGCCTGAACGAGAGATCAATATTACCAATGCAGTCATAGATGGATTCATTTAAATCTGGCTACACCGACTATTTCGTCCACATTCTACTCGCGACCACCTCGTCTGCCTGCCGTCAGCTCGAGTGAAACAACACCCACGTTCCACGAGATAAAAAGTGCAATCACACACATGGCGAGCGCGGGGACTCTCAAGCTCGAGCCAGCCACTCTCGAAGATGCCCCCGCTATTGCGGAGCTGTGGTTTGCGGCCTTCACAGACCCTGACATGCGACACTTGTTCCCCGACACGCCCGGATTCCGTCAATGGTGGATCAAGGCGAATCACGATGATATGATCAATAAGCCATTCCAGAAGTATCTTAAAGTGGTCGACACCGAGGCCACCGACGAGCAAGGCCGACCGCGGATGGTTGCGTATGCCAAATGGGACTTGTCCACCCTTTCCGATCGGGGGCGTCGCTATCCACCTTGGCATGAAGACCAGCCTGCGGATGAATGTGAGGCCTTCTTTAGCGGGGTCGATCAAAATCGCATTCGGATCATGGGGGATCTGAAGCATTATTGTAGGACATTCACGCTACATCCGTTTTACTTTTTCTAGCGTATTGAGTGCTAATCCCCGGTATTAGATCTTGACATGCTGGGTACGCACCCTGACTACAGGAAGCGAGGTGCAGGTTCCATGCTTGTCCAATGGGGATGTGATTTGGCCGATCGTGAAGGCGCCGCCGCATATCTGGATGCTAGTAAGGCTGGAGCTCCCTTGTATAAGAAGTTCGGGTTTGTGGACCACAGCCCACCCGGCTCCGAGAGTTTAGTTGCCTCGATGGCGCGGAAGTAGTATAGATATTTATAGAGTTCCAATGGAGGGGATTGATGTTTATATCTTGAAATTCGACAATGTATCTGTATAGTTATCTATCTTGCCGCTGGAGGTACCCAGGGATGCAGACCTACGGAGTTCTTGGAGCAGTCTATATCTAGTGATTTCACAGGTGTACGGCCACGGGGGCCCTCCGACTTGCCGCAGATGTGTAAATAAGGTGGCTAGCTAGTTGAATACGAATATGGTGGCTTCATTAAACTCTCCAAGTCCCGTAGTCACTTTCCCCAATTCTATGGATAATTTCTTTTCCCTCGCCAAGCTTCCCCGCCATACACTTGGTGATGAAAGGACGGGTGGTGTGGCGAAACACGCATGAGTAAGGTCAGAAAGACCAGGGTCTACTGTATTCTTGCTATTTCCGGCCACCCTTCCCCGGCTGGTCAAAGAAGCCCAGATCGGCAAAACTACGGAGAGAAATCTATCAAACTCAGTACGGTGAAGATTGACAATGCAGGTAAACATCGGAACAATTCTAGGCGACGCTGCGCCTCCGCACTGCTTACCCCTGGCCCCCCTGCAATCTACCTTGACTCAAGTATTAACCAAAGTACGAAGTATTTTGCTGCCCATCGCCAACGTGTCGTGGATAGATAGTCAGATGCAAATGAACCAGTCCAATAGGACATGACTCGCCATGCTCGGCGCCTGTTATCGACAATCGGCAAAGAGCTGTGGACGCCTCAATTTGCGACTTTGCAAAAGCCCCTAGCTCCCTAGCTCCACCTGGACGCACATCCCGCCTCTGTACGTCATTTACTGGGATGTACCTAACTAAAGTCCTGGAAATTGGGTGCTGGACTAGAAGCTAGGGACGAGACTAACTTCAAATGCTGCCAAGCCCGACATCGTCTGAGGAACCAGCGCTGAATGGAGCACTGCAGATCAGTGGCTCCCCGTCCAGACCAACGCCATTACCAAGCACGACGGGCTCGACCATGTTGCTTCAAAATCAACCCTCCGTGGTTGAAGAACGCTATCACTAGCCAAGAAACGAGTCCACTTCTCTTCACACCCTGGTCAATTCATCCTTGGTCTGCCTTTCTAGGTGTCTCCTCCGGTTTTGAGGCCGGTCCCCGCCAAGATGCTTGTCGTAGCCCTTCGGCCGGCGAACGATCGCTCCCTTGCCGAACTAGTCTTACCATGATACTCGTCAAATTTTTGCTGACCTCCCACCAGTTGGTCTCAATTGATTGGGTCTACAAACTCCTCGTTCCTTCCGGTGGATACCCAACCATCAGTGCTGATTTAGAGAACAAGCCGACGGGCAAACCGTTTCCAGACAGGAAGCGGATTCTGGTATCATGCCGAATCCCTGCGCCGAGATACATATCATTTGATCAATTCTCCACTTCCCACTTCCAAACTCCACCTGCCGATGAGCCAAGTCGTATTACACACCTGGGGTTCTAGCCCGCTGCTGCAAGAGCTGCTAGAGTAATCACGTCTCCGCTGGATTGGCAGTCGCGACCCGGTCCTGCCTGCACGATGCCCATGTGGTGTCCTTGGCTCTGCATCATTCGATCGAATTGGATTCGTCATTGGGCTCTTTCCAAGGATGGCTGTCAAATAGATCCCTTTCTCCCCGCCCCCTCACCGGCACAGCTTCTTCCTCATATAAACAAAGCTTCCAACTCCCCGGGTGACGCGCAAATATTTCTTAGTCTTGCTGTCGGGCTTCTATAGTGCTTCCTCGCGGATTGAGTGACCCCTCGCAGTCTATACAATGCGTGGAATTGCTCTCCTGACGGGCCTCGTTGGCATCGCCAATGCTGCCTGTCCATACATGACGGGTGAGGCAGGTTTGGTTCGTCGTGATGATGGAGATGCCGCTGCGGACACCGAAGAATTCCTGTCCGACTTCTACTTGAAGGACGAGGACGCGTTCCTGACTTCGGACGTTGGCGGTCCCATTGAAGATCAAAACAGCTTGAAGGCGGGAGAGCGTGGGCCCACGCTTCTGGAAGACTTCATTTTCCGCCAGAAGATTCAACGGTTTGATCATGAGCGAGTATGTTGACTTCCCTCACGATGGCCAAAGGGGTATCAAGAGCTGACACAACTTGACTGAATAGGTTCCCGAGCGCGCTGTCCATGCCCGTGGTGCCGGTGCCCATGGTGTATTCACATCCTATGGTGACTGGTCGAACATCACCGCTGCTTCCTTCCTGTCTGCGAAAGATAAGGAGACACCCGTCTTCGTTCGCTTTTCCACTGTCGCTGGCAGCCGCGGAAGTGCCGATACGGCTCGCGATGTCCACGGCTTTGCGACTCGCTTTTATACCGACGAAGGAAACTTTGGTGTGTATCAGGATTCTTGAGACACTGGCAGGATGTACCTCTGACAAAAAGCTAGATATTGTCGGCAACAACATCCCCGTATTCTTCATCCAGGATGCTATCAAGTTCCCTGACTTGATCCACGCTGTGAAGCCTCGGGGCGACAATGAGATCCCTCAAGCGGCGACTGCGCACGACTCTGCTTGGGACTTCTTCAGCCAGCAGCCCAGTACTCTGCATACGCTTCTGTGGGCAATGGCTGGTCACGGTATCCCTCGATCCTTCCGACACCTTGACGGTTTTGGTGTGCACACCTTCCGTCTGGTCACCGAGGATGGTGAATCCAAGCTGGTCAAGTTTCACTGGAAGGGCCTTCAGGGTAAGGCTAGTCTGGTCTGGGAGGAGGCACAGCAGGTGTCTGGTAAGAATGCGGACTTTATGCGTCAGGATCTGTTTGAAGCTATCGAAGCTGGCCGCTATCCAGAGTGGGAGGTATGTGCATCCACCGTCAGCAAGTCTTCGGCTACTAACAGTCCAAGCTCGGCGTTCAAATAATGGACGAAGACGATCAACTCCGCTTTGGATTCGACCTTCTTGATCCGACCAAGATCCTTCCCGAGGAATACGTGCCCGTCACCAAGCTGGGCAAGATGCAGCTCAATCGGAACCCGTTGAACTACTTTGCCGAAACTGAACAAGTCATGGTACGCCCGCCGCTTTCTACTTACCAGTCAGCCCTTGCTAACAGTCTCAGTTCCAACCCGGCCACATCGTCCGCGGCGTCGACTTCACCGAAGATCCCCTTCTTCAGGGACGCCTCTTCTCCTACCTAGACACCCAACTCAACCGAAATGGCGGCCCCAACTTTGAACAGATTCCAATCAACCGCCCGCGCGTCCCCGTTCATAATAACAACCGTGATGGAGCCGGCCAGATGTTCATCCCCCTCAACCCGAACGCCTACACACCCAATACGCTCAACAACGGCTCCCCGAAGCAGGCCAATCAAACCGTCGGCAACGGCTTCTTCACCACGCCCGACCGTACCACCAGCGGCAAGTTGCTTCGTGCCGTCAGCTCTACCTTTGAGGACGTCTGGTCGCAGCCACGCCTATTTTGGAACTCGCTCGTGGCTGCCGAGAAACAGTTCGTCGTGGACGCGATGCGCTTCGAGACCGCGAACGTGAAGAGCACCGTCGTCCGTGACAACGTCATCATCCAGCTTAACCGCATCAGCAATGACCTTGCCAAGCGCGTTGCCGAGGCGATCGGTGCTGAAGTACCCGAACCTGACCCGACCTTCTACCATGACAACACAACGGCGAACATTGGTGCCTTTGGACAGAAGCTGCTGAAGCTGGATGGCCTGAAGGTGGGTGTTCTTGCCTCCGTTTCGAATGCGTCGTCTATCGCCCAAGGCGCCGAGCTTCAGAACCAGCTGAAAGAAGCTGGTGTCGATGTGTCTGTCGTCGGTGAGCGACTGGCCGATGGCGTCAACCAGACGTACTCGGCCACGGATGCCATCAACTTTGACGCGGTGATCGTTGCAGATGGCGCCGAGGGGCTGTTCGGCTCCAACTCGTTCACCGCATCGCCCACGGCCAAAGCGTCCGGTGCTACCTCGTTGTATCCCGCCGGCCGACCCTTGGAGATTCTTGTTGATGCTTTCCGATTTGGCAAGCCGGTCGGTACCCTGGGTCAGGGTGTTCTTGCGCTGGATGATGCCCAGATCTCTGCTGATCGGGACGGCGTGTACGTCGCGGATGCGGTTGATGAGGATTTCGCCAACCATGTGAAGGATGGACTACTCACGTTCAAGTTCTTGGATCGATTTGCACTAGACGCGTAGATCCAGACCCTTGGATTGTTGCTCTGTTGTATCTTTACTTTTGGGGATGATTCAGTATCGATATCATCCCTGTAATTATTCTTATGTTGCTTATGTCTAAACTCGACCGTTGTATTATGTACTTCATTCCGCGGGAATCAGAGTCACAATTATACCAGGAATAGTAAATCCTATTCTGTTATACGATAGAACTAAACCCGGTGCGAAAACTATATGTACAAAAATCATCTCGTCGGATCATTCGTCAACTCCCTCCAGACCGTGTAATTACAATCCGCTCTTGGCGGAATTCTTGTACCGACGCTCCATGAACGACCGCGAGCCAGCCAAACTAGCCGCAGTACGAGCATTCATGGCCCGCTTAGCAGAACCACCATGCTGAGTATCATTAGAGGTCTGCCCGATAATCGCCCACTCAGCAACGGTCGCACCAGTCCCATTACCAGCCTTGATATCCACCTCATCAAGCGCCTGGTTCCCCACAATAAGAAGCGACGCAAACCGCGCCACGGGCACGGGGCTCGAAAGCGTCACATTCGTCGTGTTCCCAACGGGAATAGCGATAGTATCCAGATTGGTAACACCCGCCTCATACGGATGCGACACGGTGACATTCGTCAACGAACTGATAACCTGGTAATCGCCCGTCGACCCGGACTCGAAGGTCTGCACAGCATTGGACAGGGTCTTGTTGTGGAAGATCACGGTTGCGTTGACGGGTGGGGCCTGGGCCCAATCGAATTGGAAGCCGGAGACCATTTGGCCGGATTCGTTTTCGAGGGAGATGGTGATGGCGCTGAGGTTTGAGGCGAGGGACGGCTGCCATTTTGTGGATGTTGCGCCGTCGTTGGCGGAGATGGGGAATTGGCCTGGTTCATAGGTATTCAGTGAACTGATCGGTTGGCATTGGACTAGGTTTCCGGTGATGGTGTTGATGTGACCGATTTGGCGGTTTGGAATGACGATTTTGCCGTTGGTGGGCAGGTTGTAGGTCGTGAAGTTTGATTCTGGGCCGGCGTGGACGGTGATGGAGGAGTTTTTGAAGCGCGTGTCTGCGGTGTCGAGAGGTTGACTGTTTGCGCGGGTGAGGGTTGTGTGGGTGAAGTTTGACCATGCGGAGATGGGCCAGCCGCGCCAGTAGAAGGTGCGGTACTTCAGGTAGGGGATTTGCGGGGGCAGGTTGGGGTCGACGTGGAGGATGTCGTCTGGGAGGAGACGAAGGCCGAGGTAGCCGAATAGAACTACTTGGTTGGAACCGCCGTGGCCGGTGAGGAAGGGGAAGGCCGGGTGTGTGCCGCCGTTTGTGGTGGCGTTGTCGATGAGTTGTTCGGACATTTGGTAGAAGGGGGCGCGGGCGTATGGCTTATAGGCGTATTGCGCATAGGTGTACGCTGAGCAGCCCGAGGGGGACATTTCATTTGCGACGGCGGAGAAGATAGCCCATGTCATGGCTGGTCCATCGGCTGATTGCTTGTTCGCGTACTGTGGAGTGTTAGCTTGGGATTTTTGAGTGGTTTTAAATGGGTTTGAGTGGTACTAACGTAGTCGAGGTCGTTCAAGGATTCCTGCGGGGTGTAGTTGGTAGTGTAGTCCAGAGGGTAGGTGTTCAGGACAACATCAGCCTGCTTCACGACGGCACTGCCGTTCATAGTGGTGAATTCCAGGGTGACTCCGTTCTCGCGGATGACCAGAACATTCTTGGCCATGTCGTCCCAGGTGGCGTTTTCAGCGAGACCAAATTGCTGGCGGAACTGATTGGCGTACGACAGAGTCTGGGCAATGAGCGGCATGGTGAAGCCACCAGCGTCGACGTGGTTCGCATACTCATCCTAGAAATTGTTAGTATATCATCAATAGCGTAGACAGAGGTCGTTGCTCACGGGATCAGTCATATTCTTGAGAGTCCAGGAAGATCCGTTCTGCACCAGGAGATCGGCATAGAGTGTAGCGATCGAGTTATAAATTGGAAAGAAGGTCTCCTTGAAGGTCTTGTTATCACCACTAGCCACCCACTCATTAATGATTGACAAGCCAATGTCACCATTCAAGTGGTACTCGTAATCCCAGCAAGGACCGGTAGCGGTACAGTTTCCCGGGCGTCCACTAGTCCAGGGATAGATAGCAGCATCGGGCGAGAAGTACGTTTGGTTCTGCGACCCGGCAAAAGAAGTCTTGATATTTTCCCGCGCCTGGGCATATTTGTCCACGCGGTAATTGGTAATGCGTTGAGCGGCTTCCGGGTGAGATGCAGCCAGACCGGGCTGCATCCAGACATCGGCATCCCAGAAGACCTGGCCAGCGTAGGAATCGGATGTCAAACCACCGACAGAAATACTGTCTCGGTTGAGGGCGGTGCTGTTGGACATTTTTATGGCGTTCTTTCCGACGGTGTTCTGCAGCAGATAATAGGTGTTGGCTACTGCGATCACGGCAGAATCGATGATGTATCTGTCCGTGGGCAGGCTACCATTGGGGAAAGCATAGTGATCCACCGAGTCCACGGGCATGACACTTGCCCACTCCGCAACGTGGCTGCGAAGGGACTTGGCGTATCCGTTCATGGCCGCAGACGAGACGGCCGCCTTGGCGACATTCTGCGGGTTGGCAAACGCATCCGTGGAAGCACCACCGACAAATTTGGTGACACGCACGGTCTGTCCCTTCTTGAAATTGACGGTAACGGTCTGGGCGATGGAAGAAGAGTTGGAGCTAACATATGGCTTGGCATCAGCCAGCTTCCGCGAGGACAAATCCACGTTGGAAGAGGCGGTGAGATTGGCATAGATGTAGGCCGTGACATTGGCGATACCATTTGGGCGCACAGCCGAGTAGATAGCCCCATTGTCTTCACCAGAGCGAACAAAGTCCGTGCGGACAGCAGAATATCCCTCCAGAACATTGGCAATGGTTGCATTGGAGTCCTGGGAAGAAACAATCTCCATATCCACAACAGCCTGGTTGACATACAACTTGTTGGCAAAGAGGCGATACTTGATATCAAAGGAACCATGATCACCCTTGGGCTTCCACTGATAAGACCACGACAGGACACCAGCCTGGAAGTCAAAGGTAGAGGTAAAGTTCGAGATGGTCGAGTTATCAACATTTGCATCCAAGTAGGTACTGTTGTCAAGCTCCAAGATCAGTCCACTCCAGTGGGGAACACCACTGATAACGCTGTCACTCCCGTACTGGGAGATCCAGTCAAAATTCGATTTATTAGTAGTGGGCTGGGAATCCCAGAATCCACTGATCGTCGCGAAAGACTGACGCCGTGAGAAGAGCGGCCATCCACTGATCACGTCGCCTCCCTTGGCTTCGTTATCCATTTCGAAGAACGGACCGACGCTGGCAACGTTGATACCGAGGTATCCGTTAGCGACGGAGCCTCGTGTCTGGAAGCGACCCTGCTCGAGAGTGGTGGTTGTCAGGAGCCAGTTGTCGTCATCCCAGGTCACGCCTTCAAAGTCGGTCTGGTAGACATTTCTGCTTTTGTTTGATGCGGATGCACCATGTGCGGCGTAGGCCTTTAGGCATCTGTTCACACGGCTTGCTGGGGAGTCCGCGTTGACCAGTGAGTCCAGTTGGAGGAACACTGGCAGTGCCGTCCAAAGGAAAGACTAAAGCCGGGTTAGGACCGGATCGAGTGTGGTGAAGAGGGATATGATGGAGGAAGCTACGAAGCTACTCACTTTGAACTGCATTTTGCAGTCTATCCTCCGACTGAGGACGCTTAGTCGTGGTCAAGTGACTGCTCTGGTGGGAAAGAAGCGAGGGGTCCTTCGACTATCCTCTATAGAGATGTGGTGGTGGTGGAGGGAGGAGGGAGAGATGTTCAAGTAACTACAAACACGCCAAAAGAAAGGAATCCCGGCGATGCGCTAGCTATTTAAAAGCAAGTCCCGTCCTTGCCGGTTGGATTTAGGAAGGTGAGCGCCGATCCCAGAACCACATGGCACTTGATACTTCCACAATGTGCAAAGTCAAATCCCCCGACTCGCGCAGACCCAAGCCATCCCGTGCGCTCAATGTGGGGAAAGCCAACCAAAGTTACTTCACGTTGCAGTCGGGGTTTATGACAACCCAATTCAGAGACAGGGTTTTGCTTCGATGTGGGCAAATTATACGAGCTGCACATCGCCTCTTCCCCAGTGGGGTTTCTGTCTGTGCAGGTCCGCCCCGCCAAGCCAAGTCGGGGAAACAAAAATGTCGTATGAGGCTGGTGCCGAGCATTGCCTCCAGTCGTTGCTCTCTGGTGGCGCCGGAAGAACCGGTTCAGAAAGGACCCTCCACCCAGAGACTGGCAAAACCCCATGACGCTCGTTGGCTGATTTTGGGTTGCTTGTGTAGGTTTTGGAAATCTGGGTTTCTGGGGTGTCACGTTGTGCCGCTCGATGCCGGTACTTGGTTAGTTTCCGGGCATTCCAGGACCGAGAAAGTCGTTAGATCGGCCCCTGTTCGGAGTTACCAGGCAGCGATCTGTTGGGAAGACGGACGGCATCTCGTCATTGAGCCCGGATCCTTGGAAAGGGTGGGCGCAGAGTTATTGTGGGGTCGGTTGAGGTGATTTCTGCTGGGTTGAGGAGCCCCGGACGGGATCACTGACGCGGGTCCCATAAAATGCCCGACAAAAGCCCGTCATGGCTGGCCGGGATAGGCAAGTCCCTGTGTGCACGAAGTTTGTATATGAGGGGTGGCTAAACCGAGGGGACGGTGCGCAGTATTTTGGTTCTGGAGATGTGTCAGGGCAATTCATGGAAATGTTCTCGATGCCTCATTCATTTTAAGGTTGTTCGGCGTCGAGCGCCAAAATGCTTGGGTAGACGCCTGAGGCACTAAAAGGCACAGTACTATAACTACATCCCCACTCCAATCGACTCCAATCCAATGGACACTCCTAAGTGATGTAGTTTCTTGTTCACTCTATTTTAAGTCTATGTAAATTGACGAATCTGGAGTCGAGAATATTCAGACCGACCGGGTGCACGAGCAGGTGGTTTCCAGGGTGACGGACCCTACATGAGCTAAACCATACAAGTATATCGAAATCAGTAGCACGTGTTCAATTTATCGCTTTATCTTAAGGATATGTCTGGGCATGTTATCTAAGAGCGGCTCTACGGCAGTAGGAAATGCATCAATCAAGTGTTGGTCTTAGACCACAATGGATTCGTGCCAGCGTCTCCTCGATCATTTGGACCCTCTAGACTAAGATTCTAAATCACGAATTGTGAACAGTCGTAGTCCTCGAAAAGTGACACGGCTGGGCGATCAAGATCGCTCATCGGAGCTATGGTATGGTACGTCCATCGGCTGTCGGATGAATCGGCGCTCCTTCATGCGCCCATGTGGAGAACGTGGAACTGGATAGCCCTGCGTAAACATCCTTTTTAAGGACTTGTACCTGAAGATCGCAACACTCGTCCACCGATGGCGCGCGGAGGGGCCTCTGGGAATTGGTGAAGGTTGTAGAGAAGTTTGCCAAGTTGCATGGCACAGCACTGGAATCCGAGATTGAATCTCTGCATCCTTGTCTCCTCGTAGCTCACCCCTCCTCCTCCTCGCCAACTTCAGAAGCACCAGCATGATCACTTCCTAATTCAGGAGAGGCCTCAGTCTCTTGTCGCACATTTCGACTCGGCCTTGGGCGACTCGTCGCCTCGACGGCTCTCTCACCCACAAAATTCTCTCCAGACCAGTCCCCTTTACAGATGGGACATTTCTCTGCTTGTTGCATGCGGAAGAAATTGCGCACACAGTGATCATGAAGCCGACCCGAGCAATTCCGATCATCACACCGTTGACCCTAGAAATTCATAATCAGTTCGCTGGAACCCCAAAACACGATGCCCGATTCGGGGGTGTCATTCTTACCACCGTGATAATATCCTTGCAAGCATTGCAAAACTTAATCCGATGAACCGTCTGCCCATTCACATCCTCGTCATTATACGTCGACACCAACCAAGTCCGTAACTCCATCAGCCCGCGAGGACTCAAACTGAAAAACCCCTTCCTGCTGATCTCCAACCACCCCTCTTGAGTCAACGATTTCATCATGTCCTGCGCTTGCTGCATAGTCAAGTTCTGCGCCGCCCCGCCTTCAGCCTGCTGCGTTCCAAGATTGGTTGTCCGCCGGCGGTCTCCGCCCGCTTTCGCAAGTTGAACGGCCTGCATGGAGGTAATGACCATTCCCTCGCATCGGCGTGTGTTATTCGTGTCGAACATGTAGTCCAAGACTCGTTTGACGAATGCGATTTCATCGGGGGAGTGTGTCGTCGCGAGCTGGGTGAGGGGATCGCTGGTAGTATTGACGAGTGCGTAGACTAATACGGGATGTGCATGTGAAGCATCTTGGTGGGTTTCTTTCGGGTCTTGTCGGCGGGAGGTTCTGATTTCCAGGTCAAAGGGAGAGATGGCCGAGTTCGCGGTCTCGACGAAGGCGCTGAAATCTTCTAGGGTGATCTGCTCTGGTTCAATGGGTCCTCCTTCTGTTGGTATGACGGTGATTAGTGACACTTTCAAAACGAACGATCGGGGTTGAGGGGAAATATGCGTACGATGAGCGGAGAGTATCGCTGCTAGCACTGGCTGGGCCTCTTCGAAGGTCATAGTTGACCGGGCCATGAAGGCTTGGAGAAAGGCGCGATTGCTGTCATTATACCCGTTGACTTCCATGGTGCCTGGGTCCGCGAAGGAGCCGTATCAACAGGATTGCAAGAGGTGGGAGTGTCTGTCGCGAAATATGAAGGAAGTGGTGGGACGCGATTCTACGCGCTGCGTGTGGGGTGCCAAGACCTGCGGACAAAGAAGTCAATGGCATGTCCATCACATGAGAAATTACTGTAGGGGTTTGCAAGCCAGTTAATATCAACAAAGCAAGTCATTTTGAAATCCCTTGATCATTATATTGCCACTCGTCGGGTATTTGGATCATCTCGTTGAACTGTCTCTCGAATCTATCTCCGAGTATAATGTACATTTACGTAGAGCGTTCGTAAAACAGCCTGCCATGTCAAGGAGAATGTACACATCGAGCCGAATCCACTTTAGCCCATGGCACTAAGTCAAGACTGGCGATTCTTCGAAGTTACAAGGATGCGATTCCCTCAAAAGGCCATCAACAAGTACATACCTTTGCCATATGGGAAGCGTCTGAGAAGCACTCACTCATATAGATGACTGTCAAGTGGGCGGTAGCCAGCGAGGTATACAAGTGCAGAACGAAGAACATTCATTCACGTGAAAATCGATTAGCTTGCAGGTCTGATATCATGCGGTAAAATACAAGATGCCAATCAGCGAAAGCATATGCTGAACCCCCAGTCCTTACGGCGCTGCTTGCGCACAAAAAGCCTCGAAAGTGGACTCAAATAGTTCACAGACCTCGCCCAACGCCGGGAGTATGAAAACAGGAATACAAAGGAAGCACGATTCCAGAAAGAAAAGGAACCGAGGGAGAAAAAGAGAACACCGTCACTCAACGCTTAAAATCTCCGCCGAGTCGGCTCCGGGCTTGGGCTGCGGCTGACGCTGCGGGCATCGCGACCCCGTTCCTTAAGCCACTTCTTTGTGCTCAGCCGCAGCTCTCGGTCCAACTCGGGCCCAGGGTCTTTGCGATGAATGAAATTGCAGAATCCCCCACGTACACATCCCTCTCCGCTGTTGAGTCGACAACACGCTTCTCGGAAATCTGTCACAGGTGATAGCTCGCAGTATATGGGTCGCGCAGCGTACCACCGGGAGTTCAATGCATCGCATGCTGCTTGTGCGTCTTCTTCGTACTTGAATCGAGCGTAGACATTGCCGATCAGGTCTGTATTGGAGAAAGAAATGTTAGTCACGTACATCCAAAGCTCTTGAATGGAATCAAAAACACCACGAGGGCAAACTTACGGTCATTGTTGTTGTCACAGACAACCAGCTCCTCGATCTCACCATACTTGCACATCTCACACCATACGTCCTCGTAGAAAGCGTCAAAGTGGTTCTGCAGCTGGCTCGGGTTCATCTTGTTCTTAGGATCGTAGGCCGGGTTCTGGTACATATTCGGCATGAGGACGGTCTGCGAGTACGAAGGCTTCACGTGTTTACGAGAGCAGCGGTCGCCGTGGCGGCATGCGCCGATCTTGTAGTAGAAGGAGCAATTGACCTTGTCCTGCTCGGTACCGAAGATGGAGGCGAGGTAGTTGGCCATGTTGGGCTGATGTGAAGGCTTTCGGTCGCCGGAGTAGACTTATGTAGGAAGGTGGAGAGATGGAGGTGATCCGCGCAGGGGAGGCGATAGAAGCGACGGAGAGAAGAATTGCGAAGGAGCGGTCGATTGCTTGGTGATATCGGATGCCTGAAGTTTCTGGAGAGCTCCAGTGGCAAGCTGACTAAAGCCGGGAAGCTTTCGCCGGATCAACTATCATCCGAGGTATTGTAAGCGGCTCTGGGGCCTTAATTAGTTAGTTAACTAGATGGGTTTGTCAAGAATGACTGTTGCTTGTATAATAAGAGTGTTTGAGGATGCGAATGAAAATAAAGTCTCAGGGCTTCAGTTCTTGGGTTGATTGAAATTGAGTATTCCATCATCCTTTTTGGGACATCCGTAGGTACATGGAAAATCGTGACCGTCCACGCGCAAGGAGTTCAAGGCGACATTGGATTTCCAGTCCACGGAGGCTTTAGGGGCTAATCAATGGCGAAACAGCTAGTAAAGACGAGTGGTGTGGGTTTTATGCCCTTCTGGTGCGTATGTTTTTGCGGATCTCTCTAATTTCGGAGGTCCAAAACATATTCCCGAGTCTGTGTACGGAGTACAACATTATACATCACGCTTTCTCGCCGTTGTTTAGCCGGTAGTCGCAGCAATTCTATACCTAAAGGGGATTTCTAAATTCACGACAGCATCATATAGATCCAATCATAGTCAATTGCTCCACTCGTTTTTTTTCTATCACCTTGAAGAATGTTAAGCTGTCTTGTAAACTGGCACAGCATGACGTCGGCAGGCCGAATGCCTCGGGCACCCCGCGAGATTAATAAGCCCCGCATCGAACGGCTTCTACCAGCATTCTGCAGGTCCCATCGATCCAGTCATATCGAGGCTTTCAGGTACAAAGTCACTCGTGTGTATCATAACTTCACCGGTGAGTTCCTTTGTCTTTTCATGGTCATTTTTCAGAGCGTTCTTCGGGAGATAATATTTTGCGTGTCCGAATCAAGCTTGCGTCTTTGGGCTCTTCGAGCGAGATCCCATATTGGAAAGCAGAGACCCTTGTCCACAAACCCTGCCAGCTCAATTTGTTGTCAATACTGAAAGATTTACTGACAAAATTCGCAGTATTAAATATGGCAGCTAAGACTATCATTATTACTGGTGCATCTCGAGGTCAGTGTCACCCCCCGCTTGCGTCTCTAGCAAGGACTGACAACCTCTAGGTATCGGTCTTGCCATTGCCAAGTACCTCCTCACAGCACCCCAGGCACACAATGTCGTCGTGGTGGCCCGCAGCGTCGAGCCTCTCCAGAAACTTAAGGAGCAGTACAGCAAGCAGGTTGAGGTGGTCAACGGTGACCTGGCTGACTTCTCTCTCGCTCAAAAGGCAGTTGATGCCGCTATCAAATCCTTCGGCCAGCTTGATGGAGTGGTGCTGAACCACGGCATCCTGGGCCAGGTCGGCAAGATTGCTGCCGCCGATGTTGACCAGTGGAAGAAAGACTTTGATGTCAACTTTTTCAGTCTGGTTGCTTTCGTACGCAGCTTGTTCATACACGACTACAGAATCATATCACTGACCGATTTACAGACCAAAGCAGCCCTCCCTGCTCTTCGCGAGTCCAAGGGCAAGATTATCTTCACCTCCTCTGGTGCCGCAGTATCCGGCTACCGTGGCTGGGGTCTCTACGGAGCCACCAAGGCCGCAATGAACCACTTCGCCATGAGCTTGGGCAATGAGGAGCCCGACGTCACCTCTATAGCCATTCGGCCCGGCATGGTCGACACCGAAATGCAGCGGGAGCTGCGCGAGGACCACGCCACAAACCTCGATGCCGAAATGCACTCCAAATTTGCAGGTGCCCACAAGGACGGCAAACTCGTCAAGCCCGAGCAGCCGGGTCATGTTATGGCCAAGTTGGTGCTTGACGCACCCAAGGACCTTAGCGGCCGGTTCTTCTCGTATGTTATACAGCTCTACGAAAACTCAGATGGTGCTAACGCTACGCAGGTGGAACGACAAGGAGCTCGATGCTTTCCAGGAATAAATTTGAATTGTTCATTTCTTAAGATTAAATTCAAATTATGTGGTTTAAAGACCTGTAAAGCAATCAGTATTGAATGCCATAAAAGAGCCATGGGTGCAAAGTCAAGGGCAGATGAAATGTAATCAGCCGAAAGATGAAAAGCAAGTACATTTTATAAGCATCAGGTGCAGAACACCTTCATACTTAGCATGGAATGTAGGATGATCATCATACAAAGAGAGTGTATATTGAGAGAGAATAATGTGATTCGTACCTATCGGATATGCTCGAGAAAATATGATTTGGTTCCAATGTCGAAAAATGCTAAGCGACAACCCAAGATCGTTTTTTCCATCCCACGAAAGATGCAATTTGAAATTTCCTAGAAGTCTTGAAGAAGTCAGTGGGAGATTCTTCATTATGCAGTCATGTACAGAAGCAGTAATGGGAGCAAAGATCAGTTCGTCCGTTTGGCTAGGACAGTGTAATCACCACGGTTTGGTATGATAGGGGCGACAACGTTGTTCATCATAGAAAATGGCAAGGGGGCATTGAGAGAGGAATGGAAGCTTACCATTAGTGACCAGCCTCAAGAGTGAATTCACATTAAAATCCACTCTTGAGGGAGAGTATCGAGAGCAGACTGTGGTTGATGAAGGAAAGAAAGGAAATGCACATTTGAAGAAAAAAAATGAGAATAAATGTGGTTGCAGGCGGTGAGGATCTGCCGGCAGGAAAATATATGGGCCCGAGTCTCAAGCGCGCCTCGGGGAGCATTTAATGCTTCAAGTTCGCCCCACGCAGGAAATCAAAGAAAAAAGGTCCCGCGCTCACCCTTACCACTACCTTTCTCTTTGTTTACACTCGTTGCTGCCGACGCATCCTTTCATCTCTCACCACACACAAAACCCATCATGTCCGATCGAGAGTTCAGCTGTAAGTCTCCTTCCTGTCCGACTACTCATGACGTTTGCGCGCAAGCTGACATGTTTGGATTCACCTCAGCCAACGATGACCTGTCGCTCCCCAAAGGTATGACCGGATCCTACAATTGAGTTTCCTTCTCGACGTGTCAGAATATTCAAATCGCGTTGATCCCCCCCAAACGGAACCCTCCGTTTGCTGCGCCTACAGAGACAGTCCCGCGCGTTTGATCAAGCCGTACTAATACCGATTGATTATAGCGACGGTCCAAAAAATCATCACCGAAATCCTCCCCCCCAGCATGGGCCAGACTTTCTCCAAGGATGCGCGCGATTTGCTCATGGAATGTTGTGTCGAGTTCATTACTCTGATCTCGTCCGAGGCAAACGACATCAGCGAAAAGGAAGCCAAGAAGACCATCGCATGCGAGCACGTTGAGAAGGCACTGCGGGATCTTGGCTTTGCAGACTACATCCCCGATGTACTTGCGGTGGCTGAGGAGCACCGGGAGCAACTGAAGGTGCGCATACCCGGGCCTATTCAATTCCAGGTTTTCCCATGGGGTTTTCGAAGTGCAGCAGCTAACAGATACATCTAACAGTCACGGGAGAAGAAGCAGAGCAAGATGGAGCAGAGCGGCCTGTCCGAAGAGGAGCTCCTCCGGCAACAGCAGGAACTCTTCCGGTCTGCGACTGAGAAGTACAACGCAGGCCCGGAATAAGATGGCTTCTTGTCCAAGAATGAGCTCATGCTGGTCATAGAGGAAAACGGTTGCCGGGCGTTATTTGGCTGTCTTTACGAGAGGGTGCTTTCTTGGAGTTTTTTGATGGTTCTTTATCTTTGCCAGTGATTTTCGGAGCATGCAATTCAGGCGCAATACAACTAATGACCTCTCTTGACATTCAATGCATCATGAAACCTCTGAACGAATTACCCGTGGGCCTCCATAAACAGATGATATAGATCTTTTTCTCTAGCGTTCGAAGTATTGACGACCTCGACAGTGGCCTGTTAGTCGTTGCTCGAAATTAGAACGCAAATTCTGTAGATGTTAAGAACTAAATCCCGACTGCCGACGTTAGTCTCTTGTATAATAGTTGTATAGCACGAAGATAGAAGCATCAAAGTAACCTAGAATAGTGTATTCGTCATGTGATAATCCCTTGAGCTGTGTGAGCTGTTTGGTATCACATGGAAAGTTTTCCACCTAACACCTGAAAATTAAGGCCACAGTACCTGCCGAATCAAAGCACGTGCCCCACCCCGAGTTCTGCCTTTTCGCCTGATCCCTCAGGCGACAATCAAACCTTAGCGCCTCAGGCTTGAGAATACACGTGACCTGAACTGCCAAGACCCAAAATACGCTAAACCACAATGGGGCGCCCCAATACCAGAGCGAGGACCAGAGCGAGCGCGAGAAACGCCAAAGGGAAAGTCGACGACGTTCCATTGTTTCCTAATCGCAAACCCTCAAACATGCCACCCTTCAAGGATGAGCATATCCTGGTACGTGAAGCTTCATACCCCTATTTATAAGCTTTCCATCAGCAACACAGCCATCTAACGCTTGTCGTAGTTGATTGCGCCAGGTTCGCAAATGACCCTGGCGCAGCTCGGGCTGCCCGAAACGTTCACGCCTGCGCGCTTTCGCTTCCCCACGCGCATGTTCCCTGCCCAGAAGAAAGGAGAATTCGAGCCCTACCAAATCCGCGAACGACGCCAGCCAGTCGCAGCCAGCAATGGCAATGGCGCGCCCAAGAACGAGCCTCTCAAAACGGATGTGGAAATGAAGGACGCGGAGACCACTGGCCAAGATGGCGCTGACAAAACCGTGCCTGCTGAGAACGCCGAGAAGCCTGCAGATGAAAATACTGAAGGGGCTGAAAAGACCGAGGTCCAAGAGACCTTCTACGAGGAGGACGTCACATCCGATGAAGGCGCCGTGTATCCGATCGTCAGCGGACGCATTGTTGACTGGCCTTGCTTCTTCGCTCTCCTGACCCACATCTACAACGCACTGAGCCCTCCATTCCACACTCCGATCTTGTTGATTTCGCAGCCCGCCTGGACTATGCGCGACCGCGAGGCGATCACCCAGTTCGTCTTTGAAAAGTTCAAGGTGCCCGCTTTCAGTATCATGGACTCTGCAGTTGCTACATGCTACGGTTATGGCGTGTCAACCGCTACAGTTATTGATGTTGGCAAAAACAAGGTGGATGTAACTGCAGTGATTGACTGTCAGGTCAGCGAATACGCACGAGGCATTGCTCTGGAAGGATGCGGTGGTGATGCTATGACCGATCGACTCGTCGAGCTCCTCGGCCCTAAGGGCTTCACCCGTGAGATGTGCGAGCAGCTCAAGCGGAGCAACATTGCCGAAATTCTAGCTCCGGGCACACCACTTCCCGGAGCTGCGGCTACCGCACGGCAAGGCACAAACCCAGCAGCAGCTGCATCGACTGGTGGAATAGGTGGGAACGATGCTATCCCTCGTGGCCCAGGCGAGGGTACCCAGATCGGTACCGAAAACAATGGCGAAGAGGACGATGACTTTCTGGATGTTGCTGCCATCGTTAGCGGTGACACCACCGAGTATCTTGCTAAGATGGAGAAGGAAAAGACCACTAAGAAGGGTGGTGCGGAGCCCAAGCAAAAGAACGCTCCCAACCATCAAAAGGAGAAGGCGACATTCCAATTCGAGGAATTTGTCCCATTGGATGACGATAATGCACCCACCAGTGGTTCCCGTCGATACATTCGTCACACTCGGGAAATCGAGGTTGGCGCCGAGCGCTTCCTCCTGGCGACGCCAGTGCAGAACTGCGGACCGCGACTGACTAGCGGCATACTTGAAGATATCGCAGCCCAAGTCTATCACACGATCCTATCCGTTCAGAACGCGACTAGGCGCAGTGAGCTTTGGGACTCCATTATCATCGTCGGATGTGGTAGTCGAGTTCGAGGTAAGTTATGGATTTGAAACGGATCTTTTCGGCCGTCTTGGACTTTGACTAAGTATTTTGCACGTGTATAGGCTTCGCTCAGGCTCTCATTGGAGTCCTCACCCAGAAATACCTGATCTCTCCGTCTGCAACCATCTTCACCTCTGAAATCCCTTCCGCCTTCAGCACACCTATTCCAACTGGCGGCACCAACACTCCGGCGCTCATGGGTCAACCGCCCGGCCCCATGTATCACCCAGCTGCCCATGGAGTAAACCCTCTTCTCGTGGCCGCTACCCACAACAACCCTGGCATGGTCGGCGGCACCCCTGGCACGCCCGGCATGGACCCCAACAGTTCCCCCCACAGCCGCTCGACCGGTCACTCGCAGACTCCAACTTCTATCAAGTCTCTGAGACTGCCCGACTACTTCCCCGAGTTCAAGCACGAGGGCAACCGTAACACTCCCGGCGCCAGCCATGGCCCAAGCGCCACCCAAGGCGGGCATGGCGCCGAGGAAGCTACCTTCCTCGGCACCCAGATGGCCGCGCGGGTCATTTTCGTGGTTGATCAAGGTCTGTCAAAGGGCTTTATGACCCGTGTCGAATACAACGAGAACGGGCCGTCTTCCATCCACGAGTACTCCTTGTGAGACGGCCTCTGACCTCAACGAGAACGGCCATGACAACGGCTTCATACGATTTGAGCGCGGTTTTTGATTCTTTTAATGGGTCCTTTTCATAACGGAACATCGGAACATCTGGCGAAGTGGGCTGTCTTTTTTGCTATTTGAAGAACCCTGGTTCAACTTGTTCGCCCTACAATTGCTGCAACTGTCTTGTACTCCTTATGCTTTGATGCCTCCTAGAAAAGCTCTTTCAGGATACGGGTGCTAGGTGGGGGAATCCGGAGTTCGGTTCTGTCCCTTAGGACGAGTGTAAACAAATTCATATGGGACATCTGTCAAGATCAAATCTTCTTGTAGCTGTAAATCTCGACATTTACTCCGAAGTAATCAGATCTATCTAGTTGGCCAGTCAAGTAGCTTAAATTCGGTTGATCCCCGCTCTAGAAGGGTGTTATCGGCACGTGACTCGGAGATATCATTTGCGACGCCACTCAAAGATCACTAATTCACAACTCACATTGTTCTCCCTTTCGTTCCCGACTCAAGGTTTCGATTCCTTGACTCTTCATTCAAACTCCTCAAAACCCTTCTCAGCTCGAGGCTTGCTCACTTACGACACACACCCTGCACCATGCCACGCGCAGAGGCCGGTAAGTTCTTTCCCGACCACTCTTCTCGTCGGCTCAAGTAGCTAACTCTACTATTAGGTAGCACCAAGGCCATCGGAAACAAGATCAAGAGCAAAGGTGGGTTCTTGTTGGAGAATTACCAAATTCTGGATCTCGTTGCGCTCTTCTGGGGGACAAGCTCTCGCATACCGAGGTCTACAAATGCTGACTGGGTTCTTTGATAACTAGGACTTGGGAGATTGAGATGGTACTGCCAGGCATGGTAAGTTTTAAAGATTCTACTGCGAGGTCTGGGCTGACAATGACCTGAAAGTGAACGGCAAATGCGGGACGAGAATGGCTTCAAGTGAGTACCTTTCCCTTTCTCCAGGCTGCTATAATATTAGGAGCTAACATCTCGGTTCAAAAGGTGCCATGTTCAAAGCGAAGCACATGTCCGGCAAATGCTACTCATCGGCGAAGATCCCAAAAAACACATTAAACAGTTCTCCAACGAGTTCATGAAGAACTTCGTTGATCTCTTGAAAACGAGTGCGCATTGCCATACCCTACTCATTGAACACCAATACTAATTGGAAACTCGATAGCACACGGCGAGAAGCAGGTCAACGCAAATCATTTCTACCAGCAAGTCATCGCGGACAAGACCCACATCCATATGAATGCTACGGAATGGAAGTCGCTATCACAATTCACCGCATACTTGGGGCGGAACGGAATCTGTCGAGTAGAGGAGACAGAAAAGGGCCTATTCATCTCATGGATCGACAACAGCCCGGAGACGATGCGCCGACGCGAGGCGGTCATGAAGAAAGAACGACAAGATAAAGGCGACGAAGAGCGTGAGCAGCGCTTGATTCAGGAGCAAGTTGAGCGGGCGCAGCGCAACGCGCGGGAAAAGCAGAAGGAAGAAATCGCGGAGGAAAGACTGCTACAGCGGGAAGATGGCGAGAAATTGAAGCTGAATTTCGGATTCGGCGCGAAGCCCAGGCCAGATACCAACCCAGCGTCACCTCAGGCGACGGTTACAGCGGTGGAGGAGTCCTCTGATGCCAAGGATTCTCCTGCTCCGACGGATACGGATTCATCAACCCCAGCTCCTTCTCAGGCCCCCGCCAAGATTTCAATGTCCTTTGGTGGCGTGCAAAAACCGAAGAACGTGTTTGCTTCGGGCCCCAAGAAGAATCCGCTGGCTGGGAAGAAGGGATCTGTGCTGGCACAACCCAAGAAGATGACGGAGCAGGAGAGGATCATGAAAGCTGAGATGGAGGCTGCTGAGCGCAAGCGCTCTAGACCGGACTCTGTGTTCAACTCGAAGCGGCCAAAGCTTGCATAGGCTTTTCATCGTGGTTGACCGGTCTGGTCCTCGGGCGGATCCTTTCTTTTGCTTCTTTATTATACCCTGTATCCTGCACGAAATAGATTATCTCATCCTCTACAATAGAGACACATTACACGTACGAGGTCAACATGCCACTGGACTGTTATCCTTTTCGATGTCGCCTTGGTATAGGAGTTCTCACTGGCGAAATCTTCCGTAAAACAGGCATAGCCTCGTTGTACTTGTGTAACGCTGCAGTAGGACGATCTTATCCTTTCGGCACTTTTGAGGCTCATATCTTGAGCAAACAGTCGATGTGCGTACTTTTTGAATGGGACATATATGGGAGTACATGGCGATTACAACATCTACGATGACCGCTAAGAGAACAGTGCAACGCGAGGTTCACTATGGGTCAATCCAAGACTGAACAACAGATCCCATCAAATTACGCATCTCCTTCCACGCCATGAATCAGATCAGCGAGGATCATCTCCCCTCCTGTCTCGGCTGCCGACTTTTGTCGGTGAGGACTCAAATAGGACTTTCCATGAAACAAGGCTGGCCCAAAACACTACCCCACTTTAGCTACATCTGCATCTATCCATTGCAGATCATCCTCCTCGGCATTTGGCGAACGACCGAAACGTCACTTGTCCATGGCCCCATTTCGCCCTCGCCCTCGCCCTCGCCCTCGCGCTCAAGTCGGACCGTCGGGGCGGACACTACCGAGTGTGGATTCGTTCAACAAAGCAGTTGAGTACTGTATTCTGAACAGTTCCAACTTATCGGTAGGGGTATATAAATTCTCCGAGACCCTGTAATTATCACCCGAAAAAAGCAAAGCAAAGCCTTGCAGCAAGTTGGAATCATGGAGTTTGTTAGCAACACCCCGACAATTCTGGGTTCTTTAATCGGAATACTATGCCTGGTAAGCTCAAAACCGGCACTTTATATTTTACGTCGATTTTGTATGCTAAGTATATTGGCAGCATGCTTTATACAGGCGTGTTGCTAGTCCACTCTCGCGGATACCGGGTCCTGAGATATCGAAATGGACGGACCTTGTCTATATCTACTACTGGCTCAATGGCCAGATACCATTCTACGTTCATCAGTTACATGGGCAATATGGTTAGTACTTCTACTTGAAGTCCAGAATTCAGGCCCTGCTCACATAAAGTGCTGACCAAAAGCTTGTTTCTACCAGGTCCAATAGTTCGCACCGGTCCGAGTCGTATTGATATCTGTGACATCAGCGCAGTCAAAGAAATCCACAAAACGAACAGTCGTTTTCTGAAATCTGACTGGTATCGGAAGCTCGTTGCTAACGGCTTCGAGACAATGTTTACCACCACAGACCCGAATTTCCATTCTTCGCGTCGGCGTTTGCTAGCATCGCCTATTTCTGATTCATCATTGAGCCGTATGGAACCTATCATCTCGTCAAGGGTACACATGGCAGTGGACAGGATAGCGGAGGAAATGGGGAAGCATGGTGTAGCTGATGTTTTCAAGTGGTGGTTGTTTATGGCGACTGATGTCATTGGCGAGCTTAGTTTTGGAGAATCGTTTCGGATGCTCGAAGCTGGAGAGGTGAGTCGTACGTCGGAAGCGAAAGCGTTCAGGATGATTGCTAATGAAGGAACGCCTCAAAGAAAACCCAATATAGCATGGACCTCGAACAAATCTCCAGTCTCCAGCCAATCCGAACTACCTTCCCCTTCCTTGTCAAACTAGGCAAATACCTGCCACTACCAGTCTTCAAGCAGACCGCAGAAGCAGGGAAGAGAATGGGAGAATACTCTTTCAAATCCATCGAGCGATACAAACGAATGATTGCCGAGAATCCCACTGACCCGAAGCCAACCCTCTTCACCAAAATGTTCGACTCGGAGAAAAGCAGCCTTACCCACGACCAGATACGACAAGAGGCACAAGGATACATCGTTGCAGGGAGCGACACTACCGCCGTCACGTTGACATACCTCATCTGGGCTGTCTCTCGCGACGCCCGCGTTCGAGACAAGCTAGTAGAAGAATTGGCGACCGTGCCAGAGCCCGTGGTTGATCGTAATCTGCGTGATCTTCCTTACTTGAATCAGGTCATCAACGAAACACTGCGATTGTACACGGCAGTTCCATTCGGGTTGCCCCGGTCTACTCCATCCGAAGGAGCCACAATCAATGGATACTTTGTTCCTGGTGGGACTACGGTTTCTACCCAATCTTACAGTATGCATCGGGATCCCACGATTTTCCGAGATCCGAATGACTTTAAACCTGAAAGATGGGAGGATGTGACGAAAGATATGAAGGATGCTTTATTGCCGTTTGGAGGAGGCTCAAGGAGTGAGTTCTATGAGAGGTCGTGTCTCTTTTCCCTGCTAACAACGCCAATAGTTTGTATTGGATTGCATCTCGCTCGCATTGAGTTACGCCTCGCTACAGCGCTTTTCTTCAGGAGATTCCCTCATGCGCGTCCTTCAACTAAAGAAGGGATGACAGAGGAAGATATGGTGATGGAGGCCTTCTTTTTGATGGCTCCACAGGGTCATCGGTGTCTGATTGAGGGTTGATTGTTTGATCTACCAACTGATGTATATTTTCATGTTACGTATCGCACATAGCATACCTGCACATCATGTAGCGTTCTAGCAATTTGATATTTGGCTTATTGGGTCTCATCCTTATTTTGTAATAGAGGCTACTTGGCTGACAAGAGGTCCAGTATTTACATTGAGAGTTTTTATAGTGGTTGATATACCGGTACTATAGTGTCCATATTAAGAAGACATTTCTCAGAGCGGCGAGAATGTCCGGTCCTAGGATACTCAACCTTGTTATTATAATTATGGTTATTGAATTACCACATAATCTAGCAATTCCAAGCGTTATCATTATTCAGCAAGTCAGTTCTTAAGCAGGCCAATGTGGTTTTTTCTTTGTGGCATTACAGTCTACCCTGTTCTGGTAGCTGCCCTCTTCATTCCCTCACGAATAGCAAACGAACTCTATATCGAAATTGAAATATCTACTAAGCAAAATTGCCGAAGTTTTGTCGCCTGCTCGTTCTTATAAGGCAAGTTTCGTTCCCTCCAAAAGTAAGCTCTAGGATCCAATAAAGATGATTCCCCAAAACATTCAATCGTACATTAGAGACTGCCTTCAAATCTACCTAAAATATGACCTTCCAAAAGCCTTTAGGGAATATCTCCACAAAGGAGTCCCAGATTGTTCAAAGATACTCGAAACCATACAAAAGACATACGTTCCACTCAGCTTCATGATGCTCGCGATCTCTATTTATTCCATCGTTGCACTCCTACTTTTCTGGTAAGTCCGACTCGGTATTCGAGAAAGAAAGTTACACCAGGATAGCCTTGCTTATATATCAACTCATCATCACAGTCTCGATAGCTTTGAAGACAAGCGTAACAGACGTGAAAACAAGCGCCATGGTAACCTCATTCATCATTCATGTTACATCGATGGAAGCGAACGCACTGACATGTTATTACGGTTTCCAGTTCTCGACTATCGCCCACCACTGCAACTACCAACTGTGTTCTGCGATCGTGTACCAGAGAGCCCAACACCTTCTGGCAGAGGATTCCAAAGTGTCGACCCCCAAGATCTGACGATTCGCCCGAAGCTGCCCGCGGCGCCCCAAATGAAATTCCAGGGCTTCTCGTTTCGCCCACGGGAGTATTGACGGGCATATATTGTCAGAGCTGGGGTAGGCGTATGGGTTCTGTCAGAAGGCTCTGAATACTGGCACTTGGGCTTCAATGTTGGGATCTCAATCTCCGTGGTCTAAGAAGAATGGAGATTGAGCAACGAGATATGCAGGGAGAAGAAAGGTAGATGTCTCAGCTCTTGTATTATTTGATGAATTGGTAGCATGAGGCGAACAGATTCACAAGATATCATTCAGAATTGGCTTACAGTCGAAGATTCAAGAGAGCATGGCCCTTCATTACTTCATCAAGTAATCGAGTAAAAGCATGAACACCGAAACTAATCTATCGTGAATTGTATGACATTACAACCGTGTGTACTTGTAGCCCCTGCTATGAAAATCAAGAATACTCAACAAGAGCCTGCTTCGCATGTTTTCGATAATTCCGTGCCATCTGATCGCGCCAGTCATCACCCATCTGACCCGCTAGAATCAAATCAATCTCTCGCAGTATCTCATTACTCACATCCTTCCAAGTCTCCTTGCCATACCTCTCCTTCAGCCAAGCCAGCGGAGTAATATCAAATCGATGACCCGCCCATTTGCCACGCGTGATATTATTTCCTCCACCGATCTTCTCAGGTTGCGGGGACCAGGATATTCGGGAGATTAGTACTTCGGCAAAGCCAAAGACTTCAATCTGAGGACCGTGGATGAATTCCTCTTTCAGCGCAATCACTTCTCCTCGCACGTATTCCCGGGTAGTCAGATTCCGTAGGATCCACCGCCGGTCACCCGGATAAAATTCCAGAATCTCAGGCTTGAGACCCATCATAATCTCCGCTCGGTCGGCGGAGCCCATGTGGTGACTTGCTTCATGATTGAGGAACCATTTCTGCAGTCTCTGCGACAGGGAGGGTCCACCGATCTTTTTGTAAGTGTTCCGAATTGAAAATGAGTTCAAATCGTACACCTTGTTCAGCTCCTTGACCTCCTCGGCCTCCTTCGGACTTAGTATACCTGGAGGGAAATCCCGTGGGTCACTCTTATCGCTCACACAGATAATCTTCTCACCGGCCCATTGCGCAAGAGAAGCGATGATATGCTCCTCAATATGGGCGAGTCCGACCGCCCAAAAGTATCGATTTGTCAGACTTAGTCGCAGAACGTCTTCCACGACATCGAGGAAGTTGAAGATGCGGTGATGAATCTCCGAGGGCAAGTTAAACAGGGATTTCGAACTCGTCAGACTGACTTCGGTTGCGTTGTGCTGCTCGATTCGCGCGGCTTTGCTGGAGTGGTTCAGGGAGACACCGTCGCTTCGAGTAAGCTTCGAGCACTCGAAATCGTCATCCTCGTTATCTTCGGCATTTTCGCCCGGGAGCAGTCCATCGATGTGTTCACTGGTATTGACATGTTAGTCCGGCTCAATAGGCTGTGATGTTATGATCGGCCGACCGGTGGGCATTCAGTGGGACTGCCAGAAGTGGAACCAGACCCGCTGCGCTGCCCATAAGGAGAGCGTCGGCCAAGTCGCCCAGGACGCCAGTGGTTTCTTTGCGCGCGGGCGCAATGACTTGCCAATGCTGGGACATGGAGAGAGTCTTGAGAAGTGAATTGTGCAAGTCTATGTTTGTGGTGGTCTCAGACCGTCGACTCAAGCTAGTGGCCATTTGGGCCAGTCAACGTCAGTGATACGTAGGGTCCTACAGTATAGAGGGTGGATCTGGGCACTCATTGGGAGACTAGGGTTCTTCTAACACATACTGACTTTCTAACCTTAATGTACTGTATACTACTACATCTCGAACTTTAACAATCAAAAGACTACAGAATACAGAAACGCCGCAAACCAGCCCACCCACCTAAGCATAAAACCTTATTACCTTAAACTGACGAGCAGGGATGTACATCTCAGCACTCCACCAATATTCACAGTACAGCCGATTTGACCGGACTTTTCCCGGAGTTACTGATTTGGAATTTTACATTCCGGTCAGACTGGACCGAGACGTCCACCAGCCTAAACTAAACCCAACTCGGCCTCATCCCCAATCTAATTGGATGCTTCGTTAAGAATCGGGGCCAAAAACCCCCCCCTCAGCCCCACGACTAACCACACGCCCAGGCTGCGAGCTCCCTGAGGCGGGAACCCCCCCCGCCCACAGCTGTGTCCCCGACTCAGGAGTCTCAAGTTAAACCTCCAGTTCTTCTAGTCCCGGTTCGAATTGATACCAGTTCGACAACCACCCCCGGACGAGGTCGTGCAGGAGCGAAGATGGGTGGCATTCCGTGGCAGAGTAAAGGTTGCAGGACGTGTCGGAAGCGGAAGATCAAGGTGGGCGTCCTCTCTTTTTGCTTTTGAGGTGACGTGACAGCCTCACAACGGTGACTGATTGGGAAAGTAGTGCGATCAACAGGAACCCGAGTGCGCACGGTGCCGGAAGACGGGAATCAAGTGTTTGGGTTACGACAGGGACCGCTTCTTCGTTCATCAAGTCACTACTGGAAAGTCCAAAAAATCCACTAATACTGGCACTACTGCCGGTGGTGGTGGAAGTGGTGGTGGTGGTGGTGCTCCGAAAGGCGCGGGGAAGCTTCAAGTCGCTAAACGCCCCCCGCTGCAGCCCCAACAGCCATGGATCATGCCGCAGGCAGTGGCCGCGGGCCCAGCGATGCGCGGCCAAGTGTTTTCCGAATTTACGAATATCTATTTCCCACAGAGTATTGATACGAGCTATGCGCTCGATGTATGGCATTACCTGATCTCGGGGTTTTCCACGCTACCGAAGAAGACGGAGATGTTGGATAAGGCGATTGCAGCGTTGGCGTGCTTCTATTTGGGCAAGCAGCGAAAAGATGACCGTCTCTTTCATCACGGCATTCAGCTGTATAATAGTGCCATTCGCCATCTTTCCATCATGATGAGTCAGAATAACTACTGCGACGACATCGTGTATACGACGATCGTCTTTCAAGAAATAGAGGTATGTCACTACGGAGGGTATCCCGGAGATGGAGATGAAGGCGATATCGAAGCTGATGCGCACGTTCTACCTCTAGTCATGTTACTGCCCCCATGGCCTGCATATATGGGTCGCACATATTGCAGGCACCAATGCGATCCTAAGGCACTTTCGTCGAAGGGCAGGGAAGAACCCTTTGATCGACGCCATTTACAATCAACACCAAAAGCTACGAATAGTACGTGTCCAACAAGACTCTCTGAATTCAAAAAAAAAACATTCCGCTAACTCATCCAGCTATTCTCAACGACGGGTAGGGGCATGTCCCCCGAAGATTACGAGTATCTCACAAAACCGTGCGACGATCGACCCGTGAACGGATTAATGAAATTCTACGGCGAGGCCTCGCCCATAGTAGACGCAATCAACAGCGTCGATGCCTCGGACTATCAAGCCTGTCAAGCAGTCCTTGCCAAATGCATCGCGCACAAGGACGCTCTGCTGGCCTGGTACACGGCTCACAAAAAAGATTTCGGCGGAGGGCCCTCCGAATGCGAGCCCGGCACAACGTTAAATCCACGACTTTCGCCGACGGACGACCTGTTCGGTGTATCCTACCGCTTTTCCTCACTCGATAACGCAAAGCTACACATTGTCTTCTGGGTCGCGTTATCCATCAGCCACCGCATGATCTACGAAGCCCGAGGCCTCGTCCTCTCCCACAGCAACGCCCTCGACATACCCACCGACCGCACCCAAGACGTGGACCTGCTACTTTCAATGTTCTACCATGACGAGATTGGCCGGTCGGTCCCGTACTGCGTGCAAGATTCCATGAAGTCCTGGGGCTTCTCCTCGCTACTATGGGGCCTCAGTCAACTCCTCAACCCCTACGCCGAAGCGGGGAATTGGGAGAAATTTGTCTGGTGCCAGAAGGCGTTGTTGCTTGGCTCCGAGCGCGGTTATGAGTCTGCGGTCCGTCTGAGTGAAATATTTTGGGCGGTTTGGCATCGAGTGAACCCTCGAGAGAAGAGGTTCATGGGACTTTCGCTGGGTGATTTTGATCCGCAGTATAAAGATACGCAGGAACAGCATTATATGAAGCTGGTGGATAGGACGGTGGAGCCGGTTGTGTTGGACACGCCGCCCGAGGAGAGTTTATAGGGGGTTTATTGCATTGGGTTGGTGCTGGCTTGGGAAGGAACTGGTTTCCGCCAAGAGAAACATCTCCAATTATCAACGTGTGGACAAATTGGACTCTCTACTCAATCCTGCGAAGATTGTCATGATTCATCAAATATTCCTCCCCAGTTCAGTTTCAATGTACAAATATCTCATAATGACAAGTCTCACATATCCCATCATCACACCCAATCTAACACTTACTGCCATCCCCACAATTCTGATCACACTTGTAAGTCCCAATCCAATTGTCATCCCCATAAACATCCAACCCCATCAACCACCCATTCAGAACCTGATGCAAATAATCCAAATTCTGCGGGACCCCATTCGCCCTCCCCTCCTCCGAACAAGGATATCCCTCCGTTAACCCCTTCCCCCCATTCAATCCATTGCCCGCCGTAAACCACCCATTGTACGCCCCAAATGCCCGGATCGCATTACCACCCGCCGCGTCAAGTTGGGACTTGAGATAGTTGGTCCCCGCATCGACGTTATCCTGGATCGAATTCGTGCATTGACCGTTCGGGTAGTTCTCGCAAGATACTTGCATAAGGCCCGGGGTGGGTCCGCCGGCGTTGGCATTGCAGGAGGACTCTTGCATGGCGATGACGGCGAGAATGACGGGATCGATGGTGTACTTTGTGGCTGCGTTTTGGAAATAAGGGTCGTATTGGGCGCAGGGGGAGCCTATGCCGCTGTAGAACTGGTCGAGGGTTATGTGGAGGACGTCGGAGAGGGCGAGGAAGGGAGGTGTCCAGCCGTCGTCCGTGATACCCGTGTTTAGCCAGTCCTCGGATCTGTGGAGCGGAGCGGTTAGTCTTTGAACATTGGGGAGTTGAGGATGGGACAGGGTTCGAGTACCCATTTGGCCCGGTGCTGGGGGTCACGTCGTCCGTTGCACCTTGGGCTTTCGGATTGCTGCCCACGCCTGGGTTGGCGGATTGGGCCTGTGTAGTTGCAGCCATGGCTGCGATTGCAGCAAGCAGAGTGGGCTTGACGATAGCCATTGTACCTTTCATGGAGGATTGGACGCGGTAGTATAAAGTTCTCGGTGCTTGAATGATGGTACATCCGGGTTGGCAACTAGCCGATATTTATGTACCAGCATCGCATTTCCGTAGTAATTGCTTTGGTCACGACGTAGTTCTCAGCGGCGACGAGTGATCGGCATTGTTTCATGTTCCCGGAGACGACTTTCCTGTACGGGTCTATGGCAAAGCGACATGGTAGTATCTAGCTAGAGAGGGGCGGCTTGTCAGCAACCAATTTCCTGTTCGGGTAATAGCGATCACTCAGACTAGGATGCAGGGGTTCGAGTATCCCGCGTGTTGTCATTGGAGCAGTGGCGTCGTGGAGAGTGGGGTGGTGGAGTCGGGAGTGCCGTACAGGAAGTAATTGGTTGATGGCGCGGGTTGCGGGACTGATGGGTGTATCAAGGTCGACGACCTTGTATAGCTGCACGTGGAGGATATAGAGAACGATGTAACGTTGAAGACGGGAGAAGGTATAAGAAAAAAGGGGGGGGAGAGTAATGGGAAAAGGGTGGAATAGATAGAAGTAACAAAAATAACAAAAAAGTCCCCAACACCTCCAGTGCTTCGGAGGGTCCCAGACTGGTATGGGCTCAAGGATCGCAGACGCTGATCCCACATTCTAGGGGTCCCTCTGGCACCGGCAATGTTACTAGCTACGGGCTCCGTGGACGCCGATCTCATCCGGTCTGCCCTATGTGTAGTCTTGGCAAAGCTCCTGTCAGGCTTCTCCCTAGGTGACGGCGGGGCGAGGAAGTAGAGCCTCCCTCCCGGTTCCGTTGCTTTGGGATGAGAGTTAGCAAAGGCCACTTTTCAACTTAGTACAGGGAGTGCCGGGAATCCAGACAATACCACTCGACCACCGGAGGGGGTTAGTTGTTTTTCATTTCGGGAAGTGATCCTTATGGGCTCAGGTATGCCGCTTTGCGTATAACACCTGGAAGATCACCACCTTACCCTGAATTTAAATTTCTTGAAATTTGAACGGTAGCTTGGATAATTTGGATTCTATCTTTGAAGCAAGTTTGAAGCAATTCAAATAAGTATTGAAGGAGTTCTGGGGGTTGGAGCTGGGACCCTGGCATCGAAGGTGAAGCTATTCGCAGATCCAAAATGACTGCATCTCCCACCAAATCGGGACAGAAGTCCTCGGTTCGAGTCCCACTGCGGCAAAGATCCACTTTTTCTCCACTCATACCCCACAAATCATTTTGCGTGATTTTTTGGTGTCAGACCCCACGGGATTTAAACTGGATGCTCCTCGTGTTTGGGGAAGTCCGGGGAAGCACAGTATGATCCAAAATTTCCATGCCCAGGGTCCTGGAAGAGACGGTTCATTTCCTTAGGCGGTGAACCTCTAGTTTTGGCGAAAGAAAAATCAGAGAAGGAACGAAACAGAGACATGGGATGACGACATACACATTGTAGTAGCGGAACTTGATCGTCACAAAAGCGATGCGTGTACTTTCCGCGATGGCAAAGTTGAAAAGCTAATGTGTCGCTCTTCTGATGACCTGTAGATGTCTACGCAGATCCTGCGGAGCAATTGCCGTACTTGACGACAATTTGCACTTATCTAAGGTGTCGTTGCGACGCTCTTATTGACAGAAGTGAGGCTACTTTAGGTGCATACTATGGCCAGGCCCACTATTTGATATCGAATCCACAAGATATCAGCTTAGAAGCTCTAGTGCCTGACTCAAAAAGCTGAATTGATACAGAATGGAATTGCGTAATTTTCTTTGACCATACAAGCCACTCAATGTAGACAAATAAACCAATATAAACTCCCAAAGAATCCTCAAGCAATCCCCTATTTAACCTCCGCATAAACCTCCAACGCATCATGCAATTGCCCGAAAATACCATCATGCCAGCTTCGCAATTCTTCCCATTCACTCTCCGGCAGAGTAGCCCGCATCAGCCGGAGCCATCCACCAACGATCAAGTCCGCATAGGAAGCCTTCGTTCCAAGTACAAAGGGGCCACTGGTGTCCTTTTGGAGTACCTTGGCCAGCTCACCAAGGGTCTTTCGAAACGATTCCTTTGTCTTCTCTCGGGCCTCTCCAACCAAAGAGAAGTCGTCCCAGCTTGACACGCCCGCACGCCTCGCAAACTCCGATTTGCTGATCTCGGCAGTGGCAGGGTCGAATGGAAAACATTGAACCGAAAGCTGCACATGTGTGCTGAAGGCTGCATCAACATGCATATTGAATTTGGCATATTCGGAAAATTCACCTTCGCGACAGTCTGAGAGCGGTACGGCTATCGCAGAAGGGGGCGTGAAGACGTAGTCGAGCGTCTGAGGGGGAAATAGGTCGCCCGCGCCCGAGTCCGGATATGTCTTTTGCAGGTAGACCGCAATATCGAAAGAGTCGCCTACCAAGGAATTTGTGGCGTGATCTTCGATGATAGGCAGGGTGAAGAAGTCGCTGCCATCGGCAAATTTGCGACAGGGTGGTACTTTGAGGCTGCTGCGGACTTTTGCAATGTCGGGCAATGGCACCCATGAGGTCGAGTATGGCACCCCTTTGAAGTTCAGGGCCAGTCTTGTTTTCCAGGGGTTTACGGAACAGCAATTCTTCTCCACTGGAGGGCGCATAGCAATGTCGTAGAAGACTATAGAGCCAGGTGGATTTGAAACGGTCGACATGGCGAATGATGTGTCTTTGGTTGAATGAGGGTTCTCTGATAAGCTGAAAATGGTATCTTTGGACATATGGATGGTGTGATTGTCAAATAAAATAGACCCAAGTGGCTTATTTATAGTCCATTGAGCGTGTGGCTACTGAGTCCTTCAGGCTAGACCTTCCGGTACATGACGTGGGGTAGATCGAGGTGATTCAGCCTGACTCATGGTGAGTGTCGCTGACTGGACACTAACGCTCCACATTATCCCCACATTTTACTCAGGGTGACCAATGACAGACGACAATGATCGCACCTGTCCGCGAACAGGTACAAGTCATGAGCACAACCGACATAATTTGAGATGATTCTGGAGACACAAAAATTACAGAGGAGGCTCATTTTCTGCACCGGGGGGCTGGACTAAGTTGGTTGAAAATTGTCGGCTATCATAGGTTGAGCCTACTCGCTAAATTAGGCTTAGTACTAAGGCACCAACATTGTGGATAGCCTTATGTGCGGTATATATTAACACTAGAATGAAAGAAAATCTTACAACTGATGAAAGTGTAACATTGAATGACACCTAAGGGATTGTCATAAGGTGGAGTCGAAAAGATTTTCCTACAACCGTATACAGGATTTTTCGAATTCAGTTTTACCTCAATACTCTTCAGACTTGGTTCCAGGATAATAAATCCGAGAATTGCGACTTCTGATTGGATTAAAAATTTGAGTACTTTAAAGTAGGCCGCTTTCAACAATAGTCCATTGATCTTACAATACGTCCTCGGCACCATAGGGGCTGTATTTTGAACGAAATTTGCATACACACGCTACCTCTCGTCTCTTCGTGACAACTAGCAACTTTTTGCGAGAAGGCTTCCCGCTAACCGATTATGACCTACACGATATGGCTTTCGCCTTCAAGGATTGTCCTCAGCCGCGAGAGGACAGAGAGCGAATCTTTTACCATATCTGAACTTCTCACTACGAATTAACTTTCAATAACTAGGTATGCTGCAGTGATCAACGCTTTGTCGTGTCCTGCTATCCCTGCCATTGCCGACAGGGTTTATTGGATATGATGCTCCACCTAGATCGATAACCATATCGACCACTATGTCGATCTTCATGTCAACCACTCAGCTTAGTCAATATTTTTTACAGAGTACTTATTTCCAAGGCTGATATGGTGGGATAGGATGGCGAGGCGTAGAACTGAGAATATTGAAGGTTTTGAGTCGGGATGGACATGCGAACAACGGGATCGCGTGGGTACGTATGCGATGATATACGGTATTTACTTCAATTTGTAGGATTTCTATGCCCATGACAATTTATAGCCATAACGCATATAGTTGACACAGATGTAGTATTGAAGATAAAATGTTCATACTGCGCATAAATAAATATAAGTAGACATATGAGCAAGGTCCATTTGGTCTCAGAATATCCAGAAAACAAAGTTACATAGAGGGATCGACAACCCGTCGTGAGAAGCTATTTACCCTTTCAGCTGCGCCACCAAGCAATGATCGTCAATAGGATCCCGATAATAACCTAGAAAGTGGGTACTCTGGGGCGGGCCTCTAGGTATAAAGAAGATGTTTCCCCTCCCAGTTCTTTGGAAACGCCCATCACTTCGGTGTCCTTGTCATTCAGAACCTGGTTTTGAAAATCGGACAGAATATGAAGATTTTTACCATCCTCTTTACGGCCATGTTGACGACCGTGGTGTTTGCAGCTCCTGTCGAAGAGCATAATAACCAAGTGACCCAAGAGGGGTCCGGGGAAGTAAGTGCTTGACGGGCCATCAAGATACGGTTCAAGGAGATAAGCTAACCCAGATGGGATTTGAATAGGCCGGCAAAGACTTTTGTTACGAATGCAATTGTATTGCGGTAAATTCTTTATCAACCTGAAAGTAAACCGAGGATACGGAGCTGATCAAGATTGAGTATTAACAGCAAGCAACCAATAAGAAGTGCCGAGCGTGCAAGAAGTGCAAATTTGTCTATAGTAGACCCCTTTTCGGGCTCTTCGATCCTTGAGATCTCAATGGAGCGAGCAGCTTTATTACCTGCGGAACGGGGTGTTGTGTGGGATTATCAAAGAGAGGGGAAGGCAGCTGCACATGGAAAAAATCATGAGGGTGGGGAAGGCCGAAGGCGACGAACGCAGACAGACGATCTTGCAAGATTGCCAGATCTAGTTCCAAATCAGTCCATGTATCATGACATTTCTAATGACAATACGACCTTGGAAGGGTCATGTTAAATACCGCCAGAGTTCAGCCAAACGAATAGAGCGGTAGCCCAAAACAGGATTATTAGCATATGTCGGTTCATGTTTCCAAAATTCAAGTCTGAAGAGTTTAAGGTCAAACTGAATTCAAAACTAGCTTACTGTACGAATTGTTTCCCTAGCCGTACTTTGACACGAACTTTCGTAACAACAAAGGCTTTGTCTCTCTACATAGAACCACTTTATGAGGTGATTTATGAAATATAATACTATTTTATACGTAGCCGCCGAGCTCCTCTATCAATCTCTCAGACCCGAGGAGCTATCATTTTACAGGAGCAAAATCTTCTCTAGGGGTCGTCTTTAATATTTGCATATCATAACGACGAGACAACTTCTTCAGAGCTATCTACAGTCTGTGTCGGAAACAGAGAGACGCTATTTACAAAACTAGTCATGATATGAAGCGCTAGTTAAGTGGCCGTCTTGTAAGTGGTCAGTCACTGCTTTAAGACCCACATAGCTCCAGTAAAACGACTTAGACCAGTCCGTATTTAGTTAATTATTGAAATGACTATTTCATCGTTGATAAAATTATTACTCTTTACGTGCCAAGTCTCCCCAAAAGCAGTTTATTGTGTACCTTTCAATAGTTATATCAAGTGACAGAACTAGCTTTATCATGCTTTGACAAAGGAGATTTCTCCACTTGGAGCGCTTGCCTAGTTTTGCGAAAAAGTATAAAAGCTCAGATCTATCAACATTGGAAGCCGGAGATTCACAGTTGGTGGTAAAGACCCTTGTTCATCTAATATGCATTTCCCTCTGACCACTCTCTTTTCGTCCGTGCTCTTCGCCATTTTGGCTTCGTCCCAGGTTGTCTCTCTCGACAAAAATCTCAGAACATGCGACGACAGATTCGGTATCCCGTTGGAGGTGCCCGGAGGTTTCTCTAATGTCGATTGCGACGGAGAGAACGTAAAGGAAGCCGAAAACCTCATACAAGTTCCCAGGGCAGAGATTTTGGGGGTCACTAGGCAGGTGGTGGCCGGTGAGAAACTTGTCTTCTTCGTGGTGAGTGATGATTTCTATTACGTGGCAATTATGGCCAACAAGACACCAGTGTTGCTGATATTGAATATAAAGGTTCAAGATGAGGTGGTTTATAGAATTCCTATCATCAGACAGCTGAATGGTGCTGTGGAGGTACTGGAAGAGCAAATCTGCCGTGTGAGTAATAATCTTCGAATTTATCCCTGCTTAGAATGATGTTCCTTCTACGACCCAGTGCTGACAAAGGTGTTCATTATAGGATGTAAGTCATCACCGTTTTTAAGGGTCAAATTCGTCTGTGCTAACAAAGAGGAAAGCCTGAATCGCCATCGGAAACTGTGCGAAACTGTGTCTCTTAAAGTCCGCCCTCATCCACGCGCAGCGACTCATGAGCCTATGGAGGCCGACATCCAGCTGGACGCAAATACTTCGCGTCTGCTTCCGACAAGAAGACACGAATATAGTCGACAGTAGTTAAGTACTTCTTGACTGGCTGAATTCCTATAGAGTTTTAGGAATGCAACTTTTTAATTTTCATCAATGACACGGACGAGCGTATGCTCGAAATCGAGAGGCGAAGGTTCGATTCAAATTACGTTAGAAATATAGTCCACTAAATATAATGTATTTTGATGGGATGAAGACCAGGGTCAGTTGGTTCATTTATGACCATTGTTGATGATACTCACGAGCTCATCAATTTTCTCAATACCTACGGACTGACGGAGTTCTTTGGACATCCGCCCGCTTCGCGCGGCTTACTCAGCACTTGAACTTGCCTCATGGCCAATCGGGGTCGATCGGGGATGCGAAGGAAGCCCAAACAAGGATTATGTAAATGTAAAGAATGTTGGGAGTTTGCATCGAGTGGAGCATCAACAGGTTGGATACCACACATAAAACTGGGTTTCAAGACCCACAAGGGCGGGAAAAGGCAAGAGTTGCGTTGTCCAATCCTCGCTTAGCATTCTTGGCAGATGGCCGGAAGTCGGATTGCAACTGTCCTTCCAAAGGGGGCTTGAGCGAGTGGATTAGGTGTGGATAAACTGGGCGTACGCCATGCATCAGTGGCTGTAGCTTGACCCATAAGGCCATATGGAGCGTGCCTGGTTGGCCGACATTTCATGTACCACACGAGCAATTTCATATTATCTAAGGATGTTTCGGCTTCACGGAAGATTTTTCTATGAGTCGTGATAATGATCATAAGTGGGCTTTCTTCCTAAACCCTTGCTCTGCCCTCCTTGCCCCTGTCTGATATTCCCAAGCGGTGATCAAGACGACACGCCGTCACCCCCAATCCTGAAGAACACACTGACCATACCTCCCCATCGGCCAACCTCTATCAAGCCTTGTTTTTCATTTAAATTGGCTCGGATCCAGCTGAATTCGCCAGACTACGAGGAATTTGTTCTTGTCGACCTCCACTCGCTAGATAGTTTCAGAGTCAAAGAAACTCGATCTATACTGAACATTAAGACAAGCTCGAAGCCTCGAAAGTAGCAGCAAATAGTTGCGTTTCACCCCCGTTGCAACAACCCCGACTGTCTTGCTATCCCGTCGCGCAATCCCCCCGCCGTCGCAATACAATCGGATTGATGAGCCCTTGCATCTGCGACCTCCACCCACCATCGCGCCAAACGCCACACCCGGCTTGACAAGCATATAGTAACGACATACCGAAAGCGAGACAAGAAGAACAAGGCCCGTGAGAGTAGTATCATTCCGTCGCACCAACCGGCCATCCTACCCCTCAATTGCTTCATTGCCCCGTTGCGATCAATCAAAACCGCGTACCATGTTTGACGTGAATTGGAAGGACCTCTTTACCAACCGGGACCGCAGAGGATTCCCTGAGGTCGTGGTTCCTCTAGCTAGTGGATCTGCTCCAAAGACTCAAAATGCCGGATCAAACTCTAGTCTTGACATGGCTTCTGTCCAAGAAAATGGCGCTAGCGGTGTTCACGCTGGAACCACACTGACCTTGGAAGCACTACGAGCTGAAGTTGAATCGGATATCGCTGCTTCAGGGCACGACACTGTTTATGACCGTACGTATACAAATTATGCCTGAATTCATGTCGTGGACTGAATATTGGCACGGAAAATCACTCCCAAAAACATTGAGTCAAAGCTAAATCGGTTGAACTTGAAGGAAAGGCGAAAATTATCAACAGAGCTGTCCAGGACATTGGTATGGGCCGCTATCAGTGGGGACTGTTTGTTCTCTGCGGTATGGGCTGGGTCGCTGATAAGTAAGTTGCTAACTAATTGCCGTGACGAGCACTTGACTAACAAGTTTCCCTTATAGCCTGTGGCTACAGGTATGATTGATACTGCTCGACCGAATCTGAAAATCTAAGCTGACAACATGCAGGGTGTCGCTCTCACGTTGACTCCAATAGCTATGGAATTTGGCGTATCCGAGACTGATTCTCGATTTGCCACTTGCTCTTTGTTTGTTGGTCTGATCATCGGTGCTTCGTTCTGGGGTATTGCTTCAGATGCTATTGGCCGACGTCCAGCTTTCAACATGACACTTGGTATTTGCGGCACGTTTGGTCTTGCTGCTGGTGGTGCACCAACCTGGATTGGGTAAGCTTGGATCTTGACCCTATAAACTCATCAAGCTGACATCGAATGAAGCACATGTGCGCTTTATGCCTGTTTGGGTCTTGGTGTCGGCGGAAATTTGCCCGTTGACGCAGCCGTTTTCTTGGAATGTCTGCCTCCAAACTCCAGTAGTATTCTCAGTGGACTGGCCACGTGGTGGTCTGTTGGTACTCTGATTGCCAGGTATGCAACGCGTCCGTCCGTCTTTCCTTGTGTTGAGTTGACTCGGCAATAGTATGCTTGCCTGGGCTTTCATCCCCAACTTTTCCTGCGAAAGTTATGCCACATGCACTAGAGAAAACAACTGGGGCTGGAGATACCTCGTGCTGTCTCTCGGAGCTCTTACCTTCGTTGGATTCCTCTGCCGTTTCTTCCTCTTCACCTTGTACGAGTCGCCTAAGTTCCTCGTCTCCCGCGGTCGACAGGAAGAGGCGGTGGCAGCTGTTCAAGGCATCGCCCACAAGAACAAGACTACTACATGGCTCACAGAGGAAATTCTCAACGAGCTTGGAGGGTACCCAGAAGAGAATAAGAAGCAGGGCCTGTCTACCGGAGAGATTATCAAAAGGTCTCTAGAGAGATTCTCCTATCAGCAGGTCGCACCGCTTTTCAAGGACAAGCGAACTGCTCTCTCAAGTATGCTGTCATCGCTCGTACCGCTCTCTGTGCAATGCTAACAATCCCATAGCTATTCTCATCTGGTTCTGCTGGACATGCATCGGAATGGGCTACACACTTTTCAACGCTTTCCTCCCGCAATACCTAAGCGCAAACTCTACAACCTACGAGACCTACCGGAACTACGCTATCACGGCAGCCTGTGGTATCCCCGGGCCGCTTCTTGGATGGGTCACCGTTGACATTAAGTACATCGGTCGCAAGGGAACGATGGCCGGCTCGACGTTGATCACAGGAATCCTGTTGTTCTGCTTCACAGCTTCAAAGGATCCCAATGTTCAGCTGGTCTGTTCCTCCCTGGAATCTTTCTTCCAGATGATCATGTATGGTGTTCTCTATGCCTACACGCCCGAAGTCTTCCCCGCTCCCAATCGCGGCACGGGATCTGGTATCGCTAGCTGCTTGAACCGAATTGCTGGCCTCATGGCGCCAATCATCGGAATTTACGCCAGTACTGACCCAGTCGCACCTATCTATGCTGCGGGTGCATTGATCCTGGCTTCTTTCGTGGCGATGTGTTTCCTGCCAATTGAGACGCAGGGCAAACAGTCACTTTAAATCATCACGAATATACTAAGGTCTGATTCATGGGATTTGCCATCGGTGCAAGGTTTCAGTCTCTAGGAAAGGGACCATATATAACAGTCATGTAGGGCCAATTTGCCCCCAGAGACATCCAACCGAAAAACCGTTTTTCTGAATCAGAATTGCAATTTACAATAGAAAAATGTATGAAATACTTGGGCCGTCTCAAACCTAAAGGCATACCTAGCTGGAACGGACTTTTCTGAATTCCGTATTTTGGACAAATTATCAACGATTGGTTCTAGCGTTGTCTTGACGCCTTTGTTCTTGAACGGCCAAAGCACCTGGTTCCACCAGTACAATAAATAAGGAAGGCCAGTGGTACAGAATAAGGCTTAGGAGTTTAAACTTGAAAAGGAAACCTGGCCAGTTCCCAATCTCCTTATCTTTCAGGCTCCATGCCTGTATCTTTAACGCCCGTGAATAGATGCGGCTGCAGACTTGACATGAACTTGCGCATTCCAGCAAGCTCAGGCGCCCCGGAAATCGATGCGATGTACTCACGCTCTGGTCGCAATAATGATGGTTGTACCGAGTCTAAATGTCGAATCGCCGTCACTGCTGGGAAGGGCATGAGATGCTGGCGGAAAATCCCTGTGGATGGGTGAAGGAATAACGGAATGCAGTGGATGATGTTGCGAGAACACTCGTCAGCATCGATATCGAGGTCATGTGGCTCCCCATTTGAGATTTTCTGATATGCGTCATGAGCGATAATAAGCGTGGCCCAGTAGAAAGTCATGAGATGCACCCCGGTTAATTCCTCAGTCGTGAAAGGAGGCGGATGCTGCCAGTATGGCTGTGAGGATACCACTTGACAGGCACATCTGTTGCCCCATTGTAGTAAGCGATCAATGGTAGTATATGCCGCTTGTTGCAGCGCTTGGCGCGAGTTGGAGTCAAAGCGCTCCTTAATTTCCAATTCATCAATGCCCTCATACAAAGAGGGAATTTCTAGAATGATGTCCACTAACAAATCTTTAGAAGTCTTTGGGTGGTACTCCCATGGATCATTCAGCCAGGGCGGCTGTCCCAAGATGGACCCTTTCCGAGTTGTCAGTGCATGAAGAGCCTATTGCCACAGCTGTTAGTCTTTCTCCAAGCTGCAATGCAAGAATCAAGTACCAGATTGACTCGGCCGTCAACGAAGAGTCGATGTGCAACACCCGTGCGATAATAATTCGGCGGCTTCGAGACCATCAGTGCGAGATCGCCAAAGTTATGTACACTCCAGTTGCGATAATGTTCACCCTTGTCAGCCCAGTCGCTTCCATACAACGCCTAGTTGTTTTGGGGATGGATTAGAAAGGAAATCACCAAAGGGCTTGAGAAAGCTTGATAGAAATGTTGATATAAATTGAGAAATTACCTCGTAGAAGCTAAATACCCGAGTAGCACTGAGAAGCTCGAGGCCATTTTTGTTGTCGGTGGTGACCAATTTTCTCATCTGCTGCAACGCACTTGCATGGAGCCTCATTGCCTGTTCTTTTGTCGAGTGTGGGTCGTTATTGGTGCTGGCCGCCGATCGAAGGGCCATAGCTCCAAGTGCAGTGCGAAGCAGGACACTGGTAGGAAGCAGGTCTCTCACTACGCTGATAGAACCTCCAAGGGTACGCTGGTTATAATCAAATAAGGACGAGCAGCGCCTGTTTGGCAGGTAGGAGTCCCAGAACATCCCTTCGAAACCATATTCCAAAGCTGCATGGGAGAAAGTGACATGATCCATGACAGTCACCGACGAAGGCGATTCTGCCTTGGTTGGTGAAACCCTAGTCCTGGGGATGAAAAGTAGGCTGCTTTGAGTGTCGGCTTCTGCCTTGGAATGCGAGAGTTCCGGACCTTGTTCGTAATTGTAACGATATATAGTTAAGCAAGTAGAGTAACCTTCGCAAGGTATGCAGGCCTTTCTACATTGCCCACACGAGGGTTGCTCTAAGTCGCACTAGTGGGTCTGTTAATACTGTTCAAGCTCTTTCTCCGACGAAGCTAAGGGCCTATCAACTTACGCCTTTCTTGCGCCTCCTGCAGGTGCGACATGCTTTGGAGCGACCTGGAACACCCACCATCGGAAATCAGGATGGCAGTGAGAAGATCTCAAACAAAGGACTCCCTCCAACTTATCCTTTGCCTCTGGTTCTTTGAGGCTATCGATCGAGGCTGAGAGTGTCAGAGATTCTCACAAATCGCGCATAAGCACAGGGGATGACAAAGTCCCAGACTAAACCTGAAAAGGAGCATTACGCGCGGGGTGCATTCGCGCGCTTGTTTGGGGGTAAATTCCCCACAGCTCAGTGGCTGGGGAGCGCCACCGTGTGGTTTCCCTCCGTTTGGCTTCCAAAGCATTATTTTTGTTTAATGTAGTCAAATTCCAGGATCCAGATCGTGACCTAGATTGAGCTCTGCCCTGAGAAGATTTATGATGGTTCCACTGAAGCTGAGTACTTCTTTCAAGGTGCGCACCGGCATATTTAGGCCAAATATTTTTCGCTTATTGAGCCGACCCCGAAGTTTCTTTCTCTCTTGTTGAATATAGTCGCGTTGAATCCTTCTGCCAATTTTTCGTGCGACAATTCCAACCAGCTCAATCGTCCTCGAGATCGAGCCGAAGAGAAATTGGTCGGCCCGTCGATCTAGATGGGATCCAGTCAATGGTATGACAAAGTTCTAGCTAGATACGCTGTAATTACCACTGTTCTAAAAGATCTCCGTTTTTGAACCGTCTCCACAGATAACATGAGCGCCATCTCTCGGGCTATTTCGTTTCGTTTGGTTTGCTCTCTTCCTCTTGAATGGAGATTAACTCTTCCATGGACACTCTAATTTTACGCCTGGAAGTTATAGTGTCCTTGAGGTAAGCAAAAACATTTGCTTATTATGTCTAGAGATGTTGCGATGCTTAGATAAGTACACCATCGATAATCCTTGACTTTGCAGCACCAATTTTGGTGAATTCTACGTTGATATGCCAGCACTTTACTATGAGCCACTTGTATTTCTGCGGTTATAGAATTGAATGCTGGGCCTGGTGATAGAAGTAGGTCCATTCCCGAGCCTATACTGCTAACCGCCAAAGCAAGGGCCGTTAAGGTTTTTACGAGACAACTTCCAGTGATTCAAGTGTTCTTACTTTACTTGGCTGCTGAATATCGAAAACGATCAGCGCAGTTTGTGCATTTGCGTCTTTCTATGTTATCACTGGGAAATCTATGAAGCAGGGAGTGGTTATGTTGATATATCATTATGGAAATGTGCTGCGTGAGGAACTCCGCGGGCAGTAACTTTAATGCTTCTTATCAAATTTTGCAGATAAGAAAGGGTTTCTACATAGGATTGAAAGCATAGAGCTTGCTTCTCAGGGAGCATTATCATACAAAGTGTTAGGGTTCTCAACCCACATAAGCTGCCACTCCTCCGCTGACATCATGCGGCTCATCGCTTCAATCCACCCTTTATCGTCAACCTTCAAGAAAGGTTCCTCACTAGTCGAGGACTTTCCAACACGGTCCTTATGACGTTGCGTGTGAGGCCAGTCACTTCCCCAAACCACTCGCTTGGGATTAGCATCCACGAAGAGCCTGACTAGCCACTTCAAGTCGACAAAGCCCGGGTCAAGGTCGGAGCACCGGTATGGAGCAGAGAGCTTGATCCATAAGTTTCCTTCCTGCAGTGTCTGGCAGAGAGTCTTCAATCCAGCCCTATCTTCCTCGGGCAGGTAAGAATCATTCTGGACAATCGAGGACTTGTCATTTGCAAGGAAGCTGCTACCACCGATCAAGGCAAAATGATCCACCACCACGGGGATCGGGCTGGCATTGATAGCCTGACGCAAGCGCGGCCAATATTTGAGGTTCGGCTGTTGAATTTGGATGCTCCAGTTGGGCTTGCCCCATCGAGCCAGACGCCCAGCCGTCTTCGTGATGAGCTCGGTCTGAATTTCCACATCATTCATCGCTTTGAAGCGGAAGAAATCTAAGCGCACTGAGCGCACACCGGCGGCATGATATTCGTCGAGGAGTTCATCTGTGACAGTCTCTAGATCTAAGACACAGATACCCCGAGCTGCGCCGTTGAAAGAGCCCAGGTAGTGGAGAAGAGAAGTGCAGTTGGGACCATATGAAAGACCATGAGCAATGCAGACATGATCCACACCAATGCTCTTTTCGAACTCCTTCAATTGTTCGAGTGACGCACGCGAAGGGGTGAAGTGGCGTCCTTCTGCAAATGGGAAGCGATCAGGTTCAAAAATATGGTGGTGTGTGTCCCACGCGCCAGATGGCACGGGCTTTGTCGGGTGTTCGTCTTGGGCCATGGTCTAAATCAATGGCTTATTCAGCTCAATCTGTTTTGATAATATTGAGAATTCTTCAGCATATTTACACCCTGTCACAGGGTACTGCCTATTAAAAGTCAATCTTTTTGAGGCCTTCTCTCGCCTTCGACCGGACGTCATCCCCGTCGTCGGCGCGGCGCCGAAGCCGCTCGGGCCGTGTCGGCAAAATGCCGGCTCAACCTCGAACTGCCGTGCTACAGCCCGCCGCCACTCTTAGCCGTAATCAGCATGGAATACCAAGCTTGATAAGCTAGCTCATCGCTCTCCATCATTCCACAAGCAGAAGCCTCTCGCTAACTGAGTCCATTCTATCTATCATGTCTTCCGATTCCAAGACTATCATCGAGCGCCTGCAGCAGTGGGGTGCCTGCGATGTGAGTTTAGCGCAAGCGTTCTGTTCGTGCTGCGCTACGAGATTTGAAGCTAACAGCTTCTGCATACGACAGGTTGCCGATGGCCTCTCAAAGCTCAACTATCCCAATGGCGGTTTCCTTGAAGGCCTCGTGATGCAATCACCTGATTTCCAGGCTGGCGAGACCAAGATTATTGGACAGGCCTTCACGGTCAAGTTCGTCCCTAAGTCGGATACCTCGGCCCCTAAGCTGCAAGGGAACTATGTGAGTATATGAACGAAATTGTTTATGGTCTAAAGTCCTGACTGCGTATCCAGATTGACCAAATCCCCAACGGCGGCGTTGTCTTTATCTCCCAGCCTTTGCCCCACGTTAATGCAGTCTACGGAGGCCTCATGACCCTACGCGCTCAACAGCTTAACGCAGCCGGTGTCGTCATTGATGGTCGCGTGCGTGATCTCGGCGAGCACCGAGCTCTTAACTTCCCTCTGTTCGCCCGGTCTGTTGGTACCACCGCTGGCGGTGAAGTCTGCCGCCCCTCAGAAGTGAATGTCCCCGTCCGCCTCAACTCTCAGGACCAAGATGCTTGGATTAATGCTGGCGATTACATCATCGCTGATATGAACGGTGTGGTGCGCTTACCACAAGAACTTGCTGAACAAGTTCTTGACCTCATTCCCGCCATCGCTGAGGCCGATGCGAAATGCGCGGAGGCCATCAAAGGCGGTATGAGCGTGCAACAGGCTTTCAAGGAGTTCCGCGGCCGTTAAGAATCCGTTGAAGAATGAGCTCATGCCTGTATTTGATGGAGAAGCTTGAAACCCGGCTCTCTCTTCTTTCATGGCACATAATAAAGAACCCTGTGTGATGTCCAGTCCTATCTTACAGAATGTAGGATTTCTGTATCAGAGATTATCCCACTGTTATGAAAACTGAAAAATAAATGGAAATATTATCTGAAATGACGAGGTTTTAGATTACAGCCTTCTTTCAAGACTGCTTAATTGTATTAGATGGTGGTGCGACCTCTGAGAGGTAGCCGGGAAATAGAATCCGTTAACAAATTTTTATAATTCTTAAGCATCTACAGATTGTCATAGGATACGAAACGCCTCGTCTAGACCATGTCCAACAGAGGTAGGTAAGCTTAGATGCAGAATGATCAGTATTGACTTGAGCTCGAACTTGTACTTGGGCTAGTCACGTGGCTATCTCGACTCGCACCAACTTTGACAGCCTGTGTCATGTTGGAATAGAGAAATTTGTAACAGGAAAGTCGAATTATAGGTCAAAACAAGGGGAAGTACGAGTACGAAAAAAACGAGGAAAATCGAGAATCCATTAACATACTATTTCAACAATCCTCACCATTAGAGAGTGTCAATTATGTCTACCCCTCAACCGGTTTGCTATATTTTCAGCCAAGCGGATATTTTGCCCATGGGGTTTACTATGGTTGCGGGGGTTAGCCTGATCGGTATTATCACCTGGGGAACTGGTCTTCGGCATCTTCCCGAAAATGATGGTCAAAGCACACGTTCTCAGGTCAGCGCCCCGAATAACCGCAAAAAAAAAGAATATTCCGGCTTCGGGCCGAGATAATCGGAAGCCGCCGCCGACTTTCGACCCCACACGCTCAACCAAAACACCAGAACTTCCTCCACATTGACCTCGGAATTGTCCTTAACTTATTGACCTCGGATTTGTCCTCAATTTAAGAGAAGCATAGTCGCGAAAATCGCAACTTAACACAATAACTCATTATACCAAATCGCCATAATGACTCTCATTCACATGGGTCAGTTACCTCCCTTCTTTCAATGTTAATGGAGGCTTGTAGGGTCGAGCACTGACCCGCTCCGCAGTTATGTTTAAGTTCCGCCCTGAGATTACTCAGGAGCACAAGGATACTTTCGTACGTGAGCTCAAGAAATTGAAGAATCTTGATTGCGTTAAGGGGCACCGGCTCGTTGTTGGTGGCCCATCCGTTACCGATCCTATCGAGCGAAGCCAGGGCTTCCATTACGCCCTTCTTAGCTTCCACGAGAATCTTGCTGCCTTAGAAGAATATCAAGCAAGCAAGGAGCATCACTGGTAAGCGGAAGCTCGATACAATATCTGACATCAACGTCTGAATTACTAACATTGCGGTTTCAGGGTGACAATCACTTATATGTTTCCTTACAAGGAAGACTTAATCCGATTTGATTTCGAGTGTGAACCAGAAGACGAGCACATGTGGCAATTTATGTCTATTCCGGGATTTAATGGCACGAAACCTCAGAACGGAGTCTAAATACAGATTTGAATGCTCTCTTGACCTCATTACGTTGCTCCCAAAGCTGCTTGAAGACTCTAGATGTCATAAACATCAAACGAGCAACCTCCTTTCTAGCATATTTGTACTTATAGCATTTGGATAGAAAAAAGCAACACTTGTTAGCATAGAAATATTTTTCAAGTTGCCCTCGAAAGTGTTTGAATTATCATTAAATAGATTTCTAAATGCATAAAACCAAAGATATACAGATAATATCTAGGACTCTAGCTTGATAGACTTGATTCCGATATTGTTCTGGTTGAAAGCAGAATAAAGGAAGGCAAATAAAATCAAAAGCCAATCCGTCAAAGTTTGACAAACAATGCTCAAGAATTAATTGCCTTGACGATTCCGTTAAGTACCGCGACAATACCGCAGGCACCCGGATCAGGAAGACGAGTTGTCTCTTCATTGGTAACTTCCAGTCCTTGCTCATCGCTCACGTATGTAGAGCGTCCGAACCTCGCCTCAAAGTTTCGCGTAGCCTCACAACCAGCAATAGCTGCTGCAGTGGCTGCCTTTACTGCCTCGATACTGCTCATTGACTTTGTAGAGCGTTCAAACTCCTCCACAAACGGAATAAGTGCATCCATGAGGGTACGGTCACCAACTCGGGCACCAGTAAACCGCATCAGAGATTGCAACGCCTGACTGAGAGCCCCAGCAAAGTACTGGGCCGTAATGCCCTCACTCTCGACGAATGATTTGCTCAAAGAAGCGGCGAATGCTGACAAGAAAATGCCGTAGATGGCACCTGACGTACCGCCCATCGCGTTTGTGACAACTTCGGCAAGCGCCAGCATGCCGAGAGAGAGGTCACCAGGGTTGATGAGCCCCTCGAGCAAAGCATTTCTCAGGGCAGTTGCTCCTGTGAGAAGTGTAGTTCCACAGTCGCCATCACCGAGCACAACATCATATTGTGTGATCGTCGGTTCCTGGACCATGACTTCGATAAGGATGCCATCAATTATTTTTGTAAACATATTTGGGTCGCCTGAATCATAGCTTTTGTTAGCGTCTTGATTTATTCCAGCGAGGGCACCGGGATACAAATTTTGACTTACAAGGAACCTTGATGCCTGTCTGCCGCTCAATCCTGTCAAGTGTATTGGGCGACTCTAAAGTAGAGCCCGATTGGAGAGTCCATTGACTGGAGGGAATTGAAGGGCTCCAGCCAATTGCGGTTGTAGGCTCGTCAAGAAGATTCAATATCGTCAAAGCATCCTCCGATTCATCAAGGCTGAGTATGGTGATACTGAACCCTCGTCCATCAAGGGCAGAAAGGAATGTGCCACAGAATGTGCGACAGGGAACAACGTTGTATGTAGTCTTGAGTTGACCAGTCACCATGGAAGTCAAAGCGCCAAGTTCAAGAACAGACAGGCCGCCGAGGTTATTGATCAAGCAAACGACTCGACGGCTGGGGTCTGCAGCATTCGCGCCCAAGAATGCATGTTCAGCCTTATCTGGGTTCAGCAAAAGATCAAGCATCTGCCTAATGACTTCCTCCGTAGAAGTGCTTTGCGGTAGACTGCCAATAGGTGGCTCATTGTGAATGCCCATTCCTAATTTGATATCATCGGAATGGCTGATAGTTTCTGCGGGTGCAAGGGAGACACCGATCGTGCCCATGTTTGGCGTGATGGTCTCGTCGCAGAGTTTAACGATACGATCCAGCTCAAACCCCTTTTTTGCCGCGGCACCAGCAACTTTGTGCATAATGGCTGTTCCAGCCAGACCACGACGGCCGACAAATTTGCCTCGTGACCTGCCCACCGCGACATCGTCGCCAACCAGCACCATCCTAACATCATTCCCGGTAGCGGCTTTGAATTGTTCAGCAGCAAGTGCAAAATTTAGCTTATCGCCTGTGTAATTTTTGACAACCAAGATTGTGCCATTGGGACAGGCAGCCAGCTCAAGTCCGCGCTGGATTTGTCGCACGTTTGGGGAGGTAAACACAGCACCGCTCACAGCAATATCGAGCATGCCTTCTCCAACATAGCCCGAATGAGCAGGCTCGTGCCCACTACCTCCTGTTCACTGATCAGCAAAGTCCAATCTCAAAAAAGACTATATTCATATCTCGCAGGTGTATGAACACAATAAAGAACGAACCTCCGCTCACTACTGTGACCCGACCTTTCTGATCAAGGTCCGGCTTGTGAAGTACATTGAAGTTCTCATCCAATCGTAGGCCTGGCTGCAGTTGAAGCAGCGCCAAGTTCCACTCATGGACAAGTCGCACAGGATCTTGAACGAATCGTTGCGCTATGTGGCTCATTACAGTATCAGTATTGGAATCATGTGGGGTAACAGACAAAAAGGTTGTTTACTTACAAGGAGACATGTTTCCGGAGGGGCAATGCCGGTCAATTTGGAAGACCTAACTCTCTTCTTTTCGTTATATCCTTTGATAGCATGTCTTTGTTTTTAAACGATGCGATCCTTAAGCCCATTTTCTCTGTATACTCTGGTCTGTTCGGGGCCGAACCGAACGTTTCTGATTACTTATTACAGTGGAGCTAAATTTGGTGTCTTGTGACATGAAAACCGGCGACTAGCGTGCCATGGACAATCGGCTTCTAGGCCCCTTTCCCTACTTCCCCATCTCCCCCGGCCGGGCAACAAGCGCAAGCGAGAATCGGGCCATTATGCCAGGCCCCACAGGGCGGCCCGAGCCCGCTGGCCGTATACAAGATTGGCCCTCCGCTGTGACGCATGAACTTGACATTTCAGAAAACTTGACTTTTTCTCATTGGTGGTCAGTGCCAGGAACTTCCCCATTCAGAAATGTTCGGTGGACGGCCGATCATGCCGGATAAATGGCGGCCTCAGCCACAGTGGACCTGAAAACAACCAAAGACGACTGTAACTGCCGACGATGCTTTGCCGGTAGTAGAGGACCCTAGGTACGAAGACATTTCTCAGTTCGGCGCCTCCCCGGATTTGTCCCCAGAAGTACCCCATGCTTTCATCACTTCGGAACTAGCGAAATCTTGGCATCGTAAATATGAGAAACTTGGAAGATTCGACACAAGTGCAACATTTCCGCTTCTCTAACCCCTGTCAACACTAAAAATGGTATTGATAGACAGAAAGCTTGCAGCCACTGTACCTCGCGAGGTCGTGAGTTGGAAAATCTTCCTCTATGGAGCAATCCTGTCAATGTCAGGATGTCTCCACGGTCAGTACTATTTCCCATTACTGCCCCTATTGACTTCAAAGCATCTGCTGACCTCAATTCCAGGAGTCAACACAGCCAACATTTCCGGTATTCTGAGTCTGACCCCCTTCGAAAAAGCGTTCGGCTTCGATCAGAAGAGCAAAACTGAAGTCAGCAACCTGAAGGGCTGGATAACATCATGCATTTTATTGGGTTCTTGCGTCGGCGCTCTCATTTCTGCGCCTATTTCAGTGAGATTTGGCCGCAAGCTCAGTCTGCAGGTATTCAGTCTGCTATACATTATCGGAGCCATCTTAATGGCCGCCAATTTCGGTGGCTCAAAAGGTCTTGCTAAGTTTTTCGTGGGAAGAGTTTTTTCAGGTATTGCCTCCGGGGCTGCCAGTGTCTCCGGAACTGCCTACATCGCTGAAATCGCCCCAAAGGTCATCCGCGGTGGTTTATCAGCACTCTACAATGCGAGCACAATGCTTGGAATTTCATTGGCATTCTGGATTAATTATGGATCCTTGCTGAACATCTCGTCTAAAAGCAACGCGCAGTGGCAAGTCCCTTGCGGCGTTCAGGCCTTCCCTGGAGTCATTCTCTTGGTTGGGCTCTTTTTCCTTCCCGAATCCCCTCGCTGGCTTGCATCTAAGAATATGGTTGAAGAAACGATTACGTCTGTCACGAAATTGCGCAGCCTTGATGCAAACCATCCATTTGTTCAGGAAGAGTTGACCGAGATTCTGGGTTCATCACCAACCCCCCAGCAGATACTGGAACAAACCAACTCCTCCCTTTTCACGCAGCTGAGAGAAGTTCCCAACCTTGGGAAGAGATTTATTTTGGTCATCCTCATTCAGACATTCTTCCAATCCTCCGGTGGCAACATTATCACCTACTATAATACCACGATCTTGAGTTCTCTGGGCCTGACAGACCCCAAAATCAACTTCCTCATTTCGGGCATCTACGGTTTGATCAAGGTGTTTGCGGTTCTGATTTACGTTTTCTACTTTGTCGACGCATGGGGTCGGCGTCCTTTGCTCTGGTTTGGTTCTACCGTCATCATTATTTGTCTGACCTACATGACGATCTACCTGTCTGTGCTGCAAGACATTGCAGGCCACAAAGCCGCCGGATGGGTGGCGATTGTCGCAATTTTCCTCTTTGCCATTGGCTATGCGGTTTCTTGGGCTACTGTGCCATGGATTATCAACGCAGAAGTCTTCCCCATGTCTGTGCGTGCAGTGTGCATGGCCGCAGCTATCATTTGGCAATACCTGGTCAATTTTGCCCTCACTCGCGCAATGCCGAACATGCTGGTGAGCATGGGTGCCTATGGCCCATTCGCATTATTTGCCTGCGCCACAGCGGTTGCGTTTGTTTACTCCTACTTTGCCTTCTCTGAGACAAAGGGATTGAACATGTCACAGATCGATGCTCTCTTCGAAACTTCGTGGTATAAAATTGGACGTGAGAGTGTCAGAATTGTCCAGGAGAATGCCGCCAAGTCAGCTTCCAGTGACGAGGAGGTTGCCAAAAAGGAGGATGTGGACTACCAACATTGTGAGACTCTTGGTGGCCGCCGCCTTTAGGCCCTTTATCATTCGGTGACCATGCTGTTTAAAATTTCAGGCCACCTTTCAGGATCTCCCGATTATTAGGGATAAAGTATTCTGTTTTGATGTTTTGCGTTCTGAGGTCCTCTCCCTTTCCCGAGGACCTCACACATCCTGTATTAGAGCTGCCTTTATTTTTCTGGTCAATGTATATAGGCGCACCCCGGGCAATGGCGGGGCTTGAGTTACTTGGGCTTTATATCTTGCATGAACTGATGTTCATGGAATATTCTGCCTAATGATTGTGTCGCTTTTCTATTTTGTATTCTATATACGTTTCATATTCTATTTTGCTGCTCAGCCTCTTCCTGTAGAATTCTAGTTTGTAATTTTAACATTAGACGTCCGCCTCGTAAAATTTGAAGGGAAAAGTAACGAATGATAGAGATTTTTACAGTGACTCCGAGCTTACAAGGAAGAGTTGCTTGCCAGTGGCGGCCTTTAGTGAATTCATTTTGAATTTACCAGTATGTTCCAACAACAGCGAGTTTTCCTCTTACACGTGAGAAGGCCTTCAACTCATTAAGTTCAGTTATTCGTGATACATGCATTACTTTTTACTTTGTAAAATATAAAATGTAGAAGTCAGAAGTACAGGACTTCGGCATGTCTGATGGTGCCTTTCTCAGCTGGTCATTGTTACTGGGAGAGAGCAGCATCATCAAGCCAATCAAGGTCAAAGAATTCACGCATCATGCCCAGTTCATCCACCAAGGTATTGACACCATGTTGAGACCAACTATTGATAAAATTGTCATCTTGAAGTTCCTCTGGTCGAATCCGAGGTCCAGGGGCATGCTGCAATTCGGGTTGGGTCTCAGAAATCCCATAAAGACTGTCAAAGCCATCTATTGCGGCAGGAATAAGACGACCAAGCTTTTCGCACGCATTATATGCCACAGACCATGTGTCACTGAGATATTCGAGTAAATTCTGAGCTTTTTTAACTCGGTCGAAGCATGTTTCACGAAGAACCGACACCATCACAACTGGATTTGTCCAGAGGCAATAGAGTATGGTAATTGCTGCAATAAAGAGTGAATGAGCAGCAATCCAAGTGCAATCCATGCTTTTGAACCGGTGCAGATCTGCATAAATACGAATGATCTCCATGGCGCTATCAAAGCATTTCCGTAGGGCATCCTGGGAAGGTCGAGGGATCTGAGGGCTTGGTCGATAAAGCAGCATGAGACATGAATGGTACTTGACTTGAAGCTTTTGGACCACAACGAAAGAAAGATATGGTGAGTTTAGCATCCGCAGGCTTCTTTGGCGACTCTCCACCTCTTGGATGAGTACATGGCATGAATCTTCGACGTCTTGTTGCCAGTTTGTGAGATCGCTTGGCCAAGGGAACCGTTGTGGTGCCCGTGATACGCGATATATCATGAGTTTAACTTCGGCAACGATTCGGTCAAAGCGCAAGGCATATATGCAAGGAACAAATGGCTCTGCCACATTAGCACCCTCGTGGCTCCATTGGAGAGCACCCCAATCCACCTCATTTGTCTTGTTGATTCCAGGAAACTCAACATCGATGGCTTCATCTCGTAGTGTAAGTGGCCTCCCGAGGATCGTTGTCAAAATCCGATCTAGCGAATATGCAGACCAGAATATTGCGCTCCGTTTGTGCCGTTGGCTGCGCTGCTTTGTTGATTCGAGGTCCTGTTTATCTGCAGTGTGTTATATATTAGCAAGATTGTATGGAGAACGTTTGAGAACGGTTTTGACGAACTATTATTCGACCGCTGGAGACCAAGATCCAAGCAACTGGCAATAATTGTGTGCAGAAAATACCAGGCATTCAAACCCTCTGGGTTGTAAAAGCTGTTCAAAACCATTAGAAGAAGAACTTGAATCCCTTCTGTGCTATCGTGAAGTTGGACTTGGGTGGCATATCGCATCCCGGCGGCCAGCAGTCCACTTGAATTAAAGTCACTCTTTAATTTTGTCTCAAGTGAGCGAGCGCCAAGAGACAACAGCAGAAAGACCTGCCCAAAACCCAGCACAATGGGAAGGGCTGGCTTCCAAACTCCCGTTTCTTGAAATCGTTGGACATCATCCAAGAGATCAAACACCTCGTCCTGCATCATGAAAGGTAAAAATACAGCAACTTCAAAGTAGGCCTCCGCATATTGATGACATTCGGCCGGCAGCGGAAGAGCGGCGGGCTGCACATTTCTCGGTCCTCCCTTTTCTGAATCTCCCAAGCCAGAGGCTTGGTACCAGTCTCTGAGAGACAGCCCTTGAGACTGAGGAGCGCTCTCATAGATCAAACGCGCAAAGGGTACACCGGATGAGGGGCCAAGGTACTTTGGGTCACTGTAGTTGGCCAGGGATAGCAGGCCAACTTCATGCGCCAAAGGTTGATCCCGGGTGATACTAGTCGGTGCAGACACAGCGGATGATTGTGTCATCGGAGATGCTGTATGAATTACGTGCTGATGGTTTGGAACTACCCCTACTTCATAGACCGGTGGAGGTCGAGCATTGGAAGATATAGGGATTGAATCATTCTGCCCATGGAAGATTGCCGGCTGGTCAGTTAAAGTATTGGCGGGCTCGTTGACAGTTTCATTTGCAGGCTCGATGACAGGCCCACTAGCAGGTGCATTGGAAGATATAGTGGTTGAATCATCTTGTCCATGGTAGAGTGTATGTTGGCCAGTTCGAGTATCGGTGGCTGTATTGGTCAAGTGGTCTCCTCCGTTGAATAATGTTGGTGGGCTTCTCGGTGTATCGATGAGCTCATCCTCACTTGGGACTGCATCAGAGAGAGACTGAGAAGTTGCACTGCGAGATTCAAGCTCGCGTATTCGATTTTCAAGATAATGGAGGCGACTGGAAATCGGACGATAAGCTGACAGAACACAGTCGGAGAAACAGCGAGTACATACGCGCGTGAGACCTTCGATGAGGTTCCGCCCTGGAAGCACTCAACTCCCACTTTGGAACAATTTGCACATGCCGGAAGCGATCCATCGCATCGTACTTTCCGCTGACGACATCTCGCACATGCAATGACCCGTCGAGGAGTCGGGGTGGAGGCTACAGGGCGGCTTGTATTAGTAAACTCCACGTACCCGTCGGAGGTCGCTGATCCGATTTCAAATGACATTGTTCAATATCTCCGTGATAAAGGCCGCATCTGGAATGCAGCGCAGGGGATTTAGCGGGAAGATGTCTATTCAAGCGATTCTATACCGCAGGAACGGCAGTTATCGGACAAATGCCGATGGATGGTAGAGGCGATGGAGCCGTAAATATGCTAAGAGCAACCGAGAAACAATCAATCCCTAGATGCTAGGCAGTAGCGTCGTCACGTACAGTAGGTCTACGACATTGAGTATATACCACTGGGCTTACGAGGCTTACGGGTACCCCAGAAGCATCAATGAAGCAGACTTCTGATAGCGGCGGCGAGGGTATAGCGGAAGACCGTATATGAGTGCCGGTCGCACGAAACCTAAGGCAAATGCACTAGTAATCATCTTTGTTAAATTTACCCCGTACCTCGGCAATTGGTAAATTATGTCCCTGCGATGGAAATTAATTTTTATTAGTGGAACCGAAAAGGTTGACGGGTAATTGCCGAAAGGCTCAAAATCTTCGGAGATTGCCGAGGTGAATGACGTTACTAGCGTCGGCTCAATCCCGACGAACTTCGTATTTAATCAATACGACAGAACAATTCTGAAAGGCCTTATCTTCTTGAGAGAGCATCTGATTGCATTTCCATCACTCCCTACACACGATGTCGTCCTCTGTAAGCTCATCATACGATCTTTTTGTCGAAATTATTCTCATTGATTGATAGGCCCGCTACTACGCCGACCCCGCCGTCGCGACAAAGTTCGCCACGGAGCTACTCGTGAAGGGTGGCCTCAGCGAGGAACACGCCAAGTCGATGGCTGAATGCCTCGTCCTGGCAGATATTCGCGGCGTTGTAGGTCTCTAATGTTACTCCTTTCAGTATATAGAAGCTAACCCATTGTTAGGACACCCATGGCCTGGCCCGTCTTCCCCAATATCTTGACCGCGTCAGCAACGGTCGTGTGAACGCGAAGCCCGAATTTAAGATCACCGAGAAGACCCCCGTGGTGGCTCACATGGATGGCGACAATGGTTTTGGTTTTGTCGTTGCCACCCGCGCTATGGATGAGGCCATCAAGCGCGCCGAAATCTACGGCATTGGTCTCGTCGTTGTCAACCACTCGAACCACTTCGGCATGGGTGCCACTTACGTGCTCCAGGCTCTGGAGAAAGACATGATTTCTCTTGTTTTCACCAACTCTGCTAAGCAGATGCCTCCCTTCGGTGGAAAGGAGACCCTCCTCGGTATCTCCCCCTTCGCCGCTGGTGCGCCTTCTGGAAAGGAGGTTCCATACATCCTGGACATGGCCCCGTCAGTTGTTGCCAAGGGCAAGATTCGCCGTGCTGCTCGTCGTGGCGAGTCCATTCCCCTTGGCTGGGCTCTTGATGCCGACGGAAACCCCACTACCGATGCCGAGGTCGCCCTGAACGGTAGCATGGCTCCCATCGGTGGCCCTAAGGGTTCCGGAATTGCGATTCTGATGGACATCATGTCCGGTGTCCTTAGCGGTTCTGCCTTTGGTGGTGAGGTCGGTGATCAGTACAAGGATACCAAGCCCCAGGACGTGGGCCACTGCTTTATCGCTCTGAAGCAGGACATTTTCCTTAGTGCTGACGAGTTTAAGAACCGTATGGATACCCTTGTTCAACGTGTTCATAATGTTACCCCAGCTCCTGGCTTCAACGAGGTTCTTTTCCCCGGTGAGTCTGAGCACCGTCTCGGCGTTCAGCGTCGCAACCAGGGCATTCCTTATGCCGACGCGGAAAAGCAAATGTTTATCGACATTGCTAAGAAGTTCGGTGTTTCTGATCTCCCCCTCGCCGATTCCCCTTTGCCTTTGGCTTAAATGGAACGCAGGCGCTCATGTGAAATAAATTAAAAATAATTATTTAGGTCATCTTATGAAAAAATTTCGAATATTCAGTAATCCAGACCTCCAAGCCTTCAAGCCTTCAATGTAAATGATGTTATCAAGAAAAATTCACTTTTTGTTATTCTGATCTTATCGCCCTTGTTACCCCGCCCCCGCCATCGGGATTATTATCATAATCGATTTCTCCCCTCGATACCTACTAATCTCTCTCTCTCTCTCTCTCTCTCTCTTCCAACACCTTATCATGCCCTTGAAATCCTTAGTCTGACTGCGATCACACACGATGGTACTTCCAGCATGGTTATGCGGTGATCATTCGTATTACATCGCCAAAGAATCCTGCAAAACTCCCGGAAATGAATCTTAGAGAAATGAAAGAAAGAAAATGAATATATTTACCCTAATAACGTCCAGATGACCCCAGAACATCCATCATCCTCTCAACGGACTTGGTGTAAATATCGACGCCCTGCACTGAAAGAACAGTCAGCTCCAGGGAGCCGGCGTTCTTGGCAACGAACTCGGTGTAATCATCCCGGACGGTACGGTTGAGGTTAATTTTACGGACGCCGAGTGGGATAGTCTTCTGGAACAGCTCATCGGAAACAGGATGGGTTCCATGAAGAGCCAGTGGGGTGTTATGGGAGACCAATTTGCCGATGGCTTCGAGGCTGAGAGATTGAGAACAAGTTAGCCAAGAATTTCCATATCAAATCCGTGGACTCCGACAACTATTCATGAGAGATGTCGGAGTAATTTCATGAAACATACCGAGGTAGGTCCCAAGACTTCTCTGCACCGCCTTCCGGATAACCGCCATGGATATTTCCAAAGGAGGGAGCCAGGAACTGAATTCCCGTCTCGCGAACAAAAGTCTCAGCCTCTTCGGGGCGGGTCATCACAGATTCCATGTCCACCGAGGGCAGACCATCCTCACCACCCTCGATACGGCCCATCTCCGCTTCAATAGTGATATTGAGAGCTCTCGCCCGTTCTACAACAGCCTTCACACGGCGAATGTTCTCTTCTTCGTCTTCTGTAGATGCATCCACCATAATTGAATCAAAGGGCAGCGTCAAGGCCAGTTCCACGTCCTCGGGCTTGATGCAGTGGTCCAGGTGAACTGCTATTGGGACCGTCGTAGCATGTGCAGCATTGACGACATATCGGATGAATTCAGGGCCTTGGAAATGCATTGTCCAGGGGAAGAGCTGAATGATTGCTGCCGAGCGCTTCTGCTCCGCTGCACGAATTACCGCCATGACGCCATCGGTATTGTAGCTAAGCTCGTGCGTATGTGGTTAGTCAAATTGCAAAACATTCCTCGTCGGAGATTTGTAGCATACCAATTATAAGCTCCGACGGCGTAGTCGTGCACATTGGCATGGTTGAGCACCTGCCATGTCACGTTACCGGCAGGATACTGAATCTGATCGGTGGCCATGGTATGCGACTAGTTTTCAGTGTGGATATAGTTGCATTGGAATACAGGAATATCGGCCAGGCTTGAGTTTTAAGGTATCGTTCCTCGCTCGGGTTTTGCCGACCGGTGGATGTATTCGGAGAAACGCCGACACGAAGGACTTTCGGGCCGAGCGTCTTGCCATTGGCTACTGATAATTTGAACAGGATCCATTGTTAATCCTGTTTGAGGAAAGCAAACGATCCGTTTAATGGAAAAGTGATTTTGCGATCCAATAAAGTATGCACACTGATGGGAACAGAAAGTACGAAATAAAGAAATAACCTGAATACAAACCAACTCACTGTCGAATCATCCCACACTTTGCGGCAGATACGCCACCGGCAATTCTTTTCGAGCCTTATTCTGAGGCCTGACCGCGCCTATGCAACGTACACGTTCACTCGCTCAATCCGGGCTGACTAGCATGTGGAAAGGGAGCATACGTCTTGCTCCTTCTTTGTGAGAACTGCTGTTGCTATCCATCCCTCTGCCTGAGTACTCTTTCCAGAAGTATTCTCACTCTGTCTTCTGTCCGGTCCTATGTGTTACGTAATCCTCGGTGAGTGCTTCATCGTCGCCCTCAAGACCTTTCTCCCCAGTAACGTAATAAAAATCGGCTTTGGGATTGTTTCAGAGCCGCATCGATGTGAGCTTACAGTTGAGCCTCACAAAATCCAAGCTTGTTCGAGGAAAATATAAACCAATTCAGGTTGTTCCTTGCCGCCGGGACTTTTTGGTAGACAAGGATCCCTTCTAGTCATCATTCATATTTTCCTTCTCGCTAAAGAAGATTTCTGAAAGTTCCATGTCGAGGAAGCGATAGTTTCATCAGTATCAATTTGCTGATATTTGTAAAATTCGAGGAATATATTACTGTTTTGCATTGTTCACCCGATATGCAACCTTTCCAAACAATGAGCGAAGCTGTCGATAAGTCCCTGAACGCCACGGAAATCATCCCCGTAATATGAGTAGCAAGAGTTCGATGGATTGATTTCCCAGCAAAAGGACTGTTACTAAAATGCTGCATGCTGGTCATGTATGATATTATAGGACCTACCGTGGAGTTGAGGCGGGAGACCACTTTCCAATGTAACCCATTCTACGCCAACTTACTGTCAGAATGAACATTCCATTGGACATCTAACCGCTTATATTTATTTGCCACCCTCACCCTGCCCTGCACTTTCTATCTTGAGAATCATGTGGTTCGTTAGTCTCTTAAAAGATACGTCGGTGATCCCCCGCTTCGGTTCGGCCCGAATCCGGAAGAAATAGCAACGGGCAACCCCAGAAAAATGATTCATGACTGATTCGAATATCAAGCGGGAGGCTCCGTTGAAAAATTTGCCTTTCCCCGCCGACGTACCCCATGGAGTTCCCCATGGGGTTGGTTCAGGCCTAATACCCCCCCCCTTTTCGGGGAAAAGAAGAACGTGAACTCGTGGGTACATAAACGACCCATTTCCCCAAGTTTCGCTTCTTCCATTCTCCATCCTCATATACTCCTATACGAACCTTCACGTCACACCCTTCCCGACTAGCGATGGCCTCGACTTTGAAGGCTTCGGCTGCTCATGATGAGCTGCCGGGTGACAACCGCCTGGCAGCAGCCCAGCAACTCACCGCTGAGGAGTTCGCGGCAGCGGAAAAATCGCTGAAACGCAAATTAGACCTTCGTCTTGTGTGCTGTGTGTGGGTCATCTTCATCATGAATTACTTGGACCGAGTACGTATCACCTGAGTCAAATCCAATCATACGCAGACAAGATGGTCTTCACTTCCCTCTTCAGGAGCATATGATTGATTTGCTTCATATCTTAGAACAATATATCCGCTGCCAAGGTCGCTGGAATCTCAAAATCATTGCATATGTCAAGCACTCAGTATGCCACGTCCGTGGCGATATTGTTTGCCGGCTATGTCTTGATGCAACTTCCGTCCAATATTTTCTTGGCACAGCTGCGCCCTTCTGTATATCTACCAACTGTGATGGCTATCTGGGGTATGCTATCGGCTCTTGTCGGGGTCGTGCATAACTACTCGGGACTTTATGCACTGCGATTTTTGTTAGGCTTCGTAGAAGCGGCTTTTTACCGTGAGTAACTCTACCAACTCTCGCGTGAAATCTCACTAATCTTTTATCTTGTTGAATCTAGCCGGCGCATTGTTCTTGATTTCGTCATCGTACAAACGTGAAGAGATGGGCGTGCGCAGCGCGTTCCTATTTTCGGGTTCCCAGCTAGGCAGCGCATTCTCTGGGCTCATCGCCGCCGGTATTCAAAGCGGTTTGAATGGCGCTCGCGGTTTAGAGTCATGGCGATGGATCTTCATCATTGAAGGCTCTGTCACAGTCTTCGTCGCGATTTGCGCCTTTTTCATTTTGCCCGATTACCCTAGCAATACTCGCTGGCTTAGCCCCACTGAACGGGCAGTTGCAGAATGCCGTCTTCTCGAAGACTCGGGCCAAGTGGACGAAGATGGTGGCGGTTGGAGCTACGGCTTCAAGAAAGCCTTTGCCGATTGGCGACTCTATGTTTTCGCCCTGATATTCCTGTGCATCCAAGTGTCCAGCGCTACTTCGAACTTCTTCCCTTCGGTTATTCAAACGCTTGGATATGGCCGGGTCAACACCCTACTTCTCACTGTTCCTCCTTATATGGTGGCCTTGTTTGTCTCTATCGCTAACAATTGGTCTGCTGATTGGCTACGAAACTCTTCATTCCATGTTTGTTGGCCCTTAATGGCGGCGATGATTGGATTTGTCATTGGCGCTGCCTCAACGAACACAGGAGCTCGGTACTTTGCTATGATCCTCATGGTCGCTGGTGGCCATGGGTCAAATGCGGTTCTTCTAGCTTGGACTCAGAAAACAATGCTGCGACCTCGCGTCAAACGCGCATCATCGGTTGCGTTTGTCAATGCCGTTGGAAATCTTGCCCAAGTAAGCCTTTTGCAATCCTGAGAGGAGATCATCATCTTCCTAGCGGACTTCGTTTACTAACTTCTGCCAGATCTTCTCCTCCTACCTATATCCAGACGAAGGTGCCCCTCGATATGTCCTAGCCATGTCAGCAAACTCTGCATTCTGTTTGGTAGCAATTGCGCTGGTTCTGTTCATGCGCATGATTCTCCTCCGAGCTAATAAGCGACTGGATGCTGGAGAGACCACAGTGGGACAAGAAATGAAGGGCGAGAGTCAGGCCAGTGTCCCAGGGGTTGAAGATGAAGAGCAAATTGCTCGCAGGGAAGAATTCAGATTCATTGCGTAAGCGTTGTTTGAGCTATCTTCCTCGTCTTTATCAGCGATTGTGATGCTACATGAGATTATGGAATATCGATTTTCTCTCTCCCCAAGACACGCCCACTTTCTGCCTATCGCTCCAGTTTGAAGCTTAGGGTTCTCTGAAACTCGGCGATTCTTGACTTGGCTCTCTAGAGGGTCTATGGGAAATGAAACTTGTGGGTCAGTGAGGTCGAAACTCTCCTTTCACCTTGCGCTAGCCTCTGAGAGAATTTAGGAAGTTTATTCTGAGGTGTTTTCCCTTTGGTTAATAGAGGTTTCCAGTATCTGTAATACCTTTAAGTTATCACAAGCTGAGTAGATGCACCGTATATAGTGAAGCTAGAAGCGACTAAACTGGTACCAGCGTAGAACAGATGCTTAGCGTCAACATATTCGCCGACTTTGTAGATCTCCTCTGGCAGCTGAAAGATGCCAAAGATAGTGCCCACCGAGACACCCGCATCTGGGTTTAACGATCTATTAATCGGATCACACACGACTGTTTACCGAGCATTCGGGTATTCGTCGAATTTGATAAGTTCATCCTCTTCCTCGGAGACTAGGATCCGGCATTGTTTCCCAAACAACGCATAGAAGAAATGAAGATGTCATTAGCAATAACGTCGAGATTCTTTTAGTCATCGGCTGTTATGTTAGAAGAGCCGGCGAGACCGGTAAGGTTGATCAGGGATGCCCGACGGATGTAATACGCGATTAACTTAAGCGAGAATTGAAGGGCATGGCAAATCAAAGTAAAGTCCTCGGAGCCTTCGGCGTGTTTCTTCTGCTCCTCGGTCAGGAAGCGGGAGAGTGTGATGATATTCAAGCCCATATTCCCCCCGTCCTTCGAAGATGAGCTGCTAACGCCTGTCCTGTGTTTTTGCCCGTGAGAGACTTGGTAAGGAATGATGTACTGAGGTCTTCTGAGTATGAGAAATTAATGAGATTTAACACAAGCTAGATCCCGAATACTGCAATTTCTGTAACGTCAGAATCAAAGCTAGCCGAGCGGGTCCTTGTTGAAAAAGTTCTTAACATTTATTTGATTCAGTTATTCGGCCGGTATCACCCTCCATGCTTTTCGTACCCGAGCTTTCTTTGTTGGAATGCACAAAGTTCAGAGCTGAAATAGATGTATCCCCGCTCAAATATATGTATCAAAGGCATAAAATCCTCTGCCTAGTCTTGCCTGATAAGAGATGAACGTTTGACCTACGAATGTTATCAAATAATGATGAAAACATGCTACCCATTTATTGAGGAAAGAATTGACTTCAATGAATTAAAATCGCTTGGTTCGGCGAAATTTAGTAGCCAAAAGCATCAAGACGCGGATGAATCATCCTAAAGGTCGGAGTATTGCCGCTGAGGGCTCCACATTCGGCAAGCGACGGAGAGCAACCGAAGGCTTCACTTCCGGCACTTACTTATCGTGACTATATGCAATTAGATAAATTCATTGTAAAAATTCCGTTCAGTTTCCCCACGCAGCAATAGGACTTTCTCAAAGCTTGAGCAGCCAACTCTTTGAATACAAAGCCAGAATGTACATCGGAATCCTCAAAGGAGACGGCATCGACCCCGAGATTACTCGGGCGACGCAGCTAGTCCTCGAAGCGACTGGAATTCCTATCGAATGGAAAGAATTTTCTGTTGGTGAGGAGGCTATCAAGATTTCTGGACATCCTCTACCTCTTTCGACGGTCCAACAGCTCCGCGAAGTCAAATACTCCATAAAGGCCCCTTTCATCGTCAATAAGCTCGAGGGACGCATCCGTTGCACCCAGCCTAACGGCTCTGAGATTACATACCCTTCTTTCAACAATGCGGTCCGTCGGGAATTGGGTTTGTTTGTCAACCCACGACCTATCAAAGGATTCCCAGGAATTTCAGGCAGATATGAAAAGCTCGACGTGGTTATCATGAGAGAGATCACAGAGGACATTTACATTGGCCACGAGCATATGATCGGGAATGATATAGCCGCCGAGGCAATCAAGTTGACAACTCGGGCCGCCGCTACGAGGGTAGCCACATATTCATTCGAGTATGCCCGCCAACACGGTCGCAAAAAAGTGACGTGTCTTCATAAGGCCAATGTCCTGAACTACACGGATGGGCTGTTTCTACGCTGCTTCGGGGAAGTCAGCAAGGCATACCCGGATATTGAGGCCGATGACATGATGATTGATGCAGCTTGTTATACGATGGTTCTTGACCCTACTCGTTTTGATGTCATCGTCACTGCGAATCAATATGGCGACATTCTTTCCGACTTAGCTGCTGGCATGATAGGCTCTCTTGGTCTAGCACCTGGAATGAATATTGGCGATGGCATAGCCACCTTTGAGGCTTGTCATGGTGCTGCTCCAGATATTGCTGGCAAGGGTATTGCAAACCCACTCGCACTGATCCTGAGTGGTGCGGAGCTTTTGAGATTGGCAGGCTATGAGAGAGAGGCTAAAGCAGTGCGTGATGCCGTTTGCGCGGTTGTTGAGGCGAAAGTAGACTTAACCCCAGATTTGGATGGAAGAGGCACGACGGCATCGGTGACTGCAGCAGTGATAGCTAATCTCACAGGACTTCCACGTTCAGAACACATCTAGAGAGGATGATTTTCTGATTGTGGAGGACTAGGGCTGTATTTTCAAAGTCATTGGTTGTCAAAGGAAAAACGGAATGCGCTTTGGATAAAAAGCCCTGTTGCCTTGAATGTTCTTCTGTGATTGATAGCAAAGTGTGCTAGTGTAGAACAAAAGCAAGGTACTGCATTTTTCAAAGGGAAGGCTTTAACCCGCTGCAATACTACTGGACATACCCGCCGTGCCGCCAGCACCCACAACCCACCTCACCATCCAAACTTTATTCACCAATGCTGTTGCTCCGACACTTTTGCCTTTCCAGATCACTAGATACCCCACCCTCCCCCCTTTATTTCCTCTATTCGTCTCGAACCGCGGGCATCATTCCTTTCCCATCACTTCCATATTTGAGTATTATGTAACTCTTCCCCCGACCAATAGACGTAAACGGTGCATGTTTGCGAGTTATCAAATGGTTTGTGTCACCGTCTGTCCCAATTCCTTTCGGGATTCTTTCGGGTACTAGAACCTGTATTTGCCGCTTTTGTTCCGAAAATACCTACTATTTTACCGTGAAAGTTCCGTGGCGTGAAATTTGGCGTTTCCAGCACTGGACCGAAAGCCATTTACACTTTGACTCGAGCTACGCACATTGGCCGAGACGGTGATTGGCCGAGACGGTGATTGGCCGAGACGGTGATTGGCCGAGACGGTGATTGGCCGATACAACCAAATAGACTGGTACATATTTTAACCGTTACATTACTACTTATACTCGATATATCATGCGTATATATCATGTCACCCTTAGTATTTCACCATAGATAAGGGAGGATTGCTGATAAATTCTTGTTCTATTTCAGGTCAAATTGTCTGGTATCTCAAGCTTGCGCTCAGCATGAAGGTAGAATACGCGTAACGGTAAAAGCTTGTTCTTAAAGCCTGCCTTGTTGTTTGTATTTCCCTGCGCTGTATTATTCTCAATGACCTACTGGATGGCGAGAATCAGCTTCACATTGTTGACTCGGTCCTTCACCATAATTGACACGGTATCCATAAGTTAGATCCATAGCATTGATAAGATGGGAGAGGAAAGCGAGAGGCAGATAAATGGAGCAGAGTTAGAATGGTGGGAGAGATGGAGAAACAAAGAAGCTGGAGAACAGAGAGGCAATACCCGTAGTTGAAGACTACCAGCTGATGTGGTCAGTAAATGGCAAGTTCCTGACTCTGTCTTGTCTGATCCACGGAATCGATACCATGCAGACCGTTTGCCATTTCACTTCGATACGATCTCGTCTGTCACACAATTAACCAAAGCAGGGTGACCTTCTTATCCGGTATCTGCTTCTATAATTATCTTTTTTTCAGTCGCCTCGAATTGCTGACTTAGTTAGGAGAAATGCTGACCGATGAACCAGATGACGTGCATCTCGGGGACAAATATCGGGTTCGCATTCACAATCCTCACTCGATGCGGCTTTTACGCTGCTATAAGCTTCAATCAGCTAGGTATATTCTCGTGTTTCGGCTTTCCCTTTCCATGCTGAGCTCATCCTTTGTATGTTGAATAGAGTGTGGTAAATCTCTACCGCTCGGGGGTCAAATGTATGACCTACAAGAGCCGTTGAACTACGGCACTCATAATATTTATTCCAGGGGTCCAGAGAGAGCGTGCACGCTAATAAAAGTATCAGACAGTCTAGACTTCATTTCGTCGCCCCTTGACCTTGGTAGATAGCCCCACAGATCGCTAGCACTTGAACCCTTCGTATTAGCCGGAATCCTTCCTATCTTAGACTATGCTCTAAGTTCTAAAACATCCACTACATCAGCCATCGCAAGGTGTAAATTACCTTCCAGCCAATTATTGGACCGCGGGCGGAGGTGTTTCGAATCGGGGATCCACCTCTCCTAAGATGCCGGCATAATGTCGGCCCCACCCTTTTTTCAACTGGGTAGATATAGTCGACAGTACGTACGCACGGAATACGCTACGCAACTCCGACTCCCGGCTCCATATTCTGAATTCGACCCTTGTTCGCTGTATTCGTAGACCCTTGAAATTTGTCCTCCAATAGCTTTGGGGAATCCAAAGGGTATTATGGGTCAGGTTGCGGGGTACGTGTAATCAATTGGTCTCCCTGGCACGGTAAAAGATTTTGTCCAATGGAATGATGACTTGAGTACATTGCCAAGGCGCAGAAATCAGGACGTAAACCGTGTTTCAAAGCTCCTCCTTGAAGAGTCTAGCGCTTGTCAAAAGCCGCAAGAAGCAACACATATCCCGACATGTGGTCCCAGGGCTGACACAAATTGAAAATTCTCAAAATTCTCCCTCGCCTGCCCTGATGGGCTCCCAACACTAGAAGCTGAATCAATGTCTCTACCAACACCTACTTTCGACAGCAAGGCGGCTGGAAATGGGACCCAGTCTTCTCCAATGGGAGGGTCGTCTCTGGGAATGACCGATGGGGTGCCGGTATGGCTCTTCGAAGTGACAAGAGGAAAGGACACAATCTAACAAATCCAACACAGGACAATAGTAATCAAGGGGAAGCTGTGGTGATCGTGACAGTCATCATGATGATTGTGACCACTCTTGTTGTGGCTCTGCGCATAGCCGCGCGCTTTTTCGTTCTGCGGTTAAGAGGAGCAGATGACTGGTTGATTATGGCAGCCACGGCTGTTATGATTTCAGATGTGATTAGTATCGTGATAGGTGAAGATGTTCTATACTTCATTCAATATTGGGCCAAGCTAATCATCTATAGGAGTCAAATACGGTACCGGACGACATGAGAGTGCACTTAGCATTGCCCAATCCCAAGTCTCCATCAAGGTACACTATCTTCCTGTTCATTTGTTTCATATCGCTAATGTATCTTTTTGATTCTTAGTATCGGCTCGTATCCCACCTTCTATATACCGCTGCAAATGCTCTTGTGAAGTCGTCGATACTCATGCTATACCTGAGGTTATTCCCAGGACTCAAATGGGCGATAATTGGGACTCTTACCTTCATCATTACGATGGCTGTGACTTTTATTCTTGGGGCGTCTTTTAGATGTCGCCCTATTGGTGCTGCTTGGAACCCGTGGGAATATGACCCTAACAACTTTACCTGCTTTGCGGCATTGCCATTCTGGGTTTTTTTCGGGTCGCTGTTTCTGGTGTCTGACATTATGGTCCTGATTCTTCCGATAAAAACTATCCTAGGTGGGTTCAGTCATCAGGTGAGTATGTTCTATCTCTGACAATGTGGCTGTTTAGGGCTTCACATATCACGACAAAAGAAGATGATACTTGTTTGTCTTCTCTCGCTGGGCGCCTTGTAAGACATCCAGTATCAACAGTCCCCTTTGCGTTATTCTGACTGGAAATTAGTGCTTGTGTCGCCGGTGTCGTCCGTTTAGTGTATGTCGTCAAACTATACACCTCCGGTGACGCTTCCTGGAACACCGCTTTTGTCTCGATTGCATCGACGATAGAGATATGCTGTGCCATTATTGCAGCAAGCATCCCGCCGACGAAAGTCTTCGTCGATAGATTTTTCCCGAACCTCATCAGCAGCACAAGACAGGGCACAAGGTATTGGCAGCAACGGCCTCTAGGCAGCGTAGAGCTGGCCTCCAATACGAACCCTCGCCGGCACAATCCCACCAGCAAAATGACCGATAGTGCAAGACTGCATACCGAAAGCAAAAGTCAGCCAAGTATCGTCGTGACTCGCAATTTCCAGATGGACGTCTCTCCCTCGTCAATCAATAATCTCGATCATGATGATTACGAGCCTCCTCCGTATGGAACCAGATCGGAAGAACATCTTCGATAGCCATCAGCAGAGAGAGAGCTTGAGCTTTAATTGATAGAATCTACTATAATATTCCCCAGAACTCTGTGCAGCCGGCCTCTTCATCCGTTATTCTCCATTGGTATAGATTATATCCATCTCTCCTCGTTGGTCGAAGGTCCCCTCATACACTTCATCGAACGCGACAGAAGCTCGTGCGTGTCTCGTCGACACGTGTTTAAACCCCACAAGGAGCTGATCGGAAATCCGCTACTCCAAATCGAGCCTACAAAGACCAAATAATGCGTGTTTCGATAAGCAAGCCTTCGGCAATGTCTGCCCTTTCCGATTGGGGCTGCTTCAAAACAAGGATATCCAAAGATTCCAGGTTGATTTGCAGTTTTCAGCACGGTTTTGTTGGTGTCATATGAACTTAATCATATAGAGTAGGTGCATTTTTCCTAGTGCTACAAATTACGCAGCAAACCCAAACCCCGGTCAAGCTAGCCGGTGGAGCCAAGTGCGCTGATTGGTGTGCCTACCTGCCGCATTGAGACCGGATAAATCCATAAATCCTGGCTTGTTTCTCCACGGACCTGCCGGCTTACTTCCCTGCAACAAATTCATCTCGCTCTTTTTGCCTGGCTAGGGTCGCCACTCCATTGAGAGCGGATGGAGGATAGATTTTGTCTAAACTATTACCTACCTGATGTGCATCCTCTCTCGTATTTTGAGCTTAGTTGAATTTCAATCATTCTCAAGGAGCAATTCACAAGTCAACTTAATCAGTTTTCTGGCATCTAGCCGATAGGCGAGTATGCTCAACTCAAACAGGATCGAAGATGATTATTATGAATTACCAGTCCTTTCCGTGGCTGGACATTCCCATCAGCCCCAGCCCGGTCGGTGCAGTAACTCGCTCCATGCGGTGCCTGACTCCGAAGCTTAGCCCCGAACCTGAGCCAATTGAACCCTCGATGCGGCTCTTCGAGGGTCGCACTGAGGCGCTTAGACCCGAATCACCGATGGGTCCGCTGCAATGCCACCCAAACAATCGAGTCAGAATTGAGCACTAAGTTCTCGAAGCCCTTATTCACGCCACCCGAACGAGGCTAGCGCTTCTTAGAACGATGACTACTGTTTTCTACAAAAGAAAGGGGCCTTCCCTCCTCCGCTGGGGGCAATTTTGACGAGTTAAATCAATCTCCATCTCAACCAACTATTCGTCGCTCGCTTTAGTCACTCGTTTAACATTCAGCACCATGGTCCGAATTACCTCTCTGTTGGCGCTGCTCGGTGTCCTGGGCGCACCTCTGGCAGCTGCAGCCTACAATCAAACAGAGCAAAATGAGAACGCTACCTGCGATGTAAGTGGCATCTCGTGTCATCTCGGAGCTGAAATGTGCTTCATCGCGATGAGACAGGGCCAAAGACTTACGTATTTTACTCCGAACAGAATGGGTGCTTTTTCAGCAGCTTCAATGGGTCTTGCGCAAACGATGCAGCCTGCATGTGCGACCAGCAGAAATACCGCGAAGCCTACTTCTGCTGTATGGGAAAGAAATGCGCCAGCTCCGTCTTGCCCGGTAGGTTCCGTCGCACTTCATTCGCATCATTCACAGACCGACCACTAATCAAACAATCGCGCGATAACCAGATTCCATTGTGCGCCAGCAAGCGGATTGTAACGCCAGAAACATGCCTTTCACATTCGATGCCTTGGCAGTTTGCGGTATTACTTTAACTACCACTACCACGTCCTCGACGACTGCTTCCTCCGGCAGCTCTGCAAGTTCCACTGCTTCGACTGCTTCGGCAACCACTTCGGCCGGTTCCGCCACGGGCACATCGGCGGCTTCGTCCACGGATGCGTCGGGGTCTTCGGCTACCGCTAGCAAAACCAACACAGCCTCTTCAACGTCCACCCCGACAGGGAACAGCGCGTCATCGAATACGGTTATGCTCAACGCCGTTGTGGGTATTTTCGCGGCCTCTGTGGTGTTGTCCTAAGCTTGTCAAGTCCCATGCGAAGGTGATTCCATTACACCGGGATGAGGACATGATTCTCTGCGTGTATTCTATGGAATATGGAGTGTGAATCTTATTTTCACAACCAATGTTGTCTGTTGATTGCAACACATTTTTGTAAATCCTTAGTCACGATTCCATGATCGTGTTGAAGTCGACGGGCCTACAGTGATCCTGCAAGTCTGACAATATATTCTCACATGTCATTAAATGAAATCATGCCACAAATCACCAAGGCATTCTCTATCACCTATCACAAAGCAATGCGAAAACTCCGCAAACCCGCCGAATCCGGGGAAGCGTGGGGTTGACACATCGTGGTGCGGGGAGTTCGTATTTTCACCACACGAGTAATGAACGTAACCTCTCGAGCCTCGGTCGCGCCAACGCGGACGATCGGCGCCTGTACCTCGGCTATTTTCCGCCATCGACCTTTAAAATATAAGGAAACAGAGGGATCAACTAATCTATTGAGAGAAACCCTGCATGGAAGCTAGTCTGCCACTATCTAGAGCCTATTGATCGATTTCAGCCTATCACAGCCCGTTCTCAGCCATGGATTCCCTCGACCGCATTCTAGACGAATTTACAGACCCTTCGAGTGGATCGTTGCATGCTGCAACGTTCATCGTCGTCGATATTTCTGGTATGTCGGCCAATAGTAATTTCCGTTTCAAGTTGTTCTCTGTTTTGGTCTAATGTTTTTAAAAGGAAAGACAATTTACAGTCGCGCCTCCGGGCGAACAAAAACAGATATACACAGTGCAGAGCCATTGGGATTAGATGCATTATACTGGGTTGCATCAATGACGAAGCTCGTGACTGCGGTATCGGTTATGCAACTCGTTGAACGAGGAGTCCTGTCATTAGACGAGGATGTTCGCAAAAGGGTCCCTGAGCTTGCGAATATACAGATTCTACAGGGAATGACGCAGGGTATGGGAATTGAAACTTAAGTGCTTCGGTGAACTCAAGCGCTGAAGGTAGATAGGGGATTCCCCAGGATCGATGCAACCATATTTTCGGATCGTCCAAGGGAAGATCACTCCTCGGTAAGCTAAGCCTTGTCTATCCATCGTCTCATATCTCTGAGGATAATTTCAATATGCTAAATATAAGTGAGGACTTCTTAGTGATCTGCTGTGCCATACTTCTGGCTTTATTTATGACAGTTCCTCAGATCTACTCAAAGAATGGTCGAGGTCAGTGGGTCGATCCGCGCACACATTCACGGGAAGCATGGTCGGTTCCATCCCCTTGCCACTTATCGAAAACCAAAACTTATGTCTCCAATTTTTAGGAAGGATATGCACACCCGCTTCTCTTCGAGCCAGGAACTTCATGGGGATACGGAGCTGGTTTAGACTGGGCCGGTCGCCTGGTACGTCATCCCAAGCCCAATATCGACTACCCACATACTAACCATCACAGATCGAAAATGTCTGCAATTGTTCACTTGAAGAATACATGAAGGAAAACATCTGGTCCAAGCTTGGAGTCACCTCATCAACCTTCCATCCAGAGTTATATCCCGATTCACTCCCGCCAAAACTACGAATGGCGAACCGGGTGAGTGTTGGCCAGGGAGCCAAATCTATTAAAGCAGGCTCGGTCATTCTGGGACAACCACTGAACGACGATCTGGGAGGAATTGGACTTTGGAGTACACCAAAGGACTTTATTAAACTCCTCACTGCTCTACTGAGAGATGGAGAGCCGTTATTGACGAAAGATAGCTTGGATATCTTGTTTCGACCGCGACTGAGCGATGCGTCTCGGGCAGCAATGCCTTTGTCCCTCGGAAGCCGTATGCGAGACATACTGGGGATCGGGTCTGTGAACGTAATTGATCAGGCTGATCATTGTTTGGCTGGGACGATCACGTTGAAGGACATTCCTGGTCGCCGGCCACGCGGGACGGTTAGCTGGAGTGGGCTGCCAAATTTACATTGGGTAAGAATAAACCCTTGCTACTCTGCCAGCATAAAGAAACTGTCTACTAAATTATCTATTTCGGGAATAGTGGATTGATCCGAAGACGGGCATTACAGCTACACTGTTCACCCAACTTCTGCCGCCCGGCGATGCAGCGGTAACAGGTTTGTTAATTCACCTGGAAACGGCACTCTACAAGGAGATACGAGATAGTGAGTCTGTTAGCAGGAGGGGAAAATTGTAGAACCAGATGGTGGAGCGTCGCTCTACCAGTGTTATCACAAATTAATTCGAGTTCATCTCGTACCATCCACAGGAGCCGCTCGGAGTGGTTGTGATCCGAGCTTAGTACTGCGTTCTTTTCTTCTCCTCACTACGCTTGTTCTGTAGACTATCAACAATCTTCTGCTCCTTATGTTTTTATTCATTGAGCGAGATAGGCCATGGGTTGCGGGGAAGAGAGGCCTGCAGGTGTAAATTTTATGAAGATTTAGGCTATGGGTCTCACTATCTGTCAGTTTGTCGAGTCGCCAGATACACCACACGTGGAGGCTCCATGATGTCGTTTTCATTGATTTGTTGGGTAATCGTTCAAATCAAAAGTTCATCGTTGCTCGAGTGGCTTTGGCGAGTAACTCCGTAGTCTGTCGACTACTTCGGGGCCATCTGGATGTTGTCAAAAGAATCGGCACCGAAAAGGCTCCATCTTCGCCCAAATGGGACATCAGTATGCCCCTCGCAACACAGCCAACGCGGCCAGTGCAGAGACTGTACCGCAGGATGAATTGAAGGGACAAGATTTTCATTTGAGCATGGACGGATTGAAGTGTTCTTCAGGCATCACTGCGGTTGACATACTTTTCTAGTGTCGATGACCTGACAAGAGTGTCGTCTTGCCAGGGTGCTGACCGCGAGTCCACAAACAAGCAGTAACTCAGGATTTGGTCATGAATTGTTTTTCGAGCATTACGCAGTAAACTTGGAATGGGAAACTCGATACAAAAGTAGAGCAATGTGACTACAAAATGCATGGATCGACACATTGAGAACTTGTGAGGCAAGATGTATGAAACAAGAGGATTCAACCTAGCTCCATGAGAGGGCTATCTTTTATCCTGAGAGATAATCAAACAATTTCTTGTCAAAGATGTTGATCGTGCCTGCTCGGGAGCATGTCTTCGGGCACACCAAAGTGTCCGTGGACCCTCTCTGGGATGCGGCATGGATGCCGTGGGTGCAAAACACAATCTCCAGAGATCTTCCAGCGAGACTGGGGTCGGTGGAGTTGTCAAACCGGTCAGCCAAGATCAGACGAGTATGTCACCAAGAAAACATATCTTTTTTTGGGCACGAGCCCACCATCATCCTCCCCAATCTGCCCTTGGCATTCATTCCATCCTGCAACGAGGTCCCAAAGGGGTCTTTCAAACTGAGGAAGATGTCAGTAAAAGTCATATCAAGATGCCATAGACAAAAACATATCTGGTTTTTGGGCAAGAGCCCACCACCATCCTCCCCGGTCTGCCTCCAGCGGCCGTGTGTCTGCAATCCGGACCCAGAAACCCCCGTAAAGCTAAGAGCAATGTCAGTAGAGATCACGTCAGGGTATCATTGAGACAACATATCTTTGTTTTGGGCAAGAGCCCGCCACCATCCACCCCTATCAGCCTCCGGTGGGCATCACCTTTGCAACTCGGGTCGTTCGGCGAGGTCGTATCTGTGGCTCCATCAGCGTAACCGGGCAGGTCTCCGAAGAGTCCCGCCAGTCAAATGAAGAATAGCAAAGAGAAACGCAAAAACGCAAAAACGCAAAGGCCGGCCCACAGGAAGAAGTAAAGCAAAACAGGGGGGGAAGAAAACAAGAAATCAGAAACAGAAGACGCGCAATCAACGCAACCAGGAAAGGAACGACACGGCAGCAATACAACAACCAACACAACCAATCCACTGACCCAAAGTAGGCCCACGAACAGTCACCTCAAGCTGCAAAACACGACGGGGTAGCTCCTCCACAGGAGGAGGAGAGGGAACGCGAGGGGGGAAAGACCGTCGCTTGGGTTCAAACGCCGCAAAGCGAGGAGGGGGGAAGACACGCCAAGGGAACCGCTCAACTTCATGAACTACCACGTCTCCAAAGGAGACAGAACGCTTATTCTGCTTCACAGCAGTTCCGGCACGCTTCAGGAGTGGGACAGGCGGGGGCAAGACAGGAAGACGGGCAACACGAGGGTGGAGAGACACGGCCGAGGGACTGGCCTGGCATCCACGCCGACGAGGAACAAGCAACGGGAACTGCTTGTCTCCGCCAGCAGGATTCTTCTTTTCCAAGTCATCAACATGAGGTCGAAGCCAAGGAGCCAAACGCCAGGGACGAGCAAGAGGCTTCAAACCGGGGAAGTAGATCGGCGGCTCCTTCACCACGGGGCGGGTATCAGATACCGTTCTCACAGCAAAAGTTGGCAAATCCACACTCCCAGTAAGAAGGAGGCGAGCATATCGAGGCGAGCAGATAGCTGGGAAGGCCATCGGAACGACAAGATCTAGAACAACGGAGAAGAAAAAGGGGGAAAGCCTCTCGAGGACGCGCAGAACACAAGTGGGAGGGTACCAAGAAAGCTTTGAGGGCTAACCAGCAAATCACCAGAAGTGTGAGGAGAGGAGAGAAGAGGAAGAAGAGGAGAAGGGGGGAGAAGAAGGTATAAAAGGGGAGCACTCAGAGTGGGAGGAGTCACGTCCAGGGCAACGGCAACCATCGTGAGGAAGGAACAACAAACTCATCCTCACAACAACCACAACAACACACACTTGAGGAAGGTGCGATGTAATTTCACCTCATAAACGGTGGAGCAAACATCCACGCCATGGCAACGCCGTAACCAGGGAATATCAACCATGGATTAAGTGTAATTGATAATGATACTGGGGCAGCACAAACTGTGCCAATATCAAAAGTGGCTAGATATCAACTCAGTACTGGCAGGCACATCACTCAAATTCCACTGACATCTCAAGGCATTTTGGAAAGATTTCTGGTTATTATGAACAGTAATCAAGGGCACATCAAGCGATAATGTCCCATGCACCATCTGTAATTGCAGCCCATCAGAGTGTGTTGTCAAAGTCTTCCATCAACAGAGCTTGTCTGAATGAACATCCCCAAGACATTTGCTCCAATTTATATACGGTACATCAAAAATTTGAGGTTCTAAGCAACATGTCACATCAATATCCCCATCAGCTTGTACCATTATCCAAGTTTTGAAGCTCATGCAAGTTAAATCTTCCAGATCATCAGCCAATCGCACATATTTAATCCAATTGTTCCATGTTAACACCCAACTTGAACTTCTACAATGCTTTCTGCAAGTCCTCATCTCAACCACATTGAGAAGCCTGTTAATATAGTGAAATAAACTCGGGAATAATGACGGGCCAAGTCTAACCTTGTAGTAATTGCGGAATTTGCCCACGGATCGAACATCAATCAGCATTAAAACTGCAATGAAAAAATTTCTGATCTTTCCAGACAGTACTTGAAGGCGAGAGAATTGGCATGATATCATAAAACATGTCATCGAGATCTCGGGGAAGTCTATCGCCGTGTGTTATCCCCGAAAGCTCTTCATTGATAAAGCCCATGTACATTGATAAATGCTGCTCGATCGATTTGCTTTAATTGATCCACGTTATTGCGCAACCATCTTTTCTACAGCCTTCTTTCAATCTAACACCTCTGTACTTCTATGACTGTAGAATATAATCTCGGAGAAAGCGCGATCAAAAATTGAGAAACTTGGCATTGCAACAAGTGCAAATTCTTTTTAAAAAAAATAATGATGCTATATGAGTTCAGAACTCATCTAGCTCGGACACTTTGCTCTCCACGGCTCCATGATCAATGAGAAGTTGCACGATTGCTTCGCCATCCACCCTTCTCGCAGCCATTGACAAAGGTGTGTTTCCATAGTCATCACTTGCATTAACGTCAGCCCCTCGCTCAATAAGTAACCTTACGATCTCTTCCGTTATACCTCCGACGGCCACTAGGAGGGGTGTCCTTGCCGTAATCGTCCTGGCATTGACGTCCGCTCCGTGCTCGATAAGAAACTTTGCCAGCGTTTTATTCCCACTGATCAGGGACAGCATGAGCGGCGTATTTCCGAGCTTATTTTGAATATCAACTTGAGCCCCATGCTCGATGTAAACTTTTGCTACTGACTCAAGCCCAGCGCAACTGTCCATCGGTGTTTCATTTTTGAAACATCCAATCGCAGAGCTAGCCTTAGCTCTTTTGTTGCGGGAGGACTTTTCCAACATAACAAATGAACGCCAAGTGACCATGAGCAAGGGCGTATTTCCTTCATCGTCTTCCGCATTGACATTTGCCCCTCTTTCGATGAGCCAATTAGCTAAGCTTGGATTGGCGACCCAAAAAAGGGGTGTCTTTCCCTTTATGTCCCTCGTATGAATATTAGCTCCACTGTTAAGAAGAAGCTGAACTATTAATTCATGTCCCTGCTGCATTGCCCATGAAAGGGATGACATCCCAATGACATCCGTAGCGTTCACGTCTACGCCGTTTTCGATCAGAAATTGCGCAACCTCCAAGTGTCCGGCCTCCGATGCACGGATCAGCAGTTCAGCACCATTTTCGTCTCGAAAATCTAGTCTGGCTCCTCTCTTGATCAAGAGCATCACGGTTCTGAGATGGCCACCTTTACAGGCGTTTAAAAGCGGTGTGCTCCGTGCCGGGTAGCCCGAGTCAATTTCTGCGCCCTTGTCGAGTAGGTAGTCAACGATGTTGTCCATTCCTCCCAGGCACGCAGCTTTGAGAGGCGTCAGAAGATCTTTCGTCGAAATGTTCAAATCCGCTCCGCTATCGATAAGAAGGCGAGCAGTTTCTTCATGGTTGCGAGTGATAGCCTGGAGCAGAGGGCTGTACCCCTCCAGATCGCGCCCATCAATGTCAACGCCTTGGAGTAGAAGAAGCTGAACAATGCTTGTCCGTCCTTCCTGCGCCGCCCAAGTCAGAGGTGTCAGGTACTCATAACCCTTCATGTCCTTTCTATTTTTCGAGCCTTGCGTGATATCTTCTCCATTGTATATGTGGGAGGGAGTATTTAGAAGAGCGGCGACAGTCTCCTTGTGGCCGGCAGCCAGGGCGGCAAAAAGCGGGTATCTGTATCTCTCAGTCGGATGAACGAGATGGATAGCCAAGTCGTGCTTCAGTCTCACGCGAATAAGATTTGGACAACCTCTGTCAGCGAGAATGTAGTCTAGACTTGCATCACTTGGGCTTGACCTGTATTGTTGAATCCTGAACTTTTGGAGAAGATTGTTCATGAGAATCCAGTCGTAAGTTTGAAATGTATTAAGGAATTCTTCTTGGGAAACAGAGCTGGCTGCTGCGTCTGAGTGGTAGAAGATATGCTGGTAGGCATACTCCAGAAATGGGTACGGTTTCCAGACCTCATTCTCTATTTCGAAACTTATCCCCTCTTGAAGCTTTATAACGATTGGCGGAGAGACATGGTTCGTATAGAGATTGCAGCACTGTTTCAGCACTTCATGGCTTGGGCCTTCCGGATTTAGGCCTAGTTCCGGCCACATTTGCTGTAGACCTTTGTCTTTGATCAGAAAGTCCCGGACCGACTCATGAATGAACTGCACGATTGGCCTCTTGGATTTAGTGATTTCGGCGAGGCCCTTTGACGAACTGATAACGCATCTGTTAAATTTGTTTAAGCTGTCATTTGAATCGGGGTCGCCTAACGTAGGCGGTCGGTCATCCACTAGGCTTTTGAGTGATAGTCCGGACCACAAAGCATGATAGAATTCCTTCGGCTGCAGCGGTCGTTTTGCGTAGAGAATCCACAGGATGCAAAGTAGCAAATCATCCATGTTCTCGTTGTCACGCCTCAAGATGTCTTTGAACAATTCACTCAAATCGCTCGGGATTTCCGCCAGTCTTCGTCTAAGGCTCAGACCACCCCGTCGGTGCTCTTTGTTTAGAATATCGACGACAAGAACAACCCACATGAAGACGCCGGCAGCCTTGCCAAGAAGTCGGGGCTGCAGCTCCTTAAGGATATCGGGGTCTTTAATTTGGAGGCGGCTTGAGACGTATGCTTCTAGGTCTTCAGAATAGCCTACCTGGTCCTCGAGCGTAAGTCTGATTCCTTGCTTTATGACGATGTAGGGATAATGGCGGCTAGAAAAACAGACTCGGAATAAAACGCCACGAGATGCGGATTGCTCCGCGAGGTCTTCGAAATACTGCACCATTTCCACGACTTGTTGTTCGTCGCACTCATCAAGAGCATCAACAAAACAGGTGAACGACTTCTCACCGAGAGCTAAAACAGCATCACAGAAGACATCCTTGAGAACATTCAAGGAAGGACAGCCATTCTGGCCAATTATGACATCGGGGTCATCCAATACGGATTGGAGGATAGCATAGCCTTCGAGTAGTTGTAGAAGTAACGATCGATACATGCCAAAAACTGACTTTTCCAGGTTTTCACCTCGTGCGTTGAAGAAGAATGATGCCACAACGGAGTGCTGATGGCGAGCTTTGTTCTTTGTATGCGTGTAGGCAAATTTCATTATTGTTGACTTGCCGGCACCAGGCTTGCCACTGATCCACAGAAAGCCGTGATGCTGAGATAACATCATCGGGTCAAGCCAGGTCTTATAGTCTGGATGGCTGAGAAACCATTTACATGTCTTGGCATGAGCGGCTTTGATAGTCAATTTGCGAGAGTCGATCTGCTCGAATCGTAAAGATTCCAGTAATCGCTGTCGGCGCTCATGAACTCGGCTCTCATCTACCGGTGAGAAATGAGTAAGTGTGTTCTTGGGTTGAGAAACAATCGGGACTAAGACGACTTACGGTGGTCAGGCACGAAAGGACGTTTTGCATCTCCTTCGGTCACAGGCAGTTCTTTGAGTAACTCTCTTGCATATGCGGCCGCAGTTGCTGCCGCATACCTCTGCCAATCCTTGCTTTTGTGAGTGTCTGCGTAATCGCATATCCCTCGAATGACCAGACATGATATAGTATCCATCAGGCCAGCTGCTTTCATCTCGAAACAAACGATGTCTAACTGTTGGGCAATGCTATCCCGGGTTCTGCCATCCTTGATCACTTGATTCCCTGAAGCGATGGCGCCGTAGTGAATCACAATGTCCCCTGAGCTCCTTTGGCTGCGAGAAATCAATTTTGACTGGTCGCAATGATCGCAGTCGGAACTAGGATCTTCATGGTCATACTCCACGCAATAGAGGCGATCTGGTGAGCTTGGACGTCCGTAGCCAGGGTGGGCCGCTAGCTTTTGTCTCATGATCGACGGAACCTGAGTAGGCTCTAGTTCATGTTTTGATCGGAGGGCCGATACAGCTGTGCCAAGCAGCTGATGAGGAATTTTCGGTATCCCTGTCCTTTGTATCCGGCCATCCCTCACGAGTTTTCCGAGATCATACTGCATAACTCGGGTACCAACAACAACATCGCCCAGGCGGATATCGGCTTTACTCGGGACGCCTCCGCCGATTCCGACCATCAGCCCAGCGCGTATTGATGGGAAGGTCCGTTTGAGATTTGTCACCACGTTCGCCGCATTGTTCGTTCCATACTGATGCGCTGGTAAACATGCAATGACGACATTGTGCTGTTCAATGCGCCCCAGTTTGTAAGTGTTGCTGTCATCCGGGTATGTATGTAAAGGGTCGTGGATTTCGTCCAACATGGCTAGAGCTGCTGCCATCTCAATATAAAGCGCACAAATCCAGGCAACAGTATACGAGGCATGCCCCAGGGTAGCCAAGCCACCATGGTGAAATGTCTTTTGCCTCTTCGGCAGCCGATATGAACCTGGTTCCATGCCGTCTTCATCCCCGTGGTCGCTTCCGTCCATTTCAGTAGGGTTGTCGTGAGAGTGTGCCTAAGCTCAGCGGCTAGAAATCCGAAGCGCCGAGTCGTTAAAACGTCAGGCACCGAGTGCTGATCACGAATACAGGGTATCAGTCAGTTAACGAGATGCAAAATAATTAAATGCAGTTCAGCAGACTCAAGTCAGCCCTTGTGGATGATATCCCGAGGAAATTTAGAAGCAGACGAAGGATTACCATCCTATTCCCTTCCAAGGAGAGTTGCCAATCAAAAATGATTATATCAGCGTGCAGGAGCTGGAGATGAGGCGTCATATGGGGACCAAAAAGGCGCCTATATCACCATTCATTTCGCAGAGCTTTGGGCACATTTAAGCGCCACCAACCCGGGTACGGTCGCGCCGCTCCTAGCCAGTACCTTTGAGCGTGGCTGTGTTATGCCCGCTCTGTTGTGCCCTCAAGGCTGAGTTGGGCGACATTTTCACAAGTTGGTCGATCACGAGTGAGTCTAACACCACCTTTTCACTTACTTCTCGAAATTAAATATTATTTCTATCATAGGGCTTTGAGATGGAAGAAAAACATAGTCAGTGTACAAGATTATCATGACACCTGTCCATGTCATGTGACCATAACGCCTGCCCGTTGTCTTCGACCTGGTTCATGATTTCTTGTGATCACCCGTGCCCATGCTCCAGTCTCCTATCTCCTTGCGAGTTTGGGATGTCCTCTATTGTTTCTATGTTTTTCCAAACTCCAGCAAATCGAGATTTGAAAATGTAGTCCGCAAACAATGCACCCGATAAGCGCCTCTAGAAATATACACATTGAGAGTCAGGACCGGCTGTACTTCGTCAGCTCAATCTGCCACACTAACATGTTGAGAATCGCAATTTCCTCCAGTCAAGCCCCAGATGCTTGTAAATATTGTGCTTGAGCAAAAATTTTCTCCCCCGTAATACTTACCGACCATATGAGACGGGCGGGTGTAAGAAGTCACGTGAGGATAGAGGGTGAAGGGATGGACGATTGGATATTTGGTGCAATAATGGCAAGCTCCAGGACAAAATACAGTATTAGTAAAGTAGAATGCAAGAAAAGTCCAAAAATTAGAGACTTTCTTGATATTGCAGCGACCTATTGAATAGTGAGTTATCCACTTCCTTTGACGTCAACAAACCACAACATCAGATACCCTAGCATCCGAACACTGGATATCTCTCTGAGTTTGAATCTTACCTTGGGTAATATAATGTGGAGTTCATTCTTGCTCAGAGTTCTATTAGAATATCAATATGCTGTCATCCTGTGGGGCTCATCGACTCTAGCCGCTTATCATCACTCATGTGCTGACGAACATTCCTGAGAAGAACGGTACGAGCATTCCAACGTTGGCCGGGCGGCCTGGTGGGAACCTAGGAGCAAAGAACCAAAACACATATAAAAAGGTTTTTTCCCTGAAGTAGCTTTATACAAACAAGTCTCATCCTTTTCAGGGCAATCCGAGCTATACTATCAGTGAAAAGCTCCTACTTTCCTCCTCTCAATGAAGACACACGTCGTCGCACTTGCTTCTCTGATCTACTTGCTAGGCACAGTGCAAGCAAGTGATTCAGAACCAAAATATGACTTCATCATCGTTGGAGGAGGAACGAGTGGATTAGTTATTGCCAACAGGTTAACGGAGAACAAAGCTATAACAGTCGCCGTTATCGAAGCCGGGGATTCAGTCTTCAACAATCACAATGTCACCAATGTTTCGGGCTACGGCCGCGCTTTCGGAACACATATCGATTGGGCCTACGAGACAGAGGAACAAGAATATGCCGGTGGATCGACTCAAATAATGCGTGCTGGGAAAGCTATTGGAGGCACAAGCACTATCAACGGTGACTTATCCTCTACTACTCTAAGGTATACCTCGTGCTGACTCTTTTGTCTTGTCCAGGAATGTCTTACACCCGAGCTCAGAGCGTCCAAATCGATGCCTGGGAACTTTTTGGAAATAAAGGATGGAATTGGGACAGCCTCCTTCCCTACTATCAAAAATCCGAAATGTTCCAGATACCCAGCCTGGACCAGATATCGCGAGGTGCCGACTACTATATCACCTATCACGGGATGAAAGGCCCTTTGAAAGTGGGCTGGCCCACGCAGATCACCAACCGCACTATGCTCCCCACACTTGACCAAACCTTTAACCAACTAGGTGTCCCTTTTAATCGCGACGCCAATGGTGGCAGCATGGTCGGCCTGACTTCTCACCCTAACACAGTCAATACAAAGGAAAATGTCCGCGAAGACGCTGCTAGAGCTTACTATTGGCCCTTCCAGAACCGTTCTAATCTCAAGATCATCACGAACACGTCTGCGAATAAGATCATATGGTCTAGCGATCCTCACAGCGAGGCAACCGCAGTTGGAGTCGAGGTAACGACCGCTCACGGTGTCGAGACGATATACGCCTCCAAAGAAGTCATCCTGTCAGCCGGGGCTTTGAAATCGCCCGTTCTCCTGGAGTTATCCGGTGTTGGCAACCCGGATATTCTCCGTAAGTATGACATCCCAGTCATGGTTAACATTTCCACCGTTGGTGAGAATTTGCAGGATCAAACGAACAACGGCCTCGCCTATCAAGGGACAGAATTTTGGCTCGGCTCTCCGACATTCTCCGTGTTACCGTCAGCTAACCAGATATATGGAAAGAGCGTCTCCAACGTTGCTTCCTATATTAATTCAAGCATGGCTGAGTATGCAAAGGTTGTGTCTAACTCATCAAATGGTGCAGTTCACGAAGCCAATATTCTGGCCGCTTTCAAGCTTCAGTATGATTTGATCTTCGAATCGCAAGTTCCGTTCGCCGAAATTGTTCTCCTTCCGATCGCAGACTCGTTTTCTGCTGAATACTGGCCGCTACTTCCGTTCTCGAGAGGCAGTATCCATATCAAATCCGCCGACGCCTCGGTGCCGGCCTCCATCAACCCGAATTACTTCATGTTCAACCAGGACCTCGACGCTCAGGTCGACGTTGCTCGTTTTCTTCGCAAAGCATTCAAGACGGCTCCTTTGAGTGACTTTGTGGGAGACGAATATTCTCCCGGGATGGACAATCTACCCGACAGTGCGCCCGACTCTCAATGGCAGGACTGGGTCAAGTCGAACTGTACGTAATACAACACAACTACCCTGAAATATTGGAACCGGTGACTGACAGCAACTCAGATCGATCAAACTTCCACCCAGTCGGTACTGCCAGTATGCTCCCACGCAATATGGGAGGTGTGGTCAGTCCCGATCTCAAAGTTTACGGCACAAAAAATGTCCGCGTTATCGATGCCTCTGTTGTGCCATTCCAAGTTTGTGGGCATTTGACAAGCACACTCTACGCCGTAGCCGAAAAAGCAGCCGATGCGATCAAGAAGCAGTATCGCCTCTAGTGCTCGACAGCTTGAGAGATCAAGAACTACGACACATCCGAATTTTTCTTTGCAAATATGTCTCTGCCCTGGCGGCAGAATGTCTCGATATTGTTGGTACATTTAATTTGGGTGGCTTACAATTGCGTTTTATTGGAAGGGTGATATCCTGGTATCCTGTATCTTATGATTTATGTGATCACGTCTCATGTAGGGCTCTGGAAAGCCCATATTCAAAATGAATCCCAACTTGACCTACTTCTACTCATGATTTTTTCAACAATTTGTCTGTTTTGACTAGTAATCACAAAGATCTAGCCAAAGCCCAAAGGCTCTCTGAGTCTAAATATATAACGGAAGTTTCCGGAGTTCAAGTACTCCACAATCAGCGATGTAGTACCTCATCTCTCGAAGTTCTATTCACTGGCCTCGTCCCTCACTTTTGTGTCCACTTTGAACGACACTTGGACTCGACTTGAACTCTCGACAAGGAATTTGACTTTCCTGCGTTTTCAACATCTTTACCGTTTGTTCGTTTCTAGGGTGAGAATAATTCAGCAGTCATACTTTCTTTCAGGTCTCGCCGAGTCGGTTCAAACCGGATGTAACTAACAATGACCTCACAGACTCCTTCCAGACTCACTCCGAACAATGACCAAACTCTCAATCCCACGACGAAAACTTTCTCGGTGTTCTTTTTTTATTTCACAGAAACAAAACAAATAATGATACCTCCTCGTAGACCCATCTCGCGGGAGTCCTGTTTAAACTTTGAATGTCTCGGCAAAACACATGCTATGACATCAACATCCCCTCCTCCAAAAGCATCGCCACAGAGTCTGCTCATTTGTCTATTATCCTCTATATTAGTCCAGACCATCAGATCTTTCTTGCAATCCTCACCGACGGAGACTTCCACCCCGCCCAGACCACCTTGACTAACCCCCTCAGTGGGACAGCAAGCGGAGTACGCAAAACTTTGCATAGCGCAAGAAACAGGCCCACAATGGTCCATCAAAGCCGTGAGAAGATCATTTGGGACGTAAGATTATCACAATGGCCTCATTCATGGTTGTTGGGTTTTTCAATGGAAATGTGACTAGTCCAGGGTTCGTTTTCCTTCTCGCGGGTCAGGTTCCTGATCGGGTAGCCATAATCTACCATTACCATACTACTGTCTAGATGGGTCTGTAGCGCCAAGAGATCGGTTAATATTCTTTTTCCAATGAATCGGAGATTTTTAGAAAATCTTTGCATTGAAGGCTAGCTATTTACAGCCTTACACCATTCTATTGCCAGTCCGCTGAGATCTGTCATAGATGGGCCGCCAAAAGCCACTTTCCACCACTTTACAATTGTAGAGTCCTTGTGATTACTCTGAATCCAGTAGACGTTTTTAAAGGTAACACATGAAAGACTCTTTCTATTCTATGTAACAATGAGAACAGGTAAAAGTCAGGCTGTGTTGATTGCGTCCCATGGAAATCTTGTTCTCGCTCACCAAAGTTGATGATCCGCAACGGGTAGCGATTGGCTCAAGGCCATGCTTTGCCCTGCCAAGACATAGTAAAGCATTGTCATTGGTTTATATTTCAGTGCTTATCCACCTCACGGGGATTATCACCCAATTGTAATGCTTTATTCCTTGCCCTGGACCACATTATGACTGTCCATGGCGCTGCAAATTGGGCTTTCGGGAAACAACCACGTAACCTCCTGAATATTCAACTACTCCTGAACTGAGAAGAAGGTGTGTGAATAATTTCAGTATTCCATATTCACAGAGTCACACAAATCAAAGAATGGCGGGAGAAATTGTCAATACGCGGTCAAGCGAGAACTGCATTGATCAATTGCCTCGACGACCCCACCGGAAGGCCTAGACTGCAGTCCAGTTCGTAAGAACCCGCTCGCGCCTAGTTAAGACTGTCCGATCGCCGACCGAACTACACTACCGAGCAAACGGTGGCCCACTGTTTGACGCTAAGATGTATCGCCGGAGAAGAGTGCGCCACGACGCTGAAAAGTTTACCAACAGTGTCCACTGCGATGATCCGGCGGAGTAGGTGTACACGGGGCTTGGCCGAGTTTCAAGTGCCTCCGGACACAGAGATGGCTTTGTAGAAGCCCAGTGACGATTTTGTCTAACTTAGTTTGGTCTCATTGTCAAACGCAGTGTCAGTGTTCAGACCATTTTTTCCAAACAAAGAGCTTTTGTTACCAAACCAAATGAATTCCGGAGGTTCCATCTTTGTGTCCCTCTCTCCCATTGATCCAGACACAAAGCGTCAAAGTCTCAAAAATAATGGGAAAAAGGTCCCGACCGTTGGTAGGAGGTTCCCCCCGACACCCAAAAAATTAGGGCTCCACAGATCACGACGGCCACATTTTCTCCCTCCACAACGCCTTTCATGCCTAAAGTATCCCCGACCAATAAGACATTTACCGTGTGTACACTGTAAAGAACCAAACTCCTCCAGAGTACCAGCGGCCAGACTTCTTCTCTGATGCTAGCGCCAATCGAGACCCAGCCCGCAAGCCACCATAACCCACTGGGCCCAACTGGCCACACGTCAACCCACCGCGTCGGCCCTTCTGGAATCCCAAAGGTCTACGCACCGCGATCACTTCCCATTCGTAAACCACTCCAGCGCTGGCCGTGCGTGCAGCCGCCCCGGTCTACCAGTCCATGGATGGCCCCGTTCAGGTACCAGGCACGCCGGTCCGCGACTGGTCATTGGGGCTGGCGGCGACGACGAGTCGTGGCGCGGGGCCCATCGAATTCTGTCCCTCCCACAACGAATAGACCGAGAAATTAGGTATATAATGGCCCTTTCTCGCCGGTTGCAATGGTCTTCTCTCTTTCTTGTCACACCACTTTCATTTTCTTCATACTATTCCTTCTTTTTTCTTTCAGGAAGTTTCGATAACTTCTGTCATTCCTTTCTACGAGTCTTTTCCATCACGACTTGTCCAGGACATTCTTTTCTCTCTGATCACTTGACGTGACTACAAATCCTTCATTTTTTTTATATCAACAAGCCCTCGCAACAATGCATTTCGCCAAGTCTCTCCTGCTGCTGGCAGCCCTCACCACCGGCACCATTGCTCGCCCCGAAGGCCATGAGCGCCGCCAGGTTGCAACTGCCACCACCACCAGCCCTGCTTCCTCTTCTTCCACCTCCTCCGGCGGTGCCTGGACCAGCACTCCCTCCAGCGGCTCTTACTCGACCTCCGGCTTCGGCGGTGTTACCAGCAGCAGCGGCAGCGGCAACACCTACACCGGCAACGTTGGCAACCCCTACGGCAGCAACATCATCGAGGTCTCCGCCTCCGAGGCCAGCTCGTACAAGTACGTGATGCAATTCAAGGGCTCCAACACCGACGACTGGACCGTCGCCATCTGGAACAAGTACGGTTCCGACGGCAAGATGGACGGCTGGTATGGCAACGCCGTCAAGACCTTCACTCTTGCTTCCGGTGCCACCAAGTACATCGCCTTCGACGAGGATACCAACGGTGGTTTCGCCGCTGCCTCCGGATCGACTATCCCCACCGACACCAACGGTGGCTACGCCTCCACCTGGGGTGAGTTCGATTTCGGCTCCACTGTCAACAGCGGCTGGTCTGGTTTCGATGTCTCTGCTATTGCCGCCCAGAGCGCCGGCCTCTCCGTCCAGGGTATGCAGATGTGCGATGCTCTCGGCTCTACCTGCTCTTCCATCACTACCAATGCCGCCACTGTTAGCAACGCCTACACCAAGGCTGAGACTGACATCGGTGGTATCGGTGGTAACCTCTCCTCCGGCCCCGTCCGTCTGGCCGTCACCCTCGACTACAGCGGTTAAACGATCGTCAAGAGCGATGTGGGGAGTGGATAGTTGTGTGGCGTGCCACGCAAGTATAACGAAAAATTATAGAATCTTGTCTTTGTGTTTTTTAGGGCTACTACGCCGGTGTTTCATGTCGTGGTGTATACCCAGTTGGTACTTGTCCTTTTATCGGTTACCTTCCCTTTCTGTGGGATGAAGACTATCAGGCTGGTCCTTGATCTCGTGGATTTTTTTTTCCACGAAATGTCCATTTTAACGTCTCATATACCAAATCCATACCATACATTGGGCCTACCACTGGTTTCCAAAAATGAAAAAATCTTAAAACTCCTTCAATCCGGCGCTTACACGCCTCCTAAATAGATAACTCCATATTGCGTATACTCTATGTTTCAGATTATCTGTCATCTCTCGCCTCGCCGCAATTGTGTGCAATGTGGCGTGCATGAACGCATCATTGCATACGTACGCCATCACTTTTTTTAGTGTCTAGACTTTTCCCTTTTGGGAAGACTAGTGACTGCTTATTCACCGCCTGATTTACCCGTGTCGAGCTCACAGCGTCACCTGACTCGGGAATCGGCGCCGGATCGGCGCGAGTCAGATGGTTATGTAAGCAGGCCAGTATCTCCGCTGGATTCTTTCGAGGTATATACTCATTGAGATGGCTTGAAAGGGCAGTAATTAAATCCTATGTCCGGGTGTGCTAATACATTACTGAGCATAATAGATCAGATAGGAAGTCCTCTCATAACTCATAGAACCGTGGTTGTCATCTTCCTTGCCCTGTTCCCAGCAACCTCACAGGTACATACGAATCGTAAGGGACCAACTCGCAACCGTACTGTTGACGATAGAGCCAATAGGGCATCTGGGGAAAAATATACCATCTTCCAATTGAGCTATACTACCACGATTCCAATGATTTCAGCACTTTCACCTTTCTTAACCAGGGATTGCATCTGGGAAGTGCTCCATTGCCTAAAGCGGAAGTCATCCCAAAGCGTCCCACGGCATATAAGGCACACCTCCAGCTTTCACCTGCAGCAGCTGATCAGGGCAATCATCTCAATTTTTACTATGCATTACTTCCTCATATCGCTCCTCGCACCCCTCTTCGCACTCCTCGCATCCGCCTCGTCAGACTGGTGGTACTTTGACGCATGGGACGGCCTTAGTTGCGGCGACGCGCCGCAAAACGGCGAACTACTCACTACGACCGAAGGAATGGGAAGCCAAATCTGCATCAGCCTTGACGAGAGCCAGAGAGCTTACTCGTATGTTTCGGCGTTCGGGGAGGAAGAGACCGAGGTTCGAGGGTTCCTTCATGAGCACTGTACCGGGCCGAGTAAGGTTCTGTTGAATAATACTTGTATGAACCCTGATGCGGATATGCCGTATATTCGGTCATGGAAGGTTTTTGCTGCTGAGATTTCTGATTGAGGGGGTAAGTGGTTTTCGAAGACAGAGCCTTGTTTTAAAGGAAGGTGTTGACTGGTACGGCAGGCAGAAAACGCAGGTCACTCTTTCGGCTCGTCGAATGTTCGGGAATCGAGAGTCATCTCTTGATAAGGAGGGTTCAATCATTTTTTTCTCTCGGTCTTGACTGCGACAAAATCAATTTGCTCCGAGAAAGACGATATGATTTACTATTGCTCATGTTTTCGAGCCATAAGCGTGGATTCCATAAATTTCATGAGCTGGCAGAGTATAAGTTTACGGGTCGCTTATCCTTGAGAAACATTCTTTTTGGCACTTCAAATAGGCCTTGATAGCTCCAAATTGTAGATTCAATACATTATTTACTGCATAAGACTCGACAACCCTAGAGAAAGCTAGGTCTGCGTAGCCCTCAGGTCTCATGACTCATGACCTGAATTAAACTTGAAATGCGATTGAGACAGTCTCAATTTGAGCTCCAATTAAAGTCCGAATGCAACACTAAAAGTCGAGAGCATGAGCGTGTAAGCTCGGGATAATGAAGATGCCAAAGTTCGGATGTCCCGACCGAGATGCTTCACAGCTTCGGGCCGAAAACGGCACAACAACACCCGATTACAAGCACGACATTACCTGGGCGATGGGCGAATAAATTGCCGAAAACTTGGATGAGAGATAAGAGTACATGGGATTTACCTGCTTGTAGAAAAAGCCGAGGAGCGAATGTGACCTAAGTAGCACCTTCGAACAGTCTGGAGCCTCTTGCAGGGCATGGGCGACAGATAAGGCTTATCGTAAGCACCCCGGATAATGCCATAGAAAGCTGGAGAATGTTGACTCCTTCAATTGACGTCCGATCTGAATCATGCCGATCTTCAAGGAGGCAAAAATAGCCGATCGTGGTCTGTGCACTCTGATCTGCAACATTGTCCGTTTCCGTCCCTAAACATGGCTAGAAACGTCCGGAGGAGGTTGATAGCAACACAGAACACTGCTCAAACCGATGATCCCACCGCAGAACACCCAAAAGCGAACAGATTTATGGCGAACACGTTTGTTATCTCCGACGTCCGCCAGGGAACATTTTCCCGTTCGCCCGTCGGATCGAATTTAATACGGATCCTCTCGCTCGATGTTGGGCGATCATTGACTGACGGCTTGGCATGCACTTGCCTTCCATCATGTACAGACCAAGCTCATCGAGATCATTATGGCTCTCGATGTTCCGAAAATCGACTACTGGCTTCAAGAGAATTCTCTTCCTGTTAATGGTACCTGCCGTTATCCTGCTGGTCCGTTATCGCTTGAATGATCTCGCGAATGTAAGAGATCAGACACCTTGGCGGTCGAAACCTGCTGAGCACGAGGACGCACGAGAGAATGATATAACATCAGACGGTAGAGTTTAGCTCGCATAATTCCTTTCATGTTCAAAACTCACAGAAGGTTACCTGCCAGGCAACACTAGCCCTTACAAAATCTCACTCTCTTCGCTGAATGGAGATACCTCGGCCGAAGACTCATCCCAGCACGAGTCCTTCGGGGGAACGTCCCAGGCGGATCGACCCGCCAGCGGCTCATTGCAGCGCTACTTTATACCGCATGAAAACGCAGAAGACGTCAGTATTGTGGCTGCAAGGTCCGGACCAGAATCGACAGACTGGATACAGGACTTTTGCGAAGATTAGTATGGTAACCCCCTACCTCATATTGAGCGGCATTAAAAATCAAGAACATTTGACTAACGATTTTCAACAGCAAATGCACACCCTACATCTACTCCTTGGATGCGGAACCTGAAGATGAATTCCTCGTTCCATACTCCAGAAAAGGCCACGAAGCAAGCGCGTACTTGAGCTACATCATTGACAACTACGATAATCTTGCACCCTACACAATCTTCATCCACGGCCGGGAAGAGCAATGGCACAACGACGTGGCTGGACCTTACACGCAAAACGTACTTGCAAACCTCCGCTATGAAGCTGTTAGCATTAACGGCTACGTCAATCTGCGATGCTCAAACAGGCCCGGCTGCCCAAGCACAATATTCCAAGCAAACCCCGTATCAGTTGACTTCGACTATCAGTACATGATCGACCAATTACCCGAGGTTCTCGGTTATCTCCTTGGAATTGATCCTAGCGAGGTGCCAGCTGATATTGGGCATCAGTGCTGCGCACAATTTGCCGTGGCCAGGGAGCGAATCCAGGAACGTCCTCAGAGTGATTATATTCGTATTCTTGAGTGGATCGCAACCACTGATATGACGGACAACTATGGTATCGGTTGGCTGATTGAGAAGCTGTGGCATATGATTTTCGGAATGCCTGCTGTCTAGTATGTTGAAGGCCTGTGTAATGCTTGTGAATTGAAGCTAACTATCATATCTTAGCTGTGCGAGTGAGGAACAGTGTCGCTGTGATCTGTATGGATGGTGTGGTCCGAATCCGTTGACCAATAGTCAGGTTTTGACACCTATCTCCTGATTTAGGCGAGGAAAACTCGCATCTATGATTTGAGGTTGCTTTCGCAACAAAGGTGAATATTTAATTCTACATGAGACCTGGCGTCTTATCTATACACGAGTCCTTAGAGCCCCACTACTCAATGCATTTCTTACTCAAAAATCGCGATTGGTGCAGACCGAAATTCACTGGGCCTCGAATTGATCGCTTGAAACGGCAGAGAAACTCACTTGATAAATGGATGAGTTATGTAGTTGTATTGCTCAACAGATGACGTCCCAATATTTCCCTTCGAATCACTCCCAGCACTGTGGACCCGCTTCTCCTCGATGGACATTTCGAATCCTAGCCTTCAGACTTTTTCCAGATCCTTAGGTTCAGTCGCCAAGTCCCTGTCCACCGGGGCATCCTCAAACGGCGGTAATTCGTAGTCGCGGAAATTCCTCACAGGTACGCCCTCGTGGAATAGCCGATCCACTTCTTCAAGTGACTTTCCCTGACAATCGGGCACGCAGAAGTACACAAAGACACAGGCACACACTGCAATACTGCCAAAGATAAATCCAACCTTGGAATGTAGACCTGCATATTCGTCGTCCAGAAGATATGGAATCGAAAAAGTCACCACGAAATTCACAGCGATATGAGTCAGAAATGAAATACGCTGTGAGTGATCACGAAGCGACAGCGCAGGTAGTTCTGTGACGACCACGTAGGTCAAAGGTGCCCACCCCATACCGAAGCCGACACCAAAAATCGCAACCATTGAGGCTATCGCGGTACTCTCGGGTCTGGTGGTGGTACGAGCCGTGCCCAATCCACCCATAGTGAACAAGGCTGCAGCCTGTACAATTCCACCCGCGATAAACAACTTCCGTCGACCGACCTTGTCGTTGAATAAGTTTGAGCAGAGACAAACCAGCGTGCCAATACAGCTGGTAATCATCGTGAAGTTATATGTATTGATTGTCCCGAGCGATTTAATGAAGATTGCGCCGTATTGACTTGCGAATGCTTGGCCTGTGGCTTGTTGGAAGAAGCTGATCGCGATGACAATAGCAGTGCGCTTACAGTTGACCCCCTGGAACAGCTCTTTGAACGCACCTTTCTCGGGTTCAATGGCAAGACCGACTTGGAAGGATGTTAACTCGGCGGCAATCGTGTTGGCGTTCATTGTTCCGTGGCGGAGCCGCTTAAGGGATTTTTCGGCTTCTTCGACGCGTTCTTGGCGTAGAAGCCAGCGAGGTGACTAGAATAACAGACTTTTAGATATGAGACGCGGTGGCTTTGAGAATCAAACTGACCTCTGGAATAAACCAGATCAGGCAGATGATCATGGAGGGGATGACATAGAATAAGCCAAATGGGATTCTCCATGACTTATTGCCTTCCAGAGTGCTGGTACCACGACAGATGCTGTTGATGATAAGTCCTCCTAGCTATGGAAATGTCAGAGGAATAGTTGACGACATATTGAAAGCGGCGAAATCTTACATTGATGCTCAATTGATAAGTTCCGACAATAAAGCCGCGGACAGGAGCCGGGACGATCTCAGACTGATACACCGGCACGACCGACAACTCAAATCCAATGTAAATGTCTGTTAAAGTCAAATGCTGGTCGGAAATAGGTATCTCATTTGTCTGGGCCTTGCTCACAATTCAATATACGTGCAGCGAGAATCTGCTCTTTGGTTTGGGAAGTCACCGTGATCGTTGCAGTGACCAGAGCATAGCAACTGATAACAAACATGCAGAGGCGCCGACCATATTTTTCACTGAAGAGACTGCCAAGAACCAAGCCTCGACAATTCATATCCATCAGCTAAATTCAGTTTTCAGGGGAAATCTTTCATCGCCTACCGACTGCGAATCCGATATAGTTCAAGCTATTGAGAAGTGATAGATAGTAGGCCGGAATAGCATACTGCTTCGTCTTCGGGTTATATACTCCAAACTCTCTGGTGAAAGCAGTCATCGACTGTGTTGTCGAGAAAGCTTGGTTATCAAACCCATAGTTCATCTGTGACAGTGCAATCAATGCACAAGACAACGCGAGTGTCTGATTAAAGTGCTTGGTGATTGATGACAGAGCCTTCATGATCCTTGAGCTGCCTGACTTTTCACACAACTTTCCATAGACTGGCTGACATTATGCCATCATCTATTGAGGACGGGGCTGACTTTTGAATCCCATTTTCGAACGGCAGTTTGTGAAGGTCAACACCTAAAGTTCCATTTCTCATGCGAAGACTAAATGGCGAGCGGCCGACTACCGCAGTGCCAGATCGTGAGATTCCGGCAATCGGTGACCGAAAGCCGGCAGCCACATTATACAAGAAATTAGGCTGCGGGGTAAAGTCTGAACTGTGCCTGGAAATTGTCGTCTTTGTGGGGTAACCCGGTCGGCACAGAGCCAATGATAGCCTCGACTTATTCGCCATAGATCAGAGTTATATCCTCATCGCCTCCCCATTATACTTCAGAAGCAGCTTTGGGCAATTATTTGGCTCAATTGATGATATGATTCTCAAAATCCTTGAGAATGGCGGAAGTAGATAAGAAGCAGACTTGTTTACAATGCAGAAAGAGAAAGGTATGTTCCGCACAACATTTCACAGACACCACGCTAATTTTCCGTCAGGTCCGCTGCGACGGCGAGATCAGTGGCTGCTCGAACTGCAGCAGACTAAGCTTTGATTGCTTTTTCTTGCAAGCACAGAATGACTTGACTGGTGAAGCTGGTGTCAATATACCTCTCAGCCAAGGGCAAGCGACGAACTTGAGGCACCGCACCAAGTACACCATCGGTGGAATTGAACGACGCCGTGGACTAAGAGCCTGTCGTCCTTGTCGTGCGTCAAAATCCAGATGCAGTGGTGGGTTGCCCAAATGTCGCCACTGCGAACAGCGAGGACTTGACTGCCAATACCTACCCAGCAAGCGGTGGAAAATCCCAGTGGACTCAATATCATTGCCTGTAGAAAACAATACCGATCCCACTGCTTCAACATCCTCTGGTATACAACCTTTGAAACGGCCCGAGCCAGTCCGAACTGCCATGAATTTCAGTCAATTGAGGTCCGTTAAAGACATGGGTCTAGCGCCCGATAAGATGTTTCTCGAAAGTCATATCAATGCATACTTCGAGTACTTCCACACCATTCCTCAGTTCAGCTTTCTCCATCAAGCGTCCTTTTTACGAGGCTTTCACCGTGATACTGTCAATCCATTGGTATTGCGCTGTGTCTGCGGTATTGCCTCACGCTTCATCAGTCCAAACTCCGACGAAACATATGTTTCACAATGGCTGGAAGAAGTTGAAGCACAAATCTGGTCACGAACGGCCAATATGATAGTGCAAAACCTGCAATTAATTGTTTTATTATTGTGTTTGTATTCACTCGGGAGAAAACCTTCACATATATGGACGACTTCGGCTATTGCAACACGAATGGCCTTTGGTATTCGCTTAAACCACGAGACCACTGGTGAGATGCCGTTTGTTTTAAAAGAAAGCCGCCGACGGCTCATGTGGGCAATATTCATGTTCGATAAAGGGTATGCGGGGGGACTCTCTGAACTCACTCTTTGCGCGGCAAAAACGATACATATTAACTTGCCTTGTGAGCAACGGAATTTCGACCTTGATATTCCCATTGATACATCTGTATTGGAGCCATTCAGGCAATGCGTCGACTTGGAGAAAGGAGTAGGGATAATGGGTCATATAACTCGACTGATGAACATACGGCACGCTGTCCTCCAGTAAGTGAGCCTTCACGGGCCAAGTAATAGGTCACGAGCTAATGATATCCAGATTAACCAAGAAAATAATCACATGCAAAAGCAATCCTTATTTGGCACGGGACAGCATACAAGACTTGGATAGCAGGCTAAGCAGCTTCGCTCTCAGCCTACCCAATCATCTGCAAGAAAGCCCACGAAACCTGCTCTGTCGTGCATATACAACCGATCTTACGGGCTACTTGAGCCTGCACACATTGTGGCACCAATGCTACTGCGATCTGTATAGAATGATGATCCCCGGTATTCGCGAATCCGTTCCGGAGTCGGTTCGGCATGAAGTCCCCGCTGCATATGCCGAGCATTGTCGAAAGATCTGTCTACAGCATGCTATGGAAATGTGCAGAATATGGTCCGATACCCTACGCGAAGCCGATCTCTCTAGGCTCACGGATCCATTAATCGGCATATATGCCTATCAATGTGCCCACATTATCGCAAGCTTATGGGATCTAGAGCATAACGATACTCTGAAAATATCATTGCAGACTACAGCATCCATTTTAGAGCGACCTGCAATGATATATCCGATCTTCGCAGAAATTGTAAGTCTTCGTTGGAACCTCCTACACAAAATAACTGCTAATCCAGTACCTGCAGCAATCTGAGATAAAGAGTATGATAGACAGGCTCAATATTGTGACCAGTTTCTACCACATGCACAAAGATGAAATGCTTTCTCAGACACTCACTTCGGCGTGGCGGTCCAGTCTTCGGCAACAAGGGGTTCAAGAAGGGCAAACGACGTCTAAATTCTCACTTCTTGAGTTTCTTCAGAATCAAAATGGTCTTGAGGATGCAAATACTGCGGAAGAATATTCGAACATTGCTATTGAAGTCCCCTCTGATGCGGTTGGCCCAACTGAGGTCAATCCAGCCGTGACGCTGGACTTGATCACGCCCTCTTCAAGCAGACCTGGTCTGTTAGATGACGAATTTTGGTCATCCAACGTGTTGGAAATGAATTTCGACATGGACGGAAGTCAAGTGGATCCATTTTCTCGCATTTTTGAAGACTGGTCGCTTGTGTCTTCCTCCGAGGAATAGTACTAGTTGGTTACAGCTGCTCATCATCTACAAGGCTTTCGTGGTACCCGAGACCCCTTCTGACAGGTGGTGGAATCTGATGTGAGACATAATCAAACTTAGCTCCAGACACAATTGAGATATTAGGAGATCTCTCATCTATCGACAGACTTGAACAACATTGATTTTCCAGTACTATACATCGGTTTCACAGACTGGACCAAGAGATCCCAAAAGGATCATTCCTCTCCAGTTGAAAACATCAAAAGATTCGGAATCCCACTCCGAATAAATCGTCACTATCAACATCAATTCTTCTCCTCGTGGTTAATCTCGTCTTGACTTGCACCAGCGCCGGAAAGCTTAGCAGCGATAACACATACACCTGCAAGAAGAGTGGCAACAGTTGAGATCATGCTGTAACTCGGGTTTGGGCCTAGATCGGAATTGATTTTGGTCAAGCTGTTGACCGGCAGAACATAGCCGAGGTATAAACTATCTGCCATGAGGCAGACCGCAATCAGCGAGCCGATGAAGTTTTTGCTTCGGTAATATCCATCTGGAAGATTATCGAAGTCTACCGCTTGTGTTATCTTAGGCATTGTCGGACTATCATGAACAGACGTAGACTCAGCATCGGCAGTAAACTTGATATCTCCGTGTGTCTCCATCTCGCTGGCAGCACCGATTGAGAATGAAAATATGTGGACGAAAGAATGATGGACACAGGGCTCGAATCCGAAATTCAGGAGGAAGATCAATGCTTCAAATGAAAAGAAGAACGAATCCGAGCAAAATTGTGGGGCCGATGTACAATGCAGTAATACGACGCAGGGAATACAGGTATAGGCCTCTTCAAAAGACTACTGGTTAGTGCTTTGAGCCACAGAATAAGGGAGTCCTCGGAATTCCCAGAGTATCGGCCTAAAACACACAATCATACGAGCTACCACATCTGGGTGAAACACCGAGAGACCTCTGGCTAAATCTCTCGGCCCTTTACGAGTCACTTGTCGGAATAACGCCGGTTCTATGCCGGCAAGTGATTTGTAGGAAGCTAGCACAGATGGGGAGACGATGCCAGCTACGATGTGGTCTAGCTGCGCCTGATTCGTCACTATAATATGAGTCCAATTTTCTTTATGGGGTCAAGGAATGTGTGTTCTAATTGACTGAGTGGTTGGAGGATACACTGATTTAGCCCCCGCATGAAGGTGTGGATTCCAGCCCGCTCGGTAGTGCCGGTTGGCTTTTGCTTAACTCTCTGTGGACCCACTGGTACAGAAAGAGGAATGACATCCTAGCCCTAGTGTGTCAATATAGTGTACCCTAATATACATCCCTGTCTAGCGCCTGTCAGGGTAGTTGTGTGTTCCCTACATGTATTCCTTTCTTCGAGTCAAAATCCTGTACGAAGTACGAAGAAGTATGTCTGGTTCAAGTTCGGCTCCTTGCCTTGGAATTCGGCGGATTTCCGCAGGGCCAGGCCGGGATCTGGTTAATGTATTCCCTGCCCCGCGACAGTCACTTTTAATCATCACCTTATACCAAGAGTACCAAGGTTTCTTGGCGCCGGGGCACTTCACATTATCAAGAGATCCTTCTGAGGAGACACGAAGAAGGTTTCCTCTCCTTAATATAATCCGAAAGCACTATGTTTTGCAAGCTTTCGACGCAATGCTAAAGCGGCAGGATGGGCCAGATAAGCACGCCTAAATTCTAAAATCGCCATGGGAGATCCGCGATACAATGAGTATAGCTCAATTGCCTTATTACGGACCTCAATTTCTATGAATCATTAACAAATGAAGGGGGAAGGTCAAGACAAATTATAACGTGGAATGGACTTCCGGAGTGGACAAGGCGCAGAGGCCAGAAAGCCCACTCAATCCATCTATCAGCCCCTCCCTCCCTAATCCGTCGCTTTTTCCTGCGTCTTTTTCACCTTCCTAAAGGCCAATTTGAGTCACCTAGCTGCTGATTCTCGGCTCGATCTACGATCACATCCGTCGTAACTTGAATTCCTTCGGGCGAGTGGGAAATAATGCGCTCTTCGGAGCCATTGCGACTTGCCTCGATCTCGGTTTGGGTCTGCGTGTCACCCAGCTTGCCCGTGCCCATAACCGTATGATTGTGGGACCGTTTCCACGATCGGGGATCGTCCGGGCGGGTCGCCCATCGACTAGTCGTGCCGTTTCCATACATCTCATAGCGCCCGCCGTGGGTACGGCCGCTTGAAAGGCCGAATATCGAGCGCAGCTTGGGGAAGCGGAATGTCACGAGGGCTTTGAAGGAAGGGACACAAGCGATAAACACTCCAACTCCGAGCTCGGCGGATGACCAGTTAAGCGGATCGACGAGTGACCCTGTGAATGCCTCATTAGTTTATCATAGTTGAGGGAAGAGAAGAAGCCCACACCTACATGTATGGTCAGTAGATAAGTTGCCGAGATAGGTGATTCGAATAATACTATTCACCGTAACTCTAAAGTAAATGTTAGTGGAAGTGGACCGTGTGAAGTTATCATACGAGGACTCACAGTGCACCCAGTCCAAACATCACAATAAGGCCTGCTCTTTTCCCGCCCGTGACCTTCATTTTGAGCAGCTTCGGTACAGGAAGAGCAAGAAGGGCGATATCCGTTCCCAGCCGGATCCCGAATGCGATATAGTAGAATGAGAGGAGCTGCAAACATTTCCCTTCCACAACGCCAGCGGCATCCCATGCTTTATAAACCGGAGAACACTGGAAGATCACCACGAAGAAGTCTGCCATAGTCTCTCCTGTCAGGATGGCTAGTACAGACCAACACGTGATCCTGAACCATTTTCCAGGGAATATCTTGAGGTAGAAGAGGCAGAATGAGATCTTAATGCACCCGAGAGCGAGAACGTTGGAAATTTCCGTGACAAAGTCGAGCTTTAGGATTGCAGTATCCTCTAAATGTAATCAAGGGAAATCAACACTTACTTTCAGGAACATAACCAATGTTTTGGAGTCATGAATGGTGTCGCTATGTCTGCCATATCCGTAATTCGTCACTGGTAGAAGAGTTAGCATCCACGGCACGAACACATTCATCGGCTTTTTGTCTTTTCGAAACTGACGGGTACATACTCAATATACAAACAAGACATTCCACGGATGTGAGGGCCTAAAATTTAATCAGAGAGAATGTTAGTATAGATAATATCGGACATCAATGGCCGTCGTGCCAGAGAGATAAAGGCATACCCATCCGATCGCACAGAACCAATCGTCCAAACCAAACTGAATGTATCGAACTCGGACAAATATACGCACAATTATACCCAATGTCGAAGCGACAATTAGAATCACATTGCAGATGATGATTGCTGGGACTTTTGTTTCCGCTTGGGATAGAGAGGCTACGGCCTGGTCTCTCAACAGAAGTGCAACCATACTGACGAAGCTCAGAGATCTGTCGGCAAAAGAAAGAACTGAACAGGCCTTCTAGGACTCAACCTTCGAGAATGACCACAACCGTTGGAGGATTAGAGGAAAAGGGCTTTGTAGAATGATATCAACCACCATAAATCTTCAAAATACAAAGGTTGCGAGATTAAAACTTATTGGTACGCACACATTGATCTGGGTTCTAGATTGTCTCAGCATCCCGGTCAAATTCAAATCTCCCAGTTAAAGGGGCCAACAGGGGCCAATAGGATTGGTAATTCATGTTCAGCCTTGAGATTGATTGTTCGCAAGCTCTACTACTTTACTATAGTAGTACGAATCCTTCGGAGCCGGACAACTCGCCACACCACAAGTCAAATCTTTTCGGCACCAACCCAAAACATTTTTCTACTCCAACGGAAGAATTCAGGCACCAATTCGAATACTCGCTGTCTATTAATGGATGGGTTCCAGAAAATACACGCTGCAACATGGTGCCTACGTTGGCCCCGTCGATCAATTCTGCTCTGGTTCGATTAAGGCAGCGTGGTGACTTGATGGCTTGGTGGCTTCGGGCTGGGCTTTTTTAATGCATTTCTTACCAGGGCTTGTCATAAAAATTGACTCAAAAAGGGTAGGGCTCCTTCGTATCCACAGAATGCATTGTTAGCGCAACTTCGACGACGGGAATCCAGCCCGGTGCTCGAATTGCTCAACATCCACCGCCGATCGCGCCAGATACCGATTTCTAGGTCTTGCGCGCTAATGATGGCCCGATAAAGAGACTGGCTTGGAACCTCTAAATTGACCGTCTCGTGATACCCTACTTCTATGTGATATCGCTATGATTTTGCCGTACGAAAGGCAGCGGTAGTGCCGAGCTACGTGGCCGTATAGGGCCGACCTGTAGCTAAATCCCAAGGCAACCCCTCTCGAGGATCCATTCCCCCCGCTTGTGTTTCGAAATAAATAATTTGTCCACGCTTGTATGCCTCTATGGACTCGATTTTAAATCGAATATCGGGAGCGCCGTATCTCTTTCCATGACTTATCGTATTTCAACTAGCGTGATTTCTGTCAATCAGTCAAATCTTGCCAGCCAAATGAATAATCCGGTTCACAAAAGCCCCATAATGGTACCATATTCGGAATATTATCTATAACAAACAAGTACGTACGCGCTAAGAAACCCTCCTGGTCCACCTCTTCCCCTTCCCACACTCGCGCACCTATGCCCATTGTTCCTAGACTTTGAACCGTTTACGTATTTGTCTCCTAGATTCTCGATGCAATGGCTCCCTACCAGAATAATCATGCCATCGTGTTTGGGTGTTCTGGCATCAACGGCTGGGCCCTGGTAAACCAATTGCTATCCGGATACCCTGCCGCTAGGGCTTTTTCTAAGGTTACTGCCATTTCAAACCGTACTTTCAAGCCCGAATATGCTGGGTGGCCCCGCGATGTTGGTGATCGGCTGCAGATCGTCTCGGGGATCGATCTTTCGGCTGGAGATGATCTCTCTCTGAAAAAGATCCTTGCGGAAAAGATCTCATCTGTGGAGACTGTTAGCCATATCTACTATGCTGGTAAAGATATTCATGCGTATGACGTGTGATATGCTAGTATACTGACCCTCAATTCTTCGGCTTATCGTGAGAGCCGCGATGGCGCAGAGGAGTCTCGGTTGAACAAGGAGATGCTACGGGCTGCGGTGCAGTCTATCGAGGATCTGTCTCCTGTGCTCAAATTTGTCACGCTCGTCACCGGCACTAAGTTATCATTCATCATTCTCCCTTTGTCTTTTTAATGTAAGGAAACCTGACACCTTGAATAGGCATATGGAGTCATGATGTTTGATAAATTCCCTTTCCGAGGACAAACGCCCTTGAAGGAAAGCTATCCACGTATTCCCGAAGAGTATGCCAAAAATCTTTTCTACTATCACCTGGTCGACCTACTTCATGAATTGTCTGCGAATAAATCCTGGTCGTGGTGCGAGGTTCGGCCGGATATCATTGTACGTTTGACCAAGGCGAGGGAATTCTACGATGATTCCAACAAACCACCCTATATTGACTGTATTCTAGATTGGCGTTGCCCCATTCGGAAATGCTAACTGCATCGCTCAAACCACCGGAATTTTCCTGGGACTTTACCGAGCCCTCGAAGGACCCGGAGCTCGGGTCGCGTTCCCTGGCACCGAAGCTGGCTGGAAACTCTTGTCGACCGATTCCAACCAGGATATCATTGCACAGTTCTGTATCCATGCCTCTCTCCAGCCCCGAGAGAAGGTTCACGGTCAAGCTTTCAACATCGGTGATAATGCAACGCCTTTGTCATGGGAAAAGCGCTGGCCAATCCTCGCCTCGTACTTTGGGCTGGAGGGCGTTGGGCCAAGCGATGATGCCGTGACCGGGCCCGAGTACGTTGAGCGCCACAAAGAGAAGTTCCAGGCCTTGTGCCAGGACCGTGGCCTCAAGGAAGACATCATGTACACCAGCATTCGGAACACTGGCTCGAGAGGAAGTGTGATGAAACTCATGGACTTTGACCGCAATTTGGATTTGAGCAAGGCTAGGGCTCTGGGTTTCAACAGCGAATTGAGTACCGAGAGCTCCTGGTATACTGCTTTTGACCGTGTGCGTGAAGCCAAACTCATGTTTTAGATACAAGGGCTGAAGATGGATGCTGAGAGCATCAGTATATCAGGATACGGCCTTCCAGGAATGACTCCCTATCCTTACTTTGACCAATTGACTGTAGCCTGCCTGATCTGGCCTCGTTACTCAATATCCCATACTTGATCCTCTAGCGGCAGTCCTGTAGACTCTTCCGTCTCGCAGATAATCTCAGCCGTGCGGATCTCCAGGGGAAGTACAAAGCCCCCATTGATACTCGACCATGAAGAGTCACCGCGAGCAGAGGCCACGCCACTCACATGAAAATGCTGGGGGCTGATTGGTGTCTCAAATTGCTTAAATAATACCGCACGACACTTAGCATCTGTCGGTTCTCCCAGGCACAGTACCGATCCGGAGAGTCCTTCCATCTCGGTGCCGTCGTGCATCGCTCGCCACAGTAGCGCGGCCGTTTGGGTACGTGTCTTTCTATTCCAGAGATATTCTGATCCCTCGACAGCAGCTTTTTGCATGGTGCCAAACGGATCCATGCGACTCTTCTCCTTGGATGTCTCGCTCGATGCGCTAAGTGTCATCGTGAAGGATAGTTGGCCATCCAATGCGTCGCAATAGTTGCCCCAGCCGGTAATTCGGGGTGCGCGTGGCGGATTCAAGACCTTAGGGAGATGGTCTCCTGTGACAATTGAGATGTCATGATCAATCGTCTGGGGGAAAGTGGATGAGCGCGCAACGTGATGGTCGTACGTCGTCGTGACATGGCCAATTTTCTGTTCGCATCAGTTACGAGGCAGTCACGAGTTTGGTCAATTTCCTTCATTCCTCTTGGATTTTGATGTTCGAATCTACGGGCTCCCATACTCACCTCTTTCGGCTCCTGGACAAACCACACGCTTCTTCCCAGTGGCGATTCGACTGCAGCTCCCATTTTAACACATTCCTTGATTTTCATCGCCGTTGCCTTAGAAAATTTCGACTTGGTTTTCGTCAGCCAGCTCCTCTCTTTGTGCGCAAAATTTCGTTGTGCCGTTTTCATATCAACAAAACCGTGAGTTGCAACCGCAATGCCCAGTGAATCATCTGCGAATCGCAATTTCAGACCCAAGGATGTGATAGATTCGCTGTTCTCGGGCGTGCCAGCGACTGCATTGCCACTGTCGGCGACAGCGACCGTTGGGTAGTGGACCGCAATTCCATACCCTAGTCGCAGCAGACCAAAGGATGGCACACATCCTTCCAACCACGAGGCCTCGATATCCTTGCGAGTGCGAAACAAGACGATTATGAATCCCGCGATGAGCACTCGAGCCCCAACGGCTGCAGGGAAAAATCGACGCAACAACTCCATATCTGAAGCTGTGAGAAACCGTCGGGGATTGATGCGACGACGCAGGGGATCCGGGCGACTGCCACTATACACCTTGGACAGTTGAGGGAGTAAATACTCCGGATGAATGTGGATCTCACGCCCGCCGGCATGTGTGTCGTACATTGGCACATTAGGCCCAACGCTTACGACCCAGATGGTCTTTCCATCGGCCTCGGTGGCCTCATACACAAAGGGACAAGGCCCCAGAGTACGATGATGCGTTCGTATTAGTCGTTCATTTTCGAGAGTCACGGTTGGCTCTTTCAGCGCTCGAGCGGCAGCCTCTTCATGTGAGCCCCACTTGTCCTGGCGTGTTTCTGCATAACTCGGCACCAAGCAATTGTCAACACGGCGGGCTCTGTGGCATTTAATGGCAAAACTCTAACTGGAAAATGACGAATGGGGGAAGGGAGAGGAGGGGGCCTGACTGGTAACCAGGGTCAATTCCCTAGGTAAGTTGATGGACAGCCTACCGGATGATGGCTTAAGGCTATCCTCGCAATCAGCGGGGATCGGTGGGTATGGATATAGGCTGGTCATCCTTGTTGATCCCTGCGGGAGTGAGTGGATGAGCGCGACCGTGAACTATTCCTGAAAGAACTCGGTCGCTCAAGTCTACAGGTCTGCCTTGAAGAAAGCTGCAGCATGGGATCCCTTGCCCCCAGCCCCCTCGAGTGGACCATCAACATGATGTCAACAAGCCTCCCACCACTTCAACCACGGACTACGGACCCACTCGCCGCCCCGAGCTCATTGACAGCCACTCAGACTTCTGGTGATTCGGGATGGACCTGTGTGGTGTCCACTACGCCAATCAAGATCCAGGCGATCATCAGCATAAAGCACAATCTAGCAGGACCCCCACACACCGAATAAAGGGGGAGATGCCACCAGAGCGGTCAGAAACATGCTTGGGAACCGATGGAGCAGGACTCCGATGGTGCCGGAACATGAAGGGGCACGATTATAGCACAAACGTTCCGCGGAAAGCAAGCTGGCTGACATTTCTGATGAACCCCATTGCCTCCCGATGGTTGCACTACAGCCCGTAGTGCGCTAGACCTCTCCAGATGTGGCCCTTAGTGGCTGCAGACGGGCTCCAGATAGCTCTGTCGGACTGCCTATCAGAGCTTGATCAGCACCCGCCAATCTGCGCTATTACATCGCGATCGCGCCGATCTTGCCAGCTACGCCGAACCTGTGATGAACGATGGAGCCTTGACAGGCGCTAGTTCCCTTCTTAGGTCCAATGAATCAGGTCAATGAGATCTGTCGATCGGAAAACCATGCAAGCTGAAGAGTTGCGGAAGCTGAAGAGGGTCTGGTTTCTGCTGTTTTTAGGCCCTTGCACTCTCCCCCGCTCTCGTGTCGCTTCAGCTTTATCTTTTTCCTGCTCCCCCACGATTCTTCCTCTGTGCGATTTCTGTTCTTGTTTTTGTGTACTCTCAAGCGATTTACCTCCAACCCCCTTCTCATCATGCCTACTGAGATTCCTGGGCCGCCCGGCGTGCCACTGCTGGGTAATATCTTTGACGTCAACCCTAGCGAGACCTGGAACTCGTTGAACAAGCTAGCCAAGCAATATGGTATGTACTGATGTCGGAAACAGCCGTCGCAGGTCAGCCGAATTAATCGTGAACGACAGGCCCCATCTTCAAGATCAATGCGCTCGGTCACCAGATCGTCTTCATTGGCAGCGTGGCCCTTCTCGAGGAAATTTGCGACGAAACAAGATTTCGCAAATGTGTGACCGGTCCCGTGCTGGAAATTCGCTATTCTGTGCATGACAGTCTCTTCACTGCCAAACACAGTGAGACGAAGAACTGGGGCATTGCCCACCGCATCATGTACCCGCACGTCACCCAAGAGGCGACGGACGCTGTCTTCAGTGACATGGCCGAGGTCATCCCCGATCTGACCAAGAAATGGACATCCGGCACCAAGCAGCGTACGTTGGCTGCCGACGATCTGGACCGGATTCTGCTGGCCTCCTGCATGAAGTGCTTCTTCAACCAACGGGTACATGTGCTCGGAACGGATGCCGAGTCCGTTAAGGCGAAGAAGATGGTTGATGCGTGGGAGGGTGCCACGATGGAGGCGATGAAGCGACCCACGCGCCCGAAGCTCTTAAATCTTTTGTATCAGAGCCGTTTCTCGTCTCTCACAAAAACCATGCGCGCTTATGCCACGGACATTAAAAACAGCCGCCTGAACAACCCCGGCCAAGCTCGCAAGGATATGCTGGATGCCCTTCTGAACGGCGTCGACCCGGAGACCGGCGAGAAACTCACTGACTCGCAGCATCTCGACGAGATCGTGACCATTTTCATTGGCGCTGCCACCGCTGCAAACCTCGTTTCCTACGCGCTATACTACCTGATGGAGAACAGTGAACCTCTCAAGAAGGCGCAGGCGGAAATCGATTCCGTCGTTGGTGACGGCCCCATCGACCTCGCCCACCTGAAGCAGCTCAACTACGTCGAAGCCTGTCTCCGCGAAGCAATCCGTCTCTCCGCCACTGCTCCCGGCTTCAACATCGAGCCCATCCCTCCCAAGGACGAGAACGACAAGACACCCGTGCTGCTAGCCGGCGGCGAGTATCAGATTCCAAACAACCAGCCTATGATTGCAATCCTGAACTCGGTCAACCGGGATCCGGCCGTCTTTGAGTTCCCCGAGGAGTTCAAGCCCGAGCAAGTCCTCGGCGAGAAGTGGGATCAGCTACCAGCTGCCGCGAAGAAGGGCTTTGGCAATGGCAAGCGCGAGTGTATCGGTAAGAAGTGGGCATGGCAGTGGTCGTTCTTCACGCTGGCGAGCATTATCAAGGACGTGTCGTTCGAGTTGGAGGATAAGAACTACAAGTTGCATGCCAACGGCGCGTTCAGCATCAAGCCGTTGGACATGTGGACTTTGATGAGCCCGCGCCAGAAGTGAAGATTATGTATATACCCGAACGAGCTTGTTTGAATGAGAAGGAATGTTCAATGTTGATTAGGATGTGTTCTTTTGTTTCGGAAATTGATTACCAGCGGACCCGACCGTGTCATGTTACCATTTTGTGCAGTGGTTTAGGTATAAGTGGAACGCAACGAGTCTTCTATGTTGTGATGTATATCGAAGGAATGAGGTACATGGTAGTGTGAACAATCATTCTGAGTCTATTGGATGTGTCTTGATGGTCCAATCAACCCAGTGGGAAAGGCGAGGTATAGGCTCGAGTAGATGGATAGTTTAGAACCTACTTGACTCGGGTTCTTCTTCAGAGGGGCATGTGGTCGCGAATATATATTTTCGTGCCTGGCAACAATTCCGGCCACCCATCCGGATTAAACTGCCTCACAAGTCCTTGTCAGGTCAGAGCAATGAGGCATACAAACCTTGATATAGGAATAAAAAGATCAGATACAATGATCAAAGTGAAACAAGCTTGGACTCGGATTTACACCCTCAAACTAAGTCAAAATACATCAAAAACAAAAAAGAAATGATCTCAGGTTTTTCTTAGGAATAGCCGAACGCGGGGGTCGAACCCGCAACCTTGAGATTAAGAGTCTCACGCTCTACCGATTGAGCTAGCCCGGCAGGGCTGGTTGAAGAGCGAACCGATTTATGGAATTATGAAGCAATTCTGACAGGAAGAGGCAAGATTCGGTGTCGGTTGACTCTCCTCCCTCCACCTTCCTTGTAACCGACGCCGACGCGACTGTGAAGCCTCCATCCAAAGCACCTCCGCGCAAATGGACCAACCTGGTGCCAAATCTGTCTCATGACCCCTCCAGCCGCGTAGTGAAGAACTAAATGGAGGCCCGGTCGGCGAGCGACTCGTCTCCTGCCCACCAGTCGAATACCAAACAACCCGCATGTCTAAACTGCCGCCGGAGCAAGATCCGTTGTAACCGCCCGGCAGGCCACTCACGGTGCGAGAAGTGCCGACAGAGCAATGTCGACTGTATCGTGCCGAGCCATAATTTAGGGCGGCAGAAGGGAGTGAAGAAGTAAGTGTGGTTATTCATGAGATCGAGTGCATGCGGCCGAGGTGTATGCAGGCTGACTGATCGTAGTAAGCGCAAGGGCCTGGAAAAGGCTATACACCAGATTGAGCAAGCTATTAAAAGGCCTAAAGTGGACACATCTAGTCCGGATGATGCCCAAAAAGCTATCTCGGGACTCCAAGAGTTGCTGAGCCGATTTCAGGGCCAACTGACAGGGGACCCGGATGCCTTTGCCGACGGTGGTCCGGTGCGCAGTCAGCTGTCTCCTCGCGAGGCAATAGCAGACGAGAGCCTTACTCTAGATGACGCGGAGAATCCTCTCCAGTTACTGGCCAGGGCTTCAGACTTGCAATTATCTCCTACGGGCGTGCGACATGTTCAAAAGTCACCGCTGCCCCCGTCCGTCGCGCCCTCGGCGGTGCCACAGGAAAGCAGTGACTTGAGCGACGTGAGTGCAAAGTCGTTCTTTGTACCTGCGCAGGCGAAACTGGACGTTGGACCGGACTTGGATCCGGTGGATCTGGGACTTGTCACCTTCGACGAGGCAGAGTCTTTGTTTTCTTTGTAGGTCATCCCTGACATTCATTTGAAGTATAGCGAGGGCTAATCTCAGGGACATAGCTTCTATCAAAATCTTGCACATACGAGATGGGGACTGGATCCCCTTGTGCATACAGCGTCCTTCGTGCGCTCCCAGTCCGCATTTTTATTTACTTCGATCATGTCCGGAGCAGCGCTGTTCTTGCCATCTGCCGCTGCTTTGTCAAACAGACTGTCTAGGCACTGCAAATGGCTAGCTAAGCGGGTCACGACACACCGCTACCGATCGGTCGAAATTGTCCTTGCGTTCATGGTGAATGTACCGTGGATGGCGCCCGGGGAACGACTCGGAGACGATGATACGTGTTCGTATATTGCCATGGCACTTACGGTGGCACTGGACCTCTCTTTGAACAAGATCGTCACGCCAGCGTCGAGCCTCGAAAAAGATCTGCTCCATCGATTAGCTCGGGCTGACTGTATAGATGCTAAGCGAGCCCTGCACATGGATGGATTCGACGATGTTGACCCTCACTCTGAATGGGGCCGTCGATTACTACGACGGCGAGAGAGAACCTGGATTGCGCTATTCGTGGTCGAAAGGGGAGTGTGCCTTGCTCGCGGAAGAAGCTATACTGTGCCTCCAACGGCGCTCATCGAGAATTGCGACTCTTGGCATCGATCTGACATCGCAGATCGACGCGACGGCCCTATGAATTCGATGGCCGTCTTGCGCCGAGACCTCGACGAGCTTTTCAGAAAAGTCAAATCAAGCTGTGACAGCTATCGCATCATTGACACAGGATCAGAAGCCGCACAAGCGATCAAGACGACCATTGAGAGTTTCTACGAACGCTGGTTCGCAACGTGGGCACTAGCCATCAGCGAGGGAGGCCTGCGGTCTCTACCACCGTATGTCGAGATTCTCGTGACACACACTCAACTATCCACCTACGGCGGCGTAATAAACCACCCCACTGCCCCCGTCGAAGTCAAGCGCTTCTTCCGCGCAGCTGGGCTATCCTCTGCACTCAACGTCCTCCGAGCGGCCATCCAAGGCGAATCCCGCCTGAAATCCATGCCCAATAACACCGTCATCATGATCTCTTTCGCCGCATGTTCCGCCCTCAGTCTCAGCGTGACGCCAGGCGACAGCCGCTCAAGCCTGGCACCCAGTGTCCGAACCTTAATCGAAGAAACAGCCGGCGTCCTCGAAAGAATCGGGGCAACACCCTCGCACCGCAACGGTGCATCCTTGTTATACGGCCGATTCCTACGTGAACTCATCCGTCGCGGACCAGCCATGCCTCCTTCCCATCCTCGTACTGACACCCGGACACTCGATCCGGTCGAGCCTATCATCCCCACGACCTGTCTGAGTGAACAGGGTCCCTCGCTGACGGCGACACAACCCGTTCTCCCACCGGGAGATCTGTGGACAGAACCGATGCAATTCTCGGCCATGTCGGATGACCAGATTATCGATGCGGTTAATCGTGCTGGGAGTGCTTTTGGAGCTTCTATACCGGATGTACCGGTGGATGATATGCTTAGTTGGGATTGGCTTGATTTTGCGAGCACTGATTTTAATTTCTGAATCTATCTGAGTGAACGGTTTTCTATATGGTTTGATGCTTGTAATGACCATTGATATCCAACTCATTGGAGGTTAAACTCCTTTCTATTCGCAATTGTGCACCAAATGCCTCTCGTCCAGTTACAATTGGAGAATAGTGTCTCAATAGCTCGACCTACCAGTTCAGCCTTGCAACCCGTCAACCGCAGAATGACAATCGCAAAACCGGAAGTAAAAAGAATACCCGGACATCCACCACGCCCCGAACAATGCCGATTCTCAACCCTCCGTAAGTATATGTAGCACCTACCGTACTCCGGCTAGTGTTCGGGGTGCTTCTTCCCTCGTGACCCGCTTTCGGGTCGGCGCCACTCGGCACCCAAAAGTAGCCCCGAACCACCGTCAACAGAGAGCTCTTAATCAACAGCTCTTCTCTTCTCTTCTCCCATTCAGCTCCCATCTCGGATACAAAGACGTGAATCATGGCATCCTTACGAGTATCTACATCCACACTATCGCGCAAAGCGCTCACATCCTGCCGACCACGGCTAAACCTCGGTGTCCGATGCGCGGTCGCTAGCACGCGGCCTCTGGCGCCGCGAATGGCTCGGCCGAATGTGCACATACAGAGCCGGTACTCTTCCACGGCGCAAGCCAGTCCCCTCGCGCCGAAGATTGAGCGCGGAGGATCGAAGCTGTTCAAGGATGCGGATGTCGCGGTGGCGGATATAAAGAGTGGATCGACGATTTTGAGCTCTGGGTTTGGCCTTTGTGGTGTTGCGGGTAAGTCTGCACTTTTGCTTAGACGGGAGACTTATACAGTTGTGATGAGATACTGATCGCACTAGAAACACTGATTAATGCGATGCACCGTCGTGGCCCGGAGCAATTGCACTCGCTGACTGCCGTGTCGAATAATGCCGGTGCGGCGGGCAAGGGCGGGTTATCGACGTTGTCACAGACTGGCCAGATTGATCGCTTGATATTGTCGTATTTGGGCAATAACAAGGCGTTGGAGAAGAAGTATTTGTCGGGAAAGATTGCAATCGAGTTGTGTCCACAGGGTACACTCGCGGAGCGACTGCGAGCTGGTGGGGCGGGCATTCCGGCGTTCTTTACGCCGACTGGTGTTCGTAAGTGTATCCTCTGATGGACAGAGAGGATATGAGAGAGTTTATAGATTGCTGATTGGTTCAGACACTTTTATCCAGGAAGGAAAGATTCCCGTGCGGATGGATGAGTCGGGCAAGGTGCTCGAGTCGGGAAAGCCGCGCGAGACACGCGAGTTCAATGGCAAGACTTATTTGATGGAGACTGCCCTGACGGGTGACGTTGCGATCTTGAGGGCATGGAAAGTGGACGAAGCTGGTAACTGCGTGTTCCGGTGAGTGCAAAACGACCGCATGACTGGATTCAATTAGCATTGGCTCATCACTCACGGAGGTAGATACACCACCAAAGCATTCGCCCCTATCATGGCCAAAGCTGCGACATTGACTATCGTCGAAGCCGAGAATATCGTTCCAATCGGTTCAATTGATCCCAACGACGTGGATCTCCCCGGTATCTTTGTGGACCGTATCGTGCCCGCTACCGACGAAAAGCACATTGAGATCAAGAAACTGCGCGAGAGTGAGACCGGCAGCAGTGACGGATCTGTCAAGGATGCGGCGCAGATTGAGAGGGAGCGAATTGGCCGGCGGGCGGCAAAGGAGTTGAAGCAGGGATACTATGTGAACCTGGGCGTTGGTGAGTATCAGACCCTCGACTTGCAGGAGAGGTTGTCCGGGAGGCTCACTGAGGATAGGTATTCCGACGCTCGCACCTTCGTTTTTGCCAAAGGACGTCAAGGTGTGGATTCAATCGGAGAATGGTATTTTGGGCATGGTACGTTTCCGCAGAAGAATCACTCTAAGCGTTCGTGGACTGACTCAAACAGGGCGCATATCCCACCGAGGACGAGGTTGATCCGTAAGTCTCTCTTCTCAACCTGCAAGAAACACAAGAAGTAATCTTCTAACTCGCTGACAGGGACATCATCAACGCCGGCAAGGAAACCGTCACACTCGTGCCCGGCGCCGCAACCTTCGACAGCACCGAATCCTTTGGCATGATCCGGGGCGGTCACGTCGACGTATCAATCCTGGGAGTAAGTCGGATTTCAAGCGCCCACCGCATGATTGACTGCATCATAACTAACTTCTTCTCCCAGGCTCTTCAAGTCAGCGCCAACGGCGATCTCGCCAACTACATGATCCCCGGCAAAGTATTCAAAGGCATGGGCGGCGCCATGGATCTCATCTCCAATCCCGACCAGACAAAGATCGTCGTAGCGACGAGTCATCTCGCCAAGGATGGATCGCCCAAGATTGTGCAGAAGTGCAGTCTGCCGTTGACTGGGGCGAACGTTGTTAGCACTATTATCACGGATTTGGTGAGTGGAATCAATATCAGCTTAGGAGTGAAACATGGTTACTGACGGCAAACAGTGTGTCTTCCAGGTTAACAGGAAGACGGGTGAGCTTACGCTGACGGAGTTGGCTCCTGGTGTGGAGGTGGAGGAGGTTCGTAGTAAGACTGATGCTGAGTTTAAGGTTGCGGAGACTCTGGAGATTATGGAGTAAGAGGGGGGATTGACGGTATGACGGAGAGATTATACGGGATGATTTGTACATACGGTAGACTATGCATCATTAGATTTCTGATCGTTCTCTTTTTTTTAATGTCATCGATCATGGGAGTCTCTATCCCGATGACACAGGTACTCAGACCTCACTATCCCATTCAATTTTGCGCTCCTGGAGCTACAAAATACCTGAGCACTACCAATGCCGTTATCAGCCTCTCACATGGTAGTATACTATATTGGGCAATGCTGTCTGCGCTGTATTTCCATATCCATTCATACCCTTTGGTGTCTATACTGCGTAAAATATCATGCTATATACAACTTCTTCAATGAATCAGCCAAGAATCTCTATACCGTCACCTCCCTCTACAACTTCGCCCTCCCAGGAGCAAAATTCGATCCACTCCCTCCACTGATAGCCTCCACGATAGCATCCACACTCTCTAAAATCCACATATTCCCCTCATCACTCGCCAACCACCTCGCCCCATCTTCCCCCTCCACATCCTCAGCCCAACTCCCATCCTCAAGCGCCTTCCTCAACCCAAAGACATGCGACAAAACCTGCGGCCCAACACCCGTCTGCGCCCGCAAACAAGCCACCGCCACCATGGAAGTCAACACCCGCCCGGCCGACGCACCGCTCTCCCTCACGGGGTCCGACAACAGCGCCCCGTAGTTCGCATGCAGGATGTGCACGGGCAGATCCGGGTGAGACGCGGCAAGCTTGGAGTAGAGCTTGTTCTCAAAGGGCCGGTAGATCGAGTCCCAGAGGGCGCGGCCGCGCGCGGAGATGGAGGCGATGTTCTCGGGTGTAGGAGTGCGGGTTGGGGTTGTGGAGAGCTGGGAGGTGATTTCTTCGGGGAGACTGGCGCGGAAGGCGTTGAGGCAGTTGATTGTGCGGGGGATGCCGTTGAAACTGATGCATTTGAGGCCGACTTCGCGCATGAGTTCGGCGGATTGGACCGCGGAGGTCGGGTTGGTCGAGGAAGCGAGTTGGTGGAGGGCTGTGAGAGATTCGGGGGAGTTCATGGTCATTGTTGCGGCTGTCTAGTCGGTGTTAGTACTGCGAAGTTTGCTGGGTGCATCGATGTGGGCTATCAGGTTGGCGACATACCGAGAGCGCAAGCCATGAAGGCGGCGAGACATTGTTGGCCGCGGCGGTCTGCTGGATAGTGCGGTAGACATGGGCGATATTAGGAGGCGCCGGCACGGTATGTGGCCGTGCAGCCGGGGCATTGATCAATGCTTTCAGGCTTGGGGAGAGTCTCGACATGGTGTGTGCAGGGCGAAGTGAGTAAATGGATTGTCGAAGATCCAAGTTCCTTCCCGAGACGCCAATTTGAAGCAACACAAGACCCGAGGTCCGGCATTCAGAAGTGGTTGCCGATACCGGGTGCTCGGGCGACACTCACAATACGGTAATTTACGGGAAAAACAGCCAAGCAGACTAAAAAAGCCAAACGTGCTAAGCGTTCTCCAGCAAAAGTCCCCGCCCAACAAAAATAAAGGGTTCAGCGAATCCGGGGAACTGCGGGGAAAAGCAGAAAATACTCGGGACAGTGTACGGAGGGCACACACCGAAACCTTGACCGGCGGTAGAACTGGCCGCCGAGCGCGGGCAATGTCCTTGCTTTTTATCTGCTCCCCTGCAGGTCGCAGACATTCTTAATCTTGTCTCTTCCTCCTGTGCCCCTCTCCCTTTCTCCACCCCTGCAGAGAAAAGCACAAGGACTCGACGGAGATCACCGTGCATTAATCACCATGGAGCACAAATCGGGCGTGATGGAAGTCGAAGATCCCAAGCAGAGCGAGCTCAATCGCTTCGGCGACCATGAGCACCAGCACAAGCTTACACGACGGGTTCTGTTGAAGCTGGATACTCGGTACGTCTACGTCTCCTAAGAGGTGGAACACGACATGTTATCCGGGGTTCCAACTAATGAATGGTATAGAATTCTACCCATGCTAGCGCTACTATTCCTCTGCTCATTCCTCGACCGTACCAATGTCGGCAATGCCAAAATCATCGGCCTGGAGAAAGATCTCGGAATCACCGACCATCAATACGACGTCGGCTTGGCGGTCTTTTATCTCACGTATATCTGCAGGTAGGCGATCCAAGGCGTCCACGGTCTGGCCTGAACTGGAACTAACCAGCAAAATCTACCTTGCAGTGAATTACCAAGTAATCTCGTGCTCAAGAAAGCTTCCCCAAAGCTGTGGTTGCCTTTTTTAACCACGCTTTGGGGTATTATCACCATGTGCCTCGGCTTTGTGCAAAACTATGCCGGCTTTGTGGCCGTGCGGGCATTACTTGGAATTGCGGAGGGAGGCTTGCTCCCTGGCATGGTATGACCTGGTGATCGAAATATAGAAGACATGTTCTGATGGTTATAGGTGCTATATTTGTCAAGTTTCTATCGGCGTGGAGACTTGGCGCTGCGCATTGGTTTGTTTTACACTGCCGCATCCTTATCGGGGGCCTTCGGTGGTAAGTAGCGACGTTCTACCGCTTCCAAGGCACAAAGCTAATCAGACTAGGCTTACTTGCTCGTGGACTGGCGGAAATTGGTCCCCGTGGTGGACTGGAAGGCTGGCGCTGGATTCTCATTGTTGAAGGACTGCTGGTATGTTGCCCGACAGATACTAATACATTGCAGATCAAGACTGATACAAATTAGACCTTTGCGTGCGGTGTACTGAGCTTCTTCGTCCTCCCCAACTCTTTGGAATCTGCGTCTTTCCTGACCCAGGAAGAAAAGGAGTTTGGCCGAGAGAGACTTCTGCTGGACAACCCCAAGGCACCAGATGGGTATGATGGTTCACATTTTCTGCCAGGTGGCTCTCGGCTGACATATCCTACTAGAACACTGTCCGAAGAAGAAGACGCATTCAGATGGTCGGAAGTCCGCCGAGGTATCCTGGAACCTCAAGTCTGGTTCTCCGCTACCGCGTACTTTGCCATTCTCTCCGGATTGTACTCTTTCGGTCTATTCGTACGTCAAAAACCCCCACTCTCTCAAAACCAATTCACGGGAAAACCACTCATACTCAATAGCTCCCAACCATAATCCAAAACCTCGGATTCGCCAAAGACGCCAACGAAGTCCAACTCTGGTCTGTCATCCCCTACGCCGTCGCAGCCGTAATCACAGGTAACCACCCACAAATTAATCCCATCTTGATCTCTCAAACGCAAATCTAACAACGAACAGTTATCGTAGCATTCGTCTCAGACCGACTCCGCCTCCGCGGTACGGTAATGCTCTTCACCCTCCCCATCGCAATCATCGGCTACGCCGTCATCGCCAATGTCAAGAACCCACATATCCAATACGGAATGACCTTCCTCATGGCTACGGGCCAATACGCCAGTGTACCCTGTATTCTGGTATGGCTGTCGAACAATTCGGCCGGTCATTACAAGCGGGCGACTACCTCTGCGCTACAACTGGCAATTGCGAATTGTGGAGGGTTCGTTGCGAGTATGTTCCCCGAATACACCTGCATCTAAATTGCCCTGTGTGGGGTGTAAGAATCTCATGCTGATTGGGCTTGTAGCGTTCAACTATCCGGCTCGTGATAAGCCGTATTTCCACCGTGGACATACGATCATCCTGGGATTATTGGTGTTTGCATGGTTTATGTGAGTTTTGAATTTTCTTGTTCTCCTCCTGTTTAGCTCAGACAGTCAGCATGCTAATGTTCCGGGTCCTGGTAGGATTCTGTTCAATGTCCTATATTGCGCAAAGGTGAATCGTGACAAGAGGAATGGAAAGTACGATAAATATGCTGGATGTAATGATGACCGGAACCCGAACTTTATGATGGTTCTTTGAGAGATGTACGTTGTCGATATGATATTTTTGTTGGAATTCGTGCTGGTAGTATAATGGTAAATAGTCCATGAACCCTCCTGATTGGAAAGGAAAGATGCCCTGACGAGTGACGAATTTGTAAATTGAATGAGACTGAATTATGGACGTCTATTTGCACAAAAAATTATGCTCATTCCTGAAACAAGTTAAGCCTAAATGTGTGCACTAGAAGAAGCAAGCAAACATCCTACCTTCCAACAAGAAGGGAATATCCATATCTTGAAGCCATCATCAAAACAACCCACACCTTCTTTCCTTCCACACGCCGGGGAAATCCTCTTTTGTCTTCTCTTTGGTAAAGCCTCCAACCCTGTTTACTCTCACGAGTCCTCCTCATCCAAAAGCCCCCACCCTTCCGAAACGGACTTCCTAGACTCAAAACCCACCATGCATGTTTGCAGGTACTTCGACAGCCACGAGGACGCCATCGAGCACAACCCGCTCCAAGTGCACCACCTCCGCGAGCAGATCCTAGGTTCATAACCTTCCCCATCCTCCAACCCAGCCTAGCCAGGGAAAGCTAACTCATGCTGACATTCACAGCAAATGCCAAGTTTGTATACAGGGACGATAATCTCGATCTCCTCACAGGAGTAGACCTGGATCAAAAAGGTAAGCACAGCAAATGCCCCTTTAGAAATCTATTCCCTGCCTCCAACACTCTTTATCGAGTAATAGATATCCGCTACGCACATCTGATTCGACGAACGTCATATTCGAATCGGGCGCCCATGGCCATTTTGTTGGTGATCAGAGGACTGCCCGATAAATGTCCGTTGCTGGACATGCTGCACTTCCTGGAGGAAAAGGGTTTGTCCAAATATGGAGGCGGAGTTTGGTTACAATGCGGTGGATTGGAATAGCTGGAAGTGAGCTTTCAAGAGCTCTAACGGGGGTATCGCATTTCCTATGGAACGGGACACGATCAATCCAGAGAAAGAGGTACCAGTGAAACTACTCTCCAAAGAATAGCAAAATATACGGTTTTTTTTTTTTTTTTTTTCAAAAAAAATATACTAAGAAACTACCCATTCCATCTCCCCCACCACCCAGTCATCGTCCAATCCACTCTACTCGCCGCCCTCAGGTCATCCACGTTCAACATATCAACCCCCTCCCTGACCAGCACTCTCCACACGTAATTCCGCAATCCAACCGGCCACCCGGGTGTACCCCAATACCGGACTTTCAAGCCCAAGTCATGTGCAGCCGCGATCTGAGCTCGTACTTTGGCCAGTTGGTCCTGCGAGAGGTGGCCCAGCGGGAGAGATCCGATGCTAGCGTGGAAATCGACGGAGGCGTAGTAGCTGTTGTATTTTGTGTATGGGGAGTCGGAGTCGGATTCCGGATCAGAGATGCCGTGTGTCTCGGATGCGAATGCGGATTCAGGTCCAGGTTCAGGTACGAGTTCCGACGGGATAGGGACTAGTTTGTCGAGGGGTGCGTCGTAGAAGATGTCGCGGTATGACCTGCTGGCTTGGATGCGGTGGAAGGGCGCACTGCCCGTTGCTACGACCGTGATTGGGCGTTGGACAAGGGTCGTTCCATTAAAGTGTGTGAGATAGCCCTTTTGGCGGAGAGGTTGGAGGTGTTTCACAAGGATGGGCCATAGAAGTTCGGGGGAGGACTTGAAGTCGATGAGTAGGACTAGGGGATGATCAGGTTCGGTGACGAAGATCCCGACTGGAGAAAAGTCTTCTGCTTCGATTAGTGATTTTGTTCCTGCCGACGAGAGATTTCTGCCCGGGTTATGCTGCTCGAGGATCTCGAGGAGTGGGCCGAGGTAGAGACTGCGCAAAGATTGATTCGGGAGGACGGTGCGCATCGTGTGTCCGACGCGCAGCTCGTCGTCGTCGAGCCAGATGTCGGCTTCCACGCTGGTGCAGCCTGCTGCGAGCGCGGAGAACAGCGGAACCCGCCGCCAGTAGTCGTTGTGGGAATGGCATGCGATGGGGACGACGCCGTGGGTGAGCCAGTCCGAGAAGAGAGACGGCCGTTGACCGGGGAAGATGCCTGCATCGCGGCGATCTGCAAGGACGGAGAGGACACCGTCCCATGCAAAGGAGAAGAGGCTTACGAGGCCGCTGTATACAATTAGCCCCAAGAGTTTCGTAGTGGGATATAGAGTCAAAGAGACGGAGGGACTACTCAACGTACAGAAGAGCAACCAGAATCCAAAACGGCCGTTTCACAAACCGACAAAAGAGCACACTTTTCGACCAGATCTTCGACTCGCACTGCATATGCGTGCACCTCCACGGCAACAGCCTCAATCCTAATAAAGTCCCTCTCGAAGACTTGTCTCTGAGTTTCTTTCGCGGATTCGAGCCACTCGGATTCCACTCCTGACTCTGCCGCTGAGCCTCCGGGTCATAATCATGAAGAAGATAGACATCCTCCTCCTCCTCGTCTTCTTCAGGGACCCCCTGCAACACGGTGCCAGCCGGTGCCGATATCAATGCAGCATCCAGACTGGACTGACCAGCCGCGGATCCTTGGACAGCCATGACGGAGCCAAGAAGAGCACCGAAGCTTGATTGCCATAATCTCCCGTCGATCCGGGCGATCGGGTTTAATATGAACGAGCCCGTGGGGGCGCACGGCATCGATTTCTGTCCTACAGTGCCGGGTATCGTGTAATTGGGTTTCTGCCTAGTGGCCATGGGCACGAGAAGCCAATTCCTGCGAGGCTCGCAGTTGGCGTTATTCGCACTGGTAGACTTTTTGGGGGAAAAGCGGTTGCCTAAAGCTTGGACTTGGACTTGGACTCTGTGAGGAGAACAAGCTTTTCTTTTTTGTTTGGGAGGTTTTCCCTGCAAGTGGGGATCTTATTTCCGGCGGATTAATTCGTGAGCGTGTAGCATCATGGGAGTTTTGATTATTTGCGTCACTGGAGGTATGAGAATTTGTTCCGTGGATTGTGGTCGAAAGGGGAACCAATCCAGACGAGATGGTGACATTTTGACTTCATCCAGGGTCTCGTCGGCTGGGATTGCCCGCGATAAAACTCCACAAATGTACTTCCGACGAACAACGCAGAATGGCGCAGGGTAAATGCTTGGCATTGCTGCTTACTTCTGAGCATGATCTATCATGGCACGAAGCCCCCAAATGGCACCATCGGCGATCTTTCCAATGCCGTCGTCTACGATGAGGATTACTAGAGTGATTGCACTAATAGATGGAATAAGAATTCATATGTGGAACATCAGCCAACGATGATCTTTTCTTACCGGTGTATTTGTATAGATCGACTTCTAAACAAATAGCACACGAATGCCCAACTATAAGTGACCCCAACCATAATGTCGACTTGCTTCTGACAAAACCATATATCTCCAGGAATTCTTTCCTGCGCGTGCCAAAGAAAATAGTCAGCGGTACGACAGCTATCGCACGATGCCCTTCATATGATACAAGTATAACATTGCACAACTTCTTCAGCCGCACAATATCAAACCCCACACAATTCCTACCCTAACGAGTCTCCTCCTCGTCCCCATTGGCCTCACGGGCAACCTGCTTCCTCTTCTCCGCCTCTTTACCGGCGAAACTCACCAGCATGCCCAGATCATAGGTAACCTTCAAGCAACCGGCGATCATAAAGGACACGCCAAACATGTTGTTACGCGCAAGGATGCCAGTCAGAAGGGGACCCAGACTCTGGCTGGTCGTTTTGACCACGTTGACAGCACCCATGATGGCAGTCCGCTTGTCAGAGGGTAGAGCTGCGGCGAGGAAGGCGGCGCGTGGAGCCACATCCATGTTTTGCGAACAGGCGCGGAGAACGAGGAACGTGAGTGCTAGGGGAAGACTGTTGGGAACGGAGATGAGGGCTAGACAGATTGCCGAGGGTAAATGTGTAAAGACCATTGTCTGAGACGGTTGTCAGTAGGGGGTAATATCGGGACGGGGAACCGGGGGGGTTGGGAGATGCAAACCTTGACGTTGCCGATACGCTTGGCGATCGAGGACGCGACTAGCATAGATGCTGCAGAGATCGAGCTGGTCACGAAGAAAATGGTCCCCAGCTCGCCCTCGGGCAAGCTGAACTTGCGGTGGAAGAAGTATGTCATCCAGGAGCTGCCCTTGTTAGTAAGTGATGCACGAGCTGCCATTTTACCAAAGTTGACTTACAGAGATGCCAGCCCCGATGCAAACGAGTCGATGCCGAACAAAATGAACAATCGAATCACCAGCGACCACAGATCCTTTTCAATGGAGGCAAGCAGGGACTTCTTCTTCGGCACGGCCTCTTGTTCAACGGGCGCAGAGTCAGCTAGCAGGGGCCGAGTTTCGCCATTCTGCTGCTCACGCGCCTTCTGCTTCTCGGCCGTCTCAACCTTGTGAGTCAGGGCTAACGTGAGGATGAGCTTGACGAGACCAACGCCTGCATACACAAAGAAAATGATTCGGCACGACGGGATAAAAGCCCACCCGTGCAGGTCCTGCAACGAGCTGATCGTCCAACCGCAGATCAACTGACCGAGCGCAGTACCCGCGGTACCGACCAGCGAGTACCACGCAAAGACATCGGGTAGCTTCTCATGCGGAGTGAGATGAGCGAGAGTAGACTCCTCCACGGCACGGAAGGGTCCAATCTCGTTTCCACTGCGAAAGAAGGGTGTCAGCGGGGGTTTTTGTACTAAAAACATCGGCCTTCGCACCGACCACAAATCTGCCACCCGCCCACAATCACCCAGCGCCAATTTAAAAAAGCAAAAGAACGAAAGCTATGAAAGTAGAATTGACTCACCTTGGACTGATAACACCAAACACCGCCGCAGCAAGAAGCACCCAGTAATTCCCCGACAGGCCAAAAACGACGCCACTAACAGCCATCAACGCCGATCCGAGTGCCAAAACCGCCTTACGACCCATCGCATCCGCGAACAGGGTGAGGAAGAAACTAATCACCACATCACCGACCAGGGTCAGGGTCATAAACAGACCGATCCGATCATCCGCGACCCCAATGGCTGATAGGTACGAGGCGAGAATGAGCGTTGAGCCGCCATACGCGAAGAGCCGCACGAAGCGCTGGGCGCAGAGGAACTTGACGTCTCGGGTGGAGTGGTACATTGTCACTAGACCGAGTTCGTCTAGGGTCTGGGACAGAGCAGTCATAGCGCGACCGGATCGCGAGAGCGATTGATCGGTTCCCGTCATGATTGTGTGGATGGTCTGGTCTGGTGGTTGACCAGGTTGAGGTTGATAAAATGAGGGAGGGGGAAGTGAGCTCGGAGATGTTGTGGTTGGAGTAAATAAATCCGAGAAGAGAAGCTCGGGCTCGGTGATTGCTACGAGTGAGGTGGTTGGTTCAGGTGGGTGTGGAGTGGAGTGGAGTTCGATTTTCTTCTTTGAACAGGCTGCAGTCAAAGTCTCAGAACTGATTAGTAGAACTTGAAAAACGAAACATCATCTGTCAGTGGGACACCTTGATTGGTTGAACTGGTTAAATCACCAACTCTGCTGTAATCAGATCTTTTTTTCAAGGTGCATGGTAGGTACAACGTGCTAGATTGATAGGTATTATTCTTGCACCTTGGCACAGATATTCTCTAATTATGGTATGACTCATGATTAGCTTGTTTAACTCTGATACTGACTCGAGCGATACTCACAAAATTATCCGTGTCAAATATTGCAATCTTTATAGATCGGCTATCCCTGACTTGGACCTGGTCTTCCAATAGGCACACGGCAATAGAGAGCGTAGACGTGCCGGACGCCATCAAACTAGAAACCCAGCTTCATCTTTGATAGTCACAATGAATATAAGAAGATCTAGAGACCCTCGAATCATGCTAGATTTTTCATGAGAATACCTGCTTAACAGTATACTCTATCCTACCAAACTGTCTCTATTTTTCGTACAGTATTCACATTCACACCCATCATAATCACATCTCCCACCTCATACTTCCGTCTTTGGCGGCCACTTAACCCTCCTCTCAGCCCTAACGTACAGATTATTCGGCCGAATCAACTGGAACATCGGATCATACTCAATCGGCCCATCATTCTCCCTCGTAAACTTATACCGATACAACAACTTCGGCAAGAACACCTTGACCTCCTGTAACGCAAAATTGAACCCAATGCACATCCGCGGACCCGCCGCAAAAGGAATATAAGCCGCCTTATGCCGATTCCGCACCGCATCGGTATCCCACCGATCCGGGTCGAATCGTGCTGGATTATCCCAGACGGCGGGGTTATTGTGGACGTGGTGTAGGGCCGGGATGACGACTGCGTCGGCGGGGAGTTTGTACCCGCCTGGTAGGATCATGGAGACCTTTGCTGTGCGGGCGGGTTGGTAGGAAGGGTTGTGGCGGCGCTGGGTCTCTTTGATGAATTTGTCCATGAAGGTGAGTTTGTCGGTGAGGTCGGCGGTGATTTGGGTGTCGGCGTTGATGTCGTTGTCGATGAGTTCTTGGAGAAGACGCTCTTGCATGCCGTCATAGTTGACGAGGGAGTAGATTAGCCAGGAGAGGAGGGAACTGGTCGTGGTAAAGCCTGCGCCGGTGGCCACGACGAGGGCTTGCATCAGGCTGGTTTTGGGCAGTTTCTCGCCCTTGTTGTCGGTGGCTCGGATTGCGTAGTCTATAGATACGTGGTTAGTGAACTAAAATTATAGACTGACGAAGGAGAGAAATGCGTAGGTGGCATTCGCAGTATACACTTACCAACCATGTTCGTCGCTTTCAGCGCGGCATCTTGCAAAGGCAAGTCTTCCACACCACCACGCTTTGCGTTCGCGATAGACTCCTCGACCATCTCAATGATACGCCACCTGGCATCCCGCAACTTCTTGGGATCACCAAAGGGCAGCTTAGCATACCAATCTCCACGCGCCGCCACTTTCTTATTCAAGGTCAACGACTCTGCAATGCGATACACGAGCTCGTGAGGCGGCGCATCCGGACTGGTAAAGTGCTTAAAGTCAATCCCCAGCACCAATTTACCGACTGCCTGCGAACCCAGCTTCAGCATATACTGGTAGACATTCCAGGCCTCGCCCGTCTCATCGAGCTGATCGAATACGCTAAACGCATCTTCGACGGTGGCTTGCATCGTCGGCGCATAGTGGCGCACGGCCTTGGGGCCCAGGGCTGGCGGCAGGAATTTGTGTGCGGCCCGCCATTCCGGGGTATCCGTATCACCAAGGAAGACACCTGCTTCTTGGTTCTTGATAGGATACAGAGGGTGTGATTCGTTGATTTTCTTGCTGAAGAAGTCCGACTCGGCGAAGACGATTGCGCTCAGTTGCGGGTCATTGGTGTGGTAGATCGTGCGGCCCATGTTGGTAGTCTGGAAGATGGGGCCATATTGATCGAAGAGTCGCTGGTGGTTGCCCAAGTGGTCTGGATAGACCTCGAAATAGTTACCCACGAAGGGAAGGCCCTTCGGACCGGGGATCTCGCGGACGGGCTTGCCATCGATCGAGATGGCGATCGAGTCCGTGGAGGAGAGGACTTCGGAGACACTTGAGAGCGTTGCGTCTGAAGACTGGAAGCCAATGCCTGGAAAATCATGTTAGTTACATCCTTACGCTTGGTATACTTGAAAGTTTTAAAAACGTCCAACATTGTCTTCGCTGGGACATACCGTTTGGTTCGACAATGGCAAACTGGCCAGCAATCCAATGCTGTAAGCCTTCAAAGTCAATCTTTTCTTCAAATTCAATATTCCGAGCTGTCGAGCTAGGCTCTCCCAGCAAGTGAAATTGCTTGACGACCATAATGACTGGTTGTGTTTTTGTTCGTCCAGAAAAAGAAGACGACGAACCGAACCACAACGGAAACCCACGAACTAATATAACTATTTCAAATCCAAATCAATCCGACCAACTCCACTCCTACCAGTTCAATTGGCAATCAAATTACCCTGCATAAGACTCAACTATACGCAATGCCCGTCGACGGGATCTCTGAGCCTGATGGCCTGCCTCGGCAGTTTCAACATTTGCGATCGCGGGCCCACCGTCCATCTCGAATCGAGCGATGATCGTCCAGTTTGCACAATTTGGGCCCACCGTGTACCTGGCAGGACCGGCGCCATTCCCGATCAGAGGGTAATTACGGCGCGATAGGGGCGTTTTTTCGGGATCGCAGTGGATCGGCTTCGGGGTCGGTGTGCCGTTTCACTTGTTGAAGTCGGGTACGACGGCGAACGTGCCGTTTGTTCTGGACTGTCGTTGATTGCGCCGAGGTCAAATTGTAGTTTTGGATGGTGGATACACATCGAAGGGGGGCTTTATGCATGGAAGATGACCGAGTTGTTATTTTCTTTCTTTTTGATTGGACGTTTAGACGGGAGATACATTTTGGCAGTGGAGTAGCTGTAGATTTGGTCGTGTCTTGTCGGTGATTGCGCGACTTGTTTTATTCTTCCCTCTCGCTGTTTGGCTTCGAGTTGACCAATCTATACCGTCTTCAATAAACTTTGGAAATGGCTGCTTCGGAGACGAAAGAGTCCAAGGCTCAATGGAAGGCCGAAGTGGTCTTGCCCGAGTATTCTATGCAAGATATCGCGGCGCATGACACCAAGACTGATACTTGGATCGTTATCCATGGACAAGGTAAGATGATCTACCAAATACTCTCCGAGTCGATTGCTAATTACATACAGTCTTCGATATCACCGAATATCTGCAAGATCACCCCGGTGGCGCAGAAGTTCTCGTTGAAGTAGCAGGCCAAGATGCAACCGCGGCCTACGAGGACGTTGGTCATTCTGAAGACGCTCGTGAGATCATGCAGCCCTATCTAGTGGGCACCCTCAAAGATGCACAGCAATACGTGCGGCCCAAAGCTGTGCGCGTCGTCTCACAAAGCACACCGGAACCCCCCAAATCTTCGTCAATAGGCACCGTGGCAGTCGTGGCCGGTACTTTGAGCACCATCATCCCAGCCCTCTACATCTGCAGCTCCAGTGCATGCCTTTCCAACGGCATAAACTCCATCTCCCACCTTATTTCTCGCCATTTCCAGACCATCCGTCTCCCGCGTGGCGGTTTCGTGAATGGCTTCCTCGCTGCTAGCCTGATCTGCGGCGCCATCGGCATCTACGCAGCTAAACAGGCCAGTCGCTTCACCAAGATCGACTCCGGCTTCATGCGGTATCCCCCGCGCATCAAGGCCAAGAAGGTCGTCCTTGTTGACCCGCATCTCACACGTGGATTCCTCGAGCCCCAGACCTACCAGGACCTCCCACTCGTGGCTAAACACCAACTCTCCCCCAACGTCTACCGCTTTGTCTTCGGCCTGCCCGACTCAAACACCGTTCTCGGTCTTCCCATCGGCCAGCACGTCGCCATCAAGGCTATCGTCGATGGCACGACGGTCACCCGCTCCTACACACCTACCTCCAACAACCTCGACCGCGGGCGCCTCGAGCTCGTGGTGAAATGCTACCCCGACGGCCTGATGAGCCGGTACCTCTCTGGCCTGGAAATCGGCTCACAGGTCCCCTTCCGTGGACCCAAGGGCTCGATGAAGTACACCAAGGACGTGGCCCGCCATATCGGCATGGTCGCCGGTGGTACCGGCATCACACCCATGTACCAGTTGATCCGGGCCATCTGCGAAAACGACGCCGATACGACGCACATCAGCCTGGTCTACGCGAACCGCAGCGAGGCGGATATCTTGCTGCGCGAGGAGCTCGATACCTTCGCTCGGAGGTATCCTGGTAACTTCAAGGTCTGGTATATGCTGGACACCGCGCCGGAAAACTGGGCATATGGTACGGGCTTTGTTGATGCTGATGTACTGCGTGAGCGCATGCCTGCTCCGGGCCCTGACACGAAGGTCCTGCTGTGTGGACCGCCTGGTATGATCGGTGCTACAAAGAAGAACCTGGCTACGCTTGGATTCAAGACGCCCGGGTCGGTGTCTAAGATGAGCGATGAGGTATTCTGCTTCTAGATTCGGAATAGTCGTCTATACTTTGGATTGATGTACAGTGTCACTTTGTGCTACGAAAATAATACTTTGCAAATTTACCTGCCGAAAAGGGAAAATGCCGAGGTTCAATCATCTCAAGTTAAATAGCTGTCTTGGAAATTTTCTTTTAGTGCAATTAGACTCGTTTTAGTTTGAATTGTGGGGCATGACTTGCCAACACCAAGCCCTGCACAAATCATGGCACCCGCAAAGCTCAGCGCGTTCCGGCCCGTCTTCCTTGAAATGGTACCGTGTCCGATGGCCCAACGGTCTCCGATTTAAATTGATAATGTTGGGTTTTGATTCGTAATCTGCTGGTGGTTTAGGCAGTGACGCACTCGGGAACACCGAGACGTCTTCTCTCCACTTATCGTCCCGGGATCCTGCACGCTTTGCGCCGATGCTACGGTTGTTGGGCTAGTTTATGCATGCGTTTGCTTCATAGTTTTGAGTGGATATGAATATGACGGTACTTGGATAGACCGAGGTTCTTCTGCTCTACTATTAGAATTAACTCAATTTAGCATTGATGTTGTAGCCCGATAATATACAACATTTTCATTTGTTCGGGTCTCAAGGCTTTAGTTATCGGATTGCCGAAATGTCTCACTCGAAAACTCGGGAATGCCACCGAGATACTCGGTACATAGTTCGTGTCAAGAGATCGATCTCTTGACGATTTATAGTTAGACCCTATATGTCCTCTAAGGTCTATGCATGGGACGAGAATCCTATTACGCCCATTCGATGCCAATCGGTCAGATGATACACAGAAGATGTGGTCAAATCCTTTCCACTTCTTCTACTACTATGATCAGGTGTATTTCCAATTCCATAGGGCGTGTCATTTAGGACGTAAGCAGAGATTTCCAGAGTATCATACAGGACAGTATAACAGCCATCTCACAAGCCCACCATTCAGGTTGACGCATCACGCCGATGGAGGGCCAACTCATGAGACGATTCCAAGCAACGAGCACCGGCATGAAAGCATTCCACGCAGACATCAACCGTGAACCTAGCACACTTGACGCACGGGTAGGACGACTCGGTTCCCGAGAATGGCCGAGTACAAACATCACATAACCAATCATATTTCCCTTGGAAATCTTCGGTGACCGCCAACCCGTTAATCTTGAGGCTGAGCTCATCATCATCATCATCATCATCATCATCATCATCATCATCATCATCATCATCATCATCATCATCGGAAATCCCGGCCTTTTCGCGAATAACCTGGGCAACCTGCCGTTTTCCAGAATTTGACGCCCACCAGATCACCGTTCGACCCAGAGCATCTTTAGAGTTAATATCGACCGCTGGCAGAAGCAATAGTCGTTTCACAACCTCTTCTTTCTCGTTTCCCCAGCTGCTAAGAAGGTGTCGCACCGTAGCGGTCGATGGCATCCACGGAGCTTCCACGTGAAATCAAAAGCTCGACAACGTCGTCGTGCCCCATAGCACAGGCCCAGAAAAGCGGAGTGCGGTCATAAAGGTCGTGCGCATCAAGGCCATCTTCCAAGTGCTCCAGTAACAGCCGAGATGTCTCGACTTGTCCAGCAAACGCGGCATAATGCAGTGGGGTGCTTCCGTCTTCAGCCCCAGCTTTGGTGGCTGCCCCCCCTGTCAAGAAGCAGCTTGATGACATCGACAAAGCCACCGTAACAGGCTAGGTCCGTCCGGGCATCTCCTAGTTGTACGTCCGCACCACGCTCAAGAAGCAAACGAAATACCTCGGGGTGTCCCTTCCTCAAAGTGGCATGCAGCGCTGTGATCCCATCATCGTCCGTAGCAGCAATATCCGCCCCATGATCCAGAAGGAGTCGCACAATCTCAATGTATCCATCAGAAGAACCGATAATTAGAGGTGTAACTCCTTTAGGTCCCGCAACGACAGGTTCGGCACCGTAATTCAGAAGTCATTTGGCTATCTCAGTATAGCCGTCCATCGCGGCGAGAAACAGGGAAGTTCTTCCATCGCCAGTCTTGAACATTGGATCGGCGCCTCCTTCTAGAAGTATTTTCACCACCTCTGTATGGCGGTAGCTGGACGCGATACAAAGCGGCGTGCATCCATCTTTATAGGTAGTCGTGGTATTTGCTCCGTGATCGAGGAGTAGTCGTACTACCTCCGTATAACCATTGAACGAAGCCATATATAGTGGATGGGATATCTCAGGGTCAGCTCCCCACTCGAGAAACAATTTCACAAGCTCAGGATTCCCGTCAAAGGCGGACATGGACAAAGGTGTGTAACCAGCATGAGAAGATGTTGTGAAGTCGCCTCCGCGCTCGTGAAGCAGCCTGACCACGTCGATATGGCTTTCGGCCACTGCAATCAACATGGGAGTCCTTCCATCGGTAGTTTGAAGCGCGGCAGTTGCCCCATTATCGAATAGCAGGCGCACTACCTCAACATGACATTTTTCCGCGGCTAAATGGACCGGTGTCCATCCCTCTTTATTTTGAATCATTATCTTCGCACCGTGCTCTAGGAACACCTTGACCATATCGATGTAACCTCCGTGGGAAGCTAAATTGATAGGCGTGTCTCCATCTTTGGTCTGAGCTTCCACACTCTCACCAAACCTCAGCAGAATCCTCACTTCATCGACAAAGTTGCCTACCGTTGCAGCATGAATCGGCAGCCAGCCCCGCTCATCGGGCACAGAGAGGTCCGCAGCATACTCCAACAGCAGTTTCACAACTTCGAAATGACCAAGTGCAGAAGCGGAATGAATAGGCAAGCCTCTTTCCCCATTTGGAACCGTAATGTCCACACCATGCCCCAGAAGTAGTCTAACAATCTCGAGATGACCACTATCAGAGGCTGAATGAACGGGTGTCCAGCCCGAATTGGATTTGGTCTGCTCCACACTCGAGAAGTAGCTTGACTACCTCGATATGGCCTTTTTCAGAGGCAGCGTTGATCGGTGTCCAGCCACGGTCCCTGGTCTCATGGATATCGGCGCCGTTTCGGGTGAGGGTTTTTACCAGGTCTAGATCGCCGCTGCGAGCGGCCTCAAAGAGAGACGGAATTTCCTCCATGGTGCGATATGGAGTTGTTCACTTATAGTTCGGGTTGCGTGAACAAAAAGCGTGAATCGTTTCAGGTTTCGTGTTCGTCGAGATCGTCGAGGATGCGCGAGAAGGTATTAAAATCGGAAGATATTTCGACTCAACGGCTAGATGGTAGGGCTATATATCAGCGCTTCAAATTGGTGATAATCCCTTGAAATGGAGGGTGTATACAACGGCTGCTGACATAGACTCATGAACAACCTCAGCTGAAGGGGGGGCTGTCTGTTTAGCATCCACTACCAGACCAGATGAGTGTCTCCACCCAGCTGAGCCGCAGTGTAATTGTCAATGGCGAGATACTCCGACTTGCTCAATTCGAGATATGAGAGCAACAAGTAGAACTTGCTGATCTTGAACTGAACCATGATCATACTTGAAGATTCCACTCTGGCTGCCTCTCTGTTCAGTTCCTGCTTTAGATTGGTTTACAAACAACTCCCAGATAGAAAATACTCAGAGCCCATAGGATCAAAAATTGCGTCTTTTAAATTCCAATATGCTCATGCAAATGATAAATGACAATTAATAATTATATAAAACGCTGGCTGGCTGTAAATGGTATCCAAGTCGTCAAAGACATGTCGGGACAGATCAATGCTGCCCTTGCAAACAACGATGATTCAATGATATCGAATCCTTCAGCCCATCCTTGCTCAGTGAGCCCGTCCGATTTCGCCACCCTGGGTAGGATTTTGATGTTGAGGTTGAGTCTCCGATTGAGGCTCCGTCTCCGCCTGGGCCTGGGCCTGAGCCTGTGCCTGAGCCTGAGCCTGAGCCTGAGCCTGAGCCTGAGCCTGAGCCTGAGCCGGGGCCTCGGTCTCAGTCTGGGGTTGTTGCTGCTCATAGCCGTGCTCGGGGACACTCTGCAGCGCACCCGATGCCTCGGGATTAGGCTGCGGTGCCGGTACGGGTGCTAGAGGATGCTGATGCATCGGCATGGCCTGACTCATCTGTGGTCCCGGGCCACCAGGGACAGCCTCCCGGTTCAGCGAGGTAACCGGGGACACGGGCGGATACACCGCAGTCTGGGGCGGCGTCGAGTACAACAGAGGCGGTCCCATAGACGAACCAGGGTGCTTGCCAGGCCGCTTACTGGGCATCACGCGTTCGGGTGCGGGGCCCAGGATAGTCGGGTACTTGTATCTGAAACCCCATTTCCAGAAGAGCACAAACTTGCGCCACGCAGTCATCTTCTTCCAGCGACTCTGCAGCACGGCCGAGTCATGTGCCGTGCGTGCACGATAGCCTCTCCGGAAACAGCATAGACAGAACAGTGTAAGTGGCATGATGGTCAAGGCCCAGCAGACTGGCATTCCGCGGCGTGTCTGCCAACCGGTCATCAGGCGGCGGAATCGGATCCATGCTTCCAGGATGCCGAGCAGGAACCACAGAACGATCCAGCCAAGCACGCAGATGAGTAGGATGGCCAGCGGAGAGATTGCGAGACCGTCGTTGTAGTAATCGCCGTAGTAGTAGCCGTTGCTGGAGTATTCGTACCCGTGATTCTCGTACCGGCAGTCCTTGTCATTGTTGTTATACAGCGTTGCGGGATAGTACTCGTCGCTCAGCCGGTTCATCGATGAGGTAGGTACTTGTGTCGGAGCCACCCAGATGTACTTGTAGAAGTATGTGGATGACTGGAAGCCCTCCGCGTTGTACACGCTATACGAGGTAGAGGCAGCGGTCGTGGGTAGTAGACGGTCAAAAGTGCGGTCCTGAGGAGGCGTGACCGAAACGGCGGTAGTAGTAGTCCATTGCGTCGAGCAGGCAGTTGGCGCCGAGTAAGTCAAATTCACGACCCAAATGGTTGATGTCCAGCCATTGTCTTGATAGCCGTACTTTAAGCTGTAGGGCACCGGGGTGCCCACCGCCCCCGACGGGTACAATTTCTCAACGAGAGTTGCGGTGCCGGCATAGTAATCTGTCTGGACGACGACGTTGGTTCGAATAGCCTCCGGTAAGGAAGTTGCGGTCGGGATGATCTCCTCGTACGTTGTAGAGGTAACGATCGACCATTGATGCTTGGAGGTATCGTAATCACCGTATACCTCCTCTGGAACCTCCTGGAAATAGTCGGTCGCGATCCATGGTGCGCCAAGAACGAATGGAGTTAGATAAGTCAAAACGAGCGACAAAAAGTATAGAAACGAGTGTGGAGGCGCCATGGCGACTGGGCCTTGAAAGTTGGATCTGCGACTGCGACACCCCTGCGACGAGGGAAAGGAACCACGATGCGGCTCTGGCCACGGGGGGCGCCTTTTAAGAGAATTTCCACCAGCGCCTCTTCCCAGTCCCTGCACCCTGGCGAGGCTTCAAGTTTGGGGTATGAAAAGCGCCTCCATGTCGGAAATGCCCATTCAGGGACCAGTGGAAATTGGCTCCCAACCCAAGTCAGGCTTAAAGCCGGAGTCGCCGCGGTACGATTGGCCGGCCAGGCTCGATCTCAGGGTCCGAGAAGGCTAAGGGCAGGGTCTAGGGGTGGTTAGCGCGGTTTACCAGTGGCTAGTTTTGGGCTTAGTCCCCATTGGGGGTATGTGCTGGTTGGCGCTGGCGGTGACTGGTTCGCTTATTGATAGCTTTCTGTAAAAATAGCCAGGCACGATCGAAGATTGTCTCGAGTGAACGTGATCGCGAGAATTTTTGCAGCTGCGCCTGTATATGCATGATCAGCTGACTAGAAATGTTTTGTGTTTCGCCTCTCAGACACAAGAGACTAACAGAATCAACATGATTCAACACGGAACGAGTCCGAAAAATGCGGCGAGTCTCGTGGTCCAGTGAGACGCCCGATCTCGGTCAACTGCCGCCGGGTGGGGTCTTCTTGAGCCTCGTGGTGAACCACCATATGTGTAGTCGAGCGATACATATGAAAGGTACCTTGTGTAATATGGAGAGATCGAATTATTCAACGAATTCCATATCGATAGCTGGGCCAGATACATTTAGATCAGTTGGACTAGCCACTCCTCTGAAGATTGGGTAAACCCCATCGTAGATTGTGGTTCAACGGCTGTGATCGGTCTCCACTAAGATCTACAGTTAATAATCTTTTACCTGTTCATAGCTTAAATGTATAGTGTCTCTGACTGGAATCGTGCACTTTCTTTTCAAACCAAGTATAAGTATACCAGCCCTTCAAACACTCCAGGGATCTTCAGGTTAGGGTATTCTTCCTGATGCAAGCTTCCCCTTGATCATGTGGTCAGATTGCTCCTCTGCGATCGATATGTTTGAATACTTCAATATCTTTCAAGCCAAATACGTCGAAATCACCTAAACATCCGTGGTATTAGGAGCTGTTGTTGACAGGAGCTGAAAACATACTCTTAACCTCAGAAGTAGCTTCGTTCATTCTGATCATTTCAGCCTATCTTCGTTTGAGACCTCATTTGCTGGCCATAGCTGGCAAACTATAGGATTCACTCATATTTCCCACATTCTTATCATCACTGAGATTCTCAAGTCTCCACCCAGGCCTCTCCATCTCCCTTTCTATAATGTCCTCAATGCCCAGATGCTTATACCATGGGTGAAGTCGAATAAGTCCCCGCAGAGGAAGAAGGGGTTGGCTTTTGTGGACTGCTTGCTCACGGGTAAGAGGGTGAGCTCAGATTTAGGGAGATGGCCGAGAACGCGCAATTTCCCCCAATTCGTATTTGATTACTTGTTGTTGGTGGGTACTGGAATATCCCAGAGGTAGAAGTTTCCAGCACCTGGACTCCAGAGACTATCCCTGTTCATCTTGTTGAGTTGAGGCCAAGGAGGGCTAATACCACAATGAGATCTCATGTAAGTGGTATATAAACAAGTGTTTTCAAAGCATGGACCTGAAAAGAGTCAATGCTATTTGATAGACTGTGATGAGAAAGTCCCTGGCAATATGTTCTTCTAATGGGACTCTCCATGTTTGTAAAAGGAGCCAAGGCTTATAATAGAGTCTTAGTTTGCCTTTTGTACATGGGAACAATCTTATAGTATTTATACAATATTAAAGCCCTTTCCACCATATCGGGTAGTCGTACTACAAATCGTAAATAACCCGTCTCATCATCTTATGGCTTAAACTCAGGGGAATTTTATACCGTATAGATACGTGTTCTGAATAAGGATTAGTATCTGATAAAAGTCATATATGCAAAGAATCTTGGAACAATGAATCTACATCAAATGAAACCTCCATTCGGGAAACGCCTCGAAGATAGACAGTGAAAGCAATGATCGAACAAAAAGAAAGTAGAATCGCAGGGCCAGACACTCCCAAACGCAGAAACCGTAACATCGTGATATAGCCATAGTCCGGGCCGAATGAACCACCCACGGCCAAGGGCCAAAGCAGGACAAAATCAAGACAAAACAAGATAGAAACCGTCTGTCTTTCCACAGGGATCTCCTTCGATATAAACAAAACCCCAGTAATCCCCCCAGAGCAGACAACAGAGACAAATCACCAAGGCCATCAAGCCACATGGAATCTCTCCCTTCTCCCCTCCCCTAATTAGCAGCCCTCAACGCCCTCAACCTCGCCCCAAGACCATCCTCCACCTCCCCCGGCACTCCCTCCTGAGCCTTCTGCTTCTGCTCCTGCACCCTCCCCTCCGGAACCTTGCCCGCCTCATCCTCCAACGCCATCCTCCACTCCACCCCCGCATCATCCGCCAACTGGCCCATCAACGCATCAACCTCCCCCTCCCCCTCCGCCCCGTACTCCGCCATACTAATGCCCGCAGCAACATCCTCAATCGCCGCCCCCGCAATCTTAAAGTCCTCACTCCGAGCCAAAAAGTTATTCGCATGGGCCACCAGATGCTCCAGATTCACGCTCTTACTCGCCGCGTCCAGCCCGCGGCTGGCCAGCGCCAGCGTGCGCGAGGTATCGCGCGTGCTCTGGGCGGCTTTGAGTTCGTTGATGATGACGTCTGCGCGGGCGGCTTCGGCTTTGAGGGTGACTTGGCGCCGTTTTTCGCGGACGGCGGACGAGGCGTGGATGCGGGCGATTTGGAATTCGCGGGCTTTCATTGCGCGGTCTGCTTTGGCTTTTTCGGATTTGAAGGTTGCTTCGGCGCGGGAGGCTTCTTTCTTGAGCCGGTTTGAGTGGAGCTAGACGGGGGTAATGTTAGTATGGATTTGTGTCTTGATTACGGGGGGAATGTGGTGTATTGCGTTTGGCCGTGCGGGGAGGGAGAGGGAGAGAGAGAGGTGGGTAGATTGCCGGTCGGGGAACTCACCTTGACATTTGTGCGTGCTTCGAAGATGGGGTCTTTGCGGACCATGATGGGCAGGTGTATGCAAAGGTATGTATGCACTTTGGTGTGTGAGAGGCAGGAAAAGAGTGTTTTGTACAGGAGAGGAGGAAAGAAAGTTGGAGTGTTGTGGCTGAAGCGAGGATTCGGCGCAAAGAGGGAGGGGAGGGGTGGCAAACGTCACTGACCGCATTCAGTCTCTTAGCGCAGATATACGGGGACAGAAATAGCGAGTAGTTAACAAGTCGAATCAAGAGATCAATTAGACAACTCCTGGACGATTTATCCAACACTCGAAAATACTCAAACTGCATTTGAAGACCTGTTTTACATCGGACTTTGCATGGTGTACCGAGTTTAGGCTGCCAGATTGACATCTTCCACGAATCTAATCCCAGTAGTACTACGACAAGATCGCTCTTACTTATTTTACAAAGGAATGCACATGTCATGATTGCTTTACAGCTGAGCCAGTCAATTTCTTTTGAAGCTGGATGATGGAATAAAAAAAAGGTGATAGTATACAGCCAAAATAAGAGGATTCCTTATCCCCAAGGTTCTCCCGTGAAGAATCCCCCCTAACCAGCAAACTATGTTTCATAGTTGCTTACCCAAAAGCACCGACGACTTTGTCTCGCCCATGTCAGTTGAAGAACTCCAGGAACTCCGTGTACTCCGTTGATGTTGTTGATGAGTTTGACCCATCTTTCCGTAACTGCGTCGTCGCTCAAATGAAGAGACCCGAGATTGCATTTTGCCAATCCCGGCCCCCTTCACGGTCGACAGTGATGATAATGATAATGATGAAACTGCTCCAGTGGTTCGCCCGCGTCGTCGCGACTGGCTGGTGATACTATCGATTGCCCAGGCCATGGTCAACAAGGACATCCAATTCTGCCGACCCTCGGACGTGGCCGACACCGTCTCTCGCGGGCTGATCATCTGCTCCCTAACCGCTAGCTGCAATGCTTTGCCCGTCGCATCGCGAAGTGGACGCGCCAAGGCTGGGCTGCATGCTAGCAGTCGGGTGAGCAGTCTCATCCGAAAGGACGGGCCGGTCGCCGTCGAGGGCGACAGACTCGGGGTCGAAATCAACCAATGAATCAAAGGGAAATGCTGATAGATCTCCGCCGTCGAGAGTGCCAAAGGCGAACCCGTCTTCAGGGAATGAAGGATGCGGAGTAGTGGGGATGTCACTGTGGAAGAGGCGACGGAAGTCATCGTCAGAAAGAGGAGCTGCAACGTCGTTGCTAGAGTGAGCTGGAAGCTCGAGGTCGAAGAGGGGGAGAGCGCCTGCTCCTTCGAGGCCGCCGACGGACACTGCAGGTCTGATGGGCACAACATCGCGGCAGGATGTTGTGTCACGTCGGTGGTGGCCTCAGCCAGAGTGGAGGGCTTGAGGGTTGGGGAGTAGTCGAGGGTGATGGTGGAAGGGGTCGGGAAAGGAATACGCTCCATTTGGAGCTCTTCGCCTTCTTGTTTGAAGAGGGTAGGGGTGAGAGTAGGGGAGGTGGTGGTCGTGGCGGAGTTGGGAACCGGAGAGCCGGCCTTGACGGGAGTGCTGCTACGAGAGCCGCGCACCTCGGCAGAGAGCTGAGCGACCTGTTGGGACAGGCGGTTGTTCTCGGCTTCCATCTGCGAGAGGCGCTGCAGGAGGAACTGATTTTGTTGCTCCATGCGGATCTTCTCGGTTTCCAGCTTCTCCATCTCTAGGCGCTTACGCTCGCGGGACGTTTGAGCGGCCGCACGATTCCGAAGAACACGCTCAATACGGCGCTGCTCTTTTTCATCTTCGGTCTTGGCTCGTTTCCTGTGAGAGTGGGGGAGATAAGTCAGATGATTGTTCTCACGCGACAGCTTCGTGCGACATAATAACTCGCTCGGTGGTACATACCTTGGAGGAAGGTTGGTCTTGGGTACTGGTAGTTCCTGACCCCAGGACTTTCTCTTCTTCGCGGGCTTCTTCTCGTCATCCTTCATGTCCTCGTCCACCGGGCCCGGGGATTCCAATGACGTATCTGAAGGAGAAACAGTCAAAGGCATCTCGGGTTCCGGGGATGGTGAAATAGACTCCAAGTCACGGAGTGACGTCGTCTCTGCCATGATGTGTGTATGTGTGTTTGGGAGGATATAATAGAATATGATGTGTTAATATCAAGCAGATAGCCGGTGCCGTCAAGTGATGATGGTGTAGAGAGCGGGCGTTGAGGTGAAGAGGATGTATGCTTCTCTGTTGCCTGGTTCAAGGCCACGCTGTCATCACGGTCGGGCACCGTCAATCCGCCTCTGGAAATGGATCGAGACAAGAGGAGAGAATGACTCAGCGAAGGTAGAGGACAGATGTTCTTCTGGGGTTGGGCTGAGGAGGGTGGACTGGATGCGGGAGAGTGGCTTGTTTAAGTAGAGGCCAGCGTGGTCAGACGGAGAAGGGGGGGGGGAGGGCCAGGGATGAGAGGCAGTCAGCAGCGGGGCCACCCTCCTTCCAGTGGCAGGTACTTTAGAAAAGGTGGGAGAATGTATGAGAATGCAGGTACCTGCCAAAGGGGTTTCCCTTTGAGGGGCGGAGTCGTCAGCCCCGATGGGGGCGTCAGCTTACAAAGTCAATACATTTGTTACGACCCTCAGAGTGACCCCTCCAGTCATAATGCCTGCGTGGCTGTATTCATACGGTATTCCAGCCCCTGCGCCCCTGGATTCCACGGCTCGTTCGTTTCACCGTCGACTCGAACGGACGTAAGACATTCCAAGGTCTTCCTCTTGAGTTGGCCCAGGTTCCAGCCCGTATACGTGCTACTATGAATAGGCCTGCAGGACTTGGATCTCTCGACCCCAAGGCCCCCAACTACAGTATACGATAGTTGCAATTAGGGCCAGAAATATCACTTTCAAACCTAATGATCATCCTTTAGGTATACAATTCACAGTACTATCTATAGTCATATAATCAACAGATCAATTGACTCTGTTCCTCCTCCAGAGTCACCACCACCCCTTTCACCACGGAGTGATGCCTCCCGATAACCCCCCGCCACTTCTGTCTGGAACAGTGGTGGATCCGCTAAGTTGCACTTCGTACCGTGAGTCGTACTACATGCGCAAGTTTAACTTCCAATCCTATCTTTCCTGCTTCTCCCAAGCCTCTGTCGCAACGGTGGAGAGCAGATCGCGTTTACTGTGGATGCCCGGTGGTCCCTGCACGCAGTCTCGCCCATCTTGCATCTCCCCGAAGAAACAAAGAAGCCCAATCAGATCAAACGATTCAAGTCCAAGTGCCTCGCCACCGGCCGTTAATTCTCCGGTATCTCATCCCCCCTGAGATGCGCCCCCTTCTACAGTACTTTTGACCGCACTTGATATGCAGTTTTAGTGCCGGAATGTCATTTCCAGGGAGGCAGGGGTTAACCCCCGGACATGATTGTTATTGTACTGTATTCACATTGGCCCTTGATGCTGGCTCGAGTCCACTCTTAAAATCCTACCGAAGAAAGTCGAAGAACGCAGAACACCCCACATTTGAAGGAGAACAATCCAATTGTCCGACAACGTCGAGACTAACCTTTGGCGGTGCAGTGAACCTGCAACGACACTACATGATGATCATACAGTATGCAGTATATACATTTGTATGTGCTATACTCTATGAGTAACTCCGTAGTAGATAACTATGATAGTTGGGCCCCCTAGTCAGCCTTTACAAATCGTTAGTCTTCAGGCCCGCAACTGCAGGATGGTGGGGTTCAGGAGTTCGCAACTTTCAGTCTCGGAAAGGAGTGACTCCTCTCATTTACACCGGAAATGAGGCCATATTTTTGATAGATTGTGCATTCGGTTCCATGAGTCTAGTGGGACTCGGTACATGTACAGCATAGAATACTCTAGATCGCCAATTATTGCTATTTACTTTTGCTGGGAGATTAGCTTCATCCACAATGTCGTCTTCTATCTACTCTAGTTGTCTACTCTAGTAGGCTTTAATATGCAATCGCTACACAATACATCTACATGGCAAAACAATAGAAACTATTGACCTGGAAAAGGGGGGAATAGTGTGCTTCCCTCTTTCATCCGCCAAATAACAACGCAGTCCCTCCTGAGCCCCTCCCTTCTTATCGCAACTCCCATTTTCATGGACTCGGTGGACCACCTCTCGAACATGTGCGTTCGCCCCGCGGTCGCATTGGCGAAACTCTGTCCCGCCGGACTCCGCATCACACTCGGAATAGAAGGATGGCCCGCAATCGTATCCTCTTCTACGGAGTACTTTTAGCGACATCTTGGCTTCTAGCGTATGAGTCCCGGAGATTCCGGTGGGCTTTCATTGGTGTAAATCCGAGGCTTGTACTTTGTGTTATTATCCCGAGGCGTGGTGGACGTTGCCGATGGGTAAAGTCAATTAATCCTTTTCATGGCGGGGGTGCACGCTAAGCGAGTATCAGCGCATGAACCATCCTTTCATTTTCATCTGCGAAGTACGGAGTACTCCGTGTAGTAATGTAGAGTCGAGACGTGTCGAGGATAGGGGGTTTTCGTTTCACGTTGTTTCCTCGGGTGTTTCATGATAAGAATTCCACGTTGACGTATATTGTTATACCAGGATGCCTATATACAGCGCTCCGGTTATAGCAGGTCTCATTTACTGTACGTTATGGGTGGAGCCAAGTTGGGGATATGTGATAATATTGCTGCACTCTTTAGATAGCTGCATGCCGGTTAGCATTCAGAAACCGATGATTTCCTTAATTCACGACCACAACCCGAGTCTCATGTCATGGGTTTCTCCTTTTTCTGGACACTGTTAATATACTTCTTCTCTACTTGTCCTGGCAGAACATTAGCCTCATACTCTACAGAGAGTGATCCATGATCTCAAAATGTCAAAACCACTCATCCATCTAGCATAGAATAGATTCTATCACACTCAAGTAAATACCTTGATCAATTATGTATCCTTACCATATATCCTTGTAGATAGTCAAAGCTATTAGGTACATTTACCTTCTGAGCCCCTGGCAGATTTCACCCACTGTAAAGGAGCTTCACCGGCTATAGGAACTTGGAAATACCGATTGAAAAGCATACGATAGCTATCCTGGAACTTAGGCTATAGTGAAATTCAACCCCACACCCCGCAAATATCCCGCCGATGTCGTACCTCGCTCGGTAATTTCCACAGCCTTCTTCGCCTATGCGGAGTAATTAAGCTACGAGGCCCTTAGCCCCTCACTAATCCTATGCGGGTAACTGATCGTCTGGACATGAACACCGGGAGGGGTCATCTGGAGGCTAGGTTTTCAGCAAGAATTATTGAATGATTAGCTAAATCCAGAGCACATAGTGCAGCTTAGTTTGTATCATTCAAGTGTTCTGAATGAACTCTGAATGACTGATTGAAAGACGGAGAACTGGCATAGAACATGAACTGGAGATGATTTGTCTTTTTCATACGTAAACCTACTCCTTTGTAGTAGGAACAGAACCTAGTGGAATTTAGTTCAGTCATTCAGTGCCTAAACCACAAAGAGCACGGTAAGATGTCATTATCTACAAAGTCAAATTCCTTCGTTTCTTTACAACACATCAAGATCCAAACTAAACTAGAAACTCCCGTTGAATATATCATGTAATAACTACTCGTGGCTCTGCACCTGCTACCTCTGATATGCCTGATAGATCGGCTGGTTTGGCTGTTGATCTTGGTGGTGCTACCGCTGCCGCTGCGGATGAGGAGGAAAAAGGCCAGACATCCAAGCGTCAGAAGGTCCGACGCACCACTCGTAAGCGTAAGGCTAGCGAGATAGATAAGGAGGCATAGTTTGCCTACCAAGTTGAACCCTGTTACTGTACGATGTGATTAGAATATCCTAAGAATAGGAAAGAATCGTCTTGGTAAGAAACTTTCGATTTGAGAGTTCTGAAAAGAGATATGAAATATGTGAACCGTCAAAAATCGTGAATTCATGAAAATCGTGAAAGCCGTAAAACTCGTCGAAATCATAAGGATCGCGAAAAAAAATCACAGAATAGCGACGTTCCTATTCCCGTCCATCGTCCATCTCGCTAGCGTTGCGCTTGCGAGTGGTGCGTCGGACCTTCTGGCGCTTGGATGTCTGGCCTTTTTCCTCCTCATCCGCAGCGGCAGAGGCAGTACCACCAAGATCAACAGCACAGCCACCCGAACTATCAGGCGCAGAGCCACGAGTAGCAGGGGTAATGCCAGTCTCCCGGACCAGCTTGCGACGGGCATTGCCATACACAACCTTGATTGAGAAGTAGGTATACCCAAGCTCTCGGGCCAACTTCTCATAGTGGACTGGACTCTGGTGAACATTCAGCGATATTAGTCATAGATAGAAGGAGATAATTGTATGGTTGAAAAGACTTACCCGGCTACCGTTTGGGGATGGGCATAGGATGCCGTACAGAAGGACAGTCATCTCCTTCTCGGTGAGGCCCAGGGCCTTGGCGGAGGCACGGTTGGAGGCCATGTCTATGGCGGGGGATAGGGAAGAGGTGTATATGTGAAATGTGAAAGTAGAAGAGAATGAGGAGAGAAAACAGTGTGGATATTGAAGGGTGGTGAAGGGTATCGAAGTATGTAGAGCGAGGTTCTTGCTGGAAGGAAGTGGATGGATGTGAGGTGGAAGATGTGGAGAGAAGTTGATGAAGGTAGAAAGAAGTAGTTGAATGTAAGTGAGTTGATGTTGGGTAAAAGTATGGTGAAGAGTGACGAGAAGTCGATAAGTTGGGGTTCCAAGAGAGAGGAAAGGTTGTGGGAGTTGAAGAGAAAGGAAAGTTCTTGGACTGGCGAGGAAAGCGGTTTTATGTTCGCTTTGCAGCATAGAAGCGCTCGAAATAGTGAGAAATACTGGTTCTCAGAATGCGCTTACTTACCTCGTCGCTGCCTGATAAAGAAGAGTTGGGAGACAGGATGTTTACCTGATTATCTGGAGATTTCCATTCCAGACAGTTCTGTCTACAATCAATTGAGAAGACGACGATTCTGATTGCATGCTGAGACTTCTAGCCTCCTAGAAAACCTATATCTACGGGCTTGCTGATGAGAGAAAAAGGTGCAATAATCGCCCTTAGGTTGTCGTCTCCTGATAATACTACTGTTCCTCTCTACCTTACGACCGATGTTCACCAAGAAAGACATATATTAACCATGCTTTTGTTGATCCATAGACGCTATTCTGCTCTATCGACTTCACTAGTTCCGACACCAAGGGGAATATATGCAGTCCCACATAAAAAAAAGGAAATTTAAACAGTAAACGCCATTCCATCAAATACGTGCTCATGACCAGGTCGTAGGTGGTATATGCAGAGAGGGGGGGCAAAGGTTTTGGTGACAAGGGGGAAAAGAAATCAAGCGCGCAATGGAGCATCTACATAGTCACATCCATCGTGTCATCACCGGCATCCAGGGCATTCTGCTGCTCGGGATCCAGAACGACAACACCGCGGCCACGACCGGCGAGCAATTCACGTCGAACTTCGGGTCCGATATCCTTGTGGCCGCGAACAAGGAGCAGGTCCAGAAGAGCTTCACGCTGATCCTCAGTGATATCGTTACGGTAACGCTGAGCAAACACCAAGAGAGACTGGTGCCACAGGACGGGCAACTTGTAGGCCATGGAGCTACCGGGGCCATCTGTCATATCGGCAAGGTTCTCGTTGCGGAAGCGTAGGAAGTGGAAGACCAGGGCGTCAATGACCTTGTATGGCATGGCGTACTTCTTCTCCAGGAACACCCGGATGAAGGTGTTGACGGCACCGGTGCTCTCGATCGAGCGGATAGACTGCTCAGCGGCCAAGTCACACATGCGCAGGAGGGCAGCGGCAGAGTGAAGAACGGGAATGGACACGCGGGCGATCACCGAGGAGACAATGTGGGCCTCACGGAGGGAGCAAGTGCCGCTAGACACAAGCGGGAACAGCAGTCCCTTGAAGAAGCACGCGGGCTTGTACAAAGCCTTGCGCAGAGCATTGTAGGTGTGAACATTCAACTTCTTGGTCTCGTGGATCTCTTCGCGGACACGGTCCAGTAGCACAGTTGAGATGAACTCTTGAGCCACCCAGGGCTTGGCGGAAATGAAAATGCGAGTCGCGGCATACACGGCGTTGGCGGTCCATCTCTCAGGCTGAGTGATGTCGAGAAGAGTCGGCCAGTTGGGCACGGATGGGAGAATCTTGAATGGCTTGGGGAGGGGACCAGACTTGTAGCGGGAGAGAATCATGCCGACCCTAGGTGTCCGTTAGTTAAACTCGGAGCAGAGATTCGGCAATCTTAACATACTTCTCATATACCTCCACAGCCTTGGCTGGAATCTGCACAGCATCCTCGGGGATACCACCACCCTGGATGTAGGGTCCACCATCATGCTCGCCGTTTAGCTTGGCTTCATGCTCGGCGATCTTCTCCAGAATCAAGTCGGCAAGGTTTGTTGTCTGTTGCTGTACTTGCTCACCAGGCTGTCGCGAACCGAAAATAGGATCCTCATCGTGGCCACCGGGCATGAACTTGTTGAACATATCCAGGTCATTGGGGTCAACCTCCTGCAAACGTCGTTAGAGGAAAGCTCCGGTAGGACGATTTGCTTGCTTCAAAGGGAAATCCTTACAATGTCCTCAACCTCTTCTTCCTCATCCACCCAGGCGTCATTCTCAAACTTGTCATCATCCGACAGAGCCTCATCTTCAAATCGAGTGTCAAAGTCAAAGGCGGCATTCGATTTTTGCTGAGCCCCGCCAAACCGTAGCTTTTGTTCGGCGGCATCTTCGTCTGCCAATTCTTGACCAATCTGAAGAATCTTGCGCGACATCTTTGCATCGACAAATCGCTCGCCATTCTCGCCGTTCTCGTCGTCATCCTGCGACTGGCGCTTGCCCTTCTTGCTGCTGCTGGTTGTTCGGAGATGCCCCACGGCAGAGATATCGTCCGCGAGGGGATTGTGTCTGCGCGCGGCGGCGGCTCGGGAGCTGGTTGCTTTCGGCATGGTGAACGAGTTCCTCCCGATACCTTATTCGAAGTCAAGGAAATGCGTGAATCCGTCGGGCTGCTCGGAGTTTGTCGCACGTCAAGCCGTTGATCAGTTGTGTGTAAATTTATGGATCATGTGATCTAATCAGTATTTTTTTTTGCCAGGCGGAGACCCACTCACTTTTTTCCATCTCTACCGCCTTCCCAGATAGCTTGACCGCCTTGTATATCGCCGATGCTTTTCGGGCGCGCGAGCTTCTTCAGGATGGCGCGCCTGTCGGGTACGCCAAAGTTCAGTCATTTTGTGCATCTTCTAGTTCCTTGAGGTATTCTGGGCGGACCCTGAAGAAATTTGAACCGGTTTCCCTTTTGTACTCAGCGACAAGTTCCTTCATATCTCTATACTGCCTTTGCGACCCCGTCCTGGGGCTGCAACTAGTTGACTGGGCCCGCGTCATTCAGGTAAGTAATTGTCGATATCGCAGTTTCGCGCTACCAAAGCGTGACCCTGGGAGCTCTAGGGCCAGATCTGATTCTCCAGATATATATGCTAACTGGGCCAGCTTAAGTGGCTCATTCACTCAGCTCCAACTAGCTGTCTTCAAAAAAGCCCAATCTGAGATTCATATCTTCAGACTTGACTCTGCAATTCGCCCTTCGTCGAACCCACCCTCCGCCATAATGGCGTCCCAAGCTCCCGGATCCTCGGCGCCATCTTCAAATATCAACTCTCCTCTTCTCCCACCAGGCAATGGCCCCCTCCTGAACGGCGCATTGTCCGACTTGAATAGCCGATCCTCTCCAGCCCCCGCCAGCAATGCATCGGTACAGGGTGATGCAGCTCGCGCGAAGCGCAACAAGCGAGATAGTCGCAAAAAACGCGAAGCAAAAGGCCTAGATCCGGAAAGCGCACCGCCACCCAAGAAACGCGCAACGGCTGCAAGCATTGCCCGTCCCAGCTCGGAACTTTCGATTCTCCGTCCATTGCTACTCGCCGAGCCACGGGCTTCAGATCGGTTCCCTCCACAACCGCGCCAATTCAATCTTGTTACAAGCAAGAGCTCACAGGTGCTAGGTCAAACCTGGGATTTTTATGAGGTTGTCGATAAACTCACCAACAAGAACGGCTTCCGCTACAGTTACGCAATTGGTGATCCGGGCTTTCCTCATATCAAGTACCGACAGACCGACGTCCAACCCTATCACACACGCTTTAGCTTCGAGGACTCTCCCGCTGCGATTTCCTTCTCGCAAGATGCTAGGGCGGTAACCACAAGTGATGCGTGGCATACCGCGCGCGCCAACGTGTGCGCTCGGGAGGGATCATATTATTACGAGGCGCGGGTCATTAGTGGCCGAGTCAATAACGCACAAGCAGCTCCCCAAAAAGGCGGCCCTGGAGCATCTCCTCGTGGGCATGTCCGACTCGGTTTCGCTCGACGTGAGGCGGATCTGGATGTCAACGTGGGTGTCGACTGCTACGGATATGGCATCCGGGACGTCAACGGCGAAGTCGTCAATCGCATGCGTTGCGAATTCTTCTTCCCCAAGGGTGAAGGCATCAACGAAGGCGATGTCATCGGCATGCTAATCACTCTCCCTTCCCTATCCCTGCACAAGAAAATCGTCGAAGGCACGTACGATCCCGCTGTTGATGGCGACGGATCCGACCCATCAACAAGTGCTCCTTCAGCCGCCAATATCATCCGAGACCGTATCCCTTTCCACTACAAATCCGACTTTTGCTGGCAACAGTCCAACGTCTTTTCTACAAAACACCTTCGCGATTACGCCTTCAATTTGAAAGAAACTCCTACATTCGGGCCTCCCTCCCCGCTCAACAGCGAAGATCCCACTCTCCGCACATTGCCCGGTTCCGGCATAACCATCTTTAAGAATGGTGTGAAGATGGGCACACCCTTCAAAGAGCTGTATGCTTTCTTGCCTCCAGCGAGCCGTCTCGCCAATGGCACAAATAACCTTGGCATTGGCGAACGTGAGAATGCCGACGACGGCATGATCGGCTACTACCCAGCCGTCAGCTGCTACGGCGGCGGTGCGGTCGAGTGCCGCTTCGAGGGCCCATGGTGGGTTGGACCGCCCGAGCAAAACGAGCTCGGCGGGCCCGTTCGACCTATGGGCGAGCGCTTCAACGATCAAATCGTCGAGGACGTGGTCGCCGATATCGTCGACGAGGTTGAAGCCATGTTCACCTGGGGCGGTGTCGACGGCGACGTGATTGGCAATAACAACACGGAGCTAGACGGTACCGCATCTAGTGCCATCGGGGGCACAGAGGTCTTGCAGAATGGCGTCGGGGCTGCGCTTGCTACGGCCGGCGCGGCTGGGGGTTCTGATTCTGCGGTGAATAGTAATCAAGCCACGCCTGCGGCTAACACGATGCTGGAGGATACGATGAGTGTTGGCACGGCTGGGACACCGAATCATGCTGCTGAAGCTCCAGCGGGTGCGGATGAAGATGTTGAGATGACCTGATGTTGCTGTGCCACGCCTAAAAGCCTAGACTGAGGAGTGTCATAAGCTGGGCGAATTCGAGTTGATACCATGTCAATGAATTTCAAAGAGCCCAACCCTTCTAACATTATGATCAACATTTGTACGATAAAAAGCTGGATGACCCAATACAATGCAATGTACAGAAACAGATGGTATCATTGTAGTCATACAGATATATAATAAAAACACGGTCCGAAAGTTAGACCCCTTGGCTGGAACTAACCATCCAACCTCCTCCCCTCCAGCAACTCACCGACCTTCATCACCAACTCATCATCGCCATACTGACCAATTACCTGAATACCAGCCACCTCATCCGCCTCTGTATTCTGCTCAGACTCGGCCACCGTCACGGGCACCGAAATAGCAGGCAATCCAGCCAGACTAGCCGGGACCGTGAAAACATCATTCACGTATGCATCCAAAGGCGACGAGCCAGCCGAAACATCCGACAATCGCGGTGGTGCGGACGGCGCGGTGGGACACACAATGATATCTACATCCGCCGCCGATGAATGCTCTGTTTCCGATGCCTCTGCCGCAGCGAATGGATGCGCAGCCGCAAAGACGGTATCGAAGTCCTGCTGAACCAGTCGACGCACTCGCTGCGCTTGGATGAAATAATTGTCCATTGCATCCGCACTCAAACTGAACGTGCCGAGGAGGATACGGCGCTGCACCTCGGCACCAAAACCAGCGCCACGAGTGTTAGCGTAGAGATAGCCATCTTGCTGTCTAGTGCTATCCGGTCCCTCGGCACGCGTGCCGTATCGGACACCGTCATATTTGGCAAGGTTCGAGGATGCCTCTGCAGGTGCGAGGACGTAGTATGCGGAGAGGGCGTGTTTGGTTGCTGGTAGAGATACGGGGTGGATGGTATGTCCTTGGTCTTGGAGGTGAGCTAGAGATAGAAGCCATGCTCGGCGGATAGGTGGTGTGAGCTCGGAGATGTTGTATTCTAGTGGGACGCCGATGCGGAGTGGGGATGATGTTAATCGGGATGCGAGCCGTGGTGTTTGAAGGTGGGAGAGAATTCGGGAGCGTGAGGAAGAGGTGATGCTGGTTGGGTCGCGGGCATCGTGCTTGTTGAGGATGGCTACGAGGCTTGTTAGCTTGTTTTGAGACGTTCATGGATGGAGACATACAGAAGACGTCTCTCACGCTGGACGTGTTCCTCCCTAGAATGCCCACCGTATCCAAGGAATTGGCATATGCTACCACACCCCATCGCGAGAGTAACCCGTACGAGGGTTTAAATCCAACGGTTCCTGTGTACGCCGCCGGAAGTCTGACGGAGCCTCCAGTGTCCGTTCCAAGGGCACTATACCATAATCGCAAATATTAGCATACATCTACCTTTATCTGGCATCTCGACACTCACGCATAGCATTGGTCTGCAGCAACAGCCGCCGCACTCCCGCCCGAACTTCCGCCAGCGGAAAGATCCTCTCCGTCTCGATCCCGTCGCGAGTTCTTTACAGCGCCGAACCGCGAATGCACCGAGTGCGATCCCATTCCAAATTCATCAAGGTTGGTCTTCCCCGCGACAACCGCCCCGGCAGCCTCTAATTGGTCGACAACGGTGGCATTGTATGGGCTGGTGAATTTGTCCAGAATGCCCGAGGCGCAGGTTGTTGGTAGGTCACGCGTGCAGATATTATCCTTGATCGAGATCAATCGTCCGTCAACGGCGGACTTGGGGTTTCCTAGCACAACAAGATTTCCAGTTAGTCAATGCTGTGTATGAGTGGAGTTTCCGAGAGCTGTCGGCGTACCTTGTTCGCGGCGTTGGTCTGCTTCCCTCACGCGATCTATCCATTGCCCCGCACGGGGCAATGGAGTTATAAAGGCGTTGAGGGCATTTGCATGTTGGTTTGCGAGGCACCTCTCCGCTTCGCGTAGAAGGGACATCGATGGTGTATTGGAATCTGGTGCATGCGAAGTGACTGCGCGGCGGACTAGAAATTGGGATGTCCGAAGCCGATGGCCTGATGGCCCGTGCTTTCGAGGTTCCACCTGATCCGCAGAGATGCAGAAGTATACAAGAGAACTAGGGAAATCGTTGTTTTTACAAGATAACTTGATGGATTGTTTTTATTTGATTGGAACAACTTATATATATTTTCCCGAAGCAGTTGCTCCAGGTCATCTACGATACCAAGGTTCCAATATATATAGTCGACCCTTCTAGGCGCGGAAGCTGGAGCATGGTTATACAACAGGCAATATTTCGAGAAAATCCGCTTGACAACATTGACAAGTCTGCATTTCAAGATATCAAGATTAAAGTCATTTCACTCAAGAATTAGAGCAGCAATTTATCTCCAAACAGCACATTGGCAGATCATTGGAGTCAAAGAGACGATCTTCCTGTGCGATTTCTAGAAGTAGAACTGCTGAGGAAATGAATTTTCTCTCTATCTGCTTATAGTAACATAGTCAATGTCGGATAATAGTCACAATTATGCCTTAGAGGGTGTGCAAGGTGCTTGAGTATACGTTAAATGTGCCCGTTGACACTTCAAGTCGGCTAAAATCAAGTCCGCGGAGTTCACCATATACCCAATTCTACCCAGCGACCGGACTGAAAGAAAAACCTATACACTATCAGGAATGTGGAGTGTGAATTAATGTACCTAAATACCAAAATAATCGTCCATCCTCAAGATACGGTCTCAATTATACTCATGGTCATATAGTTCTGCTCTTCTTCCTTCGGCCCGAGCTCGAATGACCGAAGAGACGTCATCCGAGACTCTTCTTTTCCGCCTTGACCCTCGGCCAAATCTCTCCAACAATTTCTTTCTCTTCTCTCTTCCCCTACAACCCTTTATATACCCCACAATGCTATCACGTAGCGCAATTCGAGCTGCTACTCAAAGCTCTCACCTTCCGGGCGCAGCTCGCGCCGCGAGCCTCGCTGCGACCGGCAAAGCTCAGGCTGTAGCTCCATGCACCAGCAGTAGCTCCACACTCCCCATCCACGGCCGCCGGTACATCTCCATGTACGGCTACACACAAGCCAAGGCCCTAGTATACTCCAAATATGGTGAGCCGAAGGATGTTCTCAGGTCAGTCGCGACTCAACTTCCTTTCCATGCGCTCTGCAATATCTACCAAGCGCAATGTCAATCAACGAATCCTAACACTGAACCAGTCTGCACAAACACTCCATCTCCGCACCCCACGGCACCCAGGTGAACCTACGCCTCCTCGCCGCACCCATGAACCCAGCCGACGTCAACCAAATCCAAGGCGTATACCCCAGCAAGCCACCCTTCGAGACCTCCCTGGGCACCGCCGAGCCTGCCGCCGTCGGCGGAAACGAAGGTGCCTTCGAGGTAATCTCCACGGGCGCGGGAGTCAAGAATCTTTCCAAGGGAGACTGGGTGATTATGAAGCGCACGGGTCAGGGTACCTGGCGGACGCACGCTCAACTCGACGAATCCCAGCTCATCCGCATCGAGAACAAGGACGGACTCACCCCGTTGCAGGTTGGTACCGTTAGCGTGAACCCGGTGACTGCGTACCGGATGATCCGGGATTTCTGCGAGTGGGATTGGATGCGTGCTGGGGAGGAGTGGCTTATTCAGAATGGTGCGAATAGCGGTGTTGGACGTGCGGCTATCCAGCTTTGTCGGGAGTGGGGGATTAAATCTTTGAATGTGGTTCGGGGCCGGAAGACGCCCGAGGAGACCGAGGCGTTGAAGCAGGAGCTTAAGGATTTGGGTGCTACCGCCGTTGTGACGGAGGAAGAGATGTTGACGGGTGGATTTAGGGATATGGTTCATGAGTTTACGCGTCAGGGCCGTGAGCCTATTCGGCTGGCGCTGAACTGTGTTGGTGGTAAGAATGCCACGGCGTTGGCGAAGACTCTGGCGCCGGACTCGCATATGGTTACTTACGGTGCCATGTCGAAACAGCCCGTGGCTCTGCCTTCGGGCTTGTTGATCTTCAAGAACTTGACCTTTGATGGGTTCTGGGTGAGCAAGTGGGGTGATAAGAACCCGGCGCTGAAGGAGAACACGATCAAGGACGTCTTGCAGTTGACTCGCTCTGGTCGGTTCAAGGACATCCCCGTTGATAACGTGGAGTGGAAATGGGAGGCTGAGGGGGCGCAGCTTGCAGAGAGCGTCCAGGGTACTTTGGGAGGATATCGCAGTGGTAAGGGAGTGTTTACCTTTACTGGTGGCGATGAGTAAATATTCCCCAGAGTAAAGGGATTTAGTGTACCATAATTTTCTGATTAAAGTGATATATACATGGGCAATGTCTATGATTTACCTCAGTATCACTAAGGCGACGGCAGCCGCTGAGTAAAGTCTGTGTAGGAATATGCATAAAGCATGCATGATAACATTAGTTGTAAGAACAAGGAAACAAAGCTAGAGACAAATCTAATTCAGCATCACTCGCACTTCCAGTGCTTCCTCACCCATTCCAGGATGAGATCCGTCAAAGTGACATTCGGCATATACACGTCGCTCTCCTTGACGAAATCGATTTCAAGACCAGCAAACTTGGCAGCCAGTGCCAGGTACGGTTGCACAAACTCAATATAAACCAGATCTACCTTCTTCGGGACATCGGAAGAATTGGCGGAGATCAAGGCTTGAATACAGTTGGGTACCTTGTAGAAGGAGATCGGCGCGTGGATGGTATCGTCTCCATCTTCGCCGGCGTCATCCTTGGTGGTGTATCCTGGCAGAATTTTGCCAACAGTGTTAGAGGCAGACAGCGGCAGCTGGCTTGAGCCGCTCATGTCAACGGTATGCCGCTGGCCTGAAGTTTCGTCGTCATCCACGTTAGTCTCGGGACGCGCAAGCTGCTCGGGGGATGCTAGAGGGAGTAACGAGGGCTCTGTCTCGTCTTGCAAAGCGGTCAGGATCTTGGTCTGTTTGTTAAGAACCTCCATAATCAGCTGGACCTTCTCGTACGGAACGTCCTTTACATAGCGGAATCCATTGGTGAATGGGGAGATGGTCCAGGTAGTATCCTGGGTAAAGACACCCTTGAAGATATCGAAGCGGATAGCACCCGAGTTCAGGATGGCCACGGATGGCCTCTCGCCCCGAGCTTCGTCTTTCAACGTCTGGGTCAGCACCTCGGTCTCCAGCCAGGTATAGATGCTGTCGGGGTTTGGGTATGGGACTCTTGACATCCACAAATCCTTGGGCGCGCAGCCATGGACCTGATCAAGCTGCAGTGCAGTCCGCGACTCGGAGATCAGCCGAGAGACCTTGCGGCCCTTCTTAGTTGGGAAAGAGTCCGCATCAAGTCCCGTGTGATGGTAGAAAGAAAAGAGATTGTTGTCAATATAGCGCCGGTTAAAGATGGGCTGCGATGTCTTGCTTGGTCCATTACTGGTAGAAAGTCCATCGATCGACATGAATCCAATGGTCTCCATGAACCGCCCACTGGCCAGCGCAACGGCTTTGGAATCGTACTTTGCATAGTCACGGATATGCTGATGTCCACCGAAGAACTGGATCGGCGTGTCCCACCGGATCCCGCGAATCTCCTGGTAGATCGCCCGATACTCTGACGAGTGGGCGGGGACATGACCGGCCACTAGGAAGAGATCGACTTCGTGGTCCCGGATGGCTTCTTGAAACCAGTCCTCTTTGATCGTATCCTCCACGCGTTGCACCACCGTATTATTGTAGTTGCCGGTAAAATCAAACAAGAAGCCGAATGCTACGATGCGAATGCCCTGCTGTTTAGTAGTAAATTTCTTGTACCGGGGAGCCAACGGGACCAGCTCGCCCGTCTCGGGATGGTAGATGTCAATATTCGAGGCGAGATATTTGCCCCGGAAGTTAGGTACGGTGTATAGAAGCTCGGACTCCGAAGTGTTCTGCTTGTATAGTTCATGGTTTCCCGAGGTGATCACATCGATATGTTGATGGCGGAGAATCTCCGAGAGATAAACACCTTTGGGCTCGGACGAATCATAAAGACCATTGCCCTCGACGCGGTCGCCCGTATCTATGACCAGCAAGTCTTGTCCCCGGGCTTCTACCTTTTCCCGCATACGCTCCGAGAAGGAGATATAGTCACCCCAGTCCGCCGAAAAGGATGGCCTACAACCACATCAGTTGGGGGAATTTTTACGGGCGGAGAACCTCCGGTGGAGCCTACTCCTGCAAATGACCAGCCAGCCAGCCATGAGTATCGGTGGTATGGAGGAAATTCAGTTGTCCGAACTCGAGGTCTCGCAGGGGACCGGAGATGGGGGACGGCGCGGAGGGCTGAGCGGCGAGCGCCGACGGGACGAGGAAGGGCAACGCCGAAAACAACATGCTGCAACGGGAGGGCCGCCAGGGATGAAAACACCCCCAGTGAAGCAGCGATCGAGATAGTGTCGTGGGTTGTTCGGTGATCGTAGAGTACCGCAGGGGAAGCACGATACGATGGTGATCCAGTAGAATGATAAGAAGCTTTCCGATGGGAAGCTCGAAGCTCTCGTTCGATTACGGAAGGAGCTGCCGGTGAGATTGGTGAGGGTAGCTGCTGAGTCAGCGCCCAACATCTTCGGATTTGCATCTCAAAGATTCAAGCGCGGCTTTCCCTTCCCCTTCCCAACGTCGTCTTTCTGGTCTTTTGGTCTTTTGGTCTCCAATCGCCTCCGTGCGGCTTTCTTCGACCTTGCGGACCTTGTCAATTGCTTCATCTTCCTCCTCAATTTTCCCCCGACTTTCTTGCCAATTCCCCGCCATGGCCGCTCCCCGACTTTTCCGCCCAGCATCCCGGCTGCTCTCTTCGCGCCTCACTCCCACTACTCTGCGCCCGGCTTTCGCTCAGTCTGCCCTGCGCACTCGCAGCTATGCCACTGAGGGTGGTGTCAAGGAGGTCACTGTCCGTGATGCCTTGAACGAGGCGCTCGCCGAGGAGCTCGAGCTCAACCAGAAGACTTTCATTCTGGGTGAGGAGGTTGCACAGTATAACGGAGCGTAAGGAGTCCTCTTGATCTCCCTATGGATTTTCCAAAGCACTTTCGGCTACTGCGTTGTCCCAATTGACATCAGGTACTGACGTGGTTTTCTCGTTTCCCGCAGTTACAAGGTGACGCGAGGTCTTCTGGACCGTTTCGGCCCCAAGCGGGTTATTGATACCCCCATTACTGAGGCCGGTTTCACTGGTCTCGCTGTTGGTGCTGCCCTGGCTGGCCTGCACCCTATTGTAAGTAATTTTTCCGGGGACTCGTTGTCTCCAGAAACGCAAATCGACTGGATTTCGGAGGAAACTAATCCGTACAATCGCAAATTATCTAGTGCGAGTTCATGACCTTCAACTTCGCCATGCAGTCTATCGATCAGATTATCAACTCTGCCGCTAAGACTCACTACATGTCCGGTGGTATCCAGCCCTGCAACATCACTTTCCGTGGCCCCAACGGTTTCGCCGCCGGTGTCGCCGCTCAGCACTCCCAGGACTACTCGGCCTGGTACGCCAGCATCCCCGGTCTGAAGGTCGTCTCCCCCTGGAGCTCTGAGGATGCCAAGGGTCTCCTGAAGGCTGCTATCCGCGACCCCAACCCCGTCGTTGTTTTGGAGAACGAGTAAGTCGGCCATACACACTTTTCTGTATCTCTTCGGAGATCGGAGAAATCAGGGAATCGATATCGGCAAACGATAGATAACTAACACACTTCCGTCTCCGCTTTATAGGCTTATGTACGGCCAGGCCTTCCCCATGAGCGAGGCCGCCCAGAAGAACGACTTCGTCCTGCCCATCGGCAAGGCCAAGATTGAGCGTCCCGGCAAGGACCTGACCATCGTCTCCCTCTCCCGCTGTGTCGGCCAGTCCCTGACTGCCGCCGCCGAGCTCAAGCAGAAATACGGCGTCGAGGCTGAGGTGATCAACTTGCGCTCCGTCAAGCCCCTCGATGTTGAGACCATCATCGCCTCTCTCAAGAAGACCGGCCGCCTGATGGCTGTCGAGTCTGGCTACCCCATGTTCGGTGTTGCCTCCGAGATCCTGGCCCTGTCCATGGAGTACGGTTTCGACTACCTGACTGCCCCCGCTCTCCGTGTCACCGGTGCTGAGGTCCCCACTCCCTACGCCCTTGGCCTCGAGAACATGTCCTTCCCCCAGGAGGACACCATCGTCAGCCAGGCCGTTAAGCTGCTGCGCCTGTAACGTTTTGGATCGCAGTGAGCGTGCCGTCATAAAACCTTGTTTCTAGTATCCCCTTCTTCAACCTTTTTCTTTTATCCACCCTGTCTCCATCATTTCTTTAACTATATCGTTGTGTCCTCCTCCCCCATCATCATGTCATTATCTATTGCCACCTAGACAGATTCTTGGAAAGCTTGTGTACGATTACCTTCCTTGGGTCTGTGCTATTTTTGTCTCTTTTTGTGTGTTTCCCCCAGCGTAAGTTCTTTTGCTTAGAATGATATAGACATTGGAAGGTGCATACGCTCGTATCTTTGTCGTAAGGATGGTGAAGTATGTAGTTGATCAACCCGGTAATATAAACGCCGTGTGCCTCGCTTGAACGCCAGACCAATAATCATACAAACTGGCGAGGATGTCTAGGACCAGTCTCTTAGGGTATCACGAAGCTGCCTTGACCTCCGTCCGTCCCGCACATCCAGCATCACAACCCGTCGGGCTTCGAGGATCATAATACCCTCCCCCTTCTCGATCTCGAGAATACTCTTCATCAGTGTCACTCTCCGCATCCTGACGAACCTCCTCCCCACGCTCTCCCAGACTCCCTCCTCCACCAGCCTTCTCCTTCCCCCCTCCTAACCCAACCTCTCCTCCACCTCTATCGTCATCTTCCTCCTCGTCATCACCAAGGACGTTCTTTCTCACCGGTGCCACAGGCCCTTTCACCGTAGAAAACGAACTCTTAAACCCTCCTTTCTTAAAACCACCACCACCACCACCCCCGCCTCCTCCTCCCCCGCTCTTTACACCCTTCACCGAAGCATTTCCGCCAGGCGCATCGAGAACCTTCAGTCCAGCTTCGGCATCTGCTCTGCGCTCGGCGCGTCGCGCTTTTTCGGCGGCGTTGGGGTCCCGCGAGAGCTGTTTTAGGTCTTGGAGGCGTTTGCGGTGTTGGTGGTCGTAGGAGGAGATGTGGGCTTCGTATTCTGGGTGGCGCGAGTAGGATTTGTTGCAGAGGGTGCAGGTGAAGGAGCTCAAGGCGGACCGGGCGGATTCCGTCTGTAGGTTGTAGATATGAAATGGTTAGCGTCGAGGGTTGTGGAGGTGATGTATAGACTGTAGATAGGTATAGGCGGAGGTTGGATGTATTACCTTTGGCGCAGGATTTGTAGAGGCTCGCTGAGAACGTTGTTAGTAGCTTTCGAGTCGTAAAGTCTTGCTTAGAAAGGGAGGAACATAATACCGGTGGCATGATGTGTGATGTGGAGAGGCAAGTCAATGCAGAGTAATAATCTACGTTAAAGATCGACTGGACGTCCGGGCGGTTCTGCGCCTATCAGAAGCGGCGTGTTTGGCGGATTCTCGGTTCCCCCAACGGTTCCTTGTTTTCTTTTCGACAGCTTCGACTTACTTCTTTCCCACGCCATTCCACGAGTCATGATTTTTCCTTAGTCTACGATTTCCTTATCCTTTGTCTTCTATTGTGTCAGTGAAAACCCCATAAAATCCTCCAAAATGCCGCCCGCCCTGGACACCAAATCCCAGGACTTTGACGCCAAGTCCATCCTCTCCATGCAGGAGCTGGACCCGTCGCCAGTCGACGATTCACCCTCAACACCAGACTTCGACTCCCTCGAGAATGGCGAATACTTTCCCCAACCCATCGAAGACAAGCCCTCGCGCACTTGCGGCTTTCCGGCACCGAAATTGGGACTGCGCGCGCACCGTTGGGATGCATTGTGTATGTACAATTGCAATCCCTCCAAGCTCAATTGGATCACCAAACAGCTTTATATTCATAAAGCTAACCCTGTTCCCCCTAGTATCCGGCATCCAGAAATACTCTACATACCCACCAACAGCCTTCTTTATCCTGCATTTCGCCAATACCTCACTTATCCCGCTGATCACCCGCTCCGTCCCCGCCAGTGAACCCTACCTCTTGCTCACGCGACCAGTCTACCAAGCCCCCGGCCTGGAACACCTCGTCCTGACCGTCCCCATCCTCGCACATATCGCTTCCGGCATCGCGCTGCGCAATATCCGAAGCTCGCGCCGTGCCCGCCTCTACGGCGCAGAGACACGTGCCCAGCGCCATATGCTCTCCTTCTGGCCCAAAGTCTCAGTTCAAGCCAAAACCGGGTATCTGGTAGCACCGCTGATTGGTCTGCATGCCGTCGTGAATCGCGTGACGCCGTATATGGTCGAGGGCGGTAGTTCTGGCGTGGGATTGGGGTATGTCGCGCATGGTATTGCGCGGAGCCCCGTGTTCTGGAATATCTTCTACCTGGTCTTTGTCACGGCTAGCGTGTGGCATATAATTGGTGGGTGGGCTACTTGGATGGGATGGAGAGTGACTACTGCGCGGAAAGAGCGGAGTTCGAAGGGTTCGTTGGAAGGGTATCTGGGCTATCCCGAGAACCAAGACCGTGTCAAGCGTCAGCGCAAGATGTGGTGGGTTGTCAATGGGGTTGCGGCTGTCGGTGCTGCTCTCTGGTTGGCGGGTGCTTTGGGGATTGTTGGACGCGGTGGGGAAGGGTCTGGATGGGAGGCTCAGGGGTGGAATGAGATGTATAGCCATGTACCGGTCCTTGGAGACTGGTTGTAATGGGCCTGATGGGGGGTTGGTGGTGATGACAGATGACGGATGATGCATATATTGTAATGCTAGCTGTAAACTAGACTTAATCCTTAATTCATATTATGAAGTCACGGAGACGCAACCAGCAATTTTGTAACCTGTGTTTATTAAGGATGTCCATCTTTTTATCGCATTGTTGGTGGAGAATTGGGATTCTCATCCGTTTAGCAGTACTCAAGTTGATTTATAGTATGCGAATAATTCTTGATGCGCTTTTAGCCCTGGAACAGCGGATGCTAGGGCGAGGGTGGGTGATATAAGTAAGAACAGGGAAGGCGATATTCGCAGGATGAATTTATATCCATTTCTGTCAACTGGGTAAAAGCAGTCTCTTTTGATAGACCCTGAGGCGGGATCCACTTTTTATATAGTGTAGAAGACCCTCGGTAGCTTCTATCGCCTGTGCTACTACATTTGACGTAGAAAAAACGCTAGGTCCCCGATTTTGTAGCTTTTACATGTCTCTTCAACTAGCTCCTATTTCCTTTCTTTCACCATGCCCCTAAACATGAAATCTCTCTCTCGACCTAACAGATAAATGAAGGTGGAATATCTGCTCTTAGATGGGCTTCAGGCTGTGACTAGCAATGACGCTGGTGGTGGATATTAGAAAAGGCTTAGGAAAGATTGGTCTGATTCTGTGGGGAGCATGTATAAAACTAGTGAGAAGTCGTACCTGATAAAGGATTGAAGTAGCCAATAACACTGTTTCCATACCAATCCAGTCATAGTAGAGTAATAACATGCATTGAAGCAAAATTAACGAAGTCGAGCACATGTCACAGCCAAAACCTCCTGCAGTTCTGAAGACCCGTTATATCAAGGCACTAATGACGAGATCTAGGCTAGTCAAGAAGTCTTGGGGCTGTGGAACAGAGGACCCAACTATAGAAGTCATAGTAGCGTTACATGACCCCTGTGATTCATGATTGATATCTACCAACACATTTATAAACAATGCCGTGGTTCAAATCTAGCCCCATCACTTTTGTAAGCTAAATATCTTTCTTACGTCTTCCCATTTTCACCAGTCTAGACCACTTCTCATTCGACAGATATCAATGCATTTTTAGAACTCTTTTTAATTATGAGCTCGTGTGACTATCTGTCATACTCTCTAGCTAAAAAATCCGTAGACCCCGTTCGAATCCAAAGTGCTGTATGCTGATTTGTCTAATAGCCTCATTTATTCCCTAAGCGCTAGCGAAGTGGCACATCCAGCTGAGCCCCACTCCATGAGGCGCAGTCTCCAGGGCTGAAGCCCAATCTACTCCTCTCCTCCCCGCATAGCATATAGGCGATCTGATCTTGCCGGGTATATTTTTACCGTGAGGCTCTGATTCCGTTTCTCGTTTATATTTTTGGAATGGACACAGAATGCACCATGGGCAGCCATACTCGGTCACTATGGACATGTGCCGCGGGAAGGCTAGACGAAGCTGACCAGAGCCTCCTCGCCTTTGGGCAGGAAATTAACAATGCAATTAACGACGAAAGCACTCTTGATTTAGTTGAATCATTAACGTACACAACTCACAAGGCCTACGAGCTATGCGTCCGCAAACGATGGCAGATCAAGCTGCCTGGCAGGAAGGACAAGATTATTGTCCGTGACTTACTAGGCAAGATCACACATTGGATTCAAGTCTTCAAGAATGTTGGGGATCAGGCTATCTCATTCGACCCAGGCCATGCAGCTTTGCCGTGGGCTGGGGCTCGATTTCTCCTACAGGTCAGCCGTACCTAATAGGGATAATCGCGATACTTCCAGGCTAATCAACCAGATTTGCTTATGACTAGATTGCAATCAACGACTTCAAGCAGTTTGACTTTGTCGTTGAAGGCGCAGCAAAAATTACCAGAATCACCGCTCGATATCGAATAGTCGAGTGTCTCTATCTACAACGCTCTAGTGCCGCAACGACCTTACTCGAGCAGGCGGTCGTAAGGCTGTACACTACAATGCTTGATTATCTCGTCCAGGCCAGTCGCTACTTTCAGCAGCGGACGGGTATCCGTATATTGAAGAGTGGCGTACTTGCTCAGAACGATTTCCAGGATCTGCTAGTGAAGATGGACAACGAGGAACGCGAGGCTGATCATTGTGCCGATTTGGCCAAGACGGAAATGGCTAATGAGACTGCGGACCAATTTGCGAATTTGTCTCTGGAGATGAATAACATCGCTTTACTGCGCGATGCACTGGATCGAATGGAGCAGCCTATATCACAAACGGCGCGTCAGCTTGAGCAAGTCGAAGATTATTTGAGTAGTAGGTCTTAACGACTCATGCGAATGGGTTCATATACCAATAATTTCTCGCAGATGTACAAAGGCGAGATATACTGGACTGGCTTTCGTCCCAGCCCTACTATGACCACCACACGGACATCCAGCCCAAGGTACTGGAAGGGACTTGCCAATGGGTAATTCAACACCCCGAATTCTCCAAATGGCAAAATGACAGCAAACAGCAAAAATACCCTCCTATGGCTACACGGTACACAGGGGTCGGGCAAAAGCTGTCTCACATCTACGGTGATCGATGAGATCATGAAAGCTTCGCAATCAAATGATATGCACTCCCTAGCATACTTTTACTGCTCCCGCGACACCGCAGAGCCAGAACGTGCAAAGCCGCAAAGCATTTTGGCGTGTATCGCGCGCCAGCTTTCTCGCCGGTCTCAAACTCAGTCAATTGCTCCTCCCACCTTGGCTTTGTACTATAAATTGCACTCTGTGGACGGTTCGAAGCGAAAACCAACCATGGCCGAGTTATGCAGTTTGATTCGGGAATTGACTGAGCTCTACGATCGATCGATGATCGTGGTGGATGCGCTAGATGAATGTGATGTTGTTACGCGGTGGGAACTTGTCGAGGCGTTGGAATCAATTACCGAATCGGCCAGCCTTGTCAAGATTTTTGTCAGCTCGCGCGAGGAAGGGGATTTGCGACTTTCTCTCCAGACTCATAGCGGGCTTCAGGTCACGTCCTTGGAGAACGAGGATGATATACGGAAATTCGTGGAGTTTGAAACGGATCGGCTAATTGCAAAGAAGCAGTTGTTGGCATATATTCGAAAGAAACAGACGAAAGAGGAGTTGACGCAACTGATCAAAGAGGATGTTATCTCCAAGGCCAAGGGAATGTAGGTACTTCAAGATCTGACAAACTGTAGATTTTCTTTTGGATAAAAGCTAAGTATCAATGTATCTAGGTTTCGTTGGGCAGAGCTACAGCTGCAAAGTCTTCGAGGAATTCGAGCAGAAAAGGATATTCGATCTGAACTCTTTCGCATCCCTCGAGATCTTAGTGCACTATATCAAGATCTATACGATAAAGCTCTCGAAACGACCCAAGAGACGGATCAGATTGTGTTCCAACACACCCTCAAGTGGATGCTGAGTGCGCAACAAAATCTCACGCATCATGACTTTTTCCTAGCTATCACGGCATTTACGGACCTCGGAGCTGATGATTTAGACGAAGACTTTATCTTGGACCTTCTGAGCAACTTTGTCGTGTCATCCACGACGGAAGAAGGAGATCGATTCTTCCGTTTCGCACATCTCTCCGTCCGCGAATTCCTCGAGGAGATGCCCGAATATTCAACCGAGTGGACCAATACATTCGCAGCGGAGGTCGCTCTTCTCACGTTGATCTGTGCAAGTGACTCACCGAGCGCGAATGAGTTCATCAACACGCTAGGAGTCGTGCCTCTTGATATTGTGCCGTTTTCTGAAATCCGATCCAACGAACAAGGCTTCCATGATTATTCCCTGAAGTTCTGGACTAATCACTGCGTGCTTGCTGGTGAGCAGAACCGAGCAACGGAAAATCTGAACATTCGAAAACTGCTGCATTTCTTCCTCTTCGATGATTCCGACGATAATTGTCCGTTGAATTGTTGGGCACTCTCCCTCCGACGCGATGAGAGCCTGGGGATAATCATGAAAAATTATCAAAGCCCCCATGACCGAGCATTCTTGCTTGCATGTTACTCTGGGTTCGACGAGATAGTCCATATTGCCCTAGATCATGGCCTGGACGAAAGAGTGAAAGAAGAAGGTGCACTGTCGGCGTTTAAACAGGCCCACGCTTCAACTGCAGAGTTGCTCATCGGCCCCCGGGGCGATGCTAAACTACGAGAGTACGTGCTACATCACTTGGGGGCTCCTCATCGAACCGCTGAATACGCGGATGCCGACGTAGTTCGATGGTTGCTAGACTTAGTTGAGCCCGCTCAGATCACAGAAAAGGTGATTCTCAATGCAAAGAATCTGGATGCGGAGGTTATTTGCATGCTGCTAGATCACAACAGAGATCTGCGCATCACAGAGAATATGATCCGGAAATGTTTACTCAGCCGCGGTGCCATCATGGCATTTGTGACTCGAGAACCTGATATTGAGATTCTTCCGGATATGCTTATCGCGGTAATACGGACATGGCCTTTTGATGCTAAGCTTTGCATCAACTTGATTAACAGAGCCGGCCCAGCATCTATCAATTGCGATGTGATCTCCTGGATAGCATACTCTGCGGGCGATCCTGAACGGGAAGAGCAAGCTATGCCCATCCTGCTTCTCCTTCTAGAGCGCGCTGGACCACTCAATATCAGCCATCGTGCCGTAACTCGGGCTTTTGTCAACGATAACACCGGCAAGGTAGTGAAAATTCTTCTCGATCATGGATGGCCAGTAACTCCCCAGTTGATTCGCGAGGCGGCTTCCTTCGGCAACCCAGCGGTTTTCCCCTTGATTTTCAATGCTGCAGGTGGGAGTTGCGACGTCACTCCCGAGCTTCTCCAAGCCACTGTGGAAAGTTACGAAACCAATGGACATGAAATATTGAGATACCTCGTATCCAGATCTAGTCAACCTATCAGCGACGAGACCTGGGCAAGACTGATTAGCTATTGCCTGACACCTGAGACTTTGCGATGTCTCTTGGACATGAAGCCTAACATGCGGGTGCCGGAGTCAGTGCTACTTCATATCACTCAGGAGAATATCTATACTAGCGACGCGACCTTGAGCATGCTCCTCAAAGATGCGCGAGATCTCGAGATCACCGATGCCGTTGTAGGATCAGCTCTGGAGAAGATGGAATACGGGGAGCACGTGTCGCAGCTATTGAACCGACATGATACCGAGCTCATCACTCAGCCTTTATTGATCGGAGCGGTCAGTAATGTAGGCTTTGGAGATGAGATGACGGGGGCTTTGATACACCGGAACGTCCCGATGGAGGCACCATCCACCGAAGTCATCAATGCAGTAATCAAGAATACCCATTCAGGGCTCCAATATCTTCGGATGCTTGAGGCACACTTTGGACCGATCAAGTTCACCGACGAACACATTGAGACTGCGGCATCAGGAAGTCTTCAAATGATCAAGCTAGTCTTTGACCGCCGGTCAGTCACGCATGTCACTCCTTCGATGCTCCTTCGGGCAGCTTCCAGGGGAACTCTGGATGGGATGAAATTCCTTCTTCAGCTGGACGATGCTATCGTGACCCGCGAGATCCTGATTATCGCCGCGGGGAACGGGCGATGTGGAGCTAAAATGCTTCGGCTTCTTTGGGATCACAGCCCGGACATCAAGCCTTGCGTTGAAATGTTCATGAAAAGCGCTAGTATCACAGATACAGCGTCAGGGACCATTGGGTTCTTGGTGGACCGTCTGGATGATATCCAACTTGCCCAAGAAGTGCTGGAGACCGCGATAAGAACCAGGTACAAGTACCCTTTTGGAGCAAGTCGGGTGGTGGAGGCACTCCTGGGGAGTACTCTGCCAGTTAAGATGACGGGCGAGATGGTTACCGAGGTCCGAGGCGATCGCGATATGAACCCGTTCATGTGTCGTGTGGTCGACCGCTATGCCGGGGCGACAGAGACCCAGGAGATGGCTGACCTCTAATGGACAGTGGTTTAGAGGTAATTTCTTGAGATGAGGAACAGAATCGAATGGATTGCCAGTCGAGTTGGAAGTTTGAATGTATACTGGGTAGTTCTTTCGGTACAAGGGTGAAGACCTGTAATTCAAGATTGTCAGAAGTGACCATGCTCAGACTGAATAGATTGGACAAGTGTAGAGAGTAGAAGAGTGGAAGTGTAGAAAGTGGAGCTGTTGGTTAGAATCGAGAGCGTGCCACATGGTCCGTGCGGGGACTTTTTTTCGACCGCAAATCGTCGCCGACTGACTCCCACCACGTTCGGTGTCATCCTGGTCTTTGCGTCCTGGGAACAAGTCCATGATCCCACGGTCTTGCCTTTCGCTTTTCGCATCCGCCCCAAGATGCAAATTTGATCTAACATCCACCCTTCGCACACCATCCCCACTTCGAAGTACTTGGACCGCCCGCAGACCGTTCTGTCAAACCCCGATCGCCATGGAGAGCTCGACTACTCCCACCGGCAAGCTGGTATCCTACCAGGGAGCTGAATACAATGTGATTAAAGAGGGTCTGGCGTATATTCTCAACCCCCCGGCCCAGGAAGCCGCCTCCAAAGGCACCAGAAGGGATCTCAAGGCCGAAGACGAGAGCCAATCGGTCTTCTATAACCCAATTCAACAATTCAATCGTGACCTGAGTGTCCTGGCCATTCGCGCATTTAGTGAACATGCGATGGATGTGAAGAAACAAAAAGCGGATCAGAAGTTGAAGAGACGCGCCACAGGCAATGGTACCAACAAGGGAAAGAAGCGCAAGCGCGAGGATTCGTCCGATGAACAAGCACCTAACACGACATCTACAGAGGGCGCAAATGCAGCAAAGCCCGAAACCGCCGAGCAGTCTGCGCCAGCACCGAACGAGACGTCCGATGCGCCGTCCGAGCCCACTCCCGCCCCCTCATTCACAGTCCTCGATGCCCTCTCCGCAACAGGTCTGCGCGCCCTTCGATATGCCTCCGAATTGCCCGCAGTCTCCAAGGTGGTTGGCAATGACCTTTCAGAATCCGCCATCAAGTCAATGAGGACGAATATTGAGTACAACAAGCTCCAGAGCCGTATTCAGCCGAACCTGGGCGATGCGCGTGTCTTCATGTACGGCGCCGCCAGTGATCCCACCCGCAAATTCGATGTGATTGACTTGGATCCTTACGGTACCGCTGCTCCCTTCCTGGATGCCGCCATTCAGGGTGTTAAGGATGGTGGTCTCCTTTGTGTCACCTGCACCGATGCAGGTGTCTGGGCCTCGACCGGCTACGCCGAAAAGGCGTTCTCCCTCTACGGCGGCACCCCAATTAAGGGCTTGCACTCGCACGAGGGTGGCTTGCGCCTCATCTTGAATAGCCTAGCCATGTCCGCTGCCAAATACGGCATTGCAATTGAGCCACTGCTCTCGCTCTCGATCGATTTCTACGCCCGTGTGTTCGTGCGGGTGTCTCGCTCCCCGGCACAAGTCAAGTTCACTGCCAGCAACTCAATGATTGTGTATAATTGCGATTCTGGATGCGGCGCGTGGACGATTCAACCCCTCGCTGCCTGCAATGAGAAGCTTGATCGCAAGGGAAACCCTCTGTATCATTATAAGCTGGCCCAGGGCCCAAGGGCTAATACTTACTGTGAGCACTGCGGCTTCAAGACACATCTTGCGGGTCCGATGTGGGCTGGCCCGCTACATAACCCTCACTTTATTCAGCGGATTCTGGACATACTTCCCACTTTGGACCCGGAGACATATCAAACTATCCCTCGTATCGAGGGCATGCTTACTACCGCGATGGAAGAGGACTTGGACCTCAGTCCCTCCTTCACCAAGTCCGCAGATAGGCAGCAGCAACAAGACTCCGAGACTGAGACGGCCAAGTCCAACGCCAAGGAACAAAATGAATACCCGGCTATCATCCCACGTATGAGCCCGGCTCTCCATGAGCCGTACCCCTTCTACTTCTCCCTGAGCGCACTCTCAAAGGTCCTCCATTGCGCAACCGTCCCGCAGGACGAGTTCCGAGGCGCTCTTCGCTCAGTCGGGTATCGCTCTACCCGTAGCCACGCCAAACCAAATTCCATCCGCACCGATGCCCCCTGGAGCGTCGTCTGGGAAATCATGCGCGAGTGGGTCCGCCAACACTCTCCTGTGAAGGAAACTTCCCTGAAGCCCGGTACCGCCGGCGCCACTATCATGGCTAAGGGCCGTGATAACCTGCGCAAGGGCAGCAGCGAAGACCCCTGGCTATCGCAATTGAAGAGTGACCTTCTTGCTGCCGTTGAGTCTGGAAAGGATATCAGCGATCTGGTCACCAAGGTCGAAGCATCCCTGTATAGATCCGGATCCCGGCAGTCCTTCGTCACTCAGCCGCAAACTGCCGATGCACAGGAGAAGTCCGCCGGTGATGGCCCAGCCGCGCAGGCACAGGCACAGGCACACCCCAGCACACTGGAGGTGAAGTTTGATGCTGCACTTGGCCGAGAAGCATCGGCTGCACACTCGAAGAAGCGCCTCGTGCGATACCAGCTCAATCCCCGTGCGAACTGGGGGCCATTGAATCGGGCAGCAGCAAACTCGAAGTGATGATGTTTGTTTGATAGATGTACGTTTTATGTGTTGTAAATACCAAAATATCAGCCTTTTAGCATTGTCATATTTCCCTTCCAAGTCAGTTAAGGACCGAGTATGGTTACCCTCGAATCATTGAGATCTGGTTCCCCCAACCCTCCCCCTCAAATACCAGCTTCCACCATTTCCACAACTACCCGCTCATACCTCGCGTTTCGTCAATGCAAAAACATAAACATACAACAGCCAGGATTCGCATGTGGTCACCCACCATACTACTAACTGGCCGGCGTGTGGCTTAAGTACGGCTGAGCGGACGGGAAGCCCTGTTCTCCACACCCTATGGTCGTATGTGCTAGAAACTCTTTAAAACTGAAACATATCCTCTTAAACTTCTATTTATAATACGTAGAGGTGAGTGCGTAATAGACAGTGTGAGAGGCTCGGTGAGAGCGGGTGAGAATCACCCTCCGTCGCGCGATTACCGTTCTGACCCTCTCTCACCTAGGCTTAGATATAGCGTTATTAGTTCACCTCGATCTAGCTGAAACGGCGGTCTCCCGGTAATTCTATATCCCTAAACACTAATTCAGGATTAGCTAATGCACGGCGAGGCTGACTTTAATAATACCTTAGATTGAAGTCCTTTGCTTAGTGTCTAGGCTACTAATATACTAGATATTAATTAACATCCTGTCCGGCGTGACTAAATTCCGCGATCAATAAATCTATATTACGTGGCAACACTAGTGTTAGCACCTTCGACCTTATATGTGTTAGAGCACTATGAAGACCGTACTCGGTCGTGTGCCTATAATCAATCATAGTTATATAACGGCCACCATACACCAAAAATTCGTGAGATACACTAGCACCCACTCAAATGACTGCTGGGTACATATACCTAAGAAAACCAGACGAAGCATTGGGCAACAGTCACAGGAGACTAGCCCCATACTGGTAAGCCGTATCTCCAGAACCAAACACGCAAAAGATAAATCTATCGAAGACTTTATTACGACTTTTTCTCCCTATATATCGACAATCTAAGATCTAACTAACCGAGACTTACTAAGTATAAGCTTAGTTAGAGGAAAGGTTCCCACGAATACTTAACTATGCTTTATATGCTAATTATTTATCAAACTATATGTTACCTAGGTCTTCTCTAGCTGATGCTCTGGTGGACGGCTCGAAACATAATAACCTTTTAATTATTTGCCCTAACCTCGCTATATCCCCTCTCGTTAGGTCGGGACTTTACGGGCCGGTAAAGTACACTTCTTCTAGCTATTATTATAGGTTAGGTTCGGGGTTTTACGTGATTGTTAACCCCTGCATTTATCATTCCTATTTGCTCCTCGGTTTTGATCTATCGTATAGCGTTCCTGACAGAGTTGGAAAGACTGTGCTTTTTTATGTCAGAAGAGGAGCGTAACGTGATTATTGTTAGCGCTAGTAAGGGTGCTGGTTCCTAACGCACTCGGGGTCTTCGTGAACCCGATAGAGATTTACCTTATAAAATACAAACATAAAGCCCGTTAATAAACTCGTGATGAAAATTACGGAGTTTTCGCCGCTTATCTAAACACCGAAGTGGACGTAGGGAATCTAGTAATTTTTTAGAAGCCCCTTTTTTTCTGGAGCCCCTAGGTCTATATAAAAGGCCTTTCTCGCCTCCTGCCGCGTCTGAATGTGCCCGCCCCGTAACTCTCGAACCGCTCGGTGTAGTCCTCGGCAAACCGCCACGTCCGTCATGCCTTCATCCACCAGCGTCTCGTAGAGCACTCTCGCTATGTCCACACAGTGTTTGTCCGAAACATCTATACATCACCTAATCTGGGATCCAACTTCGGGAGGGGTTAGGGTAAACTGGTGACGCGCGCTGCGCACGCTGTGGCCCTGAAACGATGACAACGTAGGGTAGAGACGAGGAAGGAGAAGGGAAAATGGACGCTCTTTTGCTTAATTGATAGTTGATCATGCAGATGAGCGTCGACCAATGAGAAGGCAGAAGTATGACTAATAGCCGAAGCCGCTCAACCTAGAAAAGAGGAAAGACAGGAATCTGATAATCAGCCATCATGTTTCGATCATGCAAGTGCATTAGCGTATGATGTTTTACGTTTTCTTTGAGAACACCTCTCCGGAGGTGGTGTTACAATAGGTGGGGAGGGTTAGTTTTTGTCAGTGGTTTCTAGCTATATAATTTATAAGTTATGGATTCCTTATCCTTATTATTAAGAGGTACTATTTTAGGTGAATGTGGTTACGAATGGGTGGGGAGCGATTTAGTCCGCGACCTTAGCGCCGATTTGCTCGGGGTTTGAGGGCCAGCTCTTCGAGACTACCGGTCTATACGTTTCCGTTTACCAGTCGAAGAAGGGGTGGCGGGTAAAAGATAATTTGGTCTTAGGAGGAAATATATATCGTTAGTGACGCCCGCTAATTAGCGATGTTCTTTTGTGAGGCCGAAAACGCGACCTGTCAAGAAAATAAAGGAACTGGGGTTTAGTGGTGGAAAGTTCGCCCACCGCTGACTATTTAGGGAGTACGCGGTGATTGGGAAGAAGGTTTATGCTAAATGCGTTAATCCGGCTCGTAGGATACTAGGCTTTCTTTAGTATATCACTTATGCTGAAGGAAAATCCTATATAGATATTACCTCCTAGTCAATACTAATACCATTAAAACTAAGACCTACCACTTGATCCTTAGTAGAGGATACGAAATCTTACATAGCCTGTAGTAATGCCGAAGGGTTTAGAAAAGTTATCCGATTAAGTCAAACCCTTATAGATAGTAGGATTCTCAGATTTCTATTCTTTCTTTTTTAGGAAGGAGTAGCTGCTCTATACATCCGTAAAAATGTTTTTCAGTACCGCTCCACGAATCTCTGGCATAGTTATTCTCTATATCAGCCCTAGTACCTAACATATACACTTTTCTATTGTCCGGGTATCCATTAGTAAATGCGTGTAGCACATCTCGTGAATCATTATAGTTGATCCAAGGGTGTTGTGTTATACGAACAGACCCACTTAACGAAGTAGGCAACGGAGCGATATCCATCGGTACGGCGGACCTCAAGCTTAGTATTACTAGCACTGTTGTATGCTGTATTATTGCTAGCTGGTAAGGGACGCTAGACCTAGTAGAAAAGTGATAATAGTCTGTATTATGAACGAAGTGGAAATTGATCACAGAGGAAGCGTGTTAAGTAGAAGAGCGAAGGTGAAGTGGCAGAACATGAACAGAAAGAGGAAGAGCATTGTTGATATCAAGGCATCCATCCCTTACGACGGGCCCTAGACCGTAAGCAGGCCGCCCACAGCCTAACTCCGCGATAATCTGAAACATGACTCCTGTTACAGGCCAGGCAAAGAGAGGATCAATTCGGTGCCATTCAACGAAGCAACTCATTCTAGGAGAGAAAAGAGGAAGAAGTTCTATCTAATGCGTGGAAGCCTTTTTGTTATGGGCCAAAAGGAATCTTCCGCTCTAGTCAATCCTCGATCGTCACAGCTGCGAGTAAGGTCTGCAGGTCATTAAATGAACCAAAAAAGTGTCTCAGGCTTGCTGCTATATGAGGTTTCCCACCTGGCCAGACCAGGGATTCCGGGGAAGCACCGGGTTGCCTTTTGAATGGAACTAACCAGACGAGACTGACATAGCCTTAACTTAAGTTATACGCGCAAAACGGGATAGAGCTTAACAGAATCCATAAAATATTGTACCAGAACAGATTGAAAACAGCAAGACACCGAAATTGGTTCAAATGCATAGAATAAGTCCCCCGGTCTACTCGCTCTCACCTTGAAAGAATCTCTAGGGATTCTTTCAAGGTGATGATCATAGACAATGGGTAATCATCACTCTCAATCCTGGTTTCCTAGTTTTAGAAACCCCAATAATGTAATCCCTGTAGATTGCAATATCTTCAAGTGTCTTTTTGTGCAATTCCATATCAAACTTACGCACAAGTGTGGAAACCACAAGGTAGAGCTCTGCTAAAGCTAGACTTAAAGGCAAAGAAGATCAGTCGGAAACTAACAATCTGAAGTTTCATAGCTCTTACTTTATACCCAGGCATTGCCTAGCTCCTTTTGTGAAGGGGACGAAGATGTGTTCCAGACGCTTCCCGGATTCTTGGGCACGGACCCAACGCTCGGGATCAAATACATGTGGGTCAGGGAACAAGTCCGAGTTCATGTGAATGAAATAAGCGGACTGGCTCAAAATGACCTATATGAAGCGCGTGAGAAAATTTCGGTCGTTTGTCAACCGAATATGGAATACCTACCCCTGGGGGGATTGTCCAATCCATATATTGCAATGCTTCATCCGGTGCACTTCGGGCCAATCGACCAACACCGCCAGAAAGTCGAAGTCCCTCATTAATAACTCCTTTCTAAAGACCTGTGGTTAAACTATTTCTTCAATGTAAGTCTGCAGGATATTATCTTACCATATAGGGAAGGCTTGCGAGTTCATCCCATGTAGCGTTAGGGGACTGTTCAAGTTCGCTGCGAAGCTTGAGTAAAATGGACTTGTTATGAACCAAGTGAAAGAAGATGACTTTCAGTGTACTTGCAGACGTCTCGGTGCCTGCGGTTAGTAACACAGAGCCCTCATCTTCCACTCGGGTCAAACTTCTTTCCTCCGGAGGTAGACTAGGCTCACAGAGTGCCTGAAATACTGTATTCTTTCCTATTCCATGGCAATTGTTCTGTACTGTAGCCTTCGCTTGCTCTCGGACCATTCTCTTCAGTATCAATCTTTGTGCTGCTGCGGGGGAAAGTGCTTGGAGGATCTTGACCGGGACCAACTCTGCAATAGGCAAAAGAAAGGGGAAAACCGGTAGCACGTGAACGAGAGATATAACCCTAAAAGTGGATTCTCGAAGTTCGAACTCAAAATCAGTAGCATCCAGATAGTTGAAGCTAAAGCCATATAAAAACTCCGATAGTATGTCAGAGGTCGTAGCTGAAAAGGCAGCATCCAATTGTACAATTGTACCCTGACGGAAGGCACCTTCCAGCCTTCCTGCGAGCTTGTTGGCTTTACTTTGAATCAGGGATTCAAAGCTCAAGACAGACCTTTTCGAGAAATAGTTTCTGAGGATTGCTCGGCGTGAGCTGTGGAGTTTGTGGTCAACTGTCGTGCCCATGGAGGTCGGAAACCCAACATTTTGATAGAACCTTGGGTCCTTATCTCTTTTTCTTGCGGCACCCGAATATATCTCCGTATAAAAGGAGGGATCGGCAATGTGAAGCTCGCGAGGACTAACGCGCACAATAGGACCTGAAAATGATTTAGCATCAAGCATTCCTTAATTTGGTCCGACTATCTCCTACCATACTGTTGATGCATCCTCTCTATCTCCCAGATGTACCGGCCCCCTTTTATAACATTGAAATAGAACTCGTAAAGGCTGGAAATAGCAGCAAGTCTGGGCCCTGGAAACTTGCTGATGGGATGGAAGTGTAGGCGGTATATAATCAATCCGCAAATATAGCAAGCAATCGCACATAGTAGTAGGAGCATAATTACTGACATGGAGTAGCTAACGCTGGCAGATAGTTGAGCTAATCTAGATACCGTGAGCCATGCGGGGTGACCAACCACTATATGAAAATAAAACTAACTTAATAAAAACTTTGATAGTAGTTAGAAGTGAGATGTTCCGTTACAAATTGAAAAGCGAGAAGCGACTAGATGCTCATGCATATGACACATCCGCGGTATGTGGCGGTGAAAGATCTGGTGTGAGGATGCACCTATCAAATTCTAGTTATGTATGACACTTGCGAACCAAGATCTGTGCTTCAAGCATGGGCATTGCACCACTGAAATACAATTTTTTGTTTTTGATTTTTTCATAAAAAAAAAGGGTCGAATTTGGTAGAGATATCCGTTGATGTAGGAGGCTGTCAAAAAAATAACAGAATCCCTTCTGCAATATAGGCCAACTTTACTGGTCAGAGAGCGCCATGGCAGAGCTCTACGGAGATTGGAGGAACCAACCCAACGAGACTTTCCACATGATCATCTCTAGACTACCGGTGAGGACTCATAGGTGCTGTGCTCAAAGTCTATTTTGTAATTGACTTTCATATCATGGAGCTTGCAGACTAAACCTAACATCCGTACCGTGAAAATTTTATCTTAGGAAAGGACCTTCCAAGTTTGGAGATCTGTGGTTTTATCGCCCACTTGCATGGATATACCTTGATCCAACTGCCCTAATACGAGGGGATGGATTCCCTGGCCTAGCCTGCAAGATTAAGTTACTAAAATACCTGGAAAATCCATTTCTACCGATATACAGGTTTATGGATAGGTCTACGTAGTACCGGATGGGTTAGGCAGTCTACTCGAAACCAGATATTTCCGAGCTTCCATGAATTGAGGCTAACATAAACGCATATTTAAACGAAAGGAATATCATTAAAATTTTGAATGTTCCAACTTATCTTTCACCTGCTGATACTGTATGGGCATTGAATGCACTAGAATTGCTGTCTAACGATGATAGAACCGAATTCACAAAATGAGAGATGGCAACACTCTGTGCCCCTCGACCCAAAATATTGGGCTGACAATCCTAGATATCCGTGCACGATTCCTCCAAGGATCAGCAAATATTCCCAAGCCTTCGATGATGCCATTATACAACTTTCTATTGATGTTGTGGGAAAAGAAAATATTGGAGTGGCAGATGGATGCCTGTGTCGGGTTGGTTGCTTCATGTCAGTGGCATTTGCAGAGGCACCCCCAGATGTGGTGGCGCTACTGGCCTACTGTAATGAGTTGCCGGTTCTCTATGATGGTGAGCTGGTCTATGATGAATGCAATACCTACGACGCTAACCGTTCTTAGATTTCGACGTACTTGAAGCAGACAACGTAATTGTTCACAGGATCACCTGTAAATTTCCATGAATAACATGTATACAGCTATCTACAGAAACGGCGTCGTCCTTGCTCTTGCCTTACTACCAACATCTAGATATGAAGGTAGAAGGACCAATTTGGAAAGCAAGAGCCAAAGAGGCAAATTCTAAGATCATGGTCAAGTTTTCCGAGGCCGACCCAGTTCTCGGTAAACAGCTGTTTCAGGATTTCAATACGTGGAGGTCGGCCGAAAAATTGGTCCAGAAACGACTTCACGAGTACAAGACACTCGAGGAGTACGGACGTGATCGGATTGAGGATCTCGGATGGTCATACGTTATTTCATGCTCAAGACTCGGAAACAACATTCATCTCACAGAAGAGGAGGAAGCTTCCATCAGGCCAGTATTTCTTCCCCTCAAATATCATGTCGGGTATGTGAACGACTATCTCTCCTGGGAAAAGGAGCTGAGACATTTTGAGATGAGTGGTGGAAGGGTGCCGCTCGTCAACGCAGTGAGCTTGATCATGCGATGGAGTGGAGTCAGTGCCGCTACAGCTAAGGAATCGTTAAGGCAGACCTGTCTTAATCTGGATAGTGAGTATTTTCGTCTCAAAAAGGAGTACTTCAGGATCCATGAGGACACAATGTCTGCAAGTCTGAGACGTTGGTTTGATTTGTTTGAAACGATCATTGCTGGAAATGTCTGGTGGCTTATGATGTCTTATCGACATGATATTTCCTCGGATGGATCCGGCTATCGTGACTACTATAACAAGCGATGCAATGAAGGGGCCATATGGTTAGAGGACTGCACCAAATCCGAAGGTTTTTTGAGTGGAGGCACAGAAATTCGGTTGAAAAGCCAGCAACCTGGTCAGCAAGTACCCTCTCAACTCAACGGGACTCACCTGGTCAACGGAGCAAGGCAAGATGTTACAAACGGAGCACAATCGGAAGAACGTCGCCAAGTAGTGAAGGTAAAGCCATGTGAAAAGGAACCCGCCAAGAGTGTGCTATTTACAGATCCTGGCCTTCTGATCAGCTTGGATGATCATGTAAGTCTATCTTCGCCTTCTAAATCCTAGCAGACAGAGCTTACCCTTGCACTGTAGTTAGTCAATCTCCCTGCTGAGTATATCTCTTCGCTGCCATCTAAGGGCATTCGAGCTCTTGTGGTTGACGCCTTGAACACTTGGTATCAGGTACCTAATAACACGCTGGAAACCGTGAAAGAAGTCTTGCATGTGCTCCATAACTCGTCTCTCATGTAAGTTTTTGACGAAAAGGCAGGGCAAAGACTATATCTCATAAACAACTTGACGAATATAGGCTTGATGACATCGAAGACCGTTCAAAGCTGCGTCGCGGAAAACCAGCAACACATGTTGTATTTGGGCCGGAACGGACAATCAACTCGGCTAGCTTCTTGATTGTCCGAGGTCTGGAGTTGGTCAACAAACTATCTGCATCTGCAGTGCTAATCTATGCCGGTACAGAAATACTCAGGATTTAGCCTCCTATGAAGGTCTCTAACATGCGGACAGAGGGTCTCCGATCACTCCACGTCGGACAGGCATATGACCTGCACTGGACATGCTTGGCAAAGACACCGTCTGAGGCCGAATACCTAAGCATGATTGACGCAAGTACGTATAGGACATCCTTTTACCAGTATGGGCGACGACTCAATGATTCTCTAGAAACCTCGGCACTCTTTCGCTTGGGCAGCAGCTTGCTGAAGCTAGATGCATCAAAGAACAGGTCAGTCCCTAGAACACTACTTTCATTTCTATTACTAAGATCAATCCAAAATTTTAAAGAAATGTCGTCCTTGATGGCCTTTTAAGACTTTTTGGGAGATATTTCCAAATCCGAGACGATTTTCAGAATCTCGTGTCTACAGAGGTTTGTTCTTTATGCCTTATAATGATTCTTAGCACAAACCGAACTGATATATAATAGTATTTCGAGAAAAAGGGAGCGTATGAAGATCTTGATGAGGGGAAGTTTTCTCTCCCTGTAATCCACGCTTTGAGCCATAATCCCGACCCACAACTGGAAAGTGTTCTTCGACGACGAAGCCTGGAAAGTCCTCTCTCACCCGAGCTCAAACATCTTGTCATAGCAAATTTGGAAGCGTCAGGAAGCTTAGAGTATACGAGGAATATTCTCAAAGAGCTTGAAGCTTCCATAAAGGAAAGACTAGCGGGGATCGAAAAGATCACGGGACAGAAAAACTGGATTCTACGGCACTTACTGCTCCAACTAGAAGTATGATGGAGTTGAGCAAACATCATGAATTTTATTCGTCTTGCTATACATTATAGAGCGGGAGAGTAATGTGCTACGCTATAAAGTGGAGTGGATAGAATGACCTTGATCATCATTCATCCGTAGAGGGTGGTCATACCAAGCCCCTAACTTGATCATTTGACTGCAAAGAAAATCCAGCCCGAACTAACTCCTAGAAACTCTCTCCGGATGGCCAGTGGTGCGAAGAATTTATAGTCCCCTGTCTTCGACCTATAAATTCAAACTAAGAGGAAGCGTGGAAGTGGTTTGAGAGACATGCGGCCCGCTATGTATACTCGGTGTACATCTCTCTACTCTTTCTAAGATTTTCCTCACCTAGTAAGAGCTAGTACCGAAAGAGAAGTTAGATGGAGACATAGAGACGTACGTAGAACTTCAGTAAGGTAGTAATGATGATGTGTGGCACTATATTCGACTTATCCTACTCTCAAAATTTAGGGCACAGTCTTGACACACACCTGGGCAGGAGACTGTGCAATTGCACCTGCACGGTCTCAGGCCATGACCTTCAATTTCCGTCCAGTAAGTCCGTCAGTGTGCAGTTTCTCCTCCCAGGTTGGAAGTATATGGTTTCTTCTCAATTTGGCGCTCTTCTCGTCAGCATTCTCTGGGGTGTGCTTTTCCATCACACCGTGTCACGCGCCAGTGCCCAAAGTGGGGTGAGTCATGGATAGTCACGGCAACTCATCAAGAAGCATCATTTATACGAGGCGGAGTATGCAGTGTTACACATCACAAACCCATATAGGAGGTCCGGAAGATAAATTTGCTGCTTTGCATGAAGGCCTGCGTGCGTTGTTGTTGTTGATAGTGAAGAGAACGAATGAGACCACCATAAAATTGGGTTTTAGAGCTGTAAGCTGCACACCTGGACTTCAATCGCATCCTACAGCGCACGCTAGCTACTAGGTGCATGATTCAGTATTTTAGTAACTCTAGAACTCATCCATGGATCCCAACACATCTATTGGAAATATTCTTCGAGAGGTAGACCGAAATTATCCTCTGCTGCCATCCACGGATACGATCGCCCACACAATATTCTTTGCGGAATTAATTGTAGAGGCAATGCAAGGGTTATATACGGAGTACCTAGAGGCAGACGCGCATTTTATAGTGCGTCACCTGCAGCACTTTCGGCCTCGGTGGTGGTTTGCGTGTAAGTATTGGCTGAATCGTGAGCAGAACCGGAAAGATAATGGGAAACCCGCACCGCAACGTTACAGTATAAATTCTGTTCGGATAAAATCTGAAATCTTTCTTTTCCATTCTACTCTGCCTATATGATAGATGCAAATTATTCTATTCAAGGTCTCTCAGTTCATTTTGGTGTTCGATTATATCAAGTGATACGACTCTACTTCCAAATACACGCTCATCATGACTCAAATTGTCAAATGTATCCTTCTATGTCTATCTTCATATGGTGTTTGGGTCTTTTGGATATCTACATCAATTTGTGGCTCGCTCATGCTGATATTGCCTCAATTGCTGGGCAAAGAACCGGTAGAAGTCACCTACACCGGCCACCCACTTCTTGACAGAGCTTTGTCGCCTCTTTTTCTATCATATACAGCAATCAGTGATACGGGAGTTTCTATAGAGACTTTTCAAATGGTTGCGTGCTATGGAAGCATTGCTGGAACGTGGATGTTGATCGCAATTGAGAATTCTCGAACACATTCGAGGTATCAACTTGCAAAGGAGTATGACTCATGATTTTTGATATACGCCCTGGTTAAATGAAGCCGCGCTAACGAATGTAGGATGTTCCTGCTAGAATTCTCTACCATGCTTGCCGGCTCAGGTATAGGCATGCCTGCCTACCTTGCGCTTAAATTCTATCCACTCAGACCACTCCGACAGAACGGAGACAGTATTGAAAGCAGCCTCCGAGTTGTGTACGAAATCCAGGCTTCAATGATACTATTTTTTTACCTACCATTACTTCTTTTGGTACCACCGGCGTCAACAGTCTTTTCTCCAAGCGTCAAACATCATGCTATTATGGTACTAACCACCTCCCCACTCTGGATAGCGATAGCAACTGTATCCTCAGGAATCCTGTGTCCTGGAAATAAATCTACGGCTCTCTCCGTCAAAAAAAAGCCAGATTTTCTGTACACTTTGACCTTCATCTTCGTTTCGGTGTTTCATGTTCTGCCCGTGGTCGGGATTATTGTCATTAGCCAAGAGGGAGGGCAAGTATTTCCTACAATCCTATCCGCCCTGGGGAGGACTTTTATCCCACAGCTCTCATGGAAATCCCCAGTGACTTCCTCGATAAAAGATATTATTTTCTTCATACTTCAGTGGGATTACATTCTAGGTGGTATCACATCACTACTTTGGAGTGTGTCCCTATACATCCATGAATGTCATCAGGCAAGAGTACAGATCAACCAAACAAACTTTTGCCTCACAACGATATTGCAGTCAGTCATTGTTGGACCTTTTGCTGCTTCGGTGAGGGTGCTTTACAAGAGAAACAAGATCTTGGAGGGTGCTTCATGGACACAGAAGGATGAGTGATTGGATTTTGTGGCTACAATACCGAGGCTGCTAGCATGAAGAACCTTTCTGGCTGTCAAAGGGACAGACACCTATCGGATAGCTCCTTCAATGGTACACTGCTGCGAGGCTCAGAGAAAGTTATCTATGAGACTTCCACATATGAAATAGACCAACAATGGTATAGGTTGTGAAAGGAAAACATAAACCTTCATATATAGCGTCATATGCAGACTTTTCACATCGCAAGATACAATTCTTTAAGGCGGTTTGCTATCCGAACGTTATCAGTTTCCGATGGGATGCGTCTCACGTCCTTTTGTGAAGGCTCAGAGGATTGGGTGAGATAGCTAGGCGCATGAAAGCGCGAGGTATACCGGAGGATCTGCTTGAGAAGAGGCGTTTTGCTCGGAACGAACAGCGACCATTCAAATCAACAGATAATTGACTGAGGCCCAAAGGCTGCCCCACACTGGACTGCCATAGGGCTTGCTACTGTCCCTAGACTTATTCTTCTTATTCAACATACACCTCGTGCAACGACAAATCGAAATCTAGGGAGGAGTAAGTGCGTTCGTGGACGTATTCACCGCGTGGGTGATCAGACTAACTACGTAGAGTAATCGGGGGGGGGGGGGGGGGGGGGTATTGAAGTAATGATCATTGAAGCACTCGACTAGGAGAAAAGGAGCGGAGCGGCTTTTGAAGCAGACAGATTAGCTATCATATACTTCGCTCCCAAAACTCACAAAAACCGAATAAGGGCATTTCACTATCAACCGTTATGCCATGAGACGATATCATGATTTAAGAGAGCGATGACGCCATCCCTAGATGGAGTGGTTTACACGGGAATTTATTTTGGTCGTCTGGCTGTGTGCGCAACTGTATCATTATAACACCGGTTTAGTTTTAAGTAAGAGGTTAAAAGTAAAGGTGCAAAGTAGTACTGAGGGCAGGTTGGGGGTGGTAAAAGATAAGCGGTATGGGCAGGCGAAAGGCGAGAGAGGAGCACGTGAAGCTGCCACGTAATCTGTAATCCAACCAACGTCCAATGACAGAGAGGCTTGGCGGAGAGGAGGTTGTGTGCTTTTGGCGGTGTTTTTGCTGTGTCAACGTCGGCGACGCGCATCCATGGGGTTAGTAACCCCTTCCACTCCGTTCCTCCGTTTCAGGGCATGAATCACACACACACAGACTGTACAGTATAGGCAGAAAATGTAATTCTTCATTCTCGCCCTTCTTACTTACGCCGATATATAGTGTGCTAAGGCTAACGTTCTATATATAATCAATAATAACGGCGAGTGCACTCTATATTAGGATAATCACGGCTATAGTAGATACTCTGCATCCATCGGTGCGCTAGATAGAGATGATTATTTCGGTTCGTAAAGATCCTATACGTAGTTCTAGGATAAGAGTAATAATCCTCTAGATTTAAGTAAGGATATAAGCGGCACTCGCCAGGGTTACTCTACGGTGACTATAGATAATATAGTACTGAAAATGGCTAACTAGCTGCGTAGATTCTAGTTAACTAACTAATCGGACTAGCTTAGTCACCTCCAACTAGTGAGGTAATAAATCTGCTATTTCCTTGATAGTTCAAGGTTAGAAGGTCGTGTACCCCATCCGACTTAGGACGCTAGTCTTCTACTAGCACCTCGACTAGGACTTCTACTAGCCCTTCCACTAACACTCCCTCGATAAATACTTCAATTTATAAGTGCCCGGACTTAGTTACACAACCGAGGTTAAATAAAAATGATATTAGCAATTCTTATAGAGATACGGAGCGATAGATAATTTAGGGAGGAAGAAAATAAATTTAGAACAAAGTGCCTTAATTAATACTTAATTATATTCATATATACATTCGTCAGAGGGTGATTAGAAATACATAAACGCCAAAGAAACAACAGAGCAAACCGCAACAGCTCCCCAGTGCGATGGACGGGGCGAGCCAAGAGAGCCATTATCATAGCCTATATTCGCGGAGTTGTTTCCAAAACCGACGGTTCGAAGCCAAGCGGGTGTTGAGCTGCTGTTGACCAAAGTGTCAGAGTGGTAAGAGTCGATGACCCCGAAGAAGGACACCCTGATCTTCCCCTGTACCTCATCCGGACCTAGTGGCTTTGAGGGATCGGATCTATTGATCAAATAGGGAAACCCAGCGGCATATCCATTCAGAGTGAAGTTGACCGTTCGGCTATCAAATTGAAAGTCAATTGTGGGATATGTCCAGGTCCAACCAGCATTATTAGACCAATCACGATCAACGAGCGTCATGCGATTCTGGCTGGTCTCAGTGGAAGTGTTGCAGGTCTTGAGATCCATTTCAAAACTACTCATCATTAAGTCTGCGTCCTTGATGGTTCCTGTTAGTTTATATGGAGGCCCTTGAGTGTCTGGCGATAGGGTCAAATTGAAGACATCTTTGACGGAAGAATCAGTACCCGCATCGCTTTCAGTTGAGCCATTGTCCGCATAGTACACCCAGCTTTAAGAATTGAAATTAAGTTCAGACAAAATTCGTCTCATCGTGCTATGTCGTCGAAAAGAAGATTGAACACCAAGGGGGAGAACGCTCTCTAGGTATGGAGCTAAATGACAAAGAAAGAAACAGAAAGGATAAAAAGAAGGCTGGTGAAAGAGATGGCAAAGACGGAGGAAAACGTGAAAAGTCGACGGGTATTTAGCTCAGTGACCAGGGTCGACCCCAGGCGCCCCCAACCAGCCCCAGACAGACTAGGGCCGGATGGTGGCTGCAGGACGATATGACCCTGAGAAAGTTGGAATAGGGACTATGCGACCCTGAACCGTGGCTGACTTACTTTTCTCCTTATGGTCCGTAGTCCCTGTGGACAATGCAACGCAAACTAGTTAGGACTTTAATTGGGTCCAGTTTAAACTAATTCTAAGAATCTGCCTCCTCGTCGTCTAAAATCTTTGTCGGATACTACCCCGCAGCTGCTTGGAGACTGAAAAGCCGAATTACCATGGCGCGGGGAGAAATCTATTCATGTCGGGCGTAGTCTCTCACACAAGACCTCATGATCAGGGCGGGTCTTTTCGAGCTAGCACAGTGCTTAGCCCGGCTAAACCCAACTCAGCCCGAAATCTAGCCGAAAGCCTAGCTGCAGGGGAGGCGAATGGGATTGATGATTGCTAGGCCTCCTTGGCTGGCCCCCTAAATTTAGTGCCTTTTACGAAGTGCTAGAGGCAAATACGAGGGTCCAAGGGTCATATCGAGGGAAAGGGGTCAAAAACACCAAAACCATGTTCATTTTTTCTTTTCACTATGTAACTGTGTACTCGTTTTCACAATGCTAGACCCTTCTTGATACATGTGGATGCAACCAAAGGATTCCAACACAAATGTAATAGCCCAACCACAATGTAGAGCAGCTGCTGCCCACTTGAGTGTTCCATGCTTCAAACTGGGCCGAAGTAATACCCGCCGCATTAGCAATGGCCTGACAGCCGTCCCCGCTAACAACTTCGTGGAATTTGTTACAGTTACTAACAATTCCAGGCCGATTAGGAGTCGGAGTGGTACCCCCATTCCCGGTTGAAGTAGTAGTCTTCTTGGTAGTTGTGGGGGTGGATCCGATAACTCCGGTGCAGACATAATAGCCAAGCCAGAGCGAAGAGCAGCCGCTACCAACACCGGTGTTCCATGAGTAAAAGTCTGTGTTGGAGATGCTCGCTTCCGATGCAATGGTGGCACATGTATCGTCGCTAACTACGATATGGAAGCTATTGCAATTACCGACCATACCAGCTTAGGTGGGAGTGGGAGTGCTGTTCTCCACACCCTATGGTCGTATGTATAATTCTGGAAGCAGACAAGAATTATAACGTATATTTATCAATATACGAACATGACGAGGCTGCCATAATCGAGTGTCTTGTTGGGTCGCTGTTTGTGTCCTTCTATATCTGATGATCGCCTCTACGTCTATGCTATGCTTCTCTGGTGCAGATAGTCACCTTGATAGCGCTTCTCAGCTACATAAACGCTCAGTCACTATTGATCTCGGCTGGCGTTTTCCAGTCGCAACAGCTAAATATGTCAGCAAATTCCTCGCGGTGTTCTCACACTCATAAGACGCTTCTCAAGACCTCATATATCCCACTATCAAAATACAGTTGCCCACGTCATTTTTTTTCAATCTACACTCTTTGAGGCTATACACAACAGATCACACTATAGTTCCCACTCACGGATAACGCCGAGATATATGGTTAAGCGTCGATTATATGGCACTCAGCAATTCCCTAGGACTGACATCCGGCAACGAGTGGTTCGCATTCCACTGACATAGTACGGTTATTATGCCGCGGCGTCTTTGATTCATGTCTCCCCTAAGTGGAGGCCCAAATCAATGCTATAGTAATGAGCTCGCATCTCTACCCTCGGGGTTCCTGGCACGTTACGCGAGGCGATTGCTTTTTGCTTTCCTCCCCAAGTCGGCTTTGCCTCTGATGAAGAGATTGAATGTGTATGAGGGAGATAAGTCTGCTATCAAGATTTGGAAATATTGGGAATGTATAGATAGTGCGCACACTTTTCCGGTGCGCTAAGGGTCTTCCCTTCTTCCTCTTTGCTAGTAGTCTCTCAAATCCTGAAGTACAATGCAGAACCCATAGTCCTACTCTACTACTACGTGAATTCTACATCGGATTTGTATTACTCTACTCCAGTCCCAAACAAATGTAAGTAAAATGAAAATTTATGACATATCATTACTCCCATTATAAACACCACCGAACCAGGAGACGACGCTGGTCCGAATCTAATAACGAATAAGAAAAAAAAAAGAAACGTAAGACGAACACACAAGGCATAAATAACAAATCGTCACGTCTCAAAAGGAAAAAAAAAGTGTTAAGCGCGTCAAAAAAGCCAAGAGACGCTCTTCCTCCAGTCTTCTCGGTTTTATCTTTCGCTGCATGCCTTTTGCCTTTCGCTCGCTCAAGGCCGTCTAAAGTGGGGGGGTAACTCAACAATGCGAAACATCAGACATCACGTCAGGTCAACATCAACATCAACATCTCACCACGGAGATCTTTGCAAGCATCTGTGCTTCATGTTCTGCGATCAGGCTCGGATCCGATTTGCATATCCCAGATGAGTAATCTAGAAGTGCGAAACGGCAACCGCAACGGCCTGAGAGTCGCTGTGGCTGATGCTGACGGTGATCTGCTTGACACCGGCTTGCTTGGCAGCGGTAGCGGCAGCACCGTGAAGCTAAATGAAGATCTCCCGTTAGCGTTGCTGATCACGTCGATCGGGGTATCGAAAAGATTGAAAGAAAACTTACGTTCACAATGGGAGCGCCATTGGCATCGCTTCCGATCTCAATATCTTTCAAGGCAGCGCCCGCACCCTTGCTGCTGACACCGAGCGACTTGAATACGGCTTCCTTGGCACTCCAGCGACCGGCAAACGAGGACTGCGGGGAAGCAGCCTTGCGGCAGTATTCCTGCTCGGACGCGGTGAAGTTGCGCTCGACAAAGGTCTCGTTGGAGATGTTGACAGCGTCAATGTTCTCAACGTCGACACCAACCTTGGAGTTCTCACCAGCGGCATTGGCCTTGGCGAGCGACTCAACCATCTGGCGGGTGCTCTCATTCTCCTGAGCCTTGGGAGGGGTGGTCGAGTACTTCAGCTCGGAGGTCTTCTTATCAAGGCTGACGCGGTAGTCGGGGTTCAGGAAGATCTGGCTCTGCTGAGCGTCCTCGTAAGGGGCCTTGTTCTTGGCAACGAAGATGCTGTTGTTGATCAGGCCGTTGTGGAAGTAGCGGTAAGCCTTCTTCTGGCGCGACTCGACCTTGTTCTTGTAGCTGTGGTACTGAGCCTGGTCAAGGGCAGCGTACAGGTACTTGGGGTGGATACCAATGACCTGAGCACCCTTCTGACCGAAACCGAACGAGGTCACGGAGAAGGCCTTGATACCGTCGGTCTGAATGCTGCGGCTGGGGTAGACGATGTAATCGAACTTCTCCATCACCTTATCCACGTTGTCGGCATTACGGTTACCCGGCACGAGACCGGTGTCCAGAACCTGCAAACAACCGTTGAACATCCAGGCACCAGCGGCACCCTTGGGGTGACCAGTAAGATACTTCTGGAAAATACCCATGACGGCGTTACCCTTCGTGCGGCCAAGGTGCTTGAGCTGCTGGCAAATGACATCAGACTCGTTCTTGTCGTTGGCAACGGTCGAGGTACCGTGGAACGAGGCGACATCGATATCATCGATAGTGAGACCCCAGGTGGCCAGGGCACCACGGAGGGGAGCGATGCGAGAGTCTTGCTTCCAGAAGTTGTTGCCAAGGCTGAATTGAGCATCCTTCTCCTGGCGAACGGCCTCGCGCTCGATGTGCTGAGCGCGCTCATGCATGTACTCGGAGGCATTGAAGGACTCGTCGGACTGAGCCTGCATGGCATCAACCTCATCCTGGAGGTAGAGCAGCTCAGACTCTTGCCACTCCTTGATCTGCTTCTTGCGAAGCTCAAGCTGGCGACGGCGGTACTTGATGTCCAGCAGAGGCGAGGGGAACTTGCCGGGGTTCTCACGGGCAGTGGTGAGAACACCCTGGCCAGGAGCGGGCACGGAGCGACCAATCTTGTCGGTGGCGGTGGTGGTCAGGGCGATGATACCGTGAATGGGGACACCCATGTCGAGGGCGAGCTGAGCGCTCATGATAAGCTGCATACCGCAACCCTGCGACTCCATGAAACCGGCACGGGTAGTGGTGGTAGGACGAGACATCTCCTGAGGGGTACGGCCGTGGGCGAACTCGTCCTCGGCGTTGCTGGTAGCCTTCATGTTGGCAAACTCGTAGGAACCTTCCTCTTGGAAGTCATCGAAGCCACCAACGAAGCAGACGCGAGCCTTGCCCTCCACAATGGTCTCGTAACCAATATCAACGGACTCGACAGCAGTAGCGCAAGCACCGACGGGTGTCTTGATAGGACCAGTCGAGGACAAGAGCAACATGTTGACCCACGCACTCATAGTGTTGATGAAGGACTCCTGCAGGATATCCTTCTGCAAAGGCTTGTCAAGGTAACGGTCCTTGTACATGCCGCGCAGGGCGTGGGTACCACCGATACCGGAACCAATGCAGTTACCAACCTCGGAGAGGTGGACGTACTTGTAGAACTCGTAGGGGTCGGTGATACCGGCAGAGAGCATGGACTCGGCAGTACAGACCAGGACGAACAGAGTCACGGGGTCAACCTGACTGATGATGTCGTCGGGAATACCGTAACGCTTAGCATCCCAGCCAGTAGGGATCTGACCAGCAACCAGACGGTCGAAGGAGAGAGCCTTGGGAATGAGCAGGTTGGCACCCTTGCGGAGGCGGACAGTGTACTCGCCAGACTCGGGGATCTCGAAGATCTCAACCTTGTCGCCGTGCTCACGCTTGAACTCCTCGGCGGTCTCCTTGGAGGCCTCGAAGGGCTCCAGGTCTTCCTGGATGACAATCTCCTGCAGAAGCTGCTTCTGCTTGGGGTCGTAACCCTTGAACAGCTCGGGCTCGATCAGACGAATACCGGTGTGCTCCAAGATGAATTTCTCGTACTTGGGCTTGACGTCCTTGTCGTCAACGGGCTCGCCAGTCTTGGCATCAACCCAGCCAGAGTAGGCCTTGCCCTTGAGGGGGCCGTTGTGGTGCTTGATCAGACCCATGATCCAAGCCATCTCAACGCAACCCTCGAGGGAGAACTTGCCGTAAGCCTCCATCTCCCAACGAGTACGAGAGTTACCCCAAGGTCCAACCTCGGCGAAACCAGTAACAACGACGACCTTGTCCAGGTTGACCATACCCCTGAGGTTCTCGTTAAGAGGCTTGACCTCAGTGTCCCAGTCGGGGAGCTTGGGGAACTCGAACTTGATGTTGGCACGAGGCTCGGCAACGACCTTCTTGTATAGAACGCCGCTGTCCTCGCCATTGACAACCTTGTTCTCAATGGCAGTCTCCTTGATGACGGCCTGGCGGACGTCACTGGTCTCCATGATCTCGGTGCGAAGACGGGTCATCAGGTCCTTAAGGTCGGGGATGAACTGCAGACCACCGTTGAGATCAGCCCAAACGGGGTCAAGCTGGCAGAGGTTGACGACAGCGGGGGACATCAGACCCAGCAGGTTGAAGGCCATCTCCTGCTGAGAGAAGGTGCGGACACCAAGCTTCTCAACACCCTCAGCGACCATATTGTTACCGGCCATCAGACCAGTACCACGGGTCCAGCCAATAACGGCACCGCAAATGGTGAGGTAGTTGGCCCAGTTCTCGGAATACCAACGGTTGAAGAGAGTCTCCAGGCCCAGCTTGGACTCGGAGTACAGACCGTCGTTACCGAAGGTACCGTGGTTAGGCGACAGAGGAAGGATGACCTGGGCAGGGCGGGTCTCGAAGCCGTGAGCCTGCTTCTGGGTCTTGATCGAACCCAGCATGCGGAGCAGGTTGGTCAGCATGATACGGTGAGCCAGCTCGGACTTGGAGTCGATAGAGTCGATCTCGCGGCCATTCTCGGGGATGGCGGCGAAGGGAACGACAAAGTCGAGATCCCAGCCGAGACCCTTCTTGGTGTCGTAGATGTATTCCACGAGGGCCTCCACATCCTGCTTGCTACCCTGGTTGAAGGGCACGACAACCAGCTGGGAGCCACGGGCACCGTAGCGGGCGTACATGGCCTGATAATACTCGGTGACCTCACGAGAGAAGCGGCTGGTGGTGACAACGACCTTGGCACCACCAGAGATCAGGCCCTGCAGGACCTCGGCACCGATGGAACCGGCACCGGCACCAGTCATGAGGACGTTCTTGCCCTGGAAGGAGAGACCGGAACGAGCAGCCGACTCCAGAACATTCAGGTAAATGCCGGTCAGCTTCTTGTTGTAGTCCCAGCCGTGCTCAGACTTCTTCTTGAGGTGCAGGAAGGGAATGGTCTCGACCTTGCCGGGACGAATGGCGGCAGTGCGCTTCACGCCGTTGGCACCGGATTTCTTGGCGGATCCATTCTCCTGGGGCATGATTTGGTTCTCGTTCATGCTGAGAGCGTGGAGCACATCCTTGTACAAAGCATCAAATTGGAGCTGCGAGGCCTTGGACAGGTGGTGTTGCTTGCGGATGAGCTTGTACACGTTCTTCAGATCGTTCTGGACCTTGTTCCGGTTGCTGTACTCGGAGATGGGGCCACCCTCGGCCATCTGCTTGACGTAGTGCTCCAACTTACGAGCGCTGGCACGGGGGGTCTCCTTGAAGGCAATGTTACCCCGGGCGTCAACGGTGGTCTGGGGACCAGTAGGGACAGCGACATCCTTGTAAACGGGAGCCACATCCATCACCTCCTTGCAGTTATCAATCAGCTGCTGGCCAAGCTCCTTGGCGAGCTGGTAGGTCTCACCACGCTCAGTGGGGCAGTTGTCAATGTGGTACTGCATGAAGTCGAGGAGAAGCGGGTTGGAGCGGTTCATAATGCGAATGCACTGGCTGACAATCTCACGGTCAATCACCTGGAGGCGACCAAAGATGATGTCGTAGTACATGCTGAGGGCATCCTGGCGAGCCCAATTCCACGAAGAGTCGTAGACACGAGCCTTCAGCGGGTCAAAGGAAGGCTCAATGCCGGAGGCGTAGAAGTCGCCGTGCTCCGCGGACCACAGGTCAAGCTGAGCCTGGAGAGCCTTCTGGGTCTCTTGAGATGTAATGAAGGCCTTGTCACCGGCACGGAGATCCATCTTCAAGTAGCGGGCAATAACCTCCAATTGCTGCTTGAACAGAGCCCGCTGGTCCTTGGTCAGGGCGTCAATGGCAGCAGGATCCATCATCATACCGCCGCCACCCGCACCGCTGTCACCACCGGCCGCAGGAGCGGAGAGGTTAACACCGGCACTGGCAGCATATTTGTTGGTCACATCGTCCAAGAAGGCCTTGGCATCACCCTCCGAACCCAAACGGGAGGCCGGCTCCATGGTAATGGCAAGCAGCAGCACACCGTCCTGGCGGCCCGCGCCCAAGCCCCACCGCGTCTCGAGGTACTTGCGAACGGCTGTGATGTTGAAGCCACCGGGCATCTTGGAGGAGACCATACGGGCAATGAGAGAAGAAGACTGCTTGCCGAGTTGGCCGTTGAAAGTGGCCTGCATGGCGGCACCTAGCTCGTCCAGCGGAGTGTCCTCGGGCTTCTCTGGCGTCGAACCGAATTCCTTGCCCAAGTCTCCGAGAATTTCGTTCTGTAACGTGGACTTGCCTGTAGTGAAGAGAAAGAGTACCAATTAGCATTTGCCGTACAGGTTAGAGTGACCGGTCAAATTGGCCCGTTTGCTGCATCAAACCCTCCACAAGGAAAGTAACGCTCAAACTTACCTCCAACAAGATCCTTAATGGCTTTCGTCAATGGCACTTCAGCCAGACCCTTCTTAAGCTTCTGGGCTACCAGGGACCGCAGGATATCGACTGCGGTCACTGGAATATCCTCTACCGCGGCAGCCGGGCCAGCACTGGGAGGAGGGGGAGCTGCAGCAGCCACGGGAGCAGCAGCCGCGGGAGAAGAAGCACCGGCAGCCGCCGCAGGGGCATTTGCAGCGGGCTCTGGCTCATCTTCGACGGGGTCGACATCATAATAGATCTCCTTGGCGTCCTTGTTGTAGCAGAGGATTTGACGCTGAACGGAGGTGGCGGCGTCGTAGGCCTCGTACTTGGAGGCGAGTGTGCGGCGGGCCATGCCACCGAGGGTATCTGCGGGACCAATCTCAACAATGCGCTCGGTGCGCTGCTCGGCAAGGATGACATCTTGAGTCTCAATCCATCGGACGGGTGAGGCGAACTGGTAGGCGAGCAGCTCCACCAGCAAGGTGTGAGCCAGCTCCTGCTCAATCTCAGGACGCATGGCGAATTGTGTATGTGAAGAAGGTAGGGATAATATGTGGTCGAGAGAGAAGAACGTTTGGCGGGAAGGGGGGGGGGGTATCGAGAACTCGGTCGATTTGGAAGGTAATTATGGTAGGTCGTCGGACGTGTCTAGAATCCGGCGCGACGGGGGGACTGTCGTCGCTGAATGCCCACTGAAGGGATTGATTCTAGAAAACACGAAAGAAAGGGAAATCAAAGAAAACAAGCAATTAGGGAGGGAAAGGAAATAAGGTCCCAAAGATCTAGAAGAGGAGGAGGGAGGAGAAGGAGAAGGGAGGATAGGATTTGGTGGAGTTGAAGACCGGCGTCGAGAGAAAAAAAAAGGTGGGAAAGCGATAGGCCTTGATAGGTGTAGTGGTGGTTCGGTCTGGTAATACCGGATACGGGCTGGTAATTTACGGTCGATCTTCTTTGCATGTTAAGGGGGGAGATCTTTTCCCAGCAATGTCAATGCCGAGACCTTACGAGTAAAATACGATACGGCTTTCTAGTGGAGGGGTTACGGAGGGTTACGGGGGGGTTGTAATGAATCAAACGTGGTAGGTGGTCCAGCCATTCGAAGGTTTCCAGCAACATCTTGGGTTGGTAGCGGACAGAAGGGATGAGAGAAGTGGTGAGGCCGTTGGGGGGTGCGGAAGCTCATCGCAGCAGCCGTGCGGCGACTACTGGGGCCCGTTCCTGGCAGACCAACCGCGGCCAATGGGGAGACTCCCAACACTCCATCGCTGTCCCCATCGACCCACTTTTCCTTAGCTTGATGGACTTATTCACTTTGTTGTTAGGTCCAACTGTATATTTTGCTGACCTCTCTCGACATGACCCCTCGGTGGATATACCACGAGCCTCGGACTCATGTCGACATCGTACATATTAGATAATTCCATGGGGCAGTGTAACCGACCAATCCCACGCTGTATAGATCTTCCTAGAGGCGTTGAATGGCTTCAAATCCAATATATTACCTGTATTGTGGTATTACCAATGTTACCGGTATTGCCATGACCGGCCGGAACTCGTCGCCCAGACCAAACCCGTTGAATTGCGGCAAATGGCCGGGACCCCGTCCTCGGTGGCCGACTACAAGTATTGTATACTGTAGAATCCCCAATACAATTCCATACGCCCCATGGTTTCGGGCCGTACGGTACAATCCTTCTATCGCTCGGATTCCTCCTCCCACTGCGTCGGGCGGAGTCTGCCAGAGTATTGGGGCGGGTCTGCTTCCCCCCTAAACCCGTTTGGGCCAGTTACAGTTCAACAGCGAAATTCTTTTTTTCCCTTTACCGTCGCCGTTCCACCACAGGTCACCCATTTTCTTGTGGCTTTCTGCTGGTTGTTGGAGAGAACACACCGAGAGAAGATCTTCTCGACTTCGGACTGCTCTCTATCTTCTCTTCCCCCCCTCCCCCTTCTCTCCCCCATACTCTCTCCCTCCAGCTGATCCTCCTACTTTCTTCTTCCCTTTGATGTCCTTGTGAATTGCGTCTTTATTTTTTTTATTTAATTCAATTCCTCGTGGTCGAGACGACTCCTACCTTGTAAGTTTTTCCTCGAGAAGCCCGGCCGATCCCCGCCAACTTTTTTTGGGGAGGGACGCCTCATACCAGAATCTCCGACTCACCATCAACTCTCCTCCTTAGAATTCACCTTCGACCGACCCTTATTTCCCGGGTCTCTTAGAGGACAAGGAGAAAACATCAACATCATCATGTACGGCACATCCACCGGTCCCCAGACCGGAATCAACACGCCCCGGTCTTCTCAGTCTCTGCGCCCTCTCATCCTCTCACATGGCTCCCTCGAGTTCTCCTTCCTTGTCCCTACCTCGCTCCATTTCCATGCCTCTCAGTTGAAGGATGGTTTCACCACATCATTACCCGAGCCTACCGATGAATTGGCCCAGGACGACGAGCCTTCCTCCGTCGTGGAGCTGGTGGCCCGCTATATTGGCCATGTCGCCCACGAGGTCGAGGAGGGTGAGGACGACGCGCAGGGCAGCTACCTCGAGGTCCTCAAGCTCGTTCTGAACGAATTTGAGCGTGCCTTCATGCGTGGAAACGATGTCCATGCCGTGGCAGCCGCCCTGTCCAGCATTGTTCCTAAGAAGAACCAGGTGGTCGAGGCCTACTACGCCGGTCGTGCCGCCGCCGGCCGGCCCACCAAGCCCTACGACTCGGCTCTGTTCCGTGCAGCCTCCGACGAGGCCGCCGGCATCTACACGGTGTTCGGTGGTCAGGGTAACATTGAGGAGTACTTTGACGAATTGCGCACAGTCTATAACACCTACCCCTCTTTCGTGGAGGAACTCGTTGTCTCCTCTGCAGAGCTCCTGCAGTCGCTGTCCCGCGAGCCCGAGGCCAGCAAGCTCTACCCCAAGGGTCTCGATATTATGCGCTGGCTGCGGGATCGGGATGCCCAGCCTGATACCGACTACCTCGTGTCGGCGCCCGTCAGTCTGCCCTTGATCGGCCTCGTCCAACTGGCCCACTACACCGTGACCTGCAAGGTCCTGGGCCAGCAGCCCGGTGATCTCGTGGATCGCATCCGTGGAACCACCGGTCACTCCCAGGGTGTGGTCACCGCTGCCGCCATTGCTACTGCGACCACCTGGGAGTCCTTTGCCCAGGCCTCTCGCAATGCCCTTACCATGCTGTTCTGGATCGGTCTGCGCAGCCAGCAGGCCTACCCTCGTACCTCCCTGGCCCCCTCCGTGCTGCAGGACTCCATTGAGAACGGTGAGGGTACCCCCACCCCCATGCTCTCCATTCGGGATCTTTCTCGCACCGCTGTTCAGGAGCACATTGATGCTACCAACCAGCACTTGCCCGAGGACCGCCACATCGCGATCTCCCTCGTCAACAGTGCCCGCAACTTCGTGGTGACTGGTCCTCCCATCTCCCTCTACGGTCTGAACCTGCGTCTGCGCAAGGTCAAGGCCCCCACGGGGCTCGACCAGAACCGTGTGCCCTTCACTCAGCGCAAAGTTCGGTTCGTCAACCGCTTCCTGCCCATCACCGCCCCCTTCCACAGCCAGTACCTCACCTCCGCATACGACCGCATTCTGGAGGATCTGGAGGATGTGGTTGACATTCCCGCCAAGTCCCTCCTCATCCCCGTCTTCAACACCAAGACCGGAGAGGACCTGCGCGAGCTCGGTGACAAGAGCGCCGTGCCTGCCTTGGTCCGCATGATCACTCATGATGCTGTCAACTGGGAGCAAGCCACCGTCTTCCCCGGTGCTACCCACATCGTCGACTTTGGTCCCGGTGGTATCTCCGGCCTGGGTGTCCTCACCAACCGTAACAAGGACGGTACCGGTGTTAGGGTCATTCTGGCTGGTGAGATGGACGGCACCAATGCCGAGGTGGGCTACAAGCCCGAGCTGTTTGACCGGGATGAGCACTCGGTCAAGTACGCCGTGGACTGGGTCAAGGAGCACGGCCCTCGCCTGGTGCAGACCTCCACCGGCGAGACATACGTTGACACCAAGATGAGTCGCCTGCTGGGTATCCCCCCCGTCATGGTCGCTGGTATGACCCCTACCACCGTCGCCTGGGACTTCGTTGCCGCCACCATGAACGCTGGCTACCACATTGAGTTGGCCGGTGGTGGTTACTACAACGCGAAGACCCTGACCGCCGCCATCAACAAGATCGAGAAGGTTATCCCGCCTGGCCGCGGTATCACTGTGAACTTGATCTACGTCAACCCCCGTGCCATGGGTTGGCAGATTCCTCTCATCGGCCGCCTGCGTGCCGAGGGTGTCCCCATTGAGGGTCTGACTATTGGTGCCGGTGTGCCTTCCATCGAGGTCGCCAACGAGTACATCGAGACTCTCGGTATCAAGCACATTTCCTTCAAGCCCGGCTCTGGTGACGCTATCCAGCAGGTCATCAACATCGCCAAGGCCAACCCCAAGTTCCCCATCATCTTGCAGTGGACTGGTGGTCGTGGCGGTGGTCACCACTCCTTCGAGGACTTCCACCAGCCTATCCTCCAGATGTACAGCCGTATTCGCAAGCAGGACAACATTGTCCTGGTTGCTGGTAGTGGTTTCGGTGGTGCTGAGGACACCTACCCTTACCTCTCCGGTACTTGGTCCGCCAAGTTCGGCTATCCCCCCATGCCCTTCGATGGTTGCTTGTTTGGTAGCCGCATGATGATTGCCAAGGAGGCTCACACTTCGCACAACGCCAAGAAGGCCATCGCAGATGCCCCTGGTGTCGATAACGACGAGTGGGAGAAGACCTACAAGGCCGCTGCTGGCGGTGTCATTACTGTCCTCTCGGAGATGGGTGAGCCCATCCACAAGCTGGCTACCCGGGGTGTCCTGTTCTGGCAGGAGATGGACCAGAAGATCTTCAAGCTCGACAAGGCCAAGCGTGTCCCTGAGCTCAAGAAGCAGCGCAACTACATCATCAAGAAGCTGAACGATGACTTCCACAAGGTGTGGTTCGGCCGCAACGCCGCTGGCGAGACTGTTGACCTTGAGGACATGACCTACACCGAAGTCGTCCACCGCATGGTGGATCTGATGTACGTCAAGCACGAGTCTCGTTGGATCGATGACTCGCTCAAGCGTCTGACTGGTGACTTCTTGCGCCGTGTTGAGGAGCGCTTCACCATTGCCGATGGTCAGGCTTCCCTGCTCCAGAACTACTCTGAGCTCGACACCCCTTACCCGGCCGTGGACACCATTTTGGCTACCTACCCCGAGGCCGCCAAGCAGCTGATCAACGCCCAGGATGTTCAGCACTTCCTGCTGCTTTGCCAGCGCCGTGGCCAGAAGCCCGTTCCTTTCGTCCCTGTCCTGGATGAGAGCTTCGAGTACTTCTTCAAGAAGGACTCCCTCTGGCAGAGTGAGGACCTCGAGGCCGTTGTCGATCAGGATGTCGGCCGTACCTGTATTCTGCAGGGTCCCATGGCTGCTCGCTTCTCTAACATCATCGACGAGCCTGTCAAGGACATTCTCGATGGTGTCCACCAGGGCCACATTACCGGACTGATCCGCGACGTCTATGGTGGTGACAAGTCCAAGATCCCCGTGATTGAGTACTTCGGTGGCAACCTGGTTGACGATGCCGATGAGCCCGAGGTTGAGGGTCTGACCGTCTCTGAGGAGGCTAACAAGGTCACCTTCCGTCTGTCCTCTTCTACCTCCGCCGACCTGCCCAGCCTCGACCGCTGGCTCCGTCTGTTGGCTGGCAACACTTACTCGTGGCGCCACGCCCTGTTCCTGGCCGATGTGTACGTCCAGGGCCACCGGTTCCAGAGCAACCCCATGAAGCGGATCGTTGCTCCCACTGCTGGTCTGTACGTGGAGATCTCCAACCCTAACGAGCCCGCCAATACGGTCGTTAGCGTCCGTGAGCCCTACCAGTCCGGCAAGCTGGTCAAGACCGTCGAGGCCAAGGTCAACGAGAATGGTCAGATTTCT